GCGTAATAACCAAAAAAAAAAAAAAAAGAAGAGATGTACGGGTGTCCACCCACAAGACCCATGCACCAAATTATCCCACACACACCGCCCGCCAGTCTTCGACATTAATGAAAAAAAAATGAAAAATCACCTTCACCATTCCATAACCCCCAGTCAAGATGTTCTCCAGATCAAGCATACGTAACTTAATTCGAACATACCGTACCTCTGCCATTCCCAAGGGCCAGAGACCTTCACCCAAGGACAGTCCCTCCGACCCCAAGGAATTAGCTCGAAGACATGCTCAAGTTAAAGCGTTCAACCGTCGTTCACCAAAACTGCATCCATTATATATGAATATTCCAACTGCATTAAAATATTTGAGAGCAGCAGAAGTAGGACAGCCAGCACTGAAAACAACCATCAGTCTTATGATCAATGTGATTCCAGAAAAAGGTTCAATACCATTACAAGGATCAATTTTCTATCCAAATTCATTCAAGAAAAATCGAGTAATTGCATTTACCAATAATGAAGAAGAAATTAATAATTTGAAAATTAATAATGATGTTTTGGTTGGTGGAGTCGAATTAATTAATCAAATTTTAAATGATGAAATTAATTTGGATCAATACACTCAAGCATACGCAAATGAATCAATTAGTAAAAATTTAAATCAAATTGCAAGAAAATTGGGTCCCAGAGGTTTAATGCCAACCACCAAAAGAGGTACTGTTGGCTCAGATATCCTAAAATTAATTAATGAAAATAATAGTGCTCTCCCTTTTAAACAAAAGGGTAGACATGTTTCAGTTCCAATTGGTAGATGTGATTTTAGTGATGAACAATTATTAACTAATTTAAAATACGCTTCAAAAGCAATCTTTGACTCCCAACCAAAAGGTACTAAAAAACCAAATACAATTGGTATTGCCTATTTATCAAGTACTTTAGGTCCTTCCATCGTAGTAGATATTAAAAATTAAACTTTTTTTCCCTCTGTACATAGTGTAAATATAAATTCTTTTTTTTTTTTTTTTTTTTTTTCCTTCTTTTCCATAGAATAAGAATTGCCTCAAGGCACTTATCTGCATTAGATGAGATAATTCAAAATAATAGAAACTCCTCCTCTGTCTTTGTTGCATGTACTTTTAATATCAAGTAAAACAGCTTATATATGAAATTTCCTAGACAAACAATCATTTACCAACTCTCACTAACAAAAGAGAAAAAAGAACAATTGAAAAGAAACAAATTTCACTCTCACCATTTTTTCTTTTTTCCTCCTATTCCTTATTCATTCAATCTTCAATATTCATATTTAGTCTTACTTATTCAATTTTCAGCTATCTTATCCAATAGTCTAATCCATTAGTCTTCTTTTTGAACCCCCCATTCACAGAATCTAATTAGTGTATCAGTACAGTTTATCAGAGTAATTTTTTTTGTCCGTTCACAAGCCACAAGCTATGAAAAATTATAAACTGAGAAACTGGTCTTTCTTACCTTCCAGTCCTTCTCCGTTATCTTCATCGATAAATAACACTCTACCGTTGGCTTCATCCAAGAATTCTCATCTGAAAAATGATTTGAACCCTAGCGAGAACCTAGAGCAAAAGGAAGAAGCCGTCGATAAAAAAATCCAAGATGAAATTGTAAAATCTCCTTTATTATCAAATGATATAATCGAATCAGATATCTTATCTTCTTCAAGTAGAAATCCAGATATCCAGGATGATGATGCTTACGATTATAAAAACCTTCATCAAGATTTGGATGATGAACAACCAGATTATAAATCAGTACCTCCAGATTTTTTCAATATTTTATCCACTTTCCCCCTTTTCAAACAAGCCCCTAAATCTTTTCATTCAAAAGTGGTTTCAAAATTGAAACTAATGCAATATCATCCTCAAGAATATATCATGAAAGAAGGTGATCCTTCAAAATCAATGTATTGGATCTTAAAAGGTTCAGTTAGTGTAACTTCAACCGATGGTGAATCAATTTATGCAGAATTAGCTAGTGGTTCCTTTTTCGGAGAAATTGGAATCTTATTTAATCGTCCTAGAACTGCTACAGTGGTTGCTAGGACTAAAGTTTTGGTTGGAGTTTTAACTTCAGATTCTTTAAATAGTGTTTTAAAATCTTATCCTTTAATAGAAAGAAGAATTAGAGATGAAGCCCAAGAAAGATTATCAATGCAAGATAAAAAAAATAAAGCTATTTTACCCCCGGTTTTGAACTCAAATTTATCAAATAATAAATTCAAAAATAAATTTTCAAAAAAATTATTTCAATCTTCAAAACTTTCTTCTTTTGCTTCTTCTTCTTCTTCTTCTTCTAAAGTTGGTAATTTACCTCTTACTAACTATAATCCTTCAAATGCTAGTTCTCTAGCTAATTTGTCTTCTTCAATCCCTGGTCCTTCTATCCCAATAACTAATTCTCCCTCAGTAAGTCCTCCAATTGATGAAAATTTAACTGCTGCTGATAACGTTGATCAAACTATTTCAATTCAAGAATTTCTTAAAAATTTACCAATGTTTAGTAATTTACCTTCTCATATTATTCATAGATTAGCTTTAGGAGTTGAACCAATGACTTATCAACCTTTTGAATATATTTTCCATAAAGGTGACTTAAGTTTTGATATTTATTTCATTGTTAATGGTGAAGTTGAAGTGATTGATCATTTATATAATGATTTCAAAATTGATAATATCTTGGCTAGATTGAAACCAGGAATGTATTTTGGTGAAATGGCTTTTTTATCCTCTTTAAATAATGATTTAGATCATTATAAAAGATCAGCCAGCATTCGATCCGTCACCTCAGTTGAATTAATTGTGGTCAAATCGGATAAATTAAAACTTTTATGTGATAAATATCCTTACATTATTGATGATATGAAAAATACCGCTTCCCAAAGAAGATCTTTAAATTATAGCTTACAAGATGATAAATTGATTTCTTTTAATTCTTCTCCTTCAAACTCTTTACCCCCTTCAAGAAGGTTATCAATTAATTTCTTAATTAATGAAAATTCCAATAACTCACCTTCCTCTGATGTCTCATCACAAGCCCAACCTCCAACCATAGCCCACACCCCGACTCCTCCGTTAGAGCTTTCAGCAAATGCTCCTGCCCCTGCCCCTGCTCCTGCTCCCGTCTTCCAACAATCAATATTTCAGCCAAATTGGGGGTTCGGTAATAATAAAAAAGATGATAACTCAAACTCAAATTCAGTCTCAACAATGTACTCTATGGAAAAGGGTAGAATTTCAAGGTCTATTTCTCCCATTTCAAATAATGATCACGAAATAAATGACCGAAAACGTAAATCAATAAGCTTGAGTCCATTCCATTCTCAGCAGATTCAACAATCTCAATCACTCCCTCATTCACAGTCCCAATCCCAGTTACAGTCCCAGATCCCTCATTCCCAATCGCAGTCCCAATTACAAATGAATGTTCCTCCACTTAACCCAGTCGTTCCCTCGATTAATAACTTTCAAAATTTACAGCCTGGTAGCAGAAGATCAAGCTTCCAATATATGCCTCATAGTAAACGTATCAAATTGGCTACTTTAAACGGTGGCAGAAGAAGATCTTCAATATTATCCAATAATGGTCCTTTACCAGATAAAATTTTATTAAAGGTTTTTGAATTTTTATCTTTACCCGAACTAATGAAGTTAAGAACAATTAGTAGAAGATGGAGACAACTAGTATACGTTGCTCCTAATTTATGTACTACTCTAGATTTGAAACCTTGGAATACCTCCATTGACGACAAAGCTTTGGTTACAATCACTGATTTTGTTGGCTCAAGACCACAATCCATTGACATCTCAAATTGCTTTCATATTACGGATGAAGGTTTCACATACATGGTTAATGAAATTGGAATTCTGGGAAAGATTAAAAAAATCAAGATGAAATCAAATTGGGAAGTTAGTGCAATGGCAATAATGGATTTGACAGTACCAAGTGTTGGTAGATATTTGGAAGAAATTGACTTGTCAAATTGCAGAAAAGTTCGGGATAATGTATTAGAAAGATTGATTGGCTGGGATCCTGAATCTATCAGCAATGATGCTCAAGGTGAATCTGCATCCGATCATGAGTTAGATTTGGATGAATTCAATAATAATGGTGTTGGTTGTAAAAACTTAAAAATTTTAAGTGTTGGTTATTGTAAGCATCTAAGTGATAGAATAATGCATCATATCGCTAATCATGCTAATAAAAGATTGGAAAGTCTTGACTTAACAAGATGTACTACAATTACTGATAAAGGATTTCAATATTGGACTTATAGATCATTTTCGAACTTGAAAAAACTTTCCTTGAAAGACTGCACATTTTTAACCGACGTCTCAATTATATCAATTGCAAATGCAGCTCCAAATTTAGAAATCTTAGACTTGAATTTCTGTTGTGCTTTATCAGATATAGCAATCGAAGTTTTATGTTTAGGCTGTCAAAATTTACGTGAATTAGATTTATCATTTTGCGGTTCAGCTGTTAGTGATTCATCATTGGTTGCAATTTCTTTACACTTAAGACATTTACAAAAATTAATTCTAAAAGGCTGTATCAGGGTCACGAGAGCTGGGATTGATGCTTTATTGAGTGGTTGTTCGCCATTGAACTATATCAATGTTAGCCAATGTCGAAATGCTCATATATATCCTGGTAGAATCCCTGCTCAAAAATTAAATGTGAATCCGCAAACGAAATCAGCCTTTGTTACTGCTGGTCCCTTCCAAAACGTTATAGAGATTGTTATTTGATCTACCATCCCCAAAAATGTATTATATTATTACTTCTCCTCTCATGTCTTATTACTTATCTATTCTTTTCTTCTCTCTTGTATTATTACATTTAATTTCTCGTTATGTCATTTTTTTTTGCATCCTTCGACTCTATTTTTCTTTTTCTTTTTTTTTTTTTTTTTNTTTTTTTTTTTTTTTTTTTTTTTTTTTTTTTTTAGTTTTTTCTACTCTATATACTTTCACTACAAATTTTTGAGTTATAGTAAATATTCTAGCTGTAGATTTTAAGATTTAGGCTACTTAACGTCTCTTCTTTTTCTTAACCTTGTCTTCGAAGTTGATAAAGGTATTTGGTATACCTTTTGAGTTTAGATATTCCATGATTATTTTACCATGAGGGCCCTGCACGGTAACTTCCGTCAAGGCTGGATTTTCAACACAAGGGCCAATTGTGGTAGAACCGGAGCATTTCACTTTCAAATCATCAGAAAGTATATGAGGTTTTATGAAGAATTTTTCGAAGTTCAGGATTCTGGTAATAATTTTACGGCCAATTTTCATTTGAGTAATGATTTTGATAGTTGGTGGTTCGCCTTTATTCAATTGAACCGTATCGTCTTCTAAAGATTCGCCAGGTCTTAATACGACGTAATATGGAGAGAAATTGCTTAAAAAGGTTTTGAACAACTTATCTCTTGGATGGGCCCCGATTCCCAAACTCGTCATTGCATTGAGATTATCATCAAGATTGATCTTTTTGGGATCTTTTGGATTAACCAAATTTTGAATTTTTATGTATTTATTCAAGATATCTCTTACTTCACTTTGAGTATACCAGGTTTGAAAATCTTCCTCTGTTTTGTTGAAAATCATTCTCGATTTACTAGTTGGCTTATAAAGATACACCACGTTCAATTCCAGGGACTTGTCTTTCTTATTACCTGTTGTGGTTGTGGTCGAATTTGTGTCTTTCTTGAGTGAACCCATGGTCTTATGAACCACAAAGTTTTGAACAGCAGGATTGTTTGATCCTGTTAAGCTGACAACCGATAAATCATCACCTTTACCTTTAACTGTGAGATACTTTAGTTTTTCCATTGCCTTTAAATATTTGGTTGTTTTTTTCCACGAGGTTTTTTTAATGTTACAGTAGCTTGAATCAACCACTGGTAAGTTCTTATAGATATGATTAGACATGAATGTTGAAGATGTAATTGGTAATTCTATTTTATCTGTTTTTATTGTTTGCAATAAGGATCTGATGAAAAAATTGTCAACCTCTTCCACCGTTAGTGTAGTCAATTCTTCTGCAATATTATCAACATCAGGATCATCACTATCGGGATCATTGACCGCTGTTCCGTCGTCTTGAGTAACTTCCTGCTCTTCCTTGTCATGAACGGGCTGCTCATCGTGTTTATCTTCGGCTGAGTGGCCTTCTTCAGTTGGCTTTGGTTCTTGATCATGTTCTTTTAAAGGAACCTCATCCACCACCTGCTCCGGAATCGGAATATCTACAAATTTGTTCAACTTGTATAATTCGTCATCCAAATGATGCATCACTTCAACAGCAATCCCAGTTCTTCCAATTACCAGAGTAAACTGTGGTAAATTCAATTTACAGCGACCGATTGCTTTAATGACCGTTGGATTTGCACTATCAACAATACCAACAATTGACCCTTTAACGGTCCTAGGGTCAAATGGAGGTACTGTTCCAGGTAACATGAGATCTGCACCGCCCGATAAAACTCTAATAACATGAGGATGTGTTATAATTTTAGGAAGTATATATGCTGCTTTCCAACAGGTAAAAAGTGATGGATATAATTGTGAGTCTCTGGTTTTAAACCAAGTCGGGGTTTCGTTCTCATCAAAGTATATGGTACCCTTATGGCCCTGGACACTTTGGTAACTTGCTTGCTTGGTGGTGGAAGGAAGTATATTGAGTTCTGCCTCTTTGTTCAAGTCATTCTGAGGAATTCCATAACTGTTGCAAATACCGGAAAGTAACTTTCTTCTCTCCGAAGACTTGATATTTGCAGATGCCTTTGGTTGTGGATCTTTCTTGAACATCCTCCTTCGATATTTCAACACGGCCTATCGATTAAAGTGAACGTGGTGAAAAAGAATGGTCGAAGTTCTTAAGTAACTTGTTTGGCAAAGTTGCCATTAAAGCTTTAAAATTTTTTTTCCTTCACGTACCTGTCGTGTAATAATCGTTGGAAATCAGAAATATCAACAGAAAAATAGATACACGTAGTTAATGAGAAGAACTTGTTCAGAAGAACTAGTGAATCAACACCCCTTTAACACTAGAGAAGAGGAAGATGAGTAGTGAAAAGGTCACTGTTGCGACCTCTAAAGATGAAGGGAGTAACATAAAGTTTATCAGAAGGGTGATAGTGGGTATCATTTTGGCAATTGCAGTATCATTTGGGTTACCGCTATTTTTTTCAACCACCACTATATATAGAGCAGAGTTACCGATAAATCAGATAAATGACAAAGTGGTGAATTTTGGAAATGAAGTCAGCTTCAGAATACCGGTGTACTTGGACTTACCCAATTCTTTGGAGCACTTTATTCCTACAGCACAAAATTATATAGATGATAAATTAAGATCACGATTCCCCCAACTTAATAACATCTGGTCATTAGAGTTGAAAAGAATTAATTCGAATGTCCGCGAGGAGAGAGACTACATTGTTAAGTTTGAGTATATTGAACCACCAACTGGAGAAGACGAGTCTTTACCTACTGAATCATTTTACATTTCACCTTTTAGTAAGACCAGTGTATTAACATTAACCGATGCGGTGGTCAATGCTAAAAAAGTTGATGACTTTTTATCGGTGATTTTGTTGGATCAAGTATTCAAGGAAGAAATCGAACAAATAAACAGGTTAATAAATGAAGAGTCCAAGACATCAACAAGTAAAGATGTTGTATTGCCATATTCACCTAAATATAATATAGTATTTTCACTTTTAACTGAAGGAGGGAAATCGATTAGTTGGGATATTGAAAAATCATCTGAGTTATTAAAGCCAATCTTCAAAAAGTTAGCTCCGTTTGCTAACTTTACTATTAGTAGTCAAATTCAATATTATTCTACATTGACTAATTCCCCAATATATGACGAAAATGAAAATGCATTCATTATACCAGAGGAAGATTTGTCAACTTTTATTAACCATGGTGACTGGAATTTGATTACCCATGATATTAATCCTACTATAAACTTTATTGTATATTTTGGACAAAGTAATTATGATCATAAACCATTATTAGTCGATAATTCTAAGACAAATTCATTTTTGATTCCACAATGGGGTGGAGTGAATGTTTTCAACAAAGAATATACAGAAGGACATTCGATTAATATAGACGAAAATGATTTAATACCAATTATGGAAACATTCACTTCGCAATTATTTGAATTATTGGGAATCGTTAAAAACCCAAAATCTCCAAGTATTAGATTCGATTCATTATCAAGAATAAGTGCTTATAAGAATTTGAAAAAATCATTAGAAAATTTATCATCTTTGGTTAAATTAACTGAATCGTTGAATGAAATCAGTATACCCAAATTAACTAAGGAACATGTTTTGCAAACATTACAATATTTTGACAATTCAGTCAAGGCATTAATAGAGCAGCAATTTGAATTAGCCATGACCTATTCATCTAAAAGTATTCTGAGTTCTGACAAAGCATTTTTTGAAAAAGAAATGGTTCAACAAGCTTATTTCCCCAGTGAACATAAATTGGCAGTTTTCTTACCATTGCTCGGGCCAGTTTCTTCAATTATCATCATTGGTTTAATCAAGTTGGTGAAGGATGTCAAGGCTAATAACTAAATAATTAATATATCAATTAACTACGACTGCAAAACGTTGAAAAGTAGGCATTTAGAACTAAGTAACAACCAGCTAGGGGACCCCCGTACATCCCGCGCCAAAACGGTTTAAAAACGCGATGCAATTCTTTCACTTTATTTTATTTTTTTTATTGATTAAATCATCTCCAATCACTACTACATCCCCCAGCATGAGTAAAGTTCTTTATAATACCCTTGGATTGGGATCTCTTGGGGTTGCGTCATTTTTCTGGGGCAGATCGTCCGCACCTAGTACACCAACCGCCCCAACATCAGCCCCAAATTCCAACCTACCTGCATTTCCAGGAGAAAACAGAGTCGGGAATTTTGATCCAAGTAGTATCAAGCCCCAAGATTTCTATAAATATGGGTTTCCTGGACCTATACACGATTTGGAGAATTTCAAAGAGTTTACCAGTTGTTATAATCGAGCCACTAGAAACCCATATTGGGTAGTGGAACATATCACCAAAGAATCATTACAAGTGAAAGAAGCTGATCGGAAAAAATCTGTTTTCAAAGAAGACGAAAGTATCCCATTCAAGTTCAGAGGTAGATTGAGGGATTTTTTCCGTAGTGGGTACGACAGAGGACATCAAGCACCAGCTGCCGATGCTAAATATGATCAAACCGCCATGAACGAAACATTCTATTTAACCAACATGTCTCCACAAGTGGGCGATGGTTTCAACCGAGACTACTGGGCACACTTTGAGGATTTTTCTCGAAGATTAACCGAAAAGTATGATAATGTACGTATAATGACCGGCCCCTTATTCTTACCTAAAAAGGATGATGATGGTAAATACCGTGTCACTTATGAAGTCATTGGTAGTCCTCCAAATATAGCGGTTCCTACCCATTTCTTCAAGTTGGTTGTTGGTGAAACAACTGGCGATGATAGGATCAGTGTTGGAGCATTTGTATTACCCAATGCTGTCATTGATAATCAAGATCCATTGACCAAATACCAAGTACCAGTCGAGGCATTGGAAAGAAGCAGTGGTTTGGACTTATTATACAAGGTTCCATACTTTAAAAGAAAAGACCTATGTAAAGAAGTTAAATGTGAAATCATAGTACGTGAATTTCCAAAGGAAGTCAATAAGATCTTGACTTTAGATGGTAAGTAGATTTAATATATAAATATATGTTTATATCTATACATATATTTGCAGGTTAGTCGCCAAACTGTAATGTGACCAGTCGTTTCCATTTTGCAGTCAAATTGTGATCTATCACATTGACTGGGTTTGTAAACTAGTATATAAATGGTACATAAATCTCTCATAAATTCTCTATTGCGCTGTTATTACTTATCTCTCCCCATAACATACTTAACGTAATTTAGCAGCAATTCATCATATTTTCTCATAACATACTAGGTTCCATAAGATTGTGATTACCCAGTCATTACCACCAATGCCCTCAGCTCGGTATAACCAAATAAGATGCTGCTTAGTCTACTCGACACAGATTGCTTATTTCAAACTACCGTCAGTATATTCAGTCAGTATATTCAGTCAGTATATTCAGTAAGTATTCGGGGTTATAGCCGCTACAGAACAACCGGAAATGAACTGCCAGGCAACAAGTCACATGACACATCATGTGATTCCCGGATCTCATAAAAACAGTTACATAATCCACACCACAAAAAAGTTGAACAGTGAGTTTTTTTAGTGTTTTTTCTAGAGGTGAAAATCCCAACAAAGTCAAATCGCCCAACCCCAACACCCTTAACAATTTTTTATTAGCATTTCTCAACAATAAAACAAAACAAAAAACAGTTGCAAATTTTGATTTTTGGACCCAACCGTACACGCACACTTTGTATTCGACCTCATGTCCACACCCACACCGACTTAGGTGTTGAGTATTTTCATGCGTGGTTGGGGATAATCTTATCATAATCGATTGTTCTATGTCAATTTATTTTTTTTTGGTTTATGTTTGGCAGGATGGGTGTGTATGTTTATTGCATCGATCGTTGTTGCAGTAGTTTTTTGTAGATGTTTTAATTTATTTTTTTTGGTTTGTTAGTGATTTTGGTTTTTTTTTTTTTGGTTTTGTTAGACATTTTTTTTTTTTCTTAGTGAGTGGTTTTTTTTTTTTTGGTCCCTTAGCATCAGAATATTCAACATTATCCCTGTAAAAATTTTGGATTTTTCAGAGTTGATTTGGTCTTTGTATTTGTATTAAATTATTTCCTGTTTTCTTTTACTTTCTTCTTTTAACTTTTCTCTTCTTGTTCTTCAATTGAAAACAGATAGTCCAATTCATCATCAGTGAAAATTATACAGTACCACATTTTTAGTATAACCTAACTGATTTGTCCAAGATCTAAATTTTCAATTATTAACAAATAACCCCCATTCTTATTTATTTATCATTTTAAAAGGTTTTCAACTTATATTATCATTTCCAAATTTACCAAATACAAAATTTTAACAAATGTCAACCACACATCGTCCATTTTCATTGAATCACGGTTCAATAGAACATACTTTATTAGTTCCAACTAATATTTTTTTCAATTTTTCTCAATTGAAAGATCAATTCTTAAAAGTTTTACCTGAACCAACTGAAGGTTTTGCTTCAGATGATGAACCTTCATCTCCTGCTGAATTGGTTGCTAAATTTTTAGGTTTCACTGCTGAATTGGTTGATTCAAATCAAGTTGGTCAATTTGATGAAGTTTTAAAATTAACTTTAAATGAATTTGAATCAAGATTTTTGTCTAATTCAGATATTCACACTTTTGCTTCAAAATTATTAGCCGATGAATCTTATCCAACTACTCATTATAAAATTAAACAAGTTATTAAAAATTATTTTAATGCTTTAATTAATTCAAATACTAAAATTGAAAAATCAAAATCTGATTTATTATCAAATGATTTAAGTTCAATTTATGCTATATTTGGTGGTCAAGGTAATACTGATGATTATTTTGAAGAATTAAGAGAATTATATCAAATGTATAATGGTTTAATTTCAAACCTAATCAATAAAATTGCTACTCAATTAAATCATTTAGTTAAAACTACTGAAAATGTTGATAAAATTTATACTCAAGGTTTTGATATTTTAAATTGGTTAAGAAATCCTGAAAAAACTCCAGATCAAGATTATTTATTAAGTGTCCCTGTTTCTTGTCCTTTAATTTGTGTTATACAATTATGTCATTACACTGTTACTTGTAAAACTTTAGGTTACACTCCTGGTGAATTTAGATCTTATTTATCCGGTTCCACTGGTCACTCTCAAGGTTTAGTTACTGCTATTGCTATTGCTTCTTCTGATTCTTGGGATAATTTCTTTGAAAACTCTTTAAAAGCCATTTCTTTATTATTCTTTATTGGTTCAAGATGTTTAATCACTTATCCAAGAACTACTTTACCTCCAACCATGTTACAAGATTCTTTAGAAAATGGTGAAGGTAGACCATCTCCAATGTTATCAATTAGAGATTTATCAGTTGATCAAGTTAATGATTTCATTAATCAAACTAATAAACATTTACCAAATGATAAACACGTTGCTATCTCCTTGATTAATGGTGCTAGAAATTTGGTTGTTTCTGGTCCTCCAGAATCATTATATGGTTTAAACTTATCATTAAGAAATAAGAAAGCTCCTTCTGGTTTAGATCAAGCAAGAATCCCTCATTCTGAAAGAAAATTAAAATTTTCAAATCGTTTCTTACCAATTTTTGCGCCATTCCATTCTCACTTATTATCTGATGCTACTGATTTAATTTTAAATGATTTAGAAGCTAATAACTTATCCTTTAATGAAAAAGAAATTAAAATTCCAGTTTTCGATACTTTCAATGGTGACAACTTCCAAAATGGTGTCAAACTGGAATCTGTTATTGAAAGAGTTACTAAATGTATTACTCAATTACCTGTCAATTGGGAATTAGCTACTAATTTCAAATCAACTCACTTATTAGATTTTGGTCCAGGTGGTGTTTCTGGTTTAGGGGTTTTAACTCATAGAAATAAAGAAGGTACTGGTTCAAGAATTATTATTGCTGGTAGCTTGGATGTTCAAAATTCTGATGATGAATATGGTTTCAAACAAGAAATCTTTAATAAATCTTCAAACTCAATTAAATGGGCTCCAAATTGGTTGAAAGAATTTAGTCCAAAATTAGTCAAAACTTCTAATGATAAGGTTTTCGTTGATACTAAATTCTCAAGATTATTAGGTAGAGCTCCTTTAATGGTTCCTGGTATGACTCCATCTACAGTTAATCCAGATATTGTTGCTGCTACTATTAATGCTGGTTATCACATTGAATTAGCCGGTGGTGGTTACTTCAGTGGTCCTCATATGGAAAATGCTTTGAAAAAAGTTGTTGAAAAGATTACTCCAGGTTCTGGTATTGGTATTAATTTGATTTATGTTAATCCAAGAATGTTACAATGGGGTATTCCTTTAATTAAAGAATTGAGAGAAAGAAATTTCCCAATTCAATCAATGACTATTGGTGCTGGTGTTCCTTCTTTAGAAGTTGCTACTGAATATATTGAAACTTTAGGTTTAACTCACTTAGGTTTGAAACCTGGTTCAATTGATGCCATTAGTCAAGTTATCTCAATTGCTAAAGCTCATCCTAACTTTCCAATTGTTTTACAATGGACTGGTGGTAGAGGTGGTGGTCATCACTCTTTTGAAGATTTCAACCAACCTATTTTACAAATGTATTCTAAGATTAGAAGATGCTCAAACATTATTTTAATTGCTGGTTCTGGTTTTGGTTCGGATGAAGATACTTATCCATACTTGACTGGTTCATGGTCTTCTGAATTCAATTATCCTCCAATGCCTTTCGATGGTGTCTTATTTGGATCTCGTGTTATGACTGCTAAAGAAGCTCATACTTCTTTGGATGCTAAAAAGGCTATTGCCAGCTGTTCTGGTGTTCCAGATTCTCAATGGGAAAACACTTATAAAAAGCCAACTGGTGGTATTATTACTGTTAGATCTGAAATGGGTGAACCAATTCATAAGATTGCTACCAGAGGTGTTATGTTCTGGAAAGAATTGGATGAAACCATTTTCAATTTACCAAAAAATAAACTCTTAGATGCTTTGAATAAAAAGAAGGATTACATCATTAATAGATTAAATAAAGATTTCCAAAAACCTTGGTTTGCTAAAAATGCTACTGGTGTTTGTGATTTACAAGATATGACTTATCAAGAAGTTGCTAATAGATTAATCGAATTAATGTATGTTAAAAAATCCGAAAGATGGATCGATGTATCATTAAGAAATTTCTTTGGTGATTATTTAAGAAGAGTTGAAGAAAGATTCACTACTTCTGAAGGTTCTGAATCTTTACTCCAAAACTATAATGTTTTGACTTCTAATCCTCAATCTTTCTCTGATAAATTCTTTGACAAATTCCCATTAGCTAAAGAACAATTAATCAATGAAGAAGATTGTGATTACTTCTTAATGTGCTGCTCTAGACCAACTCAGAAACCAGCTCCTTTTGTTCCTGTCTTGAATGAAACTTTTGAATTCTTTTTCAAGAAAGATTCTTTATGGCAATCTGAAGATTTGGAAGCTGTTGTTGACGAAGATGTTCAAAGAACCTGTATCTTACACGGTCCTGTGGCTGCTCAATTTACTAATGAAATCAATGAGCCAATTAAAGATATTTTAGATTCTATTCACGATGGTCACATTGCAAGATTAATTAAAGATGAATATGCTGGTGATGAATCTAAAATTCCAGTTGTTGAATACTTCGGTGGCCAACAACCTACTGCTATTGCTGCTTCTGCTTCGGATGAAATCACTGATGACGTCCGTGTCTTCAAAGTTGGTGCTGGAGAATCTATTTCCAAAGCTAAATGGTTACAAAAATTAGCTGGTGACAAAATCAATTGGTTACATGCTTTCATCACCACTGCTAGAATTGTTCAAGGTTCAAACCATGCTCCTAATTCAACTCAAGATATTTTAGCTCCAGTTCCTAACTCAGTCACTAAGATTGAAAATCCAAATGTTTCTTCTAAAACTAAATTAACTGTTTTCGAATCTGTTCAAGGTGACTTAAAACCGGTCGCTGAAATCAAATTAGTTAAAGAAAACATTATTGAATTATCTCTTATTGAACATAGAACTGCTGATGGAAAGCCTGTTGCTTTACCATTCTTGTATAAATATAATCCAAATGATGGTTTTGCTCCAATCTTAGAAGTCATGGAAGGTAGAAATGATAGAATCAAAGAATTTTACTGGAAACTATGGTTTGGTCATAACTATCCTGTCGACTTTGACATTGATGTTCAAAAAACTATTATTGGTGACGAAATCACTATTACTTCTCAAGATATTGCTGAATTCACTCATGCTATTGGTAACAAATGTGAAGCTTTTGTTTCTAGACCTGGTAAAGAAATTTTGGCTCCAATGGACTTTGCTATTGTTATTGGTTGGAAAGCTATTATGAAAGCTATCTTCCCAAAGACTGTTGATGGTGATTTATTGAAATTGGTTCACATGTCTAATGGTTATAGAATGATTCCTGGTGCTGAACCTTTGAAAAAGGGTGACGTTGTCAGCTCAAGTGCTGAAATCAAGGCTGTTATTAATCAAGCTTCTGGTAAATTGGTTGAAGTTATTGGTACCATCTCTAGAGATGATAAACCTGTTATGGAAGTTACTTCTCAATTCTTATACAGAGGTGACTACAATGATTATGAAAATACCTTCCAAAAGGTTACTGAAAATCCAGTTCAAGTTCATATCAAAAACTCTAAAGACTTAGCTATTTTAAGATCTAAAGAATGGTTCCACTTGGAAAAAGAAATTGAATTATTGAACCAAACTTTAACTTTCAGATGTGAATCAACCTATCATTTCAAGAGTGCTGATATTTATTCTTCCATCAGAACCAATGGTCAAGTCTTCTTAGAATTACCAACTAAAGAAATCATCCAAGTTGGTTCTGTTGATTATGAAGCTGGTAAGTCTTATGGTAATCCAGTTACTGATTACTTGACTAGAAATGGTAATACTATTGAACAAGCTGTTACTTTTGAAAATGCTATTCCAATTTCTTCTGGTGAAGAATTGACCTCTAAAGCTCCAGGTACTAATGAACCATATGCTAAAGTTTCTGGTGATTACAATCCTATTCATGTTTCGAGAGTTTTTGCTGCTTATGCTAAATTACCAGGTACCATTACTCACGGTATGTACTCATCTGGTTCCATTAGATCATTAGTTGAAGAATGGGCTGCTAATAATGTTGCTTCAAGAGTTAGAGCTTTCGATGTGACATTCACTGGTATGGTCTTACCAAATGATACTTTACAAACTACTTTGGAACATGTTGGTATGATCAATGGTCGTAAGATCATTAAGATTGAAACAAAGAATGTTGAATCTGACTTAACTGTTTTATCTGGTGAAGCTGAAATTGAACAACCAATCACTACTTATGTTTTCACTGGTCAAGGTTCTCAAGAACAAGGTATGGGTATGGACTTATACAATAGCTCTGAAGTTGCTCGTGATGTTTGGGATAGAGCTGATCGTCACTTTGTTGATAATTATGGTTTCTCTATTCTTGACATCGTTAAGAATAATCCAAATGAATTAATCATTCATTTCGGTGGTGCTAAAGGTAGAAAGATTAGAGACAATTATATGGGTATGATGTTCGAAACCATTTCTGAAGATGGTTCCATTAGATCAGAAAAAATCTTCAAAGATATCGATCATACTACTACTTCTCATACTTTCGTGTCTCCAACTGGTTTGTTATCTGCTACTCAGTTCACTCAACCTGCTTTAACCTTAATGGAAAAAGCATCTTACGAAGATATCAAATCTAAGGGTTTGGTTCCAAGTGAAATCATGTTTGCTGGTCATTCTTTGGGTGAATATTCTGCTTTATCTTCCTTAGCTAACGTTATGCCAATCGAATCATTAGTCGATGTTGTTTTCTATAGAGGTATGACTATGCAAGTTGCTGTTCCAAGAGATGACCAAGGAAGATCTAATTATGGTATGTGTGCTGTTAACCCTGCCAGAGTTAACCCAACTTTCAACGATTCCGCTTTAAGATTTGTTGTTGATGAAGTTGCTGAAAAGACTGGCTGGTTATTAGAAATTGTTAACTACAATGTTGAAAATGCCCAATATGTTACTGCTGGTGATTTGAGAGCTTTAGATACTTTGACCAATGTCTTGAACGTTATTAAATTGAATAAGATTGACATTGTCAAATTGCAAGCTACTCTTTCCTTAGATCAAGTTAGAGAACACTTGAAGGAAATTATAACCGAAGTATCTGCTCAATCTGTTGCTAAACCACAACCTATTGACTTACAAAGAGGTTTTGCTGTTATTCCATTGAAGGGTATTTCTGTTCCTTTCCACTCTTCTTACTTGATGTCTGGTGTTAAACCATTCCAAAGATTCTTATGTAAGAAGATTCCAAAATCATCTGTTAAACCAAATGATTTGATTGGTAAATACATTCCTAACTTAACTGCTAAACCATTTGAAATCACTAAGGAATACTTCCAAGAAGTTTACAACTTAACTAAATCAGAAAAAATTTTAAGCATCATCAACAATTGGGAATCCTATGAATCAGCTTAAGTTATTCATATCTCATATTAATCATTTTCCAATATAATTTTATTTTCTTCTTATCTGTTTTCTTTTTTACATATGATTCAAATATTTTTGAATCTTATTTGTTCATATATTCTATTTGGGGTTCTAATTTCAAAAATGGATTTCTGAATTATTTTTAGGTACGTGGTACTATCTGAATATTAATTCTATCCATTTGATTTTATTTAAATACTTATATAGGCTTTCAATAATATAATTATTAATATAATTTTGTTCTGTAGCTATCAGAGTTATTAAATTTTTTTTTTTTTTTCTATAAACTATTCATTACAAGTTGTTGAGGCAAATTTCTATTAAATCGAAGTAAATACAAGCATTAATAAATAAAATAAAAAAGAAGCTTTACAAATGAAGAAAACATAAAAACATATTAAATTCCAGTGGCCAAGGGACTTGAGATATTCACAGGAGTAAACTTTTTTGGTAATGAAACTCTTGTGAATCTTGATTTCAATCTTTGAGTGACCAAATCCATATCAAGATGTCTTGTCAAGCTAATACGAGGAATACAGCCAATGTAGTGGTCATCATCTAATTGAACATCCAAAGGATCCTGAGTATGACAGCCAGGTGACAAAGACAATCTAATGGAGTGTTTTTTACCAGTTGGACTATTTGCATCACCAGACTCGTATAATTCGAATACAATTTGTGACAAATAGTCCAATTCAGGTAAAGCATTTCTTGCAATTTTCATTGGTATTTGGGATTCGTAAATGACATTTAATAAGGTGTAGATGTGCGATTCTTTAGTGAAGTAGTTAACAACGGCAGCAGTGTCGTGTTTCTTCATATCCTGAATATCAGAAAGGATTTGTTTAGCCAATGGTAACGAAGTCAACAATCCAATATCAAGCTTTTCTTCATCTTTGATACCATATTCTTGTGGACATATAAAATCAAATAGAACCTTGGATAACCTATACAATTCTCTCAATCTAGCAAAGGTAGGATGGTCAAATGGATTATTTGAAGAATTTTTAGAGCTAGAAGTCTTTTTATGAGTATTTGAATCATTATTTGAGGAAGAATCATTAATTGTGGAAGTAGCATCCTTCAAAACCCAACCCAAAGAACCAGCAGAGATTGGAGTACTAGAAGATGTAATACTAGCCAAGTTATTGGTGGAATTAGACCCAGAATGGGTAGAACTGTTGTTTCCAGAGGTGGTCGTTGATTCATTAGGAATCTTAAAATTGTTCATTGCTAAAATATTAATTGGATATTCGCTGACTAAACCTGAAGAGTTGATAGTGTTACCACACGTTTCACTTAATTTAGAAATCAAAGCTTCATCATTTGGGTCAAACGAAAACACCCGTTGCAAGAATTGACGGTTGTGCAAAGCGTCATATTTCATTGTATCGTACAATTCTGAAATCTTGGAAGGATGTGTTTTCTCAACAGTTGTAAATTCTTGAAATAATTTATCCCATCTTTCTTTGAATAACATTGGATCTTCACCACAGCACCATGATTTTTGAAATTCTTCAACATCATATTTATCGAAATTATACTGCATAATTTGTTGATGGAAATTCATTAATTCGCAGACTCTTTTAATGACAACAAAAGGTTCTGGCATTTTCGGTGGCCAGGTAAATTGGGGAGGAGCTTCAGCGCCTTGTCTTAACAAAGGCTTTAACTTCTTTTTAACTTTATCCATTAAATCTTTAGCAGCATTCGAATCATCCAACAAATCTTTCCTGATGATAAGAAAGTCATCAGGTAATGTTTCATGTTCTTTCTCTAAACCTAGTAATGCCATTGTTGATAATTGAGCACTAGTAATCACTCTTCTTTCAGAAGAAGTGAAAACTTTAACATCTTGCAAGGCATTTCTGTTTAACAATTTAATGTTCTGTCTGAGCTGTTCACCAACATCACTAGCTTGATGTTTGGCAGAATGAGTAGGCTCACCACCCCATTTCAAGATTAATTGAACTTTTTCTACCACTTCAGGATTTTCTTTATTCAAGGCAGGCTTCAATTGAATTTTTGTACCAGGGAAATTCATTTTCTTCTCTAACGCACCTCTTAATTGTTTTAATTTTTTCAAATCTTCCAATTCTTTTTCATAAGCGATTTTCACAGTTTCTAAAACCACTTGCAAATCAGGCACTGCACGGATAATAACTTCTTCTTTATGCCCTTTCAATAAGGAAATGAAAAGAGGGGATCTAAATGAATACTTGAATTTTTGTTTTGGGGTACGATCGGCATGTCTGATAACTGAAACCAAACCTTTAAAGACCCATTTCTGTTCCTTTTCTTCGAATTGACTCTTATGTAATAATTGGGACAGACGAGGAATTTTAGTTTTTAACAAATCACGAGACTTTTTGGCTTCAATGAAAAGGTTTCTTAAAATCGAAGCACAAGAGTCATAATATTCATTATTGTCTTTGACAAAAGAAAACCCATTGACATCAATGACGTAAGATTCTCCATTAACTCTCAATAAGTCGAAACCACAAATGGTTTGTTTGAAAATTTTACTAACATTTTGAGCCATCGTAGTTTCATGTTCTGATAATTCAGTGATGAATCTTATTTCTTTACCATGGGTATTACGCCTAACGATACCATCAACGACTGGAGATTTACGAGTTTCTGCGTGACAAAAGTTAGGACCAACAGTATATGCTTTGACATCTTCAAAATTATCAGTATCCATGAATTTTTCGTATATGAAAGACCCTTCAGTCCTTGGAGTAGTTAACTCAGGATCAAATTCAGAGGATTTATTGCCAATTTTACGGAATAAACGACGTCCACCTCCACCGGTTGATTTTGGATAATAGATATACACGTTGTGGTCTTCACCATCAACTGGTTTTTCAACAAAAGGTTTTTTCATAATTTCACCTTCCACACATAAGGTATCATCGTCCAACATCTCCCAATTAGGCTCCAGTTGATTAGTTAATTTGTGTAATTGATGTTCAGTCATGCCAACTTCTTTCAATTTATCCCATAATTGATTATCGAGGTGAGGACCACCATCTCGACTAATTTCCAATCTTTGAGGAGTAGGAACATTTGCATGATTAAGTATCGATAAAACCAATCTTCTATCCCATAAACATTTTTGAAGTACCAAATCATTAATAATATAGGGTTTACGATAATTAACATAAGAAATTGCTTTATCTAAAGGAAACCCAGTTGAGAAAAAACTAACCAAAAAGTCACAAGTAGGCCAATTTTCAATTGATTCATCTAAGATGACTTTATCACCAAAAATAATTGTTTCAAACTCACCATTTTCAATTAATCGATTTAAAATTCTTCTACAAGGTTTTGACATAACTTTAGCATCCATTGCGCAAACACCAATCTTACCAATTTTAGGTAAAGCCGGACCTTCTGGTTCTTTATGAATTGAAATTGATTTTCTTGAAGTATTTGAGGAATTTGAAATAGTTTTATGTAATTTGGATAAACTATTATAACCATTATCAGGGGTAAAAGTTGTTATAGAAGACAATGAATTAGCTCTTGAATTTGATTTCGCTTTCAAACTAGCTTCATTTGTAGTCAAATTATCAGCAGTCAATGCGTTTTGATTCTCGTTAGGAGAAAGATAATTTGATGAATCACCCAAACTAATCGAAGTTCCTGGGGATGGACCCGAAGGAGTTGGCGCCGCGGTATTTGGAGAAGTATTTAACTTGTTACTAATACCATCTTTTGATTCTTCAGCACTGGTTTTAGGAGCAAAACTTTCCAACATTGGTGCTAATGAAGCAATTGCCTTTTCTGTTGCTGGTGAGCTTGAAGTTAAATCTGTAGCAGTAGAAGAAGAATCAGCATCGTTCTTAATAGTTAAACGATCAACGTCATCATCGTCAGCCCCATTTTTACCCTCATCTTTATCCAAAAATTGTCCTGGAGGATGCTCATCGATAACCGAATATTTAGACGCTGATAATGATAATGGTGACATTGGTTGACTTATTTTATGTTGTAAAGACAGTCCAATCAGCGGCCTCTTGGATGGAGTACTAGATGTATTATTACTAGAAGGAATAGAATCCGAACTTGGTGGGTTCTTAGTATTATCCAAAGAGTCAACTGATGGTATTGGAATCGGTAACGATTTATCTTTACCCGGCAATTGATTACTATTTCCAGGCATCTTGGTCTAATTAATTCAACTTTATACAACCGTGGGTTGGCCAACGGACAAGCACTGTTAACAACGATGCCTTAAACAAGAATAAACAATAATAAACCAATAATAAAACTGGACCCTGTAATTACCCAATGATACAATTCGGTAACGAAGTTAATTTTTGTTCTATCAACAGTTAAACTGTCAAAGAAGTTTTGGATAATAAATTAACCTGAAAAATACGATTTAAGGCAGTTTCTTCCTATTGTGATAAAATGAGGGCGTTGCATGCAGTTTTAGAGCAATCGGCACGTGGGGGCACTACTTGATGTACGGGTGTGTTGGTGATGGACCGGATGTGTGATTTTCTTTTATATGTACGGATGTTTTAAGGATGTAACCATTATCAAAACAAGCACCAACCATAAGACTGGCTGCAAAACAAGTAAAACACCTGTTAGGGTTTGAATAGAGGGTCTAAAATTGATATTCCAACGCTCCGTTAGTAACCATTCCTAAGGACCAAGCCAAGGCATGATCGAGAATGGGTCCTGCAATCCGAGTGATTGCATCGTTGGTTTGAGAGAAACTACAAGAGGTAACCAAAGGGATTGATATATTCTTGCCGGAGCAGATAACAAGAGCAGAAGAACAAAAGAAAATAAACCAAGAATGAAATGAAATAAATAAAGGAGTGAAACGATTATTCGATTGCAGCTAAAGAGTCAAATAAAACCGAAATCGATTCACCAAAGTGATCTCTTCTGATACATTCAGCAAAAATAGGAGAAACGTCTATGACGACCAACTTCGAATTTTTTTCAATTCTTTCACGACCAATTGGATAGGTGTTAGTGACGACGATTTTATCGATACATTTAGAATGATTAAGGGTTTCTAAACATTCATCACTGAAAATACCATGGGTACCAACAACGTAAACCGCTTTAGCACCACAATTCAAGCGTAAATGTTCGGCGGCTGCAATGAAAGAATTTGGTTTATCAATCATATCATCTAAGATAATGGCAACTTTATTATTAACATCCCCAACTAAAGTGATTAATTTTTCTTGAGCGAAACTAGAAGATTCATCATCATCATCATCATCACTATTAGCAGCGTCGTATGAGCCACCCAAAGCATCACTGTCTAAAATCGAAGTAGATTCTAAATGTTTAGTGGTACCATTAGTAACTGGAGTTTGAGGTACTGGATAATCATCATCAACAACATGACCTTGAACAATTCTAGCAGTTTGCATTTCTGAAACAATATTATCTTCTTCTTCATCATCATCATTATTTGAAGATTTTTTAGAATTTTGATGACTGTTTTTGGAAGATTTTAATGCTTTCTTCTTTGAATAGTCATCTTGAGTACGACGACGATCGGTATGAATCATAGCAAAATTGATTTTAAGAGAATCAGCTAAAGCAGTGACTCTTTTAGTACCACCAGGATTCTTAGAAACAACAACTGCATTTTCCCAATCCGGTATATTATGACGAATCCATCTGGCTAAAGTGGGTGCACCAAATAAATTATCAACTGGTTTAGTGAAAAAACCTTGCATTTGGGAAGCATGTAAATCCATTGAAACAACATGATCAGCACCAGCCATAATCAATAAATTAGCCAACATTCTAGCAGTAATAGCACCTCTATGTTTTTTCATTTTGGATTGTTTGGAATATGGAAATTGAGGAATAACAGCCGTAATTTTAGATGCTGATCCTCCACGACATGCAGATATTAAAATAAGTAATTCCATGATATGATCGTTAATCTGTGGTGATCCGGATTGAATAATATAAACATCTTCATCTCTAATTGATACACCGATTTGTACGGAGGTTTCTCCATTGGAAAATTTCTTTAAAGTACATGGAGCAGGTTCAACCCCTAAACGGTCGCAAACCAAGTGGCCCAATTCTGGATGGGATGAACCAACAAAAACTTTACACTTACGCATTTTGGAATTGCTGCAATAGGGTAATTTTGATACTGGACGACTTATATCAGTTCCAGATGTTTGAACGTTTAGTTGTTTTAAAGAAGCGACCGGAGAAGCAACCGAATCAACGTTGTTTGATACTGGATTAGTCACCTTGAAATTGGAACAAAAAACACTGAAGTCAAGATAAAAATATCAAATTATATAAATTCAATATTCTGTTAATTTGCTAATTACTTCAAAAAAAGGTAAAAAAGAAGAAAACGAAGAAAGCAAAAGCAATTGAATGAAAGGAATATTTCTAACCTGTGAGTTATTCAGAAGATAATGGTCAAGTATATAGATCAACTAATGATTATAAATAGATCATCATCCTGGAAAAGGAGGAAAGGAGGAAAAGAAGTCAGCAGCTTAAAGAGAAAATTCTTTCTAATTGAAAGCTTTAATCGCACTCTGCTCTTCGCTTCATTTTGAAAAATTTATTGGACCAGCGCACTACTTCTGACTCGTCCGCGGAGGTTCCAATAGATTTTATTGAAAAACAGGCTGCTTTATGCTGGGACCTTTGGCTGCTAAAACATCATTGGAATGGATGAAACTACAGTCACCAAGCTCGAGAAGTACCAGGAGATAATACGGGAGTCGAGTATCTTGAAAAAAACTTTTGAGTTAATCGATAAGTTCAATAGGGAACAAATCGCGTTTAAGCGGATACGATGTTTGGCACTTGGGTCACCGGTTGAGACTAAGATTGCATTGTTCCAACTAGCGTACTTGATTGAAATACAACTTGAGTACTCAGTAGAACCAGAAAATGTATCATTGTACGACCCAGTTTTCAATAAAGATGATAAGAGGCTTTTAAAGGAACATTTGGGGTATGAAATTGACCAGACATACGAGATAGAAGAGCCATGTATAAAAGAAACCATATTCTTCCTACCCCATGCGGGACTTGATATTACAGACGGTTTAATAGAAGAAACAAAACCCCAATGGATGATAGGAAATGACTTGGTCAGTCATACTGAACGATTGAGTAAACAAAAATTATATGAGACTTACCGAAATTTGGCTTACTTAGTTAAGCTTATTGAAGATTCAAATCATAATCAAATAGATGATGGGTTTACTAGCGTGAAGCCAAAATCTAAGAGAAACAGAAAGAATAAATACGTATTCAAAGAACCCGAATTAGTTTACGATTTCAGTAAGGTTTATTTTGATAAGGTGCTACATGAAAAATTACCTTCGGACGATGGAGTTTGGGGAAATGCATTCACTGATTTGACAGTTCATCATATAAAGTCCAAAACTGAGCAAAATCAAATTGATGATTTGGAGCAAGGTTTACATCAACTTAAAGTTTAAAGCTTTACAGAAGGGTATAGATAATATTTACATGTATAATAACTTATTTATTATTGTAATCGTTGTTTTTTCATGATTGGTTCTTCCAAGACTCGACCACCATTTTGCTCTTGAGGTAGTATTAAACTTTGTTGGGGAGGTCCTTGTAGTAAGGTTAAATCCACTTCGTTTTTCACCGAAGGAGAAACTGCAGAACCACCGGAATTTCCGTTACCATTAATACCATCATTCATTGCGTTAGCAGCAGCAGCAGCGGCCGCGGCAGCGGCGGCCGCGGAGGCAGAATTAGGATCTAATGTTGTAGCAGCAGGAGTAACGTTTTGTCCTGTTGGAGTAACTGAAGGAGCAGTTACGGTAGTAGGAGGAGCCGGTTGAGAACCTGGAGTTGGAGCCGGTTGATTAGGTTGAGAGTTTGAAGGGGCACCACTAATAGAATTGGAATGAGGATCAATAGCAGTAAGTAAATGCTTACTTAAAATCAGGTATAAATCGTCCTTTGTAAAAGGTTTTGCTAAGATATCCGACATACCATTTTGTAGATAAGTAACCAAATCGTTATCTTCAATATTACCAGTCATGGCAATGATGGGAGTTCTGGTATCAAAGCTACGGATGACAGAGGTTGCAGTTGCACCATCCAAATTGGGCATAACGATATCCATTAAAACCAAATCGTATTTGGTATGTTCGACAGTAGAAATAGCGTTTAAACCATCAGTCACCACAGTTACTTGACAACCATATTTAACCAAAAATTTACGACATAATTGAATACAGACATTATCATCTTCAACCAAAAGGACATGGAATTTTGGATTGGGTAAATTAGTGGTGCTTACTTGAGGTAAATCAGTTGTTGATAATTGTGCGGTTGAGCTATCGGAAGCCGGTCCCGTAATAGTTGGTACTGAAGCCGGGCCATTATTATTATTGTGATTATTATTATGATTGTTATTATTATTGTGATTGTTGTTATTAGTGGAGGAAGAATGGTTAGGATCATTAGAATTTGCCGAAGGATTTCGAGGAGACAGATGATTAGGTAAAGTAGATGGCAGGCCATGAGTAGAATTCACCAATTGTTGAGGAGATAAGGGAGCCGGACTCATATTACCATTTGAAGGGGGAGTAGGACGGCCGGTTAAAGGATGGGAATGAGAAGATTGACGATTATGATATTGATGTTGGTGATGCAGTTGGTGATCATAATTGGGACTCTGTAGGGGATGGGTTGAAGATAAGTGAGACAAAGAGTTGGAATGGGAATGAGGTTGGGAAGAATGATTTGAAGTATTATTTTGATTTGTTGAAGGAGGAGGACCTTGCATTGAAACCAAGTTTGGATTTGGGAAATCAAGAGGCGGTAGTTTAATACCGGCTTGAATTAAACAATGAATTAATAAATTCATCGAACGATGATAACGTTCGTCAAAAGATTTGATAGCCACGATGTTTTCAATTAAGGTTTTATATTTGGTATTGATAATTGAAATATCTTGATGTAATGCTTTATTTTCAAGTTTAAGGGAATTTATTTCATCTTTTAAATTTTGGAAATTTTGACCTGATTGATTTTGGGTTTGAATGAATAACGGATCAGTTGCTAACAAATAAGAAGAAGATCCTTGATTCGAACCTTGTACATTGGTTAAATATTGATTTTGATTACTTGGATTGGTAATGATATGATTATTATTTAATTTTGATTTATTGCTTGGTCCTTTTCTTTTAATATTTTCTAAAGCTTCTCGATCGTTATATCTAAAATCAGGATGTTTAAATTCCCAAGCATCTTCTCCATATTGGTAATTCTGTTTTTCTTCATTTGGTATTTTAACTTTATGGAAATCATATTTATTTAATTGACGAACAAAACTAGCAAAATTACTGTGTTTAAAATGTTTTGGTAATATATCTTTGGTGAATTCATTGGTATTCAACACAACAAAACTATCTCCATTGGTGGTCCATCTAACAACATCTTTATAGCTATCTTCTTGTAGCATTTGAAATAGTTTTTTAACAAAATCATTCGATCCACTTTGATTAGATGAAGCAGTCGATGAACTTTTTATCCTTGATGGATCTTCCTCTTGTCGATTCACCATCTTCATTTATATCAAGACAAAGTTATATCGATGATACCAAAGTAGTAGGGATAACGTAATTTAGAATTTCACTCGAAGGGTCCCAAACTAGAAAAGAAAAAAAATTTACCTAACAAACCAAAAAAAAAAAAAAAATTCGAAAAAAAGAGCGAAATAGTAGGAGAAATTAAAAGGGAGAGTATCCAATTTTATCAGTAATATTAGCAACAAGGGGCGCAGAATCGAGTGGGTTACCAATGGAATATAGAATTCTCTGCCAATTATCGATTGCTTACCAAAATATTCCGTCAGCCTACTAACTTGCACTTGAAAAGGAGAAAGAAAGGCTAGCAAAATCTAACTAAAAAAGAAAAAAAAGATTAACTGGAGAATATTAGCAGTGTTTTCCTACTCTTGTTGTTTGAAAAGTATCTCGTTTTTTTTTTTTAGCAATTTTTTTTTTGTTTTGTTAAGCGGTTTTTTTGTTTTGTTAGGCGGATTTTTCTTTCTTTTGTAATTCACTGTTCCTTATTATTAGACTTGTCTTATTGTTAGAAATATTCTTTGTACTAAACTTGACAAACACTATCTAGATAACTTATGTGTATGACAGTAGTGTCAGCACTATCCGAGAAGAAGAGAACGAAAAAGGTCTGGCAAATAGAGCTGATGAGAAGTGATTTCTTGCTATTAATATAAAGTAATCGTTCTATAAATATCAGGTTAACAGTTAACGGTTTTCTACCCTACGAAAATTGCAGTTGTTAACTGATTTTGGTGAGAAATCTTGAAAGCGACAAAAGACCGTGGTCTAGACTCGCTGAGCAAGGACACGTACACCACAATAAGGTTTTCTGGTGGGGGCACGTCGACGCATTCTTTTAAATTTTTTTTTTTTTTTTTTTTTGGCTTCTATTAATTCCGGTTCTTTACACCCGTGCACATCACCAAAACTACATCCATCTCTTTTGCAACCATGAAGGATAAACCGTCGTTGTTCGTCCAGCCAGACTTCTACGGGGTGTATGTGTTGCAGCTGCAGCCGAAGCCGCGGTCGTTCTACATTGGGTCGACGCCAGACCCGGTGCGCCGGTTGAAACAGCACAACACCCAGACCAGCGGCGGCGCTTATCGAACCAAAAAGGTTGATAAACAACCTTGGGACATGATTATACTATGTCATGGCTTCCCATCACACGTAAGTGCTTTACAGTTTGAGCATGCGCTACAGCATCCCTATCAGACCAGGCACATCCGGGAGAAGATCACCAAGACGAAACTGGGGGCGAACTCTATTCATCATAAACTAGGTAATATCAGATTATTATTGAAATCAGTTTTTTTTGCTAAGATGGATTTATCAATCTTGATATTCAATGACGATACTTACCATAACTGGAGATTGAATAAGTTTGGAGTTCATGTGGAGAACAGCGTCCAATTAACCAATTTCAATCATTTTTTCAACCTCAAACTAGAAAAATCATTATTTAATCAAGCTAAAAATTATTTAATTTCAAAGTCAGTGGTCAAGTGTGAAATTTGTCAAGTTGATTTTGAATTCATTCCGAATCTTGAATGTGATCGCTTAACAAAAGATCTGTTGAATTCCATTCTTATTCATAACGTGGTACCATTAATTGCATTTTGTGATCATTGTTCCTCTTGTTTCCACCTAACTTGTCTTGCTTTAAAGTTCACTTCCGATTTGATTCCTTCAATTTGGAATAACTGTCCAACTTGTAACGCCAGGCTTAACTGGCCCTCATTATCTAAACTAGCTACTCAATTAAGAGCTTACATCTTACAAGATTTCGTACATTTAAAATTGTCTCAATCAAATTAGAAATTTACTTATAATTCGTCATGTCTTATCGTCTTGTCCCAGATGATTTCCCAGTCATTATTGATTTGTAATTCTGGTTTCTTAATAATAACATTCTTGCCCTGTTTTTCAACTTGAATTGATTTAATTGTGGTACCTTGTTTAATCTCTCCTTGTGCAACACTTCCTCCTAAAATGACGATTTTTTCAATCATTACATCTTCAATGCTATCTTGGTACCTCTTACTACCAGTGTTTACTCTGGCTTTCAATCCTTGTTTCAAATCAAAGTTGAAATTAACAGCAACAAACTCTCCTGATTCATAGCCAAATGATTCTCCATCATCAATATATAATTGTCCTTGTGCTTTCCCTTCTTTATTAGGAGCAATGTATAATGTGTATGGATCGCGATACATCAATTTAGATGAACGACGATATCTATCTTTAGTAGCGATGATTGAACCTCCTTTAAATAACATTGGAATATCCTTTAATTCAACATCAAATTGGGTTTCAGCCGGTTTTTTCAATTGAACGGTTTCCTGACTAGGTTTACCGTTGAAAAATTTATAATATATTTCATCATCGGGTATGTAAACCGTCACTTCATCAACTCCTTCATCGGTAACCGGTTTAATTAAAAGTCCCGAATCTCCCAAATAAAATTGATCCTCAATAGAATAAACTTGTTCATTTTCAGGATTTTCATAATACATAGGTTTAATAACTGGATTTCCGGAAATACTATGTCTTTGGAATTCAGTATAGAAAACGGATAATAAGGAATATCTTAATTGAATGGCTTCTCTCATATGATCAGTGTATTCACCTCCTGCTACCCATGGTTCACGTCTACGAGAATCAATATGGGCATGAGCTCTGAAAAATGGATACCAGATCCCAACTTGATACCATCTGGTTAATAACTCTTTCAGTGGATTACCGAAAAATCCACCAACATCAGCACCTGCAAATGGCATTCCAGCTATATTTGATGTTAAAACCATTGGAATCAGAATTTTTAAATATTCCCATTTAGACATGTTATCACCAGTCCACATGGCAGCAGTACGTTGAGATCCAGTAAAGTATGATCTGGTTAAAATAAATGGTCTTTGTCTTGATGTTCCACTCAATCTCTTAATTAAAGAATCATAAGTTGATTCATGGAAACTTAAACCAAATGAATTATGGATCGAGCGATGTTCCCAATTACCATAATGCAAATTATCTTTAGGAGAAGAGGTTTCTGGACCATCGAAAACAGAAGGTTCATTCATGTCATTCCATAAGTGAATATTAGTTGATAATTCACCAAAAAATTTATTTGATTTTGATAATCTATGTTTATCATCCCAATAACTTTGAGAATTTGGATTCATTGAATCAATCCAAACCGATTCACCAGGCCAGCAATGTCCATGATAGGTTTGATTTTTATTTGGTTCATTAATTGTGATTTTTTTACTAATTAACTCATCACTTACAAAATAACCAGTCTTAATATGAGGATCAATAATTATGACCAAGTTACGACCAGTGTGGTCTAAACTATTCAACATTCTAGCTGGATCAGGGAAGTTTTCTGGTTGCCAAGTAAAGTAACGTTTTTTATCAGCGTATTCAATATCAAGCCAGATAGTATCATAAGGAATTTGAAATTGATCAAATTTAGAATTGATATCGAGTACATCTTTCTCATCATTATAGTTCCAACGACATTGATGATACCCCAAAGAAAATAATTGAGGCAAGGTGGCATATCCAGAAACTGAACCATATTGTTTATTCAAATCATTTGGTTTTTCACCAATCATGATCATGAAATCAATAATACCATTTTCTGAAATCCAGTGGGTTGATATTTCTTTTGGATTTTGCTTATTGATATCAATAAAAGTATCAGCACTGTTGATCCAATATACCCCGATTGACACTCGAGGTTTAGTCGCGGTAAGAAAAGGAATTGATCCATATAATGGCATACGGCTATGAGTTTCATATTCGAAAATATCAACGTTATATAACCGGTATGGTAAAGCGGAATTGGTGGTATCGACCAAACTTAACGAATCAGCGTGTTCTGGAATACCGTATACATGTTTAAATTGTTTAAAATTGAAATCCAAACCAATTGATTCTGGTCCCAATGGGAATTGATCATTTTTAGAATCAGTGAAGTCATCTTTGAACATGTTATAATCAATTTCGTATTTGCTTAAATGCTTTGACTTATCGTCATTAATATTTCTATAATGTTCAATATTGAAAAACTGTTTATCATTGACCACCAATTGTTCTTCATCTTGATACAAAACCGCCAATTTAATCGGCTTGAAGTCCAATACTGCCTTGTATTGTCTTGCATCACCATACTTGATTATCAATTGTGATTCATTCAAAATATACTCAACATTACCAATCAATTCCTTATTCAAAGCAGTTTTAGCAAATGCCCATTTGGATGTCTCGTTATACCTTCTATGATTAACATACTTTGACCGAACTCCTTCTAAACTTCCGTCTCTTCCTTCCTCATCAACTTTGAACCTCAAAATATTCCCTTCAATTAGAGATAACTTCAATGGGAAATTCCTGGTAGACTCATCTGGTAATACCTTTATTATATTTGCATCAAAATCAACCGTACCCCCAGCTTCATCAATCCTAATACTTGATGCATCAATCTGGTAAGGCGACTCAAAATTGTATTGATCCTTCACTATATTTCGACCCAATTCCCGATTTCTTTTACAAAACCCCGAGTTTTCGCAAGTCTTGAATAAGTATTCTTTAACAGCAAGACATATAGAAAGATAATATGTCAAACCAACAAGTATGGAAGCAAAATACATTTTGCATCTAATAGCCAATTGACCTCTTTATTAAGTAATTGCCCTATCAATCCACCTATACAGTTATCAGATCACTAATGGCTACGTATTCGCTGCACTGCTACAAGATTTTTTTTTTCAATTCTCCATATTTTACAAGATGCGACATTGCACGTCTTCTTAATCACCTTTTTTTGATTTTTTCCTTTTCCTCCCACTATCATTTTTTTCTCTTTTAAATTCTGGCGGCAACCCTCTGTTCTTCACCACTCGAGGATGTTTGGAAGCCACGCTTACCTGCTTGTGGACGGTTGAGCCTGTGCACTTGCTGATTCTGGTTGTTGCTTATTGATTTTGAAATTGGGTCGGGTTGGGGTTTGGTGCCAGATAACTGGTTAGCCGCCCTCTGAGATCCATGCTGCTGAAGAATGTGATTTTTTTATCTTTTTTTTTAGTGCAGATTCAGCTGGTTGGAGGGCCCATGGCGGTATTCACTAGCCACCAGCTGCATATATCCATAGCTGCTTAGTTAATGATGATTGGGGTGTTGGTTGTATTAGTAAAGGTTATCAAGAAGGTCGTGTGCTAGTGGTCAAAAAGAAGACTCACACTAGAAAGAAGAGGAGGGAGAAAAAAAACAAGACATACAACGAAAGAAACAGAAAAAAAAGTAAAAGAGAGCTACATGTTTCTTTTCTGAATCTCCGATTATATCCAGGTTGTCGAGTGTATTCTAATTACTAGGGTATACAAGTTCAGAGGTGGTTTGTATCTGGTCTGCTTTGATTTAAGTTGGTATCTGGTTTGCTTTGATTGGTATCTGGTTTTCTTTGAGATAAGTTTAGTCTGAATCTTTGAAGTTTATTTTTTAATTTTATTAGATATACTTTTATTACAGGATACTCGCAGAGATGAGTGGAGAGATTGATCGTAAGAGGTCATTTGACGGCGACGAATCTGCACTGAAGAGATTTGAAAAATCCAAAGAACCGTTATCTAAATTAAGTGAAGATGGACCATTAACCCAGAATGATGTTATTTATTTTCAAAAAGAAGCTATTTGGAGACAAATGAATCATTATAAACAACAGACAAATATGCTTATTAAGGATGTTAATTTCTATAAATTAAATTATGAAGCCACTGAAAGTAAAATTAATATCATTGATAGTTGGTACGAACAAATAATTAAATTATTTGGTATTGCCGATAAAGATAATGAAGGGGTGGAAGATGACGACTTAATTTTGATAAGGTTAAATAATCAATCAACCACCAGTATAAATTATCAATTAGATAAAAGAAGAGAATATTTGATTAAATTATTAAAACCAATAATTGAAAATAGTAAGATATCAAATATTGAATCTAAAGATTTAATTAATAAATATGAAAAGTTGAATCAAGAATTCAATTGGATTAAATCCGAAAAGGAAACATTATCCAAAATGAAGAATGATTTAGAAAATAGGCTAGAGTCTTTACAGGAAGAATTACTTGTTATACACAAGGAACGAGAACGCAAGAATAGCAAGACTTTAAAACGAGTTGATGAGAGTTTAGTGAAAGAGGAAGAAACACAATCCAATGGGCATTCCGAAATAAAGAAGGAGGAGGAGAAGGTTAAAGAAGAGGAGCCAATAAAGGAAGAGATCAATAAAGAAGAGGTTGAAAAATTAAGTGTTGAAATTAAAGAATTACAAGCCGTTAATCAAGTTTTGAGTAAACAATTGAGTGAAATCAACCATAAGATTGAAGAAAGCGAACAAGAGAAGGACCAAATGAAGAATCGATTAAACAACTTATCGGAGGAAGAATTAAAGAGAAGTAATATATATATTGAGATGGTTGAACGGAATAATAAGTTGAATGACGATTTGAGTGAGGCTAATAAATTAAAGGATGGTCTTATTAAAAAGATTGAAGAATTAGAAAATGGTCAAGGAGAATATTCCAAGATGATGAATTCCCAAGTGATTGAAGAAAATGAACAATTGAAGAATCAATTAAATAAAAGTGAACAAGATTTGGTTAGAATCCGAACCACTCGAGATGAATTAATATCGAAACAAACGATATTAAAACAAGAGATTGATAATAAACAAACCAATGAAGAATTGAATAAATTAAATAAAGTATTAAGTGATCAAATTACAACATTACAAGAACAAAAGGAAGAAAGAAGCGGGGGTGGAATCTATGAAAATTTAGATAAAGAAGAATTAATAAAACGAATCAATGGATTAAATAATGAAATTAAAGAAATTGAAATGGCATTTCAACAAAGTCGAGAAATTAGTATTAAGAAGTTTGACCAACTAATTGAACACGATAATCTAATCAAAAAGTTGAGTATTGAAAAAACTAAAGCCGATCAAAAATATTTTGCATCCATGAGATCAAAGGATTCATTAACTAATGAAAATAAAGTTTTAAAGAGTCAATTAGTGAAACTGCAAGAATTGATTAAAAATTTAAACGAAGTTGAAAAAAATTACTTAAACAAAATTGAAATATTGACTAAATCAATAAATGATTATAAAATGATAAAAGAAGGATCAATTCAAGAAAATAGTAATTTACAAGAATTGGTTAAAATTACTAATTTAAAATATAAAAATATCGAAACTGAATATGAAAAAATTCAATTAGAATTAAGTCAATTTAAACAAAAAAATCATTCTTGTGAAACTACTCTAAAACAAAACGAAATCCAAATTAATAAATTAGAGTCAAAATTAAAACAAGTTGAAAACTTGTTGGATAAATATAAATCCAATAACACTTCAAGCTTATTACAAGAAGATGAAAAACAATTAGAAGCTTTAAGATCAATTGCAAAATGCTCAGTTTGTTCCAAAAATTGGAAAGATACCGCAATTACCGTTTGTGGCCATGTGTTTTGCCAATCTTGCACCCAGGAAAGATTAGCTGCAAGATTGAGAAGATGTCCTTCTTGTAACAAAGGGTTTTCTGCAAATGATTTACTATCAATTCACTTATGATTTTGTATTAATATCTATATCAATATCTATAGAATGTATTATATTATCTTATCCTTATCGTAGCCAGCGCGAACCAGCAAAAAATCCAAAAAAGAATCGCTTTTACGGGTTGGCTTGCTTATTGTCGGGTTTTTGCAGGTTCGCCGGGGGGCAAGCGACGTGTCCACACTTTCCCAGGCCGCTGGCCAATCAGCGTGCGAGTTGGCGTAGCATCTTTTGCAGGTTGAGCTGGCGGTTACCCGGATGCTCAGCAAAACAGAAAAAAAAAACCAGCGCTTCTTCACTTTTTAACAACTACTCCAATTGCCACTTCCCACTTTCATCAGTAGATACCATTAATCCACCTACGGTACACCTATAATACATCTACCGTAGACCATGATAGTAGAAACCACGGTACCCTATACCAACAGTACATCGCCAGTTTGTTTACAATAAAATACTAACAATACCTAGAGCTAGCAGGTCGTGTGCCAGTGCTGGCGGTAACCTGTAAAAATTACATGACCCGACAATTTCATTCGCAGAAAAGTCCATTTTGCAAAGAGTATATAAATAAACACCCATTTCCTCAGCAGTTTTGCCTCTGCCCAAAACAAACAAACAAACAAAGCAAAAAAAAAAATACCTTAGACAAAGTAAAAGGTCCCAAAAACACAAAAAGGGAAATATTACTGGGAATCCTCTTCTTTTCTTTTTTTTTTGCAGTCACTTGATTACTTTTTCATTTGTTATTTTGTTATTTTGTTGTTTTTGTTAATTGTTCTGTACTAGCCGTTCCTTTGTCCCTATTGGTCTCCTTCAGTGATTGATCATTGTCGAGCTTCACAAGCCAATAGAATATAGGAGAAGCAATATTAGAAAGGACAGAAAAAAGAAGAAGCAGAAGAGCAAAAAAAAATTGTTATATTTAAATCTGTTCCTTTTCGCACTGTTTTTCTTTTTTTTTTTTCGTTTTTGCCTCTTTCCTGCTTGTTTTTACAGTTTGCCCCTTCTTTTTTTGCAGGTTTGCAGTTTCTTCTCGCCAAGATAGACCCGTACATATTATCCTATGGCTGAAGAAGTTAATTCAGCGGCCACTCCCGCTGCTGCCGGTCCAGAAACTAATACTCCAGTGCAAACGCCGTCTTCCGACAATTTCTTTGAAAAAGGTGGAAATCCAACTGAAGTAAACGATGCTGCTCCGCAAAATGAACCAGAAAAACCATTGTCACCTCCTAACCCTTCTCCAAGTCCTGAAAAACATAAACTAGAGGACGATGAACATGAACAAGAAGCTAAGAAACAAAAGACTGAGGAAGATATAAAACATGAAGATGATGAACCAAAACAAGCTGCGGATGCATCGTTACCTCAATTTAGTGAGCCAGCTCCAAAACCTCCAATGGAACCAGATATGAATAATTTACCTTCAAATCCAATGCCAAAACATCAAACCAAATATGCTCTTAATACTATCAAAGTTATCAAACGCTTAAGAGATGCCAATCCTTTTTTACAACCGGTTGACACTGTCAAATTGAATATTCCCTTTTATTATAATTATATTCAAAGACCAATGGATTTATCTACCATTGAACGTAAGTTGAATGCAAATGCTTACGAAGAGCCAACTCAGGTTGTGGATGATTTTAATTTAATGGTTAATAATTGTCGCAAATTTAATGGTGAAGCAGCATCTATATCTAAAATGGCTCTTAATATTCAAGCCCAATTTGAGAAACATATGTTAAACATGCCTCCTAAAATCTTACCAAATAATGGTGAGGGTTCAAAATCAGCTGTTCCTCTCAATTCAAGAAGAAGAGCTATTGTTGTTGATTCTGAATCTAAAAAGGAATCAGTTGCTGCTCAAAGACCAAAACGTACTATTCATCCTCCAAAATCAAAAGAATTACCTTATGATGTAAGACCTAGAAAAAAGAAATTTGCTGCTGAATTAAGATATTGTAATCAAACCATTAAAGAATTAACATCAAAGAAACATTATAATTATAACTTTCCATTTTTATCTCCAGTTGATACAGTGGCCTTGAATATTCCTAATTATAATGAAGTTATTAAAACTCCAATGGATTTGGGTACTATTCAAACTAAATTAGCTAATAATCAATATGAAAACGGTGATGATTTTGAAAAAGATGTCCGTTTGGTTTTCCAAAATTGTTATAGTTTCAATCCTGAAGGTACTGATGTTAATATGATGGGTCATCGTTTAGAAGCAGTTTTTAATAAAAAATGGGCTAACCGTCCAATTCCTGCTCCAACTCCTCCTCAAAGTGAAGGAGAATATACTTCTGATGAAGATGATGAACCGGAAATTAGTGAAGATATGTTGAGTGAAGTTCCTGCAATTAAATTTATGGAAAATCAAATCACTAGAATGAAGATTGAATTAGACGAATTGAAGAAACAACATCTTAATCAATTAAAAGAACAAAGAGATGCAAGACGTAAAAAAAGAAGATCTAAGAAATCTAAAAAGTCAAGATCTTCAACTAATTTAAGCAACGAATTAAATTCAAGTAATAATGATGCCGTAAATAATCAACCAGTGGTTACTTATGAAATGAAAAAACAAGTTAGTGAATCGGTTCCAACCTTATCTGATAAAAAATTACAATCCTTGATCAAAATTATTAAAGATGATATCGATTTAAGTAATGAAGACGAAGTTGAATTAGATATGGATCAATTGGCCGATGGCACAGTTTTGAAATTATATAACTTCTTATTCGGTAAGAAGGCGGCTTCTTCTGCAATGAAGAAAAAGAAGAGAAATTTGGATAATATTGATCAATTAGAACAATTGAAATCTCAATTATTGTTATTTGAAAATGATAATGATGGCGATAACTCTTTGAATAATAATGCTGCAATCAATAATCTTAATCTTCTCGCTAATCAACAAGAATCTTCCGATGATGATATTAGTTCAGAATCCTCTGAAGAAGAATAACCTTATATCCTATTCAATTCATATTTTTTCCTTTCCTCCCTTTCCCCAATCATATGGTGTACTATAGTTATGTATATTATCTTTTCTTTTAATCTTCTTCCCTTATGGATATAGGAAATTTCGAAATCTTCATTAATCATTCCATGTTCCTTGTAATATTATGTATATATTTAATACTTTGTTCGTTATCGTAGTTTTTGCCATTTCCATTGGTGTTTGATCTTGGGTGCGTATCCACCTTCCTATTATGGTAACACTATCCATGGTCTTCCTCGAATTTTTTTTTCTTTTCGCTCTGCTCAAATGCAAAAAACTCATCTACTCGTAATTCGACGATAATGATTTCTTATCTGAACTTGTCTGAACAACCCTTTATCATTTAAATACCTCTAATTCTTCTGAAATATTCCTCTTGCTGGTGTTTCTCTCATTTTTTTTTTGCTCACTCGTTCAAAATGTCAGACATAATGGATGAAATATCACGCCTTTCACTCAAAGATGCAAAACCAAATATGACTATTTCACCAAGAAATCCCGATCATAATCCACTCCATTTGATTAAAAATATGAAATTAAAGCATGGAAGACCTGCTTTTATAGCAGGCCCCATGGTCAGATACTCTAAACTTCCATTTCGTGAATTAGTTCGAAATTTCAACTGCGATATAGTTTACACTCCAATGATTTTAGCAAGAGAATTTGTTCGTAATGATGTTGCTAGATTGTCTGATTTTACTACTAATGATAAAGACAGATCCGTTATTGTTCAGGTTGGTGCAAGCAATGTTGAAGACTTACTTAAATTTGTCGATATGATTTATCCTTACGTGGATGGTATCGGATTGAATTGCGGATGCCCTATAAAAGAACAAATGAGAGAAGGTATTGGTGCAGCATTAATGTCCGAACCCGAATTAGTTTCATCAATGGTTAAAGCCGTTAAGGAGAAATATGGTGACTCAATAGTAATTGAAACCAAGATAAGAATCCATAATGATTTAAATGAAACGATTAACTTTGTGAAAATGGTTGAAAAAAATGGAGTAGATTTCATAACGGTTCACGGTAGAACTAAAAATACCAGATCCTCCATACCAGCAAATTATGATGCTATCAAATTAGTCAAGGAAACCGTAAATGTTCCTGTAGTAGCAAATGGTGATTGTTTTTCATTAAAAGATGCTTTTGAAATTGCAGAGTATACAGGTGTTGATGGAGTAATGGCGGTAAGAGGGATCTTGGCAAATCCAGCAATCTTTGCAGGCTTTGATAAGACCCCTTGGTCTGCTGTTGAAATATTTTGGGATCTCGCTACTAGTTATGGTTTACCCTTCAGAATTACTCAACACCATTTATCTCAAATGATGGAAAAAATCATCCCAAGAAAATACTTAAAGGAAATGAATGAGACTAATAATATGATCGACATGATCGACTGGTTTGATTCAAATTTTAACTTAAAGAGAGCTGGTGACGAAAACTTTGCAACCGCTATAGAACCTACTTGGAAGCAAAGCAGAGAAGAAATGGCTCACATTTAATTACACTATTGTAGATCTCCATTACATATTGTCATGGATTCATCCTTTCAATAGCCGGCATTTTTCTTTCATTTCTTCAAGGACTTAATATTATCTAATTTATTTTACAAATACTATACATGTAGACCTTACTTACTTTCTTCGGGGCCAGGATTAAGGAAATCCTTATTTTGTAATGATATACTTCTAGTCATATTGTTGACTTTGTAAATACCAACCAATTGTTGAGCTAATTCGAACATGTTATTTCTCAAGGAGATAACAACAAACTGTGCATTCTTGGTTCTTTCCTTAATGTAATTTGCGACAATCGATACGTTCCTGAAGTCTAATGCTGCATCAATCTCATCCATAACATAAAGAGGTGTTGGCTTATATCTATGAAGGGCAAAGACTAAAGCTAATGAACTCAAAGTCTTTTCACCACCTGATAAATTTGATATATTTTTCCATGATTTTTTGGGCGGCATAACACTGAACAATATTCCTTCGGAAAATGGATCCAAACTGTCCACAAGCTCCAACTCTGCATTACCCCCCATTGTAATCATTTGATACATTTCCTTCAATGACATAGAGATTGTATTGAAACCTTCCATGAATTCATCTAGTCTCTTTCTCTTCAATTCTTCACAATAATTTTTGATCTCGTCTCTTTCTTCTACCGCAACGTTCAAATCGTTACGACGAGACTCAAACTCGAGCTTTTTCACACCATATTCTTTTAAAACTTCTATATCAGTTTTAACATTATTCATGTAATTCTCGAGCTCTTGAATATCATTTTGGACTTCCTCTTGGTCAATACGCATTAGCTCTTCCTCCCCAAGTTCTTCGATAACGGATCCATTATACTTAGCACGATCTTCTTCATTAAGCCAATCTATGTATGGTTCTACATCACGAACAACAAGATTCTGTAAGCTTTCTTCATCCTCCTCTATCTCGCGTTTACAACGCTTAACGATAGCCACGTACTTTTCGAGTTTGTTTTCGATCTCAATCTCTACTGACTTGAATTCGTTGATTTTTTGTGCTCTTTCATCAAGATCGTTCTTGATGTTTTCTAAATTCTCTTCGTGCTCTTCTCTTTGTTGCTGGATATCACTTAATTTCTTATTGAGTTCTTCCAATTCACTCATCTTTTCAGATTGGAATTGTTGAGCACTTTCTAATTCCTTTTGAGCTTTGGTAAATTCTTCTTCGGCTTCGGCAATGAGCTTCGTGTGTCTCTTAATGTCATTTTCAAGTTTCTTTATAGCCATAACATCATTGGAAGTTTTCTCGTTGATGATTTCAATTTTTTGTTTGATGGAGTCAACCTTAGAATTTTGAATTCTTAACTCAACCCCACCGGCTTCCATTATTTTCTCTTCTAATTCTTTGATTTGGCTCTCTGAATCAATCATTTGGGACTTCAAATCTTGCTTTTCATCCTCTAGTTTTTTCCGATCATTAACCTTAGAAAGTATTTCTTCATCGGCTTTCTGCACGGTATCCGTATTTTCATTCTCTGCAATTAATAACTTACACCTTTGTGATACGTCTTTCTTTTCGGACGACAAAGCTTCAATATCAAGCTTCAACCTGGAGATAGTAAATTCAAGTTCAGGCTTCATATCCTTTAGTTTTTGTAATGTTTGTACCTTTTCCTGGAATTCATTATTTGCTTGGTCAAATTCAGTTTCTAAATCATTCAATTTCCTTCTCATTTCATCTACTTCATCTTCTGTGTGTATTCCATCATTACTGGTAGTATTCGATGAGAGTCTCATACCTCCTTTAGCACGGAAGTTACCCCCACCTGACATGGTACCAGATGTGTCAACGAGCTTACCATCTAACGTAACAACTCTGAATCGTCTATTAGCACCATAAGCAACACTCCTGGCTTCTTGAAGATTTGATGCTACCAATGTGTCACGCAATTTGCTATAGAAAGCTGGTAAGAATTTTGGGTCCTGAGGAGTTATTAAATCAAATAGTCTTCTCACAGTAGCAGGGTTACCAGGAGTCTGAATAGGAGCTAAGTTGAAATTTCTTAACTTGTTCAAGCAAATAAAATTAGCATAACCTAAGCGATTTTTACGTAAGTAATCAATACACGTTTGAGCCGTTTCAACTGTTTCAACGACCATGGAATCTAACGCATTACATGCTGTGGAAATAGCTGTATCGTATGCATCATCAATTTGTGCCAAATCTCCAAGTCTACCATAAAAACCACTAATACGACCAGATTTGGCTAATCTCAAAAGACTTGATAAAACCTTATTCTTGTTTTGATTATTAGAAAAAGAACTAGCAATTTCTTGAGTCTTTTGACGGGTTGCCGATAGGTGTGATCTTTTGCTATCGAGTTTCTGTTTTTGATGGTTACATTGTTCTTCTCCTAGTTGTATTTGTTCAGCTACACGAGTTAATTTAGTTTCAACCGAAGAAAACTCTTGCTCCTTTTGCTTACCTTCCTTTTTGATATCTATAAGTCTTTGTCTTGCTTCATTCAATTGATTTGTATGACTCTGTTTTTGACTTTCTAGCATTTCAATGGATGAATTGATTAATTGAATTGCACTTTCGTTATCTTTAAGCTTATCATTCCATGGTTCTAACTTAGTTTGGAGCTCTTCAATCTTCTTAGTGAAAACTGCAGTTTTATCCGTTAATTTTCTTCTCATCTCGTTCAACTTTTGTTTCTCCAACTCTAGATTTTGAGTATGTTCTTCTAATTCAGTTTTGTATTGCATGTTCGCTTCGTTAGAAGCTTCAAGTTTTTGTTTAGAAGTTGACAAGGTATGTTCCAGCAGTTGTTTACTTTTTTCGAGTTTCTTAGTTTTACTGGACAAGTTCTTTATTTTCTCTTCAAGAGTAACGTTAGCTTTATTGACAGACTTTTGCTTTTTCGATAAACTTTGAAGATCTTTATCTAACTCGGAAATAATTTCCTTAATCTCATCTTGTTTTTTGGTGTATTCGTCAATTTCTTTTGATAACTCTTTATTTTTTTCCTTTTCAGTTTCTAATTCACTATTCAAGTCGTTAACCGATTGTTCGTTTTGACGTAGTAATTTATTATTTTCATGTATACTAATCTGAAATTGAATTGATTGTTTATTAACCAATCTCTTCTCCATTTCCAAAAAGCGAAGCGCTTCATCCTTTTTTTCTTCTAACAGATCTTTGTCTTTCTCTACCAAGACAAATCTATTTTCTTTTTCAAGACATATATCATTAAGCTCATCAACCTTAGTGAGGTTATTTTCTATCAATTGTTTATATTTTGTAGTTCCGATAATATCTTCCAAATATTCTAATAAACCATCATCATTCTCACGCTCTGCTTTTGCTTTCATTTGGGCGATGGATTCAACTTCACCTTGTAAAATCAAAAATCTTTTATGATCTAAATCAATCCCTTGACCTCTCAAGTACTGGGTTACATCTGTATAGTTACTAGCCTTATTATTGACATAATATTGGGATGAATTATTTTTATTTGCCCTACGACTAATAACCATATCAGAATCGGGAACTTTATGGGCTTTCAATGGATCATGGTCATCATCGATTACATGCATGAAATGGATATCCACCTGACAAAAATCTAACTTTTCACCACCAGCTGAATTATGGATTAATTCAGATAATTTACCTTGTCTCATTTTCAGAGCTCTAAAACCAAAAACAAACAACATTGAATCGATGACATTTGATTTACCACTACCGTTTGGACCAACTACAGATGAAAAAGACGCGTGAAATGGTCCTATTTCTTGTCTACCAGCATATGATTTGAAGTTTGTAAGAACAAGTTTATCTATTACCAACCTTGGTTCGTTCTTCTTTGGTGCCAACTGTGACGCTGCAGCTTCTCTTCTTTTACTAGGGGATTGTAGGAGAATCTCTGCCTGTTGTTGGGAGTAACTCAAGGTGCTTTTCAAATCTTGTGATGATGATCTCGATCCACTCGATGCAGCCGAGCCTGGAGGTTTAAGACTAACATTTTCATCTAATTTCAATACTTCGACTTTTGTTTTTGGGATATCATCTGCTGAAGGCTTAGAAGGCTCATCCTTGACCTCGGTTGTATTATGAAAGTCTGATTCAGCATCCTCGAAATTCTCTAACTCCTTTGTTGACTGATCAGGATTGACTCCAGCATTGACCACCGTTCCCGCCACGCTGGGAGAGGATTGCATGTCATCTTCGGATGCCTGGGATTCTACTGTGACCCCGTTTGCATTGAAAGGCAGTATCTCATTGAAACTTATCCTATCATTGACACTCTCTGCTTTGCTTTCTGGAGTAATATAATCACTATTGTTTATAAAACTATTTTCCTCGTCTTCATCGCTCGAGATGATCCTTCCTCTGTGAGATCTCTTTCTTCTCGTTGACATTTGTATTCACAGGAAAATACCGTATTTTCTGAGTGCTTTGGTGATTATACTTTCGAAGTTAACTTGAAATAAAGGTCTAGTTGAAATGAAGGTCTTCCCAGCTGTTTATATCCAGACACGCTGAAATCAAAACACTGATAAAATCCATTCGCGCAGATTAGGGTCGGTGTATGTACGGGTCTAATGAACATTAATATACATTTTTTGGTTGATATCTATGGAGTATCTAGTGCTATATATAAATAGGATGAAAGAATTGAAGTTGATGATGCCACTTAAGTTGAATGAAGTTTATTCTTTTTTATCTTTCTTGTGTTTCTTATCTTTCTTATCTTTTTTCTCTTTCTTTTCTTTCTTTTCTTTCTTTTCCTTCTTTTCCTTCTTTTCTTTCTTTTCTTTCTTTTCTTTCGTTTCCTTCTTTTCCTTCTTTTCTTTGGCTTGTTCTTCAGCTTCTTCCTTTTCATCATCATCTTCCTTTTCTTCGTCTTCCTTTTCTTCGTCATCTTCCTTTTCTTCGCCAGCTTCTTCCTTTTCAGCTTCCTTCTCCTCTTCCTCTTCCTTTTCTTCTATGGCTTCATCGGCTGGAGCTTCATATTCTGGAGTGTCATCAAATTTGATCTTTTTACTGGCCGGCTGTGACGAAGTGTCGTCATTATCTTCAAATTTCGTCTTCTTGTTTGAACCCTCATTGGTAATTTCTGCCAGGAGTGGAGGCAATCCCCTCAAATCTCTTTGCACTCTCTTTAATTGACTTAAAAGAGCATTGGAGCCACTACTATTAGATAAACCAGTGTTGGAAAATGCTATGTCATCAGCTGTAAATCCTGGTATGGCTTGAGCGATGCTTTCACTAGTAGATATAAACTCACTCAAAATTCCTTCTGCTTCAGACTTATTTATGCTCTTGGATGACGTGACACGAACCGTGGTAGGGGTATTCACAGCAGACTGAGCTGCTCTTCTGGGGCGAAACGAAGTGGACATCTTGTATACCTCTATCAAATGCTAGCTTCAAAACTAGAGTTATCTTTGAATTTTTCACATCGCATCTCGAAAGCCGCAAATAATTTTTTTTTCTGATTCTCTATTTTTTTTTTTTTACTTTTGTTAGTGCTGGGATTTACTGTATGTTTTGGTGTGCTGTGCGTAATGCTCCAACCGGGAAAGGTCTCAGTCTCAACTCCAATGAAAAATTATTCAGTACTTGATCTTTGAGTTATTAGAGCATAGAATATCCGGTTGATACTGCTTCAAGAGATCATATATACATAGACATCATCGGTTTCATGTGGGCCATTACCAACAGCATAAAAAGAGCCACTCCTGGTGTGCAAACGTTGAGTACACGTTATTTTTCGTCTTTATCAAAACCATCGACCCCATTACTAGCAACTAGAATAAATAATCAGCTTGTCCAAAGAAGTATAAGTCCACTTACAGAATGTCCACCAGTCACTATTAATCCCTTGCTGTTCATGGTTGGATTAGTGCAGAAAAGATTTAGACAAAGAACGTATCAACCATCTACATTAAGAAGAAAAAGAAAGTTTGGATTCTTAGCAAGATTGAGAACGAAAGGTGGTAGAAAAGTCTTAGCAAGAAGAAAGGCAAAGGGCAGATGGTATCTTTCCCATTAGGCTGCTTTTTATAATTATTTAAACTAAATGAATCTTGTAAATATGCATAAAAATAAATTAAAAGTATTAAAATTCTATAAACCCAGTAGAAGAAAAAAAAGATGTCAATGAAAACTAAAGTTATATAGTAAACGAACTGAAAATGAAATGAGGTTATGAGGTTAGCTTCTGATATTAAGCTTTGCCTAATATTTTCGAATATTGTAATTCAACCTCGTGAATTAATTTTTGTAAACTGACAATACCCAATTGATGGGTTGCATTTGGGAACTTGTTTCTATGTAATCCAAACCACTCCAAAGGCGGAGTTGCATTACCTAATTCTTTCAATTGGGGTGCTTCGATAATTGGAGGTGCAATAGGCGAATAGTCATATCTCGATTGATTAGAAACTTTTGTCATGGTATTGTTAATGGCTTCATCGATATCTCCAGTGGAGTCATCCTCGTCTAACTGTTTTCTCAAAATCGGAGATGGTTCACTCTTCTTATGCTTTTTCGCTTCTTCTTTAAGGGTTCGAGCATTCGATTCAATTGACATTGCATCTCTTTTGAAGTTCGTACGAGACACTAAAGCCTTTTTATGTATGAAATACATCTCACGGATAAAATTAATTGAACCCAAATTCCAACGAATATCAACAGTACCTCCAAAAGATGACTGGTATAAATATTCAATCAAGTTAGATTTATATTTTTGGAAAGTTCTCATTGAAATCATAAATCTGGGGAAAACAAATATGTTACCTCCTCTAGCTTTATGTGCATACTCAACAAAATCATCAACGTTACACTCTTGAATGAATTCCGACAGGACTGATGAAGTCATCGATAATGATACCTTCATATCATTGAGCTGTAATTCAAGTTCATTAGAAATTCCATGTAAATACTCATTTTGTTGAAAATTTGCTTTTGATTCATCCATTTTCACAACTAATACCTTGGAGTCGTCGAAAGATGAGGGATAAACTTGAATAAGTGCTTTCCCAACAACAACTTCGATTCTCGTCTCAAGTTTCTTGACTGTCTCTAAAATATCATCTGTTGCGGTAGTATTTTCATCCATATTATTCGTATCCCGAGTATCACTAGAGTCTCTCAAAGTCTCCTTATATGACATTTTGTTTTCTTGCATCATCCTTGAGATTGTATTAAAGATGTCGATGAAGTTGGAAGCAGCTAAAGAAGTCACATAAATTTCTGAGGTATCAAATTTAGTGGTAACAAACAAATGATCTTTAGATAGACTAACTTCATTTTTCTGGTTAAAAATGTCAATTGAGTATCCTTCGATATTAGCAAGAGCGAAAACATGGTAATCAAATGATACTTTCAGTTGTAATTTATCAATACCCCCAGAAACAAGAATTAAAGGTACGTCTAACGTTGTATTAGAATCAAGCTTCCAACTAATAGCGGTATGTAAATGTGCACTTTCTAGAACAATATGCCCCCCTAAGCGGCCCTCGGAAACCAAACTGACAAAATTGACACCTAATTTCAAATCTTGGGCCCAATCTGTGGACTTTTTCGAAACTGCCCATAACCTATCAGTTTTTAAAATGAAGTTCCCCAAAGACTGACCGAAATCAACTCTAAGCAGAATATTTAATACCATGAAAGATAAAACCCAAGGTAAAGCATAGGTGGTGGATACTTCTCTAAATCTTGAGGAAATATTCTTGTTTGAAGCTAACCCAGCTTTTGATTCTGATATTTCTGTATCCAACTCCGAATATTCATTAGCACTCTGAATAGCTTCTTTCGGAAACCAGATGTCTTTGAATAAATGTAAATCCTGAAATTGTTTAACATTGACATACCCGTTCACATCGGAAAACGAACCCGAAGATAATACGTGTGTGACATCGTCGAATGTAATGAAACTAGTCAATATGATACTTTCTATTCCGATAGAACCGCTAACTTCCCTGGAGTATATGTGCTGTAAAGAGGCTGACATGGAGTCAAACTGGATAGCCACATCTACAGAAGGAGATTTCGTGTTACCAGAATTAATCTGGACGTGAATACCTTGAAGTCCAACAATTGCTGCAACCTTTGCAGTAGGCTCACAGCTAAGCGATAACCTTTGAGATTCGATCTTGAGTCCTAAATGGAAGTCAATGTCGTTAAGCATGTTGCCGATGTTGAAATTTGATTGAGTTAGATTGTCACTTTTATCTGATGGCCCCTTACTACTATTTGTGTTACTCTTCCGCATCATATCTTTAACCTTGTCTACCGCATCGGTTATAACTGGTACACAAGATGAATACAATGTATTATCAGATGGGGATGTTGAAATCTCACTCTTAATTATATGCGTTTTTTCAGCTTGCTTGTCATATCTGTACATGGTAGCTATTTTCACTGCCGGAGAGTGCAAAGCCAAAGACGGAGGATTATCAGTCTCATCGTCATTCAATCTGTAAAATAAGACGTTCGACCCTGCAAATGTAGCAACGAATTCTACTGAAGAAAACATGGTTCCAAAAGAACCCATATAATCAGTCTGGGAAGGTTGAGCTTCTCTCTTGGACTTGGGTCTACTGAAAGCTTCGGGAATAGATGGTTTTCTTTCCAAAAAATCTTGTACTTTCGTAACTGAGTTTACCACATATTCTAAAAGAACAATTGAGTTAGACAAAAACTTAACATCTAATTCATCACCTTGAATGTTTACCTTCAAATTCTTTGCTCCTTCTTTATCATCTACGATATAGATGAGTTGTGTAGTTGGTAAGAATGCACGGTTTAAACTATTTTTCTCAGTCAGACTACTGAAAAAGTTTGATGATGTTGGACCATTTGCCACAGATAAATATGCGTCCATTAAGGATAGTTTTCCCATGCCTTCTTTTGTGACGGCAAAAAATCTTTCGGCACCTAATATGATACCAGGGTAATCTTTCCTTTTCTCTCCAAAAAGCCAGCCTAGGCAAAAGTTATAAGCAAGAACGTGAACGGATGAAAAACTGAAAAGCATACAATTTGAACGGTTTTGTTTAGCAGTTTCGTAGATTGATCCACTTTCATCACTTTCTTGAGGCATACCATAGGGATGCTTGTTAACAATGTGAGTTATCTTGTCTAACACAGTAATTAAACATATCACAACTTGAGGACTGACACAAATTCTACAATGCAGTGATTCTATCTGCAATGATTGTGTGAACGAATTAATTGAAGCTTTTTCATCCATATCAGGAATCACTTTAATACCAACATTCACGTTTACCAAATTAGAAAGTCCCACGGGAACTGATCTATCAAGGACAGTAATTCTAGCTGTAGGGATTAAAAACTCCCCATAAACAGGAACAAAAATAAATGGACTTGAAGTTTGGACTTTTGTAATATTTGATAAGAAGAGTGAAATTGCCTCCACTTCAAATGCAAGTCGGGTTTTACCACCATTCGTGGTAAGGCCGATATAATCATTGGTGAAACTAAACTTGAACGCAAGTTTTTCATTAATTGGATGCTGATCTGCCTCTTCAGGAGAAACCAACTCATGAGTGGAAGAATTTGCCTGGTCTTTCAAATGGTTTGGAATAGACTTCCATTTGATTAATTTGGACATAATTTCCTTCTTGCTAGCAAGTAAAATATTTAATGTGGTAGATATTTGTGGGATAGATACTTTAGTGAACCCTAAGCTTAGATTCGAGTAAATGAGTAGAACATCATGCTCAAATCCAATATTAATATCGGATAGGATCTGAGAATTTTCTAATTTAAAAACAGATGTTTTATTGACACTAAGATCTAAATCAAACTTTTCGATAAAAGACTCTATCAATCCGATCTCTTCGCAATAATTAGCTGTGATTCTGGTGTTATAAACAGCACCAGCATGCGTCAATGGAGCCAATGCGTCCACAAACCACAGATACTGATTCATCCGAAACTCGAAATTGATACCACCAATTTTATTCAAAATACTTTCGAAATGTGCTTTTGGCTTGGGGGATTCTGGGGTATTAGTTTGTCCAAATTGTGATATCAAGCCTTTAATATACTTCACATCGTTATCCAATACCAGAACAATGTTGTCGACTACCACCCCTTCGTTGTCTAAGAATTTGGTGTGACCTTTAGCAACCTCAACATTGATTGTCTTAGTCCCATAAATAATGTCATCGACATTTGCGATGATAACATTGGCCTCATATACTTCAGTTACGATAAGCTTATGGTTCTTTACCCATAAGCCAGCATCGAACCCACCAGCATTGATTGAAAAACTTATACATTTATTGTTTTGCAGCAGCTCGACAAAAAATGTCTCTAACGAAGAAGTCATGTCAAAACCACCAAAGACTAAAGTTGAACATGGTAGTTCTATGTGTTGTCTAGCGGAAGAGATATTGGTGATCACTGAAACAGATAAGTCATTTTTGTTTGAAATGTTTGCATCCTTATCTATCTTTAAGTTATTACCATTTTTTAGATCACTGTTTTTGTGTTCAGTCAGCCTCAAAGACATTTGTAATTCTGGGATAAGATCAAAGCAAATATGAGAAATTTTGCTTTCATAAGAGTATAGATTAAGCAAAATATCAATATTTCTAATGTCTTCTATTATCCCGAGGTTCAAATTAATCAAGTCTTTTTGCTTTTCTTGGGCCATTTTTGATGAAAGAGTTAGATCCTGAAAACTAAAGAAGTCTAATTCACTGGATTCTCCTAAGACTTTGACTATTATTTGATTGACATGCAATTGCAGCTGAAGATCTCCATTCTCAGGCGTATTTAAATCACTCGCATCAAAGATTTCTCTGCAAAATTGTTTTCTCTCATCTTGGTTTGCTTCCCAATTTCTCCAGTTAGAGAAGAACTCGAGTACTTCGTCATATGCAGTAGGAGGCAAATATTGATTTATAGAGTATTCATTTTTACACCAGTCTTCTGGTAGATTCTCAAGCGAATGTCTCAACCTTGTGATAAGTTTCCATCTGTCATAGAATCTAACATGGTCTTGACAAGCACGCAAAATATATGCTGGTTTAGTTAAAACGCCAGGATCAAAATCAAGTCGGTACTTATCTGCGGCAAGAGTTATTTGATATAAAAGACTGGCTTTCCAATTGACTTTATCTGCTTCGTCATCGAATGCTTCTGCCACAGGACCCATAAGTTCCTTGATGTGTAGAATATAAGTGATGAGCCAATTTATTTGTTCTCCATGAATATCCAAATCAATGCTGTCCAAATTGATTGACGAGACAGTAGTTTCATTTATCTTCTTCGAGAACCAAGTCTCAAAATCTTTAATGGTGAGAAGGAATGGAGTCCTAAATGAGCTAGGGTTGAAAGTGGAAATCAAAACTTCTCTCATATGAAATGCAACAGTCATTTCACTAGATTGTTCTAGTTTGTAGTCAAGCTTTTGGATAGACTTCTTCTTGCTTAGTGCTACCGACGGCTCATATAAAACAAAACTAATGTGTGGAATTTTTGGGAAATCGTAAAAACAAGTCTCAAGATTTGGTAGAGCATTCTCAGTGAACTTCAAATTTATTTGAGGGCAGATAAGTCTGATGTTGTCGATCATGGCAGGTGGAAATATCAACTCAGTCAAGTAGTCAATGGCTTGATCATGGAGAATGTCTATTAAAGTTTCGGGAGAGGTATCTTGAGAAGATTTAGCAATTCCTGCCAACGATATCAATGAAGACGGAGTCAAGATCGTATTGATTTCCCCGATGTCTATTATAAAACTGTCATTTTTGAATTTGGGATCTATGTTATGCTGTGGTCGTAACTCATCTTCATTGTAGTTCACAGTAGAGTGTAGTTTCGTGTTCTCAAAATCATTACTACTAGTTTGAATACTACTGGAGGCCGAGCTTGAACTAACATCAGATAGTGATGACGCTTCACTTTCCCGAATGATATTCTGGGTTTCACGATTTAATGGCATCGAAGCCTTTGGTAAGCTGAGTGAAGTCATGAAACATCCATAGCCCCTATGATAATTGTCATCTCTATTTTCCGGGAAAATTATGAATGGAACTCTGTGTGTGGGTGCATCACTTTCTCTGGCGTATTGTTGTTGATTCTTTTGATGATCATAAAAATTGGCTTTCTGACAAAAGTTACTCATCATTAATGAAGTCTTGAAATACCCTAAATTATTTTTCTGTGGATTCTTGTCTAATACCCTGCAAACAATATCCGGAATAGATACGTCGATCTTTAAAGAGTATCTTGCATTAGCAATATCGTTGAAATTCACAAGAATCGACTTTAGATCAACAACAAGAAGAGACTTATCGAATACAGCATCGAGTTTTATCTCCATATAAGGACATCTGAACGAAAAGTTTGCGGCGTCATAAATAATAGGGGGCTCGTATACCAAACTATTTTCCAAATCTTTGAATCCCAAGACAAAATTTTTCAATCCCGTAATCAATGCTTTTAATAGCAAAGCGTTGGAGTTAATTTTAAGCCCGTTACTTGCAAAATCCCATTTACAGTAGTACGTGTTTTCGTCAGGAGGAAGGCCAAACATTCTATGAGCGTGGACATTAAAGCAGTCCACCCAAATTTCCGGATTTGGGTGTAAAAATTTCTTCCTATATTCAGGGATATTGAATATGGTGTCCATCTCATCAAATTCCTTATTAATATCTTTAATAAATCCACCGGTCATCTCTCCAAAGTCTGCCTGTAAATCACTGTAATAGTTCGCAAATCTCATGTCTACGTCTAACCTTTCAAATGACAAACCAATGTGAGATGAGCAGTCATAAATATGATATGGTAACACAATTAGTCCGTTACGGACTTGAAATGTGAACAAAACGTCGAGATCATTTTCTGTCTTAATAATTTTCCAAAAATCAACATCAGATTTAGTGGATTTTGCATCAAATGAGTTACTAGAATCAGAAGTAGCATCAGTAGCCGAATTATCAGTTGCTGAGTTATAGTCGGCACTATTTGTATATTCTTCAAATGTTTGAAAATGTTTGTGTTCTCCCATATAATTTTCTTTGATTATGAAAAGGTATTTGATCAAGAATCCGTGGAATTTTAAAGTAATATAGTCACCCATGCATTTCACCACAATCCAATCCGATGTATTTACCTCAACACCCCCAAAATAAGTGTAAGATCCTTCTATAACGAAATTATGACCTTTTCCCATTATGTTGTTATTCTTAAGGAAAGCATTTGCTGTGTGCCAAAGAGGGGTGTCAAGAATAAGGTCAAAATCTGGTGAAAAAATTCTAAAGTCAACTGTTGATGATTTCGAAAACTCACCATATAAAGGAATGAAAAGTTCAATATCCAAACTGTTCCCTTGGAAAGAGAGGTATTTGTTACTATTGAAATCAAGAGGATTGTTGATGATATTATTATCATTCACGTTCAAATAAAATTTGTAGCCTTCCATTTTCCAAGTTAAACCATACTCAAATGGTTTGAAGTATTCATAGGGAGTGGGTTGTCCTGAGGCAAAATCACTGAATATATCTGATATAAGGATTGTATGTTCTCGAAGGAAAAAAAATTTAGCATTAGAACTAACATTATCAAAAGTCCAATTGCACTTCCCATCCCATTTCAAAGGGAATCCTATATCGCATTTAACTATATGAGTATCTGCAGAAAATAACACATCATGATTAACGGAGGTTCTCAATTCTGGTCCATTGAAATTGCATATTAATTTATTGTCCCAACCAGTAGGAGTTGCAATAAAAGAATTGAAGCTTGAGACTGAAGAACCACGTTCAATCTTCAACTCAACCCAACCAAATGGTCTTGAAATTTTTTGAGCTGTATTAGCATTATCAATATTTAAATTTTTCAATAAATCTTGATCTTTACTGGACTCTCTAGTTGGTATTCTGAAGATAACCTCATCTTTAACAGTAATCATAACTTTGAATCCATCATAAATTCTATCAGAGCCAGGAGTAACCAGAACCTTTGTTGGATGAGAGTCCCTAGCGGCAGCTGGGAAGAACATTGACTGTAATGGAACTCTTTGTTTATCAGCCCAAGGGCCGTAATGAATTGTTGCCATTGAAAGTTCTAAATCCACTCCAAACTCCGGGTGTGATAATTGGTCTTGTAAAGACACTGGTTGCTTAGGGAATTTACCAGGAGAATCATAGTAATAAATCATTCTAGCAGAAACTGTATCAAGAAGCAAACTATATTTTGCATATTGTTCCACCGAGCTTATATAATTTAGAAGGAATCTATCATCGGCTTGTTCACCAACGTATCTTTTCAAGCCTCTCCATTTTTGATAAGGTTCATCATCTTTTATTTGAGATCTAGTAATTTTTTTAAGGATTCGGGAAATTTGCTTAGTAGTATGTTGAAATCTATAATAAAATTTATATTTTTTATGATGAGCCAAATTTTTATTTACAAACATTGGATCAACGTGATCATCTTCGTTGATGTATCTTTTAGGATCATGAGTTATATTTGGTTTCATTGCAACTTGGAATTTTTCGAAATCAAAATCGAAGAAGAGTCTATAATTATCAAGCCAGCTTGAACTTTTAGTAACATCAACGATTGCATTAGCTGATTTATAAGAAGCTACAAGAATAGACGGGGTTGTCGAATTACCCATCACATAAGCTCCTTTTCTAACCCTAACTCTAAGTGGGAAGATTTTTAATAAAAAGGAAAGGGTACTATCTGGAATGGAAGTGGTTTCAACAATATTAGTGAAACTATTTGAATCTTTTATTGAATTGGAGCTCATCGATTCACTTTGGTTACCACTTTGGTGAAAACTTACTTTTGAATCTTTTTCATTAGAGTTCCTGCCACTAGTGAAAGAACTATTCTCTTTTGCATTTTCATTTAAGATATCAACCATATTATCATAAGCCATTGTTCTATTATACATGAAAACTTCCAATCCATCAATGGTCAATAATAAGCGGCATGGGAGTTTATTATTTTCATCCTTTGTCATACCATTCACTTCAATAGCATCTTCAGCATTAAAATAGTATTCTGAAAATCTAGCTAAACCGAAGATCCAAAATCTCCAAGTTAAGTTCAATCGTAGTATTGACACCGTTTGATTTTCAGTAGATATTGTTAAATTTTTCATTGCAATAAGACCACCTAAGGGATTGAACCGTATTGATTCTATATTGATCCGTACTTTGCATCGTTTCCATAACGTAAACTTAAGTAATCCAGAGCAAACAAACCCAACCAATCGATTAAAGTAAAATACAAATGCAATACCCAAGATTAAAGCCAAAATCCAATCCACGAAGTAGATCCAACTGGAATTATCATGCGTGGACGTGGAGGCAACGGATATGAAGTTAGATCTCACCGCCATCCTTTGTATGATCTGTGTGTTGTATTGAATGCTATTTGGCGGTTATCGTTTCTTGTTTGTAGAGCTAGAAAAACTCCTCTCTAATAACAAACACCCGTACCCTGGATAAAACCTCCGTACATCGTCTACTTCCGTGCACCAGTTTTCGCGTCGTTTGTGTGCCGTACCAAATCTCCCAAAAGGGGCAGGCTGTTTTGATTTTAACATTTTTGTATACAAATGACTTCCTCCTCTAATAACGTCTGAATGTGCATCATTAAACTGCTGTTTTTTTTTTTTTCATTTTTGTTTTTTTCGTTGTTCAAGCTTGGTATACTGCCTTTTCCCATTAAGCATTATATAAAACAAAAATAAAGACACATAAAGCCTGTTTAGGTAAAGTTAAAAAGTTGCTCGATTCTTTACGTGAACTGTTAAACGATAGTGGCCTTTCAATAATATAAGGAGATTTTTATTCATATATAATATTCAAAGCTGAAGTTTGGATATAACAGAAAGCACCTGTTATTAATTAATGAAACATATATCTTCGTTACCATGTCCTTCAACTCTTCTAAGTTTGCAGACAAGGAAAATGCCTTGAAACAATCATTGGGATCAAATAAGTCCAATGTAATTAATGAAAATACTTTTAAAGTTTCCAAACAACAAGTCCAAAACACTCAACAACAAAAACAACAAGGTCTTAATCAACAACCAAGACGTAATAGAGTACCATTAGGTGGGAAAGATCAAAATAAAGCATTCCCAACTCTACAGAGATCCCAATCGAGTATTAGTGGTACTAAAAATGAAAAGATTTTACCAAAAATCAATTCAAGTATTAAGCAACAAAGACAAAAACAACCTTTTTTGCAAAAAGCACCTTTTTTACAAAAAGCAAATTCATCCTTAGGATTTTCCCATAGTCAAAATAATAACGTTATCAATGAAAGACGTTCTCAAATAAAGAAGGCTAATCCATTAAAGAATAATTTATTTAAATTTGAAGGAAATCAAACATCATCAGATGAATTGGTTAAAAAATCAAATTTACCAGCCTTACCAAAGATACAAAATCTTGAATCAACAATCACTTTCAACACTCAACGTCTTCATGCAAATAATATTATTAATCTTGATATTAATCAAAATAACGTGGATCCAGTTAAATCTAGTAAACCATTGATTGAAAAAAAATTTATTATTCCTCAACACTTAATTGATGATCCATTGAGTATTGAAATAACTCCAATCAAAGAAGATCCATTACCAGATAAACCATTCGATGTACCTCATTTCACTAATGATGATTTAGAAATTTTTTCCAAAGGTTATTCGAAATTAACTAAAGATAATACTTATGAACACCCTGATATCAAACAAAATGAAATTAAATTAAATTTTCAAGATATAAATCTTGATAAAGAATTAAAATTTGATGATAACGATGATATTAAATCGATTGATTTAAGCGATCAACCTCGTCCTGATAATGTTGGTTTGACTGTTGATGAACTAAATGATTTATTAGATTTTTAATGACCTCACTATTCTTATCGTACTGCTTTATACATGATACCGTCTATCGTTAATGATTACCCATATTTTCAATTCTCTGTGCTTTTCTTTTTTTTTTGCTTTCTGTCTCGGTCTTTTAGTCTTTAGCTCTTCAGTTTTGTATTCTGATGATAGCTTTGTATGTACAATATTTATTTTATTTACTTATGTAAGATCTACGTCGATTTTAAAAATGAAAGAAAAATATATTTACAAGTTTATTGAGTTGTGCATTCCGCTTGAGGACCTGCGCCGGTATCCTTACCGTATCTATAAGCATCATCATCATCATTATCATCATTACTTTGGTATTCAGGTAAATTTTTTTCTTGAACAATTGAAAAATCAGTAACCATATCAATATTAGCCTCTGAAGAACTATTCTCATCAATTCTTTGTTTATTTATATCATTTTTATTTAATAACTCATTTGGAAATAAATTCTTAACCTTAAAAATATCATTTTTTTCTAAAAACCAATTATCTTGAGGAAATTCAATTTCCATTTCAATATATAAGTCACCATTTTTATTTGATGATCCAAACCAACTTTTAGATTGATTTTTAATTGGCATACCTTCATTTTTCAATTTAATATAATCACCAGGTCTAATAACTTTACCTTTTGGAATTGGAACACTTATCACTCTTCCATCTAAATGTTTAACCATATTTTTAGTAAACCCACATAATGCATCAGCTAATGGGATCTTATATTTAGTATATAAGTCATCACCTTTTCTTTCGAAAACTGCATGTTCTTGACAATCATATGTTAATCTGACATCACCGGTTTCTTTACCAGGATATTCATCAGATTCATGCTCTAATACTATAGTATCAGTACTTGGTGACCCTTTTAATATCTCAAATTCAAGGATTTTAGTTTCTTCAATTGTCTTATCACCTTCACAAGTTTTACATTTATCTTTAGTACGATAAATCTTACCAGTTCCTTTACAAGATGTACAATCAGTGAAATCTTGTGTAACTAAACCTGGACCAACCCTACGGATCTTTCTAACGGTACCTTCACCATCACATCGTCCACATTTTTTATGAACTGCCTTCTTTTTAGCCCCAGTTCCTTGACAATGAGTACAAATGATGTTTCTGGTAGATGTAATTTTTATGGTCTTCCCATTGTACAAATCCTCTAAAGTGATTTTCACATCAAGTTGGGCATCCTCGGTACGATTGACTTTAGGAGCACCTTGAGGTTGGCCTCCAAAACCATCAAAAAAGTTGAAAAAATCTTCAGCGCCATATTCCTGGCCACTATTAAATGCTTCAAATGGATCACCAGAGAAATTAGGCACGCCTCCCGACCCATCTGTGGTTCCATAGAGGTCGTATTCCTCTCTTCTGCCTTCATCTATTAATACTTCGTATGCACTGGATATTTCTTTAAACTTGATTTCGGCCTCTTCTCTGTCTTCCTCTGATACTTTGTCAGGATGATACTTCAATGCTAACTTTCTGTAAGCCTTCTTGATCTCGGAGCTTGAAGCCTTGCTTTCCACTTGCAATACCTCATACAAATCTGGCATATTCAATTATTATTATGGTATAAGAGATGCTGGAGCGATGAACAGGATCTTCTAAAGATTTTTTTTTTTTTTTTGCCTCTTACATTTCTCATTCTCGATACTTCAACTTCCTGTATGTAAACAAAGTCGTTTAAAATGGTTTACTTCAGCTAACACGGCTATCATGCACCGTGTAGCCCAATAGGGGTGAATCCTATGGTGGAAGAAGCACGCGAATATGGTAACTGCCATAACCGGATTGATTTCAGGCATCTCGTCAGCGAGAAAGGGTTCAATGAGTGGTGAGTACTCAGAGCTCAAATTTTCGGGAGGATTTTAGTAGAATTGAGTCCACATTTTCATTCATTTACTTTTACTTGGTTGCAAAGCAGTAGTCATCATAATGAACACGCTCAGTAGCATTTCTGTAAAATAAGTTTTGAAACTCCTTTCTTTTTTTTTTTTATTTTTTTTTTTTTTTTTTTTGTTTTTTTTTTTCCTTTTTTTTTTTTTTTTTTTTTTTTTTGACATAAAAGCATATGCCTTACTTATATACTAACATGTACCTAGACAGGAAAAGACTAAATAATGAAGAGTAAATAGTCCAGAAACCCCCTTGAATCATACAGTTACACATGAGAAAAGTGGATCTTGTTCCAGAGGAACCATTTAGTTAAATATATATATTAGAGCGAAAATATAATAAGACACTAATTTTTCGCAGCCGTTCTTCGATTGCCGAAACTCTTGTACTTTTAAAAGTGTCAGGCGATGTTTAATCAAAATAACATCAGGAGATCATTGAATATATGAATTTCTCTGGTATAATTTGGTGACGAATAGTTGAAATATTGCTATATATTCTTGATAGGAGTGCAGTTTAAGTAGACATCACCTGGTATTGTCGGCGAATATATTTACCCTTCAGCCTGGTAAATTCTCTAATAACGCAGTTGCAGACTTATTCCTCATAGAGGATGAAATATTTAGGCGATTTTGCTATAAACAGAGCCTATCGAGGTTTTGGGGTAGAACTACGAACACTTCTCCTCTTTGTTTGCAAGACACAGTTTTTGATACCTTCTTTTTTATATCATGCATTTATTACGATAACTGGTGCCCGCCGGGGCAGCTTTAATATGTTTCATTACAGCCTATGCTTTATTATGATAAAACGTGTCAAAGTAGGCTTTGGTCCAAATGGAACTCATCCTGATAGAGAATATATCGCCATGAATTTTACTTCATGTTGCGTATAATGGTCCGTAACAAACTTTAGACTTTCTCTTAATTAAATTATTTTTTGAAACTAGATGTTGTTGAATGCGTATTTCGAAATTGATTATTAAGAAATGCAAAAATAAGATTTTTCATGATAATACAAATAGAACTTAACTATACTTGCAATATTACCCCATGTACTTAATTGAGTTGGAGGGTCGGTTTGTTATGCCGTTACTAGAAAATCGAATCTTCTTGCAGAACGAACACCCGACCTTGAGCTCAAGTGCCCTGAGTTTAAAAGAATGCTGTTTTAACTTCAAGCGAAACATGAAAAGTTTTGATATGTTTCCGAATCTTTTTCCACTCACCTCCGGGCACGAGCAGAATTCAGTGAGATTTTAGTCTCCTCAACTATTCCTTTTTTTTTTTTTTACCATAGTGAATATAACTGTCTTTATTGTGAAAAAATAAAGCCTTTTTTTTTTTTGACGTAAAAGAATATATATTTAATAACTATTTACTAATATATACCTAGAGTGGGAAAGACTGTGCTTAGTCAAGAAAACCCATGTTGAATTAAGTGATGTGATAGAAAAAGCCTCCCGCTAGAGTATCACTTCAAAGCCGAGCTGAAATGTGACCTGGTGTGGTTCCAGATTTTGGGTAATGTACGAATGTAAATGGTGTAGTGGCCGAGTGGTTAAGGCGTCGGGTGCAGGTCCCGATGGGTTTTACCCGCGCAGGTTCAAGTCCTGTCTGCACCGGTATAATTTTTTTTGCCAATTCAAACCTTTGATACCACTTCATTCTCGAGGAACCAAGGAGTTAAGCGTTGTTGGAGTCCAGGGGGTTTAGACTATTGAATAACACTGCGATCTTTTTATTGTACAAAAGGTGGGGACGCACCAGAACGATCGCCAATCGGATTGAGCCAGGCCAGACCAATACTCACCAATTGGAAGAGCGGCCGATTATGATTGCGCATCATTAACCGTGAAGAAACAATTGCTCGACCCAGTATGCAATTACACAGTGCCACGTTGAAATGAATATTTGCTTTGTTGGTTGTTTGGCTTTGAGCAAAGCAATTGCTGCTTTGTCGATGGGAGTCTTTTTTTTGGGGGGGTAGACTCCGAGTCCGAAATCTCTCCTCACAGAAAAGTATAAAATGGTCAGAAAGGTAGCAGTCTCCCCTTCACTTATTCTGGCAGTAATACCAATACCTACTATCAAAATGACTGATTCATTCCCGGTTGACGTTCAATTACCATATTTATCTATCGACAACGAAAGTCAAGGACCAAGCAAGCTTGACTTGAAGAAAGAATTGTCCGGTAAGAAAGTTGTTGTTGTCGGAAACATTGGGTCGTTTACACCACCATGTCTGAATGATCACATCAACAAATTCGTTGATAATGCATCCAAGTTTAAATCCAAGGGAGTTGATAGAATTATTAGTCTCAATATTAATGATCCTTTTGTTAACAATGCCTGGGGTAAGAGTTTGGGAGTCAAGGACGACTACATTGTGTTTGCACAAGACCCCAATGCTCAATTATCGCAAGAATTGGGTGATAACTACGTTGCTGACATGAGTGATAACGGATTAGGCCAAAGAACCAACCGTTATGTCGCTCTTTTGGATAACGGTGAGGTCAAGTACTTGGCCGCAGAAGACCACGGTGCCACCACCGACATTTCCTCTGCCCAAAACATCTTGAACAGATTGTAAGTGCTTACATAGTTTAATGAGAGAAATGATTATCTAGTATAAAAGTAGTATAAATGTAGTGAAAGGTGAAGGTGACTGCAAAATGAAGTGATTGCAAAAAGCCTCCGGGTAAGCAACGACGTGTGCGTATCAAAATGTGAGGAAAGAAAAAACAACACGATAACAAAAAAAAAAAGAACAACTCGGACAACTCGATTATCGATACAATTGAGACAATCCTTGCTCTTTTTTCTTTATTGGAATCTTGTTTTTCAACTTCATCAAAGTAGTATACTTTTTATATTGGTACAATGGTATGTTACATTGGTTTTCCCATTGGGTTTTGGATAGAGAAGCCAATTGATTGATTGATTGAAAGCCCCCCTATGGTTTGACGGTTTTCTATTTGGCGTTTTAGTCTGTTTTTTTTTTTCCAAGTTTTTCAAATACTAATACTTTAATAGTCTAGATCCGGGTATGTCTTTTTTTTATTATTATTTATTTATTTCAAGGTGGGAATGCATACTAACGAAAGGTTGTAGTGTTGCCGTCGCTGACGAATCTTTAACTGCCTTCAATGATTTAAAATTGGGGAAGAAATTCAAATTTGTTATTTTCAAATTAAACGATTCTAAAACCGAAATTGTTGTTGAAGAAACTTCAACTGATAGTGATTATGATACTTTCTTGAGTAAATTACCAGAAGCTGACTGTAAATACGCCATTTACGATTTTGAATATGAAATTGGTAGTGGTGAAGGTAAAAGATCAAGAATTGTTTTCTACACCTGGTCTCCTGATAATGCTCCAGTTAGATCTAAAATGGTTTACGCTGCTTCTAAAGATGCTTTAAGAAGAGCCCTTAACGGTGTTGCTGCTGACATCCAAGGTACTGATTTCTCGGAAGTTGCTTACGATACCGTTTTAGAAAAAGTTTCCAGAGGTCCTGGTCTCCACTAGGCTGATTGACCTATTTATATTCTTTCTCCAAAAAATTACTTACACTTTATAAATGTGATATTCATGTCTGCCAATGTTGTAATTTGTAAATCTAATGATCTACTGATTTTTTTTTTTTTTTTTTTTTTTTGTTCTTTCAACTCCTTCCTCACCTTAATTCATCTTTTGGGAAGTTTCTTCAATACCTTGCATGTTCTTCACTTACTCTGTTATACTTGTTATCCAGTGTAGAAGCCACCACTTTGTTAAGTTGTATTTTGGGCTGTTGATTTTTTTTTTCCTTTCTTTTTTAGCTTTTCCACATACTTTTTTCTATCTTTTTTTGTATCTTTTGCTAAGGCACTGTAATTTTTTCAAAAATTTTTTTCTTCTTTCAATGATTCTATCATTAAAACTTGTGACTTAGTTTTCCATAATTATCTTTTATACCTTGAAAGATTAACAATTGAATAACTACAAGACTACCGTCCCATCCCACAACTCTAGTCTGTTTTCCTTCCTATCGTTTCAATAGAATAGTGTGTTTAGCAGAAATCAAAAGTGAAAAATTAAAACCCAAAACCCTATTCCCCTACGGTGTGTGTCTTCTTGCTTTCGCCCAAAAGTTTAACTACTGAATTCGAAAACTAGACCCATTCGGATAAGTTTTTCTCGTTGACTGTGGTGACAAAGAGGAAGTCAACCGGTTGAAATATATCTTGTCTACTCTTAATTCCCCCTTGATACTTACTGGGGTTATTATAAAATCAAAAGTTGAACTCTGATCTCCTTACCGAAGAAACTTTACCTCTCTATTGTTTCAAAAGTTTCAGATTTCAAATTTCCTCTGTCTTCCCTCCTCTGCTTTTTGTTTTTTCTAGGAGTAATTTGGGAATCGAGCAGACAACTTCACAAACAACAAAAAAAAATTAATAAAAACTTTTATGAAATATAAGGTTTTCAATAGATAAAAATTTTAAAAAAGAAAGAATACTTTGTTCAAATATAAATTGCAGGAGTCAACTTTCACCTTTGATTTCATCAAGCCATGGCTCCAGTTAAGCTTCCAAGAGCTACTCTAGAGCAAAAAATACAAATTCTAGATCATTATCATCGTTCAAATCGGCCTCAGCTGGAAACTGTTGATCATTTTAGAAATGAGATTTCAATATCGACGTCTTCATTCAGTGAATGGTTGAAAAATGAAGACGAATTAAGAGATCGTTTAAATCAAGCTGGTGCATCATCATTTTCTAAAAATAGTCGAAGAAAAGTTAAATTTAAATATGAAAAAATCAACCATGCAATGGATATGTTAGTGAAACAGAAACTAGAAAGACATGAACCAATTAATGAACCTATCTTGAGAGAACATTGGTCAATATACGCTCATCAATTTGGTGTTGAAGATCCAAAAAGATTGGCTGGTTTTAGTCATGGTTGGCTTTCTCAATTTAAGAAAAGACATGGTCTTAATAAAAAAAGACTAGTTGGTGATGGTTCAAGCTTAAATGGTACTACTTCTCCAACTCCGTCAGGTTCCTCCACTAGTCTTGCTCTTTCAAATGAAGATAGTCCAAGTCAAGGTTTGGTGGGCGTTGGTATCAATACGGTAAATGTAATAGATGGTCCTCCTCCTACCACTACAACCCATGATTCTACTAATGCAAATACTTATGATTTTGGTAGAAATAATTCCAATACGTCGAATAATTCACATAATTCAAATAATAATTCTCAAAATTCTTCTAATGATAATAACGATAAACACCAATTGACCCATAGAATAACTAGATCTGGTAGATCTTCCAAGATTAATAATGTTAATAATTCTCGTACTCATGATTTCAACTCTTCAAATTTAAATAATGCTTCACCCAATACTTTTGATTTAATGAATCCTCAACAATCAACATCTACTCCTTCAAATACTTCAAATGCTAATTCCTCGACAAATGGTAATAGCGTCATGAATACTTCCGGTAATCAATTCCGCCCTCAGGAAGGTCTTAGTTTCAATGGTCCATCTCATTTAAATTTTTCAAATTATGGATTATATCAACCACTGCCTCAAAGATCACCAAGTCAACCTCCTAATACTTCCCAGCATCAATCACTGCAGTCCCAACAAAGCCCGTTCGGTAATACTGATGTCACTGCTACAGGGTCAGGCTCAACTGCGTACCAACAACAATTAAGAGCTCATTACGAAAAACAAAAACATCAATATGAACAACAACAAGCTGCTCAACAAAAAGCTGAACAAGTTCAAGCTCAACAAGCTGCTCAAGTCCAGGCTGCGAAAGCACAAGCTCAGGCCCAGGCCCAGGCCCAGGCTCAAGCTCAGGCTCAGGCTCAAGCTCAAGCTCAGGCAGTCCAAGCTGCCCAAGTCCAAGCTGCTCAGGCTCAGGCTCAAGCTCAGGCTCAGGCTCAAGCTCAGGCTCAAGCTCAAGCTCAAGTTCAAGCTCAGAATCAGCGTCAAGCTCTAGCTCAGCAAGATTCTCTGCAATCTCTGCGTCAAAATCAAAGGCATACTAGGTCGGTTACCAGGAACAACATGGCAAGAACTTCAACCTCAAATTCAGGAGCCTCGTCGGCATCCCAGACTAATAGTTCTGCTAACTTGGGCCAAGGGCTCGAATCTAGCTCCAGCATTAGTGCAAGTGATATTGAAAGATTTATATATATGTTTGCTGATAAATTTTTCCGGGATCATGAATATGAGTATCCTCAAACCATTAAAGTTTTCCAGGAGTTCAAGAATTCATTTTTCAATGAAAGAATCATTAATGTGAGGTCTGTTCAACAAATGCTTCAACAGCAGTCTTCAGTACCAAATAGACCAAATCACCAACATCAGGCACATCAACTGCACCTGCTGCACCAACTGCATCTGCATCTGCATCTGCAACAACAGCAGCAGCAACAGCAGCAACAGCAACAACAGCAGCAACAACAACAACATTTGCAACAGGTTCAGCAACAAATGAATGGAATCGATGAATTCTTCTTGAGAGCTGCCGTTGGCTCTCAAGACGTTGATCCAAGAGGAACATTGAGTCGGAATGTCTCGTCCATGTCCAATAGTGGATTAGGTGGTTCTTCGGTTGATGCGGTTGTTGGGAATTCCAATAACGTTGGATCAGGAACCGTGCCCAGGAGTGATAACGGAACCAATGTATCGGGGAATAGAAGTCTGAGAAACGCTGCGGTATTGGCTAATGGAGTCTCAAATGGAGAAATGCCACTGATTGTTTCTAAGATCGATTAGAAGCATAAGAAAGAAAATCTAAACCAAATCCGGAATAAAAAAGAAAAAACTAAATATTCATAAGAAATGATAGCATAACTGTTTGATGCTGATTGCATATCAACATTGGCTGGCCTTTTGTATGTGGGAAGCACCCAGCTTTCCTTTCTCTTACAAGTTCTTTTTCATTAATGTATGAATTTCCTTTCCTTCTTTTTTTCTAACAAGTGTTTTCCTCTTCTATTTTCATTTTAGTTCTATCTCAAAAGGTCAGTTCAAACATATGTACTATAGAATATATATATATATAACACATATCGCTTAAATTACGATGTAACTACATAAAAAATTGAAGTATAACTAACATTTTTTTGAAAACCAAACTAAGACTAAACCTAAATAAATAACCGATAACAAAATGAATAAAAGAAATGAAAAAGTTAAATAATACAGAAAGATAACATCATAAGACATTGGTAAAATCAATTTCTTTAGGCAGCGTTTCATTTGCAACGTCATCATTCAAATATAGATGCTGAACATTTGTCTGAACATCGCCAATAGAAGGAGTACTTTCTTCAGCACTTAAAGAAACCTCTACTCCAACTTTGGGCACAGAATTATCTTCACTGGTGATTTGATCCTCTGGTGAACCAACCTTCTTGGGGCAATCCACGCAGTTATTACATTTTTTAGAACCATCTTCCATTACAACCTCTCTCCCACTACCGCAAGCTTCAGCATCTGGTTTGCCAGCACTATTCACCAGGGTATTCTTGATTATAGCCTTGTGTTTATGATTGTGAATGCGGGGATGATGCTTACGAGGAAACTTTGTTATTGGAGTTGCTGAAGACTCTGCTGAAGTTGACTTGTTAATTAAAGTAGCAGTGTATGCATCGCCAGCATGTTTAGCATATAAGTAGTTTCTTAATGCCATATTCTATTCTAATGGTATATTAGTTGCAAATAAATAGAAACCAAACCAAATTAAAGAACAAGCTTCCTCCATTCCTACTAACTATAAATCTACCGAATCCCATGTTGCACTCCAGCTGAATATATACTATTGGCTAAATTCATTCATTTTGCGAGTAGAAAAAGTGGAACCACTTACAAATCATGCGACTTTTGCATTTTTTGTTCCGTTGTAATTCGCTGCAAAACTGCGAAAACGCACTGAATTTCTATTTGTTTCTTTTTTTTTGGATTTGTTTGATTTGTGTGCGTGTGTACGGGTTTCGTATTAACAATCTAAATAATTATACATAGTCTAGCGAAGAAAGGTCATAGAGAATAGTTTGTTGAAATGAATAGTCTAGTTTGATATGGCGGTCTTTTGTTGGTAGCTGGAGCATCGGATACCAATCAACATGATTCCAAATGCAATGGATAAAAACTTGTACTTCAAGTTGTCGTCAACCGATGGTTGTGATTTCTTTCTTTTATGGTTATGGTGATGAGATTTTTCCTTGGAGGTGCCAAAACATATTGATTTGATTCGGTGTAATACTCCGTCGTCATCGGTGATGGTACCATCACTCGAAGTGTCATCTTCATCGTTAACCCATTTGTCGCGAGGGAAATCGGTGGTGGATTCATCTGCATCAATGAGAATACTCGAGTCATTATAATTTGATTTTTGATAAAATACTTGAGATTTATATTTCTTGGGGAGTTTACCAGAATATAAGCTGCTGATGTCATTATCGGATTCGTCATCTTGCTCGTCATTTTCCACAATATAGTTTAAATAATCATTTAATCCATTGGATAAGATTCTATTTTTGAATCTGGGATTATGTTTTAAAAACCCATATTCATCTTCATCTTCATCCTGATTATCAATACTGTTAATGAAATCACTTGTAAATGAAAATAATTCTTCTTGTCCAGAATTTGTTCTAGATAAGGTTAATTCGTTTAAAGGCAATAATCCAATTCCAATTCCTCTATTCAAATTATTTTTCTTACTATTACGATGATTCAATGTATTTTGATGGTGATAGTTTTTGGACATTATTGGATTTATTGAAACTGACCTTAATACTCTTTTTTTGTGAATTAACATTTCTCTAGATCTTTCAATTAATTTTGCATCAGAATATTCAATTTTTTTATCATTATTTCTTTGAGGACTTTTAACTTCATCATCTTGTTGATTTCTCAAATCATTTAAAGATTGTTTATTTGATAATTTCTTAATATTTTTCTTTTGTTTTTGTAATTCAAATCCAATATATGATAGTAATTTTTCATTATGTAACTTGAGTGATTGTAATTCAAACTTTAATTTCATGATTTCTTGTTTGGTTATATCATTGGACGTAGTGTTATTATTATTATCAACAATTAAACTTGATCTTTTAGATGAGTTGTTAGTATTTGATGTCAAAATTGAATTTCGATTAGAAGGTGTTTCATAAAAATTCCCCGTTAATGAATAAAATGCAGAGTTTCTAAATGATTTACTATTAGGTTCTTCTTCTTTTATTGATTGATTTTCTTCATTTATTATATCAAATTTTTTCAATTGATGTTCTCTTTCTGGTAATGAACTACTTCTAACTGTCAGTTCTAATGGTTCAAATTCAACTTTTATTGGCACAATATCATGAGAATTATATCTTGAATGATTTGGTTTAGAATTTGAATACCTTTTTTGAGTGTAAGATGTATCAAGATCAAAAAATGAAGTAGTATTTGCATTAGTTAATTTCAATGGTGAAAGAACAAATTCTTCATTATCAATTAAAGGAGATGCATGAGAAGATTTCAATTTAACTGGTAATGATTGGCGTTTTTGATTTTTATATTGTGGATCAGGGGATGGAGGAAATTTTGATTGGGATTGTTCTATATTTAATTGTGAATCTTTATTCAAAGGAGGAAATTGAAAATTATTTGAAACTTCCATTGATTCATCATCAATATAGTTTGATTGTTTAATTGGTGATGAACTTTCTAATTTATTTTTTTGTAAATCATCAACTAAATAACTTAACATATGACTATTTTGTAATCTTGAATCATTATCACTATCACTATCATCATGTTGAATTATATTATTCATATGATGAATGTTGTGTATTATACTACTTTCATCATCATTAATTGAACTATCAGTTCTTTGTGAGGTATTAAAATAGTGAAATTCATGATTTTCATCGTCTTCATCATTATTCATTTTATTATAATTTTCAATTGGAGAATTAAATTGAGAAGTTTTTGATTCATTTTCTTTATTTAAAAATTCAATTTGATCAATTAAAACTAATTTTGAATTTTGTTCAATTTCAAAGTTACTTTGTAGTATTTTATAATCCTTCAATAATTTATTATATTTTTCTAATAAATCATTATTATTCAATGATTTGACTTTTGATTCATTATTTAGTAGAATTGATTGTTTTTCATTATCAAGTTTTTCAATTCTAGAATTTAAAACTTCAATTAAATCTTTATAATAAAAAATTTCTTGTTCTAATAACTCTTTATTTTTATTATAATCATTTTCCATATTTTTCAAAATTTTTTCGTAGTTGAAAATTTTTTCTGATTGATCTTGTAATTGTTTATTTTTCAAGGAAATATCATATTCTAATTGAGTATAATCATTTGATATATTATTATTTTTCATTAGTAGTTCGGTATATTGTCTTTCGAGTTTATTAAAATCTTTTTGTAGTGAATGTAGAAGATTTGAAGTTGCTGATGGGGTTCTACTATGATTATTTGATGCATTTGTTTGTTTTTTACGTAATGGAGATCCATTATTCAATTTTGCCGGAGAGGCTAAAGGTGATTGATTTGGATTAAACGAATTCATTGCTTTACTACTCAATGGAGTAACTGTGGGAGACGATAATTTTGAGTGATGATGCGATGATGATTTAGGTTGATACGAAGGGGAACAAGGTGTTTGGTTTGTTATAGATGGGTTGTTAAATTCATTTTCTTTATCAATGACATCCATAATTAGAAACCTTTCTTTTTTTTAACAAAAAAAAAAAAAAAAAAAACAGTATAACTTTGAAAATTCGTGTAACTTTATAGCACGAGTAAGACTTTAAAGAAAAAAAAAAGATACACCGGCACAGATCACGAAGAGCGAAAGTAGACTGGGGCTAACGAGAACTTAATGCTGGAAAAATGTATCTGGAAACACTGGAATCGACTCAATTTGATATGTTGAGAAGACAAACGTAGGATGATTTTAAGTGACAGGGAATGAGATTATAAAATAATCTGGGTGAATTACTTCGATATAGTTGGTATTTACCTTTTAATTTGATTTGGATAAGTACCTTTACTAAACCAAGAAGAAAGGAACTGCAGTGAAAACTGGTAGGGGCTGTTTATTTAGTGTATGGGAAGGAAACAAAGCAAGGGTTGTGATGTTGACAAGTAGTTCCAAGGTTTTATAACTTGTATAGTTGTATACTTGTGTAGTTTTATAGTAACCTGGAGTAGCTGCAATATTGGAGATCTGACTAGAACTGGCTAACCAGATACAATAAATGTTAGAATGGAACGAACGACGGTAAGAAGAGAATTAAAGAAGTAGATAGATCTGGATATCAGAGTAACCAGGGTTGAAGGGACCGAGAATACAACCGTTCCTTAGTGAAATTGTCTAATATTGACGGCGGTTGTTAACTCCAGAAAATATTATTGATTCTTTCTGATTTAGAAAGAAGAAACTTTGGGAAAGCCAACAAGAAACAATAGTGGACCCACGATACTCAGTGTACACAAGCACAGGCCAATGGGATCTGCTGGACGAAGTCTATGAAATGAATGGGTATTTGGAAGTCTAAGAGTTGAATGTTTTTGTTTTTTTTGATGGATTTGTGGTTTTGTTTGGCTTGCCTAATTTGGATCCCGTTCGTGGTGCATGGGTGTAACCAGTATGGTGTACGGAGCTAGGTGACAATGAATGGGATTTCTGTGGCTCACTTCCCGATTGGGCAGTCGATCTTATCGCAGGGCGGAATTGGCCGAATTTCTGATCTGGGCCGAATAGAAGGCATTGGAGTCATACTGGGTATAAGTTGGAGATATATATATTGGAGATATTTGTATTATTTAAAATACTTCGATTATTCATATTGGTATACAATTAACTGAGATATAATGGTTAAGGTGATTGGAGAAAAAGAATTCCACGAACAGATCGTTTGTAATTATACTGACGTTATTGGAGAGAAGTTGGGAGGTAAAGTGCTTAAATTTTCCGATGAATGGTTTGCAGCAGCTGAAAATTTGATTAAACCAAAAGCACCCATTAGAGATGCTACCAGATTTACTCATGCTGGTGCATGGTACGATGGATGGGAGACAAGAAGACATAATGTTGAAGAAGCCGATTACGTAATTTTCAAAGCTGGGGTATCATCAGCTAAGATTATTGGGTGTGAAGTTGATACTGCATTTTTCAATGGGAACCATGCACCATTTATATCGGTGGAAGGGGCCAACTTAACTAATGATGAATTAAAAGATGTTCAATGGGAATCAATTATTGACAAGATTGAATGTGGACCACTGCAAAAACATTTTTTCGTTAGAGATTCAATAACTGATTCAAATTATACTCATTTCCGTTTAAGAATGTACCCTGACGGAGGTATTGCTCGTTTTAGATTATACGGGAGTGTTGTTGCAATTTTCCCGCAGGATTTATCAACTATAGTTGATTTTGCTTCGGTTAAAAATGGTGGGGTTGCAATTGATTATTCAGATCAGCATTTTGGCTCTGCCGATAACTTATTATTACCGGGTAGAGGACATGATATGTCTGATGGTTGGGAAACCAAGAGATCCAGAGAGCCTGGCCATGTGGATTGGGTTATTATTAAATTGGGTACTTTAACCAACATTAAAGAAATTGTCATTGATACCGCTCATTTCAGAGGTAATTTCCCGCAAAAAATCAATGTTAAAGGGATCAAAGCTGATAAGGTTCCTGTGAAAACTGCTAAAGAATGGCAAACATTGGTTCCAGATTCCAAAACTGGTGCTGATCAAGAGCATTCTTATAAAATAGATAATAAAGACTCCTTCAGTCATGTTTTGGTGACTATTATCCCTGACGGTGGGGTTAAACGTGTCAGAGTCTTGGGTACTGTAAGTAAGTAATAAAAGTTATTCGGTAAGTATTAGTTAATGAAATGTAATTTTGCAATATTTGTAAATATTTTCTCAAAGATTTGAAGAAAATTGCGGCAAGAATGAAAAAAAAAACCAAAGAGCTCATCACCTTAAGAATGAAATCAATAACTACGTTTAGGTTGATAACATGTTTGAATCAACGGATTCCAGTAAATGATTTTCTCAATACCAAATATAATCATATTCCCGAGGAAACTCTTTCTGTTGAATCGCAAGAAGCAATACTTCCTCATATAAATAAAATCATTCCTTCCAATGCATATTATATAAAACTTTTTCTTAAACAATACATCAATTTGATTGAATTATATAACGAAGAGGTGATTGAAACACTATACGAATTATACTGCGACGGTAAGATCTTAGGCTCGATTGAAAACAAAGCTGAGGATGCTGAAATCATTGAATATTGGATAAACGATGAGCAAAATGAAAATTCAATTGTTAAAATTAAAGAAACTCCTAAATTAATTTCGGGAAATGGTACCACTGGATTAAGAACTTGGGAAGCTGCATTATATCTTAGTCATTACCTTAACCAAATCGATTTAACTAACAAAAAAATTTGTGAATTAGGTACTGGAACTGGATTAGTTTCATTATCAATAATGAAAAATCATGATATTGAACAAATCATTTTAACCGACGGGGATTCAAATCTTATAGACAATTTAAATGACACTTTCAAATTGAATAATCTTCATTTAAACGATCATTTGAAAACTCAACAATTATTATGGGGGACTACAAATTTACAAAATGAAAATTTCATCCAGCCTTGTCCAAAAGTAGATATGGTGATTGCTGCCGATGTCACTTATGATTCGAGCATTTTACCCCAACTATGTTCTACAATCGTTGATTTCTTAAATAATGGTACTAAACAAGTTATAATAGCAGCCACGGTACGCAATCAACAGACAATCGATGATTGGGAAGACTATCTAACCCAGTGGTTTGCCAGTAATTGGCAAGTGGCCGACCGCGTCGAAGACCCCCACAGCCTAGGTCTCGAATGCTGGTTTAAAAAGGGTACTCCCCCAATCAACATATATAGTATTTGCAATTGAGTATTTGCAATTGAGTATTTGCAGTATAGTATTTGCAGTATAGTATTTGCAGTATAGTATTTGCAGTATAGTATTTGCAGTATAGTATTTGCAGTATAGTGTAGTAGTGCGGCACCCAGTAAGTTTCAATAGTTTTAATTGGACATTAACAAATGCGACCACCGAAAAGGCCCGGGCGTGTGCTACCCAAACCACCGTCTGCCTGTTTTCAACATGAAAAATAGAGCGAAAAGAAGAACCAACTACCAATACTAGTCAATCAATCAAACTACAAGACAAAATGGCTGTTCCAAGATTCTCTACTCCTGTTTTCAAACACTACTGGCCATTCGCCACTGGTGGTATGTATTCCTAAGATGAAATGTTAAACCGATTAATCAACCAGCCAACACCTATACCCAAACAAATACAACGCTTTGACTATATACCTTGGCTAATCACATCCTAGTTAATCACACAACATACAACTCGCCAATGTCATCATACTAACTCAATTCTAGCTGCTATCTCTTACTACTTAATCTACAATGCCAGTATTGCCTCCATGAACTCTGATGAATTCATCAATGATCCAAGACACCCAAGATTTGCTGCTGGTGGTAAATTCATTGATTTAGAAAAAAAAAATTAAACTAATGAACAAACCAAATATTCAATGATTTATGTTTCACTTTAAGTACAAAATATATAGAGATTGTTTAATCTATGGTCATATATTCATGTAAAATCATCTAGAAAAAAAAACACACCTGTACCACACGACCGTGCGTGCGCCAATACCAGAAACACCCCCGAAGTTAACGCAACCCGCAAAAACACCCATACACCAACTCAACCCGTACACCTATTGTATTGATGGACAGGGCGTATCTGCAATAAGAATGAATGCTCGCTGCGCTAGTCGAACAGTGCAAAAGTGTATTTAAAAATTAAATGCTTTTCTGCTAAAATTAACGAGACTATCAACGAATCAAAGTTGACGAACCTACGCGTGCTCGAAAATATGTCAATCCTCCTTATCTCTTCTCCAATAATTACAGTAACCTTTTAGTATTTCATGATATTTCGTTATGTTTCATGACATTTCATGATATTTCCTGGGGTTTCACGCTAATCTCGCCTGCCCAGTCAATTCATTTATCCTGATTCGAAAGATAAAAGAAAATCTCTATGTACTCAATTATCCCCAAAGCTTCTAATCGAGGCATATTCGTTACAAAACCAAACTTTAATCTATTGTTTTTTTTTCAATTGGTTCTTTGTAGAAGGTCCTATGTAGGAGTTCCCAGTAGTGAGTGGAAAAATTTTTTTTTAAGCTTTACTACTCACAATAGGAACCTTTATATTAATTTTTCCCTTTTAATCTGAAAATTAATGCTCCTTGTATAGTTATATATAATCAAACTTATATTCCCAGTTCAAATAGTGGAAGTTAAGGTCAAGTTGTGCTTTGCAAACAGTCAAGGTGTTTTTTTTATTCAAAATGTATAATGAAAAGAAGAATAACCCGGGGTCAACTACTGAAAATGATATAGAGCCTCTTGATACAAACCCAAATTCTTTTTCAAGTTATGGTACTCAAGATGGTTCATATATGTCAGAATATTATCAAGGAAATTTTTTCGAAAGATTTATTGATTCTTTTAGACCTTATGATTACTCAATTCTTTCTGATATCTTGAATCCAACTACTTCGGCAGGTTCTGGTGTGACTTCTTCTAATGGTGATGACGAAGTTCAACAAACTAGATATAGGAAACCCGAAGAACATCCTTATCATCCTCAATTTGATTATTCAAGCTTAACTGAATTAGAAAGAGCTGCCATTGTTACTTCAACTGCTCCATTAACTAGATCTTTAAAAGCAAGACACTTATCAATGATTTCAGTTTCTTCAAGTATTGGTCTTGGTTTATGGGTTGGTAGTGGTGCTGCATTAAGTGCTGCTGGTCCTTTAGGTTTACTTATTGTTTGGTTCGTAGTTTCTTCCATCATTTATGTAACCATGTCTTCGTTAGCTGAATTAGCTTCAACTTTCCCAGTTTCTGGTTCTTTCATTACTTATAATACTTTATTTGTTGATTCTTCTTATAGTTGTTGTATGGCTTGGTGTTATGTTTTACAATGGTTAATCACTGAACCTTTAGAATTAGTGGCTGCCTCAATAACAATCAATTATTGGAATCCTTCAGTTAATCCAGCAGTTTTCGTAGCCATTTTCTATGTGGTGATTGTGATCGTTAATTTGTTTGGGGTTAAAGGTTATGGTGAAGTTGAATCTTTATTTAGTATCATTAAATTAGCCGCCATTGTTGGGTTTTTAATTCTTTCAGTGGTTTTAGTTGCTGGTGGCGGGCCAAATCATGAATTTATTGGCGGTAGCAATTGGCATAAAGATAAGGGAGGGTTATTTAACGAAAACTCTCCTTTTAAAAATATGTGTTCAACCATTTTCACTGCTGCTTTCAGTTATGCTGGGGTTGAATTATATGGTTTGGCCTCTGCTGAAACTCGTAATCCTTTGAAAAGTATCCAAAAATCAAAAAAAAATTTGGTTTATTATGTTTTGGTTTTCTATATCTTAATTGTTTTAATGGTTGGTCTTTTGGTTTCTTATAAAAATCCAGAATTAATCGGAAGTGGAAGTAGTGCCGCTGCCGCTGGGGTTGACGTGAATGTTTCTCCCTTTGTTATTGCCATTAGAAAGGCTAAAATCCCAGTCTTACCGTCAATCATGAATGCTGTTATTATTATTACTTGTTTATCAATTGCAAACTCGTCTGTTTACGGCAGTCTGCGTGCTTTATGTGCAATTGGTGCTTTGAAAATGGGTCCTTCAATATTATCCTTTATCGATCGTAATGGTAGACCAATGGTTGCTTTACTCATTCAATTCGTTATTGGTTTATTGGCATTCTTGGTTGCTATGCCAAATCGTAATACTGCTGTTGATGTTTTTCAATGGATGTTGAGTATTTCTGGTTTAGGTGCTCTATTAACTTTCTTCTCAATTTGCCTTTGTCATATTCGTTTTAGAAGTGCTTTGAGTTCAAGAGCTCGTGATCCTAAAGATGAATTGGTTTATTGTGCTAGTTTATATGGTTCTTGGTATGGTTTAATCATGATTCCAATCATTATGGGTTTACAATTTTGGGCTTCCTTATATCCAGCTTCCAATGGCGGTAAAGCAGATTTAATCAATTTCTTCAAAAATTATTTATGTTTACCAGTGGTTCTTGCCTTTTATGTTGTTCATAAAATTTATGCTTGGAAATGGTTGAATATTCCTTTTTCAAAATTATACTTAACCAATGACGAAATTAACGTTGATGCAGGTAGAAGAGATATTGATTTGGAAGTTATCAAACAAGAAATGGCCGAAGAAAGATTGGCAATTAGTGAAAGAAACTTCTTATACCGTATTTACAAATTTTTCTGTTAATCATATCCCTATCAAAATTTTCTAATCATTACTTCAGTTCTCTAACCCACTCTTACCATTAATCCCTTTTTTGTTTTCCTTTCTTCTCGTGTTGTGTGATTTACACTATACCCTTTTTTTCGTCCAGTGTATAATAGACTTTAATATACCCTTTTATCATTATCTTAACATCCGCATTAGCATTATCTTAACATTCATGTAAAACCATACAATGATTCCGACTTTAGAGGAACTACAAAAACTGTATGGTGATCAAATAAATTTGGACCAGTCAGTTAAAGTTTTCAAAATTTCATTACCAAATTGGAAAAAGATTTTTGCAGCACAGACGCATAACAGGGTCTTGGAATTTAACCTTCATTCTGGACTCTAATAACCCCTTTGAAGCCATCCATTGGAAAAGCAATATTATCAAGATAAAGAATAAGATTAAGAATAAGATAACAGATTAAAAATCTCGAAATTGTTTTCTTCCCACACATTCAAAAACTTCACTTCAAATTTCATTGGTTAGCCTATAAACAATTTAGTGTCCTTTTCACAACGGCATAAGTGAAGTATTTACTAGTTAGCGTAGTTTATCGGTGTTAGATACCTTTCTTCTTTAATATTACTCAAAACGAGTGGAAAATTTTTTTTTTTTTCAATACCTCTACCAAATGCCTCTATTTTCCCGTAAACTTCTGTTTCGTCTAGACTGAATATCACGCTTGATTATCGCTTTTCTTCCAGGACATAGACCCTTCTTGTATACCTTGGAAGTTGTAAGTTGGATTGAAATCCACCAAAAGAATTGACTGAAAAAACAAAAGACTGAAAAAAAAAAAAAAAAAAAAAACTACGTGAAGGCAGGCAACGGCGTGGGTGCATCCAAAAAAGGTAAGTGTTCCAATTTTGGATTGACCGTATGAAAAAGACCGTACAATCAGTTAAATAGACGGTAACATGAGAAAGCTTCGTGTCTTACAAAACATTTATACAGAATTGTGTATAGAAGAAAGCTCGTGTAGGATAAATAGAAATATGGAACGAAGAAATTGGAATCAAAGAAAAGGGTTTAAGCGACTCGTTGGATGAGATGGATCCCACTATCGGTTTCCACAAGATCACTGAGTTCACCCACATGTAAGCTGAACGCAGCTTCTTCAAAAGAAGGCTGCATCTGCCCTTTTTTGAAATATCCTATGTCACCAGCACTTGTGTGGGAAGAATCGTCGCTTTCGGTTTGAGCAAACTCTCCAATCTTTGCTTCACCGTCAAGGATTTTTTTCTGCAATTTCTTTAAACTTACAATTGCTTCATCACGACTGATTGTTATGCCATCGGGACTTTTCCAAGAGCTCGGCCTTCTTGACTGTTTGTGTTTAATCAAGATGTGAGTCACTCGAATCTTACCATCTTCTGCAACAACCGGGCGATTTCCATTTTGTTTAAATTTAGATAAGTACAATTGTAGTTTATCATTATCGGTACCAAATGGGCATTCCCACGACGAGTCCTTAGTGGATTGGTTATAAAAGTATTCTCTGTTATGGGTACTAGATACTCTAATAGTCCAATTAGGAGGTAACCCAGTTTCTCCCATCTTTAATCAAAGGATTTGTTTAATCATAGGGGGTTAGTCTTTTTATCTGAATTCAAGGGTTACAATTACTTCGGTAGTTACACGCCATACTCTGAAAGTTAGTCAACTTTTTTGCAATCTGGTTAAACGATGCCAACTAGTCTGGAATTGAGCTATGAAATCATACTTGAGGAATGGAGGTTGTTTTCTTAAAGAACAGAATTATGTAGAATTCCTTCGTGGGACCCAGCTTTAGCTCTAGTTCGGTTGTGGGGCCGTGGATTAAAGGAGTCGATCCGAAGAATCACCGGTTATGCTTCTTCTATTCCAAGATTCGCCCTATATTTAATGTATGGAGATAAGTCCGTTATGTTTATGTTTCTATAGATATTAAGAAGTCGACTGCACTACCAGAAGTCAAAACCTATAGTTTAACGTAATTGATAAGACCAAGGTTTCGGCAATTAAGAGCGAAATATAGTGAAAGAAAAAGACAAAGTAATGGGGAGAATAGCAATAAGAATGGGTTAAGCTGTCTTGATAAGCACAATTAAATGCATAGCTGCTGTTGCAATGGAAGAACGAAAGTCCGTGCCAGCTTTTACAAACACAACCGCATTGCTTTGATGAGTGGGGATTCCTAGAGCACAGAAAGAAGCTTCTTCTGAGTTATATCCCATCGTTTAAGCTTCGAAAGATAATGTCACATCAATAAAACTTCGAAATCAGTGAAGAAGTAGAAAACTGCAAGAAAAAAAAAAAGTGCTTCACCGAAAAAGGAAATGCGCTTTCTAAAACCTATGGTTAAGAAGCTCAGATAAGACCATATTGTTGGGGCAATTAGTTGGTCGAGCGTATTGATCCAAGAGCTTATAGACACGAAGGTAAAATTAAAAGCTCAATTGTTTGTGTGTCTTACAATAGCGAGAGTATATGGTGAATGAAATTTTTTTTCAAAATCAATGAACAATATTGTTTCTTTTACTAACCCCAACCTTCAAGCACTTGAGCATAATCGGGCATTGGGCAGAGCATAAGTGCCGTGACAATTAATCAAAAGAAGGGACGAAACTAAATTTGGCACTAACCAAAATGAAAAATATGGAAATTCCACTTTTTTCAAAAACTAACTATCAATAAAAACGAAACCATAACAGGCGTCAGAAATTTTAGTCTCCCGAAGTTTAAGCTGAGACCCGATTTGTTTAATAAGTTAAAACTGGCCCATCCCCCTTTTCCTTGTTTAAATGCTTTAACAATAAGGGGGTTTATATGCTCATTTGCGGCAGGAGAGAATTTTTCATCTTGATAATGCACAGTCTTAATTTGAATAGGTTCGCATTACAAAAGAAGAATGCAATCTATTCATTTAGTTAGGAACACAACAAAAAATATCTGTACAAGTTAATTCAATACGTAAAAGTGATGTCAATATGTACTTTGGACTGTTTGAATAGTAGGATGGGCTGTTTCATCAGAATATAATACAATAACTCCGGCCCATTGCAATAAAAGATAACCTTTTCATTGCTTGATCTTGCTAATCTGCAAAAAACCGCATCGTAGAAAACGTTGTTCCAAAAAAAAAAAAAAAAAAAAAAAAGCAGAAAGAGTCTTTGAAAAAGATAAAAAAAATTGCAGCCGGCAACTAGACGAAATGCTAGCAGTCGAGTAAGGATTTACAAGAGCCGCCAGGTACGGCAGGGAGTGAAGTTGTAAAAGCATCGGTAGACGAGCGTAGGGTCATATGAGGGGGTTGAGGGAATTGATGGAACATTGAGGGAGGCAGCGGTTGTCAAGCAGACTTGAAAGGATTCTAGTGAGAGGAGATGTCTTACATATTTTACAGTTTTCATTAAGATACGAAACTTGAATTATAATGGGAATACTATGTATAAGCTAAAAAAAGAATCACCTAAGAACTGAACAAAAATAAGGACATTAAGAACTGAAGAAAAAAAAACACTAAGTAGAAACACCAAAGGGGAAAAGGACCGGTCAAAACCTTTAAAAAATAATGTAGAAATGAAAAAAACAAGGATTGACATGACTGTGACTATGTAGAGACCAGCTCTAAGAAATGAAGGAAGAATATGAAAAAAACATGCTGAGATTAGTTTGGCCCGATATTGACAAGCCATTTTCTATAATTTGATAAGATAAGTTCATGGTTATTCTTTAAAGAATTTTGATAATCTTCCGAGGATAAACTAGGAGGAAGATTTTCAGAATTTTTCTTTTGAATGTAGTTTTCAATTGGTAAGTTATTAAGGAAAAAATTATCATTAAAACCAACTTCATTGCAAGAAACATTTGGTGAATGAGTCGAATTGCAGAGACAACATTCATATAGGAAGGAGGATTCATTTGAGGAAGCCGATGATAATGAAGCCGATCTCAGTGGATAATCCGAATCCAAATCATCAATCATTGGCTCCATTGGACTAAAAGGTAAATCTTCATATAGATCATCTTCATTTTCTAAATCACTAGGGTTATTATAATCATAATTATAATCATAGTGATAATTTTTTTTGCTTTCATTACTATTGAATAATTGTTGGTCTGCTTTAACTTCCAATTCCCGACATTCTTCACTGCAGTAAAGTGAATTAGCAGAAGTGAGGAGACCATGAGCTGCACAATAATCTTGAAACATATTTGTAGAAAGTAATGAAGATAAGTATAAAGAAACGAAAAATGAAAAACAAAAGAATGAAAAAAATTCAGAAAATTCAAAGCTATATATATAGCACGAAATAAGGGGAATATCCAGATCAAACCACAGTTATAGAATAAACGTTTTTAAAGGGTGTTATAGTATGGACTAATCTCAATTGACAACATATGTAGCCCTATTATGCACAACCACAAGCTGCATTTGTCAACTACCAAATCTAGTGCACTGTACAAGTAAATCAACCCAGAGCAAGGTTAGCTTTGTTTAAGTTAAGTTTGACTTTGTTTGGCATTGTTATTCAAGTTGACCCGATTTGAATTGTTTTGTTGGTTTGAATCTTTCACAGATTTGTCGAGCCACCACCACCACCACCACCATACTTTAAACCATTAACCTTATTACTTTACGCATCCACAGGTGCTTCACGAGTCAATTGATTTTTGGTTGTTGGCAAAATAAGTGTGGATTTCTATAGTGGTTGTGGAGTTGCACCTGATTGGTTGCAATGCGAATAGTGGTTATCCAGTTTTGGTATTGCACTAGTGGTTAGTGCTATTGTGGTAGTGGCCAACCACTGGCTAATCGGTTAGTGGTTAGTACTTAACCACTATTACTAGCGACGCTGCTGGATGGGTTTTTCTCCGTAGAGCTATTCAGTTCTATGCAAGTAGGTGGAATGTTTCTATTCCGATTTAACAATCTTACAAATAAATTTGCTCAAACTACACTATCTCTTTTTGTTTATCTAGTTTGCAGTTTATCGTAGTATCTTTTTCAAACCGGATATCTTTATCTCCTTTTCGTTACTGGTGATCCACCCTGTTTCCGTACATCGAGCGGTTAGCTGAGGATACTGAGAGTATTTAGCAATGTCAGAACAGCCCCTTCCCTGTTGCAAAGCTACACTGTCGGACATTCCCTGTTGAAAATTAGAAAATGGTGGAAAAAAACGAATAAAATTGAAAAAAAAAAAATATATATATATATATATATAAGGTGTACGGAGCCGGAATCCTGTGAAATGGAGAGAGAAAAAAAAATAAAGCTTAAAGAATACACGATTCACCAACTACTAGCTCCAACAACTATGGCGATCTACTCCTTTTCAATCTTTGATAGACATTGCAACTGTATCTATAACAGAGAATTCTCGTCCACGGATAATGGGACCATAAACAAGAACAATAACACTGATTCATCCAAACTTTTGTTTGGGGTGGTTTATTCCTTGAAGAATATTCTGTCGAAATTAGCAGGAGACTCTTCAATTGAATCTCAGTCAAGTATATCAAACTTCTTGAAATCGTTTTCCACAAGCCAATTCAGAATCCATTACTACGAGTCTTTGACGAATTTAAAGTTCATTATCATAACTGATAACTCAATTGATAATATGCAGAATATCTTATGGGAATTATATTCTAACTTTTACGTAAAACACATTTCTTTCAACTACTTAAGTCAAGTAGATTTCAAATCTGAAGACGAAAAAATCTATAACCCAAATTTCATCAACGAAACTGATGCCTTTATTAAATCGTTACCAGTTTTCAACTAGCACGGCACATTATAATCGTGGTGTATGGATCGGCCTTCTGGTGTATGGATCGGCCTTCTGGTGTATGGATCGGACTTCTTTTGAATCAGCTTAAGTATGGGATTGGTGTACGGATATTGTTTTTTGCGGCCCGAAGAAAAGGCTTGGGTTTGTGCAATTTTTCATCTTGTTTAGCAGATGGGATTTAAATACAACTTGATTCCCTGAACAAGATGGAAAGAAGGAAAGAGTTGGAAGGTATATGATGGATGCTCGTCCGGTTCAGTTTCGCTCGTTTTTGCATGAGACGTTGTTTGTGTTTACTATATGCATGGCCCAATTCTTAACCCAAGGTAGTATTGTGATGTCATTATCTACGATGAATATCATCCTAGATTCATTTGCCCAAAAAGGCGACATCCAGGACGGAGAGAAGGTTTGGTTCATGGGATCTTTCGCTTTGACGGTGGGGACGTTCATATTAATCTCTGGTAAATTGGGGGATACATTTGGATTGAAAAAAATGTTTATAATTGGATGGGGTTGGTGTTGTATTTGGTCTCTCATCACTGGGATCTCTACTTATTCGAATTCGCTAGTCTTTTTCATTATATGCAGAGCATTCCAAGGCATTGGTTTTGCAATCTTGTTACCGTGTGCCATGGGGATTGCAGGGAAACTTTATTCTCCTGGTAAGCGGAAAAATTTGGTTTTTGGTTGTGTTGGTGCTAGTGGTCCGAGTGGTGCTGCTCTTGTCTGTTTATTGGCTGCGGTAGTTGGGGAGAAAACTACTTGGTCTTGGGAATTTTATTTATTGAGTATAAGTCTTGCCATATTTGGAATATTGGCTTTTATCGTGGTACCGACCGACGAACCCTTATCCCATGGGTCCATTTGGAAAACTTTTAACAGCAAATTCGACTCGGCTGGCTCTTGTTTAGGAGTGTGCGGATTAATTCTTTTAAATTTTGTGTGGAATCAGGGCCCAATCGTTGGTTTTAGCAAGGTTTATATCATAGTCTTATTGATTATCTCTGTTTTATTAATCATTGCCTTTTTCTATTATGAGTTGAATCTTGCTAAAGAACCCTTATTACCAAAATCCATTTTCCATCCCAAAATCGGTTTGGTTTTAGCTTCTCTTTCTTTTGGTTGGGGGTCTTTTGGTATTTGGCAATATTATTATTGGAACTCCATCTTGAACCTCAGAGGTTATTCTGCTATTGAAGGCGGTCTTACCTATATACCCTTCTTGGTCTTGGGGATCATTGCTGCATTTTCCTGTTCCGTCATTATTTCTAAAATAAAACCCTCTTTTATCATGCTAGCTGCTTCAATTGCCTTCATGTGCGGATGTATTATGCTATCAATCATGCCCATTGATCAATCCTTTTTCCAAATTTCTCTTGGTCAAATGTTTTTGCTAGCTTGGGGCATGGACCTCAGCTTCCCTGCTGCTTCCTTGATTTTGTCTGATTTTTTACCAAGTCACCAACAAGGTATGGCTGGTAGTTTAGTCTCTACAATGATCAATTATTCGGTATCCCTCTTCCTTGGTATAGGTACCACTGTTGAGACCAATGTGAAAAGCTCTGGTACTGACGTCCTCACATCTTATAGGGCTGCCACCTATTTTGGCATTGCAGTAGCTGGCTTAGCCGTAGTCTCTTCTTGCATTTTCATTCTTGTCCAGTATTCTTCGAGCGACTCGGCGGGAACCTTCCACTTAGAAAGCCCGCTGACTTCGGACGTTGAAAAAATTGATTCAACCGAATCCCCTACATTTTTATAGACATGTATACTAATATTTCTTAAATACTTGCAGCTGTAGCTATACTACTTTCATTGGTGTGTGGGCCTATTCCTTGGGGTCGTGCGCAGTGCACCAAAAATGAGGAAATCGATTAAAAAAAAAAAAAAACGGTAAATAAAACAAACATAACTTTCTTTGAAATTTATCACCAAACTAGTTACAGTTCCATTAGCCGAATAGATTAATTCATTTGAATCAATCTATCCATTCACAGATCTATAGATTGATTATATTTTAGATTTAAGGTCAAGATCACAGCTGGCTGTTTACTAAGATATACCCTTTCAGTACACCCAACGGACACTCGCTTTATAGGGGGGGACTTTGCATAGAGTAGCCTTAGTTGCAACTTCAGTCTTTTTTTTTTTTTTTCTTTTTCTTTTTCTTTTACTTTCATTTATTTACCTTTTCTAACCTTTCAATTCTCTTACTCTGTTTGGTATCTTTCTTTTGCAGCTTGTTTTCCAGGAATTATTTGAAGATTTTCAATTGAAATTGCGGTGAGGGAGGAATTTGCATCAAGAAACTAATTAGAGTTTAAGTGTATTATAATTACTTTTCACTTCTGTATATATACTGATAATGTCTACTACTATCACTAATGCTCAACCAGAAGCCTCACAATCTTCACCTCAGCAGGTGATACAGGCATCACCATCGACACAACAACTGCAACAGCAGCAGTCTTCTAAATCCAATAAACGACTGGAACTTGAAAAATTGATACGAGAATTCCAGAATAAATTAGGTAATGATTGGGATAAGTATCATGAATCATTGAGTTTGTTTTTGATTGGGAAACTATCGAGAAATGAATTGGTGAAAACTATATCACCAATATTGAAAAATGGTTTAATAAAGTATCATAATCGTTTATTGTTGTTGAATTTTGCTAACTCTTTGAAAGATGGTCCTTTGGATTTTCAAAATGAAATAGCTTCATTTTGGAATAAAAAAGCTATTAAACCGAAAAATGTTAGATCATCTCAATATGAAAAGTTTAAACAAAATATCATGGGATTACCTATCCGTGAGAGAAGAAGAATTAAAAGTATCACCAAAGAAAGTGGTAAAAAGGGTAAGCTTAGTGCTTCAATTACTCTTACCAGACATTCTTTATTACCTAAAATACCAATGATTCAAGATAAAGAAGAACAGCAAAATCAAGTTAACAATCTTGTTCAATGGCAACAAGATGTTGTCAATGGTATAAATACTCAAATTTGTACAGATAACTATGAATTACCTGATTTGGATAACCTTTCTAGACGTGTTCTTATGATTATGAGAGAATACGGTTTAACTGGTGGTTTAAATGCTAGGGTCCTAGAAGTTATTTCCTTGGGTTTAGAGGCACATTTGGCTAACATTTTTGAAAGTGCAATTGATGTTGCCAAATATAGGTCAAATAAATTTAGTAATAATGATTTTATATCTACTGCTAATTCAATAATTGATGAAGAAAAGAAAAAATTTAGTAATGAATCTAATGCAACCAATAATGATGATATCGAAAATGATAATATGGATATAGATAATCCTTCTCAAGGAAGCCCAAAGAAAAGAAAATTAAATGAACAACCTAAAAAGAAAGAAACTATTTTAAATATAGAAGATTTATATAATACTTTCGAAATGTTCCCTCATTTAATTGAACCTTGCGGTCCAAAACTTCGATTATCGAATGTCATGCTTCAAAATGATGATACCAATAACAATGAAAGATTACCTTATAATTTACCACCTAAAATTGAACCTATAATAGATTCAGTAGCCACTGCTAATCCAAATATCCCAGGTAATAGCAATGGGCCAAGTCCTAATACCGCCAATGGGGTTTTGAAAAAACCCGACTCCCATAATGAAAATAATGAAAAACAACCAGAAGGTATTAATCCAACTGTAAAAAAAGAGGAGCCAGCCATGCCTTCGAAACAACCATCAATTACAGGAAACTCAGCTTCTCGCACTCCTCAACAATCTGATAACTCGCATATTGGTACTACTGATGAACTAAAATGGGTGTTGCATGATCTTATATCCACGATGTAAACGAACTATTCAATTTTGTTTTTTTTTTTTGTGTTTTTATTTATTTAAACTACATTTTAATAGAATTACAATTAATGTATCTTTTTTTTTCTTAATCAAATGAATATATGACATAATGAATGCAAAGTTCTGTGATTTAAAAGTTATTTATTTTCTTTTATATGGAGTGTCAGTAGCATTAATGATTTCAAATACTCTAAGCAAGCCTTCAGTATCGCTGTCAATAGATTGTAAATGACTTATATGAAGACACTTACTGTGACAATATGCATAATTGACAAATTTTGATATAGGACCGTCGATAATATGATCCTCTGATAGTATTCTTAATTGGTTCTTTAAAGTTTGACCGGTAAGATCAATTATGATGAGATCATTTTCAAAGCTTTTCAACTTCGAGTTATTTTGAGCATCAATATTTATCCAGTAAGCTATTGGATATTCGGAATTATAAATATTGTTTAATGTCTGCGTCAACTGGATTGAATTTGTTATTTCAATTTTGGTTGAATTTAGCTCAGAAAGACTTACTGCAAATTTCGAATGACTGATTATCTTTTCAGAATTAAGTAAATCTGAGCAATTGTTGTCATCAATTCTTACAGATTGGAGATAAAATCTGAAACTCCAAGATTTATCTTTGAATGAACTTATACGTTCTGTGAAAGTATCAAAACTCGATAGTAAAGTTTTGGTTATTATTGATTTGGAATCTTGTTCTCCCAGAAGTATTAATGAGACATTTGTATTTGAGATAGTATTTTTGATCAAACAAGTATATTCTTTAATCAATTCATGATCAGATATATCATTCGGAAAAACTTTATTGAAATGAAATAGGCGATCATTTAGGGAAAATTCACAGTCATTTGAGACAGCAATGCTAGTTGGTATTTTAATATAAACCCTCAATTTTCCTTCGTGATCCATTATTGAATTCTCAAGTATGCGTCTATGATTATTATAGTTTTGAATTTTTTCCACTGAGTGATTGTGAATTTTCTTCAAATCATCATATTTTAGTTCCCATTGATCATTTTCTTTTCTAATTTCATCTAAATCGGTTTCCAGAGCTTTCAAATTAAGCAATAATTGGGATTTCAAGTCATCAAAATTGTTATAATTGTATTCTATTTCATCAATTTTTTTTTGTAAATGATCATTTTCTTGATTTTTTGATTTAACTTTATTCTGAATGGCATTAACTTCATCTAGGATTGTTTCTAACTCGTTATTTCTTGATTCATAAACCGATGCAACATTTTCAACTTGAGTTGTTTTCACTTCGAGGTAGTCATCAACCTCTTTCAGCAAAGCTTCATTTTCTTGTTTTATCCGTTTCTGTTTTTCTGACTTAACATCACTCAAAGCTGTTTGTAATCTTTCCTTTTCAATTTTGAGGGATTCTATTTCATTAGATAAGAGTTCATCCTTGTACTCGACTGACAATTTGACTTCTTCTTCCAATTGAAACTTGGTTTCATTGAATTCATCATCGTATTTTTGTTTTAATGCTTGAAGATCAATTTCAAATAGAGTTCTTTTGTTACTTAAATTTTTTTCAGTAGAGTCGGTTTTAAACCGCAATTTTCTCTCCAGTATATCTATTTCCGCTCCTATATCCAGTATTTTATGTTTTAGTTTCTTATACAATCTTCTCAAATCGTCGTTATCTTGTTCTAAATCGTATAATCTATTTTGTAAATCTTTGGCTTGGTTGTCTAGATTTTGATTAAGAGATATACGGGTAGATAAATCTTCATTTTGTTGATTCGACTCATTAGCGTTCCAACCCTCTTCTTGTTTTCCATCAGGTATAATCTTAGATCCTTGATCTAGTCTATGTTTGAAGCTGGCAAGTTTCGAATGAATGTCACTCTTTCTAGTATGAACTTGAGGTGCTGGAATTTGACTGGCCCTCCTATTGGATTCTGAAACCACTTTTACCAACTCAGATGAGCTTGAACTAGAGGGCTCTGGTATGCCTGTTGGACGGCTTTGTTTTCTCTTAGGAGAAATAGTATCCATTCTTGGGTGATCTACCCCTAAAGATTTTTTTCCGTGATTTATCATCATTGGTTTTACAAAACTATGGTCTGTATTCTGGATTTCACCGAGGACTCTTCTCTTTTTACCAGAAGGGCTCGAAATAGCCAGCTCTGGCCTTGAAAAGTCAGCCATTATGGTGGTTGTATTAAATTCAATGCAATGGGACTTTCTATACAATTCTCAAACAAATTTGATTCTACCAGTTTTGGCCCTCTCCCAATGAAATGAAAATGATACGAGGTTAGATATAACAACCTCTTCTGTCCTTCTAAGACTTTGAGTGCTTTCAATCGACGTAGCTTGGAGTCAATTCAGGTCTACTCTTCTTTCTTCCAATTTCAATGTTTACATACAAACAAAATATAAACATTCTTTTGTGATTTATTGGTGTACGGGCGTTTTATGAACTTCACTAATGGTTGAACTGAGTCAACGTGAGTCAATACAAAATATGCAATTATACAAGGATTTAGAATCACAGTATTAGGGATGTGCATGTTGAGACGAGAGCTATATACATATATACAAGCTTATCCACGATGGTCAAGGGTAATAAGCAAAGAAGGCAAATAACCTTAGGCATAATTGGACATAAATAAGTCTTTTTCATTTCATCTGGTTTTTCTTCAAGATTAAGAATAAATTAAGTAGATTAGTTAAAATCTTTGGATTGTAAGTTACGGGTCATTGCAGGTAATGCAACTCTGATACCGTCCAATTCCTTGGTCATGACAATTTGGCAGCCTAATCGGGACGTTTCGGTTAACCCGAAGGCCAAATCCAACATATCGTTTTCATCATCATCTGGTTCTGGAATTTCATCGTAGAATTCAGGATCAATAATGACATGACAAGTGGAGCAAGCACAAGATCCACCACAAGCACCTTCCATGTCCAAATTGTAGGCCTGAGCGATATCTAGAATGTTATCGCCTTCGGCAACCTCAAACTCGTGTTGTTTGCCATCCTTAGTGATGAAAGTAACATGGAGCTCTTCTCCCGGTTTGGGTTTATGTATATGACCATGATAATTTATAAACGATTGATGGAACAGTCTTATGGATCTGGGACTTATATTTTGGGGTCTAATTGATCGCAAGGCGGGAATACCGTTGGCATAGGTTCTAAAAGATGACCTGACAAGCGTTTGACTAGCTATAGATCTAAACATGATGTGGATTTCAACAATCAACCTAACTGGTCCCTGGAACTTAAACGGAGAAGAAGAGTAGTTGACTCCGATAAGCACTAAATCTGTTGAAATTTTTTTTTTTTTCTTCATTTAACTTAAGCTTGTTTTTTTTCGTTCGACTGGCTGAGATGCGGGCCTATTAAACGGCACTCATTACAAACCTGCTACAAGACGGAGGATAGTCTAGAGTAGTAGTTATATTTGGTGGCAGAAGAAAGAAATGAAATAAACAAAGGTTTAAAGTACGTATAAGTCGAATTGAAGGGAAGAATAGAAAAAAAAAAAAACGTATAAAGAAAGCACTAAAACACCAAATGGGTAAGACTTACCAAAACTTACTAGCAAGAACTAAGAAAATCAATAGGATCAAAACCGCAATGATTGCATAACTGATGAACTTATTTGCGGTGATTCTTCTGCTCATCGACTTCAAGGTCTGGATCGACTTATCGACGTAGTTATCAGCATTGGATAAGGTATTTCTGGAATAGGATATCTGTTCTCTTTGAGCCCTTAAATCGTCCAAGATGTTACCACCAATTGTTTCAGTTTCTAACGCTACTCTTTGACTGTCTCTTAATCGTTCACTGGATCTTTCCAACGATGCATTATTACTCAACAATTGTTTTCTTTGGGATCCTCTCAAGTCATCCCCTCCCAATTCCTCGTCGCCATCGGTGTATCTAGAACCAAACAATTCATTTCTATCTTGGTCGTCTAATAATCTTTTCAATTGACTTTTACTTTGTTCCACTTGATTTTTATATTGGCGTATTTTGCTATTGAAGCTTGATCTTTGATTAGAAGGTAAGTTTTGAACTTCGATGTTCATTTGATCCAACACTTCCAAAGCTTCGTCGGTAGCATTTTCAATGGCTTTCAATGATGCTTTACGTTGTTCTTCAAACTGTTAGTATTTTTAAATCAACCTTGTTCAAACTTTAAAAAACATACCGGGATCAGCAGAAGAAATCTGCGATAACTTGGTTTTGGCTTCTTGTAATGCCAATTGCAAATCAGATTCATAAGATTCAAATAAGTCTGCCATAGTTTTCAATTATATCTTGATTGTAACTTCACTAAGTTGTCCGTATGCTGGTTTTAATACTGAGCGTGATCAATTTTTTCTTTAAGTCCCATTTTTTTGATTACATAAGCGGGGTGGGAATTAGCTGCAAATACCATATAAATATATATAAATACTATAAAAATATATAATTACTCTGCAAATACCATATAAAAATATATAAATACTATAAAAATATATAGATACTATAAAAATATATAAAATTAAATACACCAATACTATGGAACAAACATTAAATCAAACAAAATCAATCTAGTAGCACTAATAGAAAAAGACTTTAAAAAAAGGGTAAGTAAGGAACGCCTAGTGCTTTATTTTCTTGCTTCAAATTCATCACCGGAAACATCATCTTCATTCTTCAACTTGTACTTTTGGAAAGCGGCCTTGATCTGGCTGACCAAATTTTCGTCGTCATAAGAGGTGATGGAGCTTCTTGATTGAGTAACGCTCAATTCGTCAAGATCATCATGCAATAATTCATTGGTTTTATTTTCATTGGCAGCCAAATTAGGAATGACATGTTTCTCTTGACTTTCTTGCTCTTCATCATCCAAATCAAGAGCATTGACAGTCAAGTTCAATAATGATTTACCGGATCTTCTTCTGATCAATTTACCAGGGAAAGGACCGGATTTTGGTAAAAATTGCTTGATAACATCTTCAGAATTATCACCATTTTCACCAGCGGAATCACTTTGCATGTAAACCGAAGATCTTTTGGAAGAGCTTCTTGGAGTTTTAGGGAGTCTACAAGTAACACCATTATCATGAATCCATTTGGCAACCAAAGCAGTCCACCCACATTGGTGAGAAGCTCCCAACCCACGACCGGTATCACCATCAAAGTACTCATAGAATGGAACATAATCTTTGAATAAAGGATCCCTGTTAACCAATTCATTTTCTCCGTTACATGCCCTATCACCTTTTTCATCTGGTACAAATAAATGCATTAAACGATGTTGAACTTCTTGAGCACATTGAGCCAAATTCAAATACTCACCAGAACCCTTAGGACATTCAACTTTTAATTCTGGTCCATAATACAAATAAAATCTTTGTAAGGATTCCACCAACAAAAAATTGACTGGGAACCAAATAGGACCTCTCCAATTCGAATTCCCACCGAACATACCAGAGTCAGATTCACCAGGTAAATAGGCAACATAATACTTTTGCCCATGGACATCCATCTCGAAAGGATTCTTCTCGTGAAATTTAGATAATGATCTAATACCATAATCAGATAAAAATTCATCTTCATCCAACATTTTCTCCAAAATTGCAACCAACCTATCCTTATTGACTAAAGATAACAATAAACGTTCACCAACACCACGAGCACTCATCGAAGCAATATTTCTTTCGGCAACACTTTTACGATTCTCAACAAACCATTCTAATCTTCTCTTGAAAGAAGGGAATTTATCTAAAAGTTCCGGTTCCAAAGTTAATGAAGCATATAAAGGAATCAAACCAACCAATGATCTAACTGGTAATGAATGAGAATCTGCTCCACCATAGTTAATGGCATCGTAATAAAACTGATCAGTTTCATCCCATAAAGATTGTTCAGTAGCACCCGAGTCACCCTTTTTAGCACCTCGGTAACTCATTGCATCAGCAATTAATAAGAAGTGTTCAAAGAACTTTGAAGCAATATTTTCATAAACAGGTCTTGACTTTGCTAATTCTAAAGCAATGTTTAACATCTGTAAAGAGAAGAAAGCCATCCAACCAGTTGAATCAGCTTGTTCTAAGTTACCACCGGTAGGTAAAGGTTCAGATCTATTAAAGATCCCAATATTATCTAAACCAAGGAACCCACCATTGAATAAGTTATTACCATCGGAATCTTTTCTATTTACCCACCAAGTAAAATTCAAAAGTAATTTTTGGAAAACACGTTCCAAGAAATCGATATCTTCGGTACCATACATTTTACGTTCAATTTTGAAAACTCTATAAGTTGCCCAAGCATGAACTGGAGGGTTCACATCACTAAAATTCCATTCATAAGCAGGCAATTGACCATTTGGGTGCATATACCATTCTCTAGTCATTAAATCCAATTGTTTCTTAGCAAATTCCGGATCAATCATAGCAAAAGGAATACAATGGAAAGCAGTATCCCAAGCAGCAAAGAAAGGATATTCCCATTTATCAGGAAGGGATAAGATATCATCGATATATAAATGTTTCCAATCTTTATTACGACCGTTGGCTCTATTTTCAGGAGGAGCAGGGGTATTTGGATCACCTCTAGACCAATAGCTATGAACAAAATGGTAAAATTGTTTGGTCCACAATAAACCGGCAAAAGCTTGTCTTTGAACTTGTCTTAATTCATCACTAATTGGTAAAGGACTAACTTTCCAATAAAAAGAATCAGCTTCATCTTGACGTCTTGCAAAAACTTCATCAAATTCCAATTCATCAATATCCAGATTTTTTTTAGAAAACTTATAACGAATCGTTACATAATCGTTACCAGGAACACCACCATCTTGATTAAAAGAAAACACTGCGGCTGATTTGGTACCATTCTTTTCTGGGTTAACTGCAGACTCAACCCCATCAACGATATAGTCATGGAAAGCATCCTTAACATATTTCAGTTCATTTTCTTGGTCATACAAGCGTTTTTGATTGGTGACATTTTCAGTGAATAATAATTTTGGCTCAACATCAGGAGAATCCTCGGTGATCCCGGGGGCAGGGGCGAAAATCAAAAAACGTTCACCAAATTTTTGATGGTCAAGTTTGATACTGGAATCACCTTCCTGGTTTAAGCTGGGTTTCCCCTTTTTAGATTCTTCATGACCCCAAGACCAAGTGTTTCTTAAAACCAATTGAGGTAAAATATGCAAAGGAGCAGCTTCATTACTACGGTTGTAAGCAGTAATTCTAAATAACAACTCTTCTGGATCATCATCGGATTTGGCCATTTCATAAACCACATCAAAGTACTTATTATCATCAAAGATGCCAGTATCGGTGATTTCGTATTCTTTTTCCAATCTTGACCGTTTACCATTTTCTTCAACCAATTTTTCATAAGGAAATTTAGTTTGAGGATACTTATACAAAAATTTCATATAAGAATGAGTGGGAGTATTATCCAAGTAATAATACAATTCCTTAACATCCTCTCCGTGGTTACCTTGACCATTGGTTACCCCAAACAATTTTTCTTTCAAAATATCATCTTCTTCATTCCATAAACCAAGTGATAAATTAACCAATTGCTTGGTATCGCAACAACCAGCCAAACCATCTTCACCCCAACGGTAAGTTCTGGACTTGGAAGTTTCAAAACTGAAATCATCCCATGCTGATCCCGACGCTGAATAATCTTCACGTACGGTAGCCCATTGTCTTTCTGATAAATACGACCCCCAACGTTGATGATAACATTCTCTGGTTTTATTTTCATATAATCTTTTCTCTTCGGCAGTCAAGTTATCAGCCAGAGTAAAATCAAAACTGGCCATATCTAATTAAGCTTAAATAAAAGGTTGTTGATAAGGTTCTGGCAGCAGAAAGATTTCAAATTTTCAAGGGGCCAATTGATATAAAAACACCTTGTAAGGTTTTTTTAAGGGATGGAACTGGCAACCTTCAGAAATAGCAGCAGCAGCAACAAAGGAGAAAAAACAACCGAAAACCCCCCAAAAAAAAACATCGAATAAGCAAAGGCGCGATAATAACTGGCAATTAGCATGGAGTTCACCTTGTTTTTCTCGGGTTTATTGCAATATTCCTGCTCAGGTTTATTGCAATTGTTCTACAGTAGCAACTGATTGGGCCTGAGATCGTTTGTTGGGATCGGGGGGCACTGGATCAATCAGTAGGCAGGAATTGTTGCAAAGTCTCGTATAATTTACAGGGTAGTGTTCCCCAGCAGAAAAAATGGAGTGGGGTTGATTACGGAGTCATCGAGATGTCAATGGATATAGATGTGGAACAGAATTCAGGGATCAGGTAATCAGGGGTACAGGATCATACTCGGGGGACACAGGAGTATTCAGAATATGGGAGTATTCAGAATATAGGAGTATAGAGAAGATTGTAGAAAAAAGTATGGGAAATGCAATAATTTCGCAACTTTTTTGCAGTTATTACAGAATTGTTGAGACTACCCCAGAATGGCCAGGAGTTATATATTCAATAGGTGATCAAAGTCATTGACTAAATCCAGGTTCAAGTGAACTTGGCCGATGCAATCAAAAACGAAATGATCATCTTTCTTACTGAAAGATAAGTATTTCAAATTGGATAAAGACTGTTTAAAATCCAGAGCATAGATTTTGAATTGATCGATTTGATTGAGTTTATAATCCAAAAGAAAAGAGGTATTGAAATAGTCTTGACAGATGAGATTATTGGTCAAGATGGGGGACGGGGTTTCACAGGCAGATTGTAATAAAACTAATTGCAAGTGAGATAATTTAGATAAAGGTTTAATTAAAAGTAGGAATTGAGGAATTTGGAACTGCAGAATTGGGAATTTTAAGTAATATAAGTTTTTGAGCGAAGATAATTTTTCAATTGACGATAGAGTATAATTGAAAGTAGCTGGTTTTGCATAATTAGGAGGAGGGTAAATGATATTTGATGAAATATCGAAATCAAAATTTAAGTAAGTTAAATTTGGTTTTAAATTAGTGAAGAATTTAAATAATTGATAATTAATATTTTCATATTGATTGAAGTTTAATTTTATGATTAGATGAGTTAATTTTGGTAAATTGGACAAAAATTTAAAAATCGAGTCATTATTATAAAGTTCATTCGATAAATCTAAATTGAGTTTTGTTAAGTTGGTTAAGAAAGGGGTTAGTTTATCTAAGAAGGTGACTGGTGGTAAGTTTCTTCTTAATCCGTTTATCAGGATGTTTTGATGAAAGAAGGATTCGGTACAATTTTTAATTGATAATTCATTCAAGTGATTGAGATTGATATTTGAAATAAGATGGTCAACATCTTTAAGATCAAGGTTGATATCTTTCAAGCAGAAACTTGATAAGTTCAACTTCTTTGTAGAAGATTGGGGGAACAATACCGATAAGTAAGGATCAGAATCGGGGATGGTCAATAAACTATTGGAGGTAATGTTTTTGGATGATAATAGCTGATTATTGCAACTAAAATTTTTGGAAATGATCACTTTTGACAAATTCGGCAAGCTAGCCAAATTTTCAAATTTGGCCAAATTGGCTGAATTTTGGAAACTCGATAAATTTATTATCTTCAAGTTGTTGAAGCCAGCCAAATTTGTTTGACTAGTGTAGATGAAATTCCCCGATAATTCTAATAGCTTGTTAGGAAATTTCAACTCATACAACAATTCAAAAGGAATCATTTTGGTTAACGAAAACCAGTGGAATACCTTCAAGTTTGTTAATAGCGGCATGATCTGGCTCAACATGTGGGTTATTTCCAAATTAGATATATCGGGGAACTCATTATCTATGATCAAAATTTGAATATAGCTAGCGTAACTGGGGTGATTAGCCAAGTTTTTGAAAACCAATCTTAACGCGTAAATCGACTTAATACTAGTTGAATGGATCGTTTGACTACTTGTAGCTTTAAGAATATTTGGAATCCGTTGATATGACTTATGCTTGATTAAATGCTGATTCTGATAATTTTTCTTACTCGAATCGATAACCAAAGACGAGTAAAGCCTTGGTAAAAGGCAGGAGTACAAATACTTATTGGTATATGCCAAATGCAATGCATCACTTGGAACCAAGGTGTAACTGATTTGGTTTAATATTTCTAACGGTAACTCTTGAAGCATTCTTTCTTGTTGACCACCTAAAGAAAAGGCCTACCTTCATGTCTAGGGACGGTTTCAAGTATGGAGTCGACACAAGCGTAGTTGGACTCGATGATTCCGTAATCGGAGACTCCACAAAAAAGCTGAAAAAAAAAAAAAAAAAAAAAAAAAAAAAAAAAAAAAAAAACCCATCAAACTTATCTGATCGGATCTGTAACCCCGGAATCACCACCCAGTCTAACCCATACACCAGGATAACACCCGTGCATCATAAAGCCGACCGTTATTCACGTGACCCAACGATTTCCGGCTCCAACAGCGCAAAAGGGAAAATTTCTTTTTCCGGAACTGCAAAAACGACAAAAAAGCTGTCCAAATAAGACGTGCGCACACCGAGGTATCTATAATTACGTGAGTGCTTATATAATCACAATTTCAGCGAGGTAAGTTACTCAGCTTTGCGAGATACTCGTATACCGTTCAGTTGGCTACAGTCAGTTGGCTACACCGAAGAATACTTGCTCCGACTTGACTAGACAGTGATATATCCTGGCATTACTCATTTGTATAGAAAGAATCAGAGGTATCGCTAATAAGAACAGAGGACTATCTCAAGACAAAACATCCAGACACCCGGGATATAGCGCTCGCATCTTTTCTTTTTCTGTTAAATTTCAATCCCTTTAATTTTTATTCTACTTCTCTTTCACAATTCAAAGGGTAATTCTATTAATCAATCACTAAGTTGGTCCTAGTATACTTGTTTATAACTACAGAATTCATTATTACCCCATTATAGGACCACTTTATTTATTTATTTATTTATTTATTTCATTCTGGAACTGTTCTCACAAGATTTTTGGCCTTCCTCCAATTACCCGCTGATTAATAAGGTCAACCATAAAAGTTTCTTTTAATTATCCAAAATTCAACTGCTTGTGTTTTGTTTTTTTGCTAGGTGTCTCATCCTTATAGACCTATAAATTAGCATAGAATATTGCATTTGGTATCACCACCTGATTTGATTGGATCTAAAATCTTAATAAGACAGTTTTATATTAGCAGTGTGCGTGTACCGATTGTACGGGAGTTTTTTGTTCAACTTTTTTTCTTTTCTTTGGTGGTAGTATTTTTGGTTAGGATTTTTTTTTAATTAATTTTTTTTTTTTTGCTTTCGGTGAAAAATTAAAGTATCTTCATTATTGATTGAGGTTGGGCAATGTTCAATACTAAGATTTTCGAAGGTAATCCTTCGAATCAGCCTAGTGGCAATTCATCCAATGCCATGAATATTCCAAATTCCAATTCTAATCAAGATCATTTAAACATACCTCAACCAATTGATATAACATATCAAAGGCGACCTTCTATATTCAATAACCAACGATTTAGAAGAGAATCAATTGCCCATTCCCAGGGAATGGGAGGAGTTAGCTGGGGGTCAGTAACAATTGGATCATGGTTAAAAGACGAAGTTATGATGTCAAGTTCAAATAATAACCCTTTACAAAATGGTCATTCAATTCATAATAATTTAAATTCCAATTTCAATAATAACAATAATTTAATCAATCCAAGAAGAGGATCATTTCGTCATAATATTAATAATAATGTTCCTTCAATTTCAATGTCTCCCCCAACAAGTTCAACTTCTTATTTACCGAATTTAGAAGCTGATTATTGTAAAGATTATAGTTGTTGTGGTCAACTTCTACCTACATTACATGATTTATTACGACATTATGAAGAAGCTCATATTAGTCCAAGTCCTCCAAATGGTACAAATAATAATTTATTAAATGGCTCATTATCAAATCACTCAAGTAATAATAGAAATCGTAATAATTTTAATAATATTCATAATGTGATGGAAACGGTTAGTACAAATGATGTATTTTTAAATAATAATCATAATCATAATTTATCAAATCAAACAAATCATTCAGACTTTAATTTAAACAATCAACCAAATAATCAAAATAATAATCAAAATCATTCAAATTTGCATAACAATAATACCAATCATTCAATTCATTCTAATAATAATCAATCAAGTCTACTGCATTCTACTCATCAAAATCAACCCTTACCAAATTCAAATCACCAATCAAATAATCAACTGCCTCATCTGCAAGATTCTTTACTACAACACAACTTACAACAATCTCATCAGCAAGCTTCCCCTCAATCAATGGATGATTCTTCTCGTCCTAATTCAATCTCAATGAATATCGATGATGAAGCTGATGCTATGTATATTGATGATCCCGCTCGTCATTTATACGTTATGGATAATGATGAATATAAGCCTTTCAGATGTCCAGTCATTGGTTGTGATAAAAACTATAAAAATCAAAATGGTTTAAAATATCATCGTTTACATGGTCATCAAAATCAATTATTAAAAGAAAACCCCGATGGTACAATCTCTATTATCGATCCTGAATCAAACACTCCTTACCTAGATGTTGCCGCTTTAGAAAGAGATAAACCTTATCGTTGTGAAGTTTGCGGTAAACGTTATAAAAATTTAAATGGTTTGAAATACCATAGAGGTCATACTACTCATTAATACTTTGTTATGATTATTTTTATTCTTTTCTCTCCGTTATATGTTTCCCTCCTTTTTTCTGTTCTTTTCCCTTTTCTTTTTCTGTTCTTTTAACCTTATTCTAAAAACCCCTTCCCTCTAGCGACCCTTGTATTTTTATTGCATTCATTATGTTTCATGCTTTTACTTACTCAATGTAACATTTTCTGTTTTATAATTTGGTAGTGTGCGCCTAATATCAAAAGTTATATCGTAAACTACTCCTTTTTATCGATTTCTTCATCGATAATGAACGCTCTGAATTTACCTATAAGAATACCGCTTAGTATCACTAGGAAATGGTTGTACTTGGTGATTTGGTTTGTATCAGTTATCATTTTATTACCAATATCAATCTTAATTTATAGCTATTTCTATAAAGTTTTAATCCCAGATTCAATTTATTCAATTCGTCCTGATATTTCACATCCTGAAAATACTTATTTGCAGTTTGATTCGGTTAAGCCAATCACAAATCATGAGATAGTTTATGACTTGGTTTTGAAAACTTCAATTACTTGTCAAACTGGTAACAATCAAGTTCATTCTATACCTTATAAAGTTTATCATGAACAAAATAAGCAGCTTGAAGTATGGAACCAGGGCCAATTTATTTATGACTGCGATATCAGAAACATCTACAGTGAAAACAATTGGTTTATACCATTTAACTTGAGATACTGGGTACCCCCAATAATAGTTAATAACTTCAAAACTTTAACTAATGTTAAGAAAATAGGGTCAATAAACTCTAAAGATTTATTTAAGGTATTCCCGAAATTCAATGAGAGAATTTTCAGCGGAACTTATGAAGGGAATTTGAAGATAGAGTTTGATTACCCGTTAAAAAATCTTATCGAAGTACAGCTTGTGACCAATTGGAATGGCCTTAGGTATTACTTGATTAATTATTCTTTAATTTGTCTGGTTATTGGAATAAGTTTCATCTGGAGTTTGAACTGTACAATATGTTTCTTTACAAGCTTGCTAGTTTGGTATAAGTTCACTCAAAATCTTACAAGTGAAAATAAAATCAAAAGCTTATGAAAAAATGTATAATAATTCTATCAATAAATAAGTAAAACATAAGACGAAGTAAAGTTAAAAAAATATGTAAGGACAAAAAAAAAATATATGTATATATAAAATCAAAAGAAGTCGATAGAACAAATAAAGTTTAACCGGCATTTAGTAATTTGAATTCATTGATACTATCAACAGGTAAGAATGGGATAATCTTTTTGAAATATTCACGTTCGTTAATTATATCAAAACTTTTATCATTGGTTGATTGTAAATAACTAAATTCATCAATTTCTACTTTATTAACCAAATATTTTTCAAATTCATCAATGACAGAATTCCATTCGTTTAAACTTTTACCTAAATTATTCCATTTAATAACTTGCTTAAAAGTTGAATTGAAATCATTGACGAAATTCTCAACATCTTCAAATTCTTCTTCATTGTACTGATTGCTATTTGATATTAAAATATTTTCAGTACTAATATAAAATTTACTGTACGAATCAGCATTTAAAAAAATTGACACTGATGGAATCTTTGGTCTCATTGGGAAATTATGATGATTTTCACTATGAACAAATTTATTCATGTTACTATTAGTTATTTGCATTATTTGAAATTTATTATTGATGCTTGCATTATCAATAATAATTTCAAATTTATAAAAAGGTCGAATAATTTCGGGAGGAATTTTGAATAATTCAGGAGGTTGATTTAATGCTTCATTTTTATTAGAATTAGTATGATTTAATTGATCAGATAATTCACTTGAAGAATCACTTAAGGAGGAATCTGTTGAAAAATCAGTAATTGAAGTTGGTGTTGACTGATATGACATTATGCTTGGACTTGATGATCTTGACTTATTAGAATATGCAGTTGATAATGACGTTAAAGACACTGAGTTTCTTTTATTTTTCAATGAAAAATTATTTTTAGATGGAGGATATAATTTACTCATATCATCATTACTTTTACTATAGATTGAATTTCTATTGCTTAATCTATTTTTTTGAGGACTTTGCTTGATATCAGTTGAAGAAGATTCATCCGAAGACAACATTTTGAATAATTTCCCGATAGAATTCACAAATGAGTTATTTCTTGGAATTTTTTCCGGAGATCCAGGTGTGGATGAAGGAGCAGAATCAATATTGGATTGGCTAGAATTGACTGCTGGTAATGAAGAACAACTATAAATAGCCTCATCGAAAACTTCAAAAGGATGTGATTTTCTTAATTCACTCGGTTTACCAAAAGCAGCAGGAGAAACTTCTTGGGATTGATCATTAATGATTAATAATTCAGTTTTCAAGTTTGTTGGTAAGATGCCAAATTTTCTATTAACCAAAGGATTATCCGGAGTGAAATCCAATTTTCGTTTATTTGAATTGAAATAAATTTTTAAATTTTGATGAGATAAGTTTAATTTCATTTCAATTTTTTTAGTAATTTGAATTGAGTTTGAATTTTCAAAATTGTTGATACCAATTACCCTCCATATGATTAATTTGATATAATAGGATCTAACAATTGGATGCCAATGAATGAATAATTTATTCCAAATTTCATTTGAGATTAACCAATTAATGAAGTTCGTTTTGAAACTGTGATTTGGATTTTTCAACCAGACCAAATAAGGTTCATTAGAATTTAAATAATTTAGGGATAAAGTTTCTGGAATCATATCCCAAATATTGAATAGGAATGCCAAATTTTTCAAGAGGGTTTGAACATGATCAGTATTAGTAATCATCATATAAGTACAACTTAACCAAAATTCCCAATTGATGATTGAATTATCAAAGATATGGTTAACGAATTCATAAAAAATATTCAAAACCAAGCTATTTTTTGAATAATCATAAACATTAATTGATTTTGTTATATTGATTAAGATATCATCAATCATTTTGATTAATTCATTGTTTAAGAAAAAATTTGAATAGTTAACATCTCTTAAAGTTTTCAAGAGTTTAATGATTGAATCATAATAAACGTCATCTTGACTAGGTTGTTTTTTATTTTGATTAAAAGGAATTGGGAAATTTGAAGAACCAATTTTATTTAATGAATTATTTTTAGATATTCTTGTAATTGAGACATTAAAAATTTGTTGAATATGGCTTAGGATAACGTTGAAACCCGGACAATTAAGGAGAATTGATGAGTCTAAAATTTCAAAATTAGATAATTTTAGTTGAATGATTGAAATGTAATGTCTGAAAAAGGAGTTGAAAACATCGCTATCACTAGAACACCACCTTCTTACCCATGAACCATTTGGATCACTAATACCTTCGACCGGATGTTTTGGAGGAGGAATACAGTTGATGAAGTTTTTCTTATCGTTTGGAATATTCATACCATTGAAATTAATCAACCAATGTAAAGATTTGGGGAAGCAAGAGTATAAGGAACCCAAGTCATCGCAGGGGATGGTCTTTATTGATTCAAACGTAGTCTGTTTAACGTTTAGAAGAAATAATAAAGCATTATTAACATTTGGTAAGTGGAAAAAACAATAAGCGAATACTTTACCGACAAAGGCACTTATTGAAACCGGAACCATTTTCAAAGTTTGTAACTTACCTAGGGAAAAGTCCAAAGTTTCGATTAATAAGTTTTGGTAATGAGAGTAAATTTCCGAATCGATATGGTTCCATTCTTTTCTGGCGATGATTCTGGAAATACATTCCAAGTATGCATTTCTATCGGTGGATGAAATTTGATGTCTTGAAGAGGGAGATAAACTAAGCAATAACGATTTCCACCATTTCAATAGATTAGTAGTGCTTATACTGATCAAGCTAGTATAAATTTTTGAATCATTTGGTAAATTATTTGACAAGGAAGAGTTTCTTAGGAAAGGAAGTAACGTTGTTCTCAAAATGTTAGTTTTCAAAATACCATTTTGTTTTGAATTAAATTTAGTTAAATCAACTTCTAATTTCTTATAACGTTTTAATAATGATTTAATTAACTTATCTTGGAAACGAAGGTCTTCTTTATTAAGATTTAAGGAACGAGGTTTTGATAATTTTGAAGGTGATAATAGCGAAGATCTTCTCGAAGCTTCATTTTTTACTGAAGAAGGTTCATGCTTTACTGAGGAAGGTTCATGTTTTAAGTTAACTGGAACCAGAGAAGTAGTTATTGTTGATTGGGAATTTGAAGATGAAGCTGAATGTTCAGATTTAACCGATTTTCTTCTATTTATAGTAGAAGCTTTAACTTTATCCATCCCGAAAACATCAACTAATAAACCAAAACCAATACCACCAATAAAACCAGTATAACCAAATACAATAACCAAAAACGTAGAATAAGCTAAATCTAATTATTCAAATCAACAAAGACACCCTCAGCACTTTATATGAAATTGATGAGGTCTTTTCTTTTTCTGCTTTTGTATCCTACTTCTATTTTAAAGTAGGGTCTGTTTATCTAGAAGAATCAAACAGCAATGTTAATTTAAGCACTGAGCTTTGTAGTGAGATAAATATTTGTCTAAAACAATACAACCTTAGCTTACCTGCTTTATTCTAGCTTGCCTTACCTGCCCTTACCTACCTTTACTTCTCCTTATTCCTTTACTATCCTCTTAGCCTTTATACCTAGCACGGGGGGTTAAACGAGACCCAGACGAGGTTTATTCGGTTAGTATTTACAAAAATGTAATAACAACAACACTAAAACGGAGAGGTTGTTATAACAAAAGCCTGGCTTAGGTAGCGCAAAATTATCCAATAGTTTATTGGATTACCGAATTAGAGTAATCCCCAGACACAATTAGTAAATCAAAGGATCTCAACTCATTTCAGGTTGGGATTTTGTTGTTTTTGTTGTTTTTTCGGTGGGTTTATTATTTTTGTTGACCGATGTTTTTGGTTAAACTGTAAATTTCATCCTTGTCAACAATGTTGACCCCTTTCTCGTTCACAAGGTGGTATATTACTTTATGATATCATAACTTAGGGTTTTTTTATTACTATTTACTTTATTTAGTTAGTGTAATTAGTGTAAGTAGTTTAATTAAGCTAAGCAGGCTTTGGCTTACTTGGAGATGATTCGGGAGTGCTGCTACCCAGTCTTAATCTAGTTTCGGTAATATGCTTTAGTTTGAGGTACTCTTTTGATGATTTATCGAGTTTTTGTTGTAAATCAGTGATTTCATGTTGTTTGGTTTTGACGTCGTTTTCAAGATCCTTTAATTTGGTGAGTTGTTTTTCGTTATCTTGGGATTTGGCCAATTCTTCTTCTTTGGCCCGTAATTCTTTTTCGAGGTATTTGGTTTTATCCTCTTTTGATTTGAGTTGTCTTTCAAGCTCTTTGTATTGAGTACCTTCTTTCAATTCGATTTGTTTTTCAACGTCTTGCAACTTGGCAAGTTGATCTTCTTTGATCTTGATCTGTTTGTCAATTCCTTGTAATCGGTCAAGAACTTCCTTTTGCGCTTCAAGTTGTTTTTCAACGGCTTTAAACTTAGCCACCTCTTCTTCTTTGGCCTTCAACTGTTTTTCTACGTCTTGGTACTTGATCACTTCTGCGTCCTTTTCTTGCAATTGTTGATCAAGTTTTTGCAATTTGGCAACTTGCTCATCCTTGATACTCAATTGTTTTTCAATTCCTTGTAATCGGTCAAGCACGTCGTCTTTGGCACTTAGTTGTTTTTCAAGATCCTGTAATCGGGCCACCTCGGCTTCTTTGGCCTCTAACTGTTTTTCAAGCTCTTGTAATCGGTCTGCTTGTTGAGTGTTACTACTAAACTCTTTTTCAAGATCTTGTAATTTCCCAAGTACTTCATTTTGCGCCTTGAGCTGTCTTTCCATATCTTTCAATTTGGTAACTTCCTCTTCTTGGGCATGGAGTTGTTCCTCAACTGACTTCAATCTGGCAATCTCCTCGTCTTTACCTTTCAATTCACTTTCAATCGATTTCAACTTGGTAATTTCCTCTTCCTTTGCCTTCAATTTTTCTTCCACTGATTTCAATTTAGCGACTTCTTCGTCCTTGGTCTTTAATTTCTCATCAGACTCGCCTAATGATTTTGTCAATTGTTCATTTGAGCCCTTGGACTCTTCTAATTCCTTGGTGGTTTTGTTCACCTTTTCGTTTAATTCTTCAATGGTTGTTTCCTTGGTCTTAACTTGTTCTTCGAGTTTTTCCAATTTCTCGTTTAATGATTGAAAATCTTGGTTGGTCTTTTCATGACCGCTTTTCAATTCGGCATTTTCATCTTGGTGAATCTTAACTTTTTCCTTTAATTCACTCACTTGTTTTTCTAAACTTGTTTTTTCAGCAATTATACCTTGCTTTTCTTGAACCAATTTAGTCAAGTGTTCATCGACGTTAGTCAATGATTTTTCATGCTTCGATAACCCTTCACCTTCTCCTAATTGGATTCCCCAAGTTTGAATTGAATTGAAAAATTTATCGAAAAATCCCAGATGATCAGTCACTTTAACATTCAAATCTTTAATCTCTTTGTTTAATGATTCGATTAATTCATTTTGTTCATTGGTTTGCTTGCCCAATTCTGTCTTGGTTTGGGTTAATGATTCCTTAACGCTAGTTAATTCATTCACTTCTAATTCGGAGTCTCTCAATTTAGCTTCTAAAGTTTCGATTTGCTCATGAGTCACTTTCAAATCAGTTTCGACTTGAGTTAACTGTTCCACTTTTTTCTTAAAATCAGCTTCGTACTTGGCAATTTGCTGATTGCTTGATTGTTTCAAATCGTCAAATAACCTAACGTGTTTTTCAACGTCTTCTTTGGAAATTTTCAATTTTTGATGTAAATTTTCGATTTCTTGATCTTTAACAGTTATCAATTTTTCCATTTCATTATTCAACTTGAAATCATACTCTTCTTTCAATTTGCTCTTTTCTCCTTGAGTCTTGGTCAAGTCTTTTTCAATCAGATCGTAGTTGGTTTTCAATGTTTTCAACTCAGATTCAAATTTGTTCTTCTCTTCACTTAATTTCTTAGTTGATTCCTCGAACTGGCTCTTCACCTGAGTCAACCCCCTAATCTCCTCATTCAAACTCTTCACAGATGCCTGGTAAGTGGCCTCTTTATCCTTCTTATAACTAGAAGTCTCATCGGATAACGAAATCAACTCCTTGGTCTTGGTACTCAACTCGCTATTCAATTTTGAAAGCTTCTCATTCAATTCCTTATGAATTTTTTCAAGTTCTCCCAACTTATTTTGATAAACATGGTACGAAACCACGGATCCAATACATCCAGCTGCGGCAAGGTAGTTACTAATGGCCATCTCTGGTTATCTAAATCAAACGTTGTTTTCTTCCAGCACTTTTTTCTTCACCGAAAAATTTCTCACTAGAAAAGTTGCCTATTAACTAACAAACTTTTCAGATTTTTCATTCCTTTTATTGGGTAATACAGAGTGAAGACTTATGTATCACAATGTACGTAGCGTGATGAGCAGATCAATACAAGTCGTGGTCATTTATTGTGTTTACCAATTGTAACTAAGTCTACTTACTCTGGTTGGCACCGTCAACTGAGTTCGTGTAACATAGTTAACTTGGTTGTTTTAGTAACTAAATCAGGATTCCAGTAGCCAAATCGGTATAATTCGGGTGCCCTCTACCAATGATATCCTCCTCTCCATGCTCTCCATGATTCCAAGTTGGTTCAACCATAAGATTTGGGTTTAAGCTCACAAGATGTTTATTTATGTCTCAGATCCTTGAATTTCACATGGGAAAACTGCACTTTTGGCCTACAAAAAAAAAAAAAAAAAAAAAATTGTATCTCAACAACTACTTCACTATCTACTTCACTATCTAAGATTTAATTGATCAGTGAAAGAGCCAGAATCAAGTCGAGATGGAATCTAGCCGTGCAAACGCCATTGCGTCGGGCCAGACGCGATCCCGGTCGAGATCCCGGTCGAGAAACAGAAGTAGAAGTACGTCCAGGAGACCATCTTTGAATAAAAGATCCTTGAGTTCGTCATCTTCGATAGGTAAATTGGACATCACTCCAATTGAGATCCAAGATAGACCAATTCCAAGGGTAGGGATTACATTGGATAATACTTTGCCTCTTGATTTCTTCAAACAAGACATACTTGCATTGACTAAGACGCTAAGAATTAGTAAATGGCATAAGAAGACTTTGAACGTGAAGTATTTGAAAGTTAATAGAATCAGTGGAGCCTTAACTAATAGTATTTATAAGATTGAGTATAATGACGGCAACATTGAATTGCCATCGTTATTACTTCGAGTTTACGGGAAGAATTTAGACTCGATTATTGATCGAGATCTGGAGTTGGATATTTTGATCAAATTATCATCGAAGAAAATTGGACCCAAATTGTTGGGGATTTTCTCAAATGGTAGATTCGAACAATTTTTAGAAGGTTTCATCACCTTGGATAAAGATCAAGTAAAACATGAAGTTATATCACAAATGATTGGTAGAAGAATGAAGGATTTACATTATAAGATTGAACTAGATTCTCACGATTATGAATCAAAGCTACCAATGTGTTGGAGATTGATTTATAAATGGTTATCAATTATTGAAAAAGATATAGTTCCAAGCTATATTGAGAATAAGGTTGATATTGATTCGGTTTTTTTAACTAGTTTTGAAAATTTTAAAAAATTGATTGAATTATACAGAAATTATTTATTTAATTTATACGATGTTGATAAATTCACCGAGAATTATAAATTTTGTCATAATGATACTCAGTATGGCAATTTATTATTGGATCAAACTTTTAATCCAAAAGATATTATTTTACAAAAAGAATTACCATCTTCAGCAGCATCATATTCGGCCATTATCGATGATGATGAAGAAGATGATGATTATGAGACCGACGATGCCGTGGTTATTAGTACTAGTAATAAAAAGGATACTAGTTTAGTAGTTATTGATTTTGAATATTCTGGACCGAACTTTCCAGCGTTCGATTTAGAAGATCATTTTAGTGAATGGATGTCTGATTACCATAATCCAGAAAAATCTTATTTCATTCATGGCGAATTTTATCCAAATCAATTGCAAAAATTAAATTTAATTAAAAGTTATATTGAATACGATTTCCAATATCCATCTTCAAATTTAAATACTAAAATTAAATTTAATGATTTCTCCAAAACTAATGCTACCGATTTAATTCAATTTGAAATTAAAAAATTATATAATGAAACTATTTATTGGAGATCAACCGTGCAAATTTATTGGTGTCTTTGGGGAATTCTTCAAAATGGTCCTTTCAAGGCAAACGATGATATTAACACTATTTCTCAAAAATCAGAAGAACAAGGGGTCAACAGTATTTATAATATCAGTACTGGTGTTGATTCTATGAGTATTGATGACCATGAAAACTTGATTATTGAAGATGCAATCACTTCTAGTGATGATGATTTTGATTATTTCAAATACTCACAACAAAAGGCTGCAATTGTCATTGGGGATTTAATTGGACTTGGTCTCATCTCCAAATCCGATATCGATGTTCCTTATCATAATATCATCAAGTATCTAGATTGTAATCTTTTCGATATATAGTTAATGTATAGAGTAGGTATTTTGATAGAATTGACGTGCTACACTACTTTTTTTGCACTGTAAATTTTTCATTTTTCTAATTTTGAATTCTTTTCCAATCTCTTTTCAAGAGGAGAAGGCAATATGTTAAGCTTTAGAACCAGGGGATATAATGGGTATGGGGTTCAGTATTCGCCATTTTTCGATAATAAGTTAGCGGTTGCCAGTGCAGCAAATTATGGATTGGTTGGAAATGGGAAATTATTCATATTAAACATTGAACCAAATGGACAAATTAGAGAACAAATATCTTGGGAGACCCAGGATGGGTTATTTGACTTAGCATGGAGTGAAATACATGAAAATCAAGCGGTGGTGGCCAGTGGAGATGGATCAATAAAGATTTTTGATATAACTGTGCCCAACTTCCCAGTAATGAATTTTAAAGAACATTCAAGAGAAGTTTTCTCAATTAATTGGAATTTAGTTGATAAGATCAATTTCATAAGTACTTCATGGGACGGTAGTATCAAGTTATGGAATCCCTCTAGAGCCAATTCCATGTTAACCCTTAATCCAACCGTTGATTACACCACCAAGACTGCACCAATACATCAAACTGCCAAACCTCCATTATCACATCAACAACAGCATCAGAATGTAAACACCAGTGAATGCATTTATAATGCCAGTTTCTCTCCGCATTCCCCATCAACAATCATAAGTAGTAATGGGTCATCTCATATTCAAATCTGGGATATCAGAAGTCCAAACCCATTACAGCTAGACTTTGTCGGACACGGAGGATTAGAAGCACTAGGATGTGATTGGAATAAGTATAAATCTACAATCGTCGCCAGTACCGGTACTGATAAATCGGTTAGGATATGGGATTTAAGAATGATTACAAAAATCGATCAACCAAACAACCACAGTCCAATGCCTTCGTACCATATTAGAGGACCAACCCCATTGAATGAATTACTAGGCCACGAATTCGCAGTTCGTAAAGTATTATGGTCTCCTCATAACGGTCAAGAACTCTTAACCACCTCTTACGATATGACTTCAAGAGTCTGGATAGATCAATCTAATGAAAGAGCAAGATTCTTAAATTCCGGTAATGGTGGTTGTAAAAAAGTAATGAATCTACATAAAGAATTTGTCATTGGCTGTGACTACAGCTTATGGGGAGAACCAGGTTGGGCTGCTTCCACTGGTTGGGACGAAATGGTTTATGTTTGGGATACAAAAAGATGAGATATTCCCGTAATGTATAATTTATTCTCAAATAGCACTCTGTAGGACTTAAGCGCATCCCATGACCTTCGATTATGCGACTGTTTACCAATTACCAGATCTATAATTTAAATAAACCCTTAGTTCATGCTGGTTCCACTAACGAACCATGGCCAATCAATTTACCCGATTAGGAAATTTCTGTGGTTAATTAAATGCGTCAAACCCGTTTCTGGTTTATTTGTAAACAGAACAATTGCTGCATTTTCAACGAGTATAACTAGCTCCATCACATCTCCCGAATAGGCAATACTGCTAGTCAACGAGAGAGGATATATATATGGACATATCACGGTAGAATGAACGGTAAAAAATATAATGAATTAATAAGAAAGTAACTTAATACCCAGTAAAGTATCCATTCTATAAATCCATTCAATAAATCCATTCATTAGGTCCATTCAATAGATCCATTCATTACATCCAATAAATTCAAGAAAATGGCCAATGCATATACTAGTATTCTTTCGCTTGAATACAACCAGTTGATCAATCATAACAGTGCTAACTTGTATGAATCCAATAACGGGTTATGGCAAGGGAGTAATCCAAGATATATGGATAATTTGAGTCCATTGAATGAATGCATCGAGAAACTTAACTCCCAATCAGAACGTACAAATAATGTTCAGCTTATGTCAGATAAACAGTTGATGAAGTTATGTATAAAAGGAACTAAGGAGTACATCAATGAAACCAAAGCTGAGATATTAAATTGCTATAATCAAATTAATTATAAAAAAATTGAATTCAGTGAAGAAGAATTTCTTAAGATCAATGATTATTTTATTATTAAATTAAATGAATTAAGTCAATATTATCAAATCGAAGTTATAATCAATAATATCAATACCAATTTTGATAGAAAATGGCAACAACTGAAAAATTATCAACTTTATCTTATTGGCAATCAGGACAACATCACCATTGCTGAGACCCAAGTAAGAATCTTGGTTGATACTTGTTTGAACGGATTTACTGTTGATCATATCGAATTACCATTATCATTGATACCAATCATTGGAGGCATTGAAATGTTGAACTTTAATGAAATTGTCAAGCAATCATTATCCAATATTTATTTACCAGACTTATTACCCGAATTATTCAATAGTAAGATTTTTGAAACTAATAAAAATTTAAAAATTTGGATTACTAGTGAAAACATTTATGAAATCATCATGACTAAGAAAATTTTACAAGATTTAATTGATTCAATTCTTATTAGAGAAAATTCTTTATTGACTAAAGAAATTGTGATCACCAAGACTAAACTTGATTTATTAATTTTATATAACCAACTGGAAATTTTGAATATTATGTTTAAAAATGGAACGTTCATTCAATTACCTTCATTAGGAGAAAACGAAACCACCATTAAAGTTCAAGGTCAAACTCCTGAATCAATAAATGAAAGTATTAAAGAAATCAATTTAATTTTCAGTGGCGTATATACTTTAGAATTATTACCAATTACAAATCAAGCACTTAACTTAATGAATGACTATTATTTAATGAATTTGATTGGAGATTCGAAAACTTTAAATGTTAATTATAATTTAATCGGGGGATTGAGTATAACTGGATCCAATAAGGAAATTAAAGTTTTGATTATGGAATTAATCAATAATGAAACTTATTGTCAACTGACTAACTTTGAAATGAATTTAATCATTGAATTAGATAACTTACAAAAAGATTTTATTAGTGGTAAAAAAAATGGTAAGATTATCAAGATATTAAATAACGTTAATCAAATTCCGATAATAAGTTTCCATGCATATAATGAATATAATTTTTTCATTAAGATATCTATTAATACTAATAGTAATAGATTTAGTAATTTACTAAAAGTTATTGAATTAATTGAGTTAGAATTGCCATCAGAATTACAATTCAATATCCCAGAAGTTTTCCATAAATCAATCATTGGTAATGGAGGTTCAATTATTCAATCAATTATGAAAAAATATAATGTTTTCATTAAATTTTCATCGAGTGTTATCCTGGTCAATGATGATTCAATTTTTTATCTGTTTAAAAGGTTTAATAATGTATTAATCAAATGTCCTATGAAGAATTCCAGAAACATTCAATTGGTCAAATTTGAAATTGATCAATTGGTTAATCAATGTTGTTTAAATAACATGATTAATAAATCAATCAATTCCACCATTTATCAAACAATTGAATTTAATTTATTGAAAAGTCATTATTTAATGATTATTAATAAAAATTATAATTTAAAATTCATTAATTTTTTGGAAATTGAAAATAATTCATTTATAAATTTTCCTAAATCGATCGATCACTTTAATAATTCAAATAATCTTTTAATTGATATTAAAGGTGCAGAATTGAAAATCCAAAATTGTGCTAATAAATTATCGCAAATCTTACCATCCAATTTTGAATTCAAAATTCCATTTTGTCATGGTAAATTTAATGAATTGATCAACGAATCAAATAAAGAGTTTAAGGAAAATATCATTATTCCATTCAGATTAATGTTAGGTATTGAATTGGTTATCAATGAAGTTTCAATTGATGATTCGTCTTGTCATCAAATCATCTTATCCTTCTGGGGTAAGCAATCGGATAAACATATTCAAATGGCCATAAACGATTTAACTTTATATTTAAGAGAAAAGAAATTCTTGATCATGGATAAATCTTTCTACAAATTCAATCCAATTAAACAAAAAAGACAAAATATTTTGAAACCCATCAACTATAACTTCACTCCAACCGCTCCTTTCAAATTCTTACCCGAGATCCCAGTCCAGCCTTTGATAGGCGGATACTCGACTTATATAAATTAATAGACACGAATAAAACGAATAAACATGAATAAAATCAATAAACACAAATAAAGGCAGAACTAAAACCCCGTGCACCACGGTTTGCAGCCACGGAGGTAAGCGTTAGATTGTCGGTCTCGTAAAGCGGCTACTTCCGGAGCTAACGGACGGGAACAGAAAGAAAACGGTCTGATTTCCCTTTTGGGAAAACCGATGGGACCACCACAAGGGCTGGTGTACGGGCCGCCCCCATCGAACCCCAACCAAAATCTAAGCACAAAAGTAGCTGAAAAATGTTGGATTTATGTCCAGCGATCGAACTAAATTATGATTACAATACTGTATGGATCTTACAATATGAAGGCTACGGGGTTTATCCCTTGTAGACATCCTTCACAGGCAGGGCGTAAACCAAGATGCAGCACCTAGCATTGTTGGGCTTCAATTGTCAAGAACAAAGTGGAAAGTTGGGGTTGGCTTGGACTGGACTTTCACTCCTTGGAAGCACAAGACACGGAGTCGATAAGGTTTTATAATGCGTTATGTCGATAAAGTTTTAATTGAGTTGAATATAATGAAGTATTAGTAAGAATTGTAGTACCTTGGCTAGTTTCCTGGTCTTCCAGTACAAAGAAACCAGGTTTGGCTGATACAATGCCAAACATTGTTGTTCTGGTCGTTGATTATAATGATATTGTGCTCATCCCTAACTCGGGCAAGACAAAATATGACATTAAGAAGACAAAAAGAAACAAAGCCAGAACCAGAAACAAAAACCAAAGAAACAGAAAGAAAAGAAAAAAAACAGGAAAAAAAAAAAAAAAAAAAAAAAAAAAAATTAACAAAAGCAGAAGAGTTTCTCAACCATTTAAATTTAAGCAGATCCAACTATCTGAATTTGAAGCTTCTATCCTTTTTCTTTAGTAAAGTTGTTTGCGCCTGCTAACATGACTGTTTCTTTAGGGTTACCACACCCTCATTTATTCAAGTTACCACAAGGAGATATTGCAACCCCTCAATCACCATTTGAAAGTGAAATTTTGAGTTATGTCTTTGATAAATCAATGAATGTTAGTACTCCATTGAGTATTGCAATTGTTTATTTTTCATTTGTTCATTTCATTAATCCATGCATTCGTCAACGTCAAATGAATTTGTATAATCAAACAGTTAAAGATAAATCTTTGATGATGAACGATTATAATACTTTAACTAAACAACAACGTAGATTATTACGTGCAGCACCATTTAAAATTGCAACTTTTACAATTTTCAAAATCTTTGTATTAATTCATAATGTATTTTTATGCTTATATTCAGTTTGGACTTTTATTGGTATGACAAGAACTATTTCCTTAACCATGAAATTATTAAATGATCAGGGCTTAACCGAAAATTATTCTTTGGTTGGGAAATTTTTCACTAGTGTTTGTGATTTGAATCATGGTGTTTTCAATGAAAACTTACCTTATACTAATTTAACTGTTTTTGGTTGGTTTTTCTATATATCTAAATTTTATGAAGTTTTAGATACTATTATAATCTTATTAAAGGGTAAGCCTTCTTCCTTGTTACAAAGTTATCATCACGCCGGTGCAATGATGTGTATGTGGGCTGGTATTAGATTTCAATCTCCTCCGATTTGGATCTTTGTTGTTTTCAATTCCTTTATTCATTCTTTGATGTATTTCTATTTTTCTTTAAGTTGTTTACAAATTAGAGTGGCTAACATTTGTAAAAGAATCTTAACTTCAATGCAAATTAGTCAATTCATCATTGGTGGCTCTTTAGCTGTGGTTCATGCATTTATTTGGTTTAAAGATTTAAATACTAATCAATCTTGTAATTGTATTGGTACTTCGGATCAAGCCTTACCTTTAATCATAAACGTCAGTTACTTGACTCCATTGACTGCGTTGTTTGCTGCTTTCTACATTGAAAGTTACATCAAAAACAATAAATCAAAATCGAAATCAAATTAATAAACATTCATCTTTTCTTATATATACATATACTTTGTAATTGCCCTGTTTATCAGTAATGGGTTTTTGGTGCACGACCTCCCCGCCAAATTTAGATCCCCGTATTCTTACTCGGGGTATACGTAAGCCATACTTCTTTCTTCTTTTTTCTTTCTTCAATTCTATTGTTTGAAGTTCATTTATATTGAATCTAATTTCGATTATATTGAGTGTATTGAGTATATTGAGTTGAGTATATCAAAGTGATTACCTTGAGTTCATTATCTTGAGTTAATATTGCAACCACTTAAAATTGCTACCAAACAAATGTAATCATGTCACAAGATTCCAATCCTTTTGAACATTCCAATAGCTCTTCGGAGACTCTTAATGAACTAAGTAAACCTTCGGAAAGACATAGACAGGAACTGGTAAGTTCTTCTATCAAAACCAAAATCAGTAATCGGAATTTATCGTTAGCGGAATACGATAAATTAAAACCAAATGATGAACATTTGGAGTATAAACATTCTTCAGAAGAAGACGAAGATGATCCAGTTAGATTTGGTTCGTCGAGCTCTGCAAGTAAAGAACCGTTCTTAGGTGATGGTCAAAAAGAAAAAGATGAATACACTGATGATTTTGGTAATAAATACGATATTGATTTTGATAATAAAAAGTATACTTCGAAGTTAAAATTTAAAGGTAATAGATTGGTTTATTTCACTTCTGCTTTTGTTTCTTTGTTTGTTTCTTTATTTGGGTATGAACAAGGGGTGTGTTCTGGTATTTTGACTTATGTTACTTTTAGATTATACTTTAATGATCCAAACCCTACTGAAATTGGGTTGGTTATATCCATTTTAGAAATTGGTGCAATGTTATCATCTTTAATGGTTGCTAAGATAAGTGATAAATTTGGTCGTAAGAGAACCATTCTATTAGGTACGTTTATCTTTATGATTGGTGGTTCTTTACAAACTTTTGCTACAAATTTATATATTTTATCAGTCGGGAGAGTCATAAGTGGGATTGCTGTTGGTATTTTATCGACAATAGTCCCTAGTTATCAATGTGAAATCTCTCCAAGTGAAGAACGGGGGAAATTGGTTTGTGGAGAATTTTCTGGTAATATTTCCGGTTATGCCCTAAGTGTTTGGATTGATTATTTTTGTTATTTTATTCAGAATATTGGTGATGCTAGGAAAAACCCTCATACTTTTGCTGCCAATTTATCATGGAGATTACCTTTATTTATTCAAGTTGTTATTGCTTTTATTTTATTCTTGGGGGGATTTTTCATTGTTGAAAGTCCAAGATGGTTGTTAGATGTTGATATGGATCAACAGGGCTTCCACGTTCTATCCTTATTATATGATAGTTCTGTTGATAATAATAAACCAACTAAAGAATTTTTCCAAATCAAAAATAATATTTTACAAGAACGTATTACGACTCCAAAATATGAACGGAGTTGGAAACATATGTTTCGTAATCATTTAACTCGAGTGCTAGTTGCTTGCTCCTCTCTAGCATTTGCTCAATTCAATGGCATTAATATCATTTCTTATTATGCACCGATGGTTTTCGCAGAAGCTGGTTTCAATGATTCAAACGCTCTATTAATGACAGGGTTCAACGCAATTGTTTATTTATTACTGACAATTGCCCCGTGGTTTTTGGTTGATCGTTGGGGTCGTAAACCAATCTTGATAAGTGGTGGGTTATCAATGGCTATTTGTCTAGGACTAATTGCTTTATTCATGTATTTAGACCGTTCTTACACCTCTTCAATGGTTGCCTTTTTAGTAATTGTTTATAATGCGTCTTTTGGTTATAGCTGGGGTCCCATCGGTTTCTTGATCCCTCCTGAAGTTTACCCACTTTCGGTAAGAAGTAAAGGGGTTAGTTTATCAACTGCTACAAATTGGTTAGCAAATTATATAGTTGGTCAGTTAACTCCAGTTCTACAACATGATATTGGTTGGGTAATGTACCTATTCCCATGTATATCATGTATAATTAGTATTTTTGTTGTTATCTGGTTTTATCCAGAAACTAAAGGTGTCGAATTAGAAGATATCGATAAATTATTCGATGATTTTTATGGTAAAAATCAATCAAATAAAGTTGGTTATAAATTCGTGAACAATTTACCCGAATCGCTTAATCATGACAATACCAACGAAGATGAGTTGGAATTAGACGAATTCGATTACGAAGCTGGCTTGATCGATCGTAGTTCTAAGCGCTTCTAGATACATAGTTTTAGATTGCAAAAAAATTGAAATAAGTTAAAACAAGTTAGTGTACCCGTTTGTAGTCCCAACAAAGACCCGTACGTCCTCTCGGCACTGGACTAATCCGGTAAAAATGTGCGTGCGCGATCTGCAACAGGATTGCGCTTGCCTCTTTAAGCAAATAAAAACGGAGGTCCCGCTAAAAACACCTGGTGTACAGACCTTCGCTCCTTGCTCTTTCCCCTTCTTCGGGGGTGCCCGAGCGCAGCCCGCTTGTTCCATTGCCGTAATTTTCAATCAAAGCCATTGGGTGAAATGGATGGATACCCTGATGGGATGGAGATGCCTCATATCCAGGTTGCTTCGCCGGAATGCGCATCTATCGATCTGGGTACGCTCGGAATGGGTTTCCCAAACGGATGCGGAATGGCAGGAGGGGGCCGCTCGACCCACCTCCCTGTCCGTGCTGGACCCAGGTCACGGAACCATCGAGCCAAATTGGTCCGGCTGGGCCCAGCTGGGGGGCGGTCCATTGTGGTGCAACGGATAAACCGCTACCCCATTGGGGTAATCTTGAAAAGGTAAAAAATAAGTGCATTTTTTTTCTTTTTATTTTAGTAAGACATCTTTATCTCTCACTGTATTATTTTTATCTTGCTTTCTATAAATCAATTTTTAAAACTACTTGTTCAAATATCTTGTTACTTGATACTCCCGCATTCGACAGGGATTCTGAAAACGAGACCAAACCCATAATCTTATCAATCGATTGGTCGTTAGCCAGAACTTATTTTGTGGATTGATCTTGTGCGTCTTATCTCTTTGTGTGAAACGTTGCAACGATCATTCAAATTCCTTTTACATCCTGTCATTTTTGACTATACCACCAGTTTTCGTTTATAGGGGCTACTACCACTAGCTTTCTTTTTTTTGCCCTTCTGTTTTTTTGGGTATTGGGTTATTTTAGAAATAGATGTATTAAAGTAGATGATGACTTCTATTCAGTTGGATCCAGATCCTTTAGGGTGTTCGAAGTTTGAACAGAATCAGCATCTCCTACAAAGACAACACCCACAACAAAGACAGAGACAGAACAAGCTGTTTACCCAACCGGGAGAATCAGCCACCACTCCAATAGCTATTCCATCTGCTATGCCCATCAGATCTTCGCCTTTGAATCAAAAGACTTCTTTTAAAAATTATCATTTACAATCTAAGAATCATAAAAATCCATCCTTTTCGTCATCTCCGTCGCCGAATTCCATGAGCTATAAGACTTCCAATTCCCATTCAAAACCATACCAGCCTTCTAGAAGATCATTCTCAACCTCTTCTTCTCTTAAGCAAGCTTCTATTAATATAACTTCTATTAAGAAATCCACCCGCTCTACTTCGTCGTCCTCTTTGTTATCGCTATCCAAATCACTATCGCCTTCTTCTTCATTTCTAGAAAGTAACTCAGTACCATCCACGAAGAAATATTCTAGGTTTAGTGATGATGAATCCAATTATGTGTTGATGAAACGTAAATCTTCAGCACATCCCTTAAGTTCTAATGATATGGAGGAAGAAATCCCCGTTTATGATTATTTTTACACCAATAATTCAAATAATCATAATGGATTGGAGTTTGAGTCTTCATTATCTTTCAAATCACCTTGGAGACCGAAAAGCTTTTTGACAAGGACTTTGTCGTCTAGTTCGACCAATTCTATCGAGTCGACTGATAGTGAAATATCCATAAGAAGTGAAATTCCTCTAGAGTCTCCATTTGCATCTTCAACCACCAGTTCTACCAATACTTTGGCGATTCCAAAGATAAATTCCAAAAATACTAATGATTCTTCTGACTCCTTATTAAAAGTACTAAAGAGAAATGATAAGGCACCAATCCAACACTCAAAAGATAATCTAGTTTCGAATTTAACTAATTCTTTGAAAAATTGGAAATCTCAATTAATCAATTATTCACTCTCGTTAACACCTCGAATGACTGACGACGTTCTACCTTTACCCACCTCAACGAAAGCAAATGAAGTTACCAACATTGAAACACCTGTTATTGATTCACCAAGTACTGAATTGAAAACTTATTCAATCAATAGTAATATAAATTATGATGATTCAATAGTGAGACTTCCTCAATTTCATAATTTTAAAAATCGTGATGAGAGAATCAACTCTCAATTCTTAAGATTATATGCCCAAGATTTCAATGCAAGATCAACAAACCTATTACCAAACACTTATACCAACGATGAATTCATTCAACTTTACAATAAATCGGAAGGGGTAAGAAATTTTCATCAAAATTTTAATTTTTATAAAATATCTAATATGTCAAAAGACAAATTATGGAATAGTGTTATATTAATACCAAGAAATGATCCGATTCCAAATGGCACAATTGAATATCAAAATTATATCTTCATTGGTGATGATAATAAATTTGCTAAGAATTCCTTAACGAGATTGAATGGTGATTATTTACCCTGGTCCAATCGTTCCTCGATCTCTTATAAACCTGCTGGTGAACTTCCGGGTATGAAACCTCGTATTAATGGACTAGCACCAAGTTCAGGAACTACAAAAGCTCAATTCACCATCAAAGGTTGGTGTAATCGTAGATGGGTCGATTGCTCCAAAACTGATGATGACGACGATGATGATGAAATCATTAATCATTGAAAAAGTTAAACAAAAGTCTTTTTTTAGCTCTTTCAATTCTTTTACTTCTTTATTCATTTCTACTTTCCTCTTTGGGTTATGTATTTCTTCATTTCTTTTATTGCTTAATTCACATCTTACTTCTTTATCCTTATTTATATTAATTACTAATTTATGCTCGTTCAATACATTAATCTTATCGGATAATCTGTAATTGTGATTGCAAAAAATCGTACATAAGCCCACAGAGGTAAAAAACAGTCACACCCGTCACATGACCCATGAACTGACTGTATCGCAGAGAAATAAAAAAAAAAAAGTCCATCGCATACATCCACCCGTACCTACGCAGTGAAAAAAACGAGGAAAAAAAAGTGAAAATTGCATTATATACAATTAAGCCCGTCTATAATACAAATTTTACCTCCTTCTCTTGTTTTACAACAACACCAAAACCAAGTAAAGATGGCTCCAAAAGGTAAAAAAGTTGCTCCAGCTCCATTAGCTGCCAAATCCACCAAGGCTTCTACCCCAAAAAATGCCTTGATTGACTCCACTCCAAAGAACTTTGGTATTGGTCAAAACATCCAACCAAAAAGAAACTTAAACAGATTTGTTAGATGGCCAGAATACGTTAGATTACAAAGACAAAAGAAAATCTTGTCTTTAAGATTGAAAGTTCCTCCAGCTATTGCCCAATTCCAAAACGTTTTGGACAAAAACACTGCTGCTCAAACTTTCAAATTATTCAACAAATACAAGCCAGAAACTGCTGCTGAAAAGAAAGAAAGATTAACTAAAGAAGCTGCTGCTGTTGCTGAAGGTAAAAACGCCAAAGACGTTTCTCCAAAACCAGTTAATGTTAAATATGGTTTAAACCATGTTGTTTCTTTAATTGAAAACAAAAAACCAAAATTAGTTTTAATTGCTAATGATGTTGATCCAATTGAATTAGTTATCTTCTTACCAGCTTTATGTAGAAAAATGGGTGTTCCATACGCCATTGTTAAAGGTAAAGCCAGATTAGGTACTTTAGTTCACAAGAAAACTTCTTCTGTTGCTGCTTTAACTGAAGTTTCTTCTGCTGATGAAGCTGAATTAGCTAAATTAGTTTCTACCATCAATGCTAACTTCATTGAAAAATACGAAGACTCTAGAAGACACTGGGGTGGTGGTATCATGGGTTCTAAAGCCAATGATAAAAAAGCTAAAAAACAAAAATTATTAGAACAACCATCTAACGAAGCTAAATAAATTTAATGCCATTTGAATTATTTACTTCTTATATCTTTTAATCATTTGTTTATATACTTAATACATTATCTGTATCAATTTGATTTGTAAACCAAATATTTGTCTATCCTATAAGCTGGGTTTTCCATTAAGTCACTGTCACGTGATAATTATTAATCACGTGATCGTTTGGTGTATGGGCCTGCTGTTCCCTGCACATAAAAACTAGCCAATGATAGCAAGGTTTTTTCTCATAAAAATTGTAATACTTTACTCAATTAACTAGTAAAACCGCTATTAGTAGACTTTCTCAAACAATTTCACTAACAAACCAAAAAAAAAACTAGAGAAAGAGAGGAAAAAAAAAAAAAAAAGTGAAGAATTGAAATATTTATATTTACAATCTTCAGTTTTAATCTCCATTTCCAATTATTACTCCATATTGAAAGAACTTTAATTGTAGCATTTTATCGAAAATCCTTATCTTTTTCCCTTTCCAACCCAACATTTATAATAATATATTAATAACATGTCATTTTTCAGAGACTTAATAGAATCTACCTTCCCAGCTGTTTACGCTGAAGAACCAGAAGAAGAAGAACAACCTCAAGAAGAAGAATCTGGTGAAGAAGAACCAAAAGAAGAAGAATCTAGCGAAGAAGAACCAAAGGAAGAAGAAGAATCTAGTGAAGGTGGTGATGACGAAGATGGTGATGACGAAGATGAAGACGATGAAGATGAAGATGAAGACGATGAAGATGAAGAAGAACAACCAGATCCATTGGATGCTTTACGTGAAGAATGTGTCAACAGTTCTGCTTGTAAATCTTACAATCACCATTTCCAAGAATGTGTTGAAAGAGTCACCAAAGAAATGGAAGAACCAGATTATGATCAAAAAGATTATAAAGAAGATTGTGTTGAAGAATTTTTCCATTTACAACATTGTGTTAATGATTGTGCTGCTCCAAGATTATTCTACAAATTAAGATAAGAAAGTATAAAAAGTATACAAGGTATACAAAGTATACCAACTGTACATAACTATTCCAATAAATGGAATAAAAGGTACCATCTTTTATTCTGATATATTCTGAGCTTCATAATACATATAAAAAGTCTTAAACAAAATTTAAAAACCCCAAAATTAAAAAAAAATAAAAAAAAAAACTAAAACTAAATTAAACAATACATTGATTTAACATTATAGAATGATCTTTCATCATTTTATATCTGCCTTTTATTTCTTTTGTCTCCTATTTTCATTCATCTAAAAAACTTGTCCAAGGACAGAACTTGCAAACCTGATTGAATTTCTTACATTTATCGTTAGAGTAGTTGGTTTGTTTTTCCATTCTTCTGCCTATATATATCATTACTGATTTTAATTATCATATTTATTAGTTAGTCTTAATTGTAGTTAATTTATCTTAATGTATTTGCAACTAGCCGCTCACATAGTGAGTAAAGTTGCATCTATTTGGTAAGATTTTGGTGATAAATCAGTAAAAATCATGGCTTCAATTGCTGCCTTAAAACCATTATCTATGCAGACTTACAATACACATACCAATAGCTTCAATACAATACACATATCAACAGCTTTAATAGAATACACATACCAATCGGTGTTTTAATAGGTAAATCGTATTTCAATTCGTATATAAATATAGATAGAAATTATGAAATCAAGCAATGGCCGCAAAAAGCAGGTGTGTCGCAGCGTGTTTTCGACAATGTTTGCGACAAACTCGCGGGTCACGTGAATAAATTCAATTTCTCGAAAGTTCTGCTGTTGTTAAGCCTACAAACAACCACCACCACGCAACAATCCAAACAACAACCAAGGTTGGCACAACAGGCTGTTTCATTTGTTTGCATTGCCAATCAACTCCTAATCACTGGCCATTGATACCCAATGGCTGTTGACCAGAACCATTTCAAGTCACACTAGGGTCAATGTAAAACAAATAAAATAGTTCGCGCAAAATAAGGAAGGTTGGCTGAAAATTTCGAATTTGCCATCCGAGTTTAGGATTTCCCAATATATATGTAACCGGAATTCTCTTGTTATTATTGTGGTTATATCCTTTTTCTTTTCTCTTTTTTGATTTTTCTATTCCTTCATTGAGTCGATACAACTCTAGTTAAGTCAAGAATATTTTCTAACCTTTTAATTTGGAAAGAAATAACCCCCCCCTGTGAATAAACAAGCCCACATTAAGTAACTTCTTTTTTTTTTTTGTTGTTGTTAAGAGATTTAAATTGTGAATATGTCTGAACAAGCTACTAAACAAGTCATTGAAGATAGAATCTATCTTGGTAATGTTGATTACAAGGCCACCGAAGAAGAAGTTAGAGAATTCTTCAAGGATTTAAAGGTGTATGTATGAAAAGAATCAATTAGTGAAGAAGTGCTTGATACTAACAATTGTAGTACTGAAGTTGATATCCCAAGTAAAACTTTTAAACTCGGTAAAAAAACCGTGGATAGACACTTAGGTTTTGCTTTTGTTCAATTTGAAACCAAAGACGATGCCGATAAAGCCATTGAAAAATTTAATGGTGAAGAATTCAAAGGTAGAAATATTTATACTAAAAAAGCAGTTCCACCTCCAACTGAAGAAGAAAAACAAATTAAGACTGAAGCTTATAAGGCTAAAAAGGCTGAAAAGAAAAAGAAACTCGCTGAAAAAAAAGCAGCCACTAATGCCACTAAAAAGAAGACTGAAGAAAAAACTACCCCAGAAAAAGAATCTAAAGATGCTACTGAAAAAGTTCCTGAAGGGACTCCTTCTAAGGATACCATTTTCATTACCAATTTAGATTACAAAGTTGATGTTCAAACTTTAAGCAATCTTTTCAAAGAATTGAAACCAAAATGGATTCATGTTCCAACCGTTAGATATCCAAAAAGATTTCAAAGAGGTAGAGCTGGAGGTAAACCAACTCACAATAAGGGTATTGCTTTTGCTAAATTCTCTAGTGAAGAAGCTCAAAAGCAAGCCATTGCTCAATTTAATGGTAAAGATATTAATGGTAGAGAAATTATTATTGATATTGCCATTAATACTAAAGAAAGAGAAGGTGAATCTACCCCTGAAGAATCAGCTCAATAAGTTCAATCGGCGTAAAAAAAGAAAGAGTTATGTTATGAATTAATATCTTTGCATGTACTAGTGGGCTTTAGGAATTATCATTTACTTTAATTTATTAAGTTATTATTGAAGTATTTTTTTCATTTGATTGTTGATTCCTTTTATAGTACATGCTTGATTATGTTTATTGAATTATATGTATGTCATTATCATTAATGATAAAGAAACCGTCTTGTATAAATACATAAAATTTCGAAATAAAAGTAAAATATAATAAAATCAAAACTAGATTAATGTAACCCTTGCAAATACTGTGACGAATATTTTGCTGCAATTCGGGGAGCCCTAGACGTATACACGTGACTATCAAAATTGAGCGGTGACTGTTTTCTTGAGAGGTGATTTCCGGTGGCAGACTGGGTCGGAGTTGCCTTTCAAAAAACTGGAAGAATGTATGGCGCGCATCACGTGAAGCGGGATATCCTGAATTCCGGCAACCACCGATTTGTTATTTCCACATACTTCTCGTTCCTAACAAGCATTTTGGAAAATTTCATCAGACGAAAAAAATAGTGAAAAAAAAAATGTTAAAAAAAAAAGTAGCGAATTTTGTACTTACTTGATTAACCAACTAATTCAACATCAAAAATGGGTATGTTTAGAGTGATATTAATGAACCATACGGCATGAGCGATGTCCACGGGAGGAAAGTACCCAGGAAACCATGTTCAAGCTTATATTCGATGAAGATTAACAAAATACTAACATCATTACAGGTAGAGTTATTCGTAACCAAAGAAAAGGTGCTGGTTCAATCTTCACCGCTCACACCAGATTAAATAAAGGTGCTGCTAAATTGAGAACCTTAGATTATGCTGAACGTCATGGTTACATCCGTGGTGTCGTTAAGCAAATCATTCATGATGCCGGTAGAGGTGCTCCATTAGCTAAAGTTGTTTTCCGTGATCCTTATAAGTACAAATTAAGAGAAGAAACTTTTATTGCTAATGAAGGTGTTTACACTGGTCAATTCATTTACGCCGGTAAAAAAGCTTCTTTAAATGTTGGTAACATTTTACCATTATCTTCTTTACCAGAAGGTACCATTGTTTCCAATGTTGAAGAAAAATCTGGTGACAGAGGTGCTTTAGGTAGAACTTCTGGTAACTACGTTATCATTATTGGTCACAACCCAGATGAAGGTAAAACCAGAGTTAAATTACCATCTGGTGCCAAAAAAATCTTAAGCTCTGATGCCAGAGGTGTTATCGGTGTTGTTGCCGGTGGTGGTAGAATTGATAAACCATTATTGAAAGCTGGTAGAGCTTTCCATAAATATAAGGTTAAACGTAACTCTTGGCCAAAGACTAGAGGTGTTGCCATGAATCCAGTTGATCACCCTCATGGTGGTGGTAACCATCAACATATTGGTAAAGCTTCTACTATTTCTAGAGGTGCTGTTTCTGGTCAAAAAGCTGGTTTAATTGCTGCCAGAAGAACCGGTTTATTACGTGGTACTCAAAAAACTCAAGATTAAATGTAATTTATAATTATCTTCATCTTGTTTTTATTATCCTCTAATGAACTTTCCTCCATCCCTCCTCACACGACCTTTCTCCCTAGCGTTTTATGAATAAAAGAATGAATAAACATGATATTGTTGGTGAATACGAATAATTACATTTGGGGAGACTCCAACTTATCATATATTAAGTCAACGAATTATTTTTATTGATTACTTGATTATTTAATAATGTCCTACTTCTTATATAAATAAGGCTTATTTTTTTTTTCAATATCCTTTGTGCATTAATATATTACAGTAACCTTGTATTTCTGTACCTTGTATTCTGCTTGTAGTACGAAGTTGAATTAACCATCAGTTGAATTAACGGTAGCGTCGTTTGCTTATGTGAGTTTGCGAAATCAGAGCCCTTCAACGGTATCCCCGAAAAAACTCGTAAGTACAACCCGATCCGGATTGTACCATCACCTACAGCATACAGCACAAGAGCATCGGCTGCATTCTCCAAGGATCTCCAAGATTCCCCCAGCCAATCAAAGCAGTATCCTCACCTCGGAAATTGTTCATTTGGGGTAATTGAAATCGGTCTACCGTTTTTGCAAATATTTTGCACCAACAGGGGAATTATTCTGGCAATTGGAGAGGACAAATATGAGTCACAGCATCACAATACGCAGAGACCATGTATCTAATTGAATTCAATTGGCCGCAGTATCTTCAGTATTCTCGAATGCCCGTATGACTAACGTGTCCGCAGAATCATAGTAGCCCGTCGAATTAACGTGCCCGTAGGTTTGAGACGCAGTCTGGTGCTACACGGTGTTTGCAGCTGCAATTTCCCAGATCAAGAACGATCATATTTGATCGTTGATGCTTCAATAGCCCGAATAAGAGCTTAAATGCTCTGTGGAATATTCCGCTTCTGTCATAGTGCCGTTCGTTTTTAGGCATGCACCAATTTCCATCGGTTTTTTTTGCAAAGAAAACAAAAAAAGTACTGTACTTGCCCTTACCAGGGCTTGCTCAGTCTGAGTCACTATTCCTTTCCAGACAATGCACCAGGTTGCCAAAGACCCAGTTAGAGGTGATAATAGAAAGCACAAGAATAAAGTCGGGAAAGAGATAACAGGCATCTCGCGCACTGTATGCCGTCCTTCGTACTGAAAAATTAACTAGTGCGCTGCCAATTTTCTAATAATCTATTTTTTTTTCTTTTAAATAGAAGGCTATCTAATTATAATTTCCTTCTTTATTTCTTTCTTTACTGATATTTCATATATCTAGTTAGTTCTGTTAGTAATTCCATGGAGTCTAGTCTAAACCTGTCGATTCCGGTGACATCAGGCTCATGCCCTTTATGGCATTATGATGATGTTACTAAATGTGCTAAGGATTCTTATTTGGATTTCGGTATACCAGCATTAGTTGGGTTAATATCATTTTTGATATTGTTATCTAAATCTATTGGTTCATGGTATAAATTTAAAAAGAGTATTCAATTAACCAACGATGAGAATCAACCTCTTTTGGCATCTTCCGACGCGTATGGTGCCATCGGAGATAATTATGCTCCTTCTAAAGAAGTTAGTAATACTTCTATTAAAGAACGTCATTTTGACTTGATTCGTTTATCTCATACTAACGAAGACGGTACCCCTCATGGAAGTATCCATGAAGTGTATAAAAGTGGCGGAGAAAGATTTAGAGTTAGTTTAGAATTTCTTTTGGTTCTTTTCCAACTTGGATTATCAATTAGTTTATTCTTAGTTAAAGACCTTAAGAAAGAATGGAGCGGGAATCTCACTATCCCAATTACAAAAGTCATGTTCTGGAGTTATTTATCTATTATTGCCACTTTTAGAGTGATAAATCTGAAAAAAGTTGTCATTCGTTTACCAAGTTTATGGGCTCATTCAACTTTCTCATATTTATTCAAACTTATTCCAAGCATCCTTACTTTCAGATCAGCATTAATCAAGCATGTCGCAAATGAAACGGTTCGTAAATATTACATCATTGACTTTACCATTACCTTCGTTTTATTTGTACTTAATTTCTCTGCTAAAATTGCTGATAAACCTGCTCAGTTATATGTTCCAAGTGATGGTTCAAGCCCTTCTCCCGAAAAAGTTTCAAGTCTTTTCTCATTCTTAACTTATTCTTGGATTGATAAATTGATTTTTTTGGCTTATAGAAAACCTTTGGAAAAAACTGATATTTGGGGATTGGCCTATGATGATTATGCATTGCCTATTTTAAAATCTTTTGAAGCTTCAAAATCGACTTCTAAATTTGCAGTTAAACTTTTCACCCATTTTAAACTTTTATTTGCAATTCAAGCATTTTATGCAATTTGTGAATCAATACTTGTTTTTGTTCCTTCTTTACTTTTGAAAAAGGTTTTAGAATATGTTGAAAATCCTTCCGTCACTCCAACTAATGTTGCCTGGACTTTAGTCATTTTAATGCCGGTCACCAAAATTATCACCTCTATTTGTAGTGGTTGTTCTCTTTTCCTTGGTAGAAGAGTTTGTGTTAGAATGAAAGCTATTTTAATTGGTGAGATCTATGCCAAAGCTTTGAGAAGAAAAACCACTGTTCAAGACTCTTCGGATGAAGATGATGCTAAAAGTAAATCTTCTAATGGTTTGACAGAAGATACTAAAGATGATAAAAAAGATGACAGCTCTGAACCTGGTACTGCAGAATTAGGTGCCATCATCAATTTAATGTCTGTTGATGCTTTCAAAGTTTCAGAAATTTGTGGTTATTTACATTTTTTCGTTAGTTCTATCTTGATGATTTTTATTTGCGTTATATTATTATATAAATTGATTGGTTGGAGTGCTTTGGTTGGTTCATTATCAATTATTGCCCTTTTACCTCTTAATTATAAATTAGCTCGTTGGTCTGCTAGTTTACAAAAAACGATGTTAGGTATCACTGATAAAAGAATTCAAAAATTAAATGAAACTTTACAAAGTATTAGAATTATTAAATTTTTTGCTTGGGAAGATAATTTCATTTCAAATATAATGAAAATAAGAGAAGAAGAGTTAACTTACTTAAAATGGAGAACTGGTGTTTGGTGTTTTGGTGCTTTCGTTTGGTTCATTACCCCTACTTTAATCACTTTACTTTCTTTCTACGTATATGTCATAATCGAAGGTAATACCTTGACTGCTCCAATTGCGTTCACCTCATTGTCCTTATTTACTTTATTGAGATCCCCATTAGATCAATTATCAGATATGACTGCTTATGTTATACAATCAAAAGTTTCCGTTGATAGAATTGGTGACTTCTTAGAAGAAGAAGAAACTTCAAAATACGAGCAATTGGGCCAAGAAAAAGGTCCAAATTCTCCTTACATTGGTTTTGAAAACGCTTCTTTCTCTTGGAATGAATCTTCTGCAGATGACTTTAAATTGAGAAATCTTAATATCGATTTTAAGGCTGGTAAATTGAATGTTGTTATTGGTCCAACTGGTGCAGGTAAAACATCTTTATTATTAGCCTTATTAGGTGAAATGAATTTAACAAGTGGTAAAGTTTTCTTACCTGGTATCATTCCTAAAGACGAATTGATCGTTGACCCTGAAACTGGATTGACTGAATCCGTTGCTTACTGTTCTCAATCTGCTTGGTTATTGAATGACTCAATCAGAAATAATATTACTTTTTCTGCTCCTTTCAATCAAGATCGTTACGATAAAGTAATTGAAGCCTGTGGTTTGACCCGAGATTTACAAATCTTATCTGCTGGTGACTCTACTGAAATTGGTGAAAAAGGTATTACTTTATCTGGTGGACAGAAACAAAGAGTTTCTTTGGCTAGGGCTTTATACTCTAATTCTAGACATATTCTTTTAGATGATTGTTTGTCAGCTGTCGACTCACATACTGCTTTATGGATTTATGAAAATTGTATTTCAGGTCCTTTGATGCAAGGCAGAACTTGTATTTTAGTCTCGCACAATGTTGCTTTAACTGTTCAAAAAGCTGATTGGATTATCGTAATGGATAATGGTAAAGTAAAAACACAGGGTGTTCCTGAAGAGTTATTAGATAGTGGCGAATTAGGTGATGATGAATTGGTTAAGACATCAGTATTAAATTCTCGTAATCAATCAACAACTAATTTGAAATCTTTGGAAGACAAGAACTCGAACTTGAAAGCCAAGGCTGCAACAATTGAAAATAAATTGAAAGCTTTAGCTGAACAAGAAAATCCTGAAGATGCTCCTGTGAAATCTGATGGTAAATTGGTCGAGGAAGAGTTCAAATCCGAAGGTGTTGTGGGATTAAATGTTTACAAAGGATATGCTAAAGTATTTGGTGGCTGGCCTACTTGGACTGCTGTCTTATTTGCATTCAGTGCTTCTCAAGGTGCTTATATAATTCAATCATGGTGGTTGAGAAATTGGTCCTTAAGCAGTGAAAAGTCTCAGGTAATGAATGTTTTGTCATTAGTAGGTATCAGCAATGTTTATGATGGTACTCAGGTATCAGGCTCACCTTTGATTCGTACTTTTATTGGTGCTTATCATCATATCAGCCAAGCTTTCACTACTTTAGAAACATATAAAGAAGAACATTCTACTATGTATTACATCTTAATTTATGGGGCAATTGGTATTAGTTATTCTATCTTGGCTTCGTTCAGAGTTTATGTGACATTTTTCGCCGGTATCACTGCATCTAACAGAATTTTCAGACAAGTCTTGGATAAGGTTATGAATGCTAAATTAAGATTTTTTGATAAGACCCCTCAAGGTCGTATTATGAATAGGTTTTCTAAAGATATTGAAGCTGTTGATCAAGATTTGACCCCATGTTCCGAAGGTGTTTTCATATGTTTGGTTCAATGTGTATCAATTTTAGGTCTTATTATCTTCATCACCCCTGGTTTTGTCATTTTTGCTTTTATCATTGCTTACTTATACTATTTGGTTGGAATTTTCTATATAACTCTTTCCAGAGAATTAAAGAGATTCGAATCTATAACCAAATCCCCAATCCATCAACATTTCTCCGAATCATTAGTTGGTGTGGCTACGATTAGAGCATACGGTATTGAAAAGAGATTCATGAAACAAAACTTGAAAGCAATTGATGAAAACAATAAGCCATTTTTCTACTTATGGGTTGCTAATAGATGGCTAGCTTTCCGTATTGATGCTGTTGGTTCATTGGTCATGTTTTTTGCTGGTATTTTCGTTTTATTGTCTGTTGGTAGAATTGATGCTGGTTTAGCAGGTTTATCTTTATCATACGCTATTGCCTTTTCTGAAAGTGCTTTGTGGATTGTTCGTCTTTACGCTGGTGTTGAAATGAACATGAATTCAGTTGAAAGATTGCAAGAATATCTTGAAATCGAAGGAGAACCTGCAAGAGAAATTCCTGAGACCGAACCTCCTTCAACATGGCCAGAGAGAGGTGAAATTCAAGTGAATGATGTTTCTTTAAGATATGCCCCAGAATTACCAAGAGTCATCAAAAATGTTACTTTCCATGTTGAACCTAATAATAAAATTGGTATTGTTGGTCGTACAGGTGCTGGTAAATCAACCATCATCACTGCTTTCTTTAGATTCTTAGACCCAGAAAGTGGTTCTATTGTTATTGATGGTGTTGATATCACCAAGATTGGTTTACGAAACTTACGTCAAGCCATTACAATCATTCCTCAAGATCCAACTCTTTTCACTGGTACTATTAGATCCAATTTAGATCCATTTGATCAATACGACGATAATCAAATTTTTGAAGCATTGAAGAGAGTTAATTTGATTACTGCAAATGAGCCTAATCTTGGTGAAATTAACGAAAACCAAAATAAATTCTTGAACCTTTCTTCCACCGTTACTGAAGGAGGTAACAACTTATCTCAAGGTCAAAGACAATTGATGTGTTTAGCCAGATCATTATTGAAAAGTCCAAAGGTTATCTTACTAGATGAAGCCACTGCTTCTATCGACTATAAGTCAGATGCAACCATTCAAAAAACTATTCGTGATGAATTTTCAAGCTCCACCATCCTTACCATTGCTCACAGATTAAGATCTATTATTGATTACGATAAAATTTTGGTCATGGATGCTGGTAAAGTCGTTGAATACGAAGATCCATACGTATTGATCGCAAATAAGAATTCTTTATTCTACAGCATGTGTGATAACAGTGGTGAATTGGACGCATTGACAAAATTGGCAAAGGAATCATACGTTGCAAAAAAGAACACTAAATCCCTGTCTAAGTAAACTCAACTAATAATTAATCCATACTTTATTTATTCATTTATTTCTCTTTTTTGATTGCGTTCTTTCTTGAAGAAAATCCCGCTATCTCTGGCGTTATTCCCTTTCTATCTGCTTTAAATATTTGATTGACTGGTGAACAACCAACATTAAAGTCATCTTTATATATAATTAATAAAATTACTTTATTATTTAGTACGCCAGTGTGGTTCGAATGTGATTCCATTGTAGGAAAGTCTGATGCAACCAAAAACTGGGTGTGTGAATACCAAAATCCTTATCGCCACAGCTGAATCTGGAAAAGATAAATTGAAGCTGATTTCAGACAAACAAACAACTGAAGCTAGAGTTCTTTACAGCTGTTTGATAGTCGAATTCGATTTCCGCCCTTTTCAGATAAGATATTGTTTACATAGTGTTGGGAATTAACTTGAAAGAAAGATCATTGGAGTTAGAGTGATTTGCAACTCTTTTACCTAATATAACACGACTATGGAAACTCCAAAAGATAAAGATTCCAAGCAGATCCAAGTTCAGGTGGACAGCTCCGGAAACTCAACTAACCAAGATTTAGAGTCTAGTTTAACGGAACTACTTCCATACAATGACGATTATACGAGACCATCCACGGAATTGAATGGAAACATTACGTATTTAGCCGAGTTGGAGGAATCACCCCAGGGCAGGCACTTGGGAGTATTTTCCACCTTAGTTCTCTTTATTAGTCGTATTCTTGGGTCTGGATTTTTAGCTGTCTCGAGTGGTATCTACGAGGATTGCGGTGGCTCACCATTTTACTTTTTATTGGCCTGGATTATTGCTGCAATCCTAGCATTTAGTGGTTTGTATGTTTTCTTAGAGTTGGGATCATTAATACCCAGAAGTGGCGGAACCAAAGTCTTTTTAGAATTCATTTATGACAAACCCCATATGCTTGCAACTGTGGTTTTCCTGGTTTATTCAGTTATGTTTGGATTTACAATTCTGAATATTCTTGTTTTTGGGGAATACTTCTTACAAGCTATTGGAATTGAACCTACCGAATACAAGACCAGAATTACTGGTTTATTATTCTTGTATGTAACGGCTTTGATTCATGGGTTGAGTGTGACCCATGGAATTAGAATTCAAAACTTTTTGGGTTTGTTGAAGTTGGGGTTGGCAGTCATTATGGTTATGACGGGCATATATACCTCTTTCTTTCCTTATTCAATCACAAAGCTCGAGAACCATTTGCATTGGAACGAATTCTTCCATGTTAAGACATCCATATCTACATCCAAGTTTTCAAGTGCTGTTATTAAAGCTACCTTTGCATACGCAGGATGGAACTCTGTGCATACTGTGTCTAACGAAATTAAAGACCCCGTGAGAACTTTTAAGATTGCCGGTCCTTTATCATTAATAATAGTTACTATAACTTACGTATTTACTAATATTGCTTACTTGGTGGTTATACTGGACGATGAAATCAGAAGTAGTGGGAAGTTAATTGGATCACTTCTTTTCGAAAAAGTATTTGGTTACAGATTCGGTAAACAGTTTTTAACATTCGCTGCTGCATCTTGCGCTGGTGGAAACGTCTTTGTTGTTTTATATACCATATCCAGGACCAGTCAGGAGGTTTTCAAAGAAGGTTATCTACCATTTTCACAAGTCATGGCCTCAAACTGGCCATTAGATGCCCCAATGCCAAGTATAATCCTAAGCTGCTTCTTATCAACTGTCGTAGTGCTTGGCTCACCCGGTAAAGATATTTATGGTTATATCGTTTCTTTAGAAGGTTATCCAAACCAGATATTCATCGGTTTAGCTACAATAGGTATTTTCATTATTAGACGAAGGTATCCTCACGTAAAGGCTCCAATTAGGGCATCTTACATCGGTACGGTATTGGTGTTATTAATCATTACCTACCTTTCGGTTTCTCCTCTTGCCACTCGCCAGAGCCCCAACCCAGAAGGTTTAGAAAATTGGCCAAATTTTGCAATAGTTGCAATTATGTGTATGGTGGCTTGTGTTTCATATTGGGCCATCATGTTTAGGATATTTCCAAAGATATTTGGATATGAGCTTATATCAGAAGACTTCGAACAAGAGGATGGACTTGTGGTGAAGAAGTGGATAAAGGTATACCGTTAGAAAATTCAATTAGATTATTTATTTATTATTCTTTATAAATCTATAGACTCACCTCTTATTCTCCGTATGCAATTTTTTCAATTCTTTTAACGAAAGCAGCAAATTCTTCTTGTTTTAGTTTTTCAACAACTAACTGCTTTAATTCTCGATCAGTCAATTTCTTAATTTGTTTGGTGATTTGACCACTAGAGGAATAACCTCTTCTACTCGTGCAACACGGTTTTGATACCTTATCAGTAGTATTTATGGAAGGTTGCAACCTTTTGCTTTTTATCTGACTATTAAGCCCTTCACCATAACCTTTACTAAATGGTAAGCTATCGATTGAATCGCTAACCAGGTCTTCTTGAGAATTTGTTTTAGTTTTAGGTATACCGACTGCTTTCGACTGAGACACAGCATGGCCATAGACAGACTTTCTCGTCTGTGACGAAAAGTCTGCCACTAGGCTATTCTTTTCAATTTTATCCGGGCGTGAATTGATATTCTGAACTGACAACCTCACATCAGGATCAGTTTGGCTTTGAGGATGCATTGTTTTGTGTGGATACATTAGGTTGTCATTATTAACCAAGTATTTGTTCCAACTTTCCCGTGGAGGAGAAACTGTCTGCCAGAACAGGGGGTTTGTCAATGGTTGCGATTGGTTAATATTATGACTCAGAATGCCTTCCTGCTTTTGGCTAGCAATCGAATATGATGGAGGTGACAAATAAGTATGCTGATTGACCTGAGTGTTTAAATAGCTGTCCGTTTCAAATTGGTGGAGGTTATCAGAATTGTACTTATCTCGGCCTTCAGTGCTAATTCTATTGTGTTGTGAGTGCTTTGATAAGATATTGCTCTTTGGTAGACAAGGGCGTAATAGAGGATAATTGATCGGTGATTTATGGTTTTCTTCACTAAAAGAGTGGAAAGAAGCTTGAGTTCGAGGCTCTAATGATTGTTGAATAGGAGGAATCGACACGGGAAATAGAGAATGAAACTGATGTGGATGAGGATGTTTACTCTGGGTTTGAGAAAAAGCCATGTTAGCATTTTTGGGTTGGATTTTATGAACGGAGGTTTGGCTAGGGGGAAATAACAGACTTGGAGGAGGTAATTGTGGAGTCGGATAACATTGTTGACTTTGAGCAGGAGACCATTGCTGACTTTGAAAAGACTGAGACGCCTTGGAGTCAGCATATCTTAGTGTGTTCGGTAAATTTGTCTCTATAAATGAACAGAACCGTTCAAGATGGCTAGGATCCATGAAATTCAATTGAAAACGCTTGATTATTGTATTATTCTCTGACTGCTTTACTGCAACTGCCATCATTTTCACGTAAAAGGACGTGTATCTTCCTTGCACAATACGTAAAGATTCCTAAAGAAAAAGAGGTCGAGAAGTTAGACATCTATTCAAAAATTAAGAAGAAATAGGTAATTCATACTATTGATTGGTTACTGACTCGAAGAGATATTATTTTAACTGGATCCAGGAAATCGCAGTGAATGGTAAGCGAAGATTTCGTGACATGGCTCCAGTTATCAGAACCCATCTGTTTTATGGAAAAGCTCTTCAAGGGGAACGAGGAAACTCTACCATCAAATTGACTCATTGTATAGTCTCTATATGGGATCTCTTATTTGGGAGAAGAAGGATGTAGATGTAGTTTAAGTTCAAGAGCGGCAAACTTTTTTTTTGAGAAATCAATTTTTGCAACAAAACCCGTTCTTACTTACAGAGTAGTACGAAAAGCTGGAGAAACAGAAACAAAGATTGCAGCTACTAGAAGCAGTTAGTAAGCATATTCTTTATTAGGATGGAGTCTATTGAAGTCGAAAATTAAAAAGATTACTGAAGAATTAACTGCTTGCAAAAAAAATGTTACTACCGTTATACAAAACATTATACAAAACATTATACAAAACATTATACAAAACATTATACAAAACATTAAAAGCGGTATATATATCATTAGTCTAAATCAAGGAAAGCTTGTCTTTTCTTTAATAGCTTTCTCTCTATATGCTCACCGTCTGGTCCAATTTCAAAACCAAAGATCAGTTCTGCAGAAGAAATTAGGAGGTCATGAATGGTAGAGTTAACTCCTGGGTAGTCAAGGTTAGATTCTCGAGAACTAAATTTACAACCATCATGAGGCTTTTCACCACTGAAAACCCTTTCCAACCAAGCGAAGCCGGATGGAATACCCTTGAATATTTCTGTTATATGTCCACCCATATCCAGATTTAATTCTAAGGATTTGATTCCCCTATCACACCAAGCCTTTGCAACTCTGGGTGAGTTTTCAGCATAAGGCACAATGGTATCATTATAGCCATGAAATATCATAATAGGGACTTCTGGAAGAGTCGAGTTACTATGGAGGGCAAGAGTACTATTATTAACTACTTCCTTCACCATTTTTTTTTCAAAGACTTTCCAACCATCCTTGAAATACCTATAGGGCCCCGTGAAAAAGTTCTGGAAGGCATACGAGGTAATGGAATCAAGCATACATTTTTTGAAGACCTCGCTGAATGTCTCGTTTTTACCGGGCATGATTTGTTCATCAATTAAATCTCTCAAGTCGTCATTTTCACTTGCCAAACCTCCGAGTGCCGAAGCAGTCAAACCAGCAAATAAGGTCCCTTCAACACCTACGGCAGTGGCTGTGACATTTGTTACGAATCCCCCAAGCGCAGCACCTATGAGATGCTTCTTCAAGTCCTTAGCGTAGGTTGGTTGTAACTCAAGGGCCTGTCCACTTGCTAGGCTCCCCCCAGAGTAGCCAAACATACCAACCTGAGCGTCTGGATCAATGTTTGTCAAGTTCCCTGACTTTAGAGCTGCTCTGATGGAGTCCAAAGTAGCATGTCCACTTTGGCGCCCAGCGGTGAACGTAGCCTTGCTACCTTCATAATCGGGAGAAACAACATACCAACCACGATCCAAAGCAATTTGAATCAATAACATTTCAGCTTGGGTTGTAACAGTAGACATTTTGGCACCATACAAGAAAGCATAAGATGGTGCACAATCGGGACTACTGGAGTCTTCGGCAGTTTGGTAGGCTAGTAATTTCGAAGAATTCCCATTATAAGGTTCAATAACCGTGGTGACAAATACATTAGGATTGTCGTGGGAATCAGTTGAACGAACTAGCAATTGCCACGAATTCTTGACATTTACCGGGAAGTATATACTTCTAATTCTGCTAGGAGTATTTCTCGTTTTCAAAATCGTCCCCGGTTTGATTTTATCAAGATCACCAGAATAAGTATAAAAATCATCTTCAGTGGGTAGCTTCACTCCCACTGGAGTAGATAAGGTGACTTGTAATAAAGCGAAAAGAAAGAAAAGTGACTGGAGTTGTATTTTCATGTTATGGCGTTGAATGGCATCTCAATCTCTCCAAAGCCATGATACCGTGAAAGGGAGACTATTTATACAGCAATGAACTCGGCTCAAGAGATTTACCTCCCAGTACGAGATGCCTTTCAATTCTCCATTCTCCAACTTCCTTACTTGGAGAATGCAATAGATCTACCACTGGAAACACTAGCACTTCCAAACTTCCAAATCATAATTACTTCAAGAGGAAAAGGACCTTATTTGTAAAACTACTTTAACATGTCCCAGAAGAGTGGAGATAACTACTCTTTGGTCCATGTTAACCATTCTGGTAAACGCAAACATTTCGGTGTATCCCCAAAGAGAATAAACCTTAAATGCCAATCATAGCATACGATTAAACTTCAGCCAACCTTCGTAGCTGCTGCTACCCCGAGTTTTGTGGTTTCCAATGGAACCACCATCTGCACTGCTAAAGTTTATTTACACAAGCCAACGAAATCGGCTCACTAATCTTCAAAAAATCTACAAATATGCAAATCTTCCAAACCAGACACAGTGCATTGAAATATTTTATAATCAGGGTTGTGTCATCAGGTAACGGTCGTATTGGGTCAGTGGTGGTGACCTTCAGACTGGTCTTGTCGTACAGTAATAAACTAATAAACTAAAAAAAGAGAGAAAAAACGAGTGCGGATGTTTGCAGCATTTTTAGAACAATTGGATCGAATCCCCAAAGAGGAAAGTCCCGGGCTCCTCTGATATTTATTGTCATGCATTTAATTTAACGAAATGACAATAGAGAATGATGCTAAAGTTAGGTTTGTTGAGGCTTCGTCGCGAAATGTCTTTGTTTTATGAAGACTGCAAAAAAAAATAAAAAAAAGAGACCTTTTGAGGAGCCCCATCGCCATGTGATATGCGTACTAGTGAGATAAGTTGGTTGAGATGATGAGCTTGGTGGATATAGTTTCCAGAAGGGAGCATGTCACTTTTGAGAGCTTGTTTGGAAGAATGGTGAATATAAGCGGAATAAACTTATGCACAATATAAGATGAGGCGAATGAAGGCGAATTAAGGTTACGTACAACACAAGATAAGGCAAAAGGAAAATTAATGAAAGTTATATACAACTCAAGATGCCGGAGGTTCTCCACATTTTTATTTTAGCCTATTTGATCATTGGAAGGTATTCTGTGTTTCACATGAATCAAGTAAAGTCAAGGGATTTCCTCGAAATGGTAAGTTAATCAACTGTGGTGGAAAGTACTTGCGCCTGGGAAGGGTGATCAGTGGAGTAAAGATCCTGCAAACGCATCCTAAGCACAAAATAAATACTGCGAAGATGTAAAAGTAATCTATATTCAGTTAAGCTGATTTATATGAGTCTAATTAAGAAAGTAATATGTACAGAAGAAGCGAAGATTTAGGTTATTCAATAAATATGTAAGCATGTCATGGGCTCCTAGCGAAAGCACACTGCCTGCGATGTCAGGATTTAAAGATTTGGATTGTGATAATCCCAATTTTTTTTTGTTTTTGTATATATCTCATCATTAATAATAAGTCATAAACATGGAAAGTAAAAAAGGCAAAGGCCAAAAAAGCACGGATAAGGTCATGAAATATATATGGGACGATAGTCGGTATCACCCTATTATTAAAAGAGTATTGAAGCAGTAATACCCAATTATTAAAATGCACTTGTGGAAATGTTTGTTAGTACAGGCTCAGGGATTCAAAAAGCTGATGAATCGATACCATCAGGGAAGTAGGTATCGAATTTTTTCAAGGAAACTTGATACAATAACAACATTATGGAGCTCTGTATACCAGTCCAAATGAAACGAGGACCGACTCCGGAAAACATTCCTAAGATACCTTCATTTTTGTAAATGGAACCTAGGGCTTTAATGGTGGAGGATTTATTTAGTAATTTGGTAATGAAATTAGTGGTTGTTTTCACATTTTGAGTTTGTGGTATACTACTATTACCAGCAGACGAGTCTACAGTAGCAGTTTGAATACGAGTTTTGATCACATCCAAAGGAGTTGTTAAAGTCCCGGCAACACCACCAGCAGCGGCCCCAACAAACAATTCCAAAGGAATAGCCAAGTCACTAGATTGATTATAATAGATTGCCAATTGTCTGAAACGTTCATAAAATGCAAATTGAAGTGCACTAAACGGTAAATCTCTAAAGAGGGTTTCTTTATACCCAAAAGCAAATGTAGAAGTACCTTCAGTTTTGAATATAGTGGTGATTGCATTTCCTAAACCTTTATAATTATAACCACATCCTTTAGTGTAAGGGTTATTATACTTACCTTGTAATTGTAATCTTGTTTTCAAAACTTCAGAAGGAACATAGAATATACTAGATGCCATATCACCTAATACCCCTGCAATAAAGTACGACACAGTTTCATTCATATTATAATCATTGATAAATCTTCTCTTAGTATATTCATAAGTACCAAAAAATGCCGCTGTAGAAGGTAAAGACCCAAGAATAGCAGGTGTATAACCTCCATAGAGACCTCGGAAAAATCCTTCTTCCTTAAAAATGGTGAGGTACGCTGGAATCATATTCTTATACTTTGGATTGAACAGCAATCCTTGTTGTCGAGTCTTGACCGTGTCTAATGAATGCATTGAAGAGTCACCAACAACTCCTCCTAGTCCACCGGCTAGCATACAATTGATTATCGGAGATACTTTTTGCGATATGGTTTCATTTTCAGGGGACTTTATTGGATCAGAAGGTGATGATGGTGATGATGGGGATGACGGTGCCGAAGTCAGGCCCTGGTGATCATTGCGGGGTGAAAAGCTAAACGGTATAGTCTGGGTTGTATAAGATTGTGTCATAATGCAGGAGTTAAGTAATGAATATATAACTGAAAAAATATGTCTAGAAGGAATGAATTATGCTAATATTAGCCTAAATGAATGAAAATTTTTGTTCTATAGCAGATAAAGTAGATCTCATCAAACTCAAGTGCTCGATTTACCAGGGGTTGCAGTTCTATGAGTTTAAGCTTATCTTTATTTCCCTGGTTCAACTAAAGGCAAAGACCTTGAAATCTTGATATTTCTTGGATTATTCTTTCGTTTTACGAAAAATTAAAGATGCTGAGAAGAAACTTTACTGATTCTAATGAACCTCAATGTTGTAGATTGCGCTATCCAAGTAGGTTTGAGATTCAACCGTTAACAAACTAGCTGAAATCCTGAAAATTTTTTTTTTCTAAAGTAGTTTTTTTCGTGCTAAAATGTTATTTGATGAAAATTATCAAAACAGTAACTAATGTGCAGTATTCTCAGAAGCGAAGACCTTTAAATTTTCAAAAGCAATGGCTACAAGTGACTTATACCCGAAGAAAGGTTCTTCTAAGATCAAAAAGACAGTTTGAATGCGTGGTGCTTGATAGCCAGTCGAATAAAGTTTTAAGAGTATTGTTTGAAACCCCGTTTCCACAAGTATAAAGTCAATTTCCCAGGAACCAGTATCTGATAAAGGATTATTCAGCATAGAATGATATAATGTGGAAGTACGCGTCGAAATTACATAGTCGCCGTTTGGCTGGTCCTTTAGTTCGCCATTATAGGGTTCTTGCGATTGAATCATCTTGCGACGATTCTTGTGTGGCCTTGCTTGACAAATATCTGGCCCATGATCCACCAAAAATAATTGGCCAATCCAAAAGCACTCTTAACTCAGCAAAAGAGGGTGGCATTATACCCACGGCTGCCCATGAGTTCCATCAGATGGCATTAGCGGACTTGGTTCAAGGATTCTGCGCTGAACATAACTTGAATTCCAACAGTCCTCCAGATTTAATCTGTTGTACTAGAGGACCAGGTATGGTGGGTTCTCTTAGTGCAGGTATTCAAACAGCTAAGGGGCTATCCATTGCCTGGAACAGACCATTGATTGGAGTACATCACATGCTTGGTCATGTCCTAACGGCGATTTTGCCAAAGACAAGCCAACCTGATCTAGCTCCACCAAGATATCCTTATTTGAGTCTATTGTGCAGTGGAGGTCACACCATGCTTGTCTTACTGAAATCCATAACCGATCATAAGATTCTCATTAATACTTCGGATATAGCTGCTGGAGATTCGATAGATAAGTGTGCCCGTGTGTTGGGAATAGAAGGTAACATGAGAGGGAAAGAACTCGAGACATATGTTGCAAATATTCCGGAAGAACTCAAGGCTAAATTCTCTAAAATAAATACCAGTTCGGCTGATAATGAGTTTAAGCTACAAATGAGATTACCTTTGAAAGGTCCCAGTCACTTAAAAGTTCCTGACGTAGTTGAATTTGTATTCTCCCAGTTTCAAAGTACTCTCCAAAGATTCAAAGAGGTTAATTTTCCTGACCAGAATATTGATGAAGTCACAAAACAGTTTGTTGCATACAAGATCCAAGAGACTATTTTTGATCATCTCATTGATCGGATCAATATTTCCTTCTTTAAACATGGCTTATCTAAAAATGGTGATGGTGAACTAGCAGGGGTCAGAGACTTTATCTGCTCTGGTGGTGTTGCTGCAAATCAAACTTTAAGGAAAAAACTATCCGAAAATTTAACGTATGACGCCAATCTTCAGTTATCTCCAGATGATATGGTATTTCATTTTCCTGATATAGCATTGTGTACAGATAATGCTGTGATGATAGGAACCGCAGGGATCGAGATATTAGAAAACTTGAAAGTGAAGTCAGATTTAAAATTTTTACCTATTAGAAGATGGCCAATGAATGAACTTCTCGACGTCGATGGCTGGGTTGTTGTATCAGATGCAGAGTTCCATGAGATCAGAAAATTTTAGGTTCGTGTACATATTCGTGTAAATAGGTTGTATAATGATATAAATGAATTTGGAAAAATTAAAAATACATAGAAAAAGAAGTAAAGAATATAAAATGCTAAAGAAATGACAGAGTGAAAATAAAATAATCAAATGCTTTGGGTGTCACTCTCGTCGTCATCACTTCCTCTATCAAGAACCTGTGAAGAACCATTGTGAAGATCTTCAGCTTCATCTGATTGTTCAAAATTAGCTTCGTCATCACTGGGGATTACATCTGCCTCAGTCTCCCGGTGCCCCAAAAAGCTTTCGGTGATATCGAATGTACGAATCAATCCTTCCCAAGTCTGGTAGTCAAATGTAGCTATATGATGTGTCTTATTTTTTGATGAGGTGCTAGCTTCTTCTGCTTCACGGATGCTACAAATCTTGATCATCGGTATCCCATCTTTATTCTTCGTGAGCTTGACTTTCCCATCTCTTATGAGGAAACTTGTGAAGAAAAGGTTTTCCACTGATTGGGAAAATGATCTTGGATCAATGAAAAACTTGAAAAAATTATACTCTTCGCCCCCCGACTTTTCATTGAATGTTCTATAAACCAGACGAACCATATCTGAAGTGCTTTTTTCTGTGTCAACGTTCAAGTCACTTGCCTGAACCAGTCTAGCAGTAGTGAGAGGTCCCTTTCCAGTATCATCTATATTCTTTTGCCTTGCAACCGGTCTTTTCCTTTCAGTAGCCAATGGCCCATTCAAGAAGTCAATTGAAACAGGACGGTTACTTTGCGAAAAGTATAATGCACCCAATTTCATCCAATTATAGGAATTAAATATATCTGCCTGTCCGGTAACAGGTGTTTCCGCTTCTTCGTCCTCTTCGTTCATGTAATTCTGCACGTCTGTTCCACTCACTTCTTCGGGATTCATATATACCTTCAAACATTTGAGAAACTCCTTTTCATTCAAAGAAATACCGACGTCCCCAAACTTGATATTCTTAGCATTGATAGCAGCGAGTTTGGAGGAATCGTGTAATGCCTCGGCATCCATAAGTTGGACTCTAGTATCTCTATTCTTCTCTAATTGCACCATATTATAAATACTCTCCAATTGATTCAACTGCTCTAGGATCAACTCAGTAGCCTCACCCTTCTCGGCCATACTATTACCAGACTGAAGCTTATTTCTAAGCCGTTCATATTTACTAGAAAATTGATTTCTTGTAGTCTTCAGGATCCGTGATTTGGTTCGTTGAGTTCTCTCTTCGCTAGAGTACTGCGGACTATCTTCAGAGGATATGTTTTGATTTGGGAATGCCATTTTGAATGCAAGGTCCGGAGGTGGCGAAATTAATCAATAAAAGAATCAACGAAAGATCAGTAAAGCATCAAAAGATAGATAAAGCATCAAAACATTGAAATAACATCAGAAACTAACTCACTCACACGTCCGTCGCAAAAAAAAATAAAAAAAGTCAAAAATCCATGTAGCGCGTCCTCTTGATCTCTTGGTAGACCTGTTAGCATAATACTATAGCAGTGACGCCATGGTGGATCTAAATGAGTCTGGTGAGGGAGCGCAAATCAAGGCATTGGACTTGTCTGTGGTGAATAAAATTGCTGCCGGAGAGATCATTATTCAACCTGCCAATGCTTTAAAAGAATTACTTGAGAATTCGATTGATGCTAAATCCACGATGATTGACATACAGGTCAAAGATGGGGGCCTAAAGCTACTTCACATAACGGATAATGGTAAGGGTATTCATAAGAATGATCTACATCTTCTTTGTGAGCGATTTGCAACATCTAAGCTTTCGAAGTTTGAAGACTTGGAAAGCATTGCAACATATGGGTTCAGGGGTGAAGCATTGGCAAGTATATCACATATTTCCCGATTATCTGTTGTTACCAAGACAGCTACATCTCCTTTAGCATACAAGGCATTTTATTCCAATGGAAAACTAGCAACGTCTAGTTTTAAAGCTGGCTCTGATAAAAGCGTGGAGCCTAAGCCAATTGCTGGGAAAGATGGGACTCAAATAATTGTGGAAAATCTATTTTATAATGTGCCATCGAGGCTCAAAGCTTTTAGGTCTAAGAATGATGAGTTCGCTAAGATTCTAGATGTCATAGGAAGATATGCTGTTCATGCGGGCGGTGTAGGGTTTAGTTGTAAGAAGTTTGGTGAATCTCACCAAGTTCTCTCTACTAGGCCTCAGTTAAACTTGAAGGAGAGAATAAGGGTTGTGTTTGGCACGGCTGTTGCAAACGAGCTAATCGACGTGATACTTGATGGTGATGAAAAAGATGAAGATGCCGAAAAAAGTTATAAGGACGAATATGGTCTTATAAAAGTTTCCGGCGCAGTGACCAACTCTAATTTCAATAATAAGAAAAGAATTCAACCAGTATTTTTCATTAACCATAGGTTAGTGTCTTGTGACCCCTTGAAGAGAGCATTATCTTCCATCTATCAGTTTTTCTTACCTAAAGGGAACCAACCGTTTATATATTTGAGTTTGGAAATAAGTCCTCAAAATCTTGATGTTAATGTTCATCCAACCAAACGAGAAGTTAGATTTTTGAATGAAGAAGAAATAATAGATATAATATGTGCTAAAGTTCATAAAGTTTTATCAAATATTGACAGCTCGAGAAAGTTTAAAGCTCAAGGGGTACTTTTTGATCAATCTGACTCTAAAAGACTGATTGATGAGTCTATAAGCTTACAAGCAACAAAGAAATACCGTCAAGAGAATAAATTAGTTCGGGTGGATGCTCTGCAAGCCAAATTGAATCAATATCTTCTGAATCAGAGTGAAAATAACTATCAGAAGCAAATGACAGAAGAATTTACGGAATCAAAATGGAAGCAAGATTATACATCGGAAACAGCTAATCAATCCGAAAAGTCAGAAATTTCCAACGATAACCCCAATGGATTGTTTATTGACGACCAGGAGACACCGGAAAAACAAGCTCGTGATAGTTGTATACTGGGATCTGAAGAAAGTTCTAAATCGGTAAAATCTGTGGCCGAGATAGAATATCAAGTCACCGACAAGGAAAGGGTCGTGGTTAATTTTGGCAGTATTTTGGATCTCAAAGAAGAAGTAAAGTCCCAGTTACACCGACCATTAACAAATATTTTCAACAACTCAGTGTATGTAGGAATTGTGGACGAAACTAAACGACTCTGCTGCTTTCAGTACGATGTCAAGCTCTTCCTCTGCGATTATGCAGCAGTGCTTAATGAGTTCTACTATCAGATGGCATTGTCAGAGTTTATGAACTACGGGATCTACCAGTTGGATGAACCTGTTCTGATTGAAGATATTTTGGGTCCGATTTACAAGCATCATGGTGATTTGGTTCCAATACAGAATATCAAGGAAAAATTTATCGAAATGAGAGAGATGTTTAAAGAGTATTTTGAAATTGGACTTGAGATAAACGAAGATGATCAACTCATACTTGTGTCTCTACCGTTGATCATGCGAGATATAATCCCCAGCTTGAGTAAACTTCCCTTTTTCATTTATCGTTTAGGAAGCAGTGAAAACATCAATTTCCAAGATGAAAAACTGACATTTCAATCAATCCTAAAAGAAATTGCCCTACTCTACATTCCTGAAAGCATTTCGTCTGATGACGACAATTCTGAAACCAATGCAAATGAACTGAAAAGCTTAAACAATAATAAACGAGACCAATTGAATAATCAACTAGAACATCTTGTGTTTCCCATGATCAAACGTCGGTTCTTAGCAACCAAAAATCTCCTTCGTGATGTTGTGCAGATTGCAGACCTCCCCGGTCTATACAAAGTTTTCGAAAGGTGTTAGCTACATATATACGTCTAATGATTCTTTTTATGTTGAATAAATGCAAAAGCTTATGTCCAACTGCCAAAGACTGATTTTTTCACACGCGTTCATAATATACCTTATACCGTGGAAGTCATTCATCGTATTCCTCCAAAAAATAGATTTAAAATTCCCTGTAGACAGAACCCTTTGAAGCTCCACTTGTATTAACCGACATCCAACAAGGGAAATTTTGTCCATTTTCACGAAATCTCCAGTTGTAGTAACCATTCTGTAGAAGATTTTCGTTTGTCCTGCGTTTTGGGTTTTGGTTCGCTCGATAAAAACTCAGAAATTTTTACCAAAGAAGTAGAATTTTGTTGAGGTAAACAATAAAGAAGACACAATTGAGTGTCCAAGTAGTTGAAACCCACTTCTTTTCATTGCAATCGACCAGGTCAGATCTTCTTGAAGCCACTACATAGGCCTTACAAAGCTTCACACGTTCAATTCGACTTATAAAGGTACAGTTGACACTATATATTTGCTGATTGAAGTAATCTTAGGTTTGTCGAAATAAAAGTCTTCGTGTTCATCCAGAGTATTTCAGAAGGGAATAATTTGAAAGATTTACGTCTTATTTCCACGGTTAAAGTACTAAGTGAATAGTTGGAAGATTTGCCTTTGATTAAGATGTTGATTGAAAGTTCAATTCATGAACAGTATATCAAGACATTGAATCTCGGTTGTTTCCCGAGATCAATATTAGAATTTCAAGAATCACAAGAGTTCTTCCCGCAAATAGTCTTTATTGATTATCAGTTACAGTTATTAATCCAAAACGAGTTTAATGGTCTTGAGTTATTGCCGGCAAGTGCATTTGAAGCTTCAGGTAATGGATCACCTAGGGAAAAATTGGCCCAATTGATTAATTATGCTCATTCTATAAGTGCCAATTATAATACTGCAAGCAAGGCATACGAGGAACGTTTGTACTATAATGTGGTATTGGCCCAGTTATTTTATCTTAACTCGGAGTTTGATGAAATGCACAGCTTACTCAGCTCTATGGATGTTTCTGCAACCCATCATTCTGATAACGTAAATGTGAAAGATTTCATCACCTATTTGAGAGTCAGATACAATGTATTAATTGGATTGACTAATGTGGAAGATTCTCATAAATTATGGATTGAGTATTTATTTCATTATCCAAAGCATTTTGAAAAATCTAGTATTGCTGCAAATCATTGGGTGGATATCATTTTCCATAAAGTGGTCAGTTTCATAACTCGTGATGCACATACTCCACTTTCATTTCAGGATTTAAGACTGCAAAAATTCGGTGATAACGTTAGTACTCTTATTTCATTGAGTAGTTTTTTGATGAGAGAAGAAAATAGGAGGTTTATCACTAGTAGTTTCAAAAATGACTACTCCACTTTCTTGACTTCAGAAGTCGAAGCTCGTATAAGTCAAAAAGATGAGTTTCCATACGCTACCGACGTGATTCGTGTTCATGACGATTTTATTAACACTTTGTATGAAAGTTTAAGTCATGTTCCTAGCCATTATAAATTGATATCACCTACATTATCAAAAAAATTTCTTATTAGTCTGTTTTCTAAGACCTATCAAAGTCAAATTGTTGCATCTAACTATATTAAGATATTGATAGAGCTCAATGAATACGATGAAGCATTAGCTGCTTTCAAAACATACATTAGTTATATCGAAAAGGATCAAGAACAACACGGTGGCCATATGAATAACTTGCTTTCTGTTATCGATACCTATTCTGTTTGTATCTTGAATTTCAACCCAATCAACTCATTTATTCCAAGAATTAAAAGCCCTAAAAAATTCAAATATACCACTGAAGATCAAGTTTTATCATCATTGTCTCAATTCATCACTCAACTCAATGCATACTTGCACGAATTGACAAATATAGCCGATTTATGTTATGATGATGTATTAACTGATTTCGCATCACAAAAATTATCATTTTTATATCATAAGTATAATTTCAATGTTTTGGCTAACGATCACTCTGAATTCATTCAATTAATTTCAAAGGCTTGGTTTGCTTTAGGCCACTATTATTACTATTTATCAACCTACCAAACTCCTAACTTAGAAAGCTTGGAAAAGAATACTAATCAAGTTTTGAAATTCTACAAAAACAGTTTAATCGTTAATTCTACTGGGAATGTTACTTACTTATTCAATTATGCGTTGGCTTTAGCATACAATCGTCATTTACAACCTTCGGTTAAATTATGTAAGTTTATTTTGAAGAAATATCCTGAAAGCTTTAAAACATGGAATTTATTAGTCTTGTTGTTGACTTCTTTGGAAAATTATAATCCTGATTTTGTTAAACACAAAACTAAACCTGGTGCTACTGCTCACAATGGTAATGGATCTGCTTTAAATAAATCGCCCATTAATGGATCTGCAACTTTAAATGGCAACGGAGCGGCACCACCAAGTTTGAAAGAAGTTGAAAAATTCATTAATAACGCATTGAATATTGCGGGTATTTTCATTGTAAAAAACCGTAAGAATGACATCAAATTAACAATTGAAACTAAATTCGAGATTTTACAATTAAAATTAACTCAATTGGCCGTTTGGGAACAACTCTATGGAGTTCAGTATATTTTGGATTATTTACCAGAAGTGTTCATCTTATTCCATGAATTATTTGATGAAGTAATCATTGAAAAAATTGAAGCGCCTGAGCCTTCGGAATCAGACTTTGATGCTAGACCTAATGCTAGATGGTCCCACAGACCAAGTTTCATTGATCCAAATCCAAACTCAACTAATGACTCAAATGTGGTACTTCTGATTGAGAAACAGATTGCAAAAGATAGAATTAAGAAGATGTCCAAGGCAGGTACTACCAATCAAACTACAGAACCCCAAACTGTGATCAGACAAAAACCAAAAGAGGCTGATCTCAAAGACCCATTGAAATTAAGGTTGTATATATTGGAAAAAAAGATTCTTCAAGAAATCTGGTTATGGACAAGTAGGATCTACCTTAAGATTGGCTTAAATGAAGATGCTGAACAGTGTATTGTGGAAGCAGAAAATGTGCATGAACCAAACATTAAAACTTTCACCCATTTAGGTCTCTTAACCTCCAAGAGCAGGAAGTTCTTATCATTACAAGAATTCGAAAGATCCTTGGAAATATTATCTTCAGAAGATCAACAATATAACAAGAGAGACTATGGTATTACTCTTTTAGGTGTCTGTAGATTATTCATCATTGATGATAAGATAGACAATTCCTTATTTACATCTAGCAAAGATTTCAATGCTGCAATCATTAGATTGAAAAACTTATTAGAACATTTCAGCCAATGTTGGCCATATGGTTTCAATAATTCTGAATTATGGTATTACTTGGGTATAATTTATGAAAAGCTTGATGATAAAATTCTTTTAGCCAAGAGCTTATGGAAATGTGTCGAATTAGAAGATTTCAGACCCGTAAGAGGTTTTGAAGTTTGTGAGGAGTTTGGTTATTACTAGGCTATTTTATTACTATACTTACAAGTTTGTTACAAGTTTCACTTCTTTTAATAATATTATTTCATTCATTTTTGCTCCCACATTCTGTGGTCCACATAATTGATTTGGTTTCCCTCTTTTTATATTGAAAATTACATTTATAATAATGATTAATCAAATTTTGTAAAGCTGCAAAAATTCCTCTCTCCACTTGTATTCTGTAGATAAGTTAGCCCATATTTTGCGATATCGTGACTTTAAGGAAAAGCACATTCATTAGATGCTACTGCCAACCACCAAGAGGTCGAAGGATCAATATCATGACTTTCAAGTTGATCCATCAATGGTATATGAAGGTAAAAACTGCGATATCGGCCTAAAATGATGTTGTGCGAGGACTCAAAAAAAAAAAAAAGCTAATGAAAACGTAAAAAAATTTTCCATCTTCAACAGCTCAACTACCATTTATAATCAGTTGAGAGACATTAAAGAAGCATGACAGAAATAGCCCCAAGACCAATAACTTATTGCGGAGTGTGTTCGTATCCCCCAGAATACTGTGAGTTTGGGTTATCATTCAAGAAATGTAAAGAATGGTTGGAAGATAATCATCAAGAGCTTTTCCAAAAATTATACAGCGATGATGCATTAGCCAATGCCACTTCAACTTTATCATTAGAGAAGGAAGAGCAGATCTCTAAAGACTTAGAAAAGAAACAAGCCAGAGAAGAGAAGAAACAAGAAAGAGAATTACAAAAGAAGTTATCATCAAAGGTCACTATCAAGAGAATTGAAAGAAATAGAAGAAAACATATTATTTCAATTAGTGGATTAGAAGTTTTCAATATTGATATGAAGAAATTACTGAAAACATTTGCATCTAAGTTTGCCACTGGTGCGTCAGTCATCAAGAATGCAGAAAAGAAGGAAGAAATTTTAGTTCAAGGTGACGTTAGTGATGATGCCAAAGAATATATTGAAAAATTATTAGAAGAAAAGGGATTAAATGAAGTTAAAGTTGAACAAATAGATGAAAAGAAAAAGGTTAAGAAGGCACAACCACCACCCCCACAACCACAACCATCTGGAAGTACCTAGTTATGATTGATGATTACACTAATGATTTTGTAACATAAATAGATAAATATACAAAATTTGAAGAGACAAAAGAATAGTTAATCATACTTATCTTTGAAAACCCAAGAAGTACCAACTTCTTGATTTACCCCAGCTTTAATCAAGACTCTATATAATTGAGCTATTCTTCGTTTAGTGTTAAACTTATTAGTTTTTGATTTTTTGCCTAGTTTATTTAGAGTTTTAAATTTATTACCAAAGCCAAAACCATCAGTCATACCCAATATGGCCAAGTTACCACTATCATTGTCTTTAGTTAAATGGCAATTAATTTCCCAGAGATTAACTGCAACGTCATATTCATTATGAACTTGATAATATTCACCTAAATTATGTAAACTTATCCCCAAGGCAAAGTTATTATTTTTATTTAGGAAAGTCTTAAACATTGATTTTTCTTTATCATTGAATTCATTCACCAAATTATCGAAATATTTTTCATCATTTAATTTTTTAATAGCAAAAGAGAATCTTGCCGCTTTTCTAAAATAGGTTAAGATCAATTCATTATCATAATTATTATCAATGGTATCATCTTTGTTATAGGATAATAACCAATTTCCAAACATGGCTTGAGCTAAGGGAATACTAAACCCATCATGATTAGCGAAATCTTTAAAAATTTGAAATAATTTTGAAGAATTTAAATTTTGTTGATTAACTGAGTATAAATCCAAGACTTCATCAAAGTTATTTAAATCATTAATTAATTTTTTCAAAGATTGGCTATAATTAATGTTAATGATATCTTCATGGTTCAAATTGTTTTTGAATATTAACTCTCCTGATTCTAATTGATTATAGAAAAGATATTGCATCAAGTATTCATTGGATGGATATATTTTTTTCAATAAGTCTCCGTATAAGTAAATTTCACAAATTTCATACCAATTTAAATTCAACGTTTGCTTAGATGAATAGCTATAATAATCTTCATTCAATTTATTATTAATATAATTAAAATATCTTTGATTACTTAAATTATCAGAATAAATATTAAAATTTTCAATATTTTTATGACCATGAGCGTTTGAAAATAATGTTTTAAACTTATTTTGCTTTAAAGCGTATTTTCTTTGTTCTTCTTCATATTGTTTTTCAAATTGAACTGAAAGTGATAATGGTAAATTACCGTTTTGTTCATTTGCATTCACTGCTAAATTTACTTTATTAACTTCATCATCTTGAGAAACATCACTAACTGCAGAAAATACTGAATTCGAGCTAGAAGCACACGAATGGACCGAGCTTCTAGATGAGTTTAATCTTAATCCATTATGATTTCCTTCAATTGGTTGAGTCCTGTTCATATTAGAAGTATTTTCACTAATTATGTTGATTTGGGGTAAGTTCCCATTAGTTTCATATCTTAAATTCGAAGGTTGTCGCTCCTGTAACTTGGGTAATGACTGCTGACTTGGATTCATGTAATTATCAAGTAATGATGAATTATAAACTGATGATGATGTACTTTCCATCGTAGAATATTTATGCGTAGTAAATTTACTCGTATGCTTAAAATATATGCTTACTCAAATATGCTAAGCTAAATGTACTTCACTGTATGTACTTCACCGTATGTACTGTCACTGTATAAGCGTAATAATGTAGCGATGTCAAAATGGAGAGTGGTATCAGTTATTTAAGAATTGAAAAAACACAACAAAAAATCACGGTCAATCAAAATAACCGTTATAAGCCATGCTTTCTCGTAACAGAATCAAAAACTACATCAAAACTGCCCCTAATAACTACCCGGGCCCCTTAACAAGCAACTAACCGACCATAGCCATGCTGTCAAGCATAACAACTACCAAGAACTAATTAAATTGACTCGACCCAGTGCTAGCTACTGCTGGAATACGATTTGATTGATTCGTGTAATCCGTTCCGCTTTCGACCTTTTGGTAGCTTCAGCCGTTACGTCACAAAAACACCTCCGTACATACACCCACACCCACACCCGTACATTTCGAATGTGCCTGGTGTTCACACACCTAGTCTCTTTCTATTCGGTTAATACACTACACTAGAATTAGTAGTAGGATTATTATTGTTAGTACACTGTTTTATTGCAATCTATTATATCTTTCTTATATATACCTATCGAAACTTATAGTCAATTTAATTATTATCTTATTAGAATATATCTTTACTTATATTTAAGTATTTATAAAAAAACTCATCCTTGTCAAGATCGATAGTAAACTATTTATCATACCTACTAGATTATTAAGTAGTGAAAGTATACCTTATACAAAAAAAGGTTGCTAGTGATATTTCTACGCGTACTTACCAATAATACGAATAGTTCTCTGCACACCGGTACATTTCAATTTCTCAGGCCCGTGCACCGGTTTTTTTTTTTTTTTGCTTATTTTTTTTTCCCAACTTTTTATTTTTTAAGCGACGCTTATTTTTGCCCCCCTCCCCAAAGAAAAAGCTAAAAAATAAAAAGGCAACCGTTTTTCCAGATTTACGAGCGGATCGGCGGTTTATTCTTTTTTTTCGAGGGGAGCAGCGGGACCAAAATCACAGCCGTCTGGTGCAGGTGGTGGGAGGTAGCCGGTAGGACTACCGCTCCATTACACCTGCTAGCGGTGGCCAGCAAGGAGCTGGGCCAGAAGTAGAGGATCCGAAAATATACGCTCGTATAATTTGCATTACTGATTGGGACGAGTCAAACCGTAAATGCTCCGTGGCGCAGGCGATGAAAAAGCAATGAAATTTCGGAATGAATTACTTACGTGTTCTAAAAAGTTAAAGGTTTATTATTTTTCCAAGTGGTGGACAGGAGAGCAAACAGAATAAACTAAACAAATACAATAAGGGCTTTTATTGGATAATAGAAGTTAGTTTCTGCAAAAAAGTCTAAAACTAAACAAAACAAGCAGATAAAATAAGTAGATAAAATAATCGGACGAAGTAAAGGGATGAGGAAAATAACAAGGAAGAAAGCAAGTCCGGAAAAATTTTGAATAGACATTACATTAAGACATTAAAAAATAAGCTGAAAATATTACTGTAATAAAACTAAATTGTAACCAAAAAAAAAAAAATTTGTCTAGATAATATTTTTACGAAAATTGAACATAAACAAACAAGGTCTATTCTTAGTTGTAGAACTGAAAGATGAATTAACTGTTAACTTAAAAGTTTTGAAATTTTTGGGACTTTATCGCCCTCGCTGGTCTCGAGGTTAACGGTAGGGACTGTAGTTTGGGTCTTTAATGGCGGAGGAGAGTTGCCAACCTTTAGTGATTTTATTGGTGGTAATCTAATATCTCCGTCATTCAAACTATCGGGGCTTTCCAGTTTATTAATTTCTGGAAGTGGTGCGGTAACTTCTGGTGATGTAGTTGAGGTTAATTGAGGTTTGATAGGTGGTAGAAGCGGTGACACTTCCAGACTTCTTTTGGAGGAGCTGGCAGCAGAATCAATGACCATATGGCCCGAGGAGTCATCATTGGGGCTTCCAATACTTGGTAAAGTATTAAATGAAGGATTTCTTGAAATTGCCAGTAAATTAGGACTATTACGATTTGAAAATGACATGGAGTTAGTGGTTGAATTAGGCGATAAAGATGTAGCCAGTACTGGAGGAACACTGAGATTTGTTGAGCTTATTGGAGGTAAAGTCACAGAGTTTGATTTTGGATCGGTGTTGATTGAAATTGATTTCGAGTCGTTGTTAAGTGATGATTTGGAATCGGTATTGATTGAAATCGATGGCGGGCTATGATTATTCAATGACGTAGTTGATTTCGATAACATATTTGGTGATTTCATCAATCCGTCGCTGGAAGCTGATTTTGCCAAAGGTATTGATGATGTAGATTGCGAAGCCATGGTGTTCATTGGCGGGGTTATAATACTGGCATTGGTGACGGGGACGGTATTGGGAGTAAGTCCGTTTGCTGAACCAACTGATGGAGTAGGAACGGGAGCCAGGGCTGGAGCTGGAGGCGCAGATGTAGTGGTCGAAACAGGGCCTTGAGTAGGGTTAAGGTAGACTTGGGATGAAGGTTGGGGTATTATTTGAGAATAAGGACCTGCTGGTTGTATTGATACTAAGGGACCATAAGGCGATTGAATAATATGGGTAGTAGTTTGTTGGGAAGGGTGAATGATTGGATATGGAACAGCAGCGAATTGGCCTTGAGCATGAAGTTGAGCTTGAGCTTGAGCATTTGCCTGAGCTTGAGCTTGAGCTTGGGCATGGGCTTGAGCCTGAGCTTGGGCTTGAGCAGCGGCCACAGTATAATAATCTAGAGGGTTTGTAGTAGAAGTTAAACCATTTGGAGGGGAGGTAGATTGATTCACCACCACTGGAACCCCCATAGGTAAAGGAACTTGATTTGTGGGTAAATGATTAGTTTGATTTAATTGAGGAGAATTATTTGAAGAATTTGAATTATTTGATTGTTGTTCATTTGAATCCGGATGATCTTGTAAACGGTCTTGTCTTGAATTTTGATTGAACTGAGCCATTCTCAAAGCTTCTCTAGCTGGAGCATCAAGATTTAAATAAGCACAATGTAATTTACCTCTTAAACAATTCAAGCAAGAGGGTAGATTTTCGTCACATTTAATTCTTCTTTTCTTACAAGTTCCACAACCTAAATGAGAATTACGATGTTTTCTTCTTGAATTTTTCCTCTTTTTTTGAATTGAAGAGTCGGATGCACTTGTTTCTCCAGTGTTTGGTAACGACATCATGGAATTATTAAGATTATTGACTGGAGTGGAAGATTGGGAGGAGTTATTATCGGGAGTAGGAGAGTTTGACATTGAACCATCGTTATTTTCCTTACGAGTAGGAGGAACCGGATTTTTCAACGCAGAATTGAAAATGTCCATTTTGAATTGGTAAAGAAGTACTAGAGTGAATTCATAAAATTTAAATAACCTTGGCCGAAGTAGTCAAAAGAAAATAAGAACAAAAAAAAAAAATTAATTAAAAAGAGTATGTAAAAAAAAAATATATATATCAAAAAATATAGAACAGAAAATATCAAACAAGAATAACTAAAATTATTTTAACTAAAATTGCCCAAAAAATAGCCAGTGATTCATTTAATAGTCAGATTTAAAATAAACCAAAAACCAAAAAAAAAAAGGTATAGCAAAAGAAACAGCAAAAAAGTCAATCTTTAAAAGAAAAAGAAAAGAGGAAATCGTTTGTTTAAGTCGTAGTTATTGAAATTTAAAAGCATGTTCAGAATAAGATTGACTCCGGGAATTTACAACAACATGTATAACAAAGGGCACAAGTACAATGTGGGAACTTGAAATCAATTTTAGGGTATGGTATGAGCCTTTTTAGAAGGGAACAAAAAAACGCTAAGGGAAAAAGAAACGAAGTCAACCAGTGCAAAGGGTTAACAGTATGAGACAACAAAGTTAATCCAAACAAGACATACATACAACAACACATACAATACATACAACACATACATACAACAACACATACAACACATACAACACATACAACACATGCAAACAATCATAGAGCTAACAAAGGTAGAAGTGCACTTGATAGCGCAATGGCGGACAAAGAAATTTAGTGAGTATCGAAAGATGCGAAAATATGAGCGTTGGACTAGTACACCAACCTTTCAACTTTCAAGTGCACCAAGTACATCGGGTGAAATATAAGAGAAACGGGCAGCTCATCAAAACATTCACCAGATCATCCTCATAACACCGTCGAGTAAAGAGGCAGTGGAACCGTCTAGCGTCGCGCTAGCCGACAGGAAGAATCTCTAGATGGTGCGGGACCTGGAGCAGAAGGAGCAAGATTTGACAGCCGCCGTTATTCCCTCGTGTCAAACTGCAATTTGCTGCTGGAGAGTCGTTTCTGTTTGGCCTTGCTTTAGTTACCCACTTGTTTCGGTATTGTTCCTGTCTGTTGCTGTCGATGCGTTTTTGCAGGTTAAGCCATCTGACGTCGTAAATTTACTGGCCCACCGATGGTGTCTAACCGCAGGAAAAAAACATCGTTTTTTCCCACACGACATTAACCCCGGAACACAACCTGCCCGTAATGGGAATCAGCAACCATCGAGGTGAAATTTCAAGATTGTAAAGGGTATCGTAAATGTGCTTTGCATTGCTAGGTTATTCGTTTCAGTAGTTGTTGTGTTGACCTGTTGATTAACCTTCATAACCATACAATACGACTGGATTAGCTGGGGCCGGTTTGTGTTTTGACACAGCCTTAATTTACGGTACAAACAAATTACTAACAAACCAAAAAAAAAACAAAAAAAAATTACTAACAAACCAAAAAAAAAACAAAAAAAAGGCAGGAAAAAAGGCAGGAAAAAAAAAAGAATACGGAACGTACACCCTGTTTGTACCTGAATCAACCTCAAAGGGGCAATGTAGTCTATTAACGGTGATCGAATTTCATCGTCTTACGCTATTACTCGGGAACTCCTTGTTTTCTCCATCGCTGGGTAGGTGTGGCAGTCGCTGTTGGCTGTGGGGACCATCAGGGAACAAAATCTTCGGGTATTCTGATACCTGGCTAAAACAATCTATCGTATTAAACTCTACTGACATAGCCTACTCGTATTTATCGTATTTTCTCTAGAAATATACATCCGTACATTTATCCGGCTGCACCCATCAACACTATTCTCTTCCCATACGTTTTTTCCACCACTTCTTGATATCTTTCCGGTGGATATCCTCCATGAAAAGCTCGTCGTCGTGGTCCTCTTCCTGGGTGGTATTGTAGTCGGCTTCTTCGTCGGGGAGTCCGTGTAAGTCCACTGATTTCTGCAGTTTTTTCATGTCAATAGTCCAATTATCCTTTTTGGTGATTTGATATTTACTACCTAAATTTAAATCTTTAGCCACGATTTCTCGAGTTCTTGCTAAGCTTTCGATATCCGCCACTCGTTCGATGGTGTCTTGTAATAACTCGTCGAAATGGGGTTGCAGGGCAATCTCATGAAACGCTCTCATCATGGGGACACTATCGGCCCGGACTCTCAGTTCGCTATCTAAAGTAAAGATGTTTAAGTTATCGTATTGTTGAATATAATCAGCCCGGGTCATGATTTGTCTTGCTCTCCATAATGGTAACTCGGGTAAATGATGATTTAGTTCATTACCCTCATTTTGATTAATGATTAAAGAATTGGCCCGTTGTCTATCCATTTCAACAAATTCTCGCATTAATAACATACAACTACTACTGAACTTACCACTTTCCATAACATCATCATCCATATTAGACCCCAACAATCCACATTGGTTCAATAGCCAGGTTTTCTCCCGATCAATGATCTCGTGGCTGGCCCGAATAATATCCTTGTGGCGAGCCACTTGACTAATGTGCTGCGGACGGCCCCCAATCAAATTGTAAATCTGATTACATTGATCATCACTCAATTTCAATTGCGGGAATTGGGTCGATGGGAAAAACTTCTCCCTTATAAACTTGAGCGCTTTCAAGGTTTCTCCCCGATTAAAATCTCGTACGTTGATTAATTCTAATCTTGTTCCTAATCTTTTCAATTTTTCGTAAACCCAATAATCATCACTATTGAAGATCATAGTAACCAACCCGGATCCACTGAGGCTTTCGGCTTTTTGTTGTAACAACTCAATTAACTTGATTCCTTCTTCATTCTCTTTGATTAAATGACTATTGTTAATTATCATCACTAATGGTCGCGAATTCTTACCAACATCCATCTTTCTCTTAATTGCCAACTCCTCTAACTTACTAAAGGCCCTTTCAATATCTAGTAATGCAGTAGTATCTCTGGGTCCTCGTATACTAAATAATGACCCAATATAATCTTCACTATATGCAAAATTTAAAGCTTTCCCTAACCTTATTCTGAAAATCTCAGGATCAGCATGGGCATCAAATATAGCTACATTCTGTCCATCAATTCGTTTCATGCTTTCTAATAATAAGGTGGTTTTACCGGTTCCCTTCTCTCCAACCATCAAATAGTAGCGTCCACTGATTTTCCCGCTAACTATATCATCCAATAATTCCTGTTGTGGTCTTTGCACCCAATACTTACTAATGTTTTCATCCTCATGAACATAGGTCCTCTTATGGATGGCTAATTGATACGCAGGATCTCCTTTCTCAAATGCTTCGTCAATCTTATCCAATACATGCTGATTATAAAACTTATGATACAAGATCCCAGCTACCCCTAATATTGCAACCGATGAAAATGTTATCCCAATAGTCTCAAGACATTTGAATAAAAATCGATTGAACTTAGATATAGTCTCTTTCAATTTATCCTGAAATGTGTCTTCGTGTTCTTCTTCATATTCCTCTTCCTGTTTCTCTTCTTCCTTTTTTCTTTCTTCCTCCTCCTTTCTCTTCTTCTCTTCTTCATTCTTTTCTTGCTCCTTCTTCTCTTCCTCCTTCTTCTTGTCAGCATCATTATCATTGTTGTTATTATTATTGTTATTATTAGTATTATTATTATTGTTGTTGTTGTTGTTGTTGTTATCACCTACTTCATCACGCTGAGATCTGACCCGGGCCTTGGCTGCCTCTTTGACCCCAACATACTCGTCTCGGGTGTCCACAGGCTTTGCGTCCGTGGTAGCAACGGCCTTCTTCAATGGAATCGTATCTTCTTTGCTTTGGAATTCTTGATCCTCTTTTTCCTTATCTTCATTCTTCTGCTCAACTTTCTTCTTTTCTCGAATAAGCTTCTTCTTCTGCTTAGTCAACTTCTTGTTCTCCTCTTCTAATTCATCGTTCTGAACCTCTTCAAGAACATCGAATGGCAATAATGGATTAAGGAATCGCGGTGGGGTGGTATGGAAAAGTATAATTCTTGATTTTGCAACTCGGGGAATTGACCTGTTCAATCTAGGAATAGACCCCAACAAACCTCTTCTTATCATTATTGATGACGTCTGACCTGTCTGGTGTTATACTCTACTAAGAATGGGCACATTGGGCTCAATTATATGATCATCACCTTTTGCGTTGATTCAGTTGTTTTTCTTATTTTGAGTTCGCAGAATCTAACACGAATTCCGTTGTCTGTGGAATTTTATCAAGTCTCGTTAAACATTGCATTTGTCACTTCACTGTCTAGCTCAAAAAAAGGCAAAATATCTTCTTGCACAAATCTACAACATATTGGCGATTCAAATTCATTGGCATGTATTGATATGTCAAATATCATAACGGAAAATAATTCAACTATTCAAAAAAAAAAAAAATGAAAAAATTGGCAAAAAAAAAAAAAAAAAAAATTCAAAAAGATACTATGTATATGTATATATATGTATATAAGATGCAAAAGCGATCGGACGTATCACGACAAGTCAAACCTGGAATCTGTATTGATCGCATATAGTAATTTAGTTCTAATTAATTCTTTGTCTTGGTAGTCAGGCAATTTTAAAAGGTTTACACAAGTGGATGCAGTCGGTAATCTTTCAATTGATCTACCACTGTTTCTAATACCAAATTTGGGAGATAGAGCTCCAAAACCTAGAAGCGGGGCTCGTGAAACTGAAGTGACAAATTTAATTAATTTGAATCTTTCTTGAGGACTCATTTCACTAACCACTTGCCAGAAGTTTATGATAGTAATGTCATCATCAAAGAAACCACCATATTCAACATTTTCTTTCCAATCTTGGATATTTATATCATTTTCACCTCCGGATATTAACATTTGTAATTCAAAAGAATCAAACATACTTAACCAATTTGCATTGATTATTTCAAATAACCCATCAAGGAAAAATTTACTTTGAATATGTAATGATTGATTCAATTTAAAATTGGATACTTGATGAATATAGTTTAATTCATTTGATGTGTTTACTAATGTAGTTTCACCATTTGGGGGTAGTAAATCAAATTTATAATCTAACCCATCGATTTTTTCTTCAATAGTAAAATTCAAATCTAACTCTTTCAATTCATCTGAAGTCATTGATAATAATTTCATTAAATTCTTGAATAATTCATTATCTAAATAATTCAAATCATTGATTGAATTTTTCATTGAATTATTAACATTACACCATTTATTTAAAAAAAATGGTGCAAAAGATATATCTACCAAAACATTTTCATAAAAACATTTACCAATAATTGATCCTAGAAATTTTAAATAGAATAATTTTTCTCGTTGAATATCAACATCAATTTTTTTATAAAGTTTTTTATAAATATCATCATTGGGATATAATTGATAATCGCTTGGTGTTTCTTTGAAAAGACCGAATTTATTTGAAGGTTTGAAAGCTTCCAAGACAACACTAGTTAAAAATTCTTTAGTAATTCCTCCACCATCGATACCAGCTTCTTGTCCACCATACTCATTGAAAAATGTAACACTTAATTTATTTTTAAATTGAGATCCCAATTTATGAAAATTTTCAAATGCATCTTCTAATAAAAATTCTCTCCTGATATTAGCCAGAAGTTTAGGAGTAATAAATGCATTAAAAATATTATCATTAGATTGAGTTCTCTGTCGATCTAAATCAATTAAGGTTTGAAATATTCTAACCCGATCTTTAAAAGAAAGGAAGAATGGTAATTTTTTCAAAACTTCAAGCTTGGCTAACGTGTCGTGTGAACTATTAAGAAATTTAGGTTTTTTAGGTTTAAAAGATGATGAAAACACTGGCGCATTAATATTCAGGGTCATGTCATCATTATCATCAATATTTTCATCAGAACTTAAATTTTCTAAAGATATTCTCTTTTCTTCTTCAGTTGCGATTATTTGAATCATAGAATCGATATTAAAATTTAAATTTTTCAATATCCAAAAATCTGCAGGTAAAAAATTTAACCTTAAATTTTTCATATAAAGCTGATTTAACAATGAAATTGAAATATCCTTCAATTTATTGTAATCTTTAAAATAATCTTTTTGTGAATTCATATTGTTGAAAATTAGTGTTAGACATAAAGTTTTCAAGAAAGTTAGAAATTCAGAAACATCTTTCAAAACCAATTTATCATCGGCAAAACTTTCTAAATCATTGGAAACGATCAACCAATATGAATAAAATTCTTCAAAAGTAAACAAAGTTTTCCAAAATCTATCGATTGAATTTTCATGTTGTAATTTACAATAAATTTTCTTCAAATCATCAACTTTAGCATAATCATCATTTTCAGAAGTATTTTCTAAAAATTTGTAAATTGGATCATTCTTCAATTCATTGAAAAACCAAGTATAAGAACCCGGGGTAATGGTTACCAACATACATAATTTACTTTTCAAAGAAGGAATCAAATAGATTAAAGTGGCAAATGAATAAAGAACTAAATTTGATAAGGAAGTATGAGTATTATTGGTGAAAATTTGAATACCTTGCTTTATATAAACTGAGGAATACAATATTTGTAAAGCGGTATAAGATTCTGAATCAAGGTATACTTTATCAATTTTGCCATCTAACTTATCTTCTACATCATCATTTTCATCATCATTGGGGTTTTGATCTTGACTATAGATTGAAAACGAAATGGTGGAAAGAATTCTACCAATCATAAAATAATCCTGTTCAATAAATTTATCATCGCTTCCATGGATACGAAGAACCCTAACCAACAAATAAGCTTTCTCGTGGTCAGAGAGGTTATTTAAAGTATCATTATATTCAACGAAAACCGATCTTAAAATATCAAGACGATGATGATTTTTGGATAAAACAATTCTTTCACTGGGAATAGATAAAAACTTAATAAAGTTTTGGTATGAATCCTTAACATTTACTTCATAAATCAAATCAACCATTGATGATAAATCATCATCGGTAATTGTTTCCCCAACTTCATTACAAGTAAAAGTGAGGTTCAAAATTAATTCACGATAAGCGTTTGGAGAAATTGCGGATGATGCAATATTGATAAGGGTCTTAATAATTCGTGATACAAGAACAATCATATCGACACTAGACTTCTTAGCATTGAATATTTTGATACATCTAATCAAGGTTTCAAGCAATTTATCAAATAATCTTGAATCAATTGAATTATTTACAAACTCATTCAAGCAATTGTCAAGACTAAACAACGTTTCACGAGTCCGATCAATCGGTTGACTGGGAAATGCCCATTTAGATATGAATTCAAACTTGGTAATCCAAATACTCCAATCAACAACTTGATCCTTTGAATCCCGCTTCCATTCTTCTTGTATCCGCTGAGCTTCATCATTTAGCTCAAGATACCTTCTAACGTAACTTTGTAATACTAATCCTGCCTTTTCCCGTTGTCTTTGCACCTCTCTTTTCTGTCTCTGTATTCGAGTTTGTTCCAAATAGTTCCTGCTATTTGATGAGGTATTGGATCGCCGATTTCCAAGATTCACCACCCGTTTATTAGTTTGACCAGTGAAATTAAGCATTGGCAATAGTTTGATTCGGTTGCTGATAAATAACACTAACACCTAACTCGATGAGACCTGGATTATGATCAATCAACTAAGTTATTTGCCATCAATTGAATCTTAAAAATTCAATCTCTCTCTCTCTTTTTTTTTTCTCTTTTGTAATCCCAAGCGAGAGGAAGAAAAAGAGCGTATGCTCTTTTTTTTGGCTCAATAGACATTTTTAGATCCATAAAAAGTCGCAACTCTTCTAAACCTTAGGGGTGGGTTGATTGATCTTTACTCAACTGAACCTGGCTTACAAAGGTCTGTAGACAAAGGAGTTGCTCCATTGACAAAGGTCTTTACTCAAGTTGGCAAACAAAGGCAGTTGGGTCGTCTATTTGCAGATGATGACAAAGTTTAAGATATATGTTAAGTATAATCGTCTACACAATATAATAGTCTATACGGTTAGTTGGATAACAAGTGTATGATGTGGCCAAACGACTCGATGTACTTCAGAGGAATCAGGCTTGGTCCATCTTGTAGAGAAGCTGGGTTTTCGATTAAATGGTGTAAATCTTTTAATTTAGTCCCTCCAGATAAAACCAATAGAGAACCTCCTGATTCACCACCCAATTGACCATCATTACCAAACTTGATATCGGTATACATTGTATCGCCAATCATCAAGGTTTTGGACTTGTCGAAGTCTCTTTGTTCTAAGATTGTTTCTAATAAACGTTTACTTGGTTTACCAACATCGATAAAATCACGATTGGAGGTATAACTCATGTAGTTGACCACACTACCCCCAGCCGGTAAGATAAGTCCCTCTGGGCCCGGGTAGGAGCGATCGATGTTGGTGCCAATGAAGGGTAACGACTTGTTTTCATGAAGTAAGTATTGAAGAGTAGTAGCAATTCTCATGTAATTAAAGGCTTTAGTCGATCCAACAACGACTGCACGTACGTCGGGATCTACTTTCAATAAGTCATGCTGAGGATGGAATTCATCGTCGAGTCTCGGATCACTTCCTCCCACTGGGATATACCCTAATTCTTTCAACTCGGTTTCAATTCCGTGGTCTCCTAATACCCAAACTTTGGCTCCCGCTGGCACTTTTAAATGTTCTTTGAGATAGCTGGCCGCTGCGTAGCATGTGGGATAGATCAAGTGTTTACCAATGCCCTTGAATCCAAGTCTATGGAATTTCTCGATATAAGTATCTCTGGATTTCGATGAGTTGTTGGTGACAAATGCAAACCGCTTCCCTTGACTTTCCAAATGTTCAATCGTTTCAAGAACCCCGGGTATGAGCTTTTCGTCCAACCAAATAACCCCGTCACAGTCAAAAAGAAAGTTATCGTACTGTTCAATGAGCTGCTGAGCTTGTTTCTTCAGCTCAATCTTTTCCGGTGGAGCCATTATCCAATGCTTGTATTTAGTTGTAGATAAGATAGTTGTGGGTGTGTGAGTATTAATTTTGATCTCGTTGAGTCTTTTTCTTTTTTTTAATGAGCTTTTTTCAGATGATTGCAACTCATCTCTTCACGCCATTTCAACTTCATCACCCAATGGACTCAGAGCTTATAATAAACGATTCAAGTATACTGTCGAAGGAGCAGAGCAATATAGAGCCGGAGTGTCAGAGCCTACAGCCGGAGCCGTTGACAAAGCCGCAAGGAAAAGTGCTAAAGAAAAAAGCCCGAAAAGGACAGTCAGAAGAAGAGTATTTGGAACAAAAAACCCAGTTTTATCAAGAAGGCCCAAGAATTAACACTGAAAATTGGCTATACGATGAAAATATATTGAAGAACCTAGACTCGAATAAAAAACCGGATAGGGCCCAGATGATTCTAGCTTGTGAAAAGGCGTATTTTCAACGAGATTATGAAAAATGTCTCGAACTTGTTCAATTGGCAGAAAGTATATTTGAGGTTGAACCACAAGATGTAGCATGCGATAAGCCAGAAACCAAGGCCGCTAAGAAAAAGATAAAGCATCATGTTGTTGAATTAATGCATATCAAGGAAAGTTGTCTCAAGAAATTACAATCCTAATAAATAATATAATATACAAGTTTATTTAAGTAGCATCACGTTTCAACCAGATTCTAATTTCCACGTAGCTCACGCGTCTTTTCTCGATACTTGATTCGGCTTCGTCTTCATCTTCGCTATCAATTTTTGGTTGGAACTCATCGTATACTTCCACCGTTCCGGTAATTATATCAACTTTGTACTTCAAATCCTCTTTATAGTTCAACCCAATCGATAGGGTTTTCTCAATCGCCTTACCCATGCCTTTCACCAGTATGTACTTGACTTTCTTATAATCACCCCGTTGATATTTCTTATTGGGGAGAGTTGTTTTATCGAATTTTTCTAGAATCTTTTTGATTCTCTTAATTGCTGAGATGTAGGGGGTGCTTGATTTGACTAGAAAAGTCGTTTCTTGGTTGATCTTTGACTGTAGTTCATTGTTTGGACTGTGCTTTATATGTGTTACGTTTTCCTTCTTTAATGCCATGGCTCTGTAGTGATTCTGATCTTCTAAGTTGATACTTCTCTTCTAAACTTCTTCTCTCTTTTTTTTTTTTTTTTAAGACTGCGGTGCCAGATTTTTTTTCATATTTTTATATCGCGTCTTCATCACAACTATACAAGGATTACCACCAGGATTGAACCATTCCATAATTGAAGGTCCAAGAACGACGCGTCCAATGAAGTCACAAGCCACCATATTCTCGGACTCGGGTAGCTGGTCTGATAACTCCTCGATCCCGTCATCCCCAGAGACTACTAGTTGTAAGAAACGAAGTCGAGCATGGGATGAAAGTTCTCCAATAAAAGACACCGGGAAAAGAATACAAAGGTCCCGGATCCATAGCGAAGTGCATCAGAATACTGTTTCCATGATGATGAATGCCCAAAGATTAATACAAGAGCAAGAAAAGCTATTCAAGATGGGAGGTCTAGAAGAGATGGAAGAGGAAGAAGCTAATGATAAACAAGGGAGTAATTATCAGCAAAAATCGTTTTGGCCGGCCATAACGAGAGTAGTACATAGATAAACAAAAAAAGATCATGTAAATTAATAGAACTATAAAAATAAACTAGTGTAGAAGAGAAAACGATAAAATACAAGGATTGAATTGGAAGAATGATTATGCAGTTGATCTTGATTTTCTTTTGTTTTTCAATAAAACTTTTTGTTTTGATGATTCAGTTTCGGAATCGGATTCCATTTCTTCATCTTCGCTCATCATATCTTCATCTTCATCAACATCGATATCTTCTTCATCCATGGCAGCTTCTTTAGCAGCTTCTTTTTCTTCTTTTCTTCTTAATTCAACATCTCTCATTCTTAATAATTCTGGATGATCAGCAATCAATTTCTTATCAGCAGCTAATTGTCTTTCTTTATTACCTCTCATTCTGTTCTTATAGAAAGCTCTTTCTCTCTTTTGTCTAATTTCTTCAACTCTAGACATGGCTTGCAAAGTAGTGGCAACCAAATCTCTATTATATCTAACTGGAACATTTCTTCTAGCAGCAAAAGTTAAAGTAGAATCAACAACCAATTCTTTACCGGCTGCTTTTCTAAAAGCTTTAGTCCATCTTAATTTTCTTGGGTTACGACGTTGTTTGAAAGCTTTATGACATTTGGAACGACAGAATCTAAACTCTTTAGCATCATTTCTTACAAAAGTAATCCCATGACTTGGGTATACTGGGGATGAACAAAAATGACAAGAATAAACTCTCATTTTATATTAATGCTGGGATAATGCTGGGACTGGTTACTATAACTGGGAAGTCAACTGTAACTGAAAGTAAACTGGGAACTGAAAGTAAGAAACAATGAAATATAATAAACTGAATAGGATATTCTCTTTGGTATACGATGAACTAAAGATAACCAGTTAAAGAAGAATGGAGTTGATCATCTCTTCTCATAAATTGAAAAAAAAAAATTTATCGAGATGATGAGCCGCAGAACCCAATCCGGTAATCCCACATTATTCCATTTGCAATAACTTTATACTCTACTCTCTACTCTACTCTCTACTCTACTCTCTACTCTACTCTCTACTCTACTCTCTTCTCTACTCTCTTCTCTACTCTCTTCTCTACTCTCTACTCTACTCTCTACTCTACTCTCTACTCTACTCTTCTATCCAACTCTCTCTACTCTTCTATCCAACTCTCTCTACTCTCTACTCTACTCTTCTATCCAACTCTCTCTACTCCTTACATAAACCACTACCCGTTATTCTGCTCCTTGCACCACTCATCTACTATGTGAGCAATTCGTATTCGTAGTACATGACTAATGCCTGTTATACTTGTAGTACTGCTTATCATTATAACTTGTAATTTATACTGCTTGTACTTATACTGCTTATACTTATACTGCTTCTTATACTACTTATATTCATACTGTAGGCTCAAGCCACTGCCGTTTAGTCAAGCTTGCCGGATTTTTGTTGAACTTAAGTAAAAATTCGCTAGAAATTCGTTAGAAACTCATAGAATACACTACAGTACCCTCCAGCACAGTCAGAGACTTCGATACAACACACCTTGATTCTTTATAGTATCATATGTGTATATGTGTATATGTGTATATGTATATATGTATATTTGGTTAGTATATATATATATATATATATATATATATATATATACTGGTTTGCAAAAACAATCACGTGACCAGGAATATTTTCAAATCACTTTAATTTTTTTCGAAGAATTTTCATTAAAACCAACCGAAGGCACCAAGTTATACACCAACAGAATGGCACCATTCAATATGGAAATCCCAACCTTACCTATACCTGGGGAAAACAGACAGCAATATGCGCAGGCCCAAGCACAGGCCCAGGCTGAAGCACAGGCCCAAGCTCAAGCAATGCAACAACAACAAGCACAATTTACTGGTCAGTTACAACGTAAAAAGGCCGAAGAAGGATCAGCAGAATACTATTTTGACCAAGCATGTGACTGGATGGGTGAGCACCCATGGTTAACTGGTTTAGGGGCCTTTGGCTTAGCATATTTTGCTGCTGGATTCGTGAAGTCGAATCAACCAGGTCTTAACGGTAAAGCATTTATAAAAGGAGGATTTGGGGCTAAAATGTCTGCTAAAGAAGCATTACAAATCTTAAACTTGAAAGAAACAAACTTATCCAAGGCCAAGTTAAAAGAACAACATAGAAAACTAATGATGGCAAATCACCCTGATAAAGGTGGGTCTTCATTTTTAGCTACAAAAGTTAATGAAGCCAAAGATTTTCTCGAGAAAAGAGGTGGTATGAAACCCAAATAATCTTCATTTCTTACTGTAAATAGTTTTTATACATAATAATCTTTATCCATAATTAATTTTTCAATCTCGTAATCATTATTTATTGGGGTCTAAACCCGGACCTAATTCGTATTACGAATTGCCCTCGTTTACCCTTAATGAATCGTCAAATTCCCTACCTCTTTTACGATCTTGTAAGTCAATCCTCAGCTTTTGTTTTGATCTAGTCCTCGCTACCCCTTTGGTATACCAGTGTTTGTTTTGTTTCATTTAAACCAATTCCAAATTAAAGTGAGGTTGCTCAAAATCAATTCAGTTAAACAAAACAAATTCAAGGACAGAGAAAGTAAGAAAAAAAAAAAAAAATAGAATTTTATAGCTTACGTCTAGAGACAATCTATTAGCTATACTATTTGATTTCATTCAAAGATCAGTCAACTTGTTTAGGTGAATAACACTTAACCTGCTATTCATTAGAATTGATTTGTATTGGTCTGGTGCTGTTCAATTGAGAGTTTGATCCTGTTATTCCGATTTGAGTTTTTCCCACGTCACCAATCCAATAATACTTAATTGTTAACAAATAATATGACTACATATGAAAAGATTGTTAAAGGAGCTACCAAAGTGAAAGTAGCGGCTCCGAAGCCTAAATACATTGAACCAATATTAATGTCAACCTCAATAGATCACTCGGTGGCTGCTGAAAATTTCCATACGGTAATGAGGGCTTTACAAACAAGACTTCAAGATAGTGCATGGTCAGTTGTTTATAAATCATTAATTGTGATTCATATATTGATTAGAGAAGGTGATCGAGATGTTACTTTGAAATTTTTATCTCAAAAAGCTCCTTATATGTTAAATTTATCTGATTCGAATATTCTGAAAAATCATAATTTTAATTCAGATGTTCGGTTTATTATGAAATACGCTAAATATTTACATGTTCGGGTTAAGCAATACGCCGAAACTGGTATCGACTATGTTAGAGACGAAAGATCAAATAATAGTACTAATCAAAGTGGCGGTAGACTACGTTCATTAGCAGTGGAAAAAGGGTTATTAAGAGAAGCTGAAAGTGTTCAAAAACAAATTGATTCCCTATTGAAAAATAATTTTACTGAAAATGATGTAAATAATGATATTACTTTAACTGCTTTCCGTTTATTAGTTAATGATTTATTAGCTTTATTTCAAGAATTAAATGAAAGTGTTATAAATTTATTAGAACATTATTTTGAAATGTCGAAGGTTGATGCTGAAAGAGCTTTAAAAATTTATAAAAAATTTGTTGATCAAACAAAATATGTTATTGATTATTTAAGAGTTGCAAAACATTTAGAATACGCTACCAAACTTCATGTCCCAACGATAAAACATGCCCCAACTGCATTAACTTCTTCTTTAGAAGAATACTTAGATGATCCAAATTTCGAACTTAATAGAAGACAATATCTCATGGAAAAAAATTTAGATACAAGTAAACCTTCATCTGGTAAAAAAGACGTGAAAATTTCGAATCCTCCTCCTGAAAACTTACAACCTCCAAATCAAAATCAAGATTCTTCCAATAGTCAAAGACCAGAGTCCCTTATAGTTCAACAGTCAACTTTTAATCCTTGGGCTGGTAATATTGGTCAAGTTCAAGCTCCAATTTTTACAAACCCCAACGGTAATCAATTAGGTATGATTCCTCAAGGCCAAGTAGTAAACCAACAACAACAAGTTCAAGCACAGCAACAAGTTCAAGCACAACCACAAATTAATCCGACATACACTGGAGCTGGCTTTGGTGGTTATGGTCCTCAATCAAATAACCCAATTCAATCCCAAGTCACTGGTAATAACCCATTCTTACAACCCCAACAAACTCAAACTCAACAACTAGGTACCAATACTCAAGCTTTTAATCAGTTATCACAACCTCAACAACAATTCCAGCCGCAACTTCAACCTCAATATACTCAACCTCTTCCTCAACAGCAGCAATTTGTTCAACCACAACAATCATTACAACCTCAACTAACCGCCCCTCAAAATGGTAATGCTGGTGGATTAAAACGTTCCAATACTAACCCATTCGCTAAATTAACATCTTCCGTTACTGGTAATCCAATTTCGGCAAATAATACAAACCCTTTTGCCAATACAAGATTTGCAAATAATAACACAACAGCATTAACTTTCGAAAATGAACGTCCTCAACCTAATAGCGTACAACCTATTAATCCAACCACTACCGGTAGCAATCCTTTTAAAGTTTCACAAACCACAACAAACCTTTTCAATCATGCTCAATCTCAACCTCAAACTTTGAAACCTCAGCCAACCGCTGGAGGATTAGAAAATTTACCAACTGTTGCTGTATTCCCGAAAACCCAAGAAGATCAACAAAGAGATTTGTATATAAATCAAGCTAAGGTTGGATTACAACAACAAGCTACTGGATTTCAACAATTTCAACAACAACCCACCCAGCAGTTTCAACAACAACCCACCCAGCAGTTTCAACAACAACCCACCCAGCAGTTTCAACAACAACCTACTCAACCATTCCAACAGCAACCCACTCAACCATTCCCACAACAACCATTTCAACAACAACCTACCCAGCAATTCCAGCAACCACCTCAACAATTCCAGCAGGCTCCTATTCAACAACCAGTTTTCACAAATAGTGTTTATGAAGGACCTAGTTTGATCTAGTTCCACAGTTCTTTTTAATTTCCGTTTTCCTAAATTTGCTTTTATCTTTTTCTTAATTTTTATAACAATTAACTTCATCAATTTAAACAGTATAATGCTTTGTTCATTTTCTCATTTGTTTTACTAAAAAATCTTCATACATTTTTATACTCAAGTTACACGCATGATAAGTAATCTATCTTTTATATTTAAAATATGAACCTGTAATCATTAATAAACGAACTTTTAGAATCTAAGTTATGTAAGAAATTAAAATTAAATAATTAAAGCAAGAAAGTATGAAGCAATAACTGCTAAAATGCTAGATTTAAAAGCTGAAGAAGAGGCATTATTAGAGGATTGAACTGAAGATGGAGTTGATGATTTAGAGGAGCTAGAAGAGTCTGAGGAGCCAGAGGAACCCGAAGAGCCAGAAGAGCCAGAGGAATTAGAAGAATCGGAGGAGGAGCTGGAATCAGAAGATGAAGAGCCAGAGGATGAATCAGAAGAGTCAGATTTGGAGGAGGAGTCAGATTTAGAAGAAGATTCAGACTTACTCGAGCTGGAAGGTTTAGAAGATGAAGCGGAGGATGAGGAAGAAGAGGAAGAGTCGGAAGAGGAAGATGGGGAAGATGAAGAAGAAGATGATGAAGAAGAGGAAGATGGGGAAGAAGATGAAGAAGATGAGGAAGAAGAGGAAGAAGAAGAGGAAGAGGAAGAAGAAGAAGAGGAAGAGGAAGAGGAAGAAGAGCTTGAGTCATCACCATCGTATTCGGTTGTTTTATCAGCAGCAGTGATATCAGCTTTTGATTCTCTACCATTAACTTCACCATTTTTTGCTTTAATGGAAGAAGCATCACCAGATTGATCACCATAGGAGTATTCTGAACCGGTTGAATAATCACTGATTAACAACTTATTGATGTACATTGAGAAAGGAGCATCATTATAATCGGTAGAGCCACCAGCCCATTCGATAGTACCTGGAGCATTTGAACTATCACCACCAGCCCAAATACCAATCATGATATAGGATGGGGTTTGAGGATAACCTTCGTCATTATCCGATTTCAAAGTTCTTACTGCATTACCATTATAGTACCAAACAATTTGATCTTCAGTCCAATTGATGGTGTAATTATTATAATCATCTTGAGGAGCACCAGAAGTAGAATGGTATTCACCTCTATCATAAGTAGTAGTATCACCTTTTGAGAAGTAATTAGATTGGAATTGAGTGTCGTCACCACCTAACCATTCAATATCAATTTCATCAAGATCATCTGATTGTAAATAAAAAGAAGAAACAATCCCTTTACCTTTTGCAGCTTTTAAATGAACTTCAACACGTCCATACATTATATAGAAATTTGATTTTAAAATAGGATTATCAAATCTTTTGTTTAGGGTAAGTTTTAACCCATCATCACTTAAATCGACCCCAGTTGGAGTGGATTTAACATCAAAGTTAGATGAGTTAGAAGTAAAATATTCAGTAATATCAGTGGCTAAAGCCGGATCCGGATTACAATTAGAACTACTAATTGGATTACAAGTAGTAGCAGTTGCAGCAAATGCGGAACTCACTATAGAAAGAATTCCTGCTATATTAGTGAATGAAACCATATTCTTTAAAGCTTTCGGGGGGTATCAAAAGGGTATCAACGGTTGAAATTTTTTTTTCAAATCATAAATAACCCAAGATTTCGATATGCTTTATATAACATGAAGAAGAGCTCAGATGCTGAGCCATGGCCTTCTTTTCTTTTTCCCATTCCTACAAAAGGGTGATATTCATTGTAATGCAATATATTAACAACCTTTGAAAAGTAAATATAAACAGGATGCAAAAAGCTTCATGAGTTATATTTAGATTGTAGCCAGGGTATTAACCAATTTACTTGTGTAATCAAGTTACATCATCTTTCTACTCTAGCTACCACCACGTCTGGTCCACCACTGCTCGAGCTCAACCAACCAACCAACCAACTAGCTCAACTGGCTCAACTGGCTGGACTGGGCCTTCTCTTCGAGACCTCGACTGGAGAAAGACGCAGAAAAAGTTTCACCTTCACAATTCGCGTTCTCCATCTTTTCATTACTGGCTCAAAATACTAAACAGGTCTCGAACCAGACTTACATGATCATGTACTCCGTTAAGAAAAAGACGTAACCAACAGGGGGTAGCCAACGGTAAGAGTAACAAAAAAGATCTCTTTTGCCCAGGGCTATGGAATGGCTTTAGCAGTTTTCTTCTTTCTTGCGTACATTACCACCGCTTGAATCGCGTAAGTTGGAAATTTGACCAAGTCCTTTCGAGTAGTTGTTTCGCGTTAACAGTGGGATAGTACATTAAAAGAGCTTTTAGGATTTATGAATTTAATTTCGTGTAATCTAATTTTGTTACAAGGCTCATAGAAGAAATTGTCAATTCAATATACAAAGGAGAAAGGTATACAAATTTGAAAGCAAGTATTCGACCGGAAACAATCAGAACTTAATTGAATGCATTAATTCATTATAAATCGATATTGCCAAATTTCCATAAATCCTTATCGTAGCTTTCAGTAACGCTTGAGTCTTCACCGTAAGACTCCTGCCATTTACTAAAACCACCTTGTAAAACCCATACATTGACATGCTGGAAAAATTCAATTTTCAATGGGTCTTCAATATCGTTGAGGGATCTTAAGAATTTAAGACTGGATTTAGGGCCTCTTGCTTGGGATAACATGCAATGGAATACAACATCCTTGATTTTATTCTCATACAAGGTCTGTTGTAATTCGGGTAATTTTTCATCAATAGTATTACTTGGATAATGGTATCCACCTTTGATATGTCCACCCACGTAGTCCGAGTCTCTCACGTCCACCACAGCAAACTTGCCACTGGTGGCCAGACACCCTTGGTCAAACCACGAGCGGAGGGCTGCAGGCTTGATGAACCTCAAGTCTGAAAGTGAATATATCCTCGACATGTTGTCCGTCAAGTGGAACTAATACCGAGTTGATCATTCCTATCAGTGTATCCTCTCTTCTCGCTATACCACCCACCCGTACCTCCCACAACCCCGTACACCAGGTAGCCTTTTTCACATGCTCGGATCAGCCTAACTCCTGTCAAATAGTTACCAGTTTAATCAATTACTAGTTTGCATCAATTATTCACCCATTTATCAACACCTTTTAACACTTTTTATTACACCTTTAACACTTACACCTTTTAACACTTACACCTTTCAACACTTTTACACCTTTCACACCTTCGACTCTTTACATCTCTTCAACTTTGCGTGTACTCCAGGGCGTTTCTGGCGTGTTTTCTGGATTTCGTTCTGCAGTAATCTTTACTGCTCATGACTGCACTGTCACTTGGTCGAACAGTGCCAATTGAGCTCAAGGAATGCAGTGAGATGGGTGTAGAGCTCGAACAAAGTATACTGTACACTGTACACAAAGGGAAGCAAATTAAACGTTTGTTGGCTAATAAACTTTGAGACAGAAGGAAGGGAAAAAAAAAAAAACAAAGTTAGCCTATTGCTTGTTGTCTTCCTTCTTTCTTGCTTCTTTCTTCCCTTCTTCCTTTGTAGACTAGTATAAGCCAATTATATGAGCATGGCCAAGCCAACTGAAGATATTCCAGAGAAATCCGGATCGCCACTTGCAAGAACATTGTCGGTTGATTCATTTGGACCTAAATTGATGTCAGTTTTCCGCAAGAATAAAAAAAGGAGCCATGATGAAATTCAATCGAATAACTCCACACCCACTCCGTTAAGCTCAGATGATCAGGAACATGATAGTCTGGATTCGGAAATCTTGAAAATTGAACCTAAGAATGAAATCAATAACAAACGTAGAAAGATTAAAACTAAAGAAGAGGAAGAATTCGAAGCCAATGAACGTAAATTAGATGAAGAGTTACCAGAAGACTTAAGAAAATTCAGACCAAAGGGATTTAAATTTAATCTTCCTCCTAAAGATAGACCAGTTAGAATTTATGCTGATGGGGTATTTGATTTATTTCATCTTGGTCATATGAAACAATTAGAGCAAGCTAAAAAATCCTTTGAAAATGTTGAATTAGTTTGTGGTGTTCCTAGTGATGTGGAAACTCATAAAAGAAAAGGTTTAACGGTTTTAACTGATAATCAACGGTGTGAAACTTTATTACATTGTAAATGGGTTGATGAAGTTATTCCAAATTGTCCTTGGGCAGTGACTCCGGAATTTTTGAAAAAACATAAGATTGATTATGTTGCTCATGATGATGAACCTTATGTTTCTGCAGAATCGGATGACGTTTATAAACCAATTAAACAACAAGGAATGTTCTTATCTACTCAAAGAACCGAAGGTATTTCAACTTCTGATATAATTACTAAAATCATTAGAGATTATGATAAATATTTAATGAGAAATTTTGCCCGTGGAGCCACTAGAAAAGAATTAAATGTTAGTTGGTTAAAGAAAAATGAACTAGAATTTAAAAAACATATAAATGATTTCAGATCGGCTTGGATGAAAAATAAAAATAGTATAAATAACGTTTCAAAAGATTTATATTTCGAGGTAAGAGAATATATTAGAGGTAGAAGATCTTTTGATAATCATTCTTTGGATGATAAAAAACCAAATGGGTCCTCTTCTTCTTTGAATAGTGATTTTGAAGATCAAAACTCAAGAGCAACTAGTCCCTTAACGGAATTTGCCTCAAAATATATCGGTAATAAAAATAGTGACTTAAATCGTCCTCCAAAATCAATTTTTTCAAACGTGAAGGATTGGATTAAAGTAGAAGAGTCTCATGATGAAGATTCAAATGAAAGCGATTTACCAATTAATAAAGAAACCAAGAAACCAAAATCCCCAAAGAAAGTGAAATCAACCACTCCTAGAAAAATTAAAAAACCAGTAAGCCAAAAATCAAAGAAAACTTGATTATTTGACTTGTATATACTTCGTATTTATATCTTTAGCATCGGGCCTAAATAAACATTTTCTATTGCGCATCTAAAAAATTGTATACTTATATATTATAGATACTTATACTTTGTTAGGTAAAGATGTCTAATGATATAATCCATTCAACTCCTTCTCCTTATTCAGATGACTATGATAAAAGTGTAATCATCGATCAGGTTTATGATCATCTTCAACGCCAATTAAAGCTCCAACAACAAGAACTATTACAACATAAAGAATCATTCATAAAAGATAATTCATACTTACAAACAACTCCTAATCAAATAAATACATCTCTGAACTTGAATTGGAGTTTCACTCAAGGCCTCATTATTGGTCAATTAAGTGTGATTTTTGTAATTGGAATTTTTATCAAATTCTTCGTGTTCGCTGATTCAACAACAATTTCTCCTAAAACTTCAAGTAAAGATGCTTCTAATGTAATAGTTAAAAGAGATAAAGTAAATTCTGAAAAGCCAGATAAAGATAATGATCTAATTGATAGTTATTTATCCGATAACGAAGATGAACATGTTAAAGTTACCAAATCTAAATTAGCAAGTATATTAGAAAAAACATACTATGACGTTGATAATCATTCTTCGGAATCTTTAGATTGGTTTAATGTTTTAATTGCCCAGACAATCTCCCAGTTGAGAACGGAAGCTCTATTATCCGATAACATTTATCATTCTTTAAACGAGTTCTTATCTAAACTGGAGTTACCGGATTATCTAGACAAGATTAAAATTACTGAAATTGATATTGGTGACGACTTCCCGATTTTTTCAAATTGTCGTATAAGACACAGTAAAGACGGGTCTGGCAGATTGGAAGCTAAGATTGACGTGGATTTATCGGATACTTTAACCTTGGGTATCGATACTAAGTTATTATTGAATCACCCTCGTCCATTAACAGCGGTTTTACCAGTGCAACTATCAGTTTCTATAGTAAGGTTTTCGGGTTGCTTAACGGTTTCGTTAATTAATACCAATGATCCAGAATTCACTGATATAAGCCAGGGTAATAACTTATCAAATAATAACAAGGACCATGATTCTTCCAGTAATAGTAATGGTACGGCTTTAATGTTTTCATTTTCTCCCGATTACAGATTGGAATTCACCGTTAAATCATTAATAGGTTCAAGAGCTAAACTACAAGATGTTCCTAAAATCTCTTCGTTAATTGAAAATAAATTACGTAGTTGGTTTATCGAACGTTGTATTGAACCAAGGTTTCAGGTAGTTAAATTACCTTCATTATGGCCAAGACGCAAAAATACCAGAGAACCAGTGCATTCAAATGTTAACGGGATCGTCGATAAAACTGAAGAAGCATTATAAGAAATATTCCTTGTATATATTATGTATTTTTATAAACATTCATTATCCCAACATGCTTCTCTTTCTACCTCTTAATCTTACATCATCCAACTTCCTACTAACCTCCACAAACTTCTTTGTCCCCTGTTTCCCGTATTCTTTATCCATGTGTATTTGCTCGTATCCTTCTAACATCCATTCATTGTATTGTTTGGCATATACCGAATGGGTACTATCAATTGCTCTTTCTAAAACGTACAAATCAACTGCTTTATCTTCAGGCATTCCAGAGTATGATGACAATCCAAAGTCTATAAGTAAAGGCTGGCCATCCTGCAATAGAATATTAGACGAGGTCAAGTCTCCATGAATCATGTCATTCAAATGTAATTTGCCTATTAGCTTACCTACTTCTTGACATAATAACTTAACGTCATCATCAGTGCAAAACGAAGGCTCTTTATTTCTTTCTAAGTACCATAAATGATTCTTGAATGAACTCACATCGCCATTAGGTAGCTCCGTGCCTAGATATTCCATCCAGATAATCCCATTATCCAAGTCAGCCAGAATCACAGCCGGAGCATTAACTCCAAGTTTCTGGAGCTTTGACATGAACCTCACTTCTCCAATGGTTCTATTTTTCGTAATTGAAGCATCAATCTTTGGATGTCTATATGGTTTGGGTGGCCTATACTTTATTATGAATGCTTCCTTATTAGCTAGACTTGGACTTGTCAGGTACGGGTGTACATTTGTTTTGAACACCAATGCTTCTGCCCCTTGGGAAATCACACTCAAAGGTATTCCAGTCAAGTGTTTCTGGGCCCCAGCAACTATATGATCTGTCATTAAACTTGAACCTATAGATATTAACTTGTGAAGCTCATCAGTGATACTTTGACTTTTTTTTGAATCAATGTCCAACAACCAGCCCGTACACCAAAAAACCTTTTGAGAAGAAACTACACAAGAGTGCTAGCGATAAAGGATAGAGCGACAGAGTGCTAAGAACGAAATACGGAGAAGCTTCCAGTAACAGATCAGACTACCTATTCGACAATTGAAATTGACCACAATGGCCCACCATTCGGATGTCTTGTATGTGGTTCCACCTTATCTACTCAACACTAGTTATGGGCTCAATCTTAAACAGCAACTTATGTCCAAAGATGAAGAGCTTGCCAACTCGAATGTGATTTCCCATAATTCTGTTAAATACGTGAATCCACACGAAAGACATATAATTCCTGAAAACCAGATCACTGGGGATAAGAATATTGATAAGATTTTGAAGCAAAAGCTTATCTATAAGTTTAGTATTTTAGGAATCTTGGGTAAAGACCCTATGGATAGCAAACATATTTCGGATGCTAGGCTCTATGAATTATGGCAAATATTTAGAGATAGAATTTTAGCAGATAAAGAAAGGAATGCAGGGAGTAGCTCGAAAGATGAGTCAAAATATTATTCGTCCAAGTTGTCCGAAAAAGTTGGTGAAGTATTTTTAAACGAAGATTTGTTCCACATACCTGATAATTACGTAGATGAATTAGATAAATATTTGAAAGATTTGCTTGTATCCACCAAGAGAACAGAGTCAAGAAGCTATAATATTCCCAGAAGGCTAATCAAATTCGATGACGGATCATTTTTCGATTACGCGTTGCCTGTTTCATGGGCACCTTTGATGACAGTAGAAAGCTTTGCTCAATTACAAGGAAGTTACAATTTTGAAATCAGTAATTCGAAAGGTTCACCTAGTATAAAAATCGCACCTCCAGCATCTTCAGAATCTCCAGATCTTGCCTACAAATGGTATAATTTCATAACGGACAAGCCTGTACGCCCTTTGGTTGGCGTGTTTTATTATGAATTAGCTATAAAACAAGAATCTCTGCTGAATCACGACTCGTCGCCATTGATAAACATGAGTGATTCGTCTGAATCGTCAGAAAATTCCCTTCATTTTTCAATGGGTTTCATCAATCGAAAAGTTAATTTGGATCCTCCAGGACCATCCTCTGGAACTGCAAAAGTAGGAGGGGTCCCAGTTGACCTTGAAGCTATCAAGAGTGATATATATTATTATAGGGATAATGATGCATACGTTGAACTCAGCGATGAAATTCAACATTATTTATCCTTAAAAGCTGGAATCATGAAGGGTAGCCATGTTATAAATTTTGAGGAACTGAGTTTCCAAAACTCCATCAGAGAAGGTGAATCGCGTCAAAGATCAGCAGCAATGAATTTAAATCGGAGACTCTCTCAATTGGGGAGACCCCAACCAGATGAGTTAAGTAATGGTAGTATTGATCTCGAGATTCCTTTCAACACTAACATTTCTCAAACCAAAAACAGAAAATCATACAGATCAGATATAGTTGGCTGTGGAATAAATTTCATTGACAAATCCGTATTCATAACGTTGAATGGTATTCTAGTCAGATCTATTCCTTATGACAGCATTAAGTCAAGATTATCTACCAAAGACAGTTTATTCGAGCATGAAGAAGATAACTCGGTCTATCCTGTTATAGGATTCGAGCTCATTGGAACAAAGAAGATGAAGACATCTGCCCCATCATCAAAATCCGAAGTGATTGCCAACTTTGGTAACAAGGACTTCAAATTCAATATTAATAGTTATGTCAAAGAATATAAAGCGCAAAAGCAAAATCAATTATATTTAACGGAACTTGATAAGGTCCAGAAATTAAAACCCCCAACTTCCATGCCTTTCAAGGATGGGTTTCCTAGTACTATTCAAGAGTTACTATCATACATGAATGATGACCCCAAAATTATTAATGAGTTTCTAAGTGGGTACTTGGAACATGAAGGATATCTTGGAACTTTAAAAGCATTTAATAAAGACCTCAAAACTCTTGAAAATGAAATTAACGGGCTTAATCAAATAGAAGATGACGAGGGCCCCAAACATCCTTCACATTCGTATGACAGACAGTTAATCAAACCATATTTACATCATAATCAATTTGAGCAATTAAGCAAATTTCTCAAGACGAACTACTCAAACGTCATGAATAAAAATGTCTTACGTGAACTTTTGTTTGAAGTTGATTATGTTAAACTACTTTATCTTTTAAGGAAATATTTGGATATAAAGTTGAACTCTTCAAATTTCGAGTTTGATTTTGAATACAAAACCAGTGACTCTGAAGCGGAAGCCTATGAAAAAGCTATTTCTTGGAGTAAATATTTACTTTCAGAATATTCAAGAGATAAAGGTCGTAGCAAGAAAGTCCACGAAATATGCAAGGCTTTGTTAATTGATGATTCTAAATCAGTAAAAAACTATCCTGGTGTTATGTATATTTTAGAAAATTATCAAAAGAAAGTCAATAAGTTAAGTGATCAAATTAATAAAAGCGTTTTGACTTCCTTAGGTCTCAACGAATCATCTAGCTTGGAAACGATAATTAACGAAACTAACAAAAACATTAATAAGTTAAGTTTGGAGCTCGAGGATGAAAACTTCATGCTTATAAATTATGAACAAGACTATATTGATTTAGCCTGATATCTATCAATATGTTCATGTATATTAAATGAAATTATAACGAACAAATTTTAGTTGCATATTTTTCTTTATTATGTAGAATATGTTTTACAGTTTTTTGAAGTGTAATCATTTATACTATTTACAAATTTGAGCGACTCTCTTGATTGATAACGGGTTTAGAATCTGGTGCTTTCAGTTTCTTATAATCGATAAGTCTTTCTGGGGTATAGTTAATGGGAAGCATTGTTTGAAGAAGGATATTTTGAACTAAAGAATAAGCTTGTGAACTAGTCCAATAAAGAACCAAGGCCATTGGTGCATGCATAGAGATGGCCATTAAAATAGCTACTGACATTTTGGACATGTTTCCTAAAGCGTCTGATACTGTTGGCCTTAAAGATCTTCTTTTAGTTCGAGGTCTCAAAAGTTGGTGAGTCTTCATCATAAACTCTGCATTACACAAGGCAACTATACCCAAAGCAATGGGGAATACGTGAAGGCTGTCATACGTGGTCAAGTCAGAAAACCACGCAATACCTTCGCTATACAAGGAAGGGTCTAATGGTTTTTTTGACATGGTATCCCATGATGTCCATCCGCATAGATCTCGCATTGTTAGTGACATACAGACCCATAACGGAAACTGGAATGCTGGTAGGATGAGAAGCTTCCATCCTTGAACATTATGCTGCTTGAATAGACTTTTCCTTCTTTTATTTGTTTCTTTGGCCGCTAACAAGAGTATTTGTTCATACTTCATGGTAGCTAATGGTGACTGCACGGCAAGTATGTCATTGGAGGTTGCATCCTTGTTTTTTAAAGATTCAGAACCTCTTTCAGCTTGGGCCTTGGCTACTTGGGCCTTTTTGGCAAGATTTAGTTTAGCAACCGGATTAGTAGCAGCTACCACTGGTATTAGTTCATTTTGCTTACGTGACTTTACTCTTTGCATAATAGCAAGAGGAAGCGTCCACACTGATCGTAATGCAAATGTCGTTAAAGGTATAAGAGCCCACCATGGTACGCCTGTTGATGAATGAATCAATTGTAAGCCCTCTGTCATTGATGCAATAATCGTTGTTGGTTCGAAAGAAAAATTTCGCCTCTGGATCCTAATTCTGGTATTAGGTACCCCGATCCTCGAGACATTAGCTATGCGGTTCCTTATCATCTCTAAACCATACACTTTATCAAGTTCTAATCAGATTTGGTAAGGCTAACTCTATTAGTTTAGAGGAAATTGAATCTATTGAAGAGCTGGTAAACACACACAAAAATTTTCAGTTTTTTTTTTTTTTTTGGTTTTTGAAAAGATTTGGAGTATTTTCGCTTTTGACTAAATACTACGTGCAAGACATAGCTATTTAATTGCCAGCTTTTGTTACATAGTAAGAGATAAGATGTCCACCAAAACAGAGAGAGCATGCATGCTTTGCGGTATCATTCAACCTTTCAGAAGATTTGTTGACCAAGGATGTCCTAACTGTGAAAGTGTCTTACATTTCCAAGATAATGACGATAATCAAGTTCAAGACTGCACTTCCCCATCCTTCGAAGGATTACTTGCTTTGGGAGAGGATAACAAGCAGTCATGGGTAGCAAGATGGTTGAGAATAGATTCATTCGTGGCGGGATTGTATGCCATCAAGATAAACGGTAAATTGCCTCCGCATATTATCAGTGACTTGACGGAACAAAACATCAGTTATAGACCAAGAGACGGAAGTGCTGAAGATTAGATGTTCTTCGAAACCCCGACCGATTGACCTTGTATAATAGATTTCACTTTGTATTTTTAATTCTCACCTAACACTTAATTGTCCTTTTTTTTCTTTTCATCATAATATAAAAGTTCATTACAAATTTTTCTTGTAGAGATAGTATTATCTATTAATTAACTAAAGTACATATGTTTTAAAAGTCGTAGCATGATTAATTCAAGGCAGTCTTCAATTCAGCCGCCACATCGAAAAGTTTACTAACCGTTTCCGTTTTATCCCACTTACTTCTGTCAGTCCAGATGGTATCCATAAATTTGGCCATTGCTATTTCAAGTTTCTCGATATTATAACTTTCAGTGATGTCAGGAATTACATTCTCGAAGAATTCATGAACACGATCCCCGAGAATTAATTCTCGAGTCAAATCATGATTGAGGTCTTCCTCAGCCTCTGACTCCGACTCAACCTCAGGCCCGTTGACATCCTCAGAACGTTCTGATGCTGTTGGGTTAGTGAGAGTATCTTTGGAAGGTAAAACCTCATTGTTGATGTTTTTCTCTGTCTCCTTAAAGTCGTCTTTAGGCTCAGAATCAAACGCAACCCCTTCAGCGCTGTTACTCTTAGTTTGGTTCTGCTGTAAGCTGGTCTCCATTTTCGCATCTTCTTCAACTTTCCCGTTAGAGTCGACTGGAGGATGTGAAACACCGTTACTAGTAACGGGCTTATCTTCACCACTTTCAATCTCAGCGGTAGAATCCTTGATTATGTTAGTAGTGACGAGAGGAGCATCAGGTATGGGTACACCATTCAAATCCAAAGTATTTAAATTTTCAGCTTGTCTTTTTGCAAATTCCCTCTGTAACTTATAATGTTCCTCTAAAATCTTTTCCTGTTTTGAGATTTCTCTTTCTCTCATTTCTCTACAGGCTTTTGCAAATTCAGGATTATTGAAGTCGTCGATCCCGAATTGAGTATTGGTTAACATTTCATTTGCTTTTAAAATTCTTTCTCTGTCACCAGAAGTAATTGCATCTTTCACAATAAGCTTGATATCCTTGAGAAACTGTTTCGCTTCAGAATAATATCCGTTCCATAAACGTTCCTCAATGATATCCAAGTCCATATTGTAGTAAAATCTACCAGTACTCAATTCTTGAATCATATTCTTGTGTTTGGGGTCAGTTGATTTAATATAGAGCACCTCATATTGATTCAAAGGATTTTGTAAAATGGCTGGTTCAAATAAATGGTACAACATATTTTCATCAATAATTGGTTTTCTAAAACGCTTATAACGATTTTTGAATAAGTCCATCAAACCTGCCAACTTAATTTTCAAGATATTTTTCAATTTTGTATCATTATATTCCTGTTCTTTGAGTTGTTTTTTCACTTGAGCTTGGTTATTAGGCGTTTCTTGTGGGAGAATCTCAAGCTTCTTCAATTTCCTTTTAGGTCTATTTTCCAAGTCATTGATAAACTCAAATGGTTTCATTTTTAAGGTATTTTCTAATGTTTTGAAAAATTTTAATCTGGCTTCTTTATCAGGTGCAGTCAATCTAACGTTATTGGATTCATTATTAAAACCAAACATTAATTTAATGTCATTATCGAGTTCATCCTGATTAGTTTCAGAGATTCCCAACAACAATACTTTTTCGGTACTCTTTAAATTTCTTAATAGACCTGTGAGAGTGGCCTTGGCCGAGTATGGCATAACTTGAAACCAAATATCAATATTGGGGATGAAAATGATAGATGGTTGGTGTCTCTTTGCCTCAATAAAAGTTTGAACTATGCACAGTTCTGGGGTACGAGTAGAATCACCAAATACATTACCTAAGTCTAAAGATTGAACTTGGAATCCTTCTAGGAAATTAAGAATTGCTGAACTGATATATTGTTGGCCGAAACCTTGATCACCGCATATCAATAGATGAGGTTTACAAATTCTTGCATTTTCTAAATTCTTCAATAATTCTTGCTTGGAAAATCCACCATCAGCATCTTTAGCGGTGGGATCCAAATAAGAAGCTTCTTCTAGAGCAGTCACTTTTTTCTTTTTACCAATGGAGATTGAGTTTGGTAATAAGTTTTCTAATTTATCTGTAGCTTCATTGAAGGTTTTCTCCAACAAAGGCTTTAAATGATCGGGCAATGGCGCTGAACCAGAAGAGGTTGATCTAGCACTAGAAGGAATGATTTTATCAATGGCTAACATAAAATCTTTAGCCAATACTCTAACCTTGGTAGGATCAACTTTCAATTTATCATTTGTTTGATATATTTGAGGATATTTTCTTTGAATACTATTTAAAGCGGCTTCGGTACACAAAGCCCTTAAATCAGCACCCCCATAGCCTTTTGTTAAAGCGGCAACTTTATTCATGAATTCTGATGGTAGAGGAGGGTACCATTTGCGAGTATGAATCTTTAAAATTTCACTTCTAGCGTTTATATCTGGTAATGGGAAATAAAATTCACGATCGAATCTACCAGGTCTTCTTAAAGCAGGATCAACAGAATCAGGTCTATTAGTTGCACCTATAACAATGACTTGACCTCTATTATCCATACCATCCATCAAGGCCAACAAGGTTGAAACAATACTAGCATGGATTTGTTCTTGCTTCGAAGATCTAACTGGGGCCAAACCATCTATTTCATCGAAAAAGATTATAGAAGGTTGTTGATTTTTAGCTTCTTCAAAAAGAAGTCTTAATTGTCTTTCAGCTTCACCAACCCATTTACTCAAACAATCGGCACCCTTTCTCATAAAAAATGTTATCTTTCTTGTGGATGTAGAGCAACTAGCGGCTAAAGCTCTTGCCATTAAAGTTTTACCAGTACCAGGAGGACCATGGAATAAAACACCTCTTGGAGGAGTTATATGAAAATTTTGATATAATTCTGGATATAATAAAGGCAAAGCAACCATTTCTTTCAATTGATTGATATAATTATCTAAACCACCAACTACGGAAAAATCTATATTCATATCAACTCCTAAAGGATCGGTATCACTTAAATTATTCTTCTTTTTATCCTTTTCATTAGGTCCACCAGCTTTGATTAAATTACCAGAACCCAAAACATTACCACCAGCTGATAATTGACCAGGGTTTGATGGTTTCGAAGGTTTTTTTGAAACAGTTGCCAGGCCATTAATTGGGGCAATTTCATCTTCAGAAGAATCTGAATCACTTACATTTTGACCAATTGCAGTTAAATTATTATTATCGGTCATACCAGGAATTGGAATCCCTCCTGGAGGTATATTAGTGCCAAATAAGGATAAAACATCACTCCCACCAAATGGACCGGCCGTGGGAAACAAAATTTTTCTATATTCATTTTTATTAATGTTTTGTTTTCGCGGTCTTCCCTTGTTGAAGGAAGGAAATGAATTAGCTGCAATAGGAGGTGCAGAATCAAATTGAGCTTCGTTTGTTATTGGAGGAGGTATCGTATAATCTATTTTACCTCTTTCACGAAGCTTGTGTTTTATGGGACTTGGATCAGGAGAAGAATCGTATAAATCTTCAATTTCTTTACGGATGCTATCTTCTTCTTCTGGTTCTGATTGTTGTTCGAATTTTTCTGGTTCTACTGAAGCTCTTGATCTTGTTAACCTGCCTCTTCTGGGTTCCACTGATCTAGACCGAGAGCGATTTTTTCTCTTTTTGGCAGGACGGGAGCCATAAGCATAATCGTCTTCGCTTTCATCATCATCTGTAGCGACGAATTTCTTTTCTTTAAGTTCTTCTAGGAACTCATCCTCCGGGTCTTCGCCATCGTCTTCGAAATCTTCATCATCGGACAAAACACGTCTCGATCTATTTGGTTTGTTTTTCTTTCTTCCACGTCTTCGTGGACCAGCGTCCTCGTCATCTTCAACGTAATCTTCTTCATTAGGATCATCTTTTTCGTCGTCGGATGAAGTTGGCGGCAAAACATCTTCATCTTCATCTTCATCTTCAACAACCGGGCCCCGCTGGCGGGTATTTGGATCTGGCTCCTTATTATCATCTGTAGCATCAGCATCCTCTAAGTCGTCCTCGTTTGAATCTTCATTATAGGAGACATTTACACGGTTTCTCTTTGGAGGCCCCACGATATCCTCATCTTCCTCGCCGGGGAAACCACCATTCAACTGCTCTAATCTAGACAGCCTGGTTCTTTTCGTCATTTCCAAGTACTTGGATGGGTTATATGAAAAAGTTACGGAAAATATGGTGAAAAGTAATTTTTATCGTTTTTTAATGAATAGTTTAAAGTCTATTATCAATAGACAATATTAGGTATTTCGGATAATCACTCTATTCAATTCACAAATTCAAAGAAAGCCTCCAAGTGTATTTCAATCCCGAAAACTGATGGAAAATCCTCTCTAATATCGTTTTCGCCAGAAGTATTTAGCGCTTTTTACGCAACCTATTTCTCAAAGCTTTTCCAAAGGATAATACACTGAACAACCAACGAAAAAAAAAAAAAAAAAAACAAGATAAGCCAACCTAATTTAAATCAACCTGACAACACGTAAGTTCAAATACTGTCAAAGGTAATGAATGTCACTATCTAATGATAACTATACTTGTTGAACCCATTATAATCTCAAATCTCGCTGGGTTTTTTGTTTTTTTTCCTCAGTTTGTATGGTGGACCATCGTGCACGCACCGTTTTCTTTTAGTAATTGCCTCAAAATTTGAAATAAATCGTCAGGCGCAAACAAAATGCCCGCAGTAAAAAAAAAAAAAAGTCAAAAACTGTCAGTTTTGAAAAAGATACGCCGAAGCGTAGGAACTGAGATGAAAGCTGGTGGTGAGGTAGCGAACCCTTGATACGACATGGACAACTTTATCAAGGTGATGTTGGAGTACGCCAGCAGGAATGTAGGTGGTATAGGCTCTTGTAAAATATTTGATTTTTTGTTGTTACCCAAAATATGGGAATGGCAACCGAGTTTAAGTCTGTTTCGACCCTTGATTATTTCAAAGTTAATCTTGATTGCAATAGAATCAGGAAATTTGCAACCATTTTGACATGGGGGTCGACTTGCTGAATGGGTTTTCCAAAGACGGGCCTCGACAACGGTTTCTACTTTGTGCATTAGAGGGTGTGTGGTGTCTGGGTGTTTTGTTCATTTTAGATATATCTATTTAAATTAAATCTAAGCTGGTTCTATTTATTAAATTATACTTAAGTTGGTTGTATTCATTAAATTATACTTAAGTTGGTTGTATTTATTAAATTATACTTAAGTGGGTTGTATTTATTAAATTATATATAAGTTGGTTGTATTTATTAAATTATATATAAGTTGGTTGTATTTATTAAATTATATATAAGTTGGTAGTATTTACTTTAGTAGTCTGTCTATTTACATTAGTCACCTCTCATGGGGACTCTTTCTATTGGGACTTTATGCAGCTTTGAGTTGGCATTTGTTCCGTACGTAGGATCACTGCCGATAGTACAGTAATCGGAATTGCGTTTGGCGGCATCCACCGCTAAACGGTCTAAGAATCGGGTTGATAATTCTGGCATGACTGGATAAATGAGTATGGACGCAATTCTTCCGGTTTCTGCAGCCATGAAAACATAAAAGCTTCTGATTATCTCGTAAGCATGTTTCTTTTCTTCTGAAGACTCGTTGTTAATTGCTTTTTTATAGATCCAAGGTTGGCCAAGCTGAAATAAGAGGTTGGCCTTTTCATTCACTGACCACCAATCCTGAATGGCTTTCATTTGATCAAATGAACTAAACTTCCCATTCATTGATTCATATAAGCCATTCAAATCTTGGACTAATTCACTTTTCACATCGAGAATCGCTTCTAGTTCTTCTTGATTGAGTAAGTGGGTTTTAAGTAATTGGTTAATGTCATTGAATTTCCCTTGATAGTAATTATCAACCGCTTCCCTTATGTTAAAAGATGCACCTCCACATCTTGTAATCAAGTTTGCATATTTGCCAATTAGGTTTTCTCTAGTATGGAAAAAATTCTTTTCGCTATAGTTACAATCAGTTTCAATATTTGAATTCTCCATTAAGAAAAATCTTAATGCATCTTGTCCGTAATACAGATTGGTTGACATGGGGTCGACCACATTCCCCAAACTCTTACTCATTTTGAATCCATCAGAAAGCCAATGCGAATGAACAATCACTTGTTTTGGTAATTCGATTCCAGCTGCCATCAAAAATATTGGCCAATATATACAATGAAATCTAATGATATCCTTACCTATCACATGGGTTGCTGGCCATAAGTTCTTTTCGGGGGTATTATATAGACCATTTTGTAATTCAAACTCACAAGGAAATCCGGCAGCAGTAAGATAATTCATTAATGCATCAAACCAAACGTATATCTTTTGCGATGGGTCATTTGGAACCTCAATCCCCCAGTTCAATCTGGACGATGGCCTAGAAACTGAAAGATCAGTCAACTTGGACTCCTTTAACTCCTTCAATAACTCATTATACTTATTCTGTGGCTTAATGAAATTAGGATTGTTTTCCAAAAACTGAATTAAGTCACCTTGAAATTTTGATAATCGGAAAAAATAATTAGTCTCTTCTTGGTACTTTACTTCGTTTTTAGTCTCTTTTGAAATTTTTTTTTCTCTGCCAGTGCTTGCATCAGTTATCGATTCAATTTGGTTTTCTGGATAGAAAGTCTCGTCACTGATAGAATACCATCCACTATGAGATCCTTGATAGATTAAATTTTTTGATTCCATGATTTCCCAAAAGTACTTCACTGCTGCAATATGATCACCGTCGGTCGTTCGAATAAATCTATCGTATTTTATATTCATTTTTTCTGCTAATACTTTAAAGTTCTGTGATACCAGATCAACCAATTCTTGACATTCAATTCCTTGTTTAGCTGCTACTTCTTGAATTTTAAGTCCGTGCTCGTCAGTTCCAGTTAAAAGAAAGGCTCTGTTTTTAGGATTTAGCTTTTCCCATCTTACTCTAGTATCAGAAAGTAGCATGGAGTATAAATGACCCAAGTGTGGACTGGCATTGACATAAAAAATCGGGGTTGTAACGTACAAGGATTTCGAACGTAGCGTAGTTGTGGAAAAAGTAATTTTACTTGCATGGTTATGCAGAGCTTTTGGAAGGCCATATCGCCTTATGCTATTCAAAAAAGACATGGAATACTGTCTCTTGATCAGAAACATTAAAGTCGGGGTTTCATTATCGCTCCATTTTTTTTTTTCAGTCTTTTTTTTTTTCAGTCTTTTTTTTTTTCAGTCTTTTTTTTTTTCAGTCTTTTTTTTCAGTCGTTCAGTTTGGTTGGCCCGCTCCTACCAGTAGGAAATAGTATAGTATGTAGTATTAAAATAGAGTATGACAAGAGACTGGAAGATTATATAATATACAAGAGAGACATTAATTCACGTCAAAGAATCGTGGAATGAAAAAAGAAGAAAATAAATATTTGATGTCTAGAAATTTTATATGAAACAAAACCTTTAATTTTTTTCAACAAAAATTGCCATCAAGGCAAAAACACTATAGAATATGAATAACGGATAAGCAATTAAAGGTCTAACGTTGTCTAATTTAAGAACAACAACGAAGAATCCAGAAGCAGAGAATGTACACCAAAATACCGCAAGTGCACTCAAGATAAATCCTAATAGGTTATCTAAAGATATGAAAACCCCAAAGACACTTATCAAAACCAAAGGTAATAAACAATAACCTATAACCGATGCCGATCTTATCAAGTCAATAGTAATCTCTTCACTCATAAATTTAAATAAGTAATGTAAACTGATAGTACCAAATAAACCTACACCATAAATGTAACCAAATTGTACTTTACCGGCTAATAATAATAATGTCCCAAATAACATTACGAATAGAATGGGACCTGCCAAATCCGAATCAGCCATAATATCGGAGTGAATATTTCTATTCAAAGGATTCAATACGGCTAGAGTCTTTGTTTTGATATGATTAAAATTTATGCCCAATTCTTCTAGTAATGGAGGTTCACCTGGATAACCAGACGTACCAAATGCTGCTAAGATACCAGGAGTCAATTGACCTGATCCCATTGGCCCACTCACGTCAATATTGGCTCCAAAACCGGAATCCATTACACCCATCCCACTATTACTCATAAATCCTGTGCTTGCTTGAGGGGGCGATTGGTACGCATTGGCGTAATTGCTCTGGTAAAATTGCATGTTGTTTGGATTGTTCAAATTCTGTTGGTAATATGCCATTCTTGGTTAGGGGTGCCAATATTTGAATAGATCTGAAAATGCCACCTAATGAATCAAAAACTGAAAAAATGAAAAAAATGCTTGAATGAAAAAAACCGTATTTTGCTCTAGCTCAACGCCTCAAATCTTGTGTATCCGATCAAATTGAACAAAGTTGTTTTCAGCCAAATGATTTGTACAGATTATTAGTATCCTATAAATTGAAAGCACCTAAACATTCAATCTTTGTAAGACTGTTTGAACCATTTAACGTGAATCGGTTTGTTTTTTTCGAATGAACGTAGGTAGTGTGCGGATTCTTCACGTGAAAGGTGTATGGGTCTTTATCCAATCAAGTACCTGGCCCACCAATTTGAACCCGAATGGTTGTGCTATTAGATAGATACTCTAGGGAGAAGATATGAGATACGTGTTGGATGACTCACTTTCGAGCGAAGAGGTATAATTGGCAGGTTTGCTCGCTTTTCAATTCGAACTATTCTCGTTCACGAGAGCTACTCAGAAAGTATGTAAAGTTGGCGATCACTACACCCAGCTACCTATAGGGCTGGTTGGGTATGGCGCAAACGGGGTGGTGTCATCAAAGTAGTCCTTTATGTCTGTTGTAGTTGTGGGATTACTTCCCCTGAGAAGAGTAAAAATTGTTGCAAAAAAATGCAAAAATGTGCAAAATTATGTAACTAAACGACAACTTCGAACAGAGGTAACTTCAGTTGAATGAGAGAATTCAGCTTGGGTTCTACCGTCGCTTATTGACTTTCAAAACAGACAGGCCCTTTAGATTTCTGCATCTACGTAGAATTACTTAATTCAGGCCGACTCTCTCTCACCAACATTAGCATCAACATCAGGACCAGTCACCAGTCACCAGTCACCAGTCACCAGTCGCCAGTCGCCACTACTCCTCCCTTATTTGGAAAACGAATGAAGTTCATGGGCTTATATCCAAGGTAAATCATTATAAGTAAGGTACACAAAATGTCACAAAAAAAGTACCTCGAACTGAAAAAAAAAAAAAAAAAAATCGAGACTAAGCTGGAGATAAAGATAATCTACTCTAGGTTGGTTGAAAGATAATGGATAGTCATGATGGGTTCATCCCCATTCTAGCAATCTTCTACGCGGTGTTTCATCCGACAGAAGGTACCAAGATCATACATCAAGTTCCAGAAGGGTCGATAATATCGAATGTTTCGGCAATCACTGATAATTCGTTATTCAATTTTGATACCATTAAGAATTATATTATACCTAAACCTCAATTGTGTAATAAGTTGATATCTTTCAAGATCGATAAATTTCGAGTTTTAGGTTATCCGGTCAATATTGAGAGTGAAGATTATGCCCGTAATTCCTTTAATTTTAACTTTGGATTTGTTTTCCCATACGATAGTGATACAACACCATACGAGCCAGCAATTAAAAGAATGGGGAAAATGTTTAGGGTATTAGAAGAACAAAGTTTCATGTTGAGTAAGTTAGAGAAAAAATTATCATTTTATCCTAGAAGTACTACCGAATCAGGGGAAATTATAATTCCATCACTCATAGCCAACGAGTTTAATAATAATAATACTTCTAAAGGATTGACTTTTTTCACTCCTGGACACTCAAAGATCAAGAAAATCACGTTATCATCAATTGAGTCTCTCATCCATCAAATTTATCAGGATCTTAATAATTATTCTGAATGTTGTATACCGTTAGACAGTGCCAATAGTGTTGATATTAAGTTGTTCCCAATATTACCACCGCCGATAAACATCAAGGCTTATCAAGTTCCCATAGCCACCGTTAAACTTAATTCCCTAGTTGATGTTAACTGGGATCCGACCATGCTTAAAATTCTACCCTATATTAACGGAATCAATTCGATTAAAAGAATTAGTCAGTTAGCTGACGCAGATTATTTATTAACCAAACAGTGCATACAGCACTTGATGCATTATGGGTGTATAAGTATTGCTGATATTTTTCAATTTGGTAATATCTATGCACCAACCAATAATATTGGGAATTTTTTAAAGTTAAATGGTATGGCTGAAGACTGCCAAGCTTATATAGTAACGGGAGAAGAATTTAACACCGCAGAACTATCATTAGAGAATCCAGGTGCCAATCTGGTTCCATCGACCACCCCAAATGGACTTCATAAAACTGAAGAAGATGAAGAAATTAATAAATCAAATGGTAAAACTCAACCATTGAAAAAATCGATTAAAGTACCTTCCAAAGCTACATTATTTTTTCTATATAGATCTTTAAATCAAGGTCAAACCATCAAGGAATGGTATATTCAGCATCGGAAAAAATTGGCAGATATTGATATAAGACGGTTTATAAATTTCGGAATGTTAAGAGGAATAATATATCGAGTCCATTCATATCCAATGGTGGGTTCATTGATTAAAGCTGTTGAACGGAAAAATGACGAAGAAGTCGAATCAATAATAGATCATGCAATTAAACTGGTGGGGAATCAAACTCGATCAGATAGCAATAGGAAAGAATCATTTGGAGAGCTGATAAGAAGAATGCATCGAAATAGTAGCAATGCCAATGAATCAGGAGATAAAAAATTATTGCAAAATATGGTTAATGCTACTAATTTGACTACAATTACTGGTAAAAATGTTAGAAAAGTAAGTTTTGGATATAACGTTGACCGACCAAATCGAGGCTTTCAAATGATGAAACCATTAACCACTGATGACGATGTGAGCGAACTGGGGAGCGAATTCATCAGCGGTAGTGAAAACGCCCTTGAAAGTGATGACAACGACGAAGAAGATGAATCCGATGATGAGCTGATAAATCATCTGTTTGAGAGTTATGATGATGATAGTGAATATAGTGATGACGATGAACGAGAAGATATGGTAAAACTCATCAAATTGTTGAAAGGGTACCAGAACATGGACTCTATCTGCACCGAGCTCTGTAAGTCCCGAAATGAAGTTGAAAACATGATAGCTAAACTAGGTTCTTATAGTATAGTGAATAGTTGAATCCGGGTAACCATCATTTACAAAGGACACCCATACACCAACAAGGTTGCAACCTTCACGCAATGTCATTTTTTTTTTCTCAATTGTTTACGTTTTTCGATTTGTTTTGATTGTTTTTTTTTTTTTTTGTTTTTGGTTTGTTTAATATCAAAAAACTGAGAAAAAACATCAACAAGTTCCTACTTCTTCTTCTTTCCCCAATCAATTGAGTTAGTTTAGTCATGTCAGGTAAAGGTAAAGTTCACGGAGGTAAAGGAAAGTCATCCGAGCCAAGTAAATCCACTACATCCCATTCAGCAAGAGCTGGATTACAATTCCCAGTTGGTAGAATTAAGAGATATTTGAAAAAAACTGCTCAAAATAAAATTAGAGTTGGATCCAAGTCAACCATTTACTTGACTGCTGTTTTGGAATATTTGACTGCAGAAGTATTAGAATTAGCTGGTAACGCCGCCAAAGATTTGAAAGTTAAAAGAATCACTCCAAGACACTTACAATTGGCAATTAGAGGAGATGAAGAATTAGATAACTTGATTAAGGCTACCATTGCTTATGGTGGTGTTTTGCCTCATATTAATAAAGCTTTATTATTAAAAGTTGAAAAAAAGAAGCAAAAATAATCCTTGTTTTTTTGAGTGGTTTTCTAATTCTATAATTGTATTATACTGAAGTTTGTTTCTAAGTGTTTATATATACCTATGTATATTGTTTTTTTTTTTCTCTTTCTACGTTTAATATAAAATTTATCTAAGTCTAGTATTTACATGAATATATACAAGTGTAGCTATGCTGGTTGTGCTTTCACCGGATCTTTTGATTCCAGTGGGGGTTCCTTTCCCTTTGGTTCTTTTACCTTTGGTTCTTTTACCGTTGATTCTTCTACTTTTATTTCCTCTTTTACGGGTTGTCCCTTCTTCTTGGATAAATCGATATACTTTGGTTTTATTCCTTCAGGTAGAATATAATCATCTAGTTTGATATTATAGGTATCTAATTTATCTTTAATGTATTCAATTTCACTTTGTAAAGCAGCAATATCATCAGATAATGCATCTCTTTCATCACTGGCCTTCTTCCTACTTCTATAACTCTCATAGAAAATTAAAGAACCAGCAACTGAAAATATGAAAAATTCCGAAATAAAAGTAGCCCCGTTTTCAATGGCCTTATTATCATTAAGGGGTCTAATTTTTATCTTTTTCTCATTCAATAATGACATACGCAACCTTAAATCAGTATGATGGATGGTCTGTGCTATTTTAATACATGTTTTCCTGAATTTCTCATGATCTTTTGCTTGGGTTTTAATAGCAGTTGCAATTGGCTTTGCCACTGTCCTTACTAATAATGACGTTAGCTTTAATGCTATTCCACTCATCTCAAAAACGGGGGGATGACCGGGCGAAAACCAAAAACCACAAGTGCTAATGCCTAGCTTATTATAGATGCTATGAGTAGCTGACTCCAGTCCGATTGATTGTCCCTGGTGTTTAATCTTATTATCGTTCGTAGTGAGTCGTCTGTCAAGCAGCTGCACCCGTACATTTTCAAAAACAACAACAAAAACAAAAAAAAAAAAACACAAAAAATATTAAATGCATCCGTACCGCAATAAACTACGTGCCCGCACCAATTACTAAAAAAGATAAAATGTACGGAAGTGTATCCTCGTAAAAACAATCTGAACACTAGGCGAACTGATAACCCAATCTTAGCTAACTGGAATAAGTATCTTTGCGCATAAAAGGGACGCCCCCCCTCATCATACCATTATTACGCTTATATCAGCCAACCCCAGAGGAGGGGTATTTACCTACACTCAACAAATATTCTGGATCCACACGACCGCCCACAGTTTCTTATTTTTTTCTTTGACTGCTGCACTATTTTGTGGGGTAAACCAAACACCTTTCACCCATTTGCAATGACAAGAACTACAATTGTATTCCAAGATGCTTTAAGATCATAATAATCGATGATTGGCTAAACTCCGGCAACGCTGCCCATAACGTTGTGGGGGTAGTCGGGCACTCCGAGCATAAATTAGTGTTTTATGCTTTTAACAATCGATTGGTATAACCAAGTCCGATATCCTGAGTTATTTTGAGCTTTTTTAGTATAAATAGATCTGGATGCCCCTCCCCCAGATTTGGTATTTGATCTTTCTGTGAAATTCTTTCTTTTCATCTTATAGGTCTAGCTTATTCTTTTGATCCTGAAGATGCCAGAATCCACTAATCCACATCTCACTTTAGATCACGAAAGACCTCAGCAACCCCCCAAAGGTTTTGTTGAGCGTTCTAGTTCCAAGCCAAACTTGGCTGATTTTGCAACTTACGAAAAATTGTATAAACAATCGGTTGAAGACCCAAATACTTTTTTCGGCGACCAGGCACAACAATTCTTACATTGGGATCGACCATTTACTAGTGCTCGTTTCCCACAAGACCCTAAAGATGATTTTAAAGATGGTGACATTCCTGCTTGGTTTATTAACGGTCAATTAAATGCATGTTATAATGCAGTTGATCGTTGGGCTTTGAAAAATCCAAATAAACCAGCAATCATATATGAAGGTGATGAAATTAACCAGGGGGCAGTTATTAGTTATGGAGAATTATTAAAGAAGATTTCAAAATTATCTCAATGTCTTACCAAATTGGGAGTTAAAAAGGGGGACTCGGTGGCCGTTTATTTACCAATGATTCCCGAAGCAATTGTCACTTTGTTGGCAATTGCAAGAATTGGGGCAGTTCATTCGGTTGTATTTGCTGGATTTAGTTCTACTTCTTTAAAAGATCGTATTATTGATGGTGATTCTAGAGTGGTTATCACTGCTGATGAATCAAAACGTGGTGGTAAAACTATTGAAACCAAAAAAATCGTTGATGATGCTTTGAAAGATACTCCTAATGTTCGTAATGTTTTGGTTTTCCAACGTACCGCCAACCCCCATGTTCCTTTTAATGCGGGCCGTGATTTATGGTGGCATGAAGAAATGGAAAAATATGGTAATTATTATCCTCCAGTTCCAGTCAATTCCGAAGATCCTTTATTCTTATTATATACTTCTGGTTCCACCGGTAAGCCAAAGGGGGTTCAGCATAACACCGCTGGTTATTTATTAGGCGCTTTACTTTCTACGAAATACACTTTTGACGTTCATGAAGATGATGTTATCTTCACCGCTGGTGATATTGGTTGGATCACTGGTCATACCTATGTCGTTTATGGGCCTTTATTAAACGGGGCCACCACCGTGGTTTTCGAAGGGACTCCTGCTTATCCAAATTATTCTCGTTATTGGGAAATTGTCGATCAATATAAAGTTAATCAATTTTATGTTGCACCCACTGCTTTACGTTTATTAAAGCGTGCTGGTACTTCTTTTGTTGAAAAATATAAATTAGATTCAATTAGAGTTTTGGGTAGTGTTGGGGAACCAATTGCTGCTGAAGTCTGGCATTGGTATAATGATAACATTGGCCGAGGTAAAGCTCATATTGTCGATACTTATTGGCAAACTGAATCCGGTTCTCACTTATTAACTCCCTTGGCTGGTATCACTAATACTAAGCCTGGTTCTGCTTCTTTACCATTTTTTGGGATTTTACCAAAAATTTTGGATCCAGTTACTGGTCAAGAATTAACTGAAAATAATGCTGAAGGGGTTCTTGCCATTAAAAATGCCTGGCCTTCAATCACAAGAGGTATTTATAATGACTATGCTCGTTATATTGAAACTTATTTGAAACCTTATCCAAATTATTATTTTTCTGGTGATGGTGCAGCTCGTGATACTGATGGATTTTATTGGATCTTGGGTCGTGTTGATGATGTGGTTAATGTAAGTGGTCATCGTTTATCAACTGCTGAAATTGAAGCTGCTATCATCGAACATGATATGGTTGGTGAAAGTGCCGTTGTTGGTTATGCTGATGACTTGACTGGTCAAGCTGTCGCTGCATATGTTTCTTTGAAGGATTCAGTTAAGGTTGATGATCTCGATGCTATAAAGAAGGAATTAATTTTGACTGTTCGTAAAGAAATTGGTCCTTTTGCTGCACCAAAATTAATTTTAATTGTTGATGATTTACCTAAAACAAGATCTGGTAAAATTATGAGAAGAATCTTAAGAAAAGTTTTGGCTGGTGAACAAGATCAATTAGGTGATATCTCAACTTTATCTAACCCAGGAGTTGTTTCTCAAATCATTGATGTAGTTGCTTCCTCAACAAAAAGAAAGTAATATTTCCGTTCTCTTAAATCAACTTGATGTTCGATTTCCATAGTCAATTATTTAATTTCTATCATCTATTCTCTTTTTTAGAGTTTATATTTTATGTTATATATCATGTTTGCTATAAATACTGTAAATGCGGTCCCGTGGTTGCAAAATTAGCGGTAAAAAAAATTTTTTTTTCTTTCAATTGTTACTATTTATATATTGAAGTATACTACAAATTACAGAAACTATACACGAAACTTTTGATTTTGGGAGGGAATTGGAACAAAAGATCATTAATAACGTTCAGGAGATCTTGATCTGTCTCTTCTAACAGGAGATCTTGAAGGAGAACGAGAATAACGGCCTCTAGCGAAGCCATCACCGGCTTCAGGTCTGTCACGATCATCAGCACCATTTGATTCTTCATTGGGACCACGAGAAGAAGAGTCTTCACGAGAATATCTATCATTACCTGCACGATTATCATAGGTAGGTTCTCTTAAATGAGCACCACGACCAGAACGATATTCACGATCGCCTCTGGAGGCATAACCACCACGGCCATAGTCACCTCTTGGAGCGTAACCATAATCGCCCCTAGGGGCATAGCCATAACCACCTCTAGGGGCATAACCACCGTAGCCACCGTAGCCGTAGCCACCTCTTGGAGGAGGGGGACCATAAGAGCCATACCCACCTCTTCTTGGAGGAGGACCGTAACCCCCGTAGCCACCTCTAGGGGCATAACCGTAGCCACCTCTTGGAGCGTAGCCGTAGCCACCACGGCCTCTGAACCCCCCTCTTCTCACCGAGAAGGGATCAGATCTAGCTTGTTGAACAACCAAGCCATCTTTCAAAGCGTAAGGTAACTGTTTACCATCGAGTTCCAAAGCTTTTTCACAATCCTCGGCATTTTTATATTCAACAAACGCGTATTTTTCACCATCATCAGTTCTTGGAGGAGGAATATCTAATCTTACAAGATCACCATACCTGGACAAAATAATAGTTAGTTATGGACATTGGGAATGGAATTTGATTTTTGAATCTTCAACTGAACGGAAACAAATAGGAAAACAAATAGGAAAATAAATAGGAAAACAAATAGGAAAACAAATAGGAAAACAAATAGGAAAACAAATAGGAAAACAAATAGGAAAACAAATAGGAAAATAAATAGGAAAATAAATAGGAAAATAAATAGGAATAGGAGGAGGAATAGGAGGAGGAATAGGAATAGAAGGAGGAATGGGAATAGGAGGAGGAATAGGAATAGGAATGAACAGGAGGAATAATGGAAAAAGAACTCATCTCATACGTTAATCGGAACGGTAAGGTGATCAAGCTAAGATGGGGACCGGTTCAGAGAAGAATAGAGGCAAAGATACGCTGCCCATACCGGGTATGAAACAACAGGCTAGAAGAATCAAATCAAAATCAAGAAGCTAGCACCCGCTCAATTACTTCGGGCGTTCATACGTACTTTTCGAAGTCCGGAGCCAAGTCGGCTGCCTTGGACTCTTTGGAAAAACCAGTGACATACAATGTATTCTTAGGCATGGTCAATGTCAAGGATATGGATAGTGTAAACTGTTTTCGTCGATACTTTCAATTTCAGTGAACAAAAAGTGAAAAAAAACAAAAAAAAAAAAAAGGAAAACCGCACGTGATCAAAAGACAAACACCCGTACCATTACAAAACCTCCGTACCCCAATAATCCACCCATACACCAGGTAGTGCACCCGCCCAACAATAAGAAAACATACAAAAAAAAAGTAAAGGAAAAAAAGAAAGGAAAAAAAGAAAGGAACAAAAAAACCCAACAAAATTAAAGAACAAAAGACAAAGCGAAGGCCTTTCTTTCAGATTCTCGCAGTACCCCAAATTTAATTGTGGACTGCACAGCTCTGGCCAGGTCCAACAAAAAAGCTTGTAGCAAAACGCAAATAAAACTAAAAAAAAACTAATAAAAAAAAAAAAAAAAAAAAAAAAAACTATCATCATCAAAAGAATCTCAACATCACGAGAATCCTATTGAATAATTAATTGATATTGTGATTAGTACACTTGGTGAGTAATTCTTTTGTTTTAGCCATCTGATTCTGATTCTGTTGAGAAAGAATACAATCTCGTTAAGTACAATTTCTTTTCTTTGAGTTCCAAGTGGGTAGAACAATTCTTTGGTATCGACCCACAATCAGTAGCGATCGACAGGATTCTTTCAGAAAGAATAGAGAAATAGTTTCTTTTGAATAGTTTGGCTTTCCATTTCCAGTTTTTTAGTCTGATACAAGGGTGTGTGAGTGATTTTGTTGTGTTTCCTTACATTTTTTTTTTTAACCGCCCGCTGTTATTTTCACCCATTTTAAGTTATCAACACTTGAACTACTTGGTTTTTCTTCCAGTTAATGATCAATAGTTATCTTGGTGAGTAGTTTCAAAGATGTCTTCACTTACAGATGACAATAACTTGTTGGATCATAATTTTTTAACCAATCTTCAAAGCGAGGAAGCCGATCAGGATATTCTTGATGAATTCTTAGACCAAAGAGTTTATGATTCCATAGGTAATAACACCCCAATCCCCAATAGTATACTAAAGAAGGAAGATTCTCAGGACTTGTTTCAAAACTTGTACGATGACAACAATTCCAATAGCTCAAGTCGTCATAACTCAACCATTGACCCTTCGGTTAAATTTAATGAATCGCCTTCCTCGGCAACTCCTTTGAACAATGATTATATGTATGTGGAGCCTCACCAGTACAACTCGTCCAATTTTTCAAATAGCTTGTATGCCAGTCCTTATAATTATCAAAATAAGTTCCACTCTGCTTCCAATAGTCTCCATAACACTCCTCAATTGAATGAGTCGCCTAATAATAATAATCCCTCCTCGAGCACCAATAATAGCAATAACCAACTTTCGGATTATGAAGTGGTACGAGATGAATTATCGAAATTGAAGTTTGGTAATCATAATATGATTTCGTGTCCTCCTTCTCTCGATGTCCCCGATGCTTCCTATTTAGATTTTAGTGCCAATGAAATGGCTAAATTACCTTATAAATTACAATTATCGGAATTACCAAGTTATTCTAGAGTGGAAACCCAAATTAAATTAAAATTTCAAATCAGCCCTCCTCCTCCTCAAATCTTATTACATATTCCTCAAGATCTTATTTCCAAAAATAAGTTTTGTCTTAATGAATCTATTAATGGTTTATCGGATAAATTAAAGGAAAACTTGTTATATCTTGATACTTATGTTCTAACTTCAAATTATACAAAATCTTGTAACATTTGTCCAAGATGTATTAAAAGAGAACAAAAAAGAGCTTCCAGAAGAAAATCGGGTAATGATAGTGAAACGAACAATTCAAATAATACCGCTTTAAACACCGAATATAATACCCCTAATCCAAATAGTGGTAATTCCCCCAATCATAATAACGGTGGTGTGGTTAAAAATAATCCTAATTCTTGGGCTGATGAATCAATGATGAAAAAGGCAATCATCTTTAATTGTAAAGAAATTGTTTCTTTCCCCCCTCCTAATGGTCTCAATAATGATTTAAGTAAATCTTTGGAATTATCCGCTAGAATCATTTGTTATTGTAGACATCATAAAGAATCGGAAGGTTTTAAATTATTGTTTGTCATTAAAAATTCCTCTAATCAAGTTGTGGCTAAACAAATTTCAAGTCCAATAATGATTATGGATAGAAAGAAAAACACTTCTTCTACTAAAGATAATGAAATTTCTTTTACAAATAAGTCCAATAATTCAAATCCTAATAATAATATCCAATCCGATACAAATGTCAATAATATTCATCCATTGTCTCCTAACTCTATTGATGAATCTGCATCCGAAGTCTTGACTAATACCGATAATGATCAAAGAGGTTTGAAACGTAAAAAATTATCAATCGATGATTCCTATAATAATTCATCAAATCCAATGTTCAATGGTAGTGTCAATGGATTTTCTCCAACAAGTAATAGCGATACAAATACTTCCACCACTAACATTATGTTCAAACCAAATCAACTCAATCAACCACAACCTTCAGGTATTCATGCTCCTCCTCACCCTCAATTCAGTTTACCTTTATTAAATCAACCATTAGCTAATACAAACCCTACCAGTAATAATGGCACCACTCAAAACTTACCTTCAATTCAAAGAATCATTCCTGCTCAAGGTCCAATAAGAGGTGGGATCGAAGTTACTTTACTAGGGTTCAATTTCCGCCCAGGTTTAGCAGTAAAATTCGGCTCAAATAATGCGTTGGCCACTCATTGCTGGTCTGAAACGACTATTGTCACTTATTTACCTCCCGCTAGTCAACCAGGTCAGGTTCTTGTAAGTTTTGAAAACCATGAGAATATGATGTTGGGTGGCGCCCAACAACAACAAGTCTTCACCTATACCGATGACACCGATCGCCAACTCATTGAGTTGGCACTTCAAATTGTCGGGTTGAAAATGAATGGTAAACTTGAAGATGCTAAGAATATCGCTAAGAGAATTGTTGGTTCTGATAACAATAATAGCAATAATAATGGTAATGCTAATTCGACTACTAGCCCATCTTCAACTAATCAAGTAAGCATGAATAAAGAAAATATGGAATGGTATGATAGTGCCCATAAAGCTGTTGAAAGACTTACCAAATCTAACTTATCAACCGAAGATGTTTTGATCAATTTCCTTTCATTGGTTGATTTACCAAATTGTCCAATTATAATTCCAAACTGGCAACTATGCAATAATGAAGGTCAATCTTTATTACATTTAGCCACTTTGAAGAATTATAATCAATTGATAAGATTCTTGATTACTCATGGTTGTAAAATCGATTTGAAAGATAATCAAGGTTTAACTCCATTATTTTTAGCATCAATGTGTGGACATCGTGACTTGATCAATATTTTCCTTGATTGTAAATCAAACTGGAACTTGAAACTTTCAAATGATAAATTCTTGAAAGATTATTGTGATTTGAATGTTCTTGATATTTTTAATAATTTAGAAGAATGTGAAATTGATAGCGATGATTTTACTACCAATGTTTTATCTCACTTTAAGAATTCCCATAATCATGAAAATAATGGTGAAAAAATTGAAGAAAATGATCAATTAAGTAAATCTATAAGTTTGGATTCACTTAATTCAATGTTTGCCATGAATTATGGTCGTCATATATCTAAAATGGTTATTGAGGATTCAGTAAATGAATCGACTGGTAATAAATTAGAAAGTGGTGACAGGCATATTGTTAGAAAAGAATTTAAACCAACTTCTAGTGGTTATACCGATGAAAATTATTCTTCTGATTTTGCTGATTCAGAATATGATTCTAATGAAGATTTGGAATATTCAAATGACTTTGCTAATGAAGATGATTATGAAGATGATTATGAAGATTATGAATACTCTGATTATGAAAGCTCCGATGTTGAATCTTCAATTGAAGATTTAAACCCAATGCGTAACTCTGCCATTGCTAGTGCAGATACCACCATTGAAGATGCACCACTGAGCTCAAATTCTACCATTGTACCATTAAATGACAATAGCATGGCTGATGAAGAAGATGATCACTCTGTATCATCAAGTAATGGATTATGGCAAAAAGTTAAGAATGTTTTCAATAATGATCAAGACAACGAATTACCTTCTTACGATGACTTATTCCCTTTTGGACCTTCATCATTCCATTCTTCTAAACCTAAGACTCAAGCTGAACGTAATCTCAACCTTTCTGTTGAAGGTTCATCGGAAGAACTTAGAACTTCAGCATCTCAAGAGGAAGAAGTTGCTTCAGATTCTTCTGAAGATATGGTTGTTTCTTATATCAATCGTCCACGTAAAACCGTGGAAAATGATAAAATGTTATTATTCTTCTGGTTCCCCATCTTAATCACTATTCTTGGATTATTCTTATATGTTTCAATAATGGGTTATCGTGTTGAATCAATTGAAAATTTCAAAACTTTTATGAGAAACTGTTTTGGTAATTTAATGATTGGTAATGAAAGACTCGGGCGTGTATTCAAGAATTCTAACGAACGTGTATTACATGCAACAAGAAGAATTTTGAATGAAGAAGTGGCTAATTAGTGATGCTTTTTAATCGGCTACCCTAGACTTATGCTTTTATTTTAATTTATTTTCAATTTTTTTGTTCTATTATGTTTTTTTTTTTTGTTTTCAGTTATATATCGTGGACTTTTTATTTCTATTTGGTTTCCGTTTGTGTTTTGTTTCCCTTTATGAGTACTGGTTATACTACTCTGCTTTCGTCTGTTTCCTTTTCTATTCTTTGGTGTGTTCTTTCATCATGTGTTCTTATTACGTCTCTCGTTCTAGCTGTTACTACGCAGCACCCCTTAATTCAATATATATATCTTTTTTAGGCACGAGATATTTTCAAGTCTGAAAGTGACTTTCGATATCTGTAAAATAGCCCAAGGCCGATTTAACAGCATGATCAACTTTAAGACGTAATCAAACGAAAAAACCGAAAAAAAAAAAAAGTTCATGATTTTTCTCATTGCAAATTTTCTGATCTTGCATTTTTCATTTTTGTTTGAAGACAATTCTGAGCTTTCCTCGACCAGCCTATCACGATCAATAGTGTTGCACCGATTGCTATCCAGTCTTTTCATATAAGTCGACAATGGTTAACAGCATTCTTTTATTGAAAAACAAGACCACGCCACGGGATCCTTACCAGGAAGTATTTTCATCCAAAAGCATAACCCCACAATTCTTGCCCTTACTTGAGCACTCACCAGTAGACAAAGAAGGGTTGCGGGAGTATTTAATCAGTGATGAATTCTTGAACCAGACGAACACATTCATAGTCACGAGTCAAAGGGCGGTAGAAGTGTTTAATGAATGTATACAAGATTGTGATGAAGAAGTCTCGAAGTCAATCTGGAAAAAAGTTGGGTATACTGTTGGACCGGCCACTTCCAAGATCTTGATGGAAAGTGGGTTTAAAAACATTCGAGGTGGTCATGATGCTGGAAATGGGGCCATCTTATCTGATATAATTATAGACGATTACCAGGAAAATGGGATTGATAAAGAAGCGGAGCATCCTATAATGTTTTTCACAGGAGAGATTAGAAGAGATATAATACCAAAGAAATTATTGTCTGCTGGGATCAAGTTTAAAGAAAAAGTTGTTTACAGAACAGCATCTAGGGATGATATTATTGACAATTTCGACCAATTGAAGCATATGCAACAAGATCCACACCATTGGATTGTGTTTTTCAGTCCTCAAGGTACAGAAGTTATTATTGATCATATTTTGGCAAACGGTGGAAGTCAGAGCTTCAACATTGCTTCAATTGGACCTACTACAAAAGAGTATTTGGAAAATAAAGGCATTACACCTAAGGTTGTTGCTGAAAAGCCAGAGGCAAATTCCTTATTAGAGGCTATTACACAGCATGAATTCTAAATTTACTTATTTTATTTATTTTATTTATTTAGCTTATAGATATCACTATTTTCGTACTTGTTGTAGGCCACTTTCATTTTTATTGCCTTGCAAGAGGAATCGTTTGAAAAGACGACGAACAAGCGTATATTAGAATTGAAAGTTAGATATTAATTAAAAAGGTTTAGCCAAAGGCAGAAAATTTCATTGTTCAAATTAATAGAATTAAACCAGGAACAACTATAGTACAGAAGCAGACATGGTAAACTGGTTATACGAAGTAGGTATATTTGGGAGGTGGCTTAATCTGGTTGCAAACCCACTCGTTCCATTCTTATTTGCATTTCTCAAATTATTCTCCATCAATGTCAATATGATCACGTTCAACACTAAAGTATCCAAGTCAATTGAGAAAGTGCTACTTTCGTTATGATTTGATTCAGTGAAAGTATTTATATCCTGATATATCTCAATTTTACCGTTCTCGGCGTACTTCTTTGGTAAGAAAGATTGATTGGTATATGATTGAGCATCTTTGAAGCTAGCGAAAGGTGGGGAATCATTAGGAATATACGACCTGCTACTAATGGAGTCTATTCCGTAGCAAAAAGTACCACAGTCTTCTAATAAAGGACAGGAGGGATCTGGATATGGATTAGTAAAAGTTGAAAAATCAGATAGGTCGCCACTAGGATCATTAGATGCGTTGGTAGCTGGTGGAGGAGATGAAGAGTTTGTCGATAAATTATTATGGCCACTCTTTGCTGAAACCTCGATGGTGCTATTTTTTCGGGAACCATTTACATCGTCATTAGAACTTCTTCGTCTTAACAAGGATGAAATCTCGAGTCCTGGGGATTTGTTTATCATCTTGTCAACTAAAGAGGGACTGTTTTGATCGATAATAAACAATTTCATATTCGGATTATAACTAAATATAAATCCGGCTGCTAAAGATGTACCGACTATTCTAAATCTAGTATTTTTATATTCAAAATCACAGAATGGTTTAGTATTATGTTGAAATAATATGATCTTGAATTCTTCTCCATGCAACGGAGTAAAATTGAAGATATATCGTTTCACCAATTGAAAATGCTTCAAATGTACCGTGCAAAAACTATAAGATTCGTATTCATCATCGTGATCTTGATTTTCTTGTAGCACTGGTTTTAATGGAACTTCTCTAAATCTTTTGAATATCATATATGGTACGTGTTTACGAAAGGACGACATATAGGGAGTTTGGATCTTAAATACTGGCAATGCCTCTCCTTTGACTTTATACTCTAGTGGGATTATGTGAGACCTATTGTCGATTATATTATCGCCGATAGAATCATGAGTATTTAAAAGTAAACTATCGTTTTCAATATTTGAAAGTCTTTTGATATTGTTTTCTTCATCGTACACTATGACTGAATTATTTCTAGATTTCTTTCTTGACTTTAGCTCCTTGAATTTCTTGAAAGATTCTTGATTCATAAAGATTAAATAATTATTTTTGATGAACTCGTTCACTACTATGATTTCTCTCTTCAATGTGAAGCTGGAAGCTGGTTTATTAAAAACTTTTGTCCGTAATGGCGATGGTAATGATATTCCTAAAGGTAACTCGCTATTCAATCGATTATATCTTGTCTCAAAATTCCCACCAATAGAATCATTATAGATGGTAGATTCATCGTCATCATCAAACTCCTCACTTATATGGTTCGGCTCCATTGTCCCATTATTTCCTGATGTGCTCTCTTCTTCCATTCGATATCGTCTCATTAGAAAGGGGAGATAATGAGTGAAATTTTCTTCAAAAGTATCTTGAAGAATCAACCTCTGTCTTTTATCAACTAATAAAGTTTCTGCATCCGATAATGCAATTGACTCATTATCCTGAGCAGAAGTGTTTGGGGATAAGCCTTCGTCAGTAGCAATCAACGAAGTTCTAGTTGTATTATCCCTATTGCCATGAGCAGAATGGATTAATTCAAACGAGAAATCATTTGGTAAGCTAAGTCTTCTACTATTCAACTGTGGCCTGCCACCAGTATTGCAATCATCACTTGAATGAGACCTAGACTTGGATTTGCGTAGTAATTTCTTCATGGCACAAAGCTCAACGATAAGGTAGGGTTTACAATCTAGGATCAACAATAAGGAGTAAGCCAAAAAGAAAAAAAAAAAAAAGTAAATTGAATGAAAATGGAGGTAAAGCCGCATTATTACAACAAAAATACGAATAATAAGATCAGGATATGAATACTCTAGACAATCTAGACAAAATTAACAAAAAGCGTGAGGTAGAACCCAAGATCAGAAGGAAGTGACCAATTTCACGATCCGATTTGAGTTCGACGACAATCCCAGGTCAATTGCTTTGAAACTTTCATTGAAATATATCGATTCTTCATTGGAGTAATCCGAGATGACAAGATGCATTTTCATATTTGATTTATATCTCGGGTAGCAGATATTTGATTTGATCCAATTCGAGTTGACAAGTTGGCCAGACGGAGGAGTAACCGACTCGATCTTCATCAACCTACCGTGCACATCGCGGACTACTTTCACGAATTTGAATTTTTTGATTTTGAATGCATCACATAGTTTCGTATATATATTTGATGATTTTGGTAGATTGAAGATTATATTTTTATGATTTCTAACCACATTTTTGGATATTTCGTGGTGATGAGTGGAGTTTTCAACTTTATAGGTGAAGGACAGTTTATTTTTGAGATGACAACATAGATCATTAATTGAAGAATGAATATAGAACCGGGCATTCAACGAAAAGGAAAATGGTCTTCCCTTTGGTACGGGTGGTAAGACGGAGCTTAGCGACTTTGATGGAGCCGGGCAGTTAGCATCGAATGGATTTGCAATCGATCTGGGAATGCTTTTCTTGACTTTCTGGTCGGTGATGTAGTGTCTCATCAGAAGTAATGAGTTCACCAAATCCAAAGACTCTCTTGAGTCAACGCTGGCCTTGAACCCGCAGTGGACCGCTGGGGGGAATGGAGTACTAGATCCTAGAGGTGATCCCAAGGGAGATTCTAACTCATAGTCAATTATGGCCAAACTGTCAGCTCGGTTTCCTGCCAAGTAAGTATAGGAGTTTAACAACTCAGTTGTTGATAGCATAGAGGAGAGCGAGCTAGACATCACACTTGATTCGGAGGCGTGATTCTAGCTGGGTGGGAACAATTGTTCAATATTTATACCGATGTGAAATCACGCTAATGGAATTTTGGCTGTCAATCATGGTGATGTATCACATTTGGGTTGCAACGTCTTAATATACACCTGTCAACCCGCTTTCCTATCTGAATCGACTCTTCAGTGGCTTCAGTTTAGCTGGAATGCCTTTCCACCTCCAAAACTGTAATGGTAGCCGGCTTGTTCGAACCGGCCCATTCACATTAGCTAATGGTTGGTACTTTGGTTTAGCGGGTGTACGGGTGCAAGACTGGATATCAAGACAAGGTTTAGCCAGAGGGATCAAGGCTCTTAGGAAGTAGCGGATTGATCTAGCAGCTGGTGTATCGGCCAAAAGAGCAACCAATGGTCCACACAGCCATTCGTGTTGGGTGTACTGGTGGCTGGAGCAGGTTAGTTCCATTACCAGACCCCAATCTCACCTCCTGTTTGGCCCTGTTGGCCTTAGTTCCCCTACCAAGCATGTTCTTAGTCAGAGTTAGTGCAGGTGCCAGAAGACTCCAATGGCACTTCTGAGCAATTCTTCGGGGTTCTATCTTGTCAATGACTACAGAGCAAGGTGCTTGACCCGTCAGTTGGGCAGCATAGCTCGTGAGTCAAGCTCAAGGGCTAATTCCATAGCACTGACATATCAATCTTCAGTATTGCCCTTGCTAAATAGGTATTGCTCTTCAAGTAAGGTTACTAACATAAGGGCAATATTTCGTCAGTTTACTGCACTTTTTTCGCATTGTTTCCGCATCCTTCGATTTTTTTCGCTTTCATTTGGTATAAAGCCATTGCAACTCCACATCTTTCAATTGAAATTTTGCCGTACTAATACTTTTCTTTAATCAATTGACTTTGAAGTTACGATTCATCTTAGGTACCATAATGGTTGAATTACGTCGTTCAAGTAGAATACAAAATCCTTCTCCACCATCGAGCACCGAGCCAGTTGCCAAAAAGGCTAAAGCTTCCGATGGTCAATCGGTACCAAAGCTGGAAAAGCAATTAGAGGTTGGGGACAGTATTCCTGACTTGGTGTTGAAAAATGAAGATGACGAGGAGGTCCAATTGAGTGAATTGGCTTCCAAAACCACTTATCTTGCTATATTTGCTTATCCAAAAGCTTCAACCCCTGGTTGTACTAGACAAGCTTGTGGATTCAGAGATTCTTACGAAAGTTTGGCTCTGAAGCATGTCACTGTTGTTGGGATCTCTGCAGATTCACCATCAGCCCAGAAAAAGTTTATTACCAAGCAGAATTTGCAGTATTCTTTATTGAGTGACCCTAAAAGAGAGTTTATTGGGTTATTGGGTGCTAAAAAGACTCCTCAAAGTGGTGTCACCAGATCACATTGGGTATTTAAGAATGGTAAGTTGGCTATTAAGAAGGTGGGTATCAGTCCAGAAGCAAGTTTTGGTGAAATTGGTTCTGATGTCGATGGTTTAGAAGAAGCAAAAGAGGAACCCGAGGTCGATGACGAAGTTAAACAAGTTTTGGACGATAAGAATGAAGAGCAAGAAGAAGAATTGGGTCAAGAAGACGACAAGGTTTTCAAAGCTGAAGATGCTGAGGCTGCTGGTGACGAAGCCAAGGATGAAGCATTGAATGGTGAAGAGTTGAAGCAAGAAGTGGATGATTTAAAAGCAAAGCCTGAAGAAGTTGAGAGCAATGAGAAGGATTTGAGAAATGAAGAGCGCGAGGAAGGTGAAGACGTTGATCAAGAAGCAAGTAAGGATGGTGAAGCATAGGTTGCAATATTTATGATTAATGCCGCAAAAAAAAAAAAAAAATTCTACGTAGAATAACGAAAATAAATAACCTATATGATTTTTGATACTTTCATAATACTAATCGTAGCAAACTAACTATAAAGGCTAGCGAGCTAAAAAGGCGATTGAGTGTAATAAGATTGAGACCAAGCTGAACACTTTAGTTGCCCACCACCAATGCTGAACGGTGAAGGAACAATAAGAGAATTCGAATTTCCAGTTGTTCTGTAAGTAGTCAAAATGACCAGTTAAGATCCCGGTTTGACCATTGAAATCACCCATCATTGATTGAACAACAATTTCTCTTACTGATTGACGATTATCATTATTTTTTGTTTTGGATGCTTCCCAAACATCGTTATTAAAATTATACCAATTATCACAGCCAGTATGATCATGACCAGTTAAAATGATTCCTTCTTTATCATCATTTGGGAAGACAATGTTTAGAACTTTTTGACTTGTTTCGTAACTAAGGTGATTTTGACTTCTTAATTTTCCATTTTTATAAGGCTCATTAGTATTATTAAAATAATAAATGTGTTGAGGACCATCAGTACATAAACCTTCTTTTTTATAGAAAGGAATATGAGTTAATAAGATGGTTGAACCTTTAAAATTTGGATTTTCATATTTTTCTAAATTTTCAATAAATGACCAAGTATAATCAACAAATTCTTGCTGTAAAGCAGGTCCCTCCATTGTTAAGGAATCAAGGACAACCAATCTCCATTCTTCTGGAGTACCTTTATTATAGTTAATAACGTAATTATTTTGACCAAATAAATGATGAAATCTTGCCATGTGTTGCCAAGTAGCATCACCACTATAACCAATATCATGATTACCGGTTAAATTAATGAATAAAGGATTTTCAAAATTTGGAAATTTTTCATCTTTATTAAACCAATCATATAAATCATTATAAACTCTTGAATTGAATCTGTGAATTGGATCCATAGCATGTTCATTCTCCATAAAATTAGGCCAATCATAATTTTCATGTTTAGACCAAGTATCAATAACATTTTTCTTATAATCTAAAGGACGGGGGAATAATCTTTCAACAAATCTATAAGTTCTATTATAAAATTCAGAGTCAAAGATCCATTGAGATGAAAATAAATCACCCATAACAGCGACATGACTTGGTTTCAATCTGTTTTGCATGATATTATATATATGGCCCAAGTAATAATCATTACCATAATTATCAAGTCTTTTAATATACTTGGTCAGTTTCCAATTACCATTGATTTGAGGATCACCAAATAATAACATATTAATATCTTTAACTTTTGAATCATAATATGGACTTAAAGGTTCTGATTTATTCAATTGCAAAGATGGAAAATTCAATAATAATTTTTCCAATAGGTAATCTGGGATCAATTCATTATTCAAAATTTCAACATTACTCATCAAATCAATTGATGGTTGTTCATCTTCGAATTTATGCCAGTTACATTGGTCAGGTTTATTCAAAATTTCTGGATAAAAATATATAAATACATTGAGGATCAAGGTGATAACGGTCACTGACCATTTGAACACATTCAATGGTTTCTTATATGACATCCTTAAAGCACTGAACCAGGGTTGAAGGAATTGAAGTGTTCGTTTAGTATTGATGCGCTGTTGGAATATCACGCCTTTTTTTCTTGTTCAATTATTCACTACTTTATTCTACACAATATTGTAACTAATGATAATTCTACAAATTAATAAAGTAATTCTTGTTTATTTTAATTATATACTTTCAATCAAACATATAGACAAATATCGAGATAGGTATATATGAGTGAAAAAAAAAATTGAATTGGAATAGTTTTCGTATTCTTTGATACATCAAGATAGGAACATAAATTTCGTCACGATTCTCTAAAGTGAAATTCTGGTTTTTTGCTTTTCTAATATCTTATCAGTTGAAAAGCTTACAAAGCTTCGTTTAAAGTTTGGTTTAATCTTGAAACTTTAGAGTAGATGGATAAATCAACCGTTTTTTCACCAACATCAACAATTAAACCACCCAAGATATCTGGGTTAACTTCATTGGCAAGTTCTAAAGTTTTACCTTCGCCAACGAATGAAGATTTACCAATGGAAGTTTGTAATTTTTTCAAGATTTTTGAATCCAAAGGTTTAGCAGAAGTAATTTTAGCCTTAACAATACCTTTAGCAGCATCATTTAAAACAGAGTATTTTTCAAAAATACTTTCAAATTCAGTCAATCTATTGTTTTCTGATAAAACTTGTAAGAAATTAACAAGAGTTTTATCTAATCCCAACTTAGAAGCAATAGTATCAATGACAATACTTCTATCTTCTTTAGTTAAAGATGGATTGATTAAAAATTCATTAACTTTACCATCAGTCTTTAATAATTCATTAATCTTGGTTAAACCTTGGAAACTGCTTTCAACTGAGGAATCTTGAACGGATGCTGAGTATAAAGCATTGGCATAAGTACCATCAATACCAAATAATTGAACTGGTGGCTTAATTGACTTGGCTGCTGAAGCCATGGAACGGGTGAATACACGAGCAGACATCATCTTTTGTAATTGATTAATGAATTAATACCTAAGAATGATAATATAAACTCACTTTTATTTAGAAATTGAAAAAAAATCGGCACTGATTCGCATTTCCTTTCTCTTTTTTGTATGGTAAAAGCGTATTCTCATAGTTTTTTTTCCCTTCATTTCTCAATTTTTACTGGACAACACTTTTAATGTTAGGGACTGTTTTTACTGCGAGACTTTCCCTGCTTAAGTATGGGGATGCACGGGTGCATGGCCCCGGCCGCAGTATATCTGAGCACATTACCCTTTTGGGGAGGTGCTGCTTATGTCAGCGAAATCCATTTTCTGAGTTGAATTTTTCAGTAACATTTTTTTTTTTTAACTTTCAATTGATTTTTCAGTTCATTTAAACATACGACTGATTGCCAGAGGATGATATCTATAACCAGAGGTATCAGGGGGTTGCGTGCGGTGGCCCAGCCATGGTCGGTTTTAGTACGTCACCAGAGCAGTGCTGGTGCAGCAGCAGCAGCAGCAGCATCAACTGAACCAATCGTACCAAGCCAACCATTTGAATCATTAGAAGGAAACAGCTTGACTGAATTAGAAAAAAGGGACGAGATTTATAGAAAGCAAAGAAAATTGACTTTACAATCCATCGAACTAAAGTCGTACGCTAACGGACACTTACAACCAGGATCCACACATTTCAAGAAACCAGTTCATCCCCATTTACATAAAGGACAACCAGTGAGAGAATTGACCGCAGCCAAGAAGAAAACCGCCGGTAGAAACAACCAGGGGAAGATCACCGTTCGTGGTAGAGGTGGTGGACATAAACAAAGAGCCAGATTTGTGGACTCTTATCGTTTAAGACCCGGGGTTCAAACAGTCGTTAGAATAGAATATGATCCAAATAGATCGGGACATATCGCATTGTTGAAACACGAGGAATCAGGAGACTTATCGTATATTTTGGCTGCAAACGGGTTAAGAGCTGGAGATGAAGTTGAATCTTTCAGAAGTGGATTACCAGAAGATTTTGTTCAAGAAATGAAACAACTGAATAATGGTGAAATAGATGAAGCTTTATTGAACTCTCGTATTATGAAAAGGGGAAACTGTTTACCTTTGAAAATGTTACCAACCGGTTCTATTATACATAATATAGGTATTCGTCCTGGTGGGAAAGGTCAATTTATTAGATCTGCCGGTGCTTTTGGTAGATTATTAGCTAAATTACCTGATCAAAGAAAAGCCCTCGTCAAGTTATCTTCTGGTGAACAACGTTATGTTCATCTTGAAAGTCATGCCACCTTAGGTACCGTGTCTAATAGCGAACATTCAGCTATCTCCTGGGGTAAAGCTGGTAGAAGTCGTCATAGAGGTTTTAGACCTCAAGTAAGAGGGGTGGCTATGAATGCTCATGATCATCCTCATGGTGGTGGTAGAGGTAAATCCAAGTCGAATAAATTTACTCAATCTATGTGGGGTCTTAAGAAATTCTCTAAAACTAGAACTAAAGCAAATCCAAACAAAATGTTGGTTAGAGGTAAACCAAGAAGAACTGATAATTAATCTTTTTATTTCACAAACATATATATTTATATATATAAACTTTCCTTGTACATATATCTATTTAATCAAATTACAAATTAAATTCGACATATCGACTTGAACGGAGATTCATTTTCGTAAAATATGTTAGCCATCCAACATATAATCATTCGCAAGTATAATACCAAGTATCTTAATGTACCAGTAAAATAAGCTATAATTGTAACAACAGCTAAAATCACAATAATTATTAACAAAATCAAATTACGATGATTGCCTAAATATTCTCTCATTGATTCGGTCAACATATGATTCCAAATAAATTCAATAAAAGTTCCTTCTCTTGAAGCTCCACCACCATTTGTTTCTCCGTTGTGTATTGGTAATAATGGTTGTCTCTCTGGCGAATCGTCTTCTTGGAATGCACACCGGAGCCCGTTCCAAATCCTTCGGAAAATGTTACAATTACCAGTTGGAGACAATGGTATAACAGCATCTTGGGGGGTCTCAACCCTTGGAAATTCGTCAGAGTATGGTATACCAACACTGGCCTCTTCACCCAGCTCTTGGTTGATCTCTTCTGTGCTTGCAATAAGCCCTTGTACACTAGCATTCTTTGTCTCCTCTCTTTCTAATTCACTCTCTTCCAAAGAAGTAGCTGAACCGGGTAAAGGTTCAGCTACGGGTGAGTGTAAACTGGATGCCAATTCGGCAATTTCATCAAGCTGTTCAGATAACGGATCTTCTCGAGGAATCGACGCTTCAGCCCTTTGTCTTCTACGATATCTAGAAGAAAATCTCGATGACATCTTATTTGAACTTGTTGGTCAACTTGATAAACTTCTAATGGCATCAATTTTGTTTATTTGCAGCAAAAAAAAAATAGTTTTTCATTGAGACATATAGAATCCACAAATACATCACTGTCTTCAAGAGTAACTACTGCTTCAGCTAGTTATAACGTTTGTTGAAGTTAGCCAACTACTTACCAAATTTGTTGGTGTTGGTCACCGTTAACGGGTATCAAAATGACCGAACGTCGTCATAATCTAAACTTGATTGTATTTGTTCATTGGGCTCAGTGGAAGTACTATATCTGGAGCATAACTGTTTATAATTGTCCTCTGTGTAGATATATCGAAGAGACTTGAACCAGTTATCTCTCAAGTCTGTTTGATCATGTTGGAATAATTGGAATTCGGTTATCTCAAGCACGAGAATGTCAAGATTAGGTTCACGAAATACTGGGAATTTTCGTATAAAGGAATCTCTGCTTTTGATTTCTGAAAACTTATGAAACTCATGAGCCTTGGTGAATTTCAAGTTGGCTCTCTTGATCAAAATTACTGACAGAAGAGTCTTGGACGTAATTCTTTGGTTATACCTACGCTCGAACTCGTCAATTGTTGGATAAAATGGAAAGATAGCAAGCATTTCGTGTGAAAAATCCCCAATAACCGAGATAAGATCTCCCTGAGGTGTGTTATGCTTCAATTCAGTTATCCTAGCAATTGGTGTTCGACTGACATTTTTATATCGGGGTGGGTCATAATGTATGAAGTTCTTCTTCACTAGATCATTGTAGTATGTTGTTTCTGGCTTCACCTGTTCAAGTATGAGATTGAGAATCCATTCTTCTTGTACCACCAATGGAGGTCTGACCAGCTTTTCCATCAATAACCAGGCGTATCAAAAAGAATAACTTATGATGCTAAGATGGATTTGATTTTTGGAAGAAAAATCACCATCGCGTTCGCAAATTTGAAGAATTACAGACTCTATCTAATCAACTTGAATAAATTAATTTGTATTATTTATGTACAAGGTTACATTATGCTAATTATGACAAGATGTTAGTCTTCTTCGTCACTACTTACTCGTCTTTTCTTATTTCTTAAAAGCCTCTCGAGCTTTTTCTTCTCGGATACTTCTACCATTCTTTTCATTGACTTTTCAGCTTTAACAAGTGACTGTTCAGATTGATCAAATATTTTTTCAATTAAGTCATGTTTCTGCATTTGTTCATTTAATTCGTTATATCTTATAGTCATCATATCGAAACCGAAGCAAATATCTATGTCTTGTAAAGAATTGATGATAGGAATGTAACTTTTATAGCCAAATATATTATAAGTTAATCCTGAATTTCTTAAATAAATCCCCATTTCCTCAGCTCTTTGATCAAGCTTATCTAAATTTTGGAATAAGTTGGGGCTCTTAGAGTATCTTGAGCTAAAATGAGTAAGGATAACTTTGGGGCAGTTCATTAATTGTGACATTCTAACAGCTTCTATCATTGAGGAATGCTTTCTTGAAATAGCCTCTTCAATTAAGTCATCACCTAATGAACATTCATGAATTAGTAAATCACTATTATATCCAATTTCAACAAACTTAACATTTGGTCTTGTATCACCGGAATAAGATATTTTGAAAGTCTCATAGCCATCAAGATCAAATGTCATACTGATAGAATAGGCCCAGAAACAATGGACCGCTTTGCATGTATTGACTGATTTGAGACCCAAGTTACGGTAGAGATCTTCAATATTCTTAGTATCTCTGGGAAGTAAAGGATCCCTCAGAACACAACTGTTTTCATTACAGTCATATTCGTGTTCAAATTTTTCAAGACTCATTTGACTTAATTGACCAATTCTATCCTGCTCTTTCAAAAAATCTTGACAACTTATATATATGACTCGATTAATATCAATCTCACTATTAGCCTCAGCTTCAATTTCATACCATTCATTCACAAAGTTATTATATTGCCATGGAGTCACTAAATAAAGCTTTTTATCATCATTCTTATGAAACTTGAACCATTGATTAATGACAGATATAAGACCCAAGTGGTGATCAGCATGTAAATGACTAAGGTGTATAAAGCATAATTCATCAAATATTTGAATAAGTTGTTCACGATTATTATGCCCGTAATTTCTTAAAATTGAGGCTAGAGTGTTTTCACCTCCATCCAATAAAATAGATCTGAACTTTATACTACCATTTTCTTTATATGGTACTCTAACTAATGATGAAACAACATTACGCTGGAGTGATGGGATGGCCGATCCGGTTCCTAGAGTAACTATTTGAACGTGGTCCTTCATGGTTTTGGCACTTGGACTTGGTGCTAAAGAAAGTGGAGGAGAATAAATGATATCTTCTTTAGTACTTGAATCTCCCAATCCAGCAGGTATTACTACGGAATCAAAATATGTGGACCAGTTATTGCGGTTAACGTAACTATCCTCATAAGTGATTCCTTCGGTATCAATATCAAACTTTTGTGTCGAATGTAATTTAAAAATTGACTTGTTTTCATGTTCCAATGGTTGATATTCATCGGTATGGGGAAGATTGAATTGGTTATTTTGAATGCTTTTCAACATTAAAGTGTTCAATGCAAAGGTATGGAATGATAAAGTATTATCAGAAAGTGTTCTATGGCTTAGCACGTGAAAACAATCTGCTGGAAATTTACTAATAAATTTGGAATATTCGTTCAAGTCCAAATCGATATCATCACCAATAAAGTGATACACGAGACCTATTTCTTCTTCTCCTAGTTCTTCTGATTTTTGGAAAAAGCTTTCGTTGTTGACTGTATTTTGATAGTATGAGCGATCAGGGATGTCTATGATTAAAAGTTTCTTGAATGCTTTTGAAGGCCCAATTACTTGTTCTGGTTGAATAAGGGTACCCTCTGTGTTGTATACTGGATTTCCTATGGATAATTCACGGTATTTGGCACCACGTTCAATTTTTAGATTTTTTGCAGCAACTGCATCGAAACGACCCCTAATTGGAAGAGGCCTTATCAAATAGCTGACTGATGGTTGGCTCTGAACATCATCCAACTCCGCGAGTTTCGGAAGCTTTACATGGGTGTGTATATCTCCTTCAGAAGGATCTGATTTATAAGATTCTGGGTCCATGCTGTTCACTTTACTTGTATCGAGAGGAAACATAGATGATGTAAGTTTTCTCAATGGACGTAATAAAGAGGCAACTTTGTTTTCATCAAGTTCTTGAGCTTGAATCGATGACTGAATTTGAATTGGCTTCACGCTGAACGATTTACAATCAATTAATTTATCGCCATCCGTATTGAAAATACCAATTTGTGCACCTTTTCTAAACACGAAATATCTCCAAGTTGCAACCACGAAAGACATTATTTTGGAGGACGATGTGAATAAATCAATACCTTTTTTGGTTGCATCTGTAATAGTTAAAAAAAGACCTGGTAGCCCGCCTATTTCCGACCATGATTTTATTGTCCCGGTTAAAAACAACCCTTCCATCTTCAGAAGTCTGAGTTTATTTTGATTAATGATTCTTTGAGTACCTTCGGGCACTTTCCCAAAAAAGTACCTGTACCCATCCCGATTCTGAAACATCACCAAAGGATGGCTGGTGTCGCTGTTTTTATGACAAACGGTGACTACACTGAACATGCTGGAGTGATTCAATTGTTCACTTTTCACTTCAATTTCTCGCCTTATAAAATCTCTTATTGATTTGGACTCTTCTGTCTTTTTCGCCGCTTTTAGACGTTGAAACTTTCTTGTCGAATTCTTACCGCCTAAATACTTGGAATTGGTGCTGTAGGATGATCTGGTTAAAGCAACAGCTGGTTTAGTAAATGCTTTTGATGCGACAGAGGTCGAACTCTTATTTATACTTCTTAGAGCAAACACTTTGGAAACAATCTTCTTTGCTTTCTTATTGCTCAGTATTATCTAAATCGCCCTAACAACTTGAAATCTTCTTCAATAATCCATGGCCCGATTAGCTATATTGTCTTTCAATAATTTTTCTACTTTGAATGGATGTTTGACCAATTTTAATGAGATGGCGGTGTATGGATGTTTTTTTTCCACACGATAAATGTCGCCCTCCCCCCATGTCGCCAAATCACCGTTAGACAAACTTTTGATCAGTTTTTACCCCAGGGTTTATCGTAAATTGTCACTTGAAAAGCTTAAAACTCCTTACTTTACAGTACTTATAATTACATTCTAATTGAAATTACACTAGACGTATTTAAACCCAGCTGCTTTTCACGCTACGGAGCTTTTGAAGGATAATCAGAGCTAAAGAATGACGGAGCTATTACCGACTGTAGGTCGGTCCTCGGTTAATATAAGTCACTCTGATATTATAGAAGCTCTTTTCAAGAACAATCTGCACTTAACACCAGAGCAGGCTCCAATTAATGAGGAGCCCAACATACAGGAGAGTAAGCTCAAATATATGATTTACAATGGGGCTAGGATGCTTCCAATATTTAATCGGTTCTTGCCAGTTGCAGATGAAAAGAAGATCTTGATAGATTCTTTAGTATCACAACAAAGTTCTGCAACCACGTATAGGAAATGGTATGATGCTTCTTTACAGCTCGACGAAGTTTTGGGCAATAACTCCTGGAAGCTCAATCCTCAATCCAATATGTATGATTACGACTTGATTTTCAGAAACTTGAAAGAAATGCAAAATGCACGATTGTCAAAAGATTACAAGTTGCTTCTTTATTTGATAAGGACAAAATGGATAAGAAACTTGGGTAATATGGGAAATATTGACTTGTATAGACACTCGCATGTTGGAACCAAGAAGCTTATAGAAGAATACGTTAATGAATGTCAACTTTCTTTGGATTACCTTATATATGACCACGATGTTAATTTGGATGATCGCTATTTATTGGGAATGCTTATACAGACAAGAAAGAATGTCGGTAGAACAGCTTTGGTTTTATCGGGAGGAAGTACATTTGGTGTTTTCCATATCGGTGTGCTTATCACATTGTTGGAAGCTAATTTATTACCAAGAATTGTTAGTGGATCATCAGCTGGATCTATTATTGCTAGTATCTTGTGCTGCCATACTAATGAAGAGACCGTACTACTTCTTAATACCATCACTGAGCGCAAGTTCAATATCTTTGGTGAGCATATAGACCACACGATGAAAAAGAGTAAATTCAAAAACTTGTTAAACAGTTTTGGTCATTTACTCAAATATGGTACATTATTTGATATTGATGGCTTACAGGAAACTATGGTTGATTTTGTTGGAGATTTGACTTTCAGGGAAGCATATAATAGAACCGGTAAAATCCTTAATATTACGGTCTCCCCTGCATCTGCTCATGAGCAGACAAGGTTATTGAACTATCTAACTGCTCCGAATTGTTTAATTTGGTCAGCCGTTTGTGCTTCTTGTTCTTTGCCGGGATTTTTCCCATCGACTTCTATCTACGAAAAGAATCCAAGAACAAATGAAATACATGAATGGAATAACGATGTCACGATGAAGTACGTTGATGGATCCGTTGATAATGACCTACCCATCACACGATTACTGGAAATGTTTAATGTTGACCATATAATAGCTGTTCAGGTAAATCCTCATGTCATTCCGATGTTGAAGGTTTCTATCAGTAGCCTTGGTGGAGAAATAGAAAATGAACTTAATGCTAGAATAAGAGATTTGATGAATAACTGCTATGACTTTATCACGTCTGAAATCGTCCACTACCTTCAAATATTGAGTGAAATGAACATATATAAAAACCTTTGTGGTAAACTTATCACATTACTTTCGCAAGATTATTCAGGTGATGTGACTATCTTACCTGACCTAACTCCAGTAGATTTTACAAAAATTTTTGAAAACCCTACCCCTGAATTCATTCTCGATTTTATTATTAGGGGTGCAAGAGCTTCTTGGCCAAAAGTTACTGTGATTCGTAATCATTGTGGGGTTGAGTTTGCGTTAGATAAAGCCATCAGTTTGCTTCGTGGACGTTTGATATCTTCGGCAAATAACTTAATTGGTTATCATTCTCAAGCACCGGACAAGTCACTTTCTATGAAAAATACTAATTCAAGCAATTCATATTATACCTTGGTGAATTCACCAGTTTTAAACGATGACCCTAAGCATAGCGACTCCCTTTTTGAAAAGTCCAATGAACAACCAGGAATCAAGAGACACAATTCAACATCCAATACAAGGGCCTCAGATCCTGAAAAACTTCCTATTAAGAGTAAGAGAAATTCAATTGGTCCTCAAAATCCTGCAGCAGATAGAAAAAAAAGCAAGGGTCAATCGTTTACATCCTTGGTATCATTAACCAATTCGAATAATGGTAACCCTTCCCGTGGTGGTTTCGATAAAGAGCGTCCAGATCTTTTCGTAAGATTCTCAGAGCAGTTCGATCAATCACAACTTAATCAATCTGATTTGAAAAGGACAGCTTCTGCCCGTAAACATCGTATTCATTTCGAAGATCAAAATATTAGGAAGGCGAAAAGTTCTTCGAACTTCCATAAAGAACCTAAATTTGATGACCCGGCTACAACGAAAAGTAAAGGGAAGCTTAAGTACCAGACAGAAAGGATCCCCTACTATAAAGGTAACCCATACTCTGAAAATGTTAATAAATCAAAGAAACCCAGTTTTGATGGTGAAATGCAATATGCAGAAAAAGCCATCACGACCCCAGATGGGTCTGAGAAAGCCAACTTACCGAAGCGGTCAAATAACAGCTCTTTAAGGAATTCCTTCATTGGTCTCAATAGACTTAAGGATCATAAATCTTCTACATCAAGCTCCATGAGTAACTCTAGGACAAGCTCAAATAGTAATTCCTATTTTAACTTGAAAGATCACCCCGATGTCCTTAAAAGTTTGAATTCTCCCGATATCAGACGTAAACTAACCCGTCTGTTAAAAGGGATTAAAACAAGTCTCAAAAGTAGAACTTCGAGTGAAGAAGATTTCGGTGAGCTGAATATGTTTGAACCTATCCATGTTGACAATGCGAGTGACTTAACTGATAAAAACTCTAGCGAAGAAAGTGAACAACACGTTGATTCTCGGAGCTACGAAGAGGGTGATGAGGATGATTTGACAGTTGTTCCGGAAAGAGCAGGATCTTCTTCTAGAGCATATTCTCCTGGTCTAACAAGCGGTGCCAAAAAGACTAATGAGAAATCCAAAATTGGTCTAGACAATTCTCCCGATATTGATGCTTTTTACGAATGTGATTAACTTCTACTTTAATAATGTCAATTTAATTTACTTCTTCTTAATAGTTTTGTATCTTTTTCTTTGATTCAATTCTCGAAACTTACATCCAATATACTTGGCTCTGAGTATCTTTTTAATTATTTTCTATAGTGGTTTATATAAATTTATGTAATTTCTCAAGTATTTTGGTTTAATGATGACCCCCTAGAAAACTCATAAATATAGGAACAAGCATACCTAAAAGAGATATACCTAGTTCAGATCCCGTTATTTTGGCGTGCTCATGAATAGTGGAATCGCTATCGCTTGATTGGGGTGGTCTATACTGGTTTTCTCTTTCTCCAGTAAGAATTTCTAACATAACATGTGTGACAATATAGATAAACGTTCCTCCGCTATACAAAAGCATGATACTGATCGTAAATTCATTATCCATATCCAATGCTAGTAATATGAAATAAGTAACCACGGATGTCACTGGAGTAATCAAGGAGAACACTGCAAGATGTAGCTGAAGTAAAGACTGTGGTAGCCCTTCCTTGAATAGTAAAGTCGCCAAACTAAATGCGGTGGGTAATTTATGAATGATTATCATCACAAAAAAAATTATTCCAAGAGAGGTATCTTCTTTACTAAAAGATGACCCCAAGGAAATACCATCAACTGCAGAATGTAATATTAACCCCAAAGTTAAAGGAGATTTGAAAATTGATTTGACTTTTTCAAGAATAGATTCGAAATTCACCTTGTCAGAAGACAAATTGTAATTTATATTGAAATTTTCAAGAATAGATGAGCAATTGTCAATTATAAACATAGTCATGAAACCTAAGATTAACGAAATCCCTATGTAACGGGGAATCGGGGCTTCTTCGTGGTCTTTTATTGAATCATACAATGTCTCAATCCCTTCGGGAATCACAATCACTAAAGATGTACCAATCAACATACCCATACTCAACATTGAAACTAGATTCAAGTGTGCGGTTGATAAAGGTAGTTTCAAAGGTGCCATACCAGCTATGAATGAGGTAATACCCATCAACACGCTTAGGAGACAAAGCTCCAACGATCTGACCATTAAAGACATTTCGGATCTTGGGGAAACTGGAAATTGGAAAGTAAAAGGAATTTGATCTTGAAAGGTCAAGCTAAGCGTATTTAAGCTATTTCGAAGACCAATTCGATGAAGTACACGATAACTTAATAAATACCTGTTCGAATTCGAATGTTGATAGCCTTTTAGGCTTCTTCTTTTTTTAGTCTGCATTGTTTAGTGTTCTGTCTTTTTTTTTTTTTGGTTTGAGATAGAAAACGACGCGTCCGGAGCACTCGAGATTGAGATGGTACTATAGCTTGATACATGAACCTTTTAAACAGGGCCAGTCCAAGCCATTTTGACCAATGTCGGTTAATTCGAACATTCTTGAGGATAAGATAAGCCTAGCGGTTTTATACTTCAAGTCATCGCAGTACGTCAAGGCTCTCAAACTTTATAGCGAGATCATTAGGGATCTTTTGAAATATGATTCTGACAATATAAGAGAGATTAGGCGAAAGATATATCATATGAATCCAGATCCTGTGATGGGACCATTGGTTCATCCCAAGCTCTCTTCGATTTTGGATCAGCGAGCTGCAACTTATGAGAAGCTAGCACAGTACCAAGAAGCCATGAAAGATGCTGAAAAAATAATCAAGTGTGATCCTTTAGGTTGCAAAGGTTATTTAAGAAGTGGGAAATTGTATTTAAGACAAGATAGGGAGCTAGAGGCCTTTAAAGTATTTCAGAAAGGTGTTTACACTATAAACAAGGCAAAAGAAAAGTTCAATATTCAAGTTCCCGATAAATTGTGGACCAATTTGAAGAGTCAGTACACGAACGTTAATAAACAATTGAAGACCAAAAGGAAAGTTACAAACAAGGAAGCCCCCAAGTCTGTATCTCCCGATATTAATGGGGTTTCTTTGGGTATAAGTAGCTCTTCGTCTGTTTTGTCAAGCCAGAACTCAAAAAGATCGCTAGGGATTGGATTTAAACCGGCCAGCAGCCTTTCGAGGGCCAACTCAGGATCACAGAAAAGCCTTGATGAAGTTTTGGGTACCAAACGAGCATCTTCTCTTGCCTCATTTCCTTCAGCAAGCTCTGAGTCCTTGAAACTTTCCATCCGTGAGCCGAAGCTGAAAAAGCCTAGGAAAAGCATTGATCCGGTAGAGTGTTTGCCCTTGGAGATCCTTGAATTGATATTTTCCCAAATCAACTTGAAAAGAATACTATCCTGTCATGTTGTTTCTCGTTTATGGCGAACCTGCCTAATGAATATTCCTTCTTTGTACAGTGATCGAGTGATATTTAAGAACCGTATAACCATAAATGAATTTTTAAGTGGCTTTAAAATTATTAAACAGATAGTTTCAAAAACTTACTCAAAAGAAATAAAACAGCTTAAACTAAGATCAACTTTTGACTCTACCCATGCCCCAAGAATCCTTGATTACATTTTTGGTGAAAAAAATACCAAATACCAATCATTGGATATAATCAACAAAGACTTTAGCATGGAGCTTCTAGTGAATAAATTGAATAAGTTCAATTGGAACGTTGATCAATTTTGCAATTTAAAAGTTCTCAGAATGGGGATAAACGCAAGTTTGAAATATGAGGAGTTGATTTTAGGTGTGATGAAAGAATTGAACACTTTAGAGATTGTCGTGATTGACAAAAAGTTTAATAACTCTAACCGATTTATTCTCCCTTCGGAAGAAACGATTCAAAAGCATCAACAAGGTGATCCAATAACTTACTCAAGCTTAGAAAAGCTTACTTTGGTCAACCACCCGCATTTGAATAAACAATTTATAGCAACCCGTCCAGGCGCTGATACCTATGATCCAGCACCTCCATTCATAACCAGAGAATTCCCAAATCTTACTTCTCTTACAATCGTGTCTTTTGATTTTACTGAACAAGAGTCTAATTTTGGAAACTTTCTATCCAAAAGTCATTATTTGAAAAAATTATATTTGGAAAATAATGAAGGGTTGACGATTAAAAATTTAATGATGTTGATATCTATGTATCAGCCACTATTTAAATTAAGCAGATTGACAATGCGAGAAAAATCGATCGGCAAGGCTATCAGCTTAAGAGAATCTGATCCTGATTATTTTTCTGCATTATATGATTTGGAGATTCTAGACTTATATTCATCCTCTCTCTCAATCGGTGGGTTGACCAAACTATTAGATATATCAAATCGCCATGGTCGACTCCAAGAACTTTCCATCGGCAACTCCAATTATATATATTTCAAGAATGATAGAATAACCACTAGACCAAAAATTGATTTAGAAACGATACTTTCAACAGCCCCTGGTCTTTCCAAATTGTCATTGAATGAGCTTGATTTGGACGACTCATCTATGAGGTTCTTTCATAAAAGTATTCATGAGGTAATTGGTTTGAAAAGGTGCAACTTGAAAGTTCTTGATTTAAGTTTTTGTGTTTCTTTGACCGGGGCCGGTTTAATGAACCTTTTCAGGCCCGTTTTGGATACTTACAGTAAATCTACAAATTCCTTGAGCTTAGAAGAATTGATTGTCGATGGAGTCGAGATTAATGAGGAAACTTTAAAAAGTCTTATGAAATCAGGCTACATTAGCAACATCAGAAATGACCATTTTAGACAAAAATGGAAACAGTATGGGATTAACACTTTGGTTCCTGACGTCTCAAGATAAAACTAAGTATGTATATATTTATGCCCATGATGACCTTTATTTAATGTGTAAGTCTTAAAGAGGGTGGACCTTTGCTGCAAATATGATAATGGTTGCAATTATATATATATATATGGTGTACGGGTTTCCTGCGTGGTTGAATCAAATGAAAACAAGATGAAAAAAAAAAATGAGAGATGAGGAAGAGCTATTGAACAGGCAATATCAGCTTTGATAAGAGATTAGCTAGTTGCTGACAGTATGGCGAAGAAGACCCAGCAAAAGGTAAAGGTTACACCAACAAAGGCGAAGAAGATAAAATTTCTGGATCTGGAAGATGAAGGATTTGTTACAGCAGAAGAAGATGCAGAAGAAGATGCAGAAGAAATAACACCAGAAGAAGAAAAGGAAGTCGATTCTGATTCTGATTCTGATTCTGATTCTGATGATGCGCCGGAAGAAGAGAGCACCTCGACATCTAGACAAGCAATAATAGAACAACAAAAGGAAGCATTCAAAATAAGACAAGAGAAGAATAGGCAAGAAAGAGAAAGAAGAAGACAACTAGATTTACAAAACAAGCAACAACAAGAAGAAGCTAGAAAGACAAAGAAGGACAGAGTACAAGAGGAGTTGCCCGAGTATTTACCAACAGATTTGCTTGAATCTGATGACGAAGAAACCATCACAAAAATTCAACCTAAGCATATAAAACTTGATAAAGAGGATGAAAAAGAAATAAGAAAGCAAATGCTTATGAAGAAATTGGGCGAAAGGAAGAAGGAGAGACAATCATCCATTAAAAAGGGACCGGTCAATGTTCAAGTTCAAACATTTAATTCAAAGAAGAAAGTTGTTCCAGTTGCCGAAAATAAAATCATTAACTCTAGAGAACAATGGTTAAAGAGAAAATCTTTAGGAAAGAAATAGTTTTACAAGAAACTCTTTATGTAAATTATAAGATTCATTAATGCATTATATTAAATCATATTTGTAGAATAAAAGATTATATTACAGATTAGTTTTGATTTCTAGTTACCCCGATTCTTTCATCCCTATTTAAAGGAGGGTTCACCGAGTTCTGGTTATTTATATGAGAAGATTCTTTAAAACTCAAATTGCTTGAATCTGGGTCACTTTGGTGTTCTTGGAATTGATCAAACTGGTGACGTTCCTGTTCTTGATGGACTTGTTGTTGGTGTGTAGATTCATCGTACTCGAGGATGTCTTCTGGAGTCAACTTGATGGTGGTTGCCGGCCTTCTTAGCATGATGGATTGATTTTGTAAAAAGAGTTGAATGTTTGCAATTTTTGATAAAATTATCTGAGGGAGGAAAAAAAAAGGCCCGATCTCCATTTTTTGCGTCCATGCTTCACTTCTCTATTCGAAAGGTATCAAGAGTAAAGCATTTAGATACTTTGAATATTTAATAATAAACGGAAATTAGAGGAAATGAAAGAGACGTCTTAAAAGATTATTGGGAATAAAAGGCACTTGGTATTTTACGAAAAAGTATATTTTTTTGTATTTTTTTATCAGAAATCGCCCACTTTTAGTTCAAGTCAACAGCTTTCTACGCAAACAATTGTAACAACTGTATGAGGCTACGTACAACAGAGGGAGATGTGTGATTAAAAAGTGTTGCCACATTGAAGCTGGCTACTTATTTATATGTACATGTATTTATACTTGGTTCGATGATATTTTTAATTTCCCTTTTTTCTTACTCAACTAAGCGTTTTTGTTATTTTCCCCCGTATACGTGTACATGTTTCCATATGCCTTATTCCTATCTATCTAGTTAGTATTTAGCATCGATATATTAACAAATATGTAAAAAAACTTTTTTGACTGGAAAGCTTTACCTGCAAAATACGAATGTACTGGACAAACCCCAATGACAACACCCCAACGAAATACGACTTCGTGGCCAAGTTGGCTAAGGCGTGAGACTGTTAATCTCAAGATCGAGAGTTCGAGCCTCTCCGAGGTCGTTTTCTTTTTTTTCCATTCTTCACATCTCGCCTCGCTCTGCTCAAGATATTTTTTACCAGAAATCATGTAGGCCTATTTTAAGCGCTTTCCCTCAGGCCAACAGTTAATTGTGTAGGAGTTCGTATTTGAGTTACATTAAAGTTGAGCTTCTGTCTTTTTTTTTTTTGCGTTTTTTTTTCGTTATTTTACGTTTTGTTTCACTTCTTGGCTTAGTCTATTTTTAAAACACTGAAAACATCGGGCTTCGACTTGTGCTACGATAAGTAATATACGATAAGTAGGAAAATGACATCAATTACGACAGTAGCGACAAATGTAACCAGGTAGTAATTAATTTTTATTAGAGAGCCAGGTAACCATAAACCATTAAACATTAGACATTAGAAGGGGTATGTACAGAAAATTAATCTAAATCTTTAGTTCGAATTTTCAAGCAATAAGGGCACATCATATGATAACAACGATGACAGGTGAATCGACTTGGAGGTTTTAAGAGAATTTCTTCAATTTTCAAATCTTCTTCATTTGAGATGATGGAGTTATTATCATTATCCGAGTATATTGGAGACTGTAGAGGAGAATTTGGGTATTGATTATTTAGTATTGAATCATTTGAAGTAGTATAATCACGATTATAAATTAATTGAGAGTAAAATTTAACTTTTGAAATCAAATCCCCACTTTCATCTTCATTTAAAGAGGTATTACTATCATCTTTTGATATTATTGGTAGGCTTGGAGGAGGGGGCGGTAAATTAGTTAAATTTGATTGATGTTGGGAATTATATATTATTGAACCATGAGCCAACCCACATTCACAACACACCCATTGCAAGATTTTATTATCATCGATTCCCGAGCTTAGTCCTCGCTGTCTTGTTTCCTTTTTTTGTATTGGGGTTGATTTAATGATTTTTGTTGTTCCGTTATTTATTATGGTGGTATAACTTGCTCCATCATGATTTGAAGAGATGGTGGTGGTTGTAGAGGGACTTTTATGGGTTACTGTAGTAACTCCATTTGCTTCTTCAATAGTTGAACTAGTATCTCCATTATCTTCTAATTGTATGGTACGTTTTTCTAGTTTCTTCATAATCATCATATCTGTAGGAATACAGTATGGAAGGTACGGATGAAAAATCAAATAGTTACAAAGGTAAATCAATAAAAGGTCCCACAGATCAGGGAGATTCAAGATTATATATTGAAATATCTATTCCATCCAAAAGATAAAATGAAAAAAAGAAAAGAAATAGAAAATAATTCAAAATTACGGCTACTGGAAAACCCACCGAAAAAGGCAGTCAAATAACCTCCAAAATAGCACCTCCAAAATAGCACCTTCAAAATAGCACCTTCAAAATAGCACCTCCAAAAATGTACAAACTATACCACTAAATTAGAAGCAGCTCTCTTAAAAATTGAAGTAACAAAACAGAACAAAATAAAATAAAATAAANTAAAAATAAAAATAAAAATAAAAAAAAAAGAAGCCAAACAACCAAAATCGAATACGCATTGAAAATCCTCAAATCTATTCGCAATTTAAGCACATTAAACTTTAAACTACATTGATTTCATCTTTTAATACCTATTCAAATAACGAGACTACATAAATAACAGAATAAAGGACAATAAACTTTTAATGTAGAAAGGCGGTTTATCACAATAGCAAATTAAGCAATCGAAAAATTGTTGTTGATTCTATCAAAGGCGGGACCGACTCCCCCTGGGAATTCTAGAATGGGAATAGACCCTGGAATAGCGGGAACACACCCGTACCCACCGGTGCTACTGGGCTTCTTCATGTGAAGGAAGCTGCACTACCTTTAGCCAGAGATTAGCCGGAATCAAACCGTCAATACCTTCAGTTAGTATAACACCATTTTCACTTTTATAAAAGACTATTTTATTTTGTAAACATTTTCGGATATCAAGATAAATGAGCAAGTTACAATTTGGTCTAATGCCACTTTTTGCCCCAGGAGAAGTGAAATGAATATGATTTCTATTCATTTTACTTAATCCACCACTTGCCTTTATTATTGGTAATTTTTTTTGATAAGTACCATGATAAATTTCATTTGGTAATTCATTTTCATGAAGTTTTATTAAATTATCATTATTTATTTTAATTGAGTGTCCTTGCACTGCACAAATAAATTCTTCATTTATTTTAAATCTTTGTTTATCATTATTTGAAACTATTTTATTCAAATCATCTCGAGTAGTTTTAAATGATTTAAGTCTTTGATGATGTAATAATTCGTCGATTTTAATCCAACCATCATCAGTCATTGGTAAATTTTCCTTATGAGCCCCATGTCTGAGTAAATACGATAACGCTTTAGAGATTTGAACATCTCGTTTACTCATATCATTCATTTTATAAAAGACTACAAGTAAAAAAAATTTTCCACTCACTTTATTTACACTATTTACATTTTTATTTACACATTACCCATTATTTATCAGTACATTTTTTAACTTTTGAACCGGCCAATGATCCTAAATTAGCACGATTATTCTGTTTAATGGTTTCGTTATCACCTAATTCGGTTCTATCATGGAAATTCAAAAAATATTTACCATCATTATCTAATCTCCCTTGCACAATATTCTTGATAAGAAACTGACTAACTTCGTTCAATTTATCAACTTTATCATTAATTTCTTCGCTGGGTAAGTTTTTACTTTCTTCGTAGCCTTGTTTGATTTTACTTCTTGCGGCCAAAAGCACCTCGGGGTCTCCTTTGAACGCAAGCCCGGTGGCCCTAAACGCTGCTCTATACGCTTGTATCGACTTGCTCATATTGATTGGGAAATATAATAAGTATATTAATGTATAGATGTAAATGTTTAGATGAAGAGAAAAAACTGATGAGTGTGTGGGACTTTTTTTTTTTTTTTTCACCCCATTTTGTGGTGCACACTACTCACAATACTAATTTTTCAATAGAATACTTAGGAACTTTTTTAGAGATTTCAATCCCGTCTTCACCCAAGTGGATTTTTTTACTTGAGTTGTTTGTAATGGTTAAGATTGAATCTAATTGTTGTTGTTGATGGAGATCGTTGGAAATGATATTGTCAAGATTCTTCTTTTTAGATTTTTTGGTTTGACTTGTAGTTTGTAATATTGCTTGATTAGTTAAAGTGAGATTGAAACTATTTTCAATTAATGATTCAATTTTATCATTGATGAATTCAGTTAAGGATTCAATGATATTGGTATTCCAGTTGAACAATCCTCCAATATCAATGATAACTTGAATCAATTGTAAACTTTCAAATGAATTCAATTTAATTAATGAATTGATTAAATCGATTTCAATCTTGTTGAATTGACCCAAGATTTTCTTCAATATCGAGGTGATTTCAATAATTGAGTATTCTTCAATGATTCGGGTAAGGATGATTTGTAAAACCGCAAAGTTCTCGTCGATTGACTCGTAAACTAATTGTTTTGATAATTCTTCAAGTTTAATACTGGTACTTTCCTTAATCAGGTTGGCTAATAATGATTCTTGTTTGAAATCTTTGAATAATTTGAGTATTCCAATAGTGTATTCATATGGATAGCATGGATGGCTCAATAAGTAGCGTAAACTTGCCTCGGGGATGAATTGATTGTTCTGGAAACAAAGTTGGTTATTGTCTAATCTGAAGATCAATTTAACAACTTGATTAATAAAATTTTCATCAATGACCAAATCGGTTTCTTCATCATAAACATTACCAGCATGGCCATTTTTGAAAAATTCTAAGAGTGATTTATCGAATTTGGCCAAGTCTGCCTTCTTACTCAATTTCTCTAATGATTGGTATACTTTGTTCATTTGTTTGATTTGTTCTTTATCTTCTTTTTCTAAATCTTGACTGAGTAAATTTGGAATTCCTTGAAGTTCAACCTCTTCAGCTTTATCGATTTTTTTCCCTAAACATTCATTTAACTTATTAACCCCGACATTCACTTGTAATATTTTCAAATCGGTATTATTTAATCGTTCGTTATTTTCAGAAAAAATTGCAAAAGTATTTCTGGTGTTAATACTGTCTCCCTTGGTATGTATAACTTGATTAATCAAACTCTCGCCTTGATTGGTTTGTTGTGCTAATAAACTTTCGAATTTGAAGTTGACCAAGTAGATACTTTTGTCAATTGAAAGTAAAATTCTTTCCAAACTAGGAGTATGCATTGATATCTTGCAATCTTTGGTTATGATATTAGAAATATTCATACTTTTAAGGACTTTTTTGAAGTTGGTTGTCGAAACCGACGAAATGGTCTCATTACTCAACTTATATAAAGTATTTGAATAAATACTAAATATTAATTTTGAATTTGTTTCTTTAATGCTTTGGTTTATAATTTCTTTGGTTTGTTTCATTTCAAGTTGAAAGATCTTATAATGATATGTGGTGTTTTTCTTCGTAATCACTAATAATTCTTTTTCATTTATGAATTTACTATATTCAACTTTATCAAAATGATTAAATTCATTTTCAAATTCGATTTTCTCAACTTCTTCTTGATTGATCTTATATAATTCGATTGATCCCTTTTCGTAGATCACGTAAATGTATCCATTAATGACTTTCAAATTAGTTATTTTCCCTCCGACTTTTATTTCAGTCTTGGAATTTATTTGTTCAATCTTATTCCCATTACCAACTTTATCAATAACTAATAATTTATTATTCTTACGTTCAGTTAATCCTATGGCGTAGATTTTATCTTCTCCATCGGCCTTCACACAGACATCCATGCAGTCGACGATGGTAGATGGACTTAAGGGATAGGACCATATCAATTTAGGTGTTGGTTTTAATAAGTAACTAGATATAATCGATTTGGATACTCCAACGTCAATGATCGAGGTGTCGGTGGATGTGATGGTAGGGAGAGTCACCTTGGACTCGAGCGGAACGTCTGTTATTCTGGGTAACGTGGCCACAGAATAGGCATCACTTAACGATGGGGTAGACATGCTTGGTTGATGGAGTAGTAAGCACATAGTTCAATCTTTGATAATTTTTCATATATGCGATGGGCAGATGACATCCGTACATCAAAAGTAGTTTTTTTTTTTTTTTTTTTTTTTTTTTTTTTTTCTGATCGCAATGAGGGTAGTGCACGGCAAGTTATCTGATTCAATTTTAGCAGCTAGTTTCTTTGAAAAACGTATGCTATTACAATCTACTTCAACAGTCAGTCTAAAAGTCGAGGTGAATACTTGATTACAGCGAATAAATTATCTAAAATATGTATTTATGCTAATGTACACAGAACACTAAGGGTGAACTCTATAAAATTATGAAAAAAAGACAAACAAACCCAAAAATGAAATGAAAAAATTAAATATGAAAATTAAACAGATTGTAAAAATTCATCATTTGCAAAATGATAATCAGAAACAACAACTTTAAATTCATCAGTTTCTTTATTATAAGATTCAATCTTAAAAGAAGTTAAATCGTCAACAACGATATCAGCACCAGATTTTCTAACTTTTTCTGGATCATAAGTAGAACAGATACCAACAACCATGGCACCAGCACCTTTACCGGCAGTGATACCAGCTGGAGCATCTTCAAAAACAACAACTTTTTTATTTGAATCTTCGTAACCAAGAGTGTTTCTAGCGGATTGGTAACCCATTGGATGAGGTTTACCTTTAGTAACTTTTTCAGCAGTGATAAAACAGTCTGGTTTTTGGATAGTTAATAATTTTAACCATTTGGTGGCTAAAGGTAAAGTACCAGAAGTAACAATGGCCCATCTTTGTTTAGCATTTTCAGTTTCTTCTTTGGAAAAATTATCAAAAGATTTAACTAATTCAACAGCACCAGGAATTGGTTTAGCGTATTGACCAAAAGAATCAGGAATATCACCTTCCCATTGAGTAACTTGTTCTTCAATGGCATCTTCTGGAGACCATTTAGCAATAACATCAAAAGTACGACAACCATGAGAGGTTCTAATGATTTCTTCTGGGTTAACATGAGGTCTAGTTTTACCAAAGTCTCTCCAGAATTCAGAAATAGCACCAGTAGAGTTAACTAAAGTACCATCACAATCGAATAAAGCGGCATTAACGTAAAAGACAGCTGGTTGATTTTGAATAGTCATTTTGAGAGATTATATGTATATGTCAATTGAATTGATCAATGGATAAAGATAGAAATAAGATCAACCATCTAAATGGGGGATTTCAAAGGATATTTATAATAAATACAACCTGCTAATAAAAAGAAAAGAAAACCACCTGGTGGTCAAAAAAACACCAAAGATGAATTGGTTGTAAAAAACAGTAAAATACCTATAAAACAAAAAAAAAAAAATCATTTTTACTATTTCCTTTCTTTTGTGGCCAAAAAAGAAACGGTAGCAGCTATCACCAGATGGGAAAAAGAAAAGATACAAAGATAACGGATTACGTAATGGCACCATACAAAAAAAGAAAAACAAAAGCAAAGAGTAGATGGTACTGCACATTGGGCCCCCTGGACCGGGCGACTGTTGTTCCTTTTTTTTTCTTTCCTGTTTCCTCAGATGAGTTTCAGAACGAATTTACGGGTGTTTTTTTGTCAGGTGGTGTCCCAACGAGGCCGTCAGCCAATCATCCTGCCCCACTTGTAAGCAGTTAACTGTCAGTCGATTGATCCGTGCTCCACCAATAATCCGGGCGCCAGCGTAGCCGTCAGCGAGGACGGTTTGTCTAGAACTCCAGACAAAACGGGCCCAAAAAGTATTACTACGTCAGTGGGAATTGGTATGACGTAGTTAGTTTTCCAGATTTTCAGTTTCGGTGTTTTGTTTCTCAATTGACTGAGTCAACTACATTAAACATGTTTTGGTTGAATGGGATCTCCGGAATTAGTAGGGTGGGAATTACCCTTTTGTGTCCTTTAGTCGTTTCCCGTTCACGTGCCTTGTACTGCACACGGGCGGGTAGTTGTGCGAGTAAATAATCTGGTAATTGAAATGAATACGTCATTGGGTTTATGAATTTTTGTGAACTCCCATTTTGTGAATGGGAGTTTCCATCTTAATGATATCATAAGATAAATCGATGGATTTAGAAATATTACCGGACTAAGAAATGTTTACAAACAAGTATAAGATTATCCAAACAGGAGACAGTGTACCTTTACTATTGTAGTGGGCGAGTGAATGGAGTCTGATGGGGAGATCAATTGCACTTGCCTGGAGTATCACGCTGCCCACCGCATCACCCGGTATTGTTGATGGGTTTACAATTGTCAATTGATAATTGGGAGGAGTCGTAAGCTGGTGAAAATGGCTGAAAATTGCAACCGGTGGAAAAAAAATATTGCGAGCGATAAGGGGAAACGCGGACCAAAGCACAAACAAGAGCGAAAAGTGAGTGGGAAAAAATATGCCTTCAGCCAGATTCGAACTGACGATCTCCTCATTACTAGTGAGGTGCCTTACCAACTTGGCCATAAAGGCGTAATTTACGTTTAGTGGAAAGTACTGCATTTCCGAGTTCGTGATATATTAAGCTTAATTTAAAATTTTGGCTTAAGCTTTTTTCGCTTATTCAGGCTGTTATAGCTTTGTCTGGGTGTTAATTTCTGTGATTTACTCCCTATTAGCTACGTGGGTATTTAAGTATTTTGAAATGTTTTTAATTTTGCACTCAAAACGCATGTTTTGACTGTCTCGTATGAGCAGCCTGGTTTTCACCTGGTTTGAGCGGGAAAACAGCTGCACAGACCAAGTTCTGTCAATTCTGGGCCTGACTGTTCTGTACATGCTGGGTCTGACTTATTCCGGTGTCAATCTCTCTCAACTCCACACCCGAAGACAGGCAAGTTCTACCACCAACCGGTCTCTCGTCACATAGCAAATTCTGCTGTATTCGGGTTCAACTAAGAAGTTACTCTGGAATTCACTCCATCTCTCTGACTCAATATCAAATCAAGTAATAATACACGTACATAATGGAAATCTAAATACATTCGGTTGCATATTTCATATCTGACTTCGTTATATATTGATTGTATGAGTTACTTTAAGTTATGTGTTTGGCTAATATCTCATCTGCTTGTTATGGTTGTCTGTATTGGACGTTGTGCCCATTAATATACATATGTGATGGTATTTACTGGCACAACTCTATAGCCAGGCTTATATGGATTGTCCTGTTGCCCACAGAAATATATTCTGTTCAACGTTGGAAAAGACTGTCTAGATATCGATCGGCTGCAAATGTTCGCACCTTAAAACTTACACTTCACTTCAATTAACTATAGCTTTATTTGATTAACTTTCAGGAAACCTGTGCTCCACAACGCTTTCTGAACCAAGCTATAGGCTTTTTAATCGGTTGAGTTTTGTGTTTCTACTGGGCACTTTATATGCTTTTCTGTCTTCTCTTTATGATTTTGTAGGTTAGTGATCTACAACTTGTCCGTGAAAAACTGTTTTTGCCTTATACATTGATTCTATGAAAAAATTGGCATACTGGAGCTGAAGCTAATACACTTGTTTTTTATGTCTAATACGTTGACTGTTAATTTAAGGGACTTCATCAAATGTAGTCATTAGATGAAACGATAATTTTCACAAATAAGTATGCCAGTGCTTCAATCACACCCATCAATAGACAGACCTTTAAATCAGGCGTTCATTTTAACTACTACTGTTCGGGGGATTGAATCGTATAAGTTCAATTAAAAAAATGATTTTAGGTGAACATTATTCTGTGAATGACCGGTTTTCCCTTCTTATACATTTATTCAGAATATTTGCATAATTTTGCAAAAATCCATATAGTCTTGTTGACTAATCAAATGATAGAGTATTTCATAGTTTGTAACTTATACCGCAGCCACTACAACGTACGAATGTAATACACATGTTATTATTAATGATACAGAACCTAAATTATCATATAATTATTTTTTTTTATTAAAAGATGAAACATTATATACTCTTTATAAATACAATCAAATGTAACCAATTCTGTTGGCAACATCTAAAGCATCGTGGTCAGCGGTTAATCTGATGTAAGCTTTTTTGGTACCGTTTGGTCTGACTAAAGTATTAACGTATTCAACATCAACATCGTATAATTCTTTGACGGCAGATTTGATTTGATGTTTGTTAGCTTTTAAGTCAACTTGGAAAACTAAAATGTTACCATCTTCAACTTTTTTAATAGCAGTTTCAGTGGCGATTGGAGAAACAATAATTTTGTAAGCATCTAATCTAGTATAGTGAGGAACTGAAGTTCTAGCGTATTTTGGGGATCTAGCTAATTTTAAAGTTTTTGGTAAGTGGAAAGTAGTATCGGTTCTAACTTTTAAAGCCTTTTTGGCGTTAGTACCTTTGAGGACTGATTTTTTAGCATTAGTAGCTTTAGCTATAAAAATGTTAGTATATTGAAAATAACGATAAAAACAAATAAATGCGATCCCATCCAACTCATATCATTCATCAAACATCATCTTCTCATACTGGATGACTTTTAAATAGATAATTTGGGTACTTTCTTAACATTTCATAACTCATTCAATATCCCATTAAAGGGTCACTTCTGGCAGTTGGTTAAACGGAATATATCAAACTCTCTTCATATATCAAGGATTCACATTCATAAGGTATGGGTAATGCTCTACGTACAGTTTGGAGCCATCTTGTCTTTGGTTAATATTGATCCTAAGGGTAGAAATAGAAGATGAAAAATTTCCAATTTTTTTTTAACTAAAGTTTTTTTCTTAATTTTTTCCTGAGGGAGTGAGAAGTCTTCGCCATACAAAACAAAACAGCGAAGAGGAACTTTTTGTTGGTGCGGGAAGTATGGTACTGTATACTGCGCGCACGTGCGCCGAGTGCCCAGCGCGAGGGCTTGAGCCCTAATGAACCTTGACCTCCAACCAGATATACAGAGAAGAAGAATACACAACAGAAAGATAGAATAAACGATTTATTATATATACAAGATTATAAACGACGTTGAGATTTTGGACGATCCCCACCGAATTTCAAGGAAGTAGCATCAATTAATCTAACCACATGAGGTTGTATATTGGAACCTTCTTTACCAGTTAAAGCAGATAAAAAAATATCTCTACCTTGACCGAAATTTTTCAAAATGACTTCAATTTTATCATTATGATTTAAGAGATTACGATCTTCAATCATTTTGAAAAAACGATAACTTACTTGGTAAGCAGCTTCCAGTTCTGATCTTTGGGCTTTTCTAAAACCCAATTTCCCGGCACTCAAAGTAAATTCAGTATGATGAGGTAAGTTAAGATAGTATAAGACTTTTTCATTATAAGATAAATCGGTGTTCTTTTCCAAGAAGTTCAAATCTTCTTTCACCGAGACCAAAGTCAATAAAGTGTTGTGTTTGGTGAAAGTACCGTAAATCTTCCATAAAACAGTTTGTTCATTTTTTTGATTAATATTTGATGTTGTTTGACTTGGATCAATGATATTACGGAGCTCGGAAGTCTGGCTTCTTGCAATGGCCTGATTAACCGGACTGGAATGCAAATGGCGTCTGGGTATACTCAGTATCCCTCCGCACTGTATACGTGGTAATCCTAATCTAAACATGATGAGTTAATGGTTGATATCTGGCTATTTTCAAAAAAATATCATTTTTATTCCTCTTTCGCGTACACCAATACAGGGTGCCCTCTACTATACCCCTACATGTACCCGTATATATGTATATCCACCTCCACCTCCACCTTAATCTCCATTCTTCTACATGTATACATCCATTTACACATATATATACACATATATATACATATACACATATATATACATATACACATACAAATACATTGGTATCTGTATCTGTATCTGTATTTGGGTACGTATCCACCCGTGCACCAACACACCCAACCCTTGCGGACCAATTACTTAAACGAAGCTAAGCGACCCTCCCGTCACAGATACCCGGGTAATACTCGAGTCAAACCATAGCCGTAGACAAGCAAGCCATCATCACCCGAAGATGGCCTCTGGCCTGTAGACCGTGCTGATCAAATACCAGCCAAGTAGGAATGGTGGGTTCGGTTGATTAAATGAGTGTGAGTCTCTGAGTTTTTTTGCTCAAAAAAAATCGTGGAATTCCATTTTCTTACTACAAATCAAAAAAATCAAACCTTCTTGATACAGTGTTCACTAATTTGATTGATTCTACATTAGTTACACTAGGAATACACCAACCACTGAACCCATTGTCAATTCATCATCATTCATTTAGGTCTAATTCTTCCCTTTTCCTTGAGTTGTTTCTGTTGTTGTTGGTCTTTTTTTTTCTTTCTTATTGATTTGTTTTTTTTTAGTACGTTTTTCTTCCTTTTGGAGCCAGTGTTTTCCCAGATACTCAATTGATCAATTGACTTGATAATAATTGAAATTAGTAGTAAGAATAGTTAACAATGCCTCAAAATAATCATTCTGATGAATATACCTTGGATCAGGTGATAAATAACTTATCGGGGACATCCAATCGAATGACAGTTACCGAATACAATAAAATTGGTGAAGGAGCATTCGGTACAGTTGTGGAAGCGGTATTGAACTATACCGATCCACCAAATAACACTGAAGAAACCCATGGACCATTTGCCATTAAACGAGTACCTGCACAAACCGAATATAAATCAAGAGAATTAGAAATCTTGAGAGTAGTTAATCATCCAAATATTGTTAGTTTAAGATTTTTTTTCGATAAAAAATCATCAATTGATGGTAAAATTTATCAAAATTTAGTTATGGAATGTTTACCTTCAAATTTACAAAGTGAAATTAAATATTATAGACAACTGAAATATACTATACCTTATCCTCATATGAAGGCTTATACTTTCCAACTTACTAGAGCAATGTTATATCTACATGGTTTTGGTATATCTCATCGTGATATTAAGCCTTCAAATATCTTGGTTGATCCTTCTTCAGTTACTCTTAAAATATGTGATTTTGGTAGTGCCAAAAAATTAGAACCAAATCAATCAAGTGTTAGTTATATATGTTCTAGATATTATCGTGCTCCAGAATTGATTGTGGGATGTCCAATCTACACTACTAAAATCGATATTTGGGGTCTTGGTTGTGTAATTGCTGAAATGTTTTTAGGTAAACCTATTTTCCAAGGTCAATCTCCTGAATTACAATTGAAAGAGATTTCAAAATTATTGGGCCCTCCTCCCAAAACTTTTTATTTTAAATCAAATCCTCAATATCGTGGTAATATGTATCAAAATAAATTATTCAGTTGTTCTGTTGAAGATCGTTTTAAACAAATTTTTAGTAACTCTCCTCCCGATGCAATTGATTTATTATTGAAAATTTTGGTTTATGATCCTGATTTTAGAGCAAGTCCAAGATCGGTTTTGGTTCATCCTTTCTTTTATGAATTGAAGAAAGAAAACTTCAAAGTTTACCCAAGAGGTGCTTCTGAACCAATTAGCCTTAATTTATTCAACTTTAGTAAATACGAATTAGAATTACTAGGTCCTTTAAAAGATGAATTGTTAAAATCCTCAGAATAATCTTACTTGGTTCTTTCATTTCCTTCGTCACGATATCTTTTCACGTCATTATATTTATCATTTCATCTTATCACCTCTTCTTCCTCCTACGCCTTCCCCCCCTTTTTTTTGTTGTTGTTTGCTTCTTTTCTCTTTATTATATGACTATTGTGAATCTCAGCGTTTAATTGTCCTATAGAGTTATCTGCAAATTCCTAATATGAAAATTCAAATTAATTAGTATTACCTTTAGTTCACTTCTGGGAAGTAACCGCTGATTTTCATCTTCTTTTTCTAATTACCTTTCTTATTTGCGTCTACATTTTTGTATAGTTTTTAAACTTCTTAATAATGATAAAATTTAATTTTTTATATTCATGTATTCGTAGAAACTGTTTTTCCTGAAACAATTTATAAAGCTAAACTATAACTATATTCATCTTCAATGTTCTGTGATAACCATAATATAATACAACTCAACATAATACTACCATTACAAACAATATTTGAAACCCCCATTCCCAAAGTTGGAAATGAATAATGTTTCAATAAAAATTTTAATATAAAAACCATAAATGATCCTGCTAATCCTCCTGCTAATAATGCAAATCCAAAGAATAATATAACCCTGGCAGCCCATGCATTAGTATTACCACCATTACCTAAAAATGAATTATTATTTTCACTGAATAAATTGGATTTCTCAATCGAATTCACAATTAACATCCCCAAAGTTGAACAGATGAATGGTATCCAATCAACAAAAGTTACATGGACTATCGATGCATTAACCGTCTTGCTGTAAATGGCTGCATCAATCATTGACCAAAATCCAATAGCGTATAACCCTCCTGATAAATAAACCCCAAAAGATCTCAATTTTTGCGATTTTGGTAATTTGAAAAGTGATGCATTGAATCTGAATAAGTGATTAGGTTGATCCATCTTGTTTCCCAATGAATTGATCAAAGAATTGGTCTAAGGTCTAAGTTATATACTTCTAATAAAATGTATTGATAACTTTTCTCCTCCCTTTCGACTACTTTTTTTTTTAAAGCTGTTTTCTTTCTACAATAGGTGCACGGGTGCGACTTTATATATATTTATCGTGGGGAATCAGGTAGACTTTCAGATTCAGTGCTTTTAACGTATTTTGAATTGAGTTGGTAGACTTTCAACTCTCCAGAGAGATCACAGCTTATAAGGAGCTCCCCCTGGGCCCAGGTATCGAGATCGAGAATAGGGCAGTGGTTTTCAATTTGACAGACAATTTTTTTGGTCTGAACGTCCCAAAACAATAAGCCATTGGAGTCACTTCCAGAAACAATTAGAATAGGATTGATTTTAGTTAAGAATCGACTGCTGGATCCATATTTCTCACTAACTGAACTGACACCGTCAATCCCCGAGTAAGTCTTGATTACTTTATTGTCCATATAATCCCATAATCGTATTTTTCCATCTAGACTTGAACTTAATATATACTTACCATTAGGACTGATTTCAACATTTGATATAGGAAAATTGACAACATCGTTTGTAGAAGCAGTAGCTGTACCATGGCTTGCACTATTATATACTAATGTTTTGAGACACTGACCCAGTTCCAAATCAAATAGTCTCATTAACCCGTCGTACGATGCACTTATGATGATGGTATTATCAGGAGTTAGTCCTATTGAGCTGACTGGATCTGAATGTGCCGCTAATGTCTTAAGACTTCTTCCTGAACTCAAATCCCATATGGTGACTGTTTCATCTGCTGACCCACTAATTAAGATATTTCCTTTCAGGATAAACTTTATCGTGGTCACATGGTATGTATGTTTCTTAAGTATCTTTATACATTTCCCCTTATTGATAGACCAAAGTCGTATCGTCATATCATCTGAACACGATGCAATTATGTTGGGATTGATTGGTGAAAATGCTATATCTGATATACCTTTGGTATGCCCCCGTAACTCACTAACTTTCTCTCCAGTATCAGTCGAGTATATCTTAATTGTAGAATCCGATGAGCAAGTGGCAAACTTGGTTCCGTCCGGTGATATTTCAACGGCATTGAATGATTCTTTAGTATCATTCTTCACCGTGAACTTCAATGTATACAAGTCTGTAAATGCCCCGTCTATAGCCCCGTGGCCATTTCTTTGACTTTCTACCTCTCCGTTCAGACCACCTCCATTCTCTGCAAGCTTCGGTTTCTTAGCAGCTGGTTCTTCCATTTTATCAAGAGTCTAAAGTACTTTGAAGTCTTAAGATTTTCATTCAAATTTGTTTTTTTTTGTTTTTTTTTCAGCTTTGTTGAGTGCACACAAAATCTTGAAATACTGCAAAAAACATCGACATGTTATACTCTTAAGATAGTGATGCTGCAGAGGAAAGACTGATAATGATAAATAGGTGTTTTTCGGGTATTATGGGCACAGGAGGCAACTGATTGTCGAATAACTCCAGCTTTTCAATAAATATGTCATTTTGAACTACAAAATTCTGAAAAATTACATCAAGTTTGATTATATACTTGTATTAAACCAGAAAGTAATCTAAGAATTAACAGCCATTTTATCGATCCAAGAAGCAAACAAACTGTTTTCGACCTCATCAAATTGTGTGAATGACCGGGACAGTGCTGATCTTTGTCTATTTGCAGGTTGCACGTATAAACCTGAAGCGTTATCAGTAATGCTAAACGTGGAAGGTATAATCATTTTTTGTAATGAGGCCTTAACCTGTTCGGTATCATGGTGATTTTCAGTATTTTGAGGGGAATTGGATTTGGTCAATTCTTTCAAGAAATACTTGAAGTACTGGCAAATAAGTATTTTAGTATTATTATAATTGGCATCACTTGTTTGAACAAATGTAGCTAGGTTCAATATTCTATCGTTGAGAGAAACAAGAGAGTCATATTGTTCAGTAGAAAGACTGCTTTTCAATTCCAATCTATGAAATACTTTATTAAGAATTTTGTTGAGTTCCTGTCGAATATTTCTCTGAAATACGTCTTGTTTGATATTGGATTTATATCCCGGTAACCCATTGAAGTTACTAGGCTCATGAGGCTTATTGTTAGGGGATAGAGATGACTCTCTGGTTGACTTTGAGGTTGAAATTGGACTTGTAAACGCTTTTATTCCGGGATTTTCAGTTCCTCCACTGGCAGTACTTGCACTTGATCCCTCATTAGGACTCTGGATTGATTCGAGATTTATTGAGCTTATATCAAATTGAATTGTCTTATCACGGTCAGAGTTGCCATCATTTTTCCATTTCTTTTGATTAGCAATCATTTCAGTTGCCATATAGAACTTTTGGGTTTTCAATACATGATTTTCCTGATCCCATAACTGCTTTCTTGTTATCAACTGCTTCAAGGGCTTCCTAACGAGTGGGTCATTCGGCTTGGTATTATATTTAGTAATGAACTTATGCTTTAATAATTTTGTAGACGAATATCTTTCCTTTGGATCAACCAAAAAACACTTATGCAAAAAATCTTTGAACTCTTCCGATATGTCTAGTTCATCAAGTCCAATCAATGTGGTGAAATCATCGTCATGTAAGCATCGAGATATTTGTCTCAATGCTTTCATGGGTGCAAACTGATTTTGTAAAGGTGGTTTACCATTAAATAACTCATACGCACAACATCCCAACGACCAGATATCTGCTTTATAACTATGTCCTCCCTTATTATTCAAAATGACTTCAGGCGCCATCCAGTACGGCGTCCCCACCGTTGTATTTCTTCTAGAGAAATTTGATGATAATTGGGTGGATACCCCGAAATCAGTTAATTTTACTTCACCTCGGTTATTAAGTAAAATATTCTGAGATTTCAAATCTCGATGTATCTTCCCCTGATTATGCAAATACTCAAGAGCTATGAGAATCTCTTTCACTATCAACAGAATCACATTCTCGTCACTAATCGACCCGGGCTTTAATAACTCGAATAACGACCCCCCATTGACGTACTCCATAATAACCCATAACTTGAAATGCCTTACAAAACACCCCAAATACTTAGTTATTTGTGGTAATCGGCATTCGGATATTATCAGAATCTCTTTATTCACTTCAAACAAATCTGTTTGATCATTTTCTAAATCAATTTGTTTAATAGCTACTTCTTCATTATTGGCCTTAATCAATCCTCTATAAACAACCCCGAATCCTCCTCTGCCTACTTCTTCACACACTTCAAGCTCTTCTGCTGATTGGACCACCATGTTAGGCTCGTTCCTTATACTATTTCTTTTCCTCAAGTAACAAGGTTGTAGCTTCCTTTGGTTTTTCTATCAAAAATCCCAATACTGAATCATAATTAAATGTAAATAAAAACAAAACGCTTTTTTTTATTGTTTATTCCGCATTGTATGCTTCTACATAGAAAAAAAAAAAAAAAAAATAGAATCTGAAAGAATCAACTAGTTTACATCGTCATTTGATCCAAGATTGATGGTATATTCGAGTCGGTTATACTGCCAGATACCTCGTGCGGCCCGGGGGATTACCTTTTCTGCCCAAGCTTATCGTCCAAGCTGGTCTTGGTGCAGGTCAGGTGTAAGATCTTTGAGGACCAGTACAAAATTACAAGATGAAGGTGAATTATTCAAGGACGTACTACTTTCGAAAACACTAACGGCAAACAAGCTAATCCAGGATAATGAGTACATTCGATGTACCATATTTGATAAGAAGGGAGACATAACAATGCAAAATAAAGACTTGAAACGTCAGGAATTCATGAAAAAGTATGGTTTGGCAGCTCGAGATTTTCGTAAGATATCTCGTCATCACCATAATCTTAACTCAGGTCCAGCTAGTTCTAGCTCTACAATCAATGTGGACATTGTTCCTTCGATAGTGACTAGAAATGACTTGATTCTTTTGAATTTATTGAACATTCGTGCATTGATTAAGCATGATACTGTGGTAATCTTTGATACTTATTCGTCATCATCTGCATCTAGATTCAATGAATCTCATAGCCATGGAATTTTTCTAAAACAACTTCAACAACGATTGAGGTCGTCTTATGAGTCGTTGCCTTTCGAATTCAAAGTATTAGAGGCTATCTTAGTAAATGTAATTGGTAACTTGAATACCGAATTGAAGGTTCATAAAACAGTTCTTCATAATATCTTGGTTGGTTTGGAAAAATCAATCGAGAGAACTAAGCTTAGATACTTGCTTATTCAATCTAAGAAAGTTACTCAGTTTCATCAAAAGGCTTCTTTAATTAGAGATTTATTAGCTGATCTAATCGAACAAGATGATGAATTAAATGCATTATATTTGACAGACATCAATAACAATTTACCAAGATCTCTAACAAACCACGAGGAGGTCGAGCTATTGCTCGAATCGTATCTAAAAACTAGTGATGAAATCGTTCAAACTCTCGAAAGTTTGAAATCTCAAATTAAAACCAGTGAAGAAATTATCAATATTGTTTTAGATACAAATCGTAACGAACTCATGGTTCTTGGTTTAAAATTCTCAATCGGTTTATTATCGATGGGTATTACAATGTATATAGCTGCCTTATACGGTATGAACTTGGAAAATTTTATAGAAGAGTCTGACGGAGGCATGGAATTAGTGGTTGTTGTTGGGATGATTTCAATGGTTGTTTTATTTATATTCAGCTATAAACAATTGCAAAGATTACAGAAAATAACCATGTCGGGAGTTGGAAGAGAAGATCTTCGTAAACAAATAAGAATGAAACGGTAGAAGAACCTACATGCTGTTCAGTTTTTTTATACCCAATAATTTAATGATTGATGATTTATATAAAAATACAAATAAATATCTCTATTCTTCAAACTGAATATCGATATTTGGGGTTAAAAATGTAGATCCACTGCTTCTTTTACGATCATCCACAGGAGTGGATGAATCCCTAGATTTCTTCACCTTTATTTCACCCCCGTTGAATCCATTACCATGTTCTGAAGACGTATGCCTTGGTGAACTACATGGGGATGGCCTAGGGGTTGTACCCGTTCTAAAGGGACGCAATGAAAAATTCTCTCCGCTCACTGGTCGAGGACTTTTTGGAATTACTCCATTCACAAGAGGCCGGCCTGGTGTATTATCACTGCCATTTCTGCTCGGAGTCTGTGGGGCAGCTTGTTGGTTTTGGTTGCTTTGAGATGCTCCCGTTGCTGGTAGTTTCTTTTGTATACCTAAATTGTTTTTTTCATTTTGTTTCTTTGATAAATAGTTTTTTTCATTAGTAACCAAGTTTTCTAAAAGTTTAGCTCTAACTTTGATATCTAACAAATCAAATAATATATCGTTGTAGACAGATATGGGTGGTTTAAAACCGGACGAGTTTTTAACAGCCGAAGGTCTGAATATCAAATGAATAAATGGAACCGAACCTATTTGATCCATGGAGTTAAGTTGAGCCACTACATCCAGTAAAGTATCTGGATTCAGCTCAAGTTCTTGAGAAATCTCATCCGATTCACCGTAATTAGGAAGAACACCTAATCCAAAGACTTTACTTATGTGTTCAAGAATAAAAATAAGAGAGCTCAAATTACTTCTTGGAATTGAAGAAAGTAGCCTAATACCTTCTGTTCTTCTACTTTCCGTATTGGAAGACTTCCCATCAGACTCATTTCCATAATTACTCACCAACGAATCGTAGATCATACAAGGAAGGAGAGAATCACTTATTTCAAGTAACCAATTTTTGAAAAAATTGACGACATCAGAAACATGCTTGGATTTGAATAAAAGATTTACCTCACTTAAAATATCACGATGAAGCAAAATCTCTTTTGACACCTCTAGTGTTTCATCTTTAGGAATGAAGCTGTTGATAATCTCAATTAGCTCTTCTTTCAAAAGCCAATACGCTTGATGGTTTATAGGTCCCAACCAATGCACTGAAAGTTCTTTCATAGAAGCTTCACTTGCTTCAATCAAATTAAGTGATTGATATATTATTTGCGGTATTGATGAAATACTTAATATTTCTGACTTACCTTCGCCTTGACTTGGTTGAAGAGATATGTCTTTGTATAAGTTAAACTGGAACTTAATATTTTGAAAGTTATTATTCGATTGATTTGTACTATAATGTTTCTTGGTTAAAACGTCTGGTGCAACAATGGAGGGGAAATAAATACCAGTACTGAAATGATTCAATAAGTCATTAAAATCTTTTTCATAATGTTCGGGTTTATTAACATCTTTAATCAATTCGGTAGCCAATTTATGCATCCGGGATGTCGAACTTAAGGAAAAGCTATACATGATTTCCAGAAGTTTCGTTAAAGTTTGATAGACAACTTCGATTCTAGATTTTTCAAACCCTTCGATGATATGAGATTTAGAAAAAATGTCCAATTCAAGAAAATGTTTTATTTCTTGAAGCTCTAAATACATCAGGTTGTATTGATCTTCAAGATCGAGTAACTGAGAGCTGTAATCGTTTTTCATCAAAGAAGATTTAACGGATCTGAACATTCCATTGAATCTTTTACTTGTATCGTTAACGAATTTTGTTGCCTGTTCGTCCAAAACAATTTTCGATAATCTTTGAGAAGGCAGTTTAATTTGGGGAGTTGTTTGACTTCTTGCTGGCAGCTGAGGAGCTTGACCAGGATTACTAGATTTGTATTCAGCAACAAAATAGGCTAAATCAGACCATTCGAACCACATATTTTCACTGTTGAACTTTTTAGCGAAAAATCCTGTTCCAACTAAAAGCTTCAAATCGATTAAACCTTGACCGAATTTTTCCATATTTCTACGAGAAGGATCCATACCAAATGGTCTATATCTAATTAGCCATTCACATAATTGATTACTACTGAAAATTTGATTTTTATAACCTGGAATTGGTATTTTCCTTCTTATGGTAGAAATAGAGTCTATTAGTTTTTTCAAAAGTTTTGTAAAGTCTGCAGGGTCGTCAATTTCCACAGCACCGCCGATCAGTATAGGAAAATCGAACTCGGATTCTAGGGTGGATTCTGGAGATGGCGACGTTGACGATATAACAGTTTCACGTTCTTCCTCAGTTAAACTGTTATTAGATTCATCTTGGAATGAGTCATCAGCCTGAGTAATCTCAGTCTCTTCTATTTTGTTAGGATCACTTACGGAAATTTCGTTTAACCGGAGTGTTTCATCGTATTTCAATCTGAGATTTTCAACTACGTTATAAGTCTCTTCATAATCCTGAAATCTTTGACTGAGATCTCTCAAATGTTTCTTTATTTGGGGCTCATTTATCTTAAGGAATGCAGTGAGTGGCTCCAATATTTCTTTATCAAGAACTGATGCTAAGTTAATGGAAATTTGTGATTCCTGGGAAGCCCCTCTCACATGAAGTCCATAAGCATAATACATGTTAATATCTGGTTTTTCTGGTTCCGATATTTCAGTATCGTCATTTGAATTTCTATATTCATCAGAAGCTTTCGATCTTGGAGTACTGGGAGTGCTTGGAATCGATTGAATGTTCCTGTAATGTTGTTCAGCCAGCGAAATCGATCTAGTGGGTGTTATAGAGGCTCCATTCAACGATGCACTTATTCTCTTCAAAACAGCACTCTGTCTTTTCGGTGTTGACAACCCATCACCACCATTTTCATTTTCAACCGGGTCTCTAAACCCACTCTCTAGCGAATAGGCATCAATGGCAAGTTTCGTAAGATATTCACTATTCGAATGGTGATAGTTCATATAACTAAACACCAACTTGCGTACCTCATGAAGCTGCTTCAAAGACCTCAAACTCTGATCAGATAACTTTTCTATCCCCGACTTGTAGTCAGCAGACCAATAAACATTTGGGAACTGAGAGGTCATCGTTCTATTCGAAAACCAATCCGAATATGGGGTAATGCTCTTTATATTAGTTGAATCAAATCAATTCAAATCAATGGGGTTGACTTTAAAGAGCAAGTGTCACTTCAGACGATTTCTTATATCAAAATCTGTTGATGATTCAATCTGTCCTCTTCTTGTGCTCTGTTGTAGTTGTTGACTATTTTTAATTAGGAACGGTTTTTTTTTTTTTTTTTTGTTTCCTCTCAGTTTTTTTTTTTCGTTTTGTTAGTCTTTCATTTAAGCTCTAAACTTTGTTCATTCCTCAAAACGTAAACAAAACAACACGAAGCACGAAGCACTGCGAGTTACTGGAGCCTAGCAACACGAGAGAGGTGCTTGAGTGAATATTGAAGGTACGATTAAAGGTGTGTAACTGAAGCAGATTTTGAGATTTTTGTTTCCAGGAAGCCAGGTTCAATGGAGGTTGCAACATTGGAAGCAGAGATTGCTGAAGTTTTGAAGGATATCAAATCTCTTCAGCAGGAGATTGACCCGTTAAATGAGCAGTACGAGACGTTGTGTGAGGAATTGAAGGTTGTTGAGGAGAGTATTGGCAAATCAGAGGTGAATAAAGTGATTCAGACTGAACATGCCGGGTCCAAAGCACATAATTACGACGATACTATTCCTCCATTAGTTCAACATAATCATTTTGATGATTCCATAGCTAAATTTTTCACTGAATCATTTCAAAACAATCCCAAGGAGCTTACGACACACGAGCCAACGAAGAAGAAACAGAAACTAAGTGAGTTCTCCTACAATTTACTTGAAAAATCAACCGAAACTGCTGAAATCAAAGAAAATATCTTATATGAGAATATCTTTAGGTTTGGTGGTGTAACTGCATTTCCTATAAATAACACATTGTTTAAAGACGATGACGAGATCTTAGGTATACGATTTGACGTATTTTCCCATTTTACTAAAAAGTTTCTGGCCCCTCATTATATAATACTTAAAAAATTGGAGAGTAATACCAAATCTGCTACTTCTGTTAGTAAAAAATGGTTTGTATATCGACACACCATTCCTGTTTATATTTCTTTAAAAGAATATGATCATTTCTTAGTCAATGAAGAAGATATAGATTTGGGATTAAGAAAATTTGTCTATTCGTTGAGAGATCATTTGATTCAAATTCAATATAAACACGATCAATTTGATGCATTGTCTCAGTTATCAATGGGCTCCATCAAAAATAATGATACCCAGGATCCAGTGTTTGCCAAAATTGATAAAGATCTTGAATGCAATCGTGTCATATTACATATTACCGATGAGAATAACCCAAAGCAGTTAACCCACGAAATAGAGCTCATGTGCACTAATAATATATGTCAATCTGTTACCGTAAGATTGACAGGAAATAAAAGTGATCAATTTGAAAGACAAATTAATTTGATCGAGAGTATATTAACAGACATAGAACTTAAAACTATAAAGAACAAAATGATAAAAGCCTTGAGCGTGATGGTCGATGAACTCATGATATGACAGCCAAATCCTTGTATAATTAGTGTATCAATATATGTTAGCAATGTGCGTAAAATACAATTTCTAGAACGTATAAAAACAGTAAAACGTTAGATTAAAACACAAATAAACTAAAAACGAATAATATAGAGTATAACAGGAGTCAAGAAAAAGAAAGAAGGGGCATGATATAAATAAAACATAATTGAACTTTTATTCTAGAATAATAAAACAGGTTAATTTTTTATTTTTTATTTTTTTTTTTTTTAAAAAAAATTGAAACGTTGAAAATATGCCAAAACAAGGCCCTTTACCAATCAATCAATCAATCAGGGGGAAAGTAAATGAGTCCATGCTTGCAGCTTTTAAATTTGGTTCAATTTTCTTAAAATGCATTACCGAATCCAGCACCAGTTGGTTGATAGCCTAACCCAGTACCAACAGGAGCAATACCACCAACAGGTCCATTGGTAATCATTAATGGTTGATTAATTGGGGTATCTTCGTCTTTCTTTTCTGCTTCTCTTCTTTTGATTAAATCGTCATGAACTTCTTTTAATTTCTTATGGTTTTCGTAAGTAACAGAAATTTCGTAAGGCTTGACAAAGTTACCCAAATCATGCAACCATGCTAATTCAACAACATAATCATATTCAATGAATTCATAAGCAGAATATAAGAGAGCAACGAAACATTCATGGTTACCAGTCTCAACGAAATAGTCCAATAACTCATGGGCAATCTTGGTAGATTTAGAGATGGCAGCAGTCTTAATTAAATCAGCCCATAATTTATCATTCTTCAAGATAGAAATAGCTTTATTGTATTTTTTATTCTTGGAGTATAAAGTGGCAGAAATTTGTCTGAAGAAAATTAATTCATGATTTTCTAATCTTTCAGCTAAATCTAATGAGTTAAATCTATTATTTGATTCATTGTCAATACTTGATCTTAAAGATTTATAATCTTCTTCTTCAATTAAAAGATCGTGATAAGCTCCGTTAACAACAGAGTTATTCTTTTCTAATACAGATATCAAGAATGGTTTGACTAATGGTAAGTTATCGGATTTGACAAAGATTCTAACAACTCTAGGTAAATCTAATCTTGGAGCCAAAACTGATAATAAATCGGTCAACAACGATGGATTTTCTGTCAAGTAGAAATTAATAGCTTTATAGTAAATTTCTAAGTTTGGACACTTAACAATAATCTCTTTGAAAGAGGAATGATCAAAAGCAACTTCGGATTTATCGATCATGGTCAAAGCAGCATTATCCCATTCTTCGTAATGACAGTACAAGAAAATCAATTCTGGATATAAGTGAGCTTCTTCGCAGGCAGTCAAAACTTTTGGAATATTGATTCTTGACCAGAATAATTTCAAGTGTTCCATGACTTTCTCAGGAGAGAATTTACTGTACAAGATGGCTAATTCAGTGAACATACCCATGTGTGCTCTTTCTAAACCTAAACCGCTTTCAAAAAGAGCAATTAATTCGTTGAAGTAACCATTGTGTTCATAAGTCTTAACCAATTCTGGCAATTCTTCGGCATCAACAATTAAGTTCAAACCACAGATTTGCGCTAATCTGAATTCTTTGTTTTCAATACAAGCGCTGTTAACTTGTTTCCAAACTTGAGTATTCGATGCTTTTCTAGCACAATCAACGGCTCCTTGATAATCTTTCAAATAAACCAAAGTAGTAGCCAACTTAGAGTACTTAGAAACATTAGAATACAAGATTCTAGCGGCTTTGTAGTTCTTGGATTCGAATAATTTATCACCAATGGCTTCCAAGTCAGCAACATTAGAGCCACCAACGAATTTTTCAATGTCGGATAATTTATCTAAATGAGCGTAACAGTTAATAAGAGCCCCATCAATAGCAGGTTCTCTTAAACTTTCTCTGGCCATATCCAAGAAAGGAATCAATTCTTCTTCTTTACCACCGTGTTCAGCAATTTCAATAACTTGTTCGAAATTTTCTGGGTTTTTGGATTTAACATAAGAATCGATTGCTTCTGGAATACGTAAACCATTTAATTGGGCGGTACCCAATTGATACCATAATTCAGAAGTATCGTATTTTTCTGCATATTGTTCACCTCTATCTAAAGACATGATGTCTTCAACCAAAACCTTCATTGCCTCAGATCTTAATTCAAACTTATCATAAACTTCAAAAGCTTCTTCATATAATTGGTTATCGATACATAATGGAGCAATTTCATGAGGGTCAAATTTGTCCAACTTTTCAATGTAACCAGAGACACGAGATGCATCAGCTTTAATGGCAGTAAGAATCAATAAGCCTTGTAAAGAAGTGTTATCATTGAATGGTGATGGTTCTAAGATAATTTTTTCTAACAATTCAATTAATTCTTGAGGCAAATCATTTTCCATGAAAGCTTTAACAGTGATTGAGATAGGTTCAGGGTCACTCAATTCAGGAATACCAGTAGAGATCACTTGATCAACTAATTGTCTTCTGTGAATATTATCTTCGTTCAAAACTTTGCCCCATAATTCAAAATCGGACTTGGATAATAAATATCTAGCTTGGTATTTATACATTTTGTTTTCATTGGTAATATTGATTAATTCATCATTATTACCACCTTTAGAGTAAGCAATATAAGCCAAGTAAGGATCTCTCTTTTCACAGTATTTACCAACAGATAAAGTATCATAATTATTGTTTTCTTGCAAAAATTTTTCAGGGCTATTGTTAGAATCAATGTAAATCTTAGCTAAAGTATTGAAAACTTCTTGATCAGTTGAGCCACCTTCTAAAGTCTTTTCTAAAAATGGTAATAAAATCTTCAATCTATTTCTCTTTTCAACTTCAGATACCAATTCTTTTATTGGAACTCTACCCAAGACAGATAATAATAAGTTCTTGATAATACTCTCATCACAATCAACGTCAAGTAAACCAGCAACGACTTGAGGAGTATTAGCGGAGTTAACTTGTTGAACATAAACTTCGATAAACTTGAAGTATTGGTTTTTGTACAAGTATAAAATCAAGTCGTGAACAAAGTTAAATCTGTCACAGACGATAATCAATGGCAATTGGTCTTCAAGTTTGAATTCTTTTAAGAAGTTCTTAACTTTTTCCCCGTTATAAACATTGTTATCTCTAACGACACGTTCAATTTCTTTGGCTTGGTTCATTTTAGCAGCACATTGAATATATTTGAAAACAACATCTGGTTCTTGGGTTAAATTGACAATTGAAGATAAATAGTAGTATTCACCTTCAATACATTTATAATCTTCAAAGATTTTGATTAAGGTTAATGGACCGATCAAATCTGAGTATTTAGTGGCAACTTGAATGACAACTTGTAAGTTTTGTTGCATATTTGTGCTTAATAACTCTTTCAAACAAGCAACAGATTGTTGAACGTTTAATTGACCAAAATAGGCAACCAACCAATCATTTGGTAAAACATTGGTGTGAATAATGACTCTTTTAATATCTTTCAAGTCATCATAATGTTCCAATGCTCTTTGGAATAATCCAGATTTTTCACATAATTTACCAATAGTTGGTTTATCATAATGGCTAAACATGTTGTTACCTAAAATAGCATCAGCAACTTGGGGAGCATGCAACAAGTTGATTTCCAAAACTTTAGTTTGTAAATGGCCTTCAGCAGGAGAATCATTTTTCAAAGCATCTAATAAGAAAGCAGTACCTTGTTGAATATAATTTTGAGAAAAGAATAAATCAGCAATGTTTTCAGTTTTCAAATTAGCATCTGGACTAGCTAATAAAGAGGTGGCAAATTCACTAGCTTTATCTGGATTGACTCTAACCAAGTTTTGGATTAAGTTGGTGTAATCAGGTTGGTAACCAACTTTTTGACAATATGGTAAGATTTTGTCAAATTGACCCAATTCAGCAAGACAGGAAACAACTTTGATATTAACATTAGCATTAACATAAACTGCTAAAGCTAAAGCAGGATCATTATAAGATTTAACAATATCACCCAATTCTTCTGAAGAAGTCAATTTGTTTTCTTTCAACCATTTTTCGAATAAAGGTTTACGATCTTGTTGTAAGACTGGTTTTGCCAATTCAATAGATTCATATTTGTTCAAAGTACCTCTATCTAATAAAGTTGAGAAATATTGTAAGATTGGTGAAATTTGACCTGGTTGAGGGGTGATATGTTTTAATTTGTTGATTGTATCTTGAGTACGTAATTGTTCAGAAGAGGCAGCAACTTTAGCAGCATTAGTATAATCACCTTGATTCAAATAATTTTGGAATTGTTGATTAAATAAATTCTCAGCACCCGGGAACCCACCACGAGAAGAGAGAGAAAGAGCTAAAGGAACGTCAGCCAATTTTTCCAAAACATAAGGGATAATTTTATCTTGAGCAATTTCTACACTCAAGACTTGACCAGCTTTATTAATAGTGATAATACCGGTACCTTCATTATAAGCGGCCGCGGTGAAAACTGGATCGGCAGTGATTCTATTGACAAACAAATTAGAACCAGTTTCAATATCATATAAATGAATAAACCCATATTTAGTTAAGATATAGATGATACCATATTTATCTGAGGCTTGTAAACTTATTGGGAAATCATTAGCAGCATCAGGAGGGAAGAAAATATCAACTGATTTTTTAGGGAAAGGAGGATTACCATCAACATGATCAATTTCAATAATGTGTAAATTACCTTGACCTTGAGCATTTTTATTACCAACACAGAAAACTTTGGTTGGGTGTAAAGCACCATTTAATTTTATGGAAGCAAATTTAGAAACATGACCTTCAATAGCTTGAGAAACGTTACGACTTTTAGAATACAATTGAATATGACCAGCAATACGACCATCTTCTTGAGCAATACCAGTAACAGCAAACCAATTTAAATCAGGTTCAGCAACAAAATTTATAATTTGGGCATTATTTAAAGAAGCATGAGTATCAGTTAACTTAGAAGGACCTTGATTACTACCATCAAAGACCGACCAAGTATAAATAGCATTAGCGGTGATTAAACCCAAGACTTCTTCATTCAACCATTTCCAATAGACAACTGGTTGATCTAAAGTAAAAGACTTTAATCTTTGTTTGGTAGCCAAATTGAAAATTTGTAAAGTAGTACCATTAGCTCTCAAGGAAATTACAAATTGAGAAGGATGTAAAATGGCACTATCAGCACTCATATTCTTTCTGGTAACTTCGTTATTATTCTTTAAGTTGACAATGGCAACGGTATTACCGGAAGCTCCCAGTTCTCTAATACAAACATAATGATCTGATTCTAAAGTTGTTGATCTAAAATCCAAGGAATTGGGTTGAATGCCCAACTCGGTCAATTGGGCTAGTTGGGTGAAATTTATAGGAATATCACTCATATTTTTAAATTTTCTTCAATCGTAAAACTTTCTTCAAACTAATGTTAACCTATTCAAGGTAATGTAGTAGTAATTTTATTTTATTTTTCTTTTTTTCAACAGGAAAAATCAGGGGAAACAAAAGACAAAAACTACAAAACAAAAACAATTGGAAACTTAAAGAGTGCAGGATAGTGGAATAACGTTTATGGGGATGATTATTTAATGTCTAAGGAATTGATTGATTGATTGATTGAATGTGGATTTTTCAATTGTTGAAGAAAGAGGTTAGATCTATTCAACTTTTTGGTAACAGCGGGTGTTGAGTACTTTTTCCTCACTAAAAACTTAAATCACTGTGTTGTCCACGCTGGCTTTCCAATCAAAGGGTCACTGATTGCTGGTACTGTATATTGGCGGTGATTACGTAACATCCCCTCCGTACACCCAGCCAATACACCAAGTTACCGTTTTTCTACAAATAGTTGCAAAACTATGGTTCCGACAATTGTCTATAATTATTATGCTATATTGGAGGACGAACCGAGTCTAGGACGTCTTCTACAAGTAAGTTCAGAAACCCCACCGAGCTGGATTCGTCTTGAAGCGACCGGTATTTTTCAAGATACTTTTTCACATAGTGATATTCACTGGCATACCAGTCGCCAGTTAAAACGTTAATTTCTAATTTTTTCAAAGCTTCAGTGGGTTCATCCGGAGCTGGGTCATTGAAGAGTTTATTAGTTTCCCAGTCGACCAACCAGTAGCCGATTTTTCTATAAGCAACTTTACAGAATTCCGGAGTGACAAATAATCTAGGAGGATCCAGTTTTGTCAAGTATTGTTGCCACAATACTAGACACTTGGCCAAGGTCTCGATGGAGTCTATTGTGCCCGTTGGCACCCGGGTCTCGATGGGGGCCAACAGACATAGTCGATGAGTCCTGGTGAATATAACTAATGAATAGACGTATCTTTGTATATCAGGAGATGCAAACACCTGTCTCATCATAGAACGGAGTTTATAGATGGTCTCTAGGTACGACTCGTGTTCTGTCGTTAGCGGAGGATGGAAGTCCAACTGGGAAAACCAAAAATGCTGTTTCAAGTATTGATCAAATTTCCGCCTGGTATTACCAATAGTTACTATTGGTATTATGCAAAATAAGGAAGGTTTGTGGATAGGCCCCAACCCTGAAACCCTGATGAAATCGTTGCGCTTCAAGCGGGACTCGACGGTATCGAATTCATTAATTTCGTCGAGCAATCTATTCAATCGATGCCGTTGAAACTCTGCCGGTACAAACTCTAAGTTCTTCCAGATCAGAATCGTCTTGAGTCGATAGGTGCCATCTTCTTGTTTAACAAGCATCTCCCGGGCTATATTCTGAATGGCCACCTCCTGGTTGGGTTCATTTTGTACCTGGGCCAAAAGGTCAATTACCCCAGTTTGATCCGGCTCGAATAGTGGGCCAATCACCTCATTTGTATGGGCTAAGGTCTGGTTGTAATCCCGCGTATGGATAACAAAGTTGCGTCGGGCAATAAGCGATATAGAAAGAGACGTATATATCTCTGACATCTTTGCCTAGTGTACCAGGATATGTGATCAGGGTATGTATCGGGGTATAGGCAGTTTTTTGATACTGTTCTCGAATGAGGTCGTGCGAAGCCCGTTTATTTCAAACACGCGGTGTACGGAAGTGGGCCTCCAATTACAATCAAAAGTATAAGAGTAAGAATAAGAAGTATAAGAGTAAGAAGTATCAGAAATAAGAAGTATAAGAGTAAGAAGTATCAGAAAAATAACAAAAGAGTACCAGAAAACTAACAAAAGAGTACCAGAAAATTAACAAAAGAGTACCAGAAAACTAACAAAAGAGTATCAAAGATCAATTCAAAACATGCTATTGTATTGCACGTACTTGATAATGGGTTAGTAAAAGGACTAGATAGACGATTTCAGATAATGCTCATTGCTAAGATATCATGAATTCATGTAAATACACTATTATTACGGGCTTCAAAATACGGGGCCATCGATAACTTGACAATAAACTGCTTGGTAGCCAAGTCAACACTACACTAAATCAAGAGACGAGTTAGATAAGCTTTAACAGGATAATCTCAAAACATGCTTTTGACGATAGAATGTCTTAATTGTTTAGTTAATTGTTTGATTATTTACTCAATCATCCAATCACTCATCATTCAATCACCCATCATTCAATCATCCAATAGACTAGAATCACTCTTGGTGCTTGGATGTAGCGTAACAAAGACACGCTGAGAAGGCCGATCGGTACTAATTCATCGCGAAAAATTTGTCCCCCTTTGTAAGCTGCCAAAACAGCCTTTAAACACCATTGTACAACTGGGTAAATGCTGAGCCAGGTTCTTTCAATGCAGCCAATGCTTTATTCATGCGCCAGCTACGTTAATCATACTTATATTCTATGGGTTGTTTCCACACGACTCACCTCCTCAAATACAAATAAACAAATAATACACGATAATAACTCGTGTTTTTAATTCCTTATTTTCTAATTTTTTTTTTTTTTTTGAGTGTTCATACAATTTTGTTCTTCATTTCTATAACTTTGCAGTTTCAAGGATAACTCTTGTATCCAATTCTATGTCAAGCTCTTATTTGGACAAGCTCTTATTTGGACAAGCTCTTATTTGGACAAGGAAAAATTTGAATTCTAAACAAGTCAAGAAGAAGAGAGTGAAAGAAAAAAATTGAAAAATCTCCTATCAAGATTTTGATGTTTCCTCGTATTCTTTTTCCCTTAACTTCAGTGATTACACCCTATTCGATTAAGTTATAGTTATACCTAAGTGTCACATTGAGTTGTCCTACAACTGACATCCCTATCCAACTTCTACTCTCGTTTCCAATTTGTAATTCATTTCTTTATATTATAATCCGACCCTGCTTCTTTCATTTAATATGGACTCAAAATTACAGTCCTTACCAAAATTTATTAGATCCGAACCTTCTCCCAAAGTAATGGATTCTGCTTTTCCTCCTTTCAAAATCGAACACCGTTATCGTGGTGTTTATGAAAGAGCTGGTTTCGATGTTAATCTTGGTGGTAATAACGATACTCGTTCATTAAGAAGCCCGAAATCTAATCATGGAGCTCAATTCCCCAAAATGATGAAGAGTCCTCCTTCAAATGTTAATTCCCCTACCGTCAGTAATCATTCTAAATTTAATAAGAAACCATATATTCCAAATTATGATCAGTCCAATTCCCAAAATAGATCATTTAGTGAAATCACTACTCCTCATCGTATTTTAAATAATTCGGGATTTAATTCGTCAAATCGTTCTTTATCGGAATCTTCTTCTCAACCAAATACCAGCAGATCTACCGATTTATTCATAAACCATTCATCCTCAGGTAAAGAAGAAGTATCTCCTCCTTCATCTCCAGACTCTCCTGAATTATCCGCGTCTAGTAAACAAGGTAGAAAACCTCCACCTCGTGATAGCTTTAATTTTAGCCCACAGTCAAATCATTCAGCTTCAAGAAATGTTAAGAATTTGCAGCTTAATTTAGGTGCTCATTCTAATGACCCCGATTCAATTAATATAACCCGCGATGAAGAACCATTTTCCGATGGGGACGATTTTAAAGATACCAGAGAAACTTCAATTGATCAGTCGTTTGATTCTCCTCAAAATAGTAATAAAACTAATGAATTAAATGCTCCTTATCCAATTGATAATGATCAAAATACCCTTAATACCCCTTCTAATATCGGTGAAGATCCTAATCAAAAACAAAGATTATCATCCCTTTTGGATGACTTTAAAAAAGATATTGAAATTCATAAAAATTATCAACCTCAACCAAAACAAAATTCTCCCGTCACTAAAAGTCCTCCTTTACCATCAATGTCTCCTTCTCAACTAGGTTTGGCTCGCTTTGATAATTCTCCAAGTAATCAACAAGATGATTATCAAAATTATTTACGTAGTCAATCTTCTCCTAATGCTAATAATTTTAGAAATTCTCAAATTTCTACTGTCAGTTCAGTCATCTCAAAAGGCTCGGTTTATGATGATGATGATGATGAAATTGAACAAGAACTTCAAAGACAATTAGAAAATTTGAAAACAAATGGCACTAGTCGTGAAGAAATTCAAAGTGATACTTCAAATATCGATGATTCAAGATCTTTCACCCTGGCTTCAATGTCTTTCCATAATACTAATGTATCAGTTCCAAAATTAGTCGTGGATGACTATCCAACCCCAAATGATACCATTCATTCTATTCCTACTCCTATGGAAGAAGAAACAAAAGTACCTACGTTCACCATTGATGATGCTGAAACCGCAGAAGCTAAAGCTAAAAAGGAACATCAAGAAGAAAGCGAGCTTGATGATTTATCTTCCAATGCCTCATTTGAGTCGGTTAAGCCTTTATCTGTACGTCATTCTCGTATTAAACCATTTGATGATAATGAATTACATGAATTGAAACAAATTGATGAAAATAATTATCCTTCTTTACCTTCTAATATAGATCCCTACTCGGTGCCACCAAAGCGTGGAGTTATGTTTGATGAAACAGTAACAACTATTGAAACTCCAGAAGTTTATAAAAATAATCATCAAAATGATCAAGTTTCACCACAACACTCTCAATCACTGCAAACTTCTAATCAACTGCAATTGCCTTATCCAACTCAAGAATATCACGAGCAACAAGATGAAACTCCAGATATGCCACAACTGCTGGATTTTGTTAAACCTTTAAGTCCAAAAAATCATCAAATTCAAGAAGAACTTTCAGGAATGAATTTCCAAATGCATGATATGCCAGAATCTCCTGGTAGTGACCAATATGATGAAGATATTCAACCACTCAATACTAAGTCAATTGATGCTATTTTAGCTAGTGCCAACCAGTCTTCAAAACCAGTGGCTCCACCACCAAGTGATTTTGAACCATTTCCAAAATCCAATTCTGAATCACCAAAACAAGATTCAAAAAGAACCATGTACCCACCTGGTCAAGGTCCTTGTCGTATTTGCCATCAAACTATTTCACCAATGGCAAAAGGCTCTCAAAAAGCAATTTATTCTAAAACTGGTGAATTATCAGGCCAATGGCATCGTTCATGCTTTACTTGTGCTTATGATAATTGTGGAATAAAATTCAATAAATCGGTTCAATGCTATGCCTTAGATGATAACGCATATTGTCATATGCATTATCATGAGCTTAATGGAACATTGTGTGATTCATGTCATAACGGTATTGAAGGTGAATGTATTGAAAATGAACTTGAACAAAAATGGCATTTAAATTGTTTAACTTGTGAAAAATGTAATTATACTATTTCGAATGATTACTATTTAATTAACAACCATATTTATTGTGAAGAAGATGCTATGAACATTATCCACGGAAGGGGTAGTTATAATGGATTAGATGGAAATTTGAAATCAGGTGGTTTGAGTACAGTCGATAAGATTGAAAAGAGAAGAACAAGGGTTTTATTTGTTGATTAATAGAGGAGAATTTATTGAACATTTCGTTTTATTCTTTTATTGTATTTTTAATTTTAAATTCATCGTGTTGTATTGGTATGTTTCTCTTATATCCTGGGTTTGGTAATACTACACTTGTATATTATGTAATTTTTTTTTCCTTCTTTTGTATGTATTTACAAATGAATATATTAGATTTAAAAGTAAATGTACTGTAATATACAAAAATTAATGATCTCTATAACCACGTTTAGAAGTATCAAAATCATCGGCACCAAGTTCATCATCATTTAAATCCCATTCACGCTCGTCATAATTAGAATTTGAATTACCATTATTTGAATTAAGGTTTTTCGATTGAGGTTGATCATCAGCTTCATCTTCATCTTCAATGATAAAATTGTCAGCATCAAAATCAGCAGAATTCAATTCCACGTTATTATTAGATTCGACATCATCACCAAAATTTCCAAAGATTAGCGAATCGTTTACTTCAAAACCCGAATGATAATCTCTCAATTTTTTTTGCATACGAGAATAGATAATGTAAGTGGTAATGGAAGCAGCCAAACCGGTAATTACTATACTAATGATATCAAAAACCTTGGAAGAAGAAGATTTTTTATCGTCACCTAATTCTTTCATTTTATGACCAACAAAAGTATGAATAAGTAATTTAGGTGAAGTGATGACCGAAGCTAATAAATAAGTTAAAGCTGGTAAGTTAGGCACAGCAGCTAAAGCACCGTTCGATAAAGAGTAAGGTAAAGGACATAATCTAATCAAAACTAAAAGTAGTAAACTTTGATCTTCTTTTAAAATTTCAGAAAAAGCTCTAAATTTTTCATTTGAATTAATTAATCTTTCGGCTTGATTATGAAGTAAAAATCTATAAACTAAAAATGAAACAAATGATCCACTTATTGATGCAGTTGCTAAAATTGGCCAACCACCAAGAAAACCATAAACCATACCCGTCAACATCGACAAGGCCAGAAACCCAATTAAAGGTGGGAATCCAACAAAGAAAACCAAAGTAAATAAGAGTAATCGACCATAACTTAATTCATGCCATTTATCGGCTAGTACCAGTAAAGAACCAATTAGTTTTTTATAAAAAACCAATAAGACTATATGAAATATAATTGCAATTATTGCTAGTATCACTATACCAATTTGTTTCCATTTTGGTTGTTCATAATACCAAGATTGGAATTTTTGAACTTTATTATTAACAAGCAGCTTAAAATCATCTGTCAATGATTTGAACTTACCAATCATTGAGTTTCGATCTCTAGAATCAAACACGTTTCTGGTTAAGTCAACGTCTGATACAGAAGGAAGACGTGGCATTGGATACTTAATAGACTTCTTCTAATACATCAGGTTAACGAAATTGTGATCATTAAAGGATATGCTGTCAACGCTAAAGCCTGTGAAGGCTGATTTCTGCCCCGAAAAACCTGATTGACGGGTGTTTTCTTTTTGATATGTACGGGTGTACGAGATGTACGGAGGTTGTTTTTGACCCGGATACGGAGTTTAAAATTTACGGAGCTAAAGTAAAGGTTTACCCCGGACACGAAAAGTGCAACAGTCAATGGTTTCAACTTGAGCAAATAATTCGAATATTCGCTCTACTGACCTAGTAATGCTGGCTCATTCAGTATGAATACGCCTAAGAAAAACGGTGTGAGACTCCCCATGACTGCGATGGGTTGACAACTTCGAGCCCATATGGGAGAGACTATTGGATGAGCATGACTGGCTGTAACTATACAAATACAAGAACTCGACTCTATTGTTTCTATTTAAACCTAAAAAGCGAAGTTTAACTAAAGCTTAATTGAATGTGACCTTAGGCTTAGTTTTGATAGTGAAAATTCAAATGCATACACCATTGCAACCCTCACACTGCTTTTTAAGCCTACTCGCAGTCCCGTACCATAAGGAAATATCGGAAGGTATAATAGTTATTGCTACATGAACTGTCAATGAGTTTCTAATTTTAAATCATCGAGCTTCGTTCTTAACACTACCGGCTTATAACCAGTAGTCCAATCAGACCGATGTCTAAGTTGGGTTGAAATTTTTCTGTTCGATTTAGTTTATTGTTTCTGTTTCTTTCTCTTCTTTGTTGTTTTTCATTTTTGTATTATTTTTATAACACTAAACCTTTTTCTTTTTCTCTCTTAAGCCATCAAAGAATTTCATTCTTATTCGGCATCTTACTTTACGGGTTTGATGATCAGTGTTGTATATAAAGCAAAGTGATTCTTCTTCTTGCCATCAGCTATCTTAAGCGTGTTGAATATACTTGAAAATTTTGAGTACCCTTTGCGTATTTCTTTTGGCTGATAAGGTGACACTATTTCAACGAAATAAACCTCAAGCCATCGACTTGAACTAGGCTTAACCGTTGTTTCTGTTTGGTTTTGATATTCTTTTGTTTCTTATTGATTTTGTATTACCACCAGAGTTTGTCTTTCTATATATATATATATTATTTTTTTTTGTTTTTTTTTTTTTGCACCATAATTGAAAAATGAAATTCCAAATCTTGATTTTATCATTCTTGGTTACATGCCTTTTAGCATGGTCTCCTACCGATTCTTATGCCCCAGGGAAACTCACTTGTCCAAATAATAAGGATTTAATAAGAGAAGCAGATTCACTTTCTCAGGATGAAAAAGATTGGATTAATGGCCGTAATAAGGTCACTGATAAAAATTTGATAAGCTTTTTAGAATGGGCTAAGATGGATGATTTCAATGCTACTGATTTCATCAACAATAAAGCCAACAGATCGATTCACGTTGGTCTTTCTTTTAGTGGGGGTGGTTATAGAGCGATGTTGGCGGGTGCCGGTGCCTTGAGTGCTTTAGACAATAGAACCAAAGGAGCCAGTAAATCTGGATTAGGTGGATTATTACAAGCATCCACTTATCTTACTGGGTTATCAGGCGGTAATTGGTTAACAGGTACCATCTCAATGAATAATTTTACTTCAGTTCAAAAAATTTTGGATGATGGTAAAATTTGGGATCTTGAACATTCAATAATGAATGTTGGTGGTTGGAATGCTTATAAAACCTATAAATATTATAAAGCATTGTATGATGATATTCATGATAAAGAAGATGCAGGATATGAAGTTTCAATTACTGATACTTGGGGTAGAGCTTTATCTCATCAATTTTTCGCTCAAACTGAAAATTATGGTTCTGCTCTTTGTTGGTCTGATTTACAAAATTATGATCAATTTAAAAATCATGAAATGCCTTTCCCAATCTCAGTAGCCGATGGCAGAGTTCCTGGAACTAGTATTATAAGTGGTAATTCAACTGTTTTTGAAATGAATCCTTTTGAGTTTGGTTCTTGGGATCCTAGTTTGAATCAATTCACTCAAACTAAATATCTAGGTACCACAGTTAAAGATGGTGAAAATAATGGTACTTGTATTGGTGGATTTGATAATGCTGGTTTTATCATGGGTACCTCTTCATCTCTTTTTAATCAATTTATTTTACAAATTAATACCACCTCATTAAGTTCAACCATTAAAAGTCTTGTTCATTCCATTTTACAAGATGTTTCAAATGATGATGATGATATTGCTGTTTATAAACCTAATCCTTTTTATAAAAGTGACCTTGGTGAATCTGTTCATACCATAAATAACGATACCCTTTATTTATGTGACGGTGGTGAAGATTTACAAAATGTTCCTCTTTATCCTTTACTTCAAAGAGATCGTCAAGTAGATGTCATTTTTGCTTATGATAATTCAGCTGATACTGATGAATCTTGGCCAAATGGTACTTCATTAGTTGCTTCTTATGAACGTCAATTCTTGAATGAAGGTAATGGTACTTTATTCCCTTATGTGCCAGATCAAAGAACTTTTCGTAATTTAAATTTGACAGCTAAACCAGCCTTCTTTGGTTGTGAAGCTAAAAATTTAACAAGTTTATTGAAAAGAACTAATCAATCAAATTCCGATACTTCAATTATTTATGATACCCCTCTCATTGTTTATAATGCTAATAGACCTTTCACTTACTGGTCTAATACCTCAACTTTCAAAATGAGTTATGATGAAAAAGAAAAAAGAGGTATGATTAAGAATGGGTTTGAAGTTGCTTCAAGATTAAATCAATCCTTAGATAAAGATTGGCCTGCTTGTGTTGGTTGTGCCATCATTAGAAGAGAACAAGAAAGACAAGGTATTGAACAATCTGATCAATGTAAAAAATGCTTTGATAAATACTGTTGGGATGGTACAATCGATGATTCTACTCCAGGCATTAACTTCACTACTAGTGGTACCACCAATGGTAATGAAGATAACGGTAATAGAACCGTTTCTGCTGCTATGTCTTTGGTCTTACGCGGTAACAATGCATATGAATTAATGAAATTGACTGGTTATGCAATGTTAGCTTCCATCATCTTCTGCGTATCATTCTAGATCCCATCCTCATAAAACCATTTCATTTAATGATTCTTCCGTGTAATATTTTCCTTTCCTTTCGTTGCGCATTATTCATTTTTCTGTCCTTGTACAATTTAGAGATTAATAAATTCATAATACTGTGTTTAATGTCACTTTAAGTCTATAGGTGGGTAGATCTGGATACAGAGTATTTAACTTCTTATGTACCTATTTACGAGTTTTGTGGAGACGATAAGCGATTTTAGCTGCGAGCAACCGCAGGGCAAAAACAAAAAAAAAATAATCTAAAAAAGTTTGAATAAGTAAGCAATAATTGAAAAAAACTAAAAATCATTAAAAGCTTTTCTTTTACAAGGCCTTATATACTCCATATTCAAGAAGAGAGAATTCAATATGGTGAAGGCTGATTCGGACATTTCTCAGGTCAAATCTCGTGCCACAAGTGTCCAGTTAGATGAAGTTTCTGACTCAGATGATGAATTGTTGTTTGAAAAAGGAGATTTTAGCAAAACTTATCTTGCGAAATCAAAGCTTGTTTCCAAAGCCATTGATGAGATTGGTTTTGGGAAGTATCAGCTTTGTTTGTTCTGTGTAGCTGGATTAGGATATTTTAATGATAATTCAATGCCCATAGCAACAAGTTTGATCCTTCTGAGATTAGTCGAAGTCGATGGTGTTCATGCACCGGTGGGTAAATCACCCTATTTAACATTGGCCCAGAATCTCGGGCTTTTAGTTGGGGCATTTTTCTGGAGCCTTTCAGCAGATATAATCGGTCGAAGATGGGCTTTTAATCTAACCTTTTTGATTACTGGGGCTTTTTGTCTTGTAGCAGGCGCATCACCAAACTTTGCTGCAATCGGAGTATTTGATGCATTTTGGTCTAGTGGAGTTGGTGGTAACTTACCCATAGACCTGACTCTATTTATTGAGAGTCTTCCGACATCAAAGAGGTGGCTTTTGCCAGTTATGACAATTTGGTGGGCTCTAGGGCAATTGGTTGCGAATTTATTAAGTTGGGCTCTCATAAGTAACTTCTCATGCGATGATACGTCTACTGAATGTTTGAAAGAAAACAACAAAGGGTGGAGATACTTTTTATTCACTTTAGGAGGATTAACTTTAGTTTTCTTTTTGGCTAGATTGGCTTTCGATGTTCAAGAAAGTCCAGCATTTCATCTTGCAAGAGGCAGAGACGATAGAGCAGTCGCAGCTTTAGAAAATATAGCTAGAATAAACAAGACATCAACTGATATCACCATTGAAGATTTTCAAAAAATTGATAGTCTTGAACTAGACGGAGAGCCAATTATAGAACATGATAATTCTCATTTTTTAAAAAACGAATTATTGATGCAAAAATTAGCAAAGTTTGACTTGAGCCATATAAAACAATGTTTCCACACCCCAAAGCTTGCCTATTCTTCAACTTTGGTGATTCTTACGTGGTCAATTATTGGATTGGCTTTTCCCTTGTACAATGCTTTTCTTCCGACTTACCTTGAACAAAGAGGTAATGCTAATAAACCTCTTAGCGTCAGTGAGACATACAGAAACTCGCTAATTGTTGCGGTGGTTGCTATTCCAGCTTGCATTCTAGCTGGCTTCATGGTGGAACTAAGGATTGGAAGGAAAGGAACGCTTAGTATATCTTTGGCTTTGACCGGGGTTGTGCTATTCTGTAGTACCACTGCAAAAACTTCTAATGCTTACTTGGGTTGGAATTGTGCCTTCAGCTTTGTTTCCGCTATAATGTATGGTGTCCTTTACGCTTACACTCCAGAAATATTTCCAACTACAATAAGAGGTACCGGCTATGGTCTTTCTTCCTCAGGCAACCGACTTTTCGGAGTTTTTGCTCCATTGATCGCTATTTATGCCGACTTGACCACTGCTTATCCCATATACATCAGTGGTGCACTCTTCTTTCTTGCTGCTATCCTATCCGTGCTTTTTCCCTATGAATCTAGGAATAAATTAAGTATTTGAGTATGTATGTCTTTTATCTTATATCTATATTGAAAAGTGATGATGTATGCTTCAGTGTAAATCCGCGCTCCTTTAGGTAAAAAAATCCCTTCAGCGGATTTTTTTTTTTCAAGCAGCAAGTTATTTTAGACTATATATTTCCACCTTTTTTTATGTATTTTACCAATTGGCCCAAACAATTCATTCGTAAAACACATCAAATAGCAAAAATGGCTTTTAAAACAGATGCTCAAATCTCTCAATTTGGTGGTAAGTTATATAAACTTACTCATCCTTCTAAATCAACCAAAACAGACATGAATGTGAACGTTTTTGTCCCGCCATCTAAGAATGATAAGATTCCAGTTTTAATCTACTTATCAGGTTTAACTTGTACTCCAAATAATGCTAGTGAAAAATCCTTCTTCCAATACTTCGCTAGCAAGTATGGGTTTGCCATTGTTTTCCCAGATACTTCTCCTCGTGGAGCTAATATTCAAGGTGAGGATGATTCATGGGATTTTGGTACTGGTGCTGGTTTCTACGTTGACTCTCTTCAAAAACCATGGTCTGAAAACTATAACATGTATTCCTACATCCACAAAGAATTATTGAGTGAATTAGCTAAAGAATATCCTCAATTGGATTTTGAAGACAAAATTTCAATTACTGGTCATTCTATGGGTGGTCTTGGTGCTTTGAATGGTTTCCTCAAAAACCCAGGTAAATATAGATCAGTTTCTGCTTTCGCTCCTATTTCTAATCCTTCTACTTGTCCTTGGGGTGAAAAAAATTTCGGTAACTACTTGGGTGATAATAAACTGGAATGGTTGAAATACGATCCTTCTCATTTAATTAAAGAATACACTCACGAAAATCAACCAGATATATTGATTCATCAAGGTGCAGCTGATGGTTTCTATGCTAAAGATAAACAATTACAACCAGAGAACTTTGTCAAAGCAGCTGAAGAATCTTCTTATAAAGGTAAAGTTGATTTAAGAGTTGTTGAAGGTTATGATCATCTGTACTTTTTCATCAGTACTTTCACTGAAGATCATGCTAAATTTCATGCAAAACATTTGGGTTTATAACTATCCGTAAATAATCAAAGTAAATTTTGAATAGTATCTATCTATATAGCCTAAATATATTCATTGTACTTACTATGCCAATCGTTACACCATTTAATTTTACTTTCATTAGAATTAGCCTGTTTAACAATTTTGACAATCTTTGCACATGCTTTGTCAATTTGAGTAGCGTATTCTTCAGTTTCTTCATCAACTTGTTGATCAAGCATCAAATCAACAATTATTTGATCAACGGATTTCACCAATTGACGTTCCACTTGATATATATTGTCAATTTGAGTACCGGGGGTACTCGACGGTAAGGATTTGGCTAATGATTTAAGCAATAGTTTGATCAACTTAATTTTTGATAACCATTTCTTTGAATATTCTATTAATTTTGATTTATCTTTTGGCTCATCTTCCTCGTCTTTTGAATCAGCCGGGGTTTCTTCTTCATCGTCACTTTCGTCATCACTGAATCCAAACGGATCTTCATCATCGAAATCTTCTGGATTTTCAGCCCATTCTTCAAACTCTTCTAATCCGTCTTCTATTAACGATATAGTTTGTTTTGTTTTATCAGAAAGATATCCCAATGGTGCCTTTTGAATTAATAACAGTAATTCATCACAGCTTGACCATATTTGCCCGACCGATATTAAACGATCATTACTTTCATTTTCATTGCTATCTTCACTTGATAAGTTTCTCAATTCTTTCGCTAAATTGACGTTTGCATGGATGATCAGTCTAAGTACATTCACTAATTCATCTTGATAAATTTGTGACAATTTTTTAGAATCCAATTGAGGTATAATAGACACTATTAAAATTATGGTTTCAGAAAGTTTCAGCAATGTCGAAAAAGCAGCGTCGTTTTGGTTCTTTAAAGTTTCGGGTTTGAATATAATACCAACTTTGGTCGTATGTGCTTTGATTAGTTTAGACAACTTAGATAATTCCTCTAATGGATCATCAACTTTGGCAGCCTTTATCTGAGATAACTCTTTGCTGGAAGGCTCTAAACATTTTGTCCAGTATTCCAAAGCTTCTTGATATGAATCGATAAGACTCAATAGTTCGGAATGGGTCTTTGACATTCTAGAATTATATATCGACTAGTTCTTAGTGCCAGATGAGATCTACTACAAAAAAATTGAAAAAAAAAAAATTGAAAGTCAAATAAAAAAATCAATAAAAAGAGCTCTGCGCACCGAAAATTGCAAAATTAGAAAGAACTAAAAAAGCTATGTATTCCAATTGATATACAGAATTACCATTCATCGTCATCTTCATCATCACTGCGAGCCACCTTGCCCTTCCTTTTATTCAAGGCTGATGCTAAAGCATCAGCAAGCGAGCCTGGTTGGCCAGGAGGACCTCCTGCACCCCCGGTACTAGATGGAGCTACTGGTTCACCTTTTGCTTCTTGTAGTAAGACATTGGGTCTTTCTAATTGTGATTTATCGGTCTTTTTAAGAGAACTGACACCGGCACCTCTTATAGAGGCCAAAAGGGCATCTCTAGAAGGGTCCACGCTAGGGAGCGGTGCCAGAGATCCACTGTCACTAGAAAGGTCGGGCATTGGGGGTGGTGGTGGTGGTGGTGCTCCACCACCAGGAGTAGAGGTAGATTGAGGTGGCAATGGAGGAGGTGGTGGTGGTGCGGTACTTCCAGACGTAGGGGCAGCTTGTGGTGGTAATGGAGGAGGTGGTGGTGGTGCTGTGCCACCAGAGGTAGGAACAGTTGATTGTGGTGGTAAAGGTGGTGGTGGTGGTGGTGCGGTACTACCAGATGTAGGAGCAGTCTGTTGAGGAGGAACAGCGCTCGGTGGAGGCTGTTGGTTCCTCTGTGGGATACTGTTACGGGATGGGATAGCTGGAGGGGCCACAGGTGTTTGTGGTTGATGGGCTTGTTGAGGAAGAGGTGGAGCGACAAGTGAGGTATGTTGAGGAGGAATAGCATTTCTTGAGGCTCTTGGAGGTGGTGGAGGTGGTGCTGCATTTGTTCTAGCACTTCGAGGTGGCGGAGGTGGTGGTGCACCACCGCCCGTCAGTTGAGGAGTTGCTCGTGGTGGTGGTGGTGGTGGAACATTACCTCTGGCTGGTGGTGGTGGTGGAACACCTGCGCGAGCTGGTGGTGGTGGTGGGACTTGTCTTTGGGTACTTGGTTGAGTAGGCTGAGGGGGGACTCCATAACCACCAGTTTGCTGAGGGGGAACTCCATAACCACCAGTTTGCTGAGGGGGAACTCCATAACCACCGGTTTGCTGAGGTGGAGCTGGGGTAGGCCGGGAAGGTTGAGTAAAGGGTTGAGTCGGTGGTTGGTTGGAAGGTTGGTTGGAATGAGGATTATTAGCAGATAAACCTCCAGAAGTAACCGGAGGGGCAATTGCGGTAGCAGGAGGAACCCTAAAGACCCTTTTTGTTGTTGCGGGAGAATCAGGAGCAGGAGAATCCTGACCGAGATCAGACGAGCTTCCATTTGCACTGGCGATGGACGTGGTACGTATAGGAGGAGTAGGCGATGGAGATGCAGATGGAGGAGCTGGCAGTGAAGAAGAGTCATGGCTGGGAATTCCGCCTGGAGGTGGAGGTGGAGGTGGTGCCTTTTTTGATTTGGAAGACTTGATTGATGAAGTAGATGTAACTCTTGTAGGTTCCGTTTTATGTTGAAATTTTCTAGGGATGGGTGGTTCTAAACCTACTAGCGGACCACCTTGTTGAGCAATGTAATTTTTTATAAAATCTCGATTATCAGCAATCATGTCTTCTGAAATACCAGCAGAAGCCAATTCAGCATAAAGTGGTCGCCATTCGGGAGGAGGAACGTCATCGTAATACAAAATACCTTTACTTCTTCTGCTTCTCTGGGCAGTATTAACATCGACATATTCACCTCTTGGGCCCGGAGCATTTGGACCCAGAGGACCAGCCTTTTCTTTCAAAGCAATGGCATTTTTATTATTAACAGTATGTTTGGAACCATGTTTCTGTCTAGTAGTAACTCTTTTATAAAAATGAGAAGCGTCATTGGTTTCTTCGAACAATAACCCCACTAAACACTCTTCAATTTCAAAAGTATGGAAAAACTTACGATCTTGGTTATAATCGAAATCGACATAGATCTCTTGATCCCAAATAACTCCTCGGTGTCCAATTATATCAACTAATTTGAGAAAAAATGTATGCCCAACCAAATCATCAACTAAGCATATAGCACCCACTAACCCAGTGTATTGCCACGAAGTGGGCTCTGGATATGCAATATATAATCTAGCGACGGTAGCATCGATAATCTTATTGCTAGCCTTTGGAATCACTCTCTTGATCTTCTCTTTATCAACATTCGTCAATATACCCATCTTTTCTATGTGTCCAACAATATATCTATTTGAACATCAATTCAATTGGGTCTAATTGTCTAGTCTATCTTATATCTTAGCTTATACTTGTCCCAATAGCTAGTTTTATTCTCACTTGTTTGTCCATAAGCCAAACCTGCAAAACATGACACTCAAAGACTTTTACAGGTTTAGCGAAAGAAAATTTGATTTTGTTTCTAAAAAAAAAAAAAATACACGTATGGAGATGAGGTTTCAAAACATTCAATTAGTCCAGATAAACAATAGCAGAAGATGTCCGGTCGTCAAGGTGGTAAAGCCAAGCCATTGAAAGCTCCAAAGAAGAAGCAACAAGATTTTGATGATGATGAAGTAGCCTTCAGAGAAAAGCAAAAAGCCGATGCTAAAGCTAAAAAAGAAATGGCCGAAAAAGCAAAGGGTAAAGGTCCTCTTTTACTGGGTGGTATCAAGAAAAGTGGTAAGAAATAACCCGGCCATGCTATCCTGTTAAGAATATACTGCAACAGAAACCCAGGAAATATTTTTGATCTTTATTTTTAAGAAACACTTAATTTACCCTTAATGTCCTGTAGTACTTCTTCCCCGTATCGTTGTAATGCTGGGAACCCTCTTCCCAGCTTAATCCTTTTAGTCTTCAATTTCGGCTGCATAAATTATGTATACAGGCGGTTGACTTTAGTATCCAGACACCTGAATGACTGCTAAAGGAACGTAACATCTCCCTGATCTTCCTCGCACGCCAAAGCTGATTCAGGACTTTTAGATGATGTAATTCTTCACTGTCACGCCATAGCAGGACACCCCTATAAATGTCTTCTGGGCTCTAATGTAAATCTAAATGTATGTCTATTTGCAACTAGAGTCGATTGGAATGCACGGAGTTTTGAGTCAAAAATGTCGTGACGCTCAACGACATTTTGATCGGTCGAAGGAATTTTTGAAAAAAAAATTTCAACTTTTTCAGTTTTCTTTCTTTAAGTAGTCCAGTTTCGAACATCTTCTAGCCTAAACATGCCTACTTTACATAAGAAACCATACCAGGTGGGGCGTCATATCAAGCTGATAAATAAAAATTTGTGCGCCAACTTAATCAAGCACGACTACATTGTCACCGGAAGAACCAAAGCCAAAAGAGCACAAGCAAAGATTGAAAGTTTTTTATCAAATGCATTACAGAAGGATAGAGAATTACAAAAACAAAATTTATCATTAAAAGAAAGATTAGAGCAAAATGAAAATTTGAACTACTTACAACCGGGTGATAAAAACCAAATCGCTCCAAGAGTGATTGAAGAACTTTCCAAAAGATACCCAGAAAGAAAACACGGATTCACTCGTATTATTAAATTAGAACCAAGATTGGGTGATGATAAGGCACCAATGTCGGTGTTGGAGCTCGTGGATTCCGAATTTGAAATTAGATTCTGGTATATCGCCAAAGTTGTCGCAAGATTAGAATTACAAGGATTACCTGTTGATGATCTTACCAAAGTCAACATTAAGAAATTAACTCAACTCCGTGAAGATGGTGAAGATAAATTCCGTAGTGCTGTTGAAACTGCAAAAGAAAAGTTTTTCCATTATGATCCAGTCTCTGGTGAAATAACAAATGAAGAATCTAAAAAGAATTTAGAAAACCTTCCTCATAATCTTGAATATTACGGTGGGGCATACACTGGACAACTCACTGTTTCTAAGAAATTCAATGTTATTCCTAGACCTAATAAGACTCAACCAACTGAAGAAAAGCCAGAATCTTCATAATTGGTTGCACCTCATTGTATATAGCTTAATTTTCTGCAAATAGATTCACACATAACTTATAACACTTGAAAACAACCTGTCTTCAATGTAGATTCATCATAGATGAAGTATTCTACTTTCACTATGAATCGTATAACAATCCTTTAAGGATGATTTTCGAAAAAAAAAAATTAATCCGTGGGAGGTGCGAATATACATGGATCTAATATGGGCTTATTATCTTATTCATCTTATTTATATTAGCTTTTAATCTATAATGTGGTTCTCCAAATCAAATTTCATGCCTGGAGGTAAGACTGCCTTGGTCATTGGTGCTTCTCAAGGAGTTGGTGCTGATCTTGCTTTGAAACTATATCATTTAAGATGCTCAGTTATCTTAGTTGCAAGAACTGAAGAGAAACTTATAAATCAAGCTGAAGAAATTGAACGTTCTGCTTCTATAAATGATAGTAATTCCCCTGTTGTATCATACGTTGCCTGTGATGTCTCTGATTATGATCAATGTGCTGATTTATGGAAGACAATTACTATTGATCGCCAACAAGATCCTGATTATATATTTTGCTGTGCCGGTAGCTCAATCCCAAAGCTATTTAATGATCTTACAGGGGCCGATTTAGCTAGTGGGATTGATCTTAATTACAAGACTGCACTCAATGTGGTTCACTCTGGATTCAAACAAACCTTGGCCATTCACCAAGATCTTAAGTTCAATGAACATAAGCTGAGACATGTGGTCCTTTTTTCATCAGTTGTTGCCTTTTATCCATTTATTGGTTATGCTCAGTATGCTCCATTAAAAGCTGCTATTTCATCCCTTTCAGTGGTCTTACGTCAAGAATTAGGACCATACAATTATCGTGTATCTTGTGTCTTTCCTGGTAATTTTGCAAGTGATGGGTTCCTTGAAGAACAAAAGACCAAACCGGAGATTACAAAACAAATCGAAGGCCCAAGTAGTCCAATTCCTTCCAGTAAATGTGCTGATATGATTATTGACAGTTTGAGTAAAGGCTATGATACAATTACTACTGATTTCATTGGTTGGCTATTAGGATGTTCAGTATTAGGAGTCTTACCAAGATCTTGGTCTGTCTTTCAAATAACTGTGAGTTTTATCTTTCTGATTATCGCTCCATTGGCTAATTGGGTGGTGTATAGAGATATCATCAAGTATTTCCAAAAAAGAGCAAATCATGATAATAGTTCAAGTAAAAATAAGTTCGATACTCGTTCTTTAGACAGCTCAGATAAAATCGATTAGGTTGGTTTGATATTAAACTTTTCTTCAAATGTTTTGATACTTAATTTTATATTCTTTTCATGTGTTATTTTCTTTTGTTTTCCCTTCTTCTTACACAATATATTCAATTCGAATAATTCATTATATTAAATTACATAAAGACGTCTATTTCTTTTCTGCTGTAGAAACCTTATCCTTTAAATTGTGGACAGTTTTATCGGCATCAATCATCCATTGGTACCAATTGATACTATATATCCAGTTAACCATCTTGATGATCTCATCGTTCCAAATATCTTTTGATGTTTCGGCAATGTTAGGACGAGATGTATAGTTTATACGACTGTCTACCGGCACAATCTCTGTGGAAATATCTTTGTCAGACAAAATTCTATTATTGATAATGTTATTGGAAGTTTTCAAATGGTGAGATATAACTTGTTGATTTTTTTGAAAATATTGTCCAGTATAATAGGTGAAAGCAGAAGTCAATAAGACACCACCTAAAAACCCATGTATTCTACCTCCCATTGTGGCCTTTAAATTGAATGATCTGGATAGTTTCTAGTGTAATACTCTTATTCTATTAGACTTTTCAGAATTTTTACCAGTGAGAAAAATGGAAATCTTTAGGACAACCAATGAAAATGTCGCAAACACCATACAACCATACAGATTTCAATAGTTAGAAATTGGGTAGTTTAACCAAACATTGCTTACGTGAAGGTTATGAATATAATTGCAAATTACGTCTAGAATTGAGAGATTCAAAGCTATGTACACGAGTATGAAATAAAGTACAAAATAGGGAAAACCCGATTAAAGATTTAAAAAGACTAAGCATCTTCCTCAGCTTCAGCTGCTTCTTCAGCAATGGCTTTTTCGAGAGCATTTCTTAAGAATGGAAGAACATCGATCTTGTCTAATTTAAGGGAGTGGCCGGCTTCTCTTAAAGCATTAACTTCATTGACGGCATCTTCAGTACTACGAAGTAAGAATGGCAATTGTTCAATAACACCGTTTAATGGCAAGCTGATAGAATCTGGATTTGAAGCCAAATGTCTGCTGACCTTTAAGTCCGCAACAAAGTCCAAACCTTTAATGAAAGTAAGGTTTATATCTTGAGCCAAGTCGTAATCTTGTAATTGAGGTTCAATTCCAAAAAATGCATATTGTAATCTGATTAATTTTTCATTCCAGGAAATGATATCGGCTTCACCAGCTTCAATGTAGTTTTGTTTGAATTCATTCAAGTAAGATTCTTGTTCTTCGGTTAAAGTTTGTGCTCTTTCATTTGCAACCTGTCTTTCTAATAAAACTTGTTTAATTCTTTTTTGGGTCAATTTCAACTTATTATCAACGTCATCATAGGTATCTAACTTTGGATATGAATAGTATGAAGCCACTTTATGTTCTCTAGCTAAAATATTACGTTCTTTCAAGGTTAAATACCATATTTTATGTAAGTCTTCAAAACTTTTACGACGTAACTCTGGGAAGGACCAGGCACGGGAACTGGTATCAAGATCTTCACTTTCGCGGAAAGCGGCGGTAGATTCGTTTCCATCGGCAAAGAATGCCCATAAGGGATGATCTGGTGAAACATCGAAATTTTGATGAGTTGGAACAATTGGTTCTCTTAACTTTATATTCTTTAAATTAGTGAAGGCCAAAGGCTTGCTTCTGGCTAAACTTCTGGACGATGTTCTAAGAAATCTGACGGGTATGCGTATACTCATGGTAGAACAAAAGGATTTGACTATTCAATTTTCAAGTCAGAACAGTTGATCGTTAAAAGAATTAAAAAAAAAAATCAAAAAAATCAAAAAATCTTTGAAAAGTTTTTCAAAACAAATGTCGCGCGACATTTGATTTTTCACTCGCGACATTTCGTACTTTTTTCCTCTTCATTAACTCGAAAGTTAATTCCAACTTCAACTATTGACTAACGAGTCTTGATAACCATAACCAAAAGATATGTCATCTGTCCAAACTGAGCTGCAGCAGCAAGAGCCTCTTGACCTAATTCGTTTCCAACTTGATGAATTAGTGCTTGTCAAATTAAGAGGAGCTCGTGAAATAAAAGGTAAATTACAAGGTTACGATTCCCACTGCAATATGGTATTAAGTGATGCACAAGAATACATATTTAACGAAGACTCTTCTGCTCCAATAATCAAGAAGACTGAGATGGTCTTTGTTAGAGGAGATTCGGTAATCCTTATCAATCCGATTGGAGAATAGATGATTGTTCTGTGTGTTTTTTCTTTTTCAACCAAACAATTAACGAAATTTGTATTTTAGGACTAGATCAATGGTTATCTAAAGAAAATTGTCTTTTCAGGCTTGCTTATTGTCCTCCTAGGATAGCTACATTGTATATTATTAATTATAAGATAATGATTCAATCATTTCCAAACAAGACTATAAAAAAATATTAATAAACGAAAAGAATGATAAAAAGTTATATAACTAATTGTCGATTTCCATGGAATCATCAAAACTTTGTAGTACTTGTTTCATTAATTCAATTTTCTTAGCGTTCAAACTCCATCTTTCTTTAGCTTCTGCACCATGCTCAATCAAATCCTTTATATTTATGGTTAAATTTTCAATTGACTTATCATACTCATCAACAACCGTAGAAGAATTACCAGCATCAATGGGTCTGGCCTTCGATATATCGTATAAAATCTTGTCAGAGTCAAGTCTTATATAAGCTCTTTCGTTCTTGATATGCTCATCTAAGTAATTAATTATATTTATCGAATGATTTGCTGTGGTAGTACCTTCTTCACCAACTTCATCAACAGTCTTCAATTGTCTCAATTTAGAGTCTATATCGGTGAAAAGATCTTTTAATTCTTGATGAGTGAACACTGAAGATTCTGGATTTATCCTTCTACTGGTATTACTATATTCCTGATCGTTTGCCTTATTAATAATTTTTGCTCTGGCACGTTTGCTGACCACTTCAGTTTGGAAATTCGTCAATAACGCATTCATATCATCAATCAATGGTTTCTTATTATCCTTGAAATCTGATATGCTTGATTTCAATTGACCCTTTCTCTCACTCAATTTATCATACTGAGACTCGAGATCTCCAAGGTATTGCGGTTTGATGCTTCTATTAATCTCTATATTATGACCCAAACGGTTGATGTGCAAACTGTATATCTCAGCGACCTTATTATATTCATATGTAAGCTTTTCTAGCCTGATTTTATCTGTTTCTGAAACTTTTTCCTCTTTTTCAACCAGTTCAAGTATAGCATTAGATGTCTCATAAATTTCTTGTCTTAATTTCGAGTATTGTTGTGCCACCTTATCATAGTTCTTGATATAGCTGGAAATCGCCTCATCTATGATCTCTTGCTGTTTCCTCGTTATTAATGACATTCTTGGTTTTAGTAAATGTCTCTCAAATACCTGAAGGCCTTGTATCTCTCGACTTTGTTTTTCTCTTTTTTTTTTTTTTTCTCTTTTAGCCTCGCTCATATTTCTACAGCTCACGTACTTACTATAGTACATTACTTATACATTGATTACTCTGGATTTGCACCAATAGCCCAGCCGAGACCGGATACGAAAAGATTTGATAACTTTTCACTTGCTTGGTTGGTGGTGTTGGTTGCGTCACTGATTAAGTCATTGGTCAAGGCACCCAAATTCTCCTTAACCTGATCAGTTCTTGTAGTTGAATGGGTGTTTGACTGAGATCTAGTTTGTAAACTTGCATACCAGTTTTCAATCTCTTGGTTAATGTTTTCCCATTGCGTTAGTAAAAGCTTACTATTATCGATGCTGGATTCGTTAGGTTTTATGAGCTTCAAGGCCAAGGCAAGCACTTCTCTCTGCTTTGTTAAAATGGAGATCTTTTCATTATTTATCGAAGTATCATAGTCACCAAACCATTCAGGAGAAATGAACTTACCGACTTGATAGAATGTGAGCCATAGAGAATTTAACTCATTTCCATTTTTATCCGAATAATGGGTTAGTAATTCTATACTATTTTTGTAAGCAAAGTCGAAATTGGTGTCGATTAATGCTGATTCAATGCATGCAGATTTTATCTTTGGTAAATATGTCATACTAATGTCAGATCCAGAATCATCTAAGAATATGAGAAAGTCAACAAATATTTTATAAAGTTTTTCGTATGCTAGATAAGACTTCGGGTTGTTTTCAAGGATGGTTGTAATCAAGTTTATTGGACTGTTCTTCCCGTCCGTTTCTTTAGAATCAACAAGACCAAATTGAGTGATTAATTGATATGGAGTGAAATGCTTCCCTCTTTCGACTACGATTTTAAAGTTCTTGATGTTGTTAATCACTTTAAGTAAATGCTTAGTCTTTATGATTGAGCCCCTATTTTCCTCTGACAATTCAGGATTCGAAGATAACAAATCAAATAATCGAACACATTTTGAAGCTAAATTCAATTTTCCTATTTTATCATTTAAATTTGATGCCTGGTTAAAAGAGTCCCAAAATTTTTTGTTTGCTAATTGGAAGTAGGTGTCAGCGGTTAATTTAAACTCATCCTCTTTATAAAATTCTTCAACAATATCAAATAAATTGAAAAACAAAAATCTTTCAACAATTAATCTGTTGATCTGGGATTCATGTTCTGGGTCAATTGCAATAAAAGCCTTGGAAAACAAACGTGCCGAAGATAAAAGTTGTTGGTAATTAGTTTCATTGAGCCCATGCATTATAATTGTAATTTCTTTCTCCTTGGATGAGTAGTCTAAAGCTCTCGAGTATCTCAACTTTAAAAACTGTGAAATAGTGAGTTTATTTATAGAATAGAGCTTTTCACAAGTTTCTAAAGTGTCTTGAAGAGTAGTAACCGCATCTGAGTTTGGTTGATACAATGAGCTAAGTTCATGATTTTTATCTATAAAGACCAAAAGTGAAGAGCAATCAGACCCAAATTTCTCAGGGTCAAAATCAACGTTCGATAGTATTTTCCCTGGGCCCAAGCTTAATGATAGGACGTTGAGGGTATCTCTTATATAGTCGTAAATTTTCAACATCTCAATGGAAGAGACGTTACTGGAATCCTCATGGAAAATAGCATAATAGTAACAGCTTGCTAAAAAATATTTAATAACTTCATTATAAGATCCAGGTGGAAAAGACGTGATTCCATCTTGTTTAAACTCAATGATAGAACTAATAGCTTCATACCACAATTTATATTTCTGAGAGGCTAACATTGCTTCAAAACGATTTTCATCAAATAACCAAGGCAAAAGAGGTCTGAAATCACTCTCGTAATGGCTAATTAACGGCAAAATCACATTTTTCATCCACTTGTTAACAGACAAGTGTTCGTTGGAGCTTTCTTCATTAATTGGGCTAATCAACACATCAAATTTTCCACTGAGTGAATTGATACGTACAAACTGGTTAAATCGGATTGAATCAGCTCCAGAAATACTTCCATAGTTTGACCAATAATACGTAAAAGGTTTTACTATTCCGGTATACCATTTTTCAAATGGGGGATATCCTTTTGACAACTCAAACAATTCATTGAATCTGCTTATGTCTAGGAAGTAGTTGGAAAGATTTATCGTCTTGGACACCGTGAAACGGTATAATATCTCTTCTTGAGAAGCGGTTGAGTCCAACAGGAAATCGTACGCTTGATTTTCAAACTGAATATCAACAACCAAATTCCGGGCTGTACTTATAATCAGCTCCGAATCATCACTTCCTAGCAAAATATCGTCACTCGAATTGGCTTTGTCTGTAAGCCAATTGGAAACTTCTTCCAAGTCCTCGCCGACGAGAGCCAAGTTGGCCTCTCCAAACGATGCCTGAACGAATCGTTTACATACAAATGCAATATCTTCAATCGGAACTGATGCTGGAGATGAGTAAAGTAACAAGAGGCCGAGTATATTCCTGATATTGGTGAATTGAAGCTTGGAATGGTGATTGACAGCATTTCCAATCACATCGAAGGCTTCTTTCAATCCAACCGAAGCAGTCTTCTGGTTTAAAGTCAACAACCGCGCAGCAGAAAGAAATATCTTTGCATCAAATCCACCACTTTCTCCTTCTTCTAAACTTCTTGACGAATTCATTTGGATGAAACTGTTGGTTCTATGGTATTTAAAGTACTGTGATCTTAAAAATGTATTGAATGATTTTGCTTTCGTGGTTTGAAGATCCGTACACTTTTTTCTTTTGATTCTTTTTTTTTTTTTTGAAATTTTCATTACGCGCGCGTATAAACCTTCAAATCTTTCTATTCAGCTTAATTGTTTATGCTATTTATCAATAAACATAGTATTTGATAGAGCGTTACTGTGTTCATACGAGCGGATTCAAAAGCCGACCTTTGAAAATTTATGATAAATCTTTTAGATTTAAGAACCTTTGTTTGTTAAATTTATGTACATTTGCAAGAAACCAATCCATCAGCCGCTGAATATACTAAAAACTTGGAATTCTAAAAGAACTGCTACTTTATTAACTTCAAGATTTAGGAAACAGGCTGATTCCATCCGGAACATGTCACAACACGAACCACATATTGGCAACAGAAGTAATTATGTGGCAGACCACAAGCATTCGACTAGTACAAGCACAAATGCGCTTGATTTAATTAAAGATATAGATTTTTCGTCGTCGTTTTCAGATAACTCCAAGTCCGACTACTCATCCAACGAACAAGACGATTCTGATTTGTTTGATCCTGCTGATTTAGAGGGTCTTGTGCTACCTTCCGCTTTGAAAAAAGAAACCGCCCAAGAATCTAATTTACAGCCATCATCGTTAATGAAAATTAAAGAATCAGAGCATGATAAGAGCCTACTGTTGAAAGATGCATTCATAACGCAGCCGTCTCTTCTTCGGCCAGTTGCTAATGTTGCAGCTCCTGAACAACATGATTCTCCACAAGCATATATAAGGAACCCTTCCTCTACACATCAATCGCCGACACATGACTCGATTCGTCCTCCTTCCATTACCAATTCACCTATAAAGCCTCAGGGCTTTTCTGTTCACCAACTAATGCAACTTGGTGGTGCACCTCGTAATTTCGAGCCTCTGACTTCCCAAAAATCCTCTCCAATAAAGCCAATCACTTCGTCTCCAAATGATACGAACAAACGAAAGTTTTCTCCGATAAAGTCTAATAATTTTGTATCGCCAGTCAAGAAAGTTAAACCGGTAAACCTTATGCAATCTCGTGGGTTCACCACATCTGCCAACCCTAAGCTCAAAGATATATACCCTACTATTCAATTAGCAACTCAAAAACCAATGTCGGTTCAAGAGAATACAGAGATTAAACCAAGCATTTCATCTACAAAAGACCTAAAAAATGTAAAGCCAATCGTTCTCTCTAGTGAACAAGAATATGTCTTGCAATTAGCAAAAAGGGGACAATCGCTTTTCTTTACAGGTTCAGCTGGTACTGGTAAATCTGTATTGTTAAGATCTATTATTAAATCGTTGAAAAGTAAATATGACCCAGATCATGTTGCTGTTACTGCATCGACCGGTTTAGCTGCATGTAATATCGGGGGTGTAACACTTCATAGTTTTGCAGGAATTGGTTTGGGTGATGGAAAGGTGGAAGATCTCATTAAGAAGGTCAGAAAAAATAAGAAAGCAATAAGGAAGTGGGTGAATACAAAAGTTTTGATTATAGACGAAATTTCAATGATCGATGGTAGGCTTTTAGACAAGTTAGATCAAATTGCTAAAAAAATACGCCATTCTCAAAAACCTTTTGGTGGAATTCAGATAATTGCATGTGGAGATTTTTATCAATTACCACCCGTCAGTAAGCCAAAGACTTTAGAAAATGGTGAAGAAGTGGAAGATAATGCTTTATTTGCTTTTGAATCTGAGTCTTGGAATAAAACAATTAAAGCATCAATCATTTTGAAAGAAGTATTCCGTCAGAAAGGTGATCAAGTTTTCATTGATATGTTGAATTCTATGCGTACTGGTATTGTCAGTCGTCGAACTGAGGTGGAATTTCAAAGATTGAGCCGTCCTTTAATTTGCCCTGCTGGGATTGTTCCAACTCAGCTTTTTGCTACAAGGACTGAAGTTGATGATGCAAATAAAAGAAAACTTAACCAACTTGATGGTCAAACTCGGTGTTTTAACTCAATAGATGGTGGATCATTGGCACCCAACATTCGACAAATTTTTTTGAATAACTTTCTAGCCCCACAAAGATTGTTTTTGAAAAAAGGTGCTCAAGTTATGTGTATTAAAAACTTCGATGAAACTTTAGTGAATGGTTCCTTGGGACAAGTTGTTGATTTTATCGATAGGGATACTTACATGTGTCATTCTGCTTTTGAGGAATATCCAGATCTCACTATAAACGAAATCAAAGACAAAATTCAAGAGTCTCATGAGCTGAAACAGAAATCTGAAGAAGGAGATGAAGAGACCGAGAAAACTAAACCAAAAACTAGATTGGATTCTGTTTTTGAATTCCTTCTGAGTTACGAAAATAAGTCTTTCGATACAGATAGCGAGGAAGAATTGTTCTTGCAAAATTCCCAAAGAAAAATGGAACTTTTAAATATGCTTCGACAATCCTCTACTGGTGAAAAATTACCGCTTATCAAATTTTTACTTCCTGATGGTGTTAATACAAGAGATGTTTTAGTAGAACCTGAAACATGGACTATCGAAGATGACAAAACGAAACAGGTTCTAGTAAGTCGTACCCAATTGCCTTTAATGTTAGCATGGGCTTTGTCAATTCATAAAGCTCAAGGTCAGACATTGTCAAAGGCAAAGGTCGACTTATCAAGAGTTTTTGAGAATGGACAAGCTTATGTCGCTTTATCGAGAGCAGTTTCGCGAGACGGTCTTCAAGTTTTAAATTTCAGAAAGGAGAAAGTAACAACCCATCATAAAGTTCAAGAATTTTATAAATATTTGATAACTGCTGAAGAGCTTGCTAGCATTTCATATGAAGATGAGTCGCGTCCCATCTTGTCGATGGAATTGGGGGAGAAGAAATTATATTCTGATACTAAGGCTTAATTTATGCTTGAAAGGATTATATATTTGGAAATGATAAACGTTATGTAACTAATATACAATAGTATGAGTTTTTATATACAAGGATGAATATTGGGTAGTCCTAATTCACGTTCTAATAGTTTAAAAAATGAGTTTTAGGAAGCCTCAATAGGGGTTTTATATTTACAATATCATTCAAATCATTAAAGAGCATAAGACGAGTAAGTTTTTCTAAATCTTCTTTCATCATAGGATTTGTCTGGCCAGCTATTTTATAATTATTCAAAAACACCACCATATTCTTCTTTGTTTCTGCTGATGAGAATGAAAGGACCTTGTTGATGTATAAGTTGAATAAGTCCATTTGAGGATTCTTTACACCAGAAACATCGCTTATTATATTGTCGATAGATTTTGAGGTAATAGGAACAAATGCTAACTGTGGAATTAAGCATTCTATTCCAGTTATGAATAGGTTCGACATGTCTTTGAAGTCCTGTCCAACAAGCTGATGTGGGTGTATGATAATGTTACAAGGATTTGCTCCAGTTGTCTGTTTTTGAAAGAATGTTTCTAGTTCCGTTGTTGAGAGAGTTGAAAACTTTTCTTTCGTTGAAGCTTCAAGGCTCTTGCACAAGTCGAGCAATTCAAAGCTTGGAGGTAAGACTATCAAGATAGGCTTATTGTTTTGGTTTTGTCTGAATGCCTTTATTCCTTTACTGATTATTCGAGATAGTGAGTTACTTTCAAGCTTTCCCGTATCACCTGCCTTAAGCAACAGTTTGTAATACGATAGCCTGGTCTTCAATGACTTTTTCTCTAAATTTTTTAGACCGTTCACCTCCACAATTTTCTTCATTAAGTTCAAAGAATCAATTTTCTCTGGTGAGAATTTAGTAACATCAAAGTTCACTAGATCAACTGTATTTTTATCTATTAATGCTTCCACAAAAGAAAGATTTATCTTTTCAATTTTTGAAGGGTCAAAATCACCTTTGATACTACTCATAAGGTTGTAAGAGCCAATTGATAACAACCTCCTTTCTTGGTTTGAAAATAACCACTGGGAATCCTTGAAGCGTATCATCTTTTCAATGATTGATGTCTGATAGTCAGCATTTATCTTATTCGTAGATTTTTCAATTATATACTTAGTTAGGTCACGACGGATTTTAGAGTCGACATTGGACCTAATTTGTTCAGTCTGGCGGTAAATACTCTCATATATAGGGGACTCATGCTTTTGAAGTGATAGTTGATAAGCCAATCGATGGTAGGGTGGTTCGGGTTGAGTTATGAAACAAAACTGGATTTGCTTATAGAAATGCTTTTTCTTTTCCTTAACTAGGAGCTTCAACAAAGACAGATTCGGGGTTTCCTCTATAGATTTATTCTTATACTGTGGAATTACTTTACGGTCGATGAGTTGAGAGTTCAACTTTTCTTGCAGATACACAAAGCTTGCATGATCGAAACCACTCCCGCTAGGTGAACTGTTCTTTCCGGCTATGTCTTCTATGGCTTTTTTTTGATCAAAATTTCCATTGAAAAATCTTCTCTCGGTATCTTTCAATCTCTTAAGTAGATCCGCTGAAAATGTATCAAAGTGTAAGTTTTGGATTTCCTTAGTACATCGTTCTATCTTGGTTATGTACTTCTTCTTTTCGCCAACAACACTGATTGTTTTGGAAGCATGGATTTGTGAGCTGCTTAATTGAATATCAAAATCGTCCACAGCTAAGAATTTACAATCAGTAAATTGTTGTGAAAAGCTCTTTTCGTTCTCGAAAATCATCTTTTCTAATCTATCTGGTGTTGTCACTAATACTTGAGGGGGTATATCGTTAGATTGGGGCCCAGAACTGATCTGGAGTGATTTTCCATCTGAAAATGCAAATTCTACTAATAGTGGTCTCCGAACAACTTCGTAATTTTGTTGATCGTTATCAGTTTGATACTTTAATTTATGAGGACAGCAATTCACTGGAAGACCTAAAGCTAAGTTTTCAACATAATAATGGTATCTTTTTATCAATTCATCTGTAGCAACCACAATAACACTATCTATTGAGGTCGCCCGGTTTTCTAGAGCACCAAATCGAGGGATTTTCGACAAAGCTACTTGTAATGCAAACAACATAATGGAGAGAGACTTTCCGGAACCCGATGAGCCCCTAAATATAAGACTGTGGTTTGAGTTCAAGGTTGCCAATATCGACCTTTGATCTCTAGTTGGGAGGACATTGTCAACCGTATTACTTTTTAATAGAAAATTATTGAGCTTTTGTTGGAAGAAAGGTAAGATCCCTAAATCAACAAAGCTATTCTTGTTATTAGTGGGATCGTACTCTAATTTTATGGATAGACCATCATTATGATCGGCTTTTGGAAAGGTTCTGTTTCGTATTGTACCTGCACCAACATTATATGCTCGAGATTTTAGGGGTACCACTAGTCGAATACGTTCAGTCCTTTTAGCCAAGCCTCTGAGCATATCTTCGAATTGAGCGAATAGGTCTATATCAATTCTTTGTTCCTAATCACTTGTTGAAACTTTTTGATCATAAGTTTTTAGCGCAGAGATGATATTTTTCGCTCGATTTTTTACAAAACTTCAAAACTACCAGTTGAGGCTGTCTATTTTGAGCATATATACATGCTTTGAATAAATATTATATAAGAAGTTTATGAAATAAAGGCTAGATGATAAAGTTTATAAGATGAAAGAGATTAAATTGAATTTCTTCTGTAAAGTGATCTAGGAACATCACCACTTCTTATCTTGGACTTGTCTATCATACCTGCGATTTGAGGGAGACGGCCATTCTGTTCCCAGTTGCTAAGTAAGCTATCCGCATATGCTAAACCAACATGATGAATTTCATCAAATTTTGCAAAGTCTAATGTTGCATAATCATCAATTGGAGGTCTCAAGTATATGACTCCTGGTGTTTTTTTAGCCATCTCTAATGCATTAACACTTGCAACATATGCTAATCTCAATTGAATGTCCATCATATTTGGTACATTTGGATGTTTCGAAAATGGATTCCACCTATTGAATAATACCCAGAAACCAGATAATGTGTCACCATAATTCATTGGGGTCCTATCATCGGCTGAACCAACATCAACTGCAATAATATATTTTGCACCTTTCTTCTTCATTTCCATGACAGGCAAATTATCTAGATAGCCACCGTCTAGTAACATACATCCATTGAATGCAATTGGGGGTAATAAACCTGCCAATGACATTGAAGCTCTTATGAATCGCCATGCATATCCGGATTCATGGATATCCATAGTAGAGTTGGTGATATTAGTAGAGTTACAAAAGTATTTGATCCAAAAATCTTCAATTTCTGCAAAACCAAATAATTTCCATATACCCCTATTGAATTCATACCCTGTGATATATGAGGTAACTGGATAAGTTAAATCAAAAATAGATCTCCATAATGACGAAACACGTTTTGCAAACTTTTTGGCTCTACCGTATATAGAAACAATATTATAATCCATTGCATATAATCCACCAACAAAAGATCCTATTGAGGTACCCCCAATTAAATCAATAGGAATACCGTGCTTTTCAAGGGCCATGACAACACCGACATGAGATATACCACGGGAACCACCGCCACCCAAAACCAATCCGACGGCTTCATTAGAAAGTATTCTAGCTAATCTTAAGAAATCGTTCTTATGAGATTGAACCGATTTATATGCCATGTTTTCCGTTCTGTTGAGACGAGAATTCAATTTGACCAATGAAGACATGGCTTTTGATTTGACATTTTCAAATTTAATCTTGATGTTAGGATTGGTTTTGCTGCTAATTTTTGCAGCTAAATCACTTATGATATTTGGCTTTTTCTTATTCTGTTGTCTATTTTTATCTCTATTCAATTCCATTTGAATATGATGGTGTCCTTGAACCCAAATTCTGTTTTTCAACCATATACTAGTTGATCCAGGAACGACATATTTGTCAGGATGGATCAAACATAAATCAGTTCTTGCAGTAGTTTTCAATTTTATGAGTAATCTTTCATAGTCACCAGCATTGATTGCGACATCATCATCTTCTGCATCGGCTAATAATAAAATACAATCACCTTGAGATATACAAGTAGATGTCCAATTTGATTTTATGGGGGTGTCACATACATAAACAATCGTTTCATACTCTTCCTCTAAGTATGCGAAATAACCTGAAAGTTTCAATTGAGCTAATCTTTCATCAAACGCATGGCGACCAAGATGAGTCAAGGTAGATGCTTGGTCTAGAGCAATAACATTACGACCAATTGATTTTAAGGCACTTACCAATTTGTCTGCAAATTCCCTCACGGGTAACCCACTAACTGAAGGAAGAATGGTGATTGTTTTGTAATCGTTACTAATATATGGGGTTGTTGACGTAGGTATTGGAGCAACAGAAGTATTCATATATTGATTGTGGGGATGCTTATTACCAGATTGCTGTACCATTCTGCTGGCAACAATTCTGGAAACTTTAACCATTATTGAAGGATTTTTCAAGGATAGCATCTCAAATAAAGTTCTTGGAATTCTAGCAGTTTCAGAGTCCCTTACTGCAATAAGAGAATTCGTTCTGCGAGATGCCGTCAAAACTTCAACTTCACCGATAGATTCACCATGTCCGTACTCACCCAATACTTCATAATCTTCTGATGATAATTGATTATGATTTGAGTTATGTCTATTATTAGTAGTTTCATCTATTAGGTTATCATTGTAATTATGAATGTCCGCAGTAGAACCATTCAAATGAACCTCACTTTTACGAGGATTATTATTTTTGATAACCCTAAACCTACCACTTAAAACTATATGGAAACCATTAGCAACATCACCTTGAGAGCAAAGTACATCCCCAGCAGGAATATGGCACCATTCTAAGGCATAATCAATTATCAAAATTTCTTTTGACAACAATGATTTCAATTTGGAGGCAACAGGCAATTGTAAGAAATAGTATTTATCAGATAATTTTGAAAAGTCGGACTTGGAAATGTGAGCAACGATACATCCTTTATCCTTGAGCGTCCTAATAGAAACTAATGACCTAAAACCAACAATTGAGCTAATGTATCCAGCCAATCCACCGGGTTGAACGCTGTAAAGCTTTTTGAATGATGAGGGCGCTTCTGTATCCGTTGAATTTGATTTATAATAAACATCCAAGGATCCATCAATAACGTAGTATAATCCTGAGTTAAACGAGCCTTGTTCAACGATTGTCTTATTAGGTTGGATGTACTTGACTTCGAGATATTTACCGAATTCATTCTTGATATCATTAAAATTCAAATCAGATGAATGGGAGCCTGCTTTATTTTTTAAACCCTGACCATTTACTAGATTATTAATGATACTTGAATCGCCAACATTTTGATTCTTCAATTGAGATTGGCTTATAGTATTATAAACTTTAGTGGGAATTGGACTATCACTTCTAGAGTTCAAGCTGTGAAGAGAGTCGAGCCTATTCCTCCCAAGTACCGTATCGTAAATACTGTGTTCCAATCTGTTATTCAGATTTCCGTTCAAAAGGTTGACTTGTGAAACACTATTTCCATTCATCAAACTCGATAACCCAACAACAGATGAGTTTACGGAAGAAGACATACTCCCGTTTAATGGCTCATTGTTAATCAAGACATTATTTTCATCAATACCAATTAATTTGAACACATTTTCAACAATTGCAATTCGCAAAGAAGTTTCTTCGGTTTCTTCACGATCACCTGAGAATTCAAGTTCCCTTATGTCTTCGACTTTTCCATGGTCCCTCTTTAACGGAGTAGGGATATGCAGTTTCACAGTTGTACTTGAAGGCTTGCTAGAATGAGAAGGGTGAGGACGGGTAGATGTATTAGATGAACTTTGAGAGTTCAATTTGTCATTGGACTCTTCAGATGGATCGGGGTGAACTGCAGTTGCGTGGGACTGATAGTAATCAGATCGTCTAGATAATGGAACGGATGATAATAAGTCCCCAGGGTGGGACGATTTTGATCTTGAATCTAAAACAACGTATCTGGAAGACGATTTTTTTGCCGAATGTCTTGAACTATTATTCACTGTACCCTTAGTTAAAAATGGTGGTCTCTTTTCGATTTTATCTCCATTTTCATTTGATTTTGTATTATTAGATTGGCTGTCTTTTGATTTATCATCAGGTTTGCCATAAAATCTTTCAATGACACCTTCATGTAAATAGCTTGGTAATTTTGTATCCTCCTCTGAATTGTTAAGTTTAATCTCACTATCGAGAATCTGGCTAGTCAAGCCAAGATAATTGTGAATGGTATTCATAGTGACCTTGTATAATCTAGTTAAAACCATGGTAACAATATGAGAGGTTGCTTTTGGATATTTTGACTGGACTCTTTGAAATGCCAGATATGGAATAATGGCAATTGTAGCACTTGTATTAGCATGACTTTTTTTCTTATCATCAGATTTTGACAAAGGCTTTGGTCTGGCAATAATATCTGGGTAGCAATAGCTAGATGATTTCCACTGAGATTCATGAGGTGGCGAAGGAGGTATTCCACTCGGAGAGCCTCTAATAGTATGGCTTGTAGGACTCTGATCTGGACGTCTGGGCTCTGGCTGTAAAACATTAGTATCCATTGGAGTTGGAGTACTCGAAGGAATTGGAGAATTTGGTAAAGATTCTAAGTATTGTTCAGGTAAAGGTGACTGGTTTTTGGGATAAGAAGGGCGTGGATAATCAAGAGGAGAAATACCACTATCATTCGGGCTATTATTTTGTAAAGGGTTAATATGAAAGGAAGCTTTGGTGTTATTTTGTCCATTCAGCTTTTGAGTCAAATCGTAATTTTGAAAGTTTTCAACACTAACCCCAGTGCTGCCAGCGATACTTGATAAATTAGTATTAGAATGTTGAACCTTAGAATATAAAGGTTTGAAAAGGTCGAGGGTATTAATCAAAGAAGAAAGTGGAGATCCACTTTTAACTTCATTCAATAGCTGATATCTTTGATCACCAATTCTTAGAATATCTCCCTTTTCATAGTCAATTTCATCGTCACTTTCCAAATCCCTTGGGCTATTCTCCAGTGAATTAGCAAACGAGTCATTGATTTTTGTATAAACTTGAAGAGTACCGTCAACTACAATGGAAAATCCCAATTTTTCATCAAGATACAATATTTCATCACATGATAGCTTTTGAGTGGTCATATTTTTAGTTAGTTCATGGAAAACTGGTCTTTCCAAATAACCAAACACTTTGATTGCACTTAAAAATTCATCCAAGTAATTGGAAGTAGATTTATTTTCCCCACGATGCTTTTTATTGGTCATGTCATTTACAATATCGATATCTTTATGCTTTTTGGACTTGATCCCCGGTTGGGTGTCTTTTGAATAGCCTGTCAAATAACGATAACGAACAATGATAAAGGATATGCCCAACATGATTGATAAAGTAACCAATATCAGAGAAAGCGATAACGTAACCTGATAATTGATCGAAAGTAAGTTCAATATTATAGTTGGAACAATTACCACCACATAGTTCATTACCTTGAAAAATATCCACAGCCAGAACCATAATGTAGCGGTCACTATGGATATAGAAGAGGAAGAATCTCTCGCCGGCGGTAAAATCAACGAGGGACTCAAGCTAGCGGATAATGAGGAGATCAGAGCTGTTTCCAGGGTCACTACAGCTGATGCCAGCGTCAGCAAGGACTCCAAAGACAACGACATTGAATCCATAGAACACACTTATAAAGATTGGGGATGATAGTATACTTCAAGAGAAAAAGGAGTAAAGTAAGTTGGGGGTGTCTCACTTTTCAATTTTGCTATTGTCTCACTTTTTAATCGGTTATGGAATCTACGCTAACAAAAAAATGATTCTACGAATTTCCATAATACATATGTTTTGTACAATATTCTTATTATCACAATAAATAAGGGGGGTGGTTAAGTAGAAGAAGATGGTAAGTCATAAGGCAAACAGCCAAAACGGTATAAGATACGTTCGATACCGTCCATACCTTTAACTAACTGGTGTAATTCGGGACCATAACTGATTCTAACGTAATTATACCAAATAACGTCTTCTAAGCTAGATAAGTTTTGTGGGTTGATTAAGAAGAAGAAACCAGGAACCACAATAACTTTCTCGTGTAAACATTCGTGGAAAAAGCCTAAACAATTACTTAATTTAGCAGGTAAATGAGATAAGTTTAACCAAAGATAAAAAGTTGAATTTGGAATTTTGCCATTTGAGAAATCAAATCCCATTTTAGATAATCTTTCAATTATATAATCTCTTTTCATTTTGAAGTGGGCTTGTAAAGCCATCATTTCTTCTCTAACTTTAGGAGGTTTTAAGAAATCAATTGCAGCGTATTGGAAAGGAGAGTTTGAACCACCATCTAAAAAGGAACCAGCACTGCTTAAAGCATTGATATAGTCTTCCGGACCCAAGATCCAGCAGATTCTCCAACCTGGTAATCTAAAGGCTTTGGTTAACCCATTTAATATAAGCACCGGGTCCTTATTAACATCTTGAACGTATTTTGCTGAACTGATTGAAGAGCCTGAGCAGTTATCATCATAATAATAGTGAGAGTAAAATTCATCCATAATAAGCAAACAACGTTCTCTACATAAACGATGTAATTTTTCTAATTGACGAGGCTTCATACATTTACCAGTTGGATTACGGGGATTTGAAGTTAATAATGCAGAAACTCCTCTAATTAATTCATTTTTAATAATTTCTAAATGAATTTCATAGTTATCAACTTCATTCAATGGAACTGGAATTGGCGAAAAATTTTTAAATAATGATAGCATTTCGGCATAAGCAGTATAATCCGGTAAGAAAAAGGAAAGATAACAATCACTGATAATTGAAGCAATACGAGTTAAACCAGCTCTACCTCCAGGAACGATACACACATTCTTATAAGTATATTTAGAAGGCTGATCTTGACGATAAGTTTCATTATAATAATTAGCAACAGCTTCACGTAATTCTTTGATTCCTGCAGTAGGGGCATACTCTTTAGAATGGTCCGGAATTGGAATTGACGTAGGTCTTTTAAATGATCCTGGAACAGTGTCACCGTGTTCTGGAGCACCTTGACCTAAATTGGCCCATTCAGGGTTCCCATTATCAAACCCATACTCGTTGGCGCGTTCGGTTACCCATAAGACCCCAGTTGAAGATTGTTTGGTATTCATTGCCGGTTTATGAATCTCTTCATTGAATTTAGGCCGGGGTAACGGAATTGGTGATGACTCACGTCCATTCTCTGATCTCGACAACTTCTGGATAAGCTGGTTGTGTTGGGTTTTTTTATGATGCTGGTGATGGTGATGGTGGTGGCGTGAAGGAGTACGAGAAGATGGAATCCCAGAATCCAACCATGATGACTGGAAATGGTTCTCTCTTGGGGCAGGGGTAGTTGATGGGGACGAATTGAGGTTTGTATTGGAAATTGCTTCCAACAAAGAGCTGGCTGATCTTTTCAAATGGTCTGGAAGAGTCGACTCCAATCTTTCGAACTCGGAAACCGAATCATCGTCTGATTCGTACACTGACATGGCAATTGATACTTAAAGTTGTAGTTAAAGGAGGAAGAAGTTGTTAAAAGCTGAAAAAAAAAATGCTCCGGTGCGAAGCTGTCAAAACCTTTGTCTATCGGTTGATTCCCTTACTCCGACTCTCTAGCTTTGATATTAAGCCATGCCATCGGTGCTCCAGATCGGCCGTATTCTCGTGGAACACCTGGTGCCGGGATTCAGTGCTGCTTCCCTAGGTTGAAGACGAGGAGGGGACGGGGAGCCTGGATTATTTGGGGTGTACGGGCGTGTTGATTTCGGACCCGAGAGTCTTGTTTCTTCGGTGAATCAACGGGTACCAATGCAACAGGGCATCCGGGGAAGTCAACCATCTCAGGGTTTGTGAATGATCGCAGTACAATCGCAGAGATAGACACACCAGAGCCCGATAAGCAAAGATAACCAGAGATAACCATGGAGCGAGATATCTGTGGCGAGTCAGAGGTCTACCATACCCAAACAGTGAGAATCCGACTATCGGCTAGTACAAAACAACTACTACTACACCAACAACAACAATGATAGTAAGTACAACACAACTCCTGGCGGTGTTTCAGAGTCAGGCTGTTAGTAACCATTGCACCACCCTGAGTGGGTGTGGGCATTTAAAGTTTTTAGGGAAATATGGCTAGCGGTGAAAATTTTGGAAAATTGCCGTGTATGTAGACCAAGATGGACAATAAAGATGGAGTAACAAATTTGAACCTATAATTATAAAGATCACCACATTTCCTACTTGATATTTTGGAAACAACTTTTGATCTAGTGGTTTTATTTGTTATATTGTAATATCATTGCTTATTTTACTTACTTTCCTAACTTTATTAGCTTTATTTATTAATTAGTACCCCCACAAGTACTCCGGGTATATTTGTATAATACATCCACAACCTCTTGTACTTTCTTGTACTTTCTTGTGCTTCCATCTTGACTTCTCTTACTTCAAACCAATAAAGAGATACTAATCTTGTTATAGAGTGATTTTTGATAATCCTTTAGTTGGAGTCGCTTTTTTTTTTTTGTTTTGTTAGTCTCATCTGTGGTTCGTTATATAAAAAAAGCCATCTCATGAATACTGTGAACCAGGATTGGTACCATGTCAGCAGTAATTCTACATCTTCTTCCCCTTTGACTAACTCCTCCAATACGTCAGCATCCACTATTGAATTAGTTCCTAATCATCATCATTATCTGGAACATTTTTCGTATACTCAATCAACACCGGCTTCAATACCAATTCCAATCCCCATTGCTCATCGGACTAATTTTAACGAGAATCCTTCTTCTAATTTGGAATCCATGGGTCAAACTTATCTGAGAAGTTCTTTATCGTCATCTAGTGCATCTCCTGAGCAATTTGGATTCACTCCTACCAATCATAATCACTATCGTCATCATTATTCTAATCAACCGTCATCATTCTTTCTTTCACCAATAACATCCAATGATTCTCAAGCATCTACGCTAAATTCATTGAATTCCACCTTGACTAACTCCAATGATATAGATCATAAGCATTCTGGTGAGAACTTTAGTCCATTACTTTCTTTACCTATTGAAATTTTATATAAAATTATTGAGATTGTTTATTATGATGATAATACGAATTCTATTAATTCGAGTTTAGAAAAATTTTCTAAAACCGTTCCACTTTTATCCAAAACTGTCAATCAATTATCACTTCGGTTTTTATATAAATATGCCATCTTTAATAGACCGCATTCATTTGATAAATTTTTGAATAATTTAAATTCTCAACCGGAATTGGGGAATTATGTTGAATTCATGGATTGGCAAACTTTCACTTCAATTGGTCTTGGTAGAACCGGTCGTATGAATCAGGAGATTCAAATGGTTACTTCCAATACAATTACAAAAGCATTATCATTAACCCCTAACTTGATTGAATTTTTGGCAAGTGAAAATATTCAAGATGATATGGATATAAATGTTTTAAATATGTTATTTAAAAATTTACCCAAGATTCAATCTCTTGATTTCTGTGGTGCAAGTAGTGAAAAATTTGCTAATGCTTTTATTGAATTACAACTTGATGATCAAGATGAAAATCAAATCGATCAAGATGAATTAATGAGCGATGATGAAAATCAAATCATCAATAATATTAATAAGAACCCAACTAGCTTATCAAATTTATTCAAAATCTCATTCCATGATTGTTCAAACTTACCTGCTTCAGTTTTTTCAAAAATTTTACCTAGCTTTAAAAATTTACGCCGATTAGATTTAACTCACACTTCAATAACTTCAACTATCCTTTTGGAAAAAGTTCCTTATGAATGTCGTTTAACCCATTTATCATTAGCTCGTTGCTCAAAGTTGACTACTAAAGATTTAATCAATTTTTTAACAAATCATCCTGCAGTTTCAAATGATTCTCTACAATGGTTAAATTTACAAATTGATCTGAATGTTGTCAGTCCTCTTACTGATGTTTATCTATTATACACTTTGAAACATTTAAAGGCTTCAAATTTAAAATATTTAAATATTGGTGGGTTACCAATTAATAATCGAATTTTACATATCATAAAATCCAGATTCCCCTTATTAGAAAGTTTAACAATTTCACATTCCACTAATCTTGAAGTAAATGATTTGAATGAGTTCTTAAAGGATAACATTGTTTTAAAACATTTTGATTTCACCGGTTGTAAACAAATTAATCGTTGGAAACTAATTAATTTATTAAAAACTAATTTTGATCTTAATTTGAAAAGTTTGGAATTCGATTATAAAACCTTATATGAATTAACAACCGGTGACTATATCAAAATAGAGCCTTTGCAACAATCGTTCCTTGAACAAGCTCCTCCTCAAATATGGAAATTCTACGATAATGAAGGTAGAAGAGCTTGGATCTATAAATTAGATGAATCTAATGAAGAATATAAATCAATCATCTCTGGTAATTCCAAGAATAGGAAAAGCTTAGCAACTTCCAACTTGGTCTATTATGATTTGGAAACTGGAGCCAAAATTGAAACTAAAATCGTTAAACCTGATTTCTTAAAGTATGCTTCAAGAAAAATTAACTGTTCGATTGGTTATTATAATTTGAATTTAGTTAAAAAGAAAACTTACTTGAAGAACGAAGTCTTGGAAAATGTTTGGCCCGTCGAATTCAGTCAAAGGGGAATTTATAACTACTACTCTTTGAATATTAAATAACGTGTTTATGACTCTTTTTTTGCCACCTTTTTAATATATATACATACATATAGCTATATGATGATGTAGGTTAGGCGTTGGTGGTGCACGGGTGCTACTTTTTCCGAGGTTGGTTTTGGTGGGGTAAAGCGAAAAAGTATATAAAGGATTTCACATCCTGTCAAGCCGAAGAATTGGAAATTTCCATTATCAAAATGTCACAGTTAGGGATTGGGAAAGTTAGAAGTCCAATAAATGAAGAGAACTTGAAGAAGTTTCTTGAGAAATTTCAAGAGAATGTTGAATTGAATCAGACTACAAAGGGACATAATCCACTTCCTAAGATCAATCCAAGTACTCTTGAGGTTCAACAATTTAAATTTGGTCAGTCAAATCCAACTTATTTCATTCGTGATACAAGCAGTGATACAAAGTTTGTGTTGAGACGTAAACCCTCACCAAATAATAAGTTGGTGTCAAAATCAGCACATGCAATTGAACGGGAATTCTTTATCTTGAATGGTATTAGTATATGTAATGAGACGACTGATAAAAAAGTCCCGGTCCCCAAAGTTTATTTGCTTTGTGAAGATGAAGGTGTTATTGACTACGTGTTTTATTTGATGGAATATATTGATGGTAGACAGATTGTTAATCCCGGATTACCAGGAATTCCAAGTGAAGAAAAATCTAAATATTGGGATTCAATAATGGAGACTATTACTGCTATTCATTCTTTGAACACCAAGATTTTGATTGAGAATTTACCAGCATCACATTTTCCTCAATTTCAACCTGAAAAATTATCGAAACCATCGAAATCCACTTATTTTCAACGTCAAGTTCGAACTTTAACCTCGGTTGCTTCATTACAGTCTAAAGTTGTTAAACCAATACCTCATTTTGCACAAATATGTGAATGGTTATTGAAAAACTCTCCTGAAGATCCAACAAAACCAACTTTAATCCATGGTGATTGTAAAATTGACAATGTTATTTTTGATCATAATTCTCCTAAAATTATTTCGGTACTTGATTGGGAACTCTGTACTTTTGGACATCCTTTATTTGATTTAGCAAATTTCTTGCAACCATATCAATTACCAAACAAGTTAAACCTACTCTTATATAAACCCGATAAAACTAATTTAGGTAGAGAAATTCCTGATTCAATTAATCAATTATATGAAAAACTAGATTTATATCAACAAAAATTACAACATAATTGGCAGGAACTGAACCCAAAAAACAACCCCCAGGATACTTGGAATGTTGGGTTTGTATTTGGTTTACTAAGATTATGTGTTATATCCCAAGGTATTGCAATGAGAGTTTCTAAAGGTAATGCTAGTTCTGATAATGCTAGTGGGTATGCTAGCTTATATCCATACTTGGCTTCGTTGGCCATTGAGACAATTGAAGAAGATTCAAAAACCAAATCCTCCCATTTGTGATGCAAATTTATTTTCTTTGTGAAGCGGACAAATTACTGGATTTCCGATGATTGTCAACTAATAAGTTAATTACATTTCCTCTTAAATATTTCTATTTATATAAACTCAATACTTTTATATGATTTACTCGGCATATTTCTTAGCCTTTATTTTCGACAATTCGACCTAACAATTATTAATTCCATTTATTTGTAATAATCCATCTTTAATAGGTTATTAGGTTAACAAAAACTTTTTGCTCTATTCCCGAAGCCATTTCCTGCAATTTCCTCGGAAATCACATCACCTAATACAATAAGATGACATGCAAGATACGATTTACTATTATTCAAACTAGGTAGATCAATTAAACTTATGTTAGTTGTCTAAAATTTTTCAATTTTTGTCACTTTAAAACTGGCAACAGAAAGAATTTGAAACTTTTGTCGCGTAGAACTGGACCAACAGCCCAAAGTACTGTATTCTTAAGACATATATTGGTATATGATGGCTCCTTCGTCTAGAAAAAACTACCGGTATATTATAAATAGTAAGGATTTCCCATTGAATTCCTATAAGAAAGTGATTAGTTGGTAATTCTGCAAAAAGTGATTTTAAAGCCCTTTTTTTTATTGCTACTTGGATTTTCCGGTTTAGTTGGTCTTTTTTTCCATTAATTAAAACTACTTATTCCCTGCTCATCTCTTCCCTTTGATCCAGAAGCTATTTGAATATGGAATATAAAGAATATCACGAAATCGAATATGACCACTATGGTGGAGACATCATTATTAGGTGTCCATTTGAAATGTGCCATGCTAGAGTTATACCACTCGCTACCGTTCGAGGTACTGAAATTTTAATCCAGAATTCTCCGGATATGCTTCAAATAAAAGATAATCATGCTGTTCCCACTCCAACCAACGGTAATATACAATTTTACAAAGTGAATGACGTTTGGGATTTTGATAATATTGGAGTATCAAAACCAGCCAATGATTTGAAACAGCCTATAATAAAAGATAGCCAAGATTCAGAACCAATTGAATTCAAAATTGAAAGATTGTTGGTTTGTAGTGAATGTGATAAAGGGCCTCTTGGTTTTGCTGGTCACCAAGACAATAATACCGATGTCAAGAGCTTAAAATACTTTTTAAGCTGTAAAAGTGTTTTATATGAAGTTAGAGATTAATCACCTATTGTATTGCATTTTACTTCGACCCCGGTCGGGGCTTTAGAATAATTTCACTCGTCAGAAAATGATATTAATTAGCATAATAATATATATATCTACTTATATGTATACTTATATATTAAAAAAAAAATTATGAAAAAAAAAAAATTATTGAAAGTTTTACTGAAAAAGTTTACCATTTAATTTAAGCCTTTTCCTTGGTCAATTCTTTTGAAATTCCTAATGATATCTTTCTTGCAAAGGCCATGGTTGAAATCATTGGATTAACACCAGTAGCTGTGGGTAATGAACTGGCATCCGCAACAAATACATTTTCAGCTTCATATAATCTACCATCAAGATCAGCTGCTCCATATTCAGGACCCTTACCACTAAGTCTACAAGAAGCCATTTGGTGAGCCGACCCGAGTTGGTTAGAAGCAAGATCAAGTGGAGTTGATGCAACTTTTTTCCTCCATGCAACATAGTCTTCGTCAACGATTGATCTTGATTCTTTTGGTTTATCGGATTTGAAATTTGGAACATTATACTGTGGGTTGAAAATTTCTTTGGCCCCTTCAATGTACATGATATCACTAGCAGTCACTACCCCTTCTAATAACACTTTACGATCATATTCACTAACTTCATAGTCAATTGAAAAGGCATCCGGTTTCTTCTTGTCATAAGAAATTTGACCATGGCCCAAGTCTCTGGTAATAACAATCATGACTGAAATATTATTGTATTTCAACATATCTTGTCTCATTTTATCACTTGATTCCCAGGTCATAAATGGTGCTTGTAAATAAGGAGCTTGTAAACAAGCCTCAATCTTTGGACCGTGGGCTTTCCCATCAAGATCATCTAGTTGATTACAAGCTGTAGTCAAAATTGAATTAGCATAAGGTTTAGTTTTATGTTCTTTACCAAAATCACCAAACATACATTGAACTGGATGACATTTGAAATTGTCTCCAATATTTTTGTTTGTGAAACCGGATTTTTGTAAAACAATTGGAGTATTCAATGTACCAGAAGAAACTATGTATTTTTTAGGACCTCTGATTGTGAAACTCTTACCGGTTCTGACATCCTTACATAAAAGTCCATTGGCTTTACCATTTTCATGAAGTATTTTTTCAACTTTAACCAAATCCATAAATTTACACCCATTTTCGGCAGCATCCCTGAACCAGCAAGCAACACCACCCTGTTTAATACCATATTTACATCCTAAATGACAAAATCCACAATTATGATTCTTGTGGCCACCACTATTTTGAGCAACTTCTTCAACGTCAAAACCTAATTTTCTGGATCCGTCAAGAATTACTTGATTGGTAAACGAATGTTCCACACCCTCTGAACTTGCCCCCATTTTCTTCCAAACATAATCAAGACATTCATCAAACACTTCTTCTTCGACCCAATCAACTCCGTAATCCTCCTTCCATTCTTTACGAACTTTCGCTGATGGTTTTAAACAAGCAGACCAATTAATTGTGGAACCACCACCAAAAGCAGAAGCTGCGAAAAAAACCATTTCTTGAGTATTCGACATACAACCACCGGCTAATTCATACATATTCCTCATACCTTCATAATCATTGAAGTTCAATTCTGAAGGATGGAAGTATGGTCCTTTGTCCAAAACTAAAGATCTATGACCATCTTGGGCTAAAGTATGAGCAACAACACCAGCGCCGCATCCAGAACCAATAATGACGGCATCTACATCAATGTTTAAGACAGCACCATCTTCTGATGGTGGGAGTTGCATTTCATACTGGAAGTCAGGTTTTGTCTGACCTTCATATAATTCTTCTCTCTTTTCCCTCATTGGGTAGCCCATGGCTTGGTTGTGCAAATCATATACGATTCTGGAATAAATCGCAAACGTTGCAAGGTGAAATAACCTAAAGAGCTTTCTTTTGAAAGCAAAAGGTGAGTCTCTCCAATTTTGTAATAGTTTTTCACGTTGGTGTATATCCATATCTTTCACTAAAGTTACTGAATTTGTTACTGGGGGTGATAAGAATTTAGATTCTAATAAATTACTTAATTGAAGAAAAGCTTCAGTTGAAGCAACAGAGCCAGCATTTAACAAAGCCAATACTTCTTGTCTAAATTGGGGGACTGTTGAAGGTCTTGGGAAGTTTCTTGCATATTCTTCAATTTTATCCTTAGGAAAATCTTCATCTAAAAATTGTTCAATTTTTTCTGGAACGGTTTCATGAATTAAAGCGTCAGAAAGAAGAACGAAGCTATCAAGGGCTTTTTCCGTTATGACTGGTATTTTTTCAGGCATCGATGTCGGAGAGGTTGGTTATGATGATGACAGAAGTGCCCGGTTAACTCTTAATTACTGGAAATAACATCATTTAAATAAAAACTTTGAAAGGAAAAAGCTGCTCAGCATCAAATTACAAAATTCTGAAATACCATTGTTCATTAATTTATGAGCTTACTTCATCTTTGAAAGACTCCAGACTGTAACTTGATATTGAAACTAGCTAAATCGTTAAGCTTTGACATGCATTCTCAACAATAATTCAACTCAATAGCCAAAACAAAAAAAAAAAAATTCACAATACGATTGCTCCTAACATTATATGTATAAATTATGGACGACAATAGAATGCCATATGATCCAGTTTAATTGAAAGCTAAAAGTTACCTTTGTATTCAACATGAATGAGCTAAATTTCAACTATAGACAGTAAGTGCATGATCTCAATATTCTACTACGATTCTGCTCCAGCTGGACGTAATGATTATGTATATTTAAATTCACAAACGTTGGGACAATAATTGTTAACCTTTGTTTTTCATATATCGCCGAAACATCCTCTATTTTTGGCCTTCACTTTCCGATTATGGCTTTTACAATAGTTCAATTTATCCAACAACAATTTACTGTCTTCCAATGCTGTGTTTTTTTGCAAAAAAAAAAAAATTTTGCAATCTTCGACAATGCGATCCGTTTGTGAAGAACTACACGAAAGCCAAACCCATTCAAATAGAAAAAACGACAAGTCAAGGTGTTTGGAGTATGTCTTAACCCTAGCTTGTGACTTAACTAGGTTGGCTCTCTATTTTCACTAACCAAAGGCCATAATACAAAATATACAATAAATGTTGCGGAATTGGCTCAAACGGCCTTATACATGGGATGTTGCATTGTACAAACATGTAAAATGTTGGGAGTGACGACAACAAAGGCCAATTGTGCTATATAATTCAAATGGCCTTTCAGCTTTGATTCGCCCCCTGAATATCTTTTTTATGGACGTTTTGCAAAATAATGTACGTACTTGAAGTAAATTTAACTTTAAGTCGTTCATTTGAGTTCTATATTGGGGTTTGCACAAATTCTTATTCTTCAAGCTTTTGGGACGTGGAAGATCTGTTTGAAGACAAGGTATGTTTATGCCAGAATTCTTGGATCAATGGATCAAAGATTATGAGCCAATTGAATAAACTTCATCTTTTTATAGTTCCTTCCGGGAAGCGTATTTCGATTTGTATAATATAATTCCATTCGTCTTAGAAAGTAACAAACACCAAAGAAGCATATACTATCGTTCGTAAAAGATGTTTCAATGAGCTAATATCTCGTTGGTAAGCTGGGAAGCAGAAGTTAAGCCTTGTGTCTATTGTTACTATAGGCTATTCGTTAATAGTTTACTGACCAAAGATTACAGATTACATGCAGTTGTCATTTCAAAAAAAACTTTTCAAAAAGTAACTAATTAAATATAAGGGAATATCAAGTGAAAGAAACTAACATTATTCATGGCGTAATCATATAAGAAATTAATATGAGGATCATAATCAAAGTTTAAGTTGAGGTTTTAAATCTTTGGATATATCCAATGCAATCTTTCTGGCAAATGCCATGGTTGTGATCATTGGATTAGCACCACTAGCCGAAGGCATAGCACTAGCGTCAGCAATGTAAACATTTTTACATTCAAAAAGTCTTCCCTTAAGATCGGCTGCCCCATGAGAGGGACCTTTTCCACTAATTCTACAAGAAGCCATTTGGTGAGCAGACCCATATGAAACACCATACTTACCAAGTGGTATTTTGGCAATCTTATTTCTCCAAGCAACGTAATCAGAATCAGTGACTGATCTTTCATGCTTTGGTTTATTTGATTCGAAATCTTCAACTGAATTTTGTGGGTGGATAATTACCTTCACACCTTCCACGTACAAAATGTCAGCAGTAACCAAGATTGCTTGTAACATAGAATTACGATCAAACTTGTTGAGAGTATAATCTACTGTGAAAGCATCTTCTTTGTCGGCATCAAATTTGACTGTACCACTAGAGGTATCTCTGGTTAAAATTAACATAGCTGCCAAATTATTATATTTAAGAACATCTCTTCTCAATTGATCACTATCTTTCCAAGGAGTGAAGATGGATTCCATATAAGGACTGTGTAAAATTGTTTCAATTTTTGCACCATGGGCTTTGCCATCTAAATCATCAACTTGGGTACAAACAGATGTCATAATCGAGTTTTCGTAAGGTTTAGTTTTAGTTTCATGACCGAAGTCACCCAATAAAACAGTAACTGGATGTAATTTTAAATTGGCACCAATGTGTTTATTCCTAAAACCTGATTTTTGCAATAAACATGGGGTATGAAGTGATCCACTTGAAGCAATAAACTTCCTTGGGCCGGTTATTCTAAAATGTTTCCCAGTACGGTTATCAATACATTCAAGGCCTGTAGCTTTACCATTTCTATGGATAATTTTTTGAACCTTGACTTGATCCATGAATTGGCATCCTTTGTCTGCTGCATCTCTAAACCAACAATTGACACTACCTTGCTTGACACCATATCTACAACCCAAATAGCAAAATCCACAGGAGTGATTGGGGTGGCCACCACTATTTTGAGCAACAGGTCTAGATTTATAGCCCAATTTCTTAGAACCATCTAATAAAACTTGATTGGAGAATGAATGGGTAATATTCTCATCCGAAGCACCCATTTGTTTCCAAACAAATTCCTGACATTGATCGTAAGTTTCATCTGCAACCCAATCAATGTTGAACTTATCATACCATTCTTTGCGGACTTTGAAAGGAGTCTTTAAACAAGCAGACCAATTGACTGCAGAACCACCTCCAAATGTTGAACCAGCTAAAATAAATAAACCTTGATCTGCTGTAGCAAGTCCTCCACCTTTTTCGTACATATTGTTATAACCTTCTGCATCATTGAAAGTCAATTCTGAGTTTGGGAAGTATTTACCCTTTTCTAAAACCAATACTTTATAGCCATCATTAGTTAATGTATTAGCAACAACACCCGCACCACTCCCAGATCCTATAATCACTGCATCAATATTTGGTAAATATAATTCATTACCTTCATGTTGAGGAGGTTGTAACATGGTATATCTATAATCTTCAATGACTTGATTTTCATAAAGACATTCTCTTGCTTCTTTTCCAGGGTATCCAATAGCTTGGTGATGAATCTCTGGAGCAGTTTTAAAGTAAAGAGCTACTGATAAAGCATGAAATAATTTGAATAATCGATTTCTTAATTCAATTGGTGAATCTCTCCAACTGCGTAAAAGATCAGCCCGTTCTTCCAATGACATATCTCTCACTAAGGTTAGTGATTTCGTAAGAAACGGTGATAAAATTCTGGAGTCTAAGATAGTACAGAGAACGACGAATAGTCTACCTGCAGCTTTTGGATTGGCACGAATAGTTCTTTCAAGTTCCTGTTTAAATTCAGCCCTTTGAGATGGTCTCTTAAAGCTTGTTAAATATTCATTGATCTTTTCTTTGGGGAAATCATCATCTAGATATGGTAATATATTTTCTGCAGTGGTCTCATGAACCAAAGCATCCGATAAGAGAAAGAAAAGTTCGAAATGCTCTGGTTTAATATCTGAAATTATATAATCCATGATACTGCTAACTTGAACCGGAAAAGCCAAATGATTAGAAAAAAAAAGTTTCAAAGTTCAAAAAACAAACGTTGGTGTCACAAATATTGGCAACCAATGATGATATATATCTCGTATGTCACAATCCTGTGATATCTTCGCTACTGGCAAATCAAAGAAATAACTGGGTCCGGTGCGATGCAGAATCACATATTCACCCCACCGTGATCGAGTCCTTTTGCGCCGCCCGCGGTATTCAGCTCGTTTCGCCTGTGAAATTCAATAGTCTTGTATACATTAATTGAGCAAGTGGTGCGAATCCTGGTTGCAATTCTCATAAGCAAATCTATATTGATCTTCAAGTACTTTTATTATTTCATAAGACAAAGCCTATTAAGATGAGACCATTTTTTTTTCCAATTGGAGATTTCGCGGGGTGAATAATACCAAATCATACTATTTTCAGTAGTAAAGCTGATAAACACCTAGTGCTTATCAATATGCCAAATTGGAATGTTTTCAAATTCTTCTGGTAAGTCAAACTTAGCTCTAAGCTCTTTCTCTGAAATACCCACGGCATTAACTTTCGTAAAGTAGTAGACCATGCATTCTAAACTATCAGTAAAGAATTCGATTGCCTCTAGTAAATTAGTATTTTTAGAATCTAGTTGACGCATGTTTGATGTTTTGTCAAATTTTTGCAAGCTTTCTTGTAATTTGAGTTTGAGTTTTGATAAGTTTTGATATTTTGACAAAAATCCTGATCTTGTTTCTGATGGGATTCTAACTGAATTTTCTGTTTGTATGTTAACTTTCAATTGCTCGATCTTTCTTTGCCTATCATTGAATTTTTCCTCTTCTTTTATTAATCTCTGATTCAATGCATTATACTCATCATATTTAAAGCTCCAATACAAGTTGGTTATCCCACATTTTTCAACCGAAACCTTATTATCATCAACCAATTGTTGGACCAAGTCTTTTATTATCATCAGGGAGATCCCGGTGTATTTGGAAGCATCTTTTTCGAGTTCTTTAACTGTGTAGAACGAGTGTGATTTTGTAAAAAAAGAGTGAAGTTTTTGGAGTTTTTCTTCGTTTGAAAGACCCTTTTTCTTTGGCGCCTAAAGTTTGAGTTAGTAAGTTGGTATTGGATACTAGTTATTAGCTTTATAGTTATACCCACCATGGTGTATTGTTTGAATGTGGTGTTAAAACTGAAGAGAAGTTAGTCGCGGGAGAGTTTTTTTATTTTACGTTTTTATTGCAACATTATCATTATAATACAAAAGCTATGCTATTTATAAGTAATTTAATTTATATCAGGGGATGAACTACCTTCTCTTTTTTCGATGTTAGCATCAGGTTTTTCCAAATCTGAGACATCGACCTCATTTACTAATTCATCTTCACTTTGATGAGATAAGCCATTTTCGAATTCTTGATCGAATTTAACAAGAGCGTATTTATGGGCTTTCCAAGCGGGAACTTCAAATAAATAATCCATTGCTTCTAATGGAACATTCTTAGTTTCTGGGTATAAAAGATAAACCACAATTGGGAAAACTGTAGCACAAGCAGCAAAAATAAAATATAATCCAGCCCCAATTGCAGCAATTGCTTCACCGGTCCATCTACCCATTACAAAAGCCCAAAACCAATTTGAGCAAGAATTGATTGCTTGGGTTAAGGTTCTTATATCCTGAGGGAAAATTTCTGAATTAATAGCCCAAGGAGTACCATTCCAAGAAACACCATAGAAAATGGTCCATAAATAAAGGGCTGCTAAAGCTGCACGTCCACCGGAATCCATTGAAGTATCACCTCTAGCTAAGCGAGCAGCCGGATCTGCGATATGAATATAAGCACCAATATAATAGAAACAAATAGCACAAGGAATTGAAAAAACGATTAAAGCCCGACGACGACCAAGATTTTCAACAACGAAAAAAATCCAAAATACAGACGCAAGAGCTTTTAAAACTCCAAAAATCCCCGTTGATAATAAACCAGCGTCTCTACCATTAGTCCCCATTGATTTAAAGATTGTGGGAGAATAATAGGTCATTGCATTAATCCCATAACCATTTTGCATAATAAATAAAGAAGTTGAAAGAAACAATCTATATAAAAGTTTTTTAGAAGTTAAAATACTTTTAAAAGGAGCCCAAAAACCTCGACCGATTCTTCTATATCTTTCATCAATGTCAGTGACAAAAGTTTCGTATTCATGGATTAAATAAGGATGATCCTGGGATAAATTACGTAAAAAGGATAAATTTTTACGAGATTTATCGTATTTTTCCAAAGCAATTAAAAGACGAGGAGATTCCGGAAGTAGGAAAGTACCAAACCAAAATAACCCAGATGGAATTAATTGAATTGCAAATGGAATTAACCACTGCTTACGAGAATTTGGAATATTTTGAGAAACCCCATAATTAATCCAGTATCCAATAATACCACCAATTTGCCAGGATAATTCCCAACATCCAACCAATTTCCCTCTTATGGAAGGTACAGCAATCTCACTAATATAAATAGGAGCAGTACCAGAAGCACCACCAACCCCTAACCCGGTTAAAACTCTCGATGCATATATTGGACCTAATCCACGATCACTATTAGCAGCAAGAGAAATTGCTGCACCAAAAGTTAAGAAAAACCCACTAATAATAAGACCAATTTTTCTACCAACTTGACAACTTATGGGATACATTAATATAGCACCGAAAAAGGCTCCTGCTTGGAAAACTGAAACTACATTCGACAGAATACTGGTTCTTTCATTGGCACTCATTTGACCAAATCCAAATTCGTCTTGAAATGATGCTAATGAAATGGTCCCCCCAATAAAACCCGCATCGTATCCAATAATAACCGCAGCTGAAGCACTAACAAAAGCCATCACGATAATTTTCCAATTATAAACCTCGCTTGGTGTACCAACATACTCATTGGTCTCCTCCTCATTCTTGATACTGCCCACCGACTCATTCTTGATACTGGCCACCGACTCATTCTTGCATGCATTTCTCACCCGCTTCAAGAGTTGAGACATCGTTGGCTTCGTTCTGTCCCTGGCCTTCTTTGAAAAGTTTTCTGCTGTTAAAACTGAAGAGTGAATGAGTAACTCGAAAATTTTGAAGATCTTACGCACTAGCAGTTTTTTTTTTGTTTTTTTGTGTTTTTTTATGGAGGAGATGAACCGTTTTCGGGGTACTGGAAAATGAGGGTTGATCAGCCGGATTCTTCGTGGTATCACAGGATCACGGTCTAGCAAGTAGTTTGCAGAGGGTATAGTGCGTATAGTCCAGCTTGGGAGTAGTACAGAGTAGTGACAGGGTAGGTAGAGTATATGGTAGTGACAGAGTAGGTGGAGTATACGGTAGTGACAGTAGTGACAGTAGTGACTAAGAGTAGGCACAGGCCGATTTCAAAAATGCTTCACAAGACACATAAGTATATATATGCATCACCAGATAAAGATTAACACCGTGAGCAGAAAGAAGATGACCAGCGAGATAAGAGGATTACTGCAAAAAGTCTGATAAAGACGAAAACGTGGGGATTTTGCAATTGATTTGTTGCAGGTTGTGTTTTGCAGGTTTGCTTTGCAGGTTTGCTTTGCAGGTTTGCTTTGCAGGTTTGCTTTGCAGGTTTTCTTTGCAGGTTTTCTTTGCAGGTTGTGCTTTGCAGGTTGGGTTGTAGAGTGGATTGCAGGTTGGGTTTTACATGTTGGGTATATGGTGATTGAGTCTTCATATACTGGATGAGCTGCAAACTCATGGAACATCTACAAGAGTATTCGTCCGAATCTGAACCCGAGTCATCGTCTAGTGCAGTAGAGACAGAGGAGTTACCGGAGATTCTTTTTTATAATACGTATCTGGAGAGTTATACGTTGAATGCACAAAACATGTCGTCGCTATATCTTTATATTAATTGGCGACCATCGTCACCAATGTTGAACAAATTAAAGATGGTGTCAACCAAGATAATGCAGGGACTTCAACAGAAGGATGCCGATTTCTATAACAATTTCCAATGGTCCCTTTATGGGGCCCCGTCCCAGTCGTCGACATCAAATTATGGAAGATTTAGCGTAACTAATTTAAAAAATTTTCGAGATTTTCATATAACGTTAGGACCAAATATAGTGGGGCCATCATATAAAATAGAGCAATTTATTGAAAACTTGAATAATGAAGCTAAAAAAATCAAAGTTAATAAGAACTTAATTAAAAATGATAATATGCAACAAGACCATCAAAATAATTTGAACCGATTATTATTTAAAAATTCCAATAACCCCAGTCTAGTCAATGGGAACCAGAAGAAAATTCAATTAAGTATAAAACCAAAGCTAAGTGTTCATGCTAGTGTAACTTCAAAATCACTTTTCTTAGCAATTTCAATTAAAAATGATAACTTGCAAGATGAATTTTTCGCTCAATTAAGAAATATCATTCATGATCAAAAGGATAAATTGGGATTATCCTGGTATTCGAAATTGAATACTTCTAGTGATTCAAGGTTTCTCGATCAATATAAAAATTATCATACTACTCTTTTAGTAGGCGAATTTAAAAAAATACCTTCTACTGATCAAGTGAAAAATTCAAGAATTAAAGCTTTTGAAATATGTCAAGCTTTAGATCTTGCCGATTTACAAGACATCAAAATAAATATCGATTCGATCTCGGTTGATATCATTGGTCATAATCGAGTCAGAAAAGAAATCAAACTAAATCTAGATGATTATTCTAATAAAAAGAGAAAATCCCAATCTAAATAGAAATATACATTTATTCCCGTGTTTTCCATTCAACGCTCGTTTAGTAGTGTAAAAGTGCACAGTTGAATTTTTGGCTGTGGGGGTTTATTCACTCGAAAAATTTATATCAATCTGTTCTTTTAGCTTTAGTCTCTTTATTCTATCAGGAAATCATGTCTAAGAAACACGAAAAACATATTGAACGTCAATTGATTGATGTTGTTAACGCCAGAGGCAACGATAATAAATGTGCTGAATGTGGTGCTCTGTATCCAACTTGGGCTTCTTATAATTTAGGTATCTTATTATGTGGTAGATGTGCTTCAATTCATCGTCGTGTTCTTGGAGCAAGTAAGATTTCAAAAGTTAAATCTTTAACTTTAGATCATTGGACTAATGATCAAGTTGAAAACTTAAGAAGAATTGGTAATAGAAGATCAAATAAAAAATGGAATCAAATTAAAAATCCGTTTCCCTTAGATGATGATGACGATGGTCCAATTGAAGAATATTTAAGGGATAAATATATTAATATGAAATTCAGAAACGATGGCTTTTTAAATAATGATACTTTTTCCGATGATGGAAGTATTGGTGGGTTAACTCCTCAACCAACTTCTTCAAGACTGAGATCAAATTCTAATTTACTCAGAACAGTAAGATCAAGATCAAGAGCTTCTTCCACTAATTTACCAAGATTAACTCATCGTGTTTTAACTTCCTCTGAAAAATCACAATATCCTGGATCGGTAAATAATATCATTGCAATGGGTTATCGCGATCGTGATGCAATTTTAGAATCTTTGATTTTATCGAATGGTAATGTTGATTTGGCTCTTGATATCTTAGATCAAGATGATAAATTAAATCCTCAAAAAGATGAATTACCTCCTCAATTACCTAAGAGACCTAGTGGCTCAAGTAATGCTATTCCAAGTGGTAATGGTAGTACATCTTCCTTCTCAGCAAATAATCCAATGAGTAGCTTGGTTAATCAACAACCTCAATCCCTGCTGAATGATTGGTGGGCCAATTCTAACCAAACTCAATTACCTTCTGCCACTACGGGTGCAACCAACACTTCTACTCCTAGTATCGTTACAACCCCATCTCAACCTCAAATATATCAATACACTGATCCAATCACTGGCCAAATCTCTTATGTTGATGCTAATGGTCAACAATATCTCGATCCAAATAATCCTCAACATAATCAGCTACTTCAACAGCAATCTAATCCTCAGCTCATTGCCCAGCAAACAAATAAACAAAATATCATGTCCTTATATAACCAACCGGATCAATTCACTACAAATGTTGTCGGTAAAGTTGATCCTACTCAACCATTTGCACAACAGCAGCAGCAACAGCAGCAGCAACAGCAGCAGCAACAACAGCAGCAACAACAACAGTTACAACAACAACAGTTACAACAACAACAACAACAACAACAACCTCAATTCACTGGATTCCAACAACCTCAATCCATATCTCCATTTGCACAAGCATCCTCCCCCTTTGGCCAAACGCCATCTCCATTTGCACAACAACCTCAGCTTCCTCAACAAACCGGGTACTTCCCTCAGGGCGTAGTCCAACAGCAACAACAGCCACAACAGCTCAATCAATTTGGCCAACCTCAACAAGGATACTGGGGTTGATTTTCAATAACGTGATTATGATTCTTTTCCTCTTAATATTTTATTATGTATTGATACTTTAAAAACTTTATATAGATTTTATTCCTCGCAGCAAACAATTACTACATCGTCATCGTAATGCTAAAAAAATCTTCATGATAAACTTTTGTACTGTCCTTCCAGTGAGAGAACCGTTACTCGAAAACTCTGGTTTAATAAGTAGATGTAGCAAAAAATTTGCAAAAAAACATTGCCTTCAGCCAGATTCGAACTGACGATCTCCTCATTACTAGTGAGGTGCCTTACCAACTTGGCCATAAAGGCTTGTAATATAATTTTTTCGTTTTTATAGAAAACCGCCTTTGTCGTTATCGTTTAGACTTTTGAAGTAATTTAAGAACCTAGCTCCCCCAATATTAGCTCAATTTGGAATTTATAATTACCCTTGAAAGTAAAAAAAGTACTTGAATTGCCAACCACGGTTATTTTTGGATTTTGGTTTTTCGTTTTTTTTTTTTTTTTCGGTTTTTTCTATTTGAAAAAATATTAGATCATTTCAGGTTTGTATTCAGAAGATAAAAGTTTTATTATCAAGGTATTTGACCAAGTATTCAACCCTTTAATAAAAACGGCATAATTTATGTTTTTTTGGATCTATATATATGTTCTAAAAGGGAACGCCATCTCATTCAATCTGTTTTTTTAGATATATTTAAAAGGAAACTAGTTATCAAAATAAGAAATAGAAACTAGAATATTGAAATTTTATAGCCTCCAAAATACCCGATAAATATCAAATATTGTTGTTATTTTTGTTAGGCTTCAAATTAGTATATGTTCACATGAATGTACCATAAATGGTTCTAGTAATCTATTATCTGGTATCAAAGGTTTAACGCAGATATGCACATTTAACCTTTATTCTCCAGATACGGTGGCTATCACTTGTCACAAAATAGCACCTAACTTAATGTAAGATGTGAATTAAGCCTCCGTATCCTTTCTCTGGCTTCGCAATGAAAATCCCATATTATGAACTTGCTAATTCGGTGACTTATGAGAGCTGGTCAGAGAAGATTAGCAAATAAGTTTAACTGAAAGCCCACTTACTAACACACCTCCAAGACTTAACTTCTACTCTTTAGAGTTTCTCAAGGTGGGTTAAATTATGATGATGGCTTTTGTCCTACTGCTTATGACAGACTATACTAAGACTATTGCTTCACAGGTGTTCTTCTTTCCTACAAAAAAGAACTGACTCATGTGAATACCCAGTTACTTAACCTTTTTATTTAAATTTTATCTTGCCCTGATAAATGAATTTCACAACAAATAGAATGCCAGATAGAAAGCCAGGCTACTAATTTTCGAAATTTAGATGCTTTTTCTCGCTTAAGCATGCCGCTTCGTCAGAGAATATTCTGTTTGCTTGTCATTTCTTGCTGCATTTGGAATTCTTAAATTTTTATTGAAAAAGGTGTGTATAAGTTTTTCTTTTTTCTTTTAGTGGTAATTGCTGCAAATTTTGCGAAAATGGGCAAAAAAAGTTGATCTTCGGGGTACTTTTATTAATCCATAAGAGCTCACATATTCAATGCTTCTTTGTATCGGGTTATGTGGGTAGATCAGACCTCTATCGTCCTCAAGTATCTACGAAGTAAATACCTGTACCAGACTAGACGACCATAACACACGCAGTTAGCTATTAGTCAGATACATACTAATAACGATTAGTGGTGGATTAATTTACTAACTAGATTAATCTTTTAGCTGTTATTAAAGGGAGAATAACTCTATTACAATTAATACTAATATATTAAAAGCCATAAGTAAAATATATATATATTATTATTGTCATTACCGAATGAAAACTCTCTGTAGGGCATCGACCCACTCTTCAATCCATTAACCAATAGGATTAGCCACTTAGGCCCACACCACAAAAAGTCTTCTAGGCATTTCCATCAGATGAGGGAATGCCTGCTTATTTATATACTTGTTCTCGTAAAAGATGCTCTCTTCCGATGTTGTTTCACAAAAGATGTTTGTAACTTCTTTTGCTTAAACCTCAGCTTGATGATGTCTGTGATCTGCCTTGATGTAAATCAGGCCCAGACATCACCGCCAGACCTTCACGGTCTGACACTTTGTAAGGCAGAGCCACGACACGTCATGAATATTTCACCGAAGGATCCACTCCGGAACCAACTTGATTTCAAAAACTAACAAGTTGCAGTGTCGAACAGTCTTTACTATACTTCTTGTAGAAGCCTGCCTCAAAGTCGTGAAAAACACGTAGTACTCTCAGTTAGAAGGGATTTTAAGTTGTTAAGTAAAAAATAAATGTGAAATTATGTCGTTTGGTTGGCTCCAAAAAGAAGCTTTTTCATTGCATAATCAAAAAATAAACGACCTCGGAGAGGATCGAACTCTCGATCTTGAGATTAACAGTCTCACGCCTTAACCAGCTTGGCCACGAAGTCTTAATATATCGGCGAAGTTGGAGGTGGGCTTATTTGTCACACCAACCATAAATGGTTTAAATTAAGCTTTTAAAAAGACGGCCCTTCAAATTATGGGTTTTCTAGACTAAATATAGTCTTCCCCAATCTCAGCTTTTAAATATATATTCTTATATGTCAAGAAAAAAAAAAAAAGAAAAAAAAAAAGACGAATGTACTATCTTCGAATACTAAGAACCTTATCTAGAATTGTCTGTCCTACCTAACGATTGCCATTATTGATAGAACCTCTTATCAGTCAAACACATAAAAAAGGTCTTATCAGAATTCCAAGGAAATTCCTTTCACGGTGTCGACCTCTCAGATTTTGGCACCCAAATATTTTTCAACAAAATTAAGAATTGTTATAAATAAAAAATTCCTGAAAAACCTAGGTTTTTGTCTAATTTATTACCTTAATATAGATGCATTAGTCAAATTGTGTAAGCTAGAAAATTTTGCGTAGCTAAATTTTTCAAAGAAGTTGTTCGACAAAACGGCATGCTTACTTTACATATATTCCTTCTATCTACAACGGTGTATACTAGTTATTAGATCGCATTATAAGATAGACTGTTTTAACAAAAATACGTATTAATTAACCTAAGAATAGTTTGTCTATTGTTGAACACAAGATAGGCAGGTAAAGCAGTATTCGTATCTTGAAAGTCTTTACTGAAGCTTTGACTTAAGATCATATCAAAAAATGAATGAAGACTATTATTGCGAAAATACTAATGGTGGAGCACCGGTCCCTAGTAAAATAAGGCTTCTTATATCTTATTGGCTGATAGTTCTGCTGGCCATTTTTTATGGGGAAAATGTTTGTTCATTTTCAATGTGCTTGATAGGCATTACATTTAATAATAATTTCCCTACGTATATACGCAAACTAATTATACAACTATGGAAAGCAAGCCATCTATTCATTCGATAATAAGGAAGAAATACCCATGATTCCTAATAAACCATATTTGAAGTAGACATTTTCAGTAATTAAAATAGTAACATAACCCAATTTTGGTAAATAACCTTTAACAGTACCAACTAAATCTGTTTTTTGATTCAAATAGGGTTGTTTCTTGGCATATAGCCCTAAATCATCAACGGCATTATTATCACCTTTTGTTAAAAGTAATTGTTTATCATTATTATGATGTTCTCTTAAAACACGATGAACAATTGGAATAGATTTACCCTGAATTTCATAAACAGCCACATCTCCCACTTTAGCCAGACTGTCCCTATTCCATAAGAACAAAATATCACCTCTTTGGAATGCTGGTTCCATAGACCCAGATAACACCACAACAATTGGAGAATGTGAATTTGTTATTACCGAAAGGGTCTTCCAACCAATAAATGCCGAAGAAAATACATATGCAATGCTAAGAAGCTGAACTAATTGCTGGCGAAGATTCATCTTTTGCTATACTTCGTTATATCCCAATTGAAGTCGATTGATTTCAAAGCTTCTAAATTTTTCAACCAGTTGTTCTTTTTATTCAAAGAGAAAAAAAGTTCTAATAAAAATGTACGGAGGTTTATTTGAGGCTAGAAAAAAAATTGCCTCAAAGATTCCGAGAGGATCTTTTTGCTTTTTTTTTTTCCACTTAAAACTTTTACTCCATACTTCAAAGTCAAGAGAAGCTGAGAATCAAGAAGCAGTATATCATATAAGCCTTGTTATATTGGAAGTAAAATAAGATTTTTAGTCTAACGTCCCTGCTTAGCTTTTGATCTTTTCTTTTTATTTTGAATCATGTCAGATCAATCGAATGCTGGTAAAGCAAATCAAACTGGTGGTAAGCTGAATGCAGCAAACACTGTTAATATTCGAACAGATTCAAACAATCCACTTAAGTCTTCGATCAATGAAAAACGGAACCCATTAAATGCAGAAAAACGGTATCCATCCGGTTCAGAAACACCAACATCGAAAGCTGCTCAAACTCCTCAAACGGGTAGAACCCATGCATTAACATTGAACCAATCCCCAGCATCTCCTAATATTTCATCTCTGGTACTTCAGTCAAATAATAGTGAGTCAAGTTCTGGGGTTAATACTACGGCTCCTAGTGGTGCAGTGCCACCACCTTTGAAAGCAACACAATCAGTATCATTTTGCGATTTAGATGGACAAGAGAGATCAAGAAGATTCACTATATCTGCACATCCATCGAGTGCTAACGTTACTACAACTAATCAAGAATCAAGTCAAGAGGGGGGTATTATTGAAGAGCAAGAAGGAACGCATGTACAACAGCCACAACCTCATAAATTGAATAGAGATTCATCAATTTTGTCATCTCGAAAAGCATCATTTCAAAACAGTTCAACACCAAGTTCTAATATTAAAGCTCAAAGCAGACAAAATTCATCTTCTAATAATGACGTATTACAATTTTTGGCTAATTCAAACTACAAACAACAAAAAGAAAATACACCTAATGTAAGTCATGGTTACTTTACTTCAAGTAATAATTCATCCCGAGTTAATTCACCAACACTTGATAATTCCCATTTTAAAACAAATTTCAACTTAGATTCAACTAGTGAATTGAAAAAATCAAATAATACATCACCACCGCCACCACCTTCAGCCATCCCCACTTCAAGCTCGCTGCAAGAAATAACAAGTCCAACAGATCAGCAAAGAAGTCTACCTATCAAGATTCAAAGTAGTTCCAATAGTAATAGTGCTAACGTATCCAGGAAAAATTCCACTAGTATTAAAAAATCAAATAAAACAATTGTTGCTTCACCAGTTGGACCACCAGTACCATTTCAGCAATATTTAACTAAAGAAGATGATGGGAAATTTCATATTTTACTTGCATGTACTGGATCAGTAGCCACGATCAAAGTACCAATGATTATTGATAAGTTATTTCAAATATATGGAACTAATAAGATATCAATTCAATTAGTTGTTACTAAATCAGCCGTTCATTTTTTGAAAGGGTTGAAAATACATAATGATGTTAAGATTTGGAGAGATGAAGATGAATGGGCAAATTATAATGAGAGCTGGTCAACGACTACTACCACCACAACGGAGAGTAATAATAATTTAAATGTAAATAAAAAGGCTAAGAATCCGTATGAAAAATTGATTTTACATAATGAATTAAGAAAATGGGCAGATATAATGTTAATTGCGCCATTATCAGCCAATACATTAGCCAAATTTTCCAATGGGATTGCTGATAATTTATTAACTTCAATTATAAGGTCCTGGGGCCCATCTACATCTACCAGTAATGATACTTTATCGAAGCCGATTTTGGTGGCACCAGCAATGAATACATTTATGTATACCCATCCAATTACTTCTAAGCAATTGAAGTTAATATCATCGAGTGATTTTGGAATTGAAGTATTAAAGCCGGTTGAAAAAGTGTTGGTATGTGGGGATATTGGAATGGGAGGAATGAGAGAATGGTCGGATATAGTGGATATATTAAGAAGAAGAATCACTGCATTGAAAGCAGAGAAACTTGATGATGGGTTACATGAAGAGGAGGATGAAGAAGAGGATGAAGATGAAGAAGACGAAGAGGAAGATGATGAAGAGGAAGATGATGAAGATGAAGACGATGAAGATGACGACGAGGATGACGACGAAGATGACGATGCAACCAAGAATGATGATATGATATTTGAGATTACTGATTCCGAGATAAAAGACGGAGTCAAGACCAAAGAAGAATTGAGTAATAAAATCACTGAACAACAACCACCTGAAACGCAGAATATATTATAGAATTACAAGAAGAATAGATCAGGAGGTTATTTCATTTGCAAGTTCAAATTTTTAGCGTATTCAAAGTATTTATCATTTAAATTATTTACAAACGAGTCTAAATCCAAATCGTGTTGAATAACGTTGGCTAGACTTGATTGATTTTGTAGGAATTGAATCATCATATAGTTGTATAATAAACAATCTACCAAATCGTCAATTTTTGAAATTTTATTGGAAGAATGAGCATTGATTAATTTTAATAGGTAATTTGGTTTTTTATCAACTATTGATAAATCTTTTAAATCAATATCTAACTTTATGATATTATTAGTTAATAAATGTAATACTAAATTAATTCTTAGTTTTTTGGTTAATAACGAATTAAATTTAATATTTGATTTTTTCAAAAATCTATTAATCCAAAAATTGACCATATTTCTTGAATTTAACGGTATAACTAAGGGATTAAACTTTTCATTATATAATTTATTAGTATAAATACTTGAATATAACATATTTTCCAAAGTATAATTGGTTAGCACTGTTGGTAACGTTGCTGTCAAGCCATTTGATCTTGTTCTTTGATTTTCAATGGTTATTATTTTAGGAAATGGGGGGATCATAATAATCTGATTTATAATACAATTACTTAAATAACTTAAATGATTTTTCTCATCAATTATATTTGATAATTGATTATACTTAAATTTTTCATTCAAATTAATATTTTGCCAATTTTCCAAATTAATATTTTGCCAAATTTCCAATTGATTATTTTGCCAATTTTCCAATTGATTATTTTGCCAATTTTCCAATTTATTATTTTGCCAATTTTCCAATTTATTATTTTGCCAATTTTCCAATTTAATATTTGAAAAATCTAATTTACTTTTACAATAAGCAAAATTTTTTATTCCAATATCAATCGATAGGATATCAATATTATCCCCGGTAACGTTATATAGTTTTAATCCATTGTAGATCAGATCAATCTTATTCTGCTTGGTTCCCTCGGTGGGGAACCCGCAGTTGAGCGCCACTTGAGTCAAGGTACTTGATTTATATTTGCTAAGCACTTGAACCGTTCTGGAGTAATTCATTGGTGATGTATCTTGCACCACCTCCGTACATTAGTGTTTTCTTTGAATGAACCGAGAAAAAAAAAACATCAGGATTGCAACCCATCCACCTCCGTACATCCCCAACATCTACAAATAACCTCCAGACAACACACTGAAATCCAGTATAGGATCAAAGCCTTGGAAAACATTGGATTTTGCAAGCTTGTATTTAGTAACTTTTGTATTTAGTAACCTTTGTATTTTCAGTAACCTTTGTATTTAGTAACCTTTGTATTTAGTAACCTTTTTATTTAGTAACCTTTGTATTTAGTAACCTTTGTATTTAGTAACCTTTGTATTTAGTAGCCTTTGGGGGTAAACTCTACAAATTGTTTTTGTAGGTAAAGCTTAGAAGTTTTTAAGTAACCTTTGTAGCTGGTTAAATAGTCTGTTTGTGGATGCAAAAAAAACAAAACCATGGAGTTTGACGACATTGCGTTGGTGTCACGACATTTTATTGTGATCCAGTGATTGTGATTAACTCAGTCGCTTAACCCACGAGCATGATTGTGAGTGGGCGATTAGGATATATGGGTTACCATGAGCTATTGATTATGAGATTCGTATCTACACGATTTACCATCGTCAGTCGTATTCCAACCCGTGCATCAGGCACCAGTGACAGTAACTCCAGTGCTAACAAAACACCAACAGTAGCAGGAGGTGACCCGTAGGGTGTCACAGCACAAAATGTACGGAGGTGTGAACACAGCCCTGTGGTGGTGCTGTCGCATCGGGTCGTGCGCGCGCCGCCCACGGTCAAATTAGTCGAGGCATTGTCCGAAAATGGTTAAATTATGAAGGGCGGGTCCCCTTTTAATCAAAATGGTGGAGGCATCTTTGGGTTAATTTTAGTATCTTATGACCATTTTTATCTTTTTACGTTGCTCGCGTTTCTTTTCTTGTTAGTAGCCAATTTCAGTTTAGTATCTTAACATCTACTTGTTAGAGGTTAGTGTCCCTTCGGGGAGGTTGGTTTGTATGGTTGATTAGGTAGTGAAAAAGAAAAGTGAAGTGAACAGGGCGATGTTGTTGTTGTTGTTTTTTTTTTTTTTTTTTTTTTTTTCTTTTATATCTGGCTGTAATTGGTATCCACACGGTTCCATGCCATTCTTTGAAATTCGATTTTTTTTGCCCTTGTCCCTCAATTAATATAAATATCAAGGCTTTTCCATAGCTTTCTCAGTTGTTCCGTTTCTTCTTTTCCTCCACTATCTACACATATCCTATCCACAATGCAATTCAAATCCGTCGTCATTGCTTTAACTGCTGTCTCTGCTGTCTCTGCTGCTAACGCTTCTAACGGTACTAACGGTACTAACGGTACCTCCAGCTCTTCTTCTGCTGACTCTGGTGCTGGTGCTGTCGGTGCCGGTTTATTCGGTGCTGCTGCTGCTGCTGGTGTTGCTTTATTATTATAAGCTTATCCAGTTCTAATATTACTATAATTTTTTAATTCATTAATTTTGTTTTTTGTCTTTTAATTATTCATTTTTAATTTTGTATTAAAAAAAAGAATGTTTTACTTTTTGGGCTGAAATAATGCTTTTTTTTTTCTTAATAATTTAATTTTTTATATATACACCCTTTTTTTTTATTTAATTGTATAGATTGCTAATAGGCTACATTGGCAATATATCTAATTAGTTTATTGTTGTGTTTTGTAGAGGTATTTATTGACTGGGTTTGGATTTGGGCCCCCAGTTCTTTGTTGGATTTTCTTGAAATCTAAGCATTTTCACCTTTCTCAATTGGGAAATCTTGTCGCTGGTGGCATTGGCGGTCTTGAAATTGATTTTTTGCAATTCACTGGCACTCCAATTGATATTGGCCAATATCTTATACCCAATCATTCCGGGAGTTAAATTGGGATTGCTAATGGGGTTGGCTTCAAGTCGGTTGATTTTCTCCTGCAACTTGTCCCGTTTGTCGCCGTCCATCTCGGCCACTTTCTCTCGGTACTCAATTATCAATTTCTCATTACTGAGTTTCAACCACGCTTGATTAATCTTAAGAATTTGGTCCCAGGGAGCATCGGTCTTGATACAGTTTTTTTTGGCGTGGGTTAATGATACCTGGTATCCCAAATCCCCAACGGCTTTGGCAAAATCATTGATTGGCATGGGCGGGGCCTTCATAAACGATGATAATTGATTTAAATTAAAATAGAATGGTTCCTCCAACTCTTCAAGCGCAAGAGTTAACATGCCTCTGATTCTTTCTCGGGTCTTGTATACCTCTTCGTCAATATCCTCTTGTAATACTTGCTTAATAAAAGCTTCATTTTGGATCTTATCCCCCCACATTGGTCCGGCAATATTAAAATAACTTTGACAATATTCACAATTTTCTCCAATGGTTATTTTTTTCGCAGTTTGATACTTCTTATCTTGCTTTCTTCCTAAGTATTGATTCTTATTTTGTCCACATCCACTACAATGATAGGTAATCATGGTTTTGGATGCTAAATTCTTAACTTCAATTGGACTCGTTTTAACTCTGATAAATAATCGGAAATAAAAATCAATACTCAAACTCAACATTGGTTCAATTGTTTTTTTATACTTAGCAGCTTCTCTAGCTATCGTCCCCAATATTAATCGAAGTCCAACCTCGTGATTCATCTCATTCCCCATAAACGTATTCCCAAAATTATTACCCCCATATAATGCAAAACATTTCTCTGGATACCCACTTCCTGCTAACACTCCTGCATCGGTACACGTAACCAAAAGCATCCCGTCTTCTTTAATGGCTTGTAATGCCAGATCAATAAATGGGGTCGCCGTTCCATAAGGATCTAAATCAATAACGTGGAATTTCTCCTTAACCGTTGACATATACTTAATTGCATCTCCTAAATTTCCTTCCACTTTCTCTTGTAATTCATTATATTCGATGTTTCGATTAATCGAATTAACCGCTTCCCCCAATAAATCATTGGCAATCACTTTCTCAACTTGTGGTATCTCGTGCCCATACCTTAATGCCCTTAATCCAGTGGCTGATAATGCTTCTAATATCCGGATATAAGCAGGAGACTCGACACTTTCATCATTCAATTTTCTCTTCTTCTTAAGATCCCTACTTCCTTCTTTCCCCTGTTGATAAAGTTTCAGCCAGGATCTGATCCCCATAACCGATAAATCTCGATTGAATTGTTGTATGGGGTTATAAAATACTTTATCCTCTTTGGGAGCCAACACAGTGGCTTTCCCTTCCTTGATCACCTGGTAATCTTCCTCTCTTATTCCGGACATCTTGACTCGTTGAAGTATTCGTCTGAACATATAGTTGCAAACAATCTCATCTCTGAAAAAAATTTCTGAAAATTATCTATTCTTCCAAAAAAAAACTACGGTGCACGGGTCTTGTTCCAACGACTCGAAGAATCAGAACAATCACAACGCCCTCAATTACTACCTCCCTACTAGAACTACTCAGAACCTTTCTTTAACCCAGGACAAGCATGGAGGAGCCGATTGACCGAGAACATGTCGACCGATTTGGTCGGTTGAATTCCATTATAGATTCAATACCCAACGAAGATACCGATCTCGAATTCTCCAGTGATGAAGATTATGAAAGTGACGATACCGATGAATTGAAATTATCTCCTCAAGAACAGTGGGAAGAAAGTTTAAAACAAATCAACTCACTAGTAAGCTTTGTGATCTTCCCGTTGATTGGTAAAATCCTAGGTAGAAGATTCAGTCATACTCTATGGAGACGTATATCTGAATGGTGGTTTGTTTAAAATAATTTTTATAGTTTACGATTTAATGTATGAATAGATTAATTTATTAATTTAAAATAGACTGAAAGTTTATTAATGTAGAATTGAATTATAGATTATTAATTAGATTACTAAAATCATTAGAAATATTTGGTTCCACAGTTTCTGATAATATAAGTTTTATAAATGGTTCAATTAATCCAATATTGATTCTATTCAATATTTGACTAATTAATTTATAGTATTCATCAACGGTTAATCCCGTGTCTTTGGAACTTGAGGAATTTAATGAGTTATATGAAAATAATGAAGAATTTTCAAGATCATCATTAGTTATTTGACTAACAGTACTTGGTCGATGACTATGATTCCTTGGTGATGATATAGGATTAGAATTAGTTCCTGTTCCAAGCAAATTAGCCTTTATCATTTGTTCTTTCAATATTTCAAAAATATTTAATAACAATTTAATAATTATTTTAAATATGAATAAATTATCTAAGCTTATATTAATTTCTAATTTTTCAATTAATAATTGTTTCAGATTAAGCTTGATTGGGGAAGTATTTGGATTACTATGGGATGACGTTCCTCCGCTTTGACTACTATGAGTAGACTGTGCACTAGATGTATTTGAAGTATATCCTAATGCTCCATTGGATATCGAATGGCTATGTCCATGCCCATGGCTATTTCCATATTGATTGAGGGTGGAATTGGATCCACTAGTTGGCATATCTTGGATTTGAAACCCAATCCCATTTTGATTCCCAATATCAAAGTTCTTCAAAAGTACCATTAAATTCTTAATAAATTTGGTTTGATATAATGATAAGTTAACTTGGGCCTTATTACTTTGATTAGATATAATCGTATCATTATCATTGAATGGATCATTACTGGGACTGGAATTAGCACTGGGTGACCCTGTTCCTCCTGGCACTACCCCTCCATTCTTATTCTTTAAATTATTCAAATTATTAACAAAATTTTGTTGGTGTTGTTGTTGTTGGTGGTGGATTTCCTCATCTATATGTAATGATTTCAATAAATTACCCAAAGATATCCCTAACTTCAACAACTTATTAGAATTAATTGGGAATTTATGGGCTAATCCTCCAGATTCAATACTAGTATTATTTAATGGTGCTAATTGATCATAATTTAGCCTATAAACATTAAGAAAAAACTTGGATTTATTATTGGATTTAGGATCAAAAGGAACAGTTTCAAGCAAATGATTCAAATTCAATATCTCTGCCTCTAAATTCTCAAGATTGGACATTATCAACGGGTATGGTCCAGGTCTATTAAGAAAGAATCTCCTTGGAAAACCCAAAACATAACGAAAAAACGATTCCTGAAAAACGATACCAAAAAGAAAAAAGTTTTTCTCGCTTACGCCGTTTTCACAAATATCAATCTAAAACCAGGTACGCCTACGTCAAGGTACTTCATTGGCTGATTATGTCATTCTTCACGATAATAGTGTTTTTGATCCTTCTACTGTCGATAATATCATGTATAATACTTTTTGGGGATTCACCTAATCTACGCAACTCTTTCATCCATAGGTTAAGAGGACGAATCATTGAAGTATTTGGTCTGGCTGTCAAATACTTTAATTATCTTGATCAAAGATTAGATAATAAGCTATTGTCATACTTGAATTGGCTAATACCAATATTTTATTTATCAATTGTAACATTTTGTTTCCATTTGTTTTTCAAAAATGTATATTTTGAATTGCCAAAGTATATACTAAGTTCCACGAGTCATTCCTTTTATATTGCGTTTACAATCATTCTAGTTTATATATCTAGTGCTCTAGCTATTTTTTCAAACCCTGGTAAGATAACGCCTGGCAATGTTGTTCAAGTCAATAATCAATTTGTTTTCAATAATTTGATTTTCTTCCCTAACAGAAAATGTCATACTTGCAAATTGATAAAGCCGGCTAGATCCAAACATTGTTCTGTTTGTAATCATTGTGTGATGTTGTTTGATCATCATTGTATATGGGTTAATAATTGTATTGGTTTTTATAATTACAAGTGGTTTTTCTTGTATTTGATTGCAAATATTAATTTATTAACGTATGGTGGTTATATTTGTTTTAAAATGCTTAAAAGTCATAAAAATCATTTAAATTATTGGGATTTGATCACTAGAACAAATGAATCAAATCGAATAGCCGGGATTTTCGTTATTCTTTGTTCAACCTTTGTCTTTATCACCTCCTTATTTACCGGTCTTCATTTGAGATACATCTATTTGGGTGTGACAACGAATGAGTTGGATAAATGGAGTGACATCGAGTATCTCGTCAAATTGGGAGTCTTGTATTATATTGAGGAATTGAAAACTTATGTTGAGAAAGCATCACTTAATCAAACTGGATCTTGTGACCCAAGTGTTAATGAAACTGTGTTCATAAACATTTCAAATGATCTGATTCTCTGTACCTTGAATGACTCAAAGAATTACCATATAAGAAAAGTTCAATCAGTTGAAAATGATCTAATTAATATTTATGATCGAGGGTTTTTCAATAATATTAAAGAAAGGTTATTCACCTAGTAATTTCATGATTCTCTTGGGAATCTTTATAGGTTCAATTCTACGTTTATACTCACTAGTTTCTGATCTAATTATATTTTCTCCCCCTTTAACAAATTTACTTTCATGATTGTAGTCAAACTCTTTTACTTGGGAAAGTTTATCGAAAACTTTTATGAAGAGCTTTCGTTCTTCTATTGTCAAAGGCTGATACTTTTCCTGGTTATACTTAATTGCATAAATATAAAGCCTGAACTTAGTTAACAAGTTTCCAGAATCGGTATTTAAATTCTCATATAGCTTCAATTTGTCAAAATTATCTAGTATCATATCACAAATAACACTCTTGGAGTCATCTACCTCAACATCTCTCTCCTTCTTACGCTTTCCTTTACTCAAAAACTTGATGTTCATGGAGTTCACTTTTTCATTTAAACTAATGGGTTTATTGTCAACCTCAAGTCGCTTGTGTTTTCTCTGCTCAATTCGATCCTGTATATCCTCTTCATCTTGAATGTCTGCTATAGACAATAAATTCCTGTTTCTTTTCGATTTAGTGGTTGCATTTTGTTTTGCCATCTATCACTGAAAACTTTGTCTGATTTACCATAAGTTGGTGTATTTGGTTGATCCCAAAAGTCATTAGACTTTTTCTCTAACCGAATTTTGAAAAGTTTTCTCAAATTATTGCAAAAAAAAAGAATTATCAAATACAATGCTCTACAATCATAATTTTTTCATCCATTTATTCACCTGAAAACCTATCAAGACTATCACTAACGTCTTGGATCAAAAATCATATAGAAAGAATATAAAAGCAAGATAAAAGCAAGGTCCAGCCTCTTCAAGAGGAAGCACCAACACCAGCACAATATGCCAATGACCAAGTCAAAGACATACCGTTATCGAGATGTTTAGAAGAGAAGTCGCTACTACTAAAGAATTTGTAAGCAGCGTCTGGATCAAACAAAGCAACATTCAACATCAAAATACCTTTCCAACCATCATCGACGCTGTCAATAATACTTGATAATTTAGAGTCCCATTCTTCTTTAACATAAGATGGTCTTCTAACAAAAGACGAAGCAGCACTAATGGGGAGCATATGAATACCATGAATGTATTCAGTGTTTGCGCCGAAATAAGTAGTGTAATCGAGTTTATTATCAAAAGTAATCCCAGCAACTTTGTTTGGAATGAATTGAGAAGGTTGAACAGTGTTATTATCTTTAAGATAAAAATATAAATCAAGACTTCTTCTTAAAATAGACAACATTAATAAAGATCTATTTTCTAAATTAGAATCACCAATAATTGACCCCCATAACCTTAACGCCAAAACATGATGAACATCTTCACTTGTCAGCTCTTCATTTTTACCATCACCTGCACTTGTCATTCCTGCTGCCCACAGATGCCCAAGGAAGAAATCAAAACATCTAAAAACTGGGAAATAAGAGTCTGAAGTAGTTGGGTTAGCAATGTCCCTTGCTAAACTATTTCCCCAACTTTTATAATCATTAACCCAAGATCCACCCATATCAGAGTCAACCTTAGCAGTTAACGCAAGAGCATGAAGATGATAACCATAATGGAAATGGTGATCATTGTAAGTGTTAGCACCATAATCAGAATCAGTTGGAGCAGAAGTAACGACACCTTTACAAGTGGTATCATAAATCAATGGATAATTTTGTTTATTTTGGGCAAATTTTTCAAATGATTTTTTCAATTTTGGAAGTAAGGTATTAGTTAATCCATCATCTTTCAAAATAAAACGGCAAGTGTATAAGACAGTTGCATACTTTGATAGAACTTTTCCTGCAGTATACATTGAATCGGAATTAGATTCATTTTCAACATCACCTTCAACTTCTTTTGCAGCAGCAGATTTGATTGCAGATAATGCATTTTCAGAATAATTTGGTGATTTACCGCTAATTGTAGTAAATGGATCAAAGCTAATCTTGGAATTGATGGTTTCATTCATAGATAAAGTATTAGTAAGACATCCAACCATTTTACCCTTGGTGGTGGAATCAATTTTGAAAGAAGTAGCTGACTTCTTAGTTGCATCATCAAAAGAGGATTTATGATGAGGCAAGGCAAAAATCAAAGTAGTACCACTATTAGAGGATCCCTCGGTAGCATAATTAATTTTATAATTGAAAGTTGAATTGGAAACACTACCACTTACTGAAACATCGGTAGGATAACATCCAGCAGCCTGATCATAAGCAGAATCTTCACCAAAACCAACTTGGAAAATAGCTCCATCAACTGATTGATTACCAATAATGGTATTGGAGTCTTTTAATTTCAAATCCAAACTTTGACCTTCAGGAAGACTAACAAATAAAGACCAAGTGGTTTGGTTATTCAATTTAATAGTATACTTATTGATACCATTCTTAGGAGAAGTTTGGCCATCAACCGATACAAAACCAACGGCAGAATTAATTTGGGGGATTAAATCATGATATACAGCCGTGACAAAACCCATACCTTCAGCCAAAGGAGCCTCCAAATATTTCTTATCAGAGGAAGAAAACTTAGCAGTAGCAGAAAGCCTACCAGCATTAGTCAAAGAGAATGAAACTTTGGAATCAAATTCAGTAGAGCTAAATACCAATTCCTTGATACCGGTTGGATGATAAAAATACGATGGAGGGCTACCACTAGCAAAAACCCGGTCCTTTGCCTGAGCGTGGTAAGCACTCAAACCAAAGTAAGTATCGTTAGAATACGCAACACTATATGGTTGGCAGAAAACTTGGTTGGTTTGTTCTCCATCAGTCATCATGTTGGTATAAAATGAATTCGTTTCGATGGGACTATCGTTGGAAATACCACCAGGTAACTTGACTGCACCGGCCTTCTGTTCAAAAACAGATTGTGGGCCTTCAGTTGAAATGGCTTGACCAAAGACATCAGTAGCTTGAATAGTAGACATGATTTATGAGTATCCAAAGTAGCAATAGCAAGATAGGAAAAACAGATAAAGTTGCAAAAAAAAAAAAAAAACAAAAACAAAAATCACAAAAATTTGTTTTAACAGACAATTGTTATATTTTAAAGAAATACAGCCCTTTCAAATCCCACCGAAGTATCCATTCCTTTTATACCTTTGGATCATTTGTGGTTAGAAAGCCTCTCCACGGCCTATCCACAAACGAACTCTCCTGATTCTTTTTTGCAGCAATACAAGGCCATAGAAATCACGGAGGTAACCATGGATTGCAAACTTCACTTTGTCACCATTCAATGGACCCTTTTGACCATGCATTCTTTGCAATTGTTAACCCAGATCCTGTAACCAGTTCAGCTTATGGTGGTCACAATCACAACCAGAATCTAAGGGATGCTACACCCATACACCCAGCACTTAGCGATTTGCTTATATGTTTACAGGTTGCGCGCTTCCAAGCTGCAAAATCAAAAGTAAGTTGAAAATTAGGAAAATTTTGTAGGGAAGAAAAAAAAAATAAAAAGAGCCTTAATTAAACTCTGCTTATCGAGATAGAATCTACTTAGCATCGTAGAATAGCCATAGAATTAGACAAAAAATAGAGGTAATTCAAACAGAGTCGTAAGAAGTGAATAGGAAAAGTTTAATTAGTCGCCTATTGTTATATTTTCCTAGTGTAACTGGCTCAAAAAAAAAAGCTATAATAATTGTGGTTAACTGATCATTGGTTTATGAATCTTTTCCAATTGTCTAGAATTTAAACTTGCATACAATGAATGGGGATTCTGATCTGGTTTCTAATCCTAATCAAGAACCTTATGTTCACCAGTCCAATGAAAGTAAAGGCAAAGAAGATGAATCGTCTCCTCAACATCAATCCCAGAGTAAAAATGCTTCAGATCTCGCCAAACATGAAAATGGGTTTACTGACCAAAACTATTTGGATGCATCCTGGCCATCTAATCTCCTATTAGATGCAAATTCTGATATACTATATAATATGGATTTCAGTAATAATTTACACCAACCAAATACTATTGCCCATAATATCCAATATCAAAATGATATAACCACTGACCTTGATTTACATGATCCTTCTTTTGTTATGGAACACCAACCTACAGATTCAAATAAACAACCTTTACCGAATAATCAAATCCAAGTTAATCTTCAACAACAACCTGAACAACAAGTGCCCGGACAAACAACAACTATCAATACACAATCCTCACAGAAACCAAATACTATAGAACAAGCGAATAATGCCACTTCACAACAACCAGTTCCTGCAACTAAATCGAAACAACGTCGTCCGTGTGATCATTGCAGAAGAAAAAAGACTAAATGTGTTATAATTCCCGGTACTAATAATTGTGCTCAGTGTGAAACAAAATCACTTACATGTACCTATGTGGGTCAAGCTCTTAAAAGAAAACCAGTAGATTCACCTGAAGAACCAAATAAAAAACTGAAAAATAGTAAAGATTCCAACATATCTTTATCACAAAATGATATAATACCTCCAAATGTTCCAATACGCGATGTAGCTCCAATTCAGGATTATTCTTCCATGAACAACTCCCTTTTGAAAAAAACTTTATCTTTACAATTCCCCAGATCCTCATTCTATGTTGGCCCTACTTCTTACCTATATGATATTAACTTGTTGAATATGATCCTTGGTTCTCAAAATACGAAATCAGAGTCGAAACTGCCAGGTCCTCAAACAAAAGTTGAACAAATAAATTTAAATCCAAATGTTTCCCTTCGAAAAGTTGGTGCCAAAACCCAATTTATTCTCAAAGATGATCAATCTCCTCAGTCATACCAAACAATGTCAAATGATGTTGATACCATTGAAAAATTCATAGCCCCTCATGGCCAAATATTGATTGATTTATATTTCCGTATAATACATCCCTCATACCCAATCTTACATAAAAAAGTTTTTTTAGAAAAATATTCAAGAACTCATCGTGAATTCAGTGCTCCATTATTGGCAGCGGTATATGTTTTGGCTGTTCAATGGTGGGATTATGATCCTCTATTAAATCGTTTCCCAAGACCAAATGTTGACTTGATTTTAAAAATTGGTTTAAACAATTACTTTTTGGAAATTTTGAAAAGACCCAAATTGAGTGCTGTTCAAGCAGGTTTGTTACTTTTACAATGTAAACATATTGTAAGAGTTTCTCATAATGCCAATAATGCCAATAATAATAACAAAGCTACTTACTCAGACTCAGACTATAGTGACTGGGTTTTATGTTCTCAGGTAACTGCGTTAGCTGAAGAACTTGGGTTAGGCTTAGATTGTAATGATTGGAAATTACCTAAGTGGGAAAGAGGTTTACGTAAACGGTTAGCATGGGCTGTTTATATTGAAGATAAGTGGCTTTCTTTGAAAAATTCAAGACCGTCTCATATTAATTATGATAACTGGGTAGTTGTGAATCTTTTAGAGGAAGATTTCCCCGAAAAGCATGGTGATGGCGATCTAAAAGAAGGTTCTTCTGATATTGATAATGGCAAGAAAAACTTTTTATGCTTGGTTGATTTATCAATGATTTTATCTGATATACTAAGCCAATTGTATTCGATGAAAGCCATGAAGACAATCACTGACATAAGTACCGTATTAAGATTAGCCAAACCTTTGCAATTGAAGTTACGTAATTGGTATCATTCATTACCACTTGAATTACAAATGAGTTCACTTCAACCAAGAAAGTTATGTTCAAATGGTTATCTACATTTGGCATATTTCGCTACTGAATTAACTTTACACCGTAAAATTATAACAATTATTCATCAACAATCACAAAATGGTGAAGCACCACCCAATCAACTTATTCAAGTATGTCGTACAGCTGCAAAAACAAGACTTCTAGCTTCAATTGAATTCGTGAGAGATTTGAAACCTGAACATATCCACTCATTTTGGCATTCATCATCATCGGCAAATTTCACTTTGATTGGTACTTTTGCAGCTATTTTATTCATGTCTTCAAGTACCAAGGAAGAAGCTGATTTTTATAAGGACCAAATATTTAATTACAGATGGATTCTCAAAATTTCATCGAAAGGGTTTGATCAAGTGGGTGATGCGTTACTTGAATTAGACATGGTTTTAAACCATATCCCCGGAATCTTAAATGGTGGCCATGATTTACCTATGTCAATTCCAACTATTCCGAATGTTCCAACGATTGATTATCAGAAAATTCAAAGACAATCTCCTCAAAAACAAAGCCCAGTAAAACATAGCCCAGTAATCAACGGTAAAAATGGTCCTGGTTCGAAGTCGGGTGCTTACAGGATGCAAAGTCAATCAAATCATTCACCTTATAACTCACCAAGCTATTCCACCACTCCAATATCCTCACACACGGTATCTAGAGGTGGTCCCTTAATTGTTAATTCTCCTCAATCCTCTCAGGGTTTATCACCAAAAGAGATCATCAAACAACAAAGAACAGTTGTACCTTCTGGCCAGATTTCCAAGCAAAACTCAATTGTTGAAAATGATGATAACGATAACTCTCCTAGAAAGACCCTGGCAATCAATAGTCCAGAAGTGTCAAGATCTCCTCAAGTTTATATGAACACACCTCAGCTGGGGAATCACAACGATAAAAAAGAAAATTTTAGTCAATAACTTTTTGCTTTGCATTTCATGAACCTCTTTTATTTCTCATATATGTACTAATATTTACAATGAAATCATTTTATCATCTATTTTAACATATGTATTTTAAGAGTAGTAGAGAAGAAAAATAAAGTTTTTTAATCAAATGGAGTTAAATAAGCTTCTGCAATAACTCTGGCTCTTGCATTTAAGAACAATTTCATTTCACTAATTTCTTTATCAACATCCTCCATAAATTCTATGATAAAATCAACTAATTTATCTTTTAACATTTGTTCAGTATGGAAATTAGTGATCAAAAACGAAATATCATAACCTTTTATTGGAACTCTTCTTAAAATAAAGAAATTTTCAGCTCTTGAGGTTAAAAATCTAGTAAATTTATGAACTAAAATTTGTTCAATTTCATCAGCTTGTTTGATTTTGATCGAAACTCTAACAGAATTAACTGATGGTTCAATTAGGATTTTTTCATTCTCATTTCTGGCTATTATCATGGGATTTAATATTAATTCTGGATTGTGACTATTATCAACTTCAACTTCAGGTCTATTATGTCTTTCAACCAATTGTGACGAAAAGTCCTCTAAACATATGGCTGCAGTCAAGGACGATCTAACTGCTGTTAAATAGGGTCTTAACGATTGTGACTAAAATGCTGTCAGTATATTTCTCATCAGACCAATTGAAATACTTCCAATTAATCAAAATTGACGGGTTAGGTTTCAACATACCATAATGTAATGTTATGAAGATAAAAGATAATTGAAAAATTATTCGAATAAACAGAGAAAAGGAAGAACTTTTCAAATTGCTAGCGATTCGAGTTTTGATAATGCCAGGTTATTAGTCTCGTTTTTCTCCTTGAAAACAAAAAACAACCTCCACAAAAGACCCGTACAACAAATTAGAATGCAAAAAACTATAATACATTATACTATACAAATAGACTAATAATTCAACAAAACTCTCTTAGAGTTTTTAGGCTCATCTGACTTAGGTTTCTTTGGAGCTGAAGTCTGGGAGTCTGTCACTTCCTGAATTCCTCTCTTCTTTGTAGGTTTAATATTGAGATTTTGAACCATTTTACGAATTGAAGAATGAACAGAGTCTTTAATGGCCCTTTCGTGTTCTCCCTTTCGGCTTTCATAGAAGTTTGAAACTAATCTATCAAGCTCAATGAATTGCTGCTGGTGTTTAAGTTCTTTGAAGAAGCCAGACAATTCAAGATTTTTATTCAATAAAATGAAGTTTGAATCTTTTAATAAAATATTGACTTTAGTCTCGTCAATATCAGACTCTTGGGTGATAACGTTGAAGGAGTTGAATTTTTCAAGATTAGAGCTAAGGAAAAGGGCCAACGCGGAGACTTTGTATTTCAAGGAGGTTTCAAAAGAAAGTTTTGCTTTCTTTTTCAGTAGCTCCAAATCTCTTTTTAAAGTATCATAAATCACCTCGAGTTCGTTATCATTATGTGAGCTACTTTTTAAATCAAAAGACGATAATCTTTCATCTTTTATCGTAGATAAAGTTTTGAGAAAGTGTTCTTTAGAAGATAGTAAACTATCATAACTATACTCTGAAGGGTCTTGTCTTTGTAAATCTGCCATGATATTTTCAACCAAATCTTTCTTTAACTTCAACAATTGGCTTTTTTCGTCCACTATATCCCAGAAAAATTCTATTGGAGTCGATCCATTGCGACCACATAATTCTATAAATGAATCTTCATTTTCTATTATTGGGAAAATATCTTTAAATAAAGAATTAGCTTTGATAGACTGCTGATTCAAGAATTCTTTAAAAGCTTGTCTCGCCTTACGATCCGAGCGATAGTTGAATTTTTCAACTTTGGAAATATCATCACGGAGTTTTTCTAAAATTTCTGGATAAATTTTATCCAAATATAATTCAAGGATATCACATTTAGTCAAATCTGCAAAATGCTTATTTGCTTTGAACCGAGGATCTTCCTTCAATTTAGAATAAAGATCAGCCCAGTCAGTACTATCAGATACAATTTTTGGATTAATTTCAGTTAGATAAACTTGTAATTCATTCAATGCTTGACTTTTTCTTTCTTTTAAAGAAGATTCGACTTCATTCTTAAATTTAGCAATATAATTTTTATAAATTTCAGATATTTCTTTGTCACTTAATATAGCGTGTTTGAAAATAGGATTATCTTCTTCAATCAAAAGGTTTTTAATCGTGGACCAACGAGTAGTATATTTTAACTTACCATTTTCTTTCAAATCATCAAGAATGGCAAGAAAGTTTTTTTCGAAATTTTCAATAACGGCTGTTTTATTTGAAAGATCATCTTTCAATTTTTGGATCAAATAATCATCATAAAGTTTCTTTCTTTGTAGTGAATCTGGTATTGACCAATAAACTGGATCTTTGATGAATTTAGAAATGACTTTTTCAAACGACCAAGTAGAATCAACTTCATTATCTCTGAGTAATCTAACAAAGTTTTCTTCAGCCTCTTCAAAACCTGTAGTGCTTGAAGACGTCAGTATTTCGCTTGGTCTTGTTTCTTCTTTCTCTAATTCCAAATCCAAGTCACTTTTCACTTCTGCCGTTTCAACTTCAGCTTCTGCATCCGGCGCTTCTTCCTTTTCAATCAGCTCATCCTCTTTATTCTCATCAAGCTCGGCTGGTCTATCCCAGGTTGTTTCTCCTGTGGATTCATTATAGTAGTATTTCTTTCCATCATCTGTTTCGTACTCAATCCATTTACTGGTCTCAGAAGAGTCCTCGGGTAATGTCCAACTGGTTTCTTGTGTCTTCAGATTATAATAATAGGTACGGCCTTGGTCGTCCGAGACCGCTTCCCAATCACCCATGATTCTTAATTAGAATTAGACTTAGCATCAATCAGGATCTTCTTAATCCATCTTCAAAAATCGAATTTTTCTCGCACCCTCACAAATTGGGCCCCAGTTTTCATAGCGAAGATCACTCTGATCCAGAACACACACACACATACTAGATATATTGACTTTTAAATGGCATTCTTGTAAAATATAGATGAATAGGTATAGGATAAACATATTTTTAGGTGGAATATCTCAAATTTGCCAAAACACTAGTATTCAAGAAACTAAATACAAAATTCATATCCAGGAGAAAAAAAAGCTCATTCGAAGTCATGATATGGCAACTTGTCCGAGCGGTTAAGGAGATAGACTTGAAATCTATTGGGCTCTGCCCGCGCAGGTTCGAGTCCTGCAGTTGTCGTTATTTTTTTATTTTTGAATCAATTCATTTTTGCATCAACAGTTTACAGAAACAAGGTACTTTTAACAAGAATAACACCAAAAGGAAGCATTGTCACACGGTCAACATGGGAGCTAAGTATACGATCCTCGAGCTAGTTTCATTGAGACACGATAGAAAGACCAATCTTCAAGATGTTCCGTATTCCTTCAATATCAAGAGCATCAGTAACGAAATATATGAAGCGACCCCAACAGAAACAGTCAGCTGGCAAGACAACTACCATGCTCCGAAAAGTCCTTTGCGCATTCGAAGGATCCACAAGACGAGGGCACCAAGTCCCTTCGACTTGCAACATTTCCCACCGGGGTCTAGAATAATCAGAATAGAACCAGGAATGCCCATTCCAAGAGGAGCCATACCCCTACCCTTTCACTTTGAAGAAAACTACATCCCTAATGATATTCCCAGAATGAGCAGCGTTTATGAACGAAATTATTCTAGAGCCAGACCAAGGAAATTAGATTTGCAAGCATCAAAGGAGATTTCCCTAGATTTGATGGCGCCATTGAAAACGATTTCGCTTACAAAGTATGATAGTTTAGAGAACAGAGGCAATCCGTTATCTTGGAAAGGGAACCACTCCCATGGCAATACCCTTCCAGAAGCAGGGTCTCTGTCAAGCAGCGACTCCAGTGATTATAGCATTCAGATACAACTTCCCGTGCACTAGTTATATAATAAACCAGTGGTGGTGCCTAAGCACCAGTTATATAATAGATCCTTGACGGAGTCCGCCTTGTAGTCTCGTAAGCCCAATATTATGGTCGATTAGCAGCCAACTGAGCACAGCACAAAAGACCAATCTGACTAAAAAAAAAAAATTGAGTACTGAGAAGACTTGATAAGAAGCTTAGTTCTTTTGCTTCTACTGATTTACATACTAAAGATGTCTATAGATAAGGAAAATATCCGTCCAACGCATATAACGAATAAAGAATGGTACTATTTCCATATTGAATTGTACGTTTTATCCAGTTTACGAAATTTTTCGTTTTGATTTTTTTTTTTTTTTTTTTCAATACAATACTAACCCCATGGAAGAGTAGTTGATCCCGATTTCCAGCAGGGAAGCCCCAGTCTTTTCAACTCGATGGAAGTAGATAACTTAACCTGGAAAACCCTCATAGGAAATAGCTTGAAAACCCTTCATGGAATACGAGGGGACGCATGCCATTTTGATATCTTGGACAAACCAAAGTCCAAACCAGTCAACCGAGTCATAATACGAACACAGCTCGAGGATAAAGAACTATTCATCACCAGTTTAACCAACTACACGTTTTGGGTTGGTCTGCATTTAGGGTCTGAATTCGATACTGATGGGTACCTTAAAATCAACAAACAAGCACTTTACTTAGGACTTTTACTCAATGATTTTTGAAAGTTGACTAAATACACACTATATCATTCTCATCATTGTAGCATCTCATATATATATACATATATATCATTCAGGTGGCTCAAGGCTATAAGTTAAACTTATGTGCAACGGTTCAAAAAAATTCACCAAAAAACGAAATTAAGGTTGAGCGAGAATATCAACTTTTAGATCTGTCAATAACAACTCCGAAAAACAACTGGTTGATTCAATTGACTTTCGGTACGGTATTTATCCATTAATCAATTAGTTATTCAGGTATATTTATTTGACAAGGACTCAGATACAGCAGATTCAATCCCTCATAGAGTAAAGGAAGTAACCGCAAGTTAGGTGACAAAAGTGAACTGATAAAGAGTATATCGAATTGCTCTTTCATATTAGTGAAATTTTTGAATAATGAAAGCGAATATCTCAATTCAAAGGTTGTTTTCAGGATTAGCATTCCTTTTAACATTGACCTGGGCTTTTGAACCAGTGGTGATATCTTTGAAGCTGGATAAACCAGCCGCTGATATTTCATACTTTGAAGATTCTTCTAATGTTATTGCTTTGAGAGATGGTAGATTAACCATTTCGTTCGATGACGGTAAGAGCTGGAAAGACGTTAAAGAAACAAAAGATTCAACTGTTATCCATATCAGCTTTGACCCTTTCAATATGGAAAGGGCGGTGGCGTTTACTAATGGTGAAAAACATTTTGTTACCAACGATCGAGGTAAGTCATTTAGTTCCTTTTTACTTAAAGGAAATAAGGAGAAGAACCCCACGATTAATTCTCCACCTCAAATAACCTATAATGCCAAAAAGAAGGAATTGGCGCTTGTTGAATTTTACTCTTGTCCTGATAATGAAATTTTTAGTGATGGTTGTGATGTGGTTCATTTTCTTACCAAAGATGGTTTCAAATCAAATTTGAATAAATTGAGTATAGACTCCACAACTTGTACTTTTGCAAAATCTAGTAGAGAGTTTGATCAAGGGAGTGATGATACAATTTTCTGTTCTACGGATAAATTAAATTCTTTTGGTCATGTGGTGGAATCTACTTTATTCAAATCAGAAGATTTCTTTAAATCTAAAGTTGAAATTGATCATCAAATAGCTAAAAATGGTAAGATCCTTAATGTCAGAGTTGAACAAACCTTCATTCTTGTCGTTGTTCAAAATGATAAGTTTAACAAGAAGTCTAAAGTGTCATTGCTAGTGTCTCGAGATGCTAAACATTTCGATGAAGCTGATTTGAAAATGGACGTTGCTCATGGAGTTATGACATTCTTAGACTCTTCTCCACTGTCATTATTTATTGCCGTTATGGATTTCTCTAATGCATTCCATCAATACTCCTTATCAACTATTTACTCTTCAGACTCGTCAGGTTTGAAATTTAAAAAGGTTTTGGAAAGAGTTCAAGGTGGGGCCGTTCAAAAAGTTCAAACTATAGATGGTGTTTGGCTAGCTAATACCGCTGAAGAAGAAAAAACTAATAACGATGATAAGTCTTTACTTGACTTATTAATTGGTGGTGGTTTCAATAAAAATATTAGAACAAAAGTTTCTTTGAATGATGGTAAAGACTGGGGCGATTTAATTGTCAATAATGATGATGAATGTAGCTCTAAAGATGGTTGCTCTTTGCATATATTAACTCCTGCTGAAAGAGACGGTGAAGGTAAATTTGTCACCGGTCCAACCCCAGGTATAGTATTTGCCGTTGGTAGCAAAGGTAAACACCTAGATAGAAGCTTTAAAAACATGAATACTTATATTTCGAGAGATGGTGGTGCCACTTGGGATTACACTTTACCTGAACCTTGTTTATTCTCCTTTGGTGACTTAGGTAATATTATTCTTGCAGTACCGTATTACTCTAATAGTGCTTCGAGTGCTGATAAATTTTATTACTCGTTGGACCAAGGTAAATCTTGGAAAGATCAAAAATTAGAAACTGCAATCTTCCCACTTACTTTGACCACTACTGTCGATGGTACTTCTAATAAATTCATTCTTTCTGGTTTGGAAGATAAAAAAAGTGATAACTTCCAAGACCTATCTGAAATACTCTACCACTTTGATTTTAGTAAAGCTTTCGATGGTCGCAAATGCGGTGATGATGACTTTGAAGAAGTATATGCGAGAATTTCGCCTGAGTCTAATCAACCAGTTTGTGTCTACGGTCATAAAGAAAAATTCAGAAGAAGAAAACAAGATGCTAAGTGTTTTGTTGGTCGCCTCTTCGATGATGTTAAAGTTTACGATACCCCATGTGATTGTAATGAGGCTGATTTTGAATGTGCTCCTGGATTCAAACTCTCTAAAAAGGATGCTTGTGTCCCAGATAAAAGAAAGATTGGGCAAATATGTGACGAACAGAAGAAGAAAGAAGTTTCTTTACCAGACAAAGTTCTAGTCGCCAATAATAAATGTAGCATGGGCTCCAAAAAGATGAAGGATTTTGTTACAACTGAAAAATTTAAGTGTAGTGATTATATTGATGAACATAAGCATAAACATAAGGGTGCTAAACATGATATCATAACTAATAATTTTGAATTTGAAGGAGAACTAGAAACTTATGCTTATATCGATGAAGCCGACGACTATCAAGGTGAGAACATCATCGTTAGGACTAGAGAAAACCAAGCTTACATGTCAAATAATGGAGGAACGGGTTTTACCAAAGTACCTATTCCAGATGAAATAGTTGCTTACTATACTGGCTATATTTCAGGCCAAATAATATTGATCACAAGAACAAATACAATTTATATTTCCAATGATGGTGGTAACTCTTTCATAAGGGAGAATGCTCCAACAACTCCAAATACTCAGCGTGTCAGGATCGTTTCCTTTAATAAAGATAAATCTGATGAATTCATCTGGTATGGAGATGAAGATTGTGAAGATCCCTTTAGCCCTAACTGTAAATTAGTTGCTTACATCACTAAAGATAATGGTAAATCATTTAAAAAACTAATTTCGGGTGTTAAATCGTGTGATTTCGTGACTCCATTTTTGGAAACCAAGGTTGAGGATAACGAAAACCTTATTTATTGTTCAGTTGAAGACAAAACTGAAAGTAAATTGAGGTTGGTTTCATCAACTAATGACTTTAGAGACAAAAAAGTTGTATTCGAAAGCATTGTCGGATATGCTCTTACTGGTCATTTCGTTGTTGTAGCTTCAGTTGATTCCGAGAAGAAATCACTCAAGGCTAAAGTAACTGTTGATGGTTTGGTATTTGCTGATGCTGATTTCCCACATGACTTGCATGTTGACGTCCAACAAGCTTATACAGTTTTAGATTCAAGCTCCCTGGCAATATTCATGCATGTTACTACAAACAATGAAGATGGATCTGAATTTGGATCTATCCTTAAGTCTAACTCTAACGGTACTTCATACGTTTTATCTTTAGACAAGGTAAATAGAGATAGACTTGGGTATGTTGACTATGATAGGATTGATGCGTTGGAAGGTGTGATTATTACAAACACTGTCAGTAATCCTGGGAAAGAAAAGAAAAAATTAAAGACTCGTATTTCTCATAATGATGGTGCTGAGTGGAACTATTTACCTCCACCGGCAGTCGACTCGAAAGGAAAAAAATACGGATGCACCGGCCAGTCTTTGGCTAAATGTTCCCTTAACCTCCATGGTTTCACAGAAAGAGCAGATTATAGAGATACTTATTCCTCAGCTTCAGCTGTTGGACTTATGATTGGTGTCGGTAGTGTTGGTGAAAATCTTGCAGAATATTCTAAGAGTTCTACCTTCTTAACCCGTGATGGGGGACTAACCTGGAAAGAAGTTAAAGACGGTGTGTTTATGTGGGAATACGGTGATCGAGGAACTATATTAGTATTGGTGAACGCTGTAGAAAAAACAAATGAATTGTTGTATTCGTTAGATGAAGGTGAATCTTGGCATGAGTATATATTTGCTGACAAGCCAGTCAAAGTCATTGACTTGGCTACAGTTCCATCAGATACTTCCAGAAAGTTCACTGTATTTGCTAAAAGTGATGCCGATCCTAAAAATACTGTTGTATACTCTATTGATTTCACAAATGTTTACAAAAGACAATGTCAATTAGACTTAGATAATCCAAATAATGATGATTACGAATATTGGACTCCAAAACACCCCCTTATTGCTGATAACTGTTTATTTGGTCATGAAGCCAAATATTTGCGTAGAGCCGTGGGTCACGATGACTGTTTTATTGGGAGTGCCCCATTGAAAGAAGGCTTCAAAGTTTTGAGGAACTGTTCATGTACAAGAAGGGACTTCGAATGTGATTATAACTTTTTCAGAGATACCGACGATACATGTAAATTGGTCAAAGGATTGACTCCTACTGATAGGAGAAAAGAGGCCTGCAAAAAAGATAATGCTTTTAGATATTTTGAACCAACAGGATACAGAAAGATTCCATTATCCACTTGTGTGGGAGGTAAAAAGTTTGATACTATGAGTCCAGTTGCTTGTCCAGGAAGAGAGAAAGAGTTTAATGAGTTCTATGGTAGAGGTATTGGCTTTGGAAGATTCATGTTAATCATTGGTATTCCACTCGCTATTTTCTTTTCAGCAACTTACTTTGTGTACGATAGAGGAATTCGCCGTAATGGTGGTTTCAAAAGATTCGGCCAAATCAGATTAGATGAAGAAGATGACTTCCAGCCTATTGAAAATAATGATGTTGATAAAGTAGTCAATAGAATTGTGAAGGGTGGAATTTATGTTGCTGCAGTTGTTATTGCGGGAGCTAAGACAATAAGGAAGATAGACAAAGCCGTTATCGATAGATTGGCTGCAGCGATATTTCGCCGCAGTCCAGGTCGTAGAAATTACGTCCATGTTCCTGATTTGGATGAGGAAGAAGAATTATTTGGTAACTTTCAAGATAATTATGAAGAAGAATTAGAAGAAGGTACCGACGTGCCAAACTTTCAAGACGAATCAGCAGAAAATGACCTTGGTACCTATGATGAAACGGAAACCCCCTCAGGTGAAGCCGACTCGAGGTTATTCGGTATTGATGATCAATCAGACGATGATGCTGGCTCTTCAAGAAACGATTAATCTAAAAAGTACTAGACAAAAAAGCTATTCAATCCGACAGCCTGTATTTAAAAAAAATATTTATACGTTAACCAAAAGCTAAGTGTAGAATTACCGAGTAGCATCTAAAAAACGCAAATAATATCCTTAATTCCCGGAGCATTTCTTTTAGGTCCTGGAACATATATGATAACCTCGTTATCACAATTTTATCTTGATTTCGAAAGAAGTTCGCATTCAATTTGCAACGTGATTTTTGTTGCAAAAAACTAGGCCCACTCCCGATACCTCTCGAATCCTTGTTTCCCTATACTGCAAATACATTGAACTGAATAAATTCAATAAAGTGAAACAAAATTTACAAGAAAAAGTCAGAGAAAAAGTTCAAAAAACGAACATCACCAATAAAGTTGAGTAAGAAATATTGATCAATAAATACGTACTTCAAGGTGAAAATTAAAAATTATATAAGATATCAAGCACTCTTTTTTGAAGACTTTGCTGAGTCCGAAAGTAAGATTCTAAAGTTATACAGCAAACCCTTTATCTAATCCATCCTTTTTCTATTTTCTTTTCTATTTTCTTTTCTATTTTTTTTCTTTTTTTTTTTTTAAGATAATTGTAGAAGAGACAATCAGGATTTAGTCTGTCTGCCATACGAAAAAAGGTTATTACAAACAACTACCCGATAGTGAAAATGAATACCGCTTTTCTTTTAATATACGATGTGTTTGTAACATCATAACAAATAAACGAATTCATACCCTCTTTTTGCCCAACCTTTTTAACAATTTTTATATCACTGAATGGATTATGCCACTATAATTGATATGGATTTTAAATATTATTAAAAACAGGAGAAAAGACAATTTTTTTAATTTAGTTGAAAAAATATCTTACTTAAACAAGCGCCAGTACAGTTATCTATAATAAATTTTTGAATAAAAAGTATGATGCGGTGGCTCAATTGGTAGAGCTTTGGACTCCAAATCCAAAGGTTGCAGGTTCAAGTCCTGTCCGTGTCATTTTTTTCAATTCCTCTTATTTATGGGGATCCATTGATTTTTTTTGAAGACAAACCATGGGTTATAATATCAATTCTACAAGCTTGGTTAGTTATTCTTTTATGACAACTGTATTGTGAGATTGAAAATATACAAAGAAAACTTATAAAATAATTTTATAATAATAATGAGCAGAAGAAAAGTGACAACTAAAATCACGACTTGAAATTTGAAAAAGGGAAAAAGAAGGAAAGAGTCGTGAAAGAAAAGAAACGCAGTTAGTTAATTAAATGAAAAAAATAGAAAAAGACGTAGATGAAAAAGATTAAAAAAAAGTTTTTGCAATAAAAAAGTAACACGGAAGAAAATAAATAATCGATAAGAAATAAAACTAATATGAACAAAAATGCTGGATTAAATGTGAAATTTAATGAAAAGAAGGACGGGAGGATTATAGTAACTCGAAGCAATTAATAACTGAAATGTTCTTAATGATTTCTTTGTAAATCCATTTCATGAATTAATGATTCAGGATTAACTGCATTCATCATCTCTTTCTCTTCAATTCTTTGAGGAGTTACTCCGGATTGTTTGGATTTTCTGAATAACATGAAATATGGAATTATATATAACAAACCAATTAAGGTTGTCGATCCTAACGCGCAAGCCAATGATATTCCAACTACTTTACCACTTGACAAACCTTTATTCTTGTTGGTGATATCATCAGAGGACAGGAATCGATATGCATCATTGAATAAAAAGGTATTTATTCTTCCTATTTGATCAGAACCTTTTGCTGAAAAAACGTATGGAATCCATTTGGAGCCATCGTATAATGCAGCATTAACTAAACCATAATCTTCCAATTCAAAAACTCCCGCTAATATCAATGCTTGGTTTTTATTGAAGTATTTTTGGTTCTTATTTGAAGACAAGTCTTTTTCTAATGCTATGATTTTCAAATCAGTGAACTCAGTATAAGGTGTATAGAGAATTCCTTCATCAAGGGTGGCCCATCTAGAGCCATCATAACCAACAATAAAATCAGAACCAAGTGCAGAAAACCGACCACTCAATTTACTATCATTTTCGTCGTTAATTGTAAATTTGTTCACTTTCTGAGATGAACCTAATTTATTGAGGGAAGATTTGGATGTGGCAAACATACCTTTGTCGAAATCATAAGTAATAAAGTTAGCATCTGATGAGTCAATTGTAAAATTACCACTAATGATAACTTGATTAGATTTGAAAAATTTAATATCGGTAGCACTTCCATCAATAGATGGACTTTTATCACTAGAGGCAGGATCCATCCATCTAGTATTAGCAATGTCATAAACACATAAACCAATACACTGCAATGAACCAGCCAGAACAAAGTCACCACCAACTAATAATTTATTACCTTTATCATATAAGACAATTGCATTGATATTTATCGAATCACCACCAATATTAGCAAGTTCGGCAGGTTGGAAGTCAGTGAAGCTATTATTCTTCAAATTGTAAATAATAACTCCAGTAACGTTTTTATCTCCATCAATAGTGGCAGTACCATTAGTACCAATGAAAAGATACTTACCATCACTATCCACGTATAATTCTTGAACAACGGCATCATCTGTGAATTTAATGTCACCATTCAAGCCAACCATTGATCTATTCTTACTAGTATTATCAATGAAACCAACATTAGAAATTTTAGAAGAGGTTTTGAACTTTCCACCTATCACACTAACAGAGTTGTTGATGTAGTATGAAGCAAAAATTTCATAACCATCGTCTTCGATGTCAAACTTATAAGGTTCTATACCATCATCGGTTATAGCAGCCTGGTCTTTACCATAATAATCCATAATATTGAATGATGAACCACTTAAAATTTGTTGTTTTTTACTAAGACTGACTGCAGAGGTGATGTTTAACTGGAGATCACTATCACTGTCTAGCCATTTACTATTAGTATTATCCCAAGTTTTGAAATTGTCACCATCTGCACCAAAAACAAAATATTCAGTGTCATCGATAGTAAGATTTGAAACTTGATTATAAGAAATATCAGAAAAATTATTACCAAAACTATACCAGGCCGAGTTATAGTATATGGCAAAATTATTAGCAGTGTCAACGGAATTGTTTTTATTTGATAAGTCTCTTAGTTTTGTTGAATCATCTTTCTTAGATAAACTGAACTTACCAAGGTAAATAGAGGCGTCTCCCAAACTGGATACTTTACTTATGGAATCATTAAAATTTACACCTTTGAAGGTAAAGTCATTATCATCGTCATCACGTTTCCATAATTCCGCTTCACGTTCAGTTAAATCGTATTCTAATTCACGTTCGTATAAATCGTAATTTAATTTACGTTTTTCAATTTCTGATATAGCTTGATTTGAAGTATCATTATACTTATTAAGTGTAACACTGATAAGATTATCACTTGATAAATTCAAAGATTTTGATTTGAAATTGCCTATGATGCTTATGGTTTCACCATTTAAATTTAATTCATCAATTTTGGAATCTGAAGATAATTTTGAACTGAGAACATTTAAGGTAGAATTACCAACGAATGTATTCTTTTTACTAATAATTTTGTCATCTCCATCTTTGTAACTGACTTTCAGTTCATCGAAATCAGTGAAATTAGCAATTGAATATTCAAAAAGTGAGTGTAATTTGAGATGATGTAACTCCGAGTCTTCTTTGGAATGGTTAGAAGATTTATTTGTTGAATTCATTTCCATATAATCATCTAATTCGACAACGTTGGTGGTAACTTTATCAACAACAACCCAAGGATCATTAGTACCTGGAGTTATAGTGTCATGATATTCAACTTTTATTTTATTGTGACCATCATAATCGGCAGTACCATTTAAGTGACCATAAAATAAGTAGTCAAATTTATCATTATTATTATTTTGATAAATTAATTTTGAAGCCAACATGTTATCATCATTATCAATAACAGAAACGTTAACAATTGAACGTTTATCACAAGAGTTATCAAGGGTACAACCTGGAGTACCGAATAAAATAGAATAATTACCCGAATAAGATATATTTGGATACAAAATCAATTCGGCATCAGTACCAACCGAAACCAAATAATCGGTATTTGAAACTGAATTTGAAAGGGAAGTAACTGATTTCCAAGAGCCAGATTTTAATTCTGAATAATTAACTGGACCATCATCGTCGTCATCACAATTTGGTTCATTTAAGGAGTCATTACCGTAGACCATAATTTGATTAGAGTATAATTCAAAACCACTCAAAGCACCTTTTGAACCATACCAGCCAACAATTGTAACACCAACTTTATCGACACTAACTGAATTTTCAAACGAGAATTCTTGATAATTTGAACCATAACCCAAGACTTTCGTTTTCGAAGTATCATCATAATAAGTTTGGAAAGAACCTTCATCATCAACATAAGTCATATCATCGGTTAATGATTTTTTATGTTTTTTATTTTTACTAGTATAATCTTTTAATTCCGAAGCCTTTTTCATGGGACACCAAGCATCACAATAAGCAATATCATTTGTATCAGGGTCAATATAAGAAAGATTCATGATCCCATTATTTGGATAAGAATAAATTCTAAATAATTGGACTGAGTCTTCATCATCCGGAACATAAAGACGAGCTTTAGTAGGATAAACTCCTTTTACTTCATTTGGTAATTCGACTGCCCACTGGCCACCAACATCAGGTTGTAGAGACCATTTATTATTATTAGAAGGACAAATGATAGAAGAATCATCATTTGAAGAATCACCATTAGTATTTGAAAAAGTACCGTATTTAATTGAGATGATTTGTTCAGCGGTTTCTAAAGAGGTATCATTGGTATTTTTATGATGTCTTAAAGTTGAATTTGAGGAAACGTTTTGTGCTAATAAGTCAGAGAGACCAAGGGTGTTAAAATCCCCACCGAAAACAATGGAACCTTTATTAACATCATCTTTATTATTATTTTGATTGATCTTCATGATTGAGTTCACCACTGCTTTATCACCAAAACCTTTGAAAGGGGTATTATAAACTTGTTTCGAGGTTTGATTATATATAGCCGCTCCATAAGTGTTATTAAATTTAAAGTCACCCCCCAAGTAAATAAGATCTTCATCAACGTACATGACGCTAACTTCACCGCTTTCAATACTTGGCGTATCATCTCTTTTAGAAGACGAAGAAGGAAACACCAGCGAGACATCCCCCGATGTTATATTGTATATTATTGGTGGTTGATAAGATTTATCATTGAATTTTGAAAAATTCCCCGTTATTATAACTGTATCTTCACTCAAGGGTAAGATCTGACTAATATCTCCATTGGTATCACCGAATTTTAAGTTATAATTTTTGGAAGAATCTCTTACGTATAAATTATTTGAATTTGAAGATGAATTTGAAGGAGAGTTTTCATTTGGATTTTGGAGAAATGAAGATGCATTGTGATAAGAATAATATGACAAGGAGTCGAAAGAGCCAAACACCCCGATTCTTGAACCTATTTTCGAAAACTGAATATCAGGAATTGAAACCGATTCAAATGTTGATGCAATAATTAAAGTAATCAAGTAGAAAATCGACAACATCTGTCGTTTAATTGGTATCATCTTGGGCGCTTTCAATTCTCTATCTTTCCGCCTCTTGACTATAGCAACTCCTATACCAGGAATATACTCAAATGAACAAGAATATCGTTTTTATATCAAATTCAATACAAAAAATTTTTCTTTTTTTGATGTTTTTTTTTTGAATATGTTTTGAAGTATAAACAACGGGATAGCTTAACTATTATCAGTGTTCCTCTTTGGCAAGGTCCTCCAATCAATAGAAAAGTATTGGATATTGAAACGAGTGGAAGGAGTAATGGATGGAAGAGAAGCTTCTTACAAAACAAGAAGTGTTGACCAAATCCTATGATAAATTAAACGAGCTATTCTCCTACTATTTCTACACGCTCTTTTTTTAGTGCTAAGTGAGAATTTGGTTGTCTCACTAAACTCACAATGAAAATTTTTCACTTACACTGTTCTTTACTATTACTACCACTATTATCTACTGCTAGTGGTACTGGTACTGGTGGGCCAGTTGTGCCAGTTGTGCCAGTTGTACTTGTTCAGTTGTACTTGTTCAGTTGCACTTGTTCAGTTGCACTTGTTGTGCTAGTGCTTGTAAAATTGTAGTGCTGACTGGCACGTCTACCGTGATACTCGGTGCGACCCATAGACGATTCAATCCTATTTGAAACAATCCTCCGCGTACTGTCTGACTATTGAGTACTTGTTGTTGTTCTTGTTGTTGTTCTTGTTGTTGTTCTTGTTGTCGTTCTTGTTGTCGGTGTAGTCAATCTGTTTACGTCCGTAAACAGTAATCTCGATCAGACGAATCAGAATTATAAACAAATGCCAATTGAACAATAAGCGTTAGTTCGCTTAAAAAAAGGGGAAACGGCTTGGGTCTTGCGCGCTTTGCAGGTTGGGCTCGGGTGGACTGCAGGTTGAGGTGACGGGTTTGCGGGTTGGGTGCATTACAGGTTAGAGTGACGGGTTTGCAGGTTGGGAGGAAATCACATCCGTAAACCAGGTTTTGGAAGATGTACGGAGGTTTGTCCCGGAAAGAATAGCGCAAAGGTTTTCTGCTCTAGTCCCAACAGGTCCAGTTTAAGGCCCAGTTTAAGGCCCAGTTTATGACCCATAGGACACCAGACCCACAAGATGCAATATCCTCAAGGCCTTGATCCGTATAGTGCAAGACAGCATTTGTTGCACAATACATATTCGCCGTTGATTTCGTTACAATCGAGTTATAATTCGGAAAGTAAGCTCAAATCGATACTTGATGAATATAATAATCATGATGATGATTTATCGATATTGATGTTGTTTAAACTGTATGGGAATAATGCAAAGTACTCCATACCCAATCAATCCTTCAAGATCACCAACACTCAATTGATAACGAAGAATTACCCAAGCTTCCCCATTCGATTCGAACCCCTGTTACCGGATTTACTATCGATTAGAGATGCATCCAATAATTTTGATAATAATAAATTGAATCAGCTATTTAGTATAACATCTTTGGAAATCTTATTGAAGCATATAAGCACCTCGGACCCCTCCTTGACAAAAGGATTATACTTGAAGTTCTTTAATAAGATTATAACCTCCAATAATATCGTACCGTTTGAGACATTTAACCATCCAATATCACAAATTTTTGTAATAAATTTCCCCAATGACTCAATTGATGACTTAAGGAAGTTGATTGTTGAATTCAGAAATCTGATTTTCCCTCCATATTTTCAAATTGATGATTTACTTATTCATATTTTCATTTTATATGATTCTTCTCAAATTTCCGATTCTGATATTGTTCAATTTCAAAATTTAATTAAAAAAAATTTAAGTGTTAACTCAACCAGTTTCCCAATAAATAATGATAATAATCAATTAATTCAAATCCCTAAAAATGAATATTCAACTATAGAGCAGGATTTACAAATTATTAGCTTGAATCGCTCCAAAAAAATATCTTCTTCCTTGAACATTCCCATATCGATCGATACAGTATTGAGAAATAAAATCCATGAATATATCAATAAATACTTGATTCCCCATATGCAAAAAAAAATTAGAATATGGGATGATCAGATTTTGGCTCCTAAAAAATCTTTCACCGGTCGGATCTTTTCTGTTTCTAAAAAATTCTTTAATAATAATAATAATAGTAATCCGTCCATTGAATCTTCTCCTGAAAATTCGTCCTTTAATTACTCTGGCAATTATTATCATAAATCCTCTACTGAACAAACTATAAGAAAATTAGCTGATTGGTGTTTAATCTTAAAAGATTTTAAATACGCTTATAGTACCTATGATTTTATTAAAAAAGATTATACTAATGATAAAGCCTGGGTTTATGTTGCTTCAATTCAAGAGATGTGCATTGTTTCCTTATTATTGGCTCAAACTCAACAGATTCAATCTTCTTCTTCAATTAATCCGCCTGATAAAAATACCTTAAGAAAAATCCGTCATGATATAATAGAGCCTTATATTGATAATTTGAGTTATACTTTCAAATCTCGTCTTAACGTTAAAACTTATTCTTTGAAATCTTTACTAATAACTAACGAATTATTATTATGCATGTGTGTTACCTATGATATTTCTGGTTGGTGGATAGATTTACTCGAAAAATTTTTCTGTAAATGTATTAATGAATTCGATACTCATTTGGTTTCAAATAATCAATCCCTGCAAGTCATAAGAGCTATTCTTTATGAAAGACTCGGCTACACTTTTGGTAAATGTATTTATTTATCTTCTGATGATCGTCGTTACATCGACATAAATCCTTCAATGTTTGATAAATCTTTCAATTCGGATCCTGTCCCGGAAGGTCACTATTCAAATCCAAATAAATTACACCCTGATAAAAATAATGCTATAAAAGGTTTAACAAGACTTAGAAAATCTTCTATATGGTACCTTTTATCAATTAAAGAATGGCTCGTTCTTAAAAATTTTAATCAAATCCTGTATTTATTACAATGCATTGGTTTAACTTATAATATTAAACAAGACTCAAATGATTGGTATGATAAGTCAGACGTATTATTGGGCTTCGTCAAAAAATCTTTAAAAGATTATGAACATGAAAATCAGATTGATTAATTTAATGACCTTCAGCATATTTACATATCTTTTACATAATTATATACGAAATAGATTATATATAGCAATTTGTTTTTTATTATTCTAACTCTTTTAATGCCAATTTCCTTCTTTTATCCATGCTAGTTTTAATTCCAACGTTTTTGGTACTTGGTTTACTACTGAGCCAATCCCATATCAATTTTAATTTGGAACTGGCTCCAGGTATTGCCAGTATATCACCTTGAGCTCCTTTCAACTGTGATAGTCCAAAAAATGTCGACAGCAAGTTTGCTGAATCAGCATCTACTTCTTCTTCATACTGATTAAAGTCTTTCTCATCAAATACTCCATGTTCAACCATTTTTCGAAAAACAATTTCGCCGAATATTTTGATAATGACAGAAATAGGATATGGGAAGAAAGTGTATAATGAAAATTGTTCCAGTCTATCTCCTCTTAATGGTTTAGTATCTAATTGTAAATCACTCCCTCCCAGAGAATTGGAAATAAGTGATGATAATGCATTAGTGTTTGATGCAGGTGGGGTGGGTGCTTTCATTTTAAAACGATTTTTATTTGACCTTTTCCTATTGAGTGCAAAAGGTAATAGATAAGATTGTCTATCGTTAGTACCTAGTTTGAAAAAACGAAGATAAATCCAACTTATTATGAAACCAAGTATTGAAAGTGATAATGATATTTGATAATCTTGGTCAATCATTTTTAATACTGTTAAACTGACCAACACTATGAATGGTAAATATGTGATTTTAACTCTCAAATTATCCTTGAAAAACAATAAATAGTGATTTGAAATTCTTTGTTTAATTGCAACGAAAAGTCCCATATTTAATGCCATTGAACTGATAATTACCGGAGGAACACTTAATTCGTGCTCAGCATATATTGATGCTTTGAAATTATAATATAAGTAAAGTGACAAGTTTGATCCAATACTAACGGTAAAGATAAATTTCATAAACTCTTTTGATCCCCACATATTCTCTAGATATTTTCCCAAATAGAAAAAAAGAATGAAATTCAATACCAATCCCGCAGCAGTTTCCTCAATAAATCCACTAGTGATAATCACCCATGGCCTCGTAAGAACTGGTGATTTGGTTGGTATAAACGTTAGTAAAGGTACGTATAATTCATGAGGATGAGGAATTTCACCAGTTTCTTCAGTTATTGAATTAGATTCATCAGAGTTTTTCGCTGATGTAACAATTATAACAAAATAAGTATAGTATTTTAATATGAAGTTTAAAAATGTTAAACTTAGAAGTACCACTAAAAGTATGCTTGTAACCTTGGGAACTTTCATCTTCTATTATATTGGCATTTGATGTTAGTATCCAACCAATTTAAAAAATAATCCAAACAACAACAAAGTACAACAGTTTATAAATAGCGGTATCCAGCTTAATGAAAACTGTCAGTCTTCTAATTAGCTCTCGTATCTTCAACAAGCTTCTTAAAATAGATCAATATATCGATTAAAGATCTCAAAAACCCAAATCGCAATTGTTTGTACCAATGAATAAACAGATAAACACCAATAATATTCCACTCTGAAATTGGTTCTTAGAGTTTAGTATATCTTAAAGCACAGGTCTAGCCACTCAAATTATTCAATTTAGCAATGACCTTGGTAAGAAGCTAGTGGATTTAAAGCTCTGATATGTTTTTTCATACTGATTTTGGCGTTTTAAGTCAGGGAAATGGGAATTGAGAACATCGCGCATGTGCAGGAGCATTTTTCAAACCGAAATATTCAACTTTTCTCGTTTTGTTAATAAAGACAAAGTGATCAAAGAGACCAGGTAAAAGGTTTAAGGATGAGCTTAGGATTATGGAGAAGGGCAAGCCCGCTTTCATTCAGAATAACGAACAAATGCATACTAAGATGTTCCAGGAAAACATACTCGACTGCCCAAGCTACAGCGGGAAGGAAACTAAGGTTTAGGGATTTATTGAAAACCCCCGTTTTTAAGTCAGTTTTATTAACCATGTTGTTTGGATCGACTGTGATTGACTTCATGAAGAAAAGAAAAGAGTACGAAGCGTTGATCAGTACTTACGAGACCAGGTTTGATATACTTAATGGAATAATTGCTAAATTGAAAAAGGGGGAAACAGTTGATTTGAATCAAGAACTTAATATTGCCAACAGTTTGACTAGACACAAGTACAATACGGTGACTGATGTCGAGCTTGACGAACAACTTAATGAATTTTTGAAATTGGCCGAAGACAAAGAGAAAAATCCAAAAGAGGAACTACACAGGGAAGAGCCAACAAACCCTCAAGAACCAACTCGTCCAGATCCAAAGAAATTTTTATAGATATATCCTAATGTAAATAGACGTCCTTCGATAAAGAATAAAAATTATTATATCATTACAATACAAATAGTATACACTGAAGAACTGAAGAGAATTAAAAATATTAATAAAGATAACCAAATAAAGATAACCAAACCCAAATAGACTAATTGATCGAAACTTTTCTGACAGTTCTTCTATGACTATCACCAGTTTCCACAATCTTACCTTCTTGTTGTAATCTTTTGAGGCACTCATTTATATCATGATTCTCGACCCTAACGGTACCTCTTTCATTTAATTTGATTGCTAATTCATTGACCCTAATGGTGTTGTCATTTTCTTCAATCACCTTCATAACCTCATTACTTAAGTCTTCTTGAATTCTTCTTTGAGCGGAAGTAGTACCTGTTTGGACCATATCCATATCGATTCTACCGGTGATTGGATCAGTGGCATAGTCTTTGATAGCGGATTTGATCAATCTGACTGCTTCTTTAACATCGATAAGATTAACTGTTTCACTCAATCTCATTTTAGCATGTGCTTCAGCCAATCTAATCATAGATTCCAATTGTCTAGTAGTAGCAGTAATTCTTCTTTCTGATGATCTACTATCATCACCTAATTTTCTCATATCAACATAAGCTCTTACTAATTCATTTTTAGCTTCTTCAGTCATGACTGGTTGACAATTTTCTTTGGCATATTGAATATACATACTTAAAAATTCAACCGGTAAAACAGTATTTTCAGTAACTGTATCAGGAGCATCTTCTAAATACATATCAGTCAAGTGTCTAGCCAATTGTCTATCGATATTCTCATCAACCTTATCCAAAATTAAATAAACCAAATCAAATCTGGATAATAATGGTGGTGGTAAATCAATATTGGAGGTGACTGGTAAATTTGGGTCATATCTAGAGTTGATTGGATTGGCAGAAGCTAAAATAGAGGTTCTTGCATTTAAAGTGGTAATAATACCTGCTTTAGCAATAGATATAGTTTGTTGTTCCATAACTTCATGTAAAACAGATCTAGTTGAATCACTCATTTTGTCAAATTCATCAATACAACAAACACCACCATCAGATAAAACTAAAGCACCTGATTCTAATACTAATTGTTTGGTATCAACATCTCTAGTAATGTAAGCAGTTAAACCAACAGCCGATGAACCTTTACCAGAAGTGTAAACACCTCTTGGTGCTATTTTATGAACATACTGTAACAATTGAGATTTAGAAGTAGATGGATCACCACACAATAAAATATTAATATCACCTCTATATCTACCACCTTTTGTAAAAGTTTTATTAGTACCACCAAATAATTGAAGTAAAATACCCTTTTTAACGTCATCCATCTCATAAATTGAAGGTGCCAATGATCTGGCTAAAACTTCATATAAATCATCACGTTGGGATACATCTTTTATTTCTTGAATATTTTCAGGAGTAAGTTTTCTTACTTGTTCCACTTCCTGTTCTTGAGTAGTTGATTCATCCAAGGTAGAAGGATCAGCTCCTAATCTTTTTTTATCAATTTTCTTAATATGAACAACATCTAAATAAGTTTTATACAAATTCTTTAAGGCTCTTTGTCTTGAGTTAACTCTAACTGGGATAGATCTAAAAATACCACAAACTTCAATACGATCACCAGCACGACAAGAGTCAACTAAATCATCATAAACACACAAGTTGATAGAGTGTGGAGTTTGTCCGTCAGGGACTAAATCTGGGGTTTCTTGTAATTTAATAACTTGTTTATCGGCAAAAGAAGAACGATTATGAATAATAACCATAGAATTAGATTGTTGACAAACTTCTCTTGGACATTTAGTTGGTTCAGTAATAACCCCTCTATCGATTTCGACTGCTACTGTATGATCACAAGCATTACATTTGAAAAATGCAACCTTCATATCAGGGATAATTGAAGTTGCTCGAAGGACTAAACCTTTAACACTAACTAATTTGTCGATGTCATTTGGATTTAATTCTCTCATACCTCTCTTTGCAGCATTTATATTAAAAGGACGTACAGTATAGTGATTGGTTTCAATTTCATCAATATTAACATTAGAATGTTCGTGACCTAAAGAAACCATTGAATCTTTGAAGATTTGATCCATAATTGGAACAACTTCTTGTGGATAATTGATAAGCTGATAGTATAATCTTTTAGTTGAAGGGTATGATAATAAGTTTTTAGCATCCAAGTTCAAATTAGTTAATCCCAAATCTCTAATATTATTCAATTGATTGATATAATACAAGTCATTGTCTTCAGGATCAACCGGTTGACTATCCAACAATTTTCTGTACTTTAATTTGAAAGTCATTAAGAAATCTCTAAAAGTCTCAGCACATTCTCTTAAAGAAACATTAGTACCCCAAATAACTCTTGTATCTTCACCGGCAGCTGGCGAGGGAATATCAGAACTGAAAGATGATGATAACGTCGATCTTTGACGACTAGGTGGATCGGATTCAACAAACAACCTTCTTCTACTAGGCGAAGAATTGGCATCATGTAAATCACTTCTATTATGTCTTCTGACGATTCTGTCAACGTCACTAGTTAACCTGTCGGATCTGAGACGCTGGGAACCACCACGAGTGTCAGAATGTTGGTGGCTGGTGTCAGAAGTGAAATGAAGTGGCGAGGAAACATCATTTCTTTGGGAGCTATGATGGTTGTTTGCATCAGATGGGGGGTTGGAAGAAGTAGGGGCAAATAACAAAGGTGAAGAGGAACCTTGATCCCTTTGGTTCTGGGATTGGGATTGAGACTCACTTTCTTTCAAACTTGGATCTTCAGGAAGATCATTGACATCACGAATAGGAGACGACATGCTTATTCGCTAAAGGCGTATTGAGTACTGAATTATTGATTTTACTGAAGTATTTAAAAGAGCTTGAAATAAAAGAAAAATCGCTACTATAAAAAAATCGAGCAAGAAACAGAAAGACGCGTATGCATTTTTTTTTTTTTTTTTTTTTTTTTTTCTTCAATTAATTTACCTTTTGCGGACAAATTAGCGATGGGAATGCCCATTTAGTATGTATTGACTTGAGAATATCAAGTTCAATTAGCACAAAGATTCATTCTGAATCCTTGATCCCACCTTCACTTATAACGTATACACATTCTTTTTCTGGCATGTCGGGGCTATCTTGCAATTTGGCAACTCTCTCTTCTCCACGGCCCTTTCTAAGTAGTAATCTTGTGGCCGAAGCATGGGCCAAAACATGACCACCAACTGGTTTTCTACCATCAGCACTGGCAAACAAGGCACTTGCACCAGGATCAGATTGGACTTGGTTCGTTAAGAATACTGCAACGTTGTAATCCTCGGCCAATCTGGTCAATAATGATAAGTATTGGTTTAGTTTTTGTTGTCTGTCATTCAATTCTCCCCTGCCAATGTAATCAGTACGGAAGCAAGCCATGACCGAATCAATGATGATCAAGCGGTAACTCCCGCTTGCAAGATCAGCACATAGCTGTTCACAAAGCTCTACTTGATGCTCGCTATTGAGGGCTCTTGCATAAGAGATATTTTCTAAACAAGCAGCGGGATCAACCCCAAATCTTGCCGCAATCGATTCAATTCTGTCTGGCCTGAAAGTACCTTCGGTATCAATGTAAGCTACCTTCCCTTCAGCACCACCCATTTCTACTGGAAGCTGAGCAGTAACGCACATGGTATGACACAATTGAGTCTTACCGCATCTAAATTCACCAAACACTTCACTAATACTTCTTGAATGTATTCCTCCACCCAATACTTCGTCCAATTGCTTTGACCCGGTACTTATCGTAAACACACTTCTTCTTATCTCTGCTTGAATAGTACCTGGTACGAAGCCAATGTTCTATGGTTGGTTAATATTGCATTTTTTTACAATCAAATCAGTTAAAAGTTATACGTACCATGAGCTTACCAGCGGCTTCCTTGATTTTTTCAACCTTGACTTCACTTAAACCTTTGATTTTACACAAATTTCTTTTCGTCATCGAAAGAACAGTCTTTAAAGTGTTAATAATCAAATCAATCAGATATCATTAGTAAATAACATACTGCTATAGAATACACGCCCGCGGTTTTCAATTTGGTTATATCCCCCACATTGATTCCATGACTTTGAAGCTCGTCAATATTGATGATGGCTCCCCGTCCTTGAGTCTCGATTTCGTATGTCATGGTGCTCTGTTAGTGGATATGTGATATTCAATTGCAAGTTGCAATAGTATAGAATAAGTGAAAGCGATGTATAACTTTTTCGCAGTCTTACGCAGTGTTTTGATTTTTTGACCATTTTTGTTACTATCAATAGCTTCAGTTTATCAATCAGTTAAGAAAGTACACCAGCACTACATAAGTATGTCGAAATATGATTCCAGCATTGACGAGGTATTGTACAGGGCCAGACAAAGGTCTCCTGAACGAAACAACGAATCACCCCTGAAGGTGAGACTTTCAACCACATCTCTTCCAAGACCAGATTCACAAGGGTCTGATAGCAGTGGTTCATTTGTACGTTCTGCAAGAGGCTCACCGCTTAGAAGAACAGGCTCTCCAGAAAGAAGACAGCGTATAGCCGATATAGAGAACTCTAAGAAAAGGGCTCTAGAAGACTCCCCACAAAAACCCAAGAAACCCCGAGCGGTGAGTTTTAATAACGAAGTTCATTTCAACACTAATGATACAGGGGAATTAAAATCTGAAGAAGACCAAGGACCACTTCGCCGGTCTATTCTGCCTCCTTTGAAACCTGAACCGCAACACGTTAAGCGAAGTTCGTCGAGCTCAAATAAAGTGGTCAAACCAATGAAAGACACTAAAGATGAAACAATTGGTCTATTGGAAAGACTTAAGAAGGTTGAAACTACTCAAGAACAAATTTTGAGTCGATTAGACCGCCAAGATCAGATACTAGCAAGGGTTGAAGCTTTACAAAGCCAAATAACCCAATTACAAAATAAAAGGAAGACTAATTAAAAGGAATTATATATTCGTTTCGACGGTCATTAAAAATCTATATTCTTTGTGGTTTGAGGACCATGATCATGCCCATCGTGAGACGCATTATTATTATTGGAATCATCGTCTTCAACAGGTATACCCCATTCTTCAATTTCGAATTTCTTTCTTCCGTTTTTGAAAGCATATTCACCTTCATAAACCATCATCATTCCTTTATCGGATAAAACAGGAAGTTTGAAAATATTGACTAAACCTTGTTGAATTTTAGCTGGTTCATTTTTATAAGCTTTTTCTATCAAAGCCGACATTTGTTGATTGAAAGGTTGCAAATGGATCACCGAATCAGCAAGATTTTCCAAAATCAGGGTTAAGCTGGTGAATCTAGGATATAAATCTAAGGGCAAAGATGCTATTAATGATAAATTAAAACTGAATTCACGCAAAAGTGCCCGAAGACTATGAAAGAAAGGAATGATGAAACTGGGTGAACTGAAAGCAGGATTATAAATGGATGGATTCAATAAATTTGGAACAATCAAACGAATCACTTTTGAGGAGTTTGTTTTCAATTGAGTTTTAATTATTTGATTCAATTGCAGAATAATATGATTATAATTATTACTCAATGGAACAAAAGTCATATCTTGTCCACTTGGTCCAGGAACTAGCTTCTGGGTGATATCAAACTGGTTGTTATAATGTTCATAAACAGTGTTATTTTCTTGTTCTTGTTTTTTATTATTCAATCCATATCTCCAGGCAATTTTCATATCCTTCTCAGCCCGATTACTACTTGGAGCTGATGATAAATTTGAAACACTAACCTTGGATTCATTTTCTTGGATTTTAGCCTTCTTTTGTTCTTTACTTGAACCTTTATATAATCCAGGTAATTCTTTGGCCCATGCTGCTCCCAATCCAATTACAATTGTATGAGAGTGTAATTGATCTTTTTCAAGTCTATTATGAATAACCCCCTGAGATGCAAAAGCTCTCAACAAAACAGATGCGAAATCAGTGGTCCCAGACTCTTCAATGAGCAATGAACACCCAATAGGTAAGCCTTGATGTAACATTATTTTATCCAAGTCAGAACTACCCGTTGAAATGGTTGGCTGCGATGTTATTAATGATGGTCTGACCCCAGGATTCTTCATAAGAGCGTCAAACTGTTCCTGCTCCTTTGCTTTGGAAGAAACAGGAGTAATCAGACCTCTACTAGCAGATATTCCACTAACTGGAGGACCTCTTCCACTAACTGGAGGACCTCTTCCATTAACTGGAGGTGCCCTAGCAGGCACACCAGGTCTCGATACGCCAGCGGGTGCTCTTGCATTGGCCATAGGATTCCCACCTATGACCTCACTTCTCTTTCTGAATGACATACTATGGAGTTCTGTGCACTAGTTGAGAAGATTGACTTTGGTCTTGAGTACATCTTCACTGAAATTTTTTATTTTTCTAGTATCAAAAGTGTTCCTGCATGCAACCTGAGAGAAAGCGAAACAACAAATATAAATGACTTATCATTAGATAGGATTGACAATTAGTAGAAATAAATATATATATATATTTGGAAGATCATAGGTATGGGTGCAGCAATTTCCCTTCCCATGACACTCGTCTCGAGTGGGACATGTTTGTGCATGAGTTCGGTTTGTAGTTCCATTGGCGGAACATATAAATCTTCTATAATGACCAGAATAACCTATGCGTTTATCCTTCTAATAAATTCACTTTTATCGTGGATAGCTTTTTCTCCATTCATAATACACCGATTGGAAAAGGCGACGTTTGGATTTGTGAATATAAAATGCGGTCCTGATGGTAGTGAATGTATAAGTTTTACTTCGGTATACCGAATCAATTTTGCCTTGGGTATATTCCACTTGATATTGGCTACTTTATTAATCAATGTTAAATCTACTTCTAACCCTAGAGCGGTTATTCAAAATGGGTGTTGGAGACTCAAGATTATTGCTTGGATTTCATTAATTGCATTGAATTTTTTTTTAATCCCCGATACTTTTTTCATTTTTTATGGTAACCATATTGCAATTATATTTTCAACAATCTTCATTGGAATTGGATTGATTCTTTTAGTTGATTTTGCTCATGCCTGGGCAGAAAAGTGTTTGGAGAAGATTGAACTAGAAGAACTCACTGGTGAAGATGAGTATAGTGCTGGATTTTGGAAAAAATTACTTATTGGAGGCACTTTGGGTATGTATATCTCGAGTATTGTTTTGATTATTATCATGTACATTTTCTTTGCTGGTAAAGGATGTAGCATGAATCAAACGTCCATTACTTTAAATTTGATATTTGCCATATTAATATCTGGTTTATCTATCAATCCGAAAATTCAAGAATTTAATCCCCATGCCGGTTTGGCTCAATCGTCGATGGTCGTTTTCTATTGTACTTACTTAGTGATGAGTGCTGTTGCTTCGGAACCTGATGACAAAATGTGTAATCCTTTGGTTAGATCAAAGGGAACCAGGACGGTAAGTATCGTTTTAGGTGCCCTTTTCACTTTCCTTGCCGTTGCTTATACTACCACTAGGGCAGCTGCAAATTCTGCTTTTTTTGATTCCGATAGTACAGAATTAGGTGGTGGAGGTGATGGATACATCAGTTCCCAACCTTCGGCTCGTAATGAAATGAGATACCAAGCTATAAGACAAGCTGTCAACGAAGGTCTGTTACCTGAAAGTGCTTTATCTCAACTCGATATGTACGATGATGAAACAGAAGATTCTTCAAATGTTCATGATGAAGAAAGACTGAAGGTTAAGTATAATTACGTTTTGTTTCACATCATCTTCTTTTTGGCCACTCAATACGTCGCTACCTTATTGACCATCAATGTCCAACAAGATGACTTGGGTGATTTTGTCCCCGTTGGTAGAACCTATTTCTCTAGTTGGGTCAAGATTATAAGTTCCTGGGTCTGTTACATTCTCTACGGCTGGAGCTTGGTAGCCCCTTCCATATGGCCTGAAAGATTCGGAGTCAGTTTGTAGATAACCAAACAAACAATATATTCTCCAATTATTCAAATAAACGATCTACCCATCAATCATTCAACTAAATGTAGTCTCCAACCCCAGTCATTACAACACGCCCGTGCACCGCGAAAGACGAAATTCTCTGCTCGGACTTCTGGGATTTGATTGGTCCACGGAATAAGAATATTATGAGAAGTTTTGAGGATGAAAAAAAAAAAAAATTGAAAAAAAACCGAGCTAAAGAGGTAGTATTGTAGTTCTAATTTTACTCCGTTAAAGATGTCTGCTGTTATTAACAAAGTCTCAGGTTTCGCTAACTCTTTAGTCACCAAATCCACCCAATTCGCCAACTCAGCTGTTTACTGGGGTAAAGTTGGTGCCGAAGTCGGTAAGGTTGTCTACAAACAAGAAGGTTTAGCTCCTCCAACTCAACAACAATTTCAACAAGTTTACCAAAATGCTTTGAAATTCATTCAATCTCCTCAACAACAAAAAGAATTCATTGCCAAAGCTTCTCAATTCCAACCAACCAGACAATGTGCCGTTAAAGCTGGTGTTTACGGTGCCCATTTATTAGGTTTCTTTTCAGTTGGTGAAATTATCGGTAGAAGAAGTATCTTTGGTTACCCATCTGTTGGTCATGCTGAACACCACTAGGTTTTTTACAATTTCTTTATTAGTTAAAATATCTTTACGAATATAGAAAAGAGAAAGTTTCCGGTGAAGAACCAAAAATTGGAAAGAAAAAACGAAAAAAAAAAAACAAAAAAAAAACCACAACTAACTAGAATAGATTATTCATTGTATCATATAAGGTGAAATGTTCATTACTTTGACCATTCATTTGCTTCATTTAACTATTCATTAACGAAGAGAATCTTCGATAAAATATTTCATTAAATATAAATTTTTTACATTCATTATACTGTAAGATATATGCATTAACTAATCTATAATATACACTAATTTTGAGTTTCTTCGGCTTTTCTCTTTTTAGAAGCTTGGATCATTTCTTCTTTTCTCTTTCTTTTATTTTTCATCACTTTTGGAACCGTACTGATTTGATTTCTTTTGATTTGATGTTTTTTGATATCTTTTTTATCATTTTTTGATAATTTATTCATATCTTCCATCCATTCGCTAAAACCGTCATTACAACCGGATTGTTTCATAACATTAATGATCGGTTTAACTGCTTTGTCATCTTCCTTTGTGAAAAGAGTTACTGCTTTACCAATTTTACCTCCTCTACCAGTTCTACCAATTCTATGAACATAAGCTTGAGCACTTTGAGGGACATCATAATTAATAACTAAATTAACTCCTTTAAAATCAACACCTCTAGAAATAACATCAGTAGTAATTAAAACCCAAATATCACCATTTTTAAATCTTTTGATGACATCGTCTCTTTGTTTTGGGGTTCTTTCAGCATGAATTACATCAACGTTTAATTTATCATATAATAATTCATGAAATAAGGCTTTTGCTCTGGTGATAGATTGTAAGAAAATAATGATTGGAGGTTTAAATTCACCTTCCTGAATCATTTGCCTTATTGCTAATAATTTACCTTCTTCGTTACCAGTGAAGACCAATTTTTGTTGAATTGTATTTGATGCAGCTTCTTTATGACCAATAATTACTCTTATTGGATCCTTCATTATTGAATTAGCCATTTCTTCAACACCAGAAGGAATTGTAGCAGAAAACATTGACTTTCTTAGTTTTGGATAAGTACAATTAGATAAAATATCATCGGTTTGTTCAACAAAACCTTGATCGAATAATTTATCAGCTTCATCAATAACTAATTGTTCAACTTTTGATAAATTTAAATTTTCATTCTTGATAAGATCAATTAATCTTAAAGGAGTTGACACCAAAATATCAAATTTATTTGAATTTATAATTTTATTATTAATTCTATTTGCTAACTGTTTTGATAAAATACCAATTTTTAATTTTTTACCCTTTGTTAATGTTTCTAATTCTTGAAAGATTTGTACTGCCAATTCATTAGTCGGTGATATTATCAATCCTCTTATACCATAGTTCTTAGAATTATTTGGAGAAATTAATATGGCTTGAATTAATGGTATTAAAAATGCTAAAGTCTTACCGGAACCAGTTGGGGCACAACCAATCATGTCTCTATTTTCAAGACATATAGGAATACTTTCACATTGAATTGGAGTGGGTTCTACAAATCCACCTTCTATAAGGTTGTTCAATAGTTTCTTGTCAATCTTAAAACGACTTACTAAATCTTCAAATGATCCAATGGGTAAAGGTATATCATCACCAGTGATTTTCGATCTATTCAAAGCACGCAACTTATTTGCATCTTCACTACTGGCAATCTTTGGTGGAGGAACACTTTCTTTTTCTTCTTCCTCTTCCTTGGGTGTTTCCACAACCTCCTTTGGTTTCGAATGGTTTTTCAAATGGAAAAAATCAGTTTCTTTATCGACTTCATCTCTAATTGATCCCGTTTTTTTCACCTTATCCTGATTTTGTGACTTGGATGGAAGGGCATAATCTGTGGTAACCTGCTTACTCTTCTTTAAGGAAGCTCCTCTCGACAAAATTCTGAAGATATCCATGGTTGTCTTTGCTGAAGTAAGAAGAGACTGCAAGATGAAGCTGAAAATATCCTAAGCTCATCGTGGAAATTTTCACCCGTACAGTTCTCGTTTCGAGACCTACCAGTGATTGTAATTTACAGATTACAAGATAATTACAGATTAGGTCAAGTGAAAATGCAATTTAGAAAACGTTAAGTATATTTCAGAATGAGAAAAAATGAGAAATAAAATTTGCAACCAAAAAAGGAATAACTGAATAATTATGAATAAGACAAAGGAATGATTACAACCAATTAGTGAAGAGTGATCCGCGTATACCTGTGAAACTTGGTATGTTATTGTTAGAGAGCCACAATATAAGAGGGTTATCATATAATTGAAACCAGCCCGAAGGCAGATGAATAATGAAAAGAGAATAATTAACATGAAAGAAGAATAATTATTATTCTAATCAATGAACGGAAGCATATGAAAGAGGACACCAAAAATATTATAAATAGAGTTGGAAGTTATACAGTTTTATAGAAATTTATTCTAGAAATTAACCATTTGAAAACAGCTTCTTTATTTATAGTGAATAAATATATTGCCAATTATATTATCCTATTTATCGCAACATGCTTACTTTGTCCACTTACAACAATACTAATTTTGGTTGATGATACCTCCAAGCCTCTCACTTCACATACGCAAGGTCACGACTATATGGATGTATTGTATTACTAAGACTTGTATGGGATAACGTACCTATAGACTCTGTATTTGTTCATGACTGTAATGGCAAAAAGATGTCAGAAACTAGCCCATACGTAATCCCAACTACGCAATGAATCATCAGTCTCAGTATGATCATATACTTTAGTAGCATGTTCCCTGCGATCTGAACCCACGTAGCCATGATAAAAATTCATCCCCAGTGCATACACGCTCCTCTACGGCATCGCTTAATAAAGTAATGACCCTTTCTGTATCAGCACGAAGATAGAAAGTCGGCGACCATAGACCTCCCGTTTGTGCAGTATCCGTTTGGGTCGTCCCGCTTGCCGTCTATACCACTATCTAAATCGGAGCCTGGGGCCAAAAATCTAAATCAAATTCATGAGTTGGTGATCTATATGATGCATGTATAGGCATAGGTTGTTATCCCGGGTAGACAAGACCATTACTGCCTATATACAAACACATCACCAGCATTATGCTTTAATAGTTCAGCTATGCTCAATTAACACGATGATCCCCTAGTTGTAAATGGTACCATCCATCTTCTAAAGTAAATCCATTTCTACTTTGTACTGACCATTACCTTGGTTATCTAGGTATGACAGATATGCGTATCCCTGCTCTCTACGCTTTAACCATTCGGTAAAATACCCAAATGCCAGCACGTTCATCCAAACCAAGGTCAAAGCATCGCCCAAGGCCGTGACAAACTAATCCCCCAACCCCCTGGTACCATAGCGCGCTGGGGGATGGTTAATCTGCCCGTCATCACCGTATAACCAAATTAGCGTATAGAATCAAGAAGGCTATTTGAAATAGCTTTGAGGTCTCTGTGTTGTGGTGATCCTATGGTCTATTTAAAGTCAAGTGGGATCTAAAGCTAGACGATTTTGTCAGTGTTGATACTTCCCACTTGGTCTTACTTCCACGAACGCATTGACCAACATGTAGTCAATACTTGGTTAAACATTATATAGAGTATCTAAACTATTGTAGTGCTCTTTCCTTCAATTATTTAAGGATAAGTACAACCACTCTTTTAGACCTGTTGTAATACTTTCTATTTTAATATTTTCCATTCCAAAAGCCCATATATATTAATGCTTTCTCAAGTTAGATATTAGCATATATACTCTAAGTACTATCTTGCTGCTTAACTAAATTAAAACTATAGTCTTTTAGTCCTTCAATTTACTCTGCGTACTCGGTTTTACTCACAACACCCGTACACCTTATTTTTTCGCTTATATAATCAAAAATTTTTTGAAGCTGATTTTTTTTTCTTTCCAATAGTGAAAAATATCAATGGGCAACCATTGCAATTTAATAAGACAGCTTGATACCATAAAAATGAGTATACGAAAGATACTTACCCAGCCAAGGTTGACCCAAGTCAGAAGCATCTACTTACACAGTGGAACCCGTGTTGCCGGGTTGAAAAGAGACCCGGAACAAGCCTTCACCACCAATACAGGAATCAAATATGGAATAAGTGAAGAGAATTTAAAATACATAAAAGGATTTTTGGGCGATAAGTACGGGATAAGCGATGAATTAGCATTACAAGTGATAACCCATAAATCATTTGGTAATGGGATCAAACCATTCAACGAAAAATTAGGGGTTATGGGTAGTAAGATCATGAATTTATTTTTTGCCAAATATGTCACTAGTACCAAAACCCCTACTGAAATGACGATTAATGGATTGAATTTAGATCCGTTAGGCTCACCAATGGCCAAAGAACTTACTGCAAGGTTAAGTAATGGTCTTTTCGCTAAGCAAAACCAATTAAACACCATTATGTTTTGGAAATCTTTTAACCACGATTTATCCTTTGAATCAAGCGGTGAATTAAGAATCAGTGCCCAAATGATTTACGCTCTTGTTGGTGCTGTCACTTTCACCCACGGTAAACAAGTTGCAGAACAGTTTCTCCATGAAAAATTCTTAAATGCAAGTCCTTCGATTGAAGATATAACTGCCCGTATCATTGAAAAAAATAGCCAATAATTAATAGATCAAGTAAATAGTTTATGTACATAGAATAAAATAATAACCTCATCAATAACGTAATTATTAGCCCTACTTATTTCCAAGGCTTACCTCCATACCTCTCTCCGAGGTTTGTCGTTTGGTCTATTTACATATAAAGTTAAAACAACTTCGTATTCCTCCATATTATTAATGCTAACCGATGCCGGCAGATCTACTCTATCTCCTCTAAAGGAAATCTAGGCCCATGTCCTTTCTCGCCAAACATTACAGCCAACAAGACAAGGATCCTACGTCTTTAATTACAGATTTCATAAATTCCATTAAGCTTTTAACGCGATTTGACTGTTTTTTCCACTTATTTGTGGATTGAAACAACCTTTTTTTCTCTTTTTCCTCAGTGTTTTTTTTTTTCTGTTTTTTTAAAACAAACAACAACCCTCCTTTTTTCATAGCCAAAAGAACAGTTCCATCGTGTTTTCCATAAAATAACCACTTCTTTTCTCTCGAAGAAAACATTAGATCTACCGTTGTATTGTGGGTGATAATATATGTGTGACGTGTGTGAAAAACAAGCCATCTTGTACGTTTAATATATATCAATCGAATAGCCGCCGTATACAAGATTACTCATTATTCCTAGTCTTTCATTATTCCCAGTATTTTTCCCTTACGTTCATTTATTTTCCATTAACTTCCAGTTACGTTCATTCACGTTCCAGCACGTTCATTTACTTCATTTACAAGGTTACTTGTTTCAACTCCTTTTGAAATTCAATTAGTCGAGCGCGTCTAATTCCACCAAGGGAAAAGTTTTTCTGTTAACAAAATATTTTTCTCCTTTCTTTTTTGTTAGTTTCCCAATAGTCCAGCTGCAATGTCAAGTGAAAATGATTTGGCTCATCACTATAAGGTGTTGAAGCAGTTTCTTGACATATCGGATGATCTGAACTCAAGATCTCAATCAAATAGTAATCGAGCTATCAAAGCCAGAGAAAAATTATTGAAATTATCCCCTGCTCAATTTAAAGAATTAAGTACCGATGTTTATGATGAATTGAAAAGAAGAATTGATGAATCGAGAGGTGAACCAGATTTCTTATTACCTAAATCATCGTTCCACCCAAAGAGAAATCAAGCAAGACATAAATTAGCTTCTTTACCTCAATCAAGATTTAAAGATTTGGTTTCTGATATTTCTTACGAAATTGAAAGAAGAGATTTGCATACCCCTTCTAATACAAGTCCTACTAAATCAGAATCTTCTAATCATAATCATCAAGATTCAATTGATCATTCTTCGCCAACTAAATCATTAAATTCAAATCATCTGCATAATCAAAATCAAAATCAATCAATTAACATACAACCTAAGACAGTTGTGCCTACCAAAGCAAATTTAACTTGGTCAAGTGATGAAGAAGAAGAAGAAGAAGAAGAAGGTGATGAAGAAAATAAAGCTGCTGCAGATTTGAAAAATGATTTACAAAATAAAAATATTAGTCAACGTTCTCTTCATAGTAATCAATCTTCACAATCTCAAGATGTTAAATTATTAATGGAAGAAGGCTCTAAAATGGATAAATTAATTACTGAATTGAAAACTGAACTAAATGAATCTAAAAATAGCTATCAAGAATTATCAAATAATCATCAATCTTTACAAAATGAATTAGATCAATTAATTGGTGATAAAAAATCTTTAAATAATCAAATTGAAAACCTTCTAATAGAAAAACAAAATTGGAAAAGAAATTCTCAACCCGATGAAAACGTTTTAAAAGAATTAGATAATTTAAAATCATTAAATGCTTCATTAAGATTAGAAAATCAATCTTTAAAAAATTCTCATTCAAAAGATATCAATCGTAATTCCAAAAATATGTTATCTTCATCTCCTTCAAACTCTTTTGATCAATCAAATGATTTGAAAAAACAATTGGAAATCTTTTATGATAAATTATCTCATTTAGATAATCCAAATATTAATTCTAATCCTAATTTATCTTTAAATACTAATGAACTAACTCAATTGAAAAATGAAGTCATCAAATGGCAAAAAAGATATGAAGATTCTAGATCAAATATTATTATTGCTGATTTGGCTAATTTATCATTTAGTGATCATGAATTAAAATCGTTGGTTTCTCCAACTGGGTTGGTTTCAATGAAGTTGGTTGCGGATTTACAAGCTTCAATCGAATCATTCTTATTATATATTAATGAATCATCTTTTGATTCAGATTTATTATTTGATAAGATTTCAAGAATTTCTATTTTATCAAATGAAGTTGCTACTCAAGGTGATGCCGGTTCTTTAAATTCAAATGAACAATCAGTTTGCCTTCGTGAATCAACTAGTCATGCATTAACTGCAACTAGATATTTTGCTCTTTATTCATCCCTTTTACCAAAAATTGTTATTGATCGTGCTTTAAGTGAAATTTGTTTTACTCTTTGTGATTTGGTTAGTGTTTCAAAATTAAATAGTGAATCAATTAATTCAACCATTATAGATTCAAGTATTATTCAAGCAAATAAAAATTTGAATAATAATAATAAAAAAAAAGATGAAGTAATGGTCAAACCTTTAAGAATCACTAATAAATTAAGGGAATCTCAGTCAAATGATTCGAATTCACCTAAAAATTTATATCTCAACACTAATGATTCATTCAATAAAAGAAGTGTTTCTAATTCTTCTCAAGCTTCACCTTTAAATAATGGTGATTCTTATAAAGTAACTCCTCAATCCGCTAGTTATAATGGTTCAACCGATAATCAACCTTCTAGATCTTTGGAAAATAAGGCTTTAACTAATCAAAATTTATCAAATTTTCAAAATGATAAAGCTTCAAATGGTGAATACATTGCTAGTCCAGTGGCAAGTTTACTTAACAAACAAGCTTCTCCAAATCGTTCAATTAATAATAACAATAACCCTTCCCCTTCAAAAGATGGAAATTATTCTGACGTTGGCGAAACTCCAACTAGGATTGGTGTTTTACCAAATTCTATTTCTCCATTAAGAGATAATGAAGATTCACCAATTAAAAATAAAGTTAGGTCAAGTGATACTTCTTTTGATAAAAGCCCAAAAGGCAGTAATTCAGTTAAATCATTAGCTTCCAAATTTAATGAATCCGAAAATAATTCTCCTCAAGAATTATCACCAAGAGGTAAAGCTAACTTACAATCTAAAGTTGGCGATTCAATTTCAAATAAATCTTCTCCAACTTCTCGTGGTATTTTTGATCGCGTAAAGAAATTCGAAAGCCCAACTGAAGAATCAATCAAAAAAGAATCCCCTTTTAGATCTTCTCCAAGTCAGTCAATTGCCAGTAGAAGAAGCTCATTAGGCCTTGAAGGTGATGAAAGTGTTGGTCAAATTAAAAATAGTCCTTCACAACAATTCTTAGTGAATCGCTCATCGCTTGAAGTTAAAGATAGCAAAGATACTCTGTTATCAGAGCCATTTGTCGCTGGTGGTAATGCCAATTCTAAAGATATTTCTAGTTCCGCCAATAACGGTGAATCATCTCATGCTACTACAATTGCAGCTTCTCCTGCTGCCGCCGCTGCCGCCGCTGCCTCGGCAACAGCCGCTGCCACAGCAGCCACTACTGATACTCCTGACTCTGGTACATCTACTCAAAGTACTGCACCTGCTTTAAAGCCAAGAGGTCTCTTCCAAAGTATTAGAGATAGATTCACCTCCGATAATCAATCTAAGCCAGCAGAAGATAACACCTCTGAGATTTCTGATAATGATAGAAATGAAGTAAGTACTGAAAAGGCCACTTCAACCGCTGAAACAACTCCGGCAAAGGATACTGACATGGACCAGTATGATTATAATGATTCACAAGAGACTTCTCCAAGTGAAAGAAGTGAACAAGCCTTTTTTCAAAGCTTCAAAGGTAAATTAACACCTCATGAAAATGGTGAAAATTTTGGCGCTTCAAGAGCCCCATCCTCCGCTGCTTCTGATATTACTATACGTCACGACGATTCTAATCCTGGTAATGAAAATAATTACTCCAATCCATATATGAATATTCAAAATCGTTCAGTTAATGGTTCAAGCTTAAATGAATCCCCAGTTAAATCTGGTAATACTGAAGCTAACAAAGCTGATGAACCCGGTTCTTCCAATTCTCATGTTGGATCTCATAAGGATGAAACAGATTATGCCGAATCGAAGAATTCTTCACCTCTTAACTCTGCAGCACATGCTTCACCATTGAAGGCAAATGGCGCATCACCTTTAAAATCGTCAGCTCAAGCTTCACCCATGAATAATGGAGCACAAGTTTCTTCACCATTGAACACTGGAGCACACATTCCATCCCCAGGCCAATCCTCACAATCTCAAACTTCCCCTTTGAATGTTGGAAGTGCCAATATTGAGTCACCAGCTCAGTCATCACAATCTCAAACTTCCCCTTTGAACATTGCCGGTGGATCTAGTATTAGATCACCAGCTCAATCGCAACAATCAATAGGCAATGATTCACCACTCAATGTTGCCCCTCCTAATGCTGGAGCTTTTGATGATGCATCATCCATCTTTAGTGGACCGACCCCAGACTCATCAAGTCAAGCCAAATCTCCATCGAATGTTCCTGAAAAGGCATCTCCAATAAGTAAGAGTGTTGGTTTTGCTTCTTCTCCTCCAACCCAACATGAAGCAAAAGATTATTCTTCATCAGAAGAAGAGGAAGAAGAAGATGACGACGATGAAGAAGAAGATGACGACGAAGTTGAGGCTAGACAAAGACAAGAATACCGTAAATCCATGGCTGCTGCAACTTTCAATATCGATCTTTTCGATATTGATGATCCAGATAATACTTTAACACACGTGTTACTTTATTTGGAACATCAAACTGTTCAAGTTATTTCTACCATTCAATCATTACTTTCTGCAATCAAGAAACCAGATGCTACTCGTGGAGAATTACGTGAAAAATCAAAAGCTATTACTATTGTTATTTCTCAAATGGCTGAAGCTACTAATACCTCTATGAATCAAACCCGTAACTTCCAATTGAAGAAACATGGTAGTTGGGTTGTTACTAGTTTAGAGGACTGTAACCATCGTATGAATATTTTATGCAGACCAAACTCTGATAAGAATGATGCTGATTTTGCAGACAAAAACTTCAAACAAAGATTGGCAGGTATTTCTTTCGATATTGCTAAATGTACAAAAGAATTAGTCAAGACAGTCGAAGAGGCTAGTTTGAAAGAAGAGATCAGCAACCTTAACGCAAAATTAAGTCATGATGATTTAACCTAAGTCTAATCAACTCATGTTTTACTAAATTCATTCAACTATATTTTAGTTTCAAAACCGAATAGAATTTTTTTTCCCTCTAATTAGTTGTATAATGATTGTATATTAGTTTTCAATAAAATTTATTTCCGTGTTCTAAATAATATATATAAACCTATCGTATGTACTTTGATAAAAACTTCTGATGAAAATCTGAGTTTAATGTATCATTGGTGAACTCGTCTTCTGTCTTTGGTTGTGGTTTGTTGTTGAATGGAGTACTATTTCTCCAACTTTTCTTTGGTTTGTTAGAAGATTCAGAATCTGTTATTTGTACTAAGGGATTAGAGCTCAAGGCCTTTTGTTTCTTTTCTTTATCTTCCTGCTTTTGTTTAGCATCCGCTTTTTCCTTCTTTAGCTTAGCCAATTCAGCCATTAGAGCTTCGGTATCATCATCATCATCATCATCATCATCATCATCATCATCATCATCATCATCATCATCATCATCATCATCGCCTTCTTCAGAGACCTCCTCCACCTCATAATTTTGATCATTTCCATCCACGTCTTGGCCTTCGTTCAGTATCTTTTGTGCGGACTTGGTCATCTCATTGCCGTTAGTCGGTTCATCTTTTAGCTCTAAATGCTCTTGATTTCTGATTTCAGTCACTCTATCATCGGTAAGTTTACCCTCCTTTCGTAATAACTCTAGCTTGAGCTCTTCTAATGCTGTTTTACCCTTTTGTTTGCTTATTCTAGAGCCTTGTACATCATTTCTAAACTTGAGCAGACTTTGCTGGGGTAATGCTCTTGAATGCTGAATGGAATCTGTTATGCTTTGGTTCTTCCCTCTCTTACTTTCTAACGTGGGTCTATGGTTTGTCGTCATTGTAATCGCAAGTGTCTAGTCCTCAGCTCCAACTTTTATTGCTTAAAGTCACAAATGATGTAATTACTTAATGATACTTTTGTGAATAGAGTTTATGAATTTTCCCCTTTATTATTTCTCCCGGTTGTTTTTCCGCAGCCTCAAGGCTTTTTATGTCAGTTACACCAGATCTTGAAAATTAATAATACAAACATCTAGCTTTACTAATTGAAAGCCCTAGAGTATGAGTTAAATATGGAGAATGTCATAGTGTTTCCTGCTTTCAATGAAAGCTACAAAACCCGTAAGCGAACATTCAAATGTTGTCAAAACTGCCGGGTTAAAAGAGTTAAATGTACTAAAGATCATGAATTCTTAGGTTGTTCAAATTGTCATAAATATAACTTACAGTGTGATTTGGCTACGGCATCTTCATTCAGTAGCCAGTCACCTCCAAGTAAATCCCAGTCACCACAGAACTTGAATGCTCCGGGTCCTAATCATTCAAGCAAGAGTAACTCACCACCAACAAACCACTTAAAGAATGAACGAATATCAAGAAAGAGAACTGCAACTCCCGAAATCACATCAAAGAGGCGAAGCAGTGCAACTTCTGTTTCTACTCAGACGGGAGAGCTTGATATGAAAACCATTACTCCTCAGTATCTCAAGAACAGGTTTAATTTCAATATATCTGGACCAGATTCAGTTTCCTCGTATCAATACGTATATCAAGATCACCCCAAGGCGATTGTTTATAGAAAGATTACCGACAAGTCAATATATCATGAATCAGGTGTTTACGTTGACTTTCAACATGAAAACCCTAATGAAACTCCTGATGAAAATTCTGAAGACTCAAAGCCATATAAACTAAGAAACTTTGACGGATCAGAAAGACAAGCATATATAAAAAACAGAAGAACTTTTGAGTTCTTGCTATCACTAGATGCTTTTACGTTATCCAGTGAAAATTTTCAAATTACAGAGGCTGAAGTCAATGATCTTATAAAACTTTACTTTTTGAAATTAAATTCCATTTTTCCAATTGTTCATACGAAAAGGTTTTGGGATGATTTTCTGGAGAATAAAGCACAAAGTGTGATTATTTATGCAATAGTATTAGCCATTCTGAGAGATAAAATGGCCGAAAAAGTACTCAAGAATGTATTCTTAAGAACCAAGAAGAAATCTGATTTCAGGGCAAATGAAATGAGTAACAGGGAATATCATGATTACTTTGTTGAGTTCACCACAGAGTTGGAATACAAAATTCGCCAAATTCTTCTTATATTACCCGAGTTGGGGGATAATGATAAAGTTACAAGATTGAGTACTCACTTACTATTATCATACCATTTTAGGTTTGACAAATTAGGTAATGAACAAAGCTCTCATGATCTATGTGCCGCAATTAACTTGGCTGGGTCCTTAGGGATGCAAATGAAAATCACCGATAAAAATGTTCCTGAAGAGAAGATTGAGTATTCAAGAAATATTTGGTGGTGCTGTTACATTTTCGATCGGTTTAATGCAATTATTAATTGTCGTTTTCTTTTCATAAGGAAAAATGATTTCAATGTTGAGCTTCCAACAAATTTGCCTTATTTATTTAGCATGGTGAAAATGGCAAAGTCATTTGAGCAGATGTTATTTGCAATATATCAGCCATTTGACAATGAGCACAGAACAGATGATACTTTAGCATATAGGCAACAAATGTTTGATATTGATGGTTTCCAAAATAAAGAATTTGCAAAATGTGATGAAGAGTTCCAAAAAGTTAAGAAAGGTTTAATCCATGAACCTTTACAAAACTGTAGTACAATAGAAGGTTTACAGGAAAACATTGTACCTTATCTCAATAGCTCGATTGAGTTCTTAACCAGAATGAGTAATAATATTCTTATTCTAGCATCTCAAAAGGCCAAATACGATGATCTGGAGATTCCTAATCGCATTCCCGAAGAGGCGGCTTTACGTGCATCCCTGAATATATTATGGTATATCAATAAGACAAAACCGGAACTTCTTATCCAAATACCGTTGGTTGTTTGGTGTATTACACTCGCCATGGCTTGTTCACTTAAGCGGAAGGCTCGAAACTCTTTGAAAGAAGGTGCGGGAAATCCTGAACCTAAAGACCCTTATTACGGTTTCACCATTTTCGATTACATGAGTACATTAGAAATCTTTTCTGATAAATGGTGGGTAGTTGAAGAAATCTGTCATTTATGCAAAGATTTTATCAAACAACTTGAAACTCCTCCAAAATTATTCAATTCAATTGATGCAAATCACAAGTCAAGCACAAACGATTTAACGAAATTTATTCCTGGAACACCCAGACAATCTGTTAATTCAGCTATACAATCACCGGTCAATCTAAATAAAACAAAGTCAATTCCCTCAATAAAGAGTATTCTTACTGATGATTTCATGAACGGCAACGACCTCAATTCGCACCCCATCACAAATGCTCTTCCACCGATTACAACTCCCACGCAAATTGGAAATTCTGGTCCTATCTTGGGTAACAACCCCATGAACAGTCACAGTGATTTAAATCCCATCCAGAATCAGAATCCCGACCCATCCTCCACCAATGTTAACTCAGCACCTCAATACGGCCCCAATATAAATGGGTATGATGACTATTTAGAATCAATGCATATTGACGTCTTTGATAACGAATTCTTCAAGGACTTACCAAATCTTATGAACTTCATGAACTCTTAGTATTGCAGTCTTTTTTTTTTTTTTTTTTGCAACCCTAATACACATTTTATTCAACTTTGATTGTAATTTTCTGTCTGACGCTATCTCAAAGTAGAAATTTCTATCAGACAAGGGCCCATCTTGCCATTACAAGATCCCTCCACTTGCAACGTAGAATTTGCAATTTCCAAAGCATTCTTTGTTTTGAATGCAACAACAAAAAATGGAATGCGGTACGATTCCCAAATGAGGACGGAACCTCCACTTGTCTCCACTGCGAAAAAAAAGTAACAAAATCTCCCCAGACAATTCTATCTGGGGAATATAAAAGATGTTACCTTGATGTTAGAGCAGGTTTATTCTAGGTATTCCTTCTCTTATACAAGAGCAAATAAGCAGAAGATTAAGTGATACAAGAATGGCACCATCGGCAATCCAAGAAACCTTAAAAATCGTTCCAGAAGATTTGGATCCAAGATTTGCAGCTTTGAAAGCAAAGCTTGTTGATCCCCAAAAACAAGAAGCAGTTGTTGCAAGCTGGAAGAGACTATTGAAAGCCCTTGAGAAGGAGAACCAAAAGATCATCGAGAATGGTACTGCGTATGTACCTACAGTTGAATGGAAAGATATTGTTGCAAATGATTATGAATTGCCAGCCAGTGCATCGAGTGAATTTAAAACCAAAGGTTCGATGATGGTGAAGGGTGTTATCGAGAAAAATCAAGTAGACCAATGGTTTGATGAACTTGTTACTTTTTGTAAAGAACACCCTGAAACAGCAGGGTATACTTTCCCAAATCCAACTTCTTGGTATAATCTATTTTGGTGTAAACCCCAGTCTGAAGCCAGATCTCATCCAAATATCCAGAGGCTATTTAAAGCCTTTGCTCACCAATTTCATGTTTCAGATAAAGAGAAGCTAATCGACCTTGATACTCAGATCATTTATGGAGACAGGATTAGAATCCGTAAGCCGGGTGCTGCAGCTTCTTTAAGCTTACATTTGGACTCTTCGAGTATCGAAAGATGGGAAGACGATAATTACAGGGCAACTTACAAGGAAATCTTCGACGGCCACTGGGAAGATTGGGATCCTTTCAGATTAGATGAAAGAGCTTACGCAAAGGAGGATCTATATGAAGATGCAGGGACTGCCAGACCAACTATATGCTCATCATTTCGGACTTTACAAGGCTGGTTGGCCCTCAGCGATAACAAAACCGGAGAAGGGACTTTGAAAGTGATTCCAAATTTAAAGTTGGTTATGGCCTACATCATTTTAAGGCCTTTATTCTGGGACGATCCCAAATCTGGGGACATTGACGATTACCACATTGACGTTACCACTCCAAAATTCCCTGGTGCTGAACCTTCCTATGGCCAGTTATACTTGAACGATGACCTCTACCCTCATATAAAACAAGCTAAAACGTGTGTCGGGATACCTGATGTTAATCGAGGTGATTTTGTCTTTTGGCATTGTGATGTTTGTCATGAAGTCGATAAAGAATATCCTATTACGGATGAAAATGCCCATTCCAGTGTATTTTATTATGGTCAAACACCATTATCAATTGCGAATATTTGTACTCTCCTAGAAACAAGAAGAAGCTTTTTGAATAATAAGTCTCCTCTTGATTATGCTTCCCAACAATCAGCAGAGGAAAAAGAACGTGATTTTCAAGGTGCAAATATCCATGATTTGAAAAATGAGAGTGCCTTAAAATCAATGGGGTTGTTAGAGTTTGACGAGAACGAGCCAGGTATTACGAACGGTCAGCGTAAAATTCGAGAAATCGCCAATAAAGCTTTGAAAGAGGGTAAATTTGACCCTGAACCTTATTTAAATGGTAAAAAATAAAAGATTTTTCATAGTTTTAATCTACATGAACTTCATTAACAAGAAAAAGTTCGTAAGTATTAGTTTAAGTCTAATTAGTTTTTAATATACAAAAGAATGAAATTGTTGCAACCTAATTTTCTTCATCACTATTAATTTCATCTTCCCAACCTTCTTCATCAGCTTCGTTTCTTCTTTGAGGCATCAAATCAGCCATAGAAGGACCACCCAATTGATTTAATAAATCATTGACTTGTTCTACTAATTCTGGTTCAGAATCTGCACCAATATCGCTATTGATAATCTTGAATCCTTGAGTTAATAAAGACTTGGCTTCATCGAGGAGCTGTTTAATATTCTCATCCTTACTTGTTTTAACAGCTTTCAAATCCAAGTCTCTGTAATCTTCTTGATCTTTATTTATATTATTGGAGTCAGCGAATATTTTTTTGGCACTTAATATGTTAGCAAATGCTTCATAATAATATGCATCAAGGATGTCTTCATTTATATCTTGGGTATTTGAAGTAATGGTCATGGCTAATTCATACAATTCTAATTCAATCGCAAATCTAGCCAAGGTTAATAATGGTTGAATCAATTCAATATATTCAACACCAACTTCAAAAGCATCTGCATTGTCATCATTTACCACTTCTGAGGATTCGTTTTGTATTTTATTTGCAGACTCTTCTAGTTGAGCCTTTTTTGAGTGGAATAATTCCCAGGATTTTAATAATGAATCCTTGGCTTCTTCTGGTTTCTGTTGAGAAATTCTGATAGATGCTAATAATGAAAGAGCTTCAGGGTTTTGACCGTCTAATCTTAATGAGTATGAAATCAAATCATTACATTGTTGTTCAGCTTCTGGTTCCATACATAAATCAGTCATCCAAATTTCGATTTTTGCAAATATACCTTGATTTAACTTTTTAATTAAATATTTTATCAAAGATTCTTTATCCTTATAAATCTTTGATAAATCAACCAAGATTTGATCATTTTCTCCTTGATTATTTTCAATTAAACTCAATTGATTGTTTAACTTACTTAATCCAGTATCAAGACATTTTAAACCATCATTACCTCCAATTATTTGTCCTAAATAGAAGAATTTCTCGGTACCTGCGTTTGCCTCAGGATCCAATTCACAAGCAGCTGTTAAGACTTCGTATGCAGTTTCCAAATCATTAGTTTCCAATAAGACTTCTCCAAATATTTGCAATAAAAATACATTATTTTCGTTCCCAGGAATCAATGGGCTTAATATTTCCAAAGCTTTATCCGATTGTGAGGATTGAACCAATGCTCTGGCATTTGAAATCACCTGTTCTAAAGTAGCAGAAGGCATTATCTAGCTTGGGATGGAATACGGTTAAAAGAAGTCGTCAGCTTGAGCTTAAAAATTTGATTTTTTTTTTTTTTTTTTTTTTTTTTTTTTTTCAAGATGATCTTCACACTCAAAAAAAAAAAAAAAAATCAAAGTCAAAGGAATAACTATAAAGGTTTGGCTGATTCAGATAACCAGGATCTATGATAGAGGTATATTACAATTGAAGAACATGGAAGGCTTCTTACTGCAGGTGGATTATGATAAATTAGTAAATGAGTATGAAATCAACCATTTGATATATCATCGAAACCATAATCAACATCGGTTATCAACGTGGTGGAAGATATTCAACATAATACACCGAAGTTTACGGAAAATCTTGAAGAAGATGATCGACATACAAAACTTGAAGAGTACCAGAACACTTGAGAGAAAGAAAGAGGAAATCAGAGAAATTGTTGGGTACCTAATCAAGAAACAGATTTTTAAAAGAGCATTTTATCAATATAACGGGATTATTGCATTGGGTCAGTATGTGACGTTGGGCTTAGCACTACTAGGGAATTTAGGAGCTATTCATTCGATATTGATAAAGATCGAAGGGATGGAAAAACCCAGGGGTAAGCCAGTGGGTAAGATACTGGAAGCACCAGTAGCGGTCCCCGATCAAAAGGAAGACATTGGAGACGAGATTGTGATGAGTTCGACAATACCGAATGAAACTAAAGAAGAGCCTACGATTGATGTATTTTCAAGTTTGTCAACAATGAAGAAAAAGAAGAAACCTAGGAAGTTGGGTGAAGATAATTTGCAATCTAATTCAAGTTCATTGAAGGCGATTGCAAAGAGTGAATCAATTGACGATATTTTTGGGCCACCTAAGAAAAAAGTTAAGAAGGAAAAGAAGAAGAAGGCCAAAAATGATATGGATGATATATTTGGGTAAATAATGATTTTATGATTACGTAGTAAAGAATAAACATAAATTTTAAATATATAAGTAAACTAAACAGCTAACAAACGGAAACAAATTAATTGAAATAAAAGAAAAAGTTAGATAAAAAGTAAGAAAGTATTTTGAATGGGGGCGACAAGAAACGAATGAAAATCAGATAAAGACAAACCAAAGATAAAAAAAATAAAAAAAGAAAGACAAACCAAAGAATAGAAAATACCAATTCAAGAAATAAAAATCATTAATCATAAAAAAGCAGACTTCTCAAACTAGTATCCTTGAAATTGAGTTTGAGAATTCATGTAAGAATTAAAGTTATTCAAGTTAATATCAACATTTAGATTATTATAATTATTGATATTATTTAAATGATCGATATTATTTGAATTAGTATTTTGATTTTTATTATTCAAAGGTTGATTTAAGATTGAATTATCATGATTTTTCAAAAGGTCCATATAATCATTTGAATAGTCAATGAAATTTAACTGTTCAGTATCAAGACAAAACTCATCATCATAGTCTTCGAAATTATCCATTTTTGGTAAAAGATGAGAATGGGGTTGAAATTGTTCGAATTGGGGTAATTGAACATTTTGAATGGCTTGTTGTTGATATTGAAGAGGGTTTGATTGTTGTTGAGCCTGTTGTTGTAAATGATTAACTTGTTCTTGTTGTTGATGATGTAATTGTTGAATTGGGTTATTTAAATTAGAAGGAGTTGGATTACCATTAATGGAAGAACTTATTGATAAAGTTGGAGAATTAGAAGTTTGATATTGAGGCTGTTGAGGTTGTGGTTGTTGAGGTTGCAGTTGTTGATGACTAATTGGAGTCATTGAAGTCATTGAAGTAGGAGTATCTAAAGGAGGAGTATTATAATCATCTTGAGAAGAAGAATTTGAAGAAATCGAATTACCATTACGATGATTATTATTTGAAGGATTAACCACTGCTTTAGCGGCAGCATTAACTGTAGCATCATTAATTTTATTATCTTTCAATTTTTTCAGTAATTGTTTTCTTAAACGATTTTTAATTCTTGATTTACCTTTAAACCCAATTGGTAAAAATTTACATTCACCACCTTCAACATGAATTTCACACCAAATTTCACTATTAGCAAAATATTCACCACACATACTACAATTACCGGGAGAATTAGATCTTTCTTTTGTTTTAGTTCCCTTTGGATATTTGAAATGTCTTGATTTTAAATGAGTTTTGTAAGTATCTCTTCTTGAAAAACCTCCATTTGGATGACATTTGTGAGTGATATTATTTTCATCAATGTAAATTGAAAATTTATGGAATGGACAAGAATAAGCTTTTTTAACCGCATGTTTCTTCAAGTGACGAGTTAAATAACCTCTAATTTTGAAAACTGCGTCACAATGAGGACATTGATGTATTTTATCATTTGATTTTTCATCGTCGTTTGGCAGAAAGGGACTTGAATCCGATGTTGAACTTAATGGTGTTTCATGATTAGAAACTTGGTTATTTGATTTTTTCTTCGATAAAATTGAATCATTATTTGATGATGATGATGTTACTGGGCTTAATTCGTTATTCATTTTAAATGAGTCCAATTCATTTCCGGATAGGTTATCTTCCGTGAATGCCCATTCAATTTCTCCATTTGAATTCTTGAATGGCAATAATCTAGTTGTTAATCCTGTTGAACACGGTTTAGCACTACCAAATTCATTTGAAATCTCTTCATTAGTAATGGATGGAAATAACTTAACTTCTTCTTCACCTTCATTACCTTGATTTTCTTTCCCTTCTTTCCCTTCTATACCGTCATCTTCTTTCCCTTCTATACCGTCATCTTCTTTCCCTTCTATACCGTCATCTTCTTTCCCTTCTGGATTTAACAAATATAGCGGCAATATGAGTGAGCTCAATAAATACCAAGCTTTCAATAGAATCGAAATTATAACGGAATCCTGGAACGTCGCCATCATACTCTTCCCCTTCCATCTACTCACCGTATGGCATCTATTAACTAAAGACATGTTGTTTTATCGTATAACTGAACCTGCTAATCTATCCGATTAACAATGACTCAAACTAGCAGCAAATATTTCAAAGTGTAAGCAATAGGTGTAAGCAGCAAAGTGTATCCTGTTCAAATAGGTGTACCAATAGAAATAGCTCTACTAAAAGGTGTATTGGTTAGCGTAGAAACCAGGCAACTCTATTTTTATTTTGGTGATACTTTTGTTCTCTTCTTTTTTCCTTTTTTTTTTCCTATTGTCTTTTCTCCTCTGGTTTTTCCTCTAAAATTTTCCTATTTTTCCACTTTTGTCTACTGGTCTACTCTTTCTCTTTACTCTACTTGTTCTACTTCTTTACTCTACTTATTCTGCCTCTTTACTCTACTTATTCTACCACTCTTACCCTACTTCTTCAACTGATCCGTCTCGCTCTACTGGGTCTACAGGTGCCAGGTGGCTATGGACCGACTATTGTAAATTGAAATTGTAATGACAAAGTCGAGTGATTTTCCTTTGTAAAAAAAAATGTTGGTCGGTGTACGGGTCCCGGTTTTTACATTTGCTCGTCTAATTCTTTGTTTCTACGGTTTCGCTTCCGACTGCCGCCCGCGGAAACTGCTGAGGGGGGGGGGTTTTTTTGGTGGGTCGTGCGCCGATTGGCTTTCGATTGGCTTTTTTTTTTTCTTACCATTTTCCGGGCCGTGGGCCGCGACACGACCCCGGCTTGGTGGAGCCACGCGCTGCGTGGGTATACCGATTATGTTTGATTACATAACCCATTATGTAAGCAGGGGGCAATCCGGTACCGCTATTTAAGCTGACTTACAGTAGTTGCAAAAAGGTTACTTTATTCGATTCACGTATATTCATTGACGTATTACTTGAGGTATTCCTTCGCAATTAGGGATCGCCGAGGAACTTCATGACGTTGGGAACCAGGGAAAATTCATTGTAGAAGACATCCATAAACTTTTCGGGATCGAAAATGGTATCGTCAGCCAGGCTGGGGACATAGTCTTGGGCCGGGGCCACCGGCGGTTCGTCTTCTGACTCGGACGAAGACTGCATGATCGCGCTATAGTAATGAGGCGACGATACCAGAGGTATGGAGGGAAGGGCGTTGGTATCACCATAAGCGATTTTCCTTTTTTTATTTTTCTTATAGGAATGATTTTTCAATTTTTTCATTTGTTTATTCATTTTGTGGAGGGTCCTGATGACATCTTCAATAAACCACCATTTGCGAGTGAAGTTTTGAACAACGGCCAAATAGTCGTTTAGTAGGATTTCAATCGTTTCCACGTTGTCCTGGGTTATGTCCAAAGCTGATTTCCCCTTTAATTTACTCAATAATTTCATTTTACTGGTGATTGGAACCGAGAAAAAAATCGAGATTATCAGCGGGATAATACTTATATTAATCAATAGGTTGTTTTTAGTTTGGTTTTCAGTGAGGTAATTAAAGTATTTTTTAATATTGGATGCCACCGCTAAACTTTGTTGGTCGATCACTTGATACTGGCTAACTTTTAGCTCTTTAGATCTATAACCCAAAAATATAACACTTTCGATACTTTTCTCAATAAAGAAGACCGTTCGGTGTTGGTACTCTTGTAAACTAAGATAACCAGGTAAATATTCATTCACCTGTTTAACCTGGTTATTGGGATTATAATTGATGAAATTTTGCTGCAAGAAAAAATCATTTTCTTCAAATAATTTATTATTCCCCGAAGGTGTATTCTGGTTTAGATTATTTTTGGGTTGGTAAACTGATACTAGCATATCTTCTAAAGAAAATGTCACCTTGACTAATTTCATTAGGTACTCATTTTCAATTGGTAATTGAACATTGAAATCTTCTCTTTTAATAAACATTGCTTTGAAATTGATCATGGCATTGAATCGGTCTAAGATAAACAATGTCCAAAACAATTCACCAAGATATCTCAGTTTATCCACTAGTCCTTCACTTATCAATTTATCATGGAGTGATTGGAAATGAATCAATAAAGACATTGCGTTATTGATTGCGTCAGTTAAATCCTGGCTACTTTGTTCACTAGCATAATTATTGAATCCAAATTGAAGCAGGATTAATACATGAGTTATTAACCGATTCAATCTATCGATATCGCCCAATTCGGGTAACACAAGCAATAATTGCCTAATTTTAAATTCCAAATCTTCTTGATATTTTTGCAAATGGGTTTCAAATTTAGTTAAATCACAATTCCGTAAACTTTTCATCAAAATTGGTTTTGCCAAATCATCATTACTTATTATCAATACAATCGAATATACTATTATACTCGAGATTGTGTTTTGTTGATAATTTTTCCAAAACTCTTCTTCTTCGATTACCGGTAGGATTGAATTTATTTTGAAAAAATAGATTTGAATAAGTTTGATCAAATCAGTCGGGGTTATCTCAACAAATCCAGGAGAATTCAATTGAAATGCATTAATGTTTTGTAAAAAATGATAGAATGATGAATTCTTTATATGATTTTGATCGGGCCCCAGTTTGAGTCGAGTTTGAACAATGTCATTAGTAGAATTCCCATTAATAGGAATCTTATTTATCAGATACTTTGGTGTAGATAATGATATGACAAAGTTATATTTTTTATATAAATACTCTCCCGTTATATCTTCCATTGATTCTTCCTTATTTCCTTTGGAACACGGGGAGGTTATTAGTGGGTTCATTATTGGCTGGTATTGGCTTAAAAAATCGTTACCAAAAGGAAAATTCACATCATTTTGCAAAACACTGGGTAATTGTCCACTGTCCAAAGGCTCCGTTACTGGAGTGGTTGACTTTGGTGCTGAAGGTCTTGTCGTTTTCTTCTTATTTGAAGAAGATTCTTCATTCTTTATTAAATCACATTTCAATCCCAGCTTTTGACAATTATCACATCCCACAATCTCAAAATCAATCGAACTTATAGTACATTTCATTCTTTTAGAACGACATTTGCGGCAGCATTTAAACGTTCTTTTCCGACCTTTATAATTTTCATCAAAGGCTGGGAATACAAACATTTTCAATTAACTTATAACAAAACGTAACAAAATGTAACCAAATATAACTAGAAATAAGCAAATGTATAGTATAATGCAAATTATACCAAGGGTATAGTATAGTATATTGTATATACCAAATGTACAGTAATAATCGATGACTAAACGTCAAATATCATCAAACGCAACCTCACTTAACTTGAAAGAAGAAGAAATAATAGAAAATGCCCCGAATAAAAGAATACGGCCCGAAACATATCCCCGACTAGGAAACAATCTTAACATGCATCTATAACTGGAACCAAGTCCAGATCCATCCGCTTAAGGTTAAGCTTACAATAGCAAAAGAAGATACTCGTTTCACATAAACCAAAAGCAAGGCAAAGCCCAAAACTGTAAGCCTAAAGGAATAACCCCGACCACCGGGTGGACCCATTTTTGTCAGGGGGGTTTACCTTGAAAGGACCCATGCTGGACGTATGTCCTTGTTAGATGTGCAATCGACAGTCGATATAAAGAGATATAGAGACGAGGTACAGACGATGTGGTCGGAGTTATTAAATAACAACCTAGTTTGGGCACTAGAGTAATAAATCCGATTGTCTCGATGTACAGCTGTTATTCAATTAAGATTTAAACAATAAAAATTAATGTTACACTTAAATCAGCATTCAACGCAACCCCGGCTCAAATACGAATTCTTGTCTGTTTGCTCTGTACCGTGTTGTAACTGTACAAGGCAATTAGAGAATACAAAGACAAGGTCTACTTACTGGCTGACAAGACATTACAGACAAAGACTGACAATATCGATACATATCTATACAAGATTGACCCGGTTAATACTGACTGTGAAGTTGACTTAGCTGACTTTAGCTGACTGTGAAGCTGACTGAAGTTGACTTAGCTGACTTTAGCTGACTGTGAAGCTGACTGAAGCTGACTGAAGCTGACTGAAGCTGACTGAAGCTGACTGAAGCTGACTGTGAAGAGTACTGAGCATCTTTGAAGGAGTCCTGATGTATGCTGGTTTATTGTGAGAGACATCTCAAAAATTTTTTTTCTGAGAGAAGACAAATTTTCTGCTCCCAATGGGAGAATACAAGCACACGATACTAGCAAGATGTCAGAGTTAGATCTTGGTTCTTTCACTCATCCAAGTATAAGCCAGGTTGGTGGGAAGTATTGGTTTTACGAAAAGGACGAGCAGTCATTCCCCGGACAATCATTTGGATTAGAGATCGAAAAAATTTTACATCATACTCACAGTAAGTATCAAGATATATTAATTTTCAAATCCACCAAGTTTGGAAATGTTTTAGTATTGAATGGAATCATACAATGCACTGAACGAGATGAATTTGCGTATCAAGAATTAATAACCCATGTTCCGATCATGTCTCATACAAACCCTGAAAAAATCTTGGTTATTGGAGGAGGAGATTGTGGAGTGATAAGAGAAGTCATTAAACATGTTGAGATGGGTACGGTTAAGGAAGTAACCATGGTTGAAATCGACGATATGGTTATCAAATTAAGTGCCAAATATTTACCCCAAATGGCCAAATTTCATAATGATCCTAGAGTGAAAATTATTATTGATGACGGATTTGAGTATTTAAAGTCATTACAAACTCAGTCAAATAAATATGATGTTATAATAACTGACTCCTCTGACCCTGAAGGTCCTGCTGAAGAATTTTTCAAAGTTAATTATTTTAATTTATTACTTAATGCATTAAATGAAAATGGAATAGTTATAATGCAAAGTAGTGAGAATATTTGGCTTAATATAAATTATTTGAAAAATCTTCTTGTTAATGCAAAACAGGTTTTCCATAACGTGAGATACTTGCAATGTTATATGCCGCTGTATACTTCTGGTCAATTGGGTTTAATTGTGGCTACTAATGATTGCCAAAATGATTTATCTTCTCCGCAAAGATCATTACCTGCTGATAAGCAGTCTCAGTTTAAATACTATAACAGTGCCGTACATCAAGCGTCTTTTGTATTACCCAACTGGGCCAATTCACTATTGAATAACTAAGTAGTAACTATTAAATAACTAAGTAATAACTATTAAACAACTAAGTAATAACTATTAAATAACTAAGTAATAACTAATAATACGCATTTTCAAATCGTAACTGTAACGAAATAGTGTAAAAATTGAATACTGCGGTTTTATCATCTAAGTACTTTGTATTTCTTCACCAACAAGGTAAGAATTTCCTCTTGCGATTCGACATGTTCATAATAGTACATACAAATCAAGTGGTTTTGGAAGAAACGAACCACGTCGCCGTTGGACCGCCCGCTTACTTTCCAATAGGACGTTGAGAAGTCTTCTTCGTCTGGCGGACATGCAAAAATCCAATTTTTCCCGTTCCCGACCCTTGTGTACTGCTGCAAAATACTTGGTTATTGCATGGCCAATGGCAACGTCGTGGTATTTGTAGAGTTCTCTTCTAATGTTACCCATGGTGATCTTAAAAAGAGGCATTTTTTCAACTTGGTCAGAGAAGTACCTACTGAGAGCATTCATTTACCTTCAAAATTATCAAAACAGTCAATCCATGTAACAATGGTCTTTAACTTCGGCTTGAAAACAGGGAGCTGGGTAAAATGCACAGTGTAATCAGCAGCAGCAGCCTTTCTAGCATACCTAAAAACGAACTGTTTTTCTAGGATGGCTCTTCGAGGATAGTTCTTCCAGGATAGTTCTTCTAGCACAGTTCTTCTAGCACAGTTCTTCTAGCACAGTTCTTCTAGCACAGTTCTTCTAGCACAGTTCTTCTAGCACAGTTCTAGTCAGTTGTCAGTTGTCAGTTGTCAGTTGTCAGTTGTCAGTGCTAGGACAGTAGTTGCAAATGCATTCACATAAATGTCGTGCCGTGTCGTGGAGGAGTAATGTCGCGCACCCGTACCCACCCGCTTACCTAATCACATCCACAAAAGGAATTGGTGATGGTCGTGTCCGGCTGCCCAACCAATGAAACATCAAAAAAAAATCAAAACAACCAAAAAATCCACATTTCCAACTTTTTGTTTTTAACAAATTTACACTACTACCATTTAACACGACCATCACCGAACCAATACACTACACTCTACTTAGAAAAAAAGAGGTCCCCATATCTTACAGGGTAGTTCAGTGACAATATTCCAAATTTGCAACCCAATCTAGTGATAATCAGTGAGTTTGGCTAATTACAACTTGAACAACGAAATTGAAGCGGGTTAAGATCATTAACTTATTACTATTCAAGTGGAAAACTTCTAAGCAATTTTATTTGACCCGAAGTGTTTCCATACCCCAATACTTGTTTATATTTTTGTCAGTGCTATTTTTCTTTGTTTTGATCAATTAACAATGTCCCATAATCCAGAGGAAGAGTACCCCAATAACATTGATGAACAACTCTTGACTGCAGTTAAAGATCAAGTTGGTAATCATCAAGATTTAGAGGATGCCCGGGTTAAATTGGAAGAAATTGCTTCTGCTGCTGCGTTGGCTGAAAAACAGGAACGAGAACATCATAATCAGCATCAACAACAACCTCAACCCCATCACCATCTTCAACAACAACAACAAACCCACCAGTTGAATCATCTTGATGGTGGACATCCAGCTGATGCTCTTCAATTGGATCAACAAGTTCACCACCATCAACAACACCAACAACAACAACAACAGCAGCAGGTCCACCACCACCATCAACACCAACAGCAGCAGCAACAACAACAACAACAGCAACAACATCATCACCATCATCAACAACAACATCAACAACAACATCAACAACACCAATTGAATTATAACCCCCATGATGATTCAGAGTACAATATACAGATTCCTGATCCAATCATGGATTCCAAACTGAAAATTTACCCGGTTAGTGAAAATACCATCACTGCTGAAGGGAATTTGATTACCAGACCATTCCCAGAACAAGTTTTTGAAAATAGAGAAGATTTAAATGAATTTATTCAAGAATTTGCCAGAGATAATGGGTTTGGTGTGGTTATTGCTCATTCCAATAAAAAGGCAATTTATTATACTTGTGAATTAGGTGGTCGTTATCGTCATAAAAAAACTAAAAAGGATTCAAATGGTGATAATAATGATTCTGCTAGTCCTGTAAGCAATTCAGGAGTTGATATTGGTAACGGTTATATACTAGATCCAAATACAAAAACTAAAAAATTAAGATGTCCATTTTCAATGACTGCTTCTTTTAAAAAATCAACTTCAATTTGGACATTAAGAACTACTTGTAATGAACATAATCATCCTCAATTAGATCCTTTATCAAATCATCCAATGTTAAGAAAACGTTCGGATGAATTAAATTTATTAATTCTTGATTTATATAAAGTTGGTACTAAACCTTCTCATATTGAAAAAAAAATCAAAGAACAATATCCTGATGTATTAATAAAACGTGAAGATATTTATAATGAAATAAGAGGTTATAAGAGAAAATTGAAAAAACAACATAGATTTGTTTCAAATTCAAATCCAAATTCAATTAATTCTTCTAAAAATTTTAATTCAAGAAGAGTGGTTCAAGCTGCTCAAGCTGCTCAACAATTAGTACCAAATGTTTCTAATTCGAATTATCAACATATGTTGGAATCAAATGGTGATCATGGTCAAGATGATTCTCAACATCATCATAATCATGGTATAACTGAAAGAGCTATCGAATTAGAAATTGAACGTCAACAACAAGAAGCTGAATTACAACGTCAATTACAACAAGCTCAACAAGCCGATTCTCAAAATCAATTAGATGAACAACAATTACAACATTATCAACAACAATTAGAAAATATCGGAGATGATACTGATAATAATGATAACACTGCTGCCGCTGCAATCGCTGCTGTTGCAGCAAGTGCCGGTCAAAATCACGGCCATAACACTCATGACTTATCAATGGAAAATATCGATAGTAGATTAGTTGGTGAGTAGTTCTAACCCAATAGTAAAGAAAAAAATAAATCAAATAAAAGAAAAAAAAATTTTTTATCACTTTCCTTAACGTCTTTGCTTATGTTCTCTTCATTTGTATTCTTAGTTAGCACTTTAGTAATTCTTCAATAACAAAATGAAAAAAAAAAAAAAAAAAAGAAAGTCCTCTAATATAATCAAAATCAAAATCTTACTATCTACTTTTGTAAATGAATGCGTTCTCAAGATTAATATATAAAAAATACAAACTAGAATGAAAATTCTGAATACCTACTGCTAGGAATACGGAAAATTTTGAAGAAAACCGATAACCATAAATTGAATATTGAAAAAAAAAAAAAAAAAAAATTAATTGTTGCAAAAAAAACCTGAAATAAACCTATAAATCTTGAATTGATCTTCATTCGTTTTGCTATTGAGTCGTAAAAGAAACGCATTATTGGAAAGTTACATACTTCTTAATAATTCAATCCCTTGACATCTTTCTTCATACAATTTAGCTAATTCTCCAACTTTCCTACCCCTGATGACAGGTTTTTTAACACTTAAACTTGGGGTGGAAGAATGGGATATTTGGCCTTGATTAAACGTGAAACTTGATTTGGTTCGAAGATGATTATTACCCATGTTGGAGCCATTAGCATTTTTTTGACTTGAAGTTGATACTGAAGAAGAAGTCGTACTTACTGATGCAGAAGATGAGTTAACACTTGATAAAGAAGATGAATGAGCTGAATTTAGCGAAGTCACTGATGGTTTTTTAACTGGATTTAGTTTTGATTTTTGTGCTGGGAATTGAAACGTTGAATTACCGAGTGATGGTTTCTTTTCATGTTGTGTTGGACGATCATTTTGCTTGGACGTAACCGGAGAATTTGATCTTGGTGTCGGTGGAGTCGTTTTATTTGGGCTTGACAGAGGAGTAATATTTTGGTTTTTTTGCTGTTTTTGTAGTTGATTGATCAAATTATTATTATTACCTAAAACTGTGGTTGGAGTGAAAGTTTTATTTACTTCTTCTTCACTTTGACTTCCTTCCTCTTCTTCTTCCTCTTCTTCCATCGTAATGTCATAAGATAAATCGTACGAGTCATCCAATTTATTTTGATCTAATTCCTCACCTTTTATAATTTGATCAATTGATGGAAACTTCTCTTGATATAATGGTTGAATTTGGGGCCAAAAATCTAAATAATTTTTGAAAATCCTCGTTATAATTAAGACCCGATCTTTATTTTGCAGGGAGATTAACTCTTGACTAATGCAATAACTTAAACATTTTGACATTGATAATGAAGTATGTTTTGTCAACGATGGATTTGAAATAATCCTAGAACATAATTGTAATAATTGATATAGAACCATACCGTAATTATTATCTTCAAATTTATTATAATGAGACATTAGTTTGTTGAAGGAACTTAATGTATTTTCAAAATTATTCTTAATTGGTAAACTTACGATTGATGCTGAAATTAGGGGTTGAGGAAGATCCATTAATAATTTCTTGAAAGTTGTTGCAATACAATATAAATCCCAATCATTTATCCAAATCAATTGATTTCTTTTGATACATTGATATAAGATATCAGTATTAGCTTTATTACCAGGTTTATGGAATATTAATTCAACTTTATCACCAAATAAATTTATAATGTTAAAAACTTGATAAAAGTGATGGAAGAAAATTGGATTTAAATGTTGATTAATTTTAGTAGTATCATTAATGATATAATTAATTGGGAAAGTAAAAGTAATGTTTGGTTCTAATAATAAATTATGTTTATAAATGTTTAAAGATAATTTCAATCTTCTAATATCAATATAAAATGTTAATTGAGATAAAGTGCTGCAATTAATAACTAAATTTGGAGGTAAAGATAATAAAACCGAAGAATTATTACTGACTTGATTAAATGAATCACTTAAATTGAAATTATTAAAACTTTCAAAAGCTTTATTAAGACTAGATAAATTTTTTTTAGTAAAATTATAATTAGTCAAAATTTGAGTAATTGATTTAACAAACCAACTATCATGAACTGTTATAATTTTATTTAAGTTATCCAAATTATTAATTTTATTATCAGATGAAAGAAAAGTCTTCAAAAATTTGATACCCCATATCCAACTAATCTTGTTGAGTCCACAACTAAGCATAACCAAAACGTATGGATGTTTGGGTAATACATTCATTAAAGTAGGGATGAATTCATCATAATTGATCAAATCAGGGGATGGTAAGAAAGATGTATCAAATACATATATAGGAAGGTTAGTATACGCATCTTTTGTATCTGCTTCATAAAAAATACGTTCCATCTTCAAAGATAAGCTTATTGAAACAGATTTATTTGGTGACAGAGATAAATTTATTTGATACTTTTATTTTCTTTGATTCTCTCTCTTTTTATGTATGGCTCTAGTGTCCCACGTCAAGTTTCGATTCTAGAAACTCAAGCTAAGATTATTGCTAGAGACGATGACCTGGACCTTATATCAAAGGATTATACGACCAAATGTAATAGAAACAAAGGGAGTGAGGTAACAAATTGAACACTAAATCAACCAAATGGAGTCTTGTTAGATTTTCTGAGCCCAAACCACACTTATACTGATATGATATATCAAGATCTATTAGTAAAATTAAATATGTAATGATTGAAAATTCTCAAGCAATGATTATTGGAAGCAATAAGAGGTAAACTACTACTTATTGACTCTGTGATGGGTTTTTTTGCCTTGTATTCGTTGTTTTTTGTTATGTTTTCTTTTTTTTTTTTGTTATTTGGTCTATTTATTTATTTATGTCAGACTTTGTTCAACCTTTATTATAGGACACTTCTGAGTCTTTTCGAGTCGTTCGAGTCGTTATTTGTTATGCTTTTCGGGTATGTGGCTGTCCAAAGGGTGTTTTCCAATGGTATGATTCAAAAGAAGATGTAGTCAATTGACTTTTAGCGTATCTTTCCCTTCCTTGGTACCTTAATCTGAGTGAGTACTAAATGTTTACTTCAATCTAAAAGTAGTTAATTCAAAAACATTAGCGTGGTGTGGAAATATGCAGGATTTTGATTTTTGGCGGCACGGAGGTATTATGTGGTGCACGGGTGTTGGTCCAATGTCTCTTCGATTCTAAATGTCGCGATTTCCCCGAAGTTGCGACATGTTTTGTGTTTTTTTCTTGCTCGTTCGCACGACTCCCCATTTATTTGCCATCCAAAAAAAACCTTTGTAAATGTGAGCGTTTAAATCAATCAAGAGGAATAGGCTTGTTGAAATAGCTAAGATTATCCATTCAATAACCTTGTTATTATACAATTGATATATCGTTTGAAATTCACTAAAAGCCAAATCTCCTATTTTGTTACTTGGAGAAGTTTTTGACTCGTGGATATATCTATTATTTTCATTTTTCATAGGTTTTAGTTATTTTTTTTTCACTTTCCAGTTGAAGCAAGTTTGAATAGATAAGATATACTATAATGGCCCCTTCAAAAGCTCCAGAGGCTCCAGTAAAGAGCGAGCCAACCAGCAATGAACCAGAAGCTTCCAAGGCTAACCAAAAGAAGAAGCAAGAAGAAGAACTCTCTGAAGAAGATCAACGCTTGAAAGATGATTTAGAATTATTAGTTGAAAGATTAAACGAACCAAATCAATCAATTGACTTGTATAATGAATACTTGAACACTTTAAAGACACATATCAAGGAATCGACTACTTCGATGACTGCGGTTCCAAAACCATTAAAATTTTTGAGACCTCATTATCCCTTAATTTCTGAATTATATGATAATTGGGTAAATAAGTATTCTAGTAACAATGAAATAGTGATCAAATTAGCAGATATATTATCTGTATTGGCAATGACTTATTCTGATGAAGGTAAACTAGAATGTTTAAAATATAGATTATTATCAACTGATGATACTATTGCTGATTGGGGTCATGAATATATTCGTAATTTGGCCTTAGAAATTGGCGAATCCTATCAAGAAAAATTAGGTTCTGATGATGAATATATTTCAAAATTAATTCATTTATCAACTAAAATTGTTCCATTTTTCTTAAAACATAACGCTGAAGCTGATGCAGTTGATTTCTTATTAGAAATTGAATCTATTGATAAATTACCTCAATATATTGATGAAAGTACATTTGCTAGAGTTTGTTTATACATGGTTAGTTGTGTTCCTCTTTTAGCTCCTCCAGATGATTCTTCATTTCTCCATACTGCATTCTCTATCTATTTGACTCATAATCAATTAACCCAAGCTTTGACTTTAGCTATCAAATTGGATAATGATGAATTAATCAAACAAGTTTTCCAATCCACTAATGATGAATTAGTTCATAAACAATTGGGTTTCATTTTATCTCAACAAAATAATGGATTCAAATATCCTGGTGATAATGAAGAAGTTCAAGAAACTATTTCCAATGTTAAATTAAGTGAATATTATGCTTATCTTGTAAAAGAATTAAATTTATTAGATCCAAGAATTCCTGAAGATATTTATAAATCTCATTTAGAAAATGCTAAATTTGGTTTAGGTAATTCTGGTTCAATTGATTCTGCTAAACAAAATTTAGCTGCTGCTTTTGTAAATTCTTTTATTAATTTAGGTTATGGTACTGATAAATTAATTCAAACTGAGGAAGATAATAAATCCTGGATTTATAAAACAAAAGGTCATGGTATGATTTCTACTACTGCCTCTTTGGGTTCTATTCATCAATGGAATATTAATGATGGTTTACAAAACTTGGATAAATATACTTATTCTTCTGAAGAGGAGATTAAGGCCGGTGCCTTATTGGGTACCGGTATTGTATCTGCTAATATCCACGATGATGTTGAAGCTGCGTTAGCTTTATTACAAGATTATGTTAATGATCCTAAAAAAATATTCCAAACTTCCGCCATTAATGGTTTAGGTATTGCATTTGCAGGCTCTTCAAATGAACAAGTTTTGGAATTATTATTACCTTTAGTATCAGATTTAAATGTTAGCATCGAAGTTAGTTCTTTAGCTGCTTTAGCTTTAGGTCATGTCTTTGTTGGGTCCTGTCATGGTGATATTACTTCAACCATTTTACAAACTTTATTAGAAAGAGATTTCACTCAATTGGCTGATAAATTTATTAGATTTATGTCCCTTGGTTTAGGTTTATTATACATGGGTAAAACCGAATCAGTTGACGATGTTTTAGAAACAATTGATGCAATTGAACATCCAATTAGTAAAACTTTGAAAGTCTTGGTTAATATTTGTGCTTATGCTGGTACCGGTAATGTCTTGCAAATTCAAGCTTTATTACAAATGTGTACTGCTAAACCAAAAGATTTAGCTGCTGAAGAAAGAAAATTAGAACAAAGTGAAGAAGACCAAACTAAAGAAGAAAAACCTGAAGGTGATGATAATAATGATACAAACGACGCTACCGCTGCTTCTGGTGATGTTGAAATGGAAGACGCTGAAACTAATGGAGATAAAGATTCCAAGCCAAAAGCAGAACCAAAAGATGAACCAAAAGATGATGATAAGGAAGAAGAAGCCGACTTTGAAGAAGAAGGATACTTATATCAAGGCTTTGCAGTTTTAGGTCTTGCATTGATTGCTATGGGTGAAGACATTGGTCAAGATATGTCATTGCGCCATTTCTCTCACTTGATGCACTATGGTAATTCATTAATTCGTAGAGCTGTTCCATTAGCAATGGGTCTTGTATCCACTTCATATCCACAAATGAAAGTATTTGATACTTTATCCCGTTATTCACATGATCCAGATTTGGAAGTGGCTCAAAATGCAATCTATGCTATGGGTTTAGTTGGTGCAGGTACTAATAATGCCAGATTAGCCCAGTTATTAAGACAATTAGCCTCATATTATATCAAATCGCCAGATTCATTATTCATGGTGAGAATTGCTCAAGGTATCTTACATTTGGGTAAAGGTACTCAAACTTTAAGTCCATTCAATACTGAAAGAAGTATATTATCTAAAGTTTCATTGGCTTCATTATTAACTATATCTGTATCATTATTGGATCCAAAATTATTTATTTTGAACGATCTGAACAGTGAAACCACTCATCAATTATTATATTACTTAACACCAGCTGTTAAACCACGTATGTTAATCACCGTTGACGAAGAGTTGAATCCTATCAAAGTGAATGTACGTGTTGGTCAGGCAGTTGATGTTGTTGGACAAGCTGGTAAACCAAAAACCATTACTGGTTGGGTCACTCAATCCACTCCAGTATTATTGAGTTATGGTGAACGTGCAGAATTAGAAAATAATGAAGAATGGATAAGTTTAACACATACTTTAGAAGGAGTTGTTATCTTGAAAAAGAATCCTGAATACATGGAGGTCGATAACTAATAAAAACGAAATAAAATAAATCATTTAAATTCACGTAATATATATATTAATAGAAAAATGTAAAAAAAAAAAAAAAAGAAACAACGATTACGAATTTTTATCTACGTAGCACGAACGGACGAATCTTAGTTTGATGGTTTATAAGTTATATTTATAGAAGGATAGAGTAAGTGAAGTAAAACTTTTTTGAAGTAATTTTTATTGATTTATGCGTTGAATTATAAGAGAAAAAAATGCAGTGGTAAGAATTATTTAAATTCAAGAGCTTTACTGGCCATTAATAAACCAACAATCAAACCAAATAAACCCAAGACAGAGCCAAAAATCTCCACAACCAAGATTTTAACGAATAAAGAACTATCAGCGGCATCACTTATAGCAGCAGTTGAACCAGTAATACCAACTGCAACACCACAAATTAAATTTGAAATCCCAACGGTTATCCCAGCCCAAAATAAGGAAAATCCAGTGTACATATTTTCTTTTGTGAATAAAGCATTGGCAGGAACACTTGCCATCTTAGCACTGAAAACAATTGCCATGATTAAACCATAAATTGCAACTACTTCACAAAAAATAATTGAGATCAAATTCTTAGTAGTAATTCTAGGAGCCTTAACCCCAGCACCAATGATTGAAGATCCAGTGATAAAGATCCCCCATGCAGCCCCAATGACTGAAAACCCAATACAGCATGCAATTCCTAAGTTTGCCCATAAATAAGGTGATGTGGTTTCTAGAAATTCACCAAAGTTAAAAGCTTCACCGGAGCCATTGAACAATAAGTATCCCCCCACGGTGAGTAAAGAGGCTACTGCAAGAGATTTTGTAACTACCATTTCAAATATACAGCTGCTATTCAACCAGAGTTATTAATTTTATAATTGGATTAGCACAGCTAACTATGGTTTCGTTTAATTATTGAAATACTTTCATGTCTGATAAGTTTATACCTTTTTTTCTGAATTTTTTGATTAAGGAAACTACCGTGGTAACTAACCTGTAAACGTCCAGCAATTTTACAGATTAGTGTTGGCGATCCGTACCTCCAATAAACTTCCGTACATCTACGCCGCATCTAATGGTTGCAACCCCAAGAAAGTAACGACGTGAATAGGGCAACCTTCACTGCAAGTTCAAGCTTTAAAAGGTGGTGAGATTACTTGAGAGACTTGAGAGCAGATTCAGTATTATCACTACCATCCGTGTGTAGTAAAAATGCTTCCAGGGGCTCAAGCTATGTTGTATTCTTTCAAATCACCCTGGAATCGGATAGTGCCAGCCGACCAACCGACAGCCCGAGGACCCTAACCACGAATAGAAATATATCAAGCAAGAACCAAGTTACAAGACGAAGATTCAAGTAATATGGTGTCAAAAGTTTTGATATGCGAGAACCGGAGATCATAAAGTATAAAGTATGGAGATGTTGCGCATCGACTGATTGTGATTGCGAGTGAAAAAATTTTGAAAACCTAGAGGTATAGACAGCAAAAGAAGAAGTAACAAGACTAAGGTATACTGTTGATTTATTTTGAGCTATATAGAGCTAAGAAGGTGGATATTGCATTTGTACAGGTGCGATAAGGGAGTTTTCAGAGAACTTATGGCATTGACAGAACAGGATCTTGAGAGTAAAACCGAAAATGATATTGAAAATGAACATAAGATGGATGAGTTGATGAGTAATAACGGAGATGAGAAGAGGGGGCATGTGCCACAAGGACTATTAGATGATCCTAAGTTGTTTCCAGAAGGAGGACTACGGGCCTATCTTGTATTGGTTGGGTCGTTTTTAGGACTAATTGGGTCTTTAGCCTTTTGTAATTCGGTTGGAGCAGTGGAAAGCTATATGAAAGAGCATATACTAATCAAGCAACCAACGTCAACGGTAGCGTGGATCTTTTCAATTTATAATTTTATGGAATTTGGAATGAGTCTTATAACGGGGCCAATATTTGATAAAGTTGGAGCAAGAATCCCCATAAGTATTGGTATTTGCTTATTTGCTATTGGTATAATGACCATGTCAATACTGAAATCGATATATCAATTTATATTGAGTTTCAGTGTATGTGCTGGATTAGGTAGCTCCTTCACTTTTTCACCGTTTGTATCGGTGCTAAGTCATTATTTTTATAAAAAAAGAGGACAAGCTGTTGGAATAGCGTATATTGGAGGTTCTATAGGAGGAGTATTCATGCCATTAGTTTTCAAGTCTTTATTTGATAAAGTTGGCTTTGGGTGGACAATTAGAATTGGAGGTTTTATTTGTTTAATTTTTTTAATAATTGGACTAATACTAGTTAAAGATCGAAATAAAGTATTCTGTGAAGCCAGGGAGCCCAAGCAAAATTTAATAGTTGAAATAATCAAATCGATTGATATTGGAGTTTTCAAAGATCAAATTTTCACAATGTTGGTACTTAGTTTACTAGGTAATGGATTTGCATTTTTAATTACAATGACTTATTTACCATCATATGCAGTCAAAATAGGATATCCCGAATCCAAATCATATTTATTATTAACTGTTTTTAATTCATTATCGATACCCGGTAGATTATTACCCGGGTTTCTAGCAGACAAATTTGGTCCTTTCAATATACTTTGTTGTATTAGTATAATGAGTAGTGTGAGTTTTCTAGTCATATGGTTTCCTCACCCGGTTGGGCATAATATAATTGGATTATACATTTTTCTGGCCATGTATGGCTTTTCAAGTGGAAGTTTTCTACTGCTAACTCCAACCTGTATTGGGGTTTTAAGTAAGACTAAAGATTTTGGTAAAAGATGTGGAACTGCATTTTTCGTATTAAGTTTTGGTGATTTGTTTGGTATTGTTATTGGTGGAGCAATTATTGGTAAAGGAAACTTAAAAAATTATGATCATATGGTAATTTTTGTTATGATTTGTTCTTTAATAGCCACAACTTGTGCAATCACTTCAAGAATACGGTTAGCTAAATTAGGATTCGGCAAAAAACTTATCTGCTAATAAAAAGTCAAAATATACGTCTGGCTGCTTTTTCAATTTATAACGTCAACGTTGTTGGCATCTGGGAAAACCCCCGGGGAAGCCTGTCCCTGCCCTGTAAAGCCTCCCTGCCCTGTAAAGCCATGTTAGAGTAGCGCATCCTGTCAAAACAGCGAATCGACAAAATAGCAATTGTAGTCAGGGTATCGATACAAATTATGATGTCCAGTCGACTAACCCTTCGAGTATCCACGTTACTCCATCGAGTAGGTATTGATTATGAACAGTTGAATCAAGTATTCGGTAAAAGCTTTGTTCAGAAAGGCTATGAGAAAGAGGTTGCAATTATCCGAAGAAGCGTGCACTGATGAGGATAATAACACGAGTCAATCGAACAGGAACAACTTTAAAAAATAGCGAAAAACTGTTTAACTGTCGAAATCAACCAAATCAAATCAAATCACCTGTCAAATCAGTTTTAAGGTACCAAATCATCAACGAGTTTAGCCATGTGGATAACCCCCATGTGCGCGAAAGAAACGTTTTGGGCCTCACGAGTCACCAACGAAGGAGGTGGCTACTAGCACACTAGCTTAGCAAATTGACAACCAATGTCAAAGATAACCTTGCACGTTGACGGAGTATGCAAGTAATTAAGGTATTGTTTAAGTGAGCGAAGGAGAATGCAATGGTAAAAAGGAAAGGGGGGCCTGTGGGTGTCCGTTTGCTCGAGAGTAGACTGAATAAACTGAATAGACTGTAAATAGTTAAGGACCCTTCAACTCACACATGGGCTTTTACCAACTCGAGTTTGACAAAACTAACATAATGGGATTGCGACAATAGGTAGAATACAATAGTATTGTGTTTGTGTATTTTTTTTACCTTAATAATGGTAAGAATAGGAAGAGTTAGTGGGATAATAGTTGAGATTAGACTTTACCTCATGGTTCATACTTATTTCCAAGTGGAATCAGAGAAACCTGATTTGAAATATATAAATATGTGTAGAAGTAATCGATGTTCTTGATAAATTCTGAAAAATTATTTAAGATAATATTCAAAAATGTTTCGTTTAAAATATCCATTATCAATTTTTTTCAGTATTTTAGTAATTTGTATTATCTCAATTAATTTGATTAATACTAATTCACATATTGTTAAAAGAGATTTGGAGGCAACACAAACCACAGTGGAACAACCAACTAAAAGACAAGATAATCTGATTCAAATTTTCCAATTTAACGTTAAGAATGATGCTAATCCAACTAAATTAGAAACCAATGAAAAACCATGGTCCACTCGTAAAACCGGGGTTATTCACGCCATTAAATCCAGAGCCACTAAGTATCCTACTTTAATTGGATTACAAGAATCAGTCAAACATCAAATTGATGATATTCTTGAAGGTTTGGGTAGTGATTATACTTATTATGGTATTGCTAGAGGAACTAATACAAGTGATGATGAATATAATCCAATCATTTATAATAAGAACGAATTCGAATTGTTGTATAATAAAACTTACTGGTTAAGTGAAACTCCTGAATACCCATCAATTAGTTGGGGGGCTAAATACGATAGAATTGTTACTGTTACTACTTTTAATGAAAAATCAACTAATAAAAATGTTAATTACTTGGTTTCTCATTTTGATTTTGCCAGTGAAGACGCTAGAACAAACAGTGCTAAAGAAGTTTTGGATATTGTTGATAACAAGATTTCAAATTCCGATATCGATTTCTTCAGTGGTGATTTGAATGCCCAACAATCCGAACCTGCTTATTCGGTTATCACCAGTCAATTCACTGATGCTAATAAAGCTAGTAAAAAAACAAGAAAGGCTAAAAAAGATTTTGTCATTGATTACGATGCTGTCATTGACTACATCTTCTATAAACCAAATGGTAATACTCTGGTTCAATTACAAGATTATCAAGTCCTTAATGGGTTATACGATGGCTATAACATAAGTGACCATGCTCCTTCCTATGCCTTATTTTCCTTATAGATTTCTATAGATTTCTTTATACCCGTTATTGTTTATATTCGGTTGAAATTACATTGACTGTAAGTTTCAATATATTTTCTGTTTAACTGTTCTTGTAATTTCAATTATTGCAGTGATTGCAATTTTGCAATTTTGCAATTTTGCAATTTGTACGCGTAGCGAACGTAAAGAGTAATAAACTAAAAGGGTTTTTTGCCCTCGGTGCACTCGTGTGCAGGTTTCCCATATTGTTTGCAACATCTCCAGCCAACAATACCTTCACTAAAACCAGTAATGGACTTCTCCTTTTGACACTAAAGTGGAAGATCAGTTGCAAAGAAGGTTGATACAGCAATTATTCTTATTGTTGTTTGTATCTTTACCCCATCGGACTTTTGCCTTTTTGTTGAAGTTATGGTCTTGTGACTTGTGGGAGATCCCTTTCATTATTCAATTGTTGAATACCCCAATATGCTTTAGTTGCTTGAGTAATATTCATGTTGTATAAATAGATATAATGGTTGTCTAGCTATTTCCGTGCCCACCGGTCTTAATACAGCTAAAGAATCGCTTTCCTGGCAGATTAGTAGGTCGAGACTCACTCAATTGGAAATGTCTATAATGGACTTACTTCGTGTCTTGTTGATCCGTACCTCCTCTTTATTATTGGTCAATACCCGTATATTTATAGTAACCTTTTTTGGATAAGGAATACTTTCACTATTTAGTAATCTAGTTTTGATAAATGGTTTACTTTCGATCTTGATAACGATAAGTAAAGGAAAACATAAACATAAGTAGATCTATTCTAATAAGATAATAATTGACTATAAGTTTTGATCTAAAGAAGAAATAAAAGCTTCCATAAAACAAGTCTACTAATAATAACTACTAACTCTGGTATAGTGTCTTGACCGAATAGAAAGAGCCTAGATGTTACAATCTTGGGGAGATCTACAAATTGTCTAAATTTGCAACTAAACAAAATGACTGAAGAGGATAGAGTGGGATGGCTATCCAATCATTGGCGGTGCATGTCACCAGCGAGTGACCATTGATATAAGAGCAAGAGAGCTACACGGGGCAGTTGGTAACATGAAGTTTAACTTTCAGTTAGGACAATTCACTGTGTTCACCATTCTATTCACTAGCTACTAACTATAAATTGTTGGTATTATATACACCCATACACCATAAATGGGTAATCGCACACCCACTCCCATAGAACCGATATCATAGCTTTTTAGCAGCAACTGTAAGTTTGTAACCTACAAGTATATAGTATAAATAATAGTATGTAGCAATTTACCCTATTTAAAGTTTTCTAAAAAGTTCCACGTTACTCTGAAAAACGTTTATTTTGCATCCTCCTTACCGTAATCTTGCTGTCATTCAATTTGATGGAGCAAACAATATGTAATCGTATTTATATCAAGGCCGATCTACCTTGTCGATCTTGAATGTTTAGTTCTGGCAAGTAAATAATATTTCAAGATGAACTTAGAACCACCAGTTCCTAAAAAACCAGCAATTTTTTATGTCCATGCTGCATTATTTGATTGTGATGGTACCTTAGTTAATTCAACCGGGGCCATTTCTGAATTTTGGCGTAATTTTGCCGAAACTAGGCCCCATGTTGATCCTGAAGAAATTATAAAAACTTCTCATGGTTGTCGTACCTATGATGTTATTGCTAAATGGTCTCCTGATGATGCTGATGAAGCTCAAGTTGCCGAATGGGAAGGAAGTATTCCTGATTCCTTTGGTCAATATGCCAAACCAATTCGTGGTGCTCCCGAATTGGTTAGTAGATTCAATGAGTTATCTAAGGAAACTGATAATAAACACCAAAGATGGGCTATTATTACTTCTGGTACTTTACCCTTGGCATCCAAATGGTTGAAATTATTAACCATTGAAAAACCAGATTGTTTCATTACTGCTGAACAAGTTAGTCAAGGGAAACCCCATCCAATGGGTTATTTATCAGCAAGAGAAAATTTGGGTTATGATGCTCCTCATAAAAAAGTTGTGGTTTTCGAAGATGCTCCTGCTGGTATTAAGGCTGGTAGAGATGCCGGAGCCATGATTGTTGGTATTTGTTCTACCTATGATCCTGAGAAAATTAAAAATTCCGGAGCTGATATTGTCGTAAGTGATTTATCAAGCTTTGAAGTTGAAAAATATAACCCATTAACTGACGAATTCAAAATTATAGTTCATGACTACCACTATACTAAACCGGAGTATTTGATTCGTCGTCCTTCCATTGTTGCTTAGAATATTATTTATTAATCCCTAGAAATTATTTATGACTTATTTTGACGTTAAAAATACATGATTATTAGATATTTGGCAAGCTTGTAGAATGTTATAAGAAATCAATTCTATCCCTTAAAAAGGTGCTAGAGTTCGTGCATCCTTCTAAAGAAACTAGATGAAGTCTGGCATGCTGACCTCTGGTTAAAACCCTCCATAACCCTTTGATGATTGTAATTTCGATAATCTCTGGCTTTGAAGTGTTTTCTTCTTGTCCTTTAAAATATTTTTCTAAGTTATCAACTGAAAGAAGGTCATTATTTGAATTTAAATCAAGCTTTCTCATTTTTGATTTTGGTTCTCCGAGGTTTTCAACTGGTGAAGCTGATCCAAGAGTATCACTCCTTGGTGTATCTAATATAGAAAACCACCAATCTTGCTTCATAGTTAATCCATTGATTACAGCTTTGGAACTTTTAAGACCGGATAAAATTAACATTTCACTACTCATTTGTGGTTCATCCATAAAATCTTTTGACATATTTCTAAAAATTTGTAAAAATTTACTTCTATAATCACCAACCAATCTTAATATACAAATACCTTCAGTTCTATTTATTAATAATTTAAGTTCTGGATTGAAATTTTCAGAATTATTAATTTGAAAAATTAAACTTCTTTTAATATCTTTTATATAAGGTCTTGCATACAATACTGGAGATTCTTGTCTGGGGAAAGTTTGTTTAAAGATTCCTTTGGACGATAAGTCAAATAAATCAATGATGATCTCTTGAGCATCAGTGTACGGACAATTATGTATCTTATATTTAATAATTTTTTGTTCTAATGCAAGAAATCTATAATACTTGCATTCTTTTATTAATAATTTTCGATGTTCATCATTCTTAATTACGAGGGTATTCCCTTTCAAAATTTGAATTAAATCCCCAAATAATTTAGCACTTCTATTATTAACAGTAGCAGGCTGTTGAGGAGGAGGTCGTATAATATTTTTCTGTTCAATTAACCTCAAATTATCAGTTAACATAGAATCATAATTTATCGAAAAATAATTCGGATAATTCCCTGATTGTACTAACAAGTTCTTCGATATCTTAAAAGATTCTCCTCCAATAATAGCAAAAATGTCCTCGTTTGACAATTGTTCTTGTAATCTTTTCAATCCAAAGTAATAGCTATCACTCCAAATATGAACAAATTCAATTGCAGTATCAACAGATATCCTATAACCCTGTAAATGATTGTAAATTTTTTCAAATATGTTTGGATTTCTATCAATAAACAAAATTTCTTCGGTATTCTCTTCCTTATTGAAGAATTGGGTGAAATAAGATGGGGCATCCGATGATAAAGATGCTCCGCTTAATCTAAACAATTTGTACCCAACTTGAATCGAGTAAACCTTTTCATGTGGTAATATTTCGGGAATTTCTGGATCAAACTCTCTACTCCCCCGATACACTAACGGATTCTGTGAATATTCTACGGACATTCTCTAGTGTTGATAAGCTTTTATCTTTAATTATGGTGCATTTTTGCCAATTCTTTCAAAGGAAAAAAGAAAGGCTAAAAGTTCCTCTCGCTTGTGTTTTCCCTTTTTTCGCGCAGCAGCGACTCAGAGCATCTCCAAGTCTGAAAGAAAAAAATTACAATATAAACAGTTGATGTTCTTTGGAAAAATCTTCAAGACACCTTTCCTTCTTTTATAGATCTTAGTCTAGGGCTTTAAGAGGTGCTTGTTTGAATACTGTTAAGATTGAATGCTAGAAAAACCAATACGATCACCTTTTCTGCAAGTAAGTTAGAAGCTTTAAAGGGAATAGCTAACCGAATTACTGCTAAAAAGAGATTATGGGACGTAAAACACGAAGTTTTACTGGATGTACAACTTGTAGGGCAAGGAAGGTGAAATGTGATTTAACTCGGCCAAAGTGTATGAGGTGTAATAAATCCAATTTAAAATGTGGAGGGTATGATATCGTATTAGGATGGATAGATCCATTAATGACAGATCCAAAGAATAATCAATTAGTAGCATTGAATTTGCAAAATGGTAAAATGATGGAGGTTGGCAGCACTAATGAGAGTGGGAATATCACAACTACCACTGGAGTAACATCTAAATTCCAAAGAAGAAATGTTGAATTGGTGAAATTCCCCAGAAGATTGAGATATGAAACGTACTTGAAGTTAAATAAGGTGGTTCATAGAATTGACGAACAAGTTGAAAATCTAGGAGGTGGTGGGGATTTCCAAATAGGACCATTTGGAGTTTATGAATTTAGCCTTAAAAGAAGAAACCCGGTTTTCCAGGAAAATTTGAAGAAGAAGCAGAGGACAACGATTCCAGCTCCGCGTGAGGTATCGATTATAGCACCGGAAAGACAGTCCATAGGTAAGGACGATCCTCCAATCATGAACGAAGACTCTGACCAATCAGATGTAGAACCATTAGAATCAGTTGAACCAATTGCATCACTAAAGACTATTAAACCCAATTTGTCAAACCAATCAATTTTCTCCAAAAATGACAATTCATACGTTCATTATAACTTATTGGATAGTGCCAAGTTAACCATTTTGGCAATTAAGGGACCAAATTACAAATTTAATGAACAAAATATGTTTCATATTTTGTATCCAATTTTCTTTCCCAATATTGACAGTGATGATTGGGAGTCAAATGGGGAAATATTGAAAAATTATTGGGAAATTTCTAAGGGATCAAATCAGGTTATTGTTAAAAAAATGTTTTCTAATATAATACAAGAATTTACTAGTGATATTTTAACGATTATCAAGATAAATTTCGGGAAAAATTATTTTGATACTCTATTGAAACCATATATCAGAAGTATAATTTGTGAATTTCTAATTGAGATGGATTGGAGAGGTATACCCAACATAGATGAAGAAGAAGAATTCAGTAATGAAGATACATTGAAAAGTATTAAACTATCAATAATATATTTATTAATTTCATTAACATTATTTAAGAAATCAAAAAATTCAAATAAAAATATCAAAAATAACGTTGATCAATATTTTATTGATGAATGTTTAAAACATAGTATTGAGATTAGAAAATTGGCCCATAAAATTGTTAATTATCAATTAGATGAGTATGATATCAATCAAGAAAAATTCGAAGATGATGAAAATTATGAGATTTTAATGATAATAATGATAATATTTATGATACAAATTGATTTAGATTATGGGGTATTTGAGAATTTAGAACTATTATATGCCATTGCTGATAATATAATGAAATTAAATAAGTGGAAAAAATTAATCAAATCCAACGGATTTGTCAAATGGTTAATGAGTTTAATGAAAATTCTGTCAATTTTTTATGAAAGCACTCAAGCGATAAATTTTTTTAATTATTCAATTAGTCAAAGAGATGAAAAGAAAAATTATGGGGATTTGGATGAAAATTACGATTTGATTGGAGAAGATGACGAAGATGATGATGAAGATGATGATGAAGATGATGATGAAGATGATGACGAGAGTGAAGATGACCACGTTCAAATCGAGTCTAGCAAATTGAATGACAATTATAAACCTATGTCATTTACTGTTAGTTTTAATGAACGGAACGATTTAGAAGATCGGATTGATGAAGTAGTTAATGAACCAGATAATAAAGTTCTGATTCCGGTACCCAACCGACTGACATGTGTTGATTGGAATAGTTGTTATGTCATGTATGGGTTACCATCATCACTTATCAACTTATTGCATGAAATTGTTCATTTAACAAATCATAAAAATATATTTAGTAGAAGACATATAACTCCTAGAAATTTCCCAAGAATATGTGCAGAGATTGAGGATAGATTACTTAATTTCAAGATTGAAAAATACTGGAATTTGAAAAATGGCAAGTCATTTTTATCAAAGTTTCACCAAGGGTTATACTATAATTTCCAAAGTATGCATAATGCCATGATTGTTTATTTTTATCGATTAATAAAAGGAGATCACTTAAGAAATTATCAACAATTCATTGAACTACTGATTGATAATTTGATAAAGTTGAAAAACTTGAATTTGAAAGAGTTTAAATCTTCTTTCTGGCCAATTTTGATTTGCGGCAGTGATATAATGATTGAAAATATTACTTTACGCAAGAAATTTGAAAATTTATGGGACGATCAAATTTTTGATCGCTGTAACTATTGGAGAAGTAAGCAAATCTTATTTGAAATATGGAAAAGAAGAGAGGTGGGGGAAGATCATAGTTTTATGGATCTAGTTAGAGAATGGGGGATCATCCTTAGTTTGATTTAATAAAAATATAGGTTGTAAATTCTGCTGTATGAGATTTCATTCTACATGCGAAGGTACTTTAACGTATTTGCAAGTAACAGTTTCTTTTTGCACCCACAGTTGCCAGAACTCACAATCCTAGACTTGCTGCAGGCAGTACTCCAGGCTTGAGTATTTTGCAACAATGTAGACAAACAGGCATTCCATGAAGTTGCAAGCTCAATTCGCCTACAAAGCGAACACTCAACTGACTCCTAGGATACCAAACACACCTTGAAGTTTCAACCTAAACATCCCCTTTAGACTCATGTTTTTGCAACTAGCCAAAAAGCATTAAGGTGGGCCGGTACAATTGACCGGTTATCGAGACATCCGGGCGTGGTGGGGGGGGGGGCTCAAAATTGTACGGGTCTCTTTCCGTACATGTACGGAGGCTTTGACTCGGGCCCTCTGTTCAGGGGGTCGTGTCCCGTGGCCCACCTTCGGATAATAGGAACAACTCACAAAGTAAAGTCCCCCGCTTTAACAAAAACTACCAAAAATTATCCCCATACTCCAGATTTTCATTTGATTACTCTCAGACCCGGCCATTTTTTTCAGGTTGGCCAGGTGGTTTTGTAGTCTAATTTGACCTTCGGTATAGAACCTGGGTATTTCGTGCTGGGCCATCTTCGTCGGACGCAGCGGGTGGCTTTCTGGCGCTGTGGAAGTGGGAAGAAAGCTAGTCATACGGAAAAACTAACAGAATTCGAGTTTCTCGGGGCATTTTTTTTTTTTTTTTTTTCTTTATTAAAAAGATTTTTTAAAAGATTTTTTTTTTTTTTTTTTCGTTTTGTTTGGAGGTTTAATTTGTAGCGATTTTTACAGCGGCTAATTCTTTACTACTTCTTCTTTCACTATTGCTGTTAGGTTGGTATACTGTTTTGCTGCTGTTGCTGCTGTTGCTGCTGTTACTGTTACTGTGTTACTGTTAGTGCTGATTGGTGCTTGTTGGATTCACTTAATTTAGCCGCCTGAACACTCATTATAAGCTGTTTTTTAAGATGTCAGATCAAGAATCTAAAGAACAATTGGTGTCAAATAACCAACCAAGGAAAAGATCCAAAGTCTCTAGGGCTTGTGATTCTTGTAGAAGGAAAAAAATTAGATGTGACGCCGAATATTCATCTATTCTTTCTAAGGTTACTAAAATATGTACGAATTGCTCCAAGAATAATGAGAACTGTTTGTTTTCAAGAGTGCCATTGAAAAGAGGACCTTCCAAAGGGTATATTAAGGATTTGGAGGAAAAATTAGAAATCACAACACCTTCAAACAATAAACCAAGAGCAAGATCTTTTGGTGATAATCACTCACCTTTGAAATCAATTAATACTAATTTCCCTAATGCTAGTTCAAATCCCAACTCAAATTCTTCTCCTATAATATTACCTCCTTTATTGCAACAGAATCCTCAATCTCAACAACCAACCTCTCCATCAATTCAATCAAAAAATGTCTTACCTCCAGTAATTAAAAAGTCATTTTCTTCCTCTTCTCCTTCAAGTCCAAGAAATAGCTTGACGGTTAATGATTCTCAATCTTTAACTAAAGCAACTAGCCCTCCTATTCAAGGTCCTTTTTGGAAAGTTCCTTATGAGATGCCCGGTAATAGCTTGGGATTATCTAATGGTTTAAATTCAAATAATAATTCAAACTCAAACACTAGAAGATCTTCTCTTGATTCTTTAAGTTCAACTTCAACTACAAATTCAAAATCAAGATTACCCCTGTTAAAACCTTCCTTATCAATCAATAGTGACAATATGATAAGTGATTCTGATGACGATTTTTATTCAATTAAATCCAACTTTAGAAATTCCACCCAATCATTAAGTCCTCGTAATTCGGTCTCAAGCTTATCAAGTTTGTCAAATAAAATTAATAAAAACTTAAATTTAAATCCATCAAATAATAATTTAACTCCTCATTTACCTCAATTATTTCAATTACCTCCAGTTAACCCTTCAGGGTTTTCTCCTTTTCCTTCTAATCATTCTCATTTCCAACCTCCGGTTTCTGGTCATGCCCCTCCTCCTCCTCATCCACCTTCTGCTCCAGGCCATAATTATGCTCCAGGACCAATTCCTGCCTTTACCCATGCTCCGACCTATCCACCTGGACCTGGACCTGGATCGGTTCCCCCAAATTCTGCTTCGACATACTTTACTACTACAATCAACTCCATCGAAACAAACTTGAAGATTTATTATATCAAATTCCATCCGAATTTCCCAATCTTACCCTTCAATCACTCAATAATTAATACTTCCCTAGAATCATTCAATTATCTAGACGATTTTCAAAAAAATATCATTGAATTGTTCAATTTAAGTTTAAATAGTTTGATCCATTACCAATACTCAAATTTAAATAACTTGATCAATTTATTCCATAAAGTTTTATCAATTTACCCTTTCAATCAATTCAATATCAAAATTACTGATGATTTATTAGTATTGTTTTTTTCTTCCTTGGTTTTAATTAATTATACCATACTTTTAAATGGTGATATATACTCTTTGGGGATCTCGTTGACTCTTTCAACTTTAAATGATTTCAAAGTTTTGGAAAATTTTAATGACTTAATCATCTCAGACTCAAAATTTGACTTTGATAATATTAAGTTTTTCCTACCAAAAATTTATTATTCCATTTACTTGATTGATCATTGTTATTGTTTGAGTTTTGGTATTCAATCTTCTATTAACACAAATTTTGATTTATTATTTGATAACCTAAATCTTTTGGTTCCTTCAAATTTCGTCCATGGCTTCTTGAATTTCAAAATAAATAAGATTGTTCATGATGTATTGTCTTCAAGAAATGATAAAATTTTCAAAAATCTCGGTAAAGTGAAAAGATACGATCCAAACTGGGGTAATCTTATATCATCTTCAAGTAATAACTATAATTTTGGATCACTTTTTGTAAATTTGATTAAAGATAAATATGAATTAACAGATTATTTAATTGAAATTTTAAATCTATTGAATTCAATCAATTTTAAAAGTATTGATGATGATGATGACTCTTTGGAAATCTTAAATGATTATCAACTCAAATTAATTAGATTATTGAAAAAATTATCAACCTCAATAATCAATTTATCAAATTATATTTCAACTTTAAATTCACAATTAAAGAAGAATTTAAATACTACAAACGAAATTTATAATCCTTTTTTAAATGTCAGTTACGGCCAATTATTCAAATTAATTAAATTATCCAAGTTAATCACTGATTCTTTACTAAACCATAATAGTAATGATGAACTATTGAATCGTTCACTTAAAATTAATAATGATTTATCGATTTCGTTCAATTTATTAACCTCGAATTTAAACTATCAAAACACCTCAAATAATTCAACACCAAATCTTAAAACAAAATCTCCTATAGGTGAGTCCAATTATGGTTTAGGTTCAGTGTCCATTAATTTGATTAAGAATAAAATTGAAATTTATAATTTATCTTTTAATCAAAATAATAAATTGAATTCAAAAGCAAGCATTCCAAATAATATACGAATGAAATCTTGGAATGACGATTTCGTCAATACAATTATACCTTTTGTTGATAGGGAAGACGTTGATGGTTGGTATTAAGCTCTACGTTGTTTATGATTTATACGTTTTTCTTCAATTTTAAATATTTGCATTTTACTCTTAATGAATCTTTTTTTTTCACAATTTTAATCTTGTAATTACAAAATTAATAAGATACATAAATATATTAATATATTTCGAGGTTTAGCTACTTGAACAAAGAACAAAAAGATTAAGAAAAATAATATTGATCAATCAAACGATTAATCAATCTTAATTTGAGAATAGATTTTTCTAACAAAAAACAAATTACTTATGAATCCAACAGAACCACAAACTAAGAAAACTAAAAGTGAAATCACAGATGAGTAACCAACATATAAAACTAAGGAGGTTAAACCACCTAATTTTTCACCACCAGTTAAGAATAAGGAATGTAAGAATACATATAATGCACAACCACCACCGATAAAAACTGATTTCCATTGCCATTTATAGTTCTCTGAACATAAGGTATAATAAATCATTAAAATAGAAATTAATGCAGTTGTTAAGATCATCAAGATGAAACAGAAGAATAAGAATCCAAACATATAAAAGATTCTATTAAACCATAATGATGAGTAGATAAAGTACATTTCAACTGCAATTGATCCAAATGGGAAAATACCAGCAATAACCATAACTGGGATTGATTTTAAGTACCATGGTTGTTGGGGAATTTGTCTTGGAATTTGATTGGTTCTAACTGGGATTGATAAAAGAGGTCTTTTAGAAGCTAAAATTGAACCAACTACCGATAATGGAATTGAAATAGCAAACCAAATAACTATAATTGCAACCATAGTACCAACTGGAATAGCACCCGATGATTGAACATAAATCAAAAAGAAATTTAAGAAAACAAAAACGGAGAATAAAGTACCTGGAACCACGATTGGTGATAAGATTAAATTCAATTTCCAATCTTCACCTCCAAAGAACCTATAGATATATTGACTAACAAATGATCCAACAATACTAAAGAAGATGAAAAGAACAAAAATAAAAGTTGATAAAGCACCTCTATTAGATGGGGATAATAAACCAAATAATGCGAATGCTATAGTAACAAAAACCATTAAAAAGATTTGAACACCACTACCAACCAAAATTGATAATAACATTTTACGTTGAGGTGGTCTAAAAACATCACCATGAACTAATTTCCAACCACTTTCATCAGAAATATCATCATCTAAGTTAACTTCATTATATTTAATAATATCGTTCTTCAAAGTTCTCATTAAAATGTGAGTGATAATGATACCTAAGATTAAAACAATCAATGAAAAGTTAATTAAAGAAAACCATTGAATTTTTGGATCATAAACATGTAAATATTTATCCCATCTAGTAGCCCAAGCAGTTTTAGAAGCAACGAATTTAACACTATAAGTATAAAGAACTTCAGTTTCACCATCTTTTTTCAAATGAACTTTGGTCAAATCTGGATTACATAATTCTTCCTTCTTAGCATCGGCAGGTAATTTACTTCTGTCTAAAGATTTAGGATGAACAATGACACCAACAACTCTGTAATCACCCTTCTTTCTTTCGTGATATTCAACTGAGATATCAAAATGATTAAATAAATGAGGGGTGTTATCTTCAACATCACCAATATTAAACCCAGCGCCGTAAAAAAGATCTTTAGTTCTTAAATCACCAACTTGTCTTGCAGCTGGTAAACCATCAATAATCCAATTATGATTATAATTAGCTCTGATATTTCTATTCACAAAAACTGCATCAGTTTTACTATACTTTGACTTACATAAACTTTCACAAGTTTTATCTTCTAACATATTAATTTGGAATGGAGAATTAAAAATTCTGTCACCGAAAATAATTGACCCTAATGATTCCAGCTGTTTCTTTGGGCCTCCATCTGGAGTACAAAAACGGAATTTTGGATAGTAGTAGTCATAAGAGTAAACGTATGTTTTCGATGGTTCAACCTTAGCTTGATTGGATGATAAATGATGCAATGATGGTGTTAAATGATTAACTAATAAAGGTATGGTATCACCTTTTTTATAATCAGTTGGTGCTACCCCTGGTAAATAAAACGCATTTGCCAAACTGATAAAACAGACAAGAGCTGTAAACCAATTATATAGCAAGCTCATCTTCCCTTACTACTAATCAAAGCACGAAATATAGTATAATTGGTCCGTGATTTGTCAATGGAATTAATCAAAACAAGAGTAGTTGATATTTTTTTTTGACAAGTGTAGAGGTTCAGAAGTTCGCTCTCATGAAATTTTTCTACTCTTTTTTTTTTTTTTTGTGTGGTGAACGTTTTATTTCATAGCATCTTTCCTGTCCATGTTCCTGAGTCGTTCAGTTTCTCACTGGGTTTTGTATTGAAAATTTATTCATCATGCATTTTGTTATAGTGAAACATGTAAAATCGAAAGTCTATTCGGTAGGAGTTGCTGGATTAGTTTCGATCTTGTAGATAATGAAAATCAGCCTGAGCCCATCAAATTACTAGACTCATTTCATATTTTGATTATTATGTTAATCTGCGTGTACTAGAAATAGGTCATTTGAATTATTCCGGTATTGGTTTATCGATATTTTTCAGTTTCATTTTGGGATGATTCGAGTAGAAGATTACAACTTTTGTTGTAGAGCGAACTAACGTTAGACTTCGGAGGCGTTGCTAGAATCTTTCTTTGTTTGGTTCCTGGTTTCTAACACCTCTTTTAATCTTACTGGTTATGGCCCTTATTTCTTTCAATTTCTCATTTAGCAAGCGTCCATCAGTCATATAAGCGGGTCTAAGATCCGAATAATCACAATGCAAGCTGAGTCTTGCACAAGTCTGGCAAACGGGTCTCTGTTCTGGACATGCTTTATGGCGAACTCTACATGTCCAACAACCATTTCTTGACCGTGGACATTGCTTTTTCTTCGTAGGATTTTGCAAGGACACATTGGAAGGTATAGTTTGAGTTCGCTTAACCCGTTTTGGCGGTGGTTCGGGTGCGTCATCTTCTAGATCTTTGGTTGAGATCCGCTTTCTTAATTTTCTCCTGATTGTGTTGTTCTTTTGCAGCTTTGCGATTGGGATAGTTTTAGTTTTATTGGTTGAAGTAGCTTCTTTTGACCCTTGGCTCCTCTCGCTCTGCTTATGCGTTAATCCGTGGTAATCTTCTTTCTTTGGCTGACTACTCGAATTCGCTGGGCTATATTGAAGTTCCTCCAAGCTATATTGGGTATTGTGACTGGCCATCAAAGAATGTCTTGTAGATGATGATGGTACGTAGTTTTGTTCGAGCTGATCAGGATCAAGAACCAAAGGGTACTTATGCTGATTATGTTGGAAATCGGCTTCGGAAGTCAAGAATGCATCATCGATGTGAAGATAATTATCATTGATTTTAGCTTCTTTTGTCGGTGAGCTTGATGAAATATATCGGCTGTGTAAGTGATTGGAATCTTTCAAATCCATCATCCCTAAGTTTGCATCATTTATCCTAGAGAAGATGCTGGGGCTGTTGTCTAATAAAGAGTAGTTATTTTTGAACAGACCTGATCTTCCCGGGCTCGTCTCGTTACTTGATGCATGTTGGTAAGCCATTGGCTTCATTGACTCAAGCTTCAAGGACAATGCTCCTTTCTCTCCAAACGTCTCGTTACTGAATACTATTGGCGATAATAGAACCCCTTTTGAAGGTGATGGATTATTCATTTGATTCACGTACTTTTGATGATAATGAGCTAACATATGAGCATTTGGACTCTCAGTCACTACCCTATGTCTTCCATCTTGATCTGGATTGAAATGAAAAGAGCTGGAAGAGATTGGGCTGGAAGGAAAATCTCTTGATCTAGCTTCTCGTGTGTTACTTTCTACTGGCTGAAACGTTAATTTGTTATTTGAACCCTGAAGAGTTTCTTTAGGTGACCCTTGGGAGCTTATCCGGCGAATCATCACTGAATATAAAGTGCTTTCAATGGTTATACCGACCTTATCGTAGTATTTGCAAGCAAGCTGTTTCTGACAAGTGATAGATCATTTTTAGCAGTCTTTTTCAAACCTTTACAAAATTTCGCGCCCAAAGCGGCCATACAAGCTTAATAAACCATGGTATATATGGGTTTAATGACTATGTAGAAGATTGTGATGGATGAGCACTTGCGTAGGCAAGGATCCAATTCAAGTTGGTAAGAAGGAATTTACAGCTATGGGTCCACTCACCATTAGAGGTTACTCTAATGCTTTTACCACCAATGGAATCTCTTCTTTTCGAGATGCCGTAAGGAAGTTCTATTTCCTGGTTAATTGTAGAGAGTTTCTTTCCAATTTGGTACAAAATATCAAGGAGAGCTATCATTGATACATCAAGCTTATTGAAATTGAATAGTTTGCCTAGCGAGAATTCATTAGAAGAGTAGAGATTTAGGATAGTTTTCGATTTGAGCAGTTTCTGTTGCTGAGTCTGGTTAGAAAGAGTTCCTGCCTCGTTCAAAGCGTCAGCATCAGAAGGGATGGGATCCGTGTTATCTCCTTGGTTGTATGAATATGTCACTTTAACGATTTGTGATTTGGAACCCATAGGTATGAGTTTGTAATTGATTAGTTCAACGTCCAATCTTTTGATAATAAATACCAATAATAAAACTATTTGACCCAATGCTGAGTTTATTTCGGACCAGGGTATTTTATAACCTATTCTAAAGCCGTTGATGGTACCGTATTCATTTACAAATGAGATATTGAAAAATTTGTTATAGATGTTTAGTGTCCTCAAATTATCAAGATTATTTAAATGGGCTTGATATAATGCTTTGGACTGCTCTAGTTTATCGACCTTGCGTTTTAATTCGAGGTTTAATGAGTTTTTCAACTGGAGAATACCATTCAACTCATTTTGATTCAAGTTTTTCAACTCATTATTCAAATTGTTCAAATGCTGTCCTAAATCATTTTTTGCTTCCACCAATTCCTTTAATTCGCTAATCTTACTTGATTCCTCTTGTTGTAAATTTTTGTATTCAGCTATTGAATTCAGTAACTTAGAATCTAATTCTTCGTTTTCAATACTCTTCAACAGGTTGTTTTCCCGATCCTTCAATTTCCTTAAAAAAGTTAAGTAATAATCTTTTTCTCTTTGACTTTGATCAAATTTGAGTTTGAAGCTTTCAACTACCAAGTTAGAACAGTCGGCACAAAGAGGATGGTCAATGTCCTGATTGTTAGATAGTATGGAAAACACATTATTCAATGTATTTATTCTTCCAGAAATGGTATTTAACAGGTCATTCAGTAAACCTTTCGTGTTATCTTCTTGATTATTTTTATTAGGCGAATCCTCGGATACCATTACATACGATAAGGTTGAGTTCACTGATGATTGATTTTGACCTCCTTCCTTCTCTGAATCTCTCTTCGATATTATCGGCTGGGGATTTGATTTTTGAATCTCATTATAAAGATCTAATCTATCCCTAGGAATAAAATCCATCGGGTCCACAATTGATTCATTCACGGATGTTCTACCATCCTCAGCATACTTATTTGTTAAAAGGTTTAACTGTCCCGAACTGAGCCTTTCAAGCGAGTCATGGATTGATAGCTCTGCATTGCACTTTTGACAATTAAATACTTCATCCACCATAGCTAGTTTGATGAGTAGACGTCAGATGTCATTTACTATCAAAAAATTAACGTGATAAGCAAATGATTAATTCTCAAAAAAAAAAAAAATCCTAGCAAAATTGACTGTTAACAAAACAAACTACTAACAATTACTAGTCGTACTAGTCTACAATTACAAAGCAAGTTTTAAAACACTCTTTTATTGAATGTATGACCGAAAATCAGAAATGACTAAACTAAACTTGTAAGAATAAATGTAAATGAAAAGTCCGATACAATAATACGTTTATAGAAACAGAATATTGTTCCATCGAAAACTGCAAAAAAAAAAAGTACGAAATAGAAGAAATTATACCAATAGAAAACATCATTAGATAATAAAGGCAGCAAGGGCGAAAAGACCGGCAGCAGCACCAACAGCCTTGTTTGCAGCAGCATTTTCTTCAGCAGTAGAAACTTCTGGAACAGCAGTTGGACTGGTTGATTCAGCAGCAACGGTGGTTGGTTGAGAAGTAGCTTCAGTGGTTGGGGTGGTTGGGGTGGCACCAGTAGCTTCACTAGGAGTCTTGGTTTCCGCTTCGACTGAAGTTGGTTGAGTGGTACCTTCTGCTGGAGGAACCACAGCTGGGGTGGTTCCTTCAGCTGGAGTAGTGGCTTCAGTAGTTGGAGCTTCAGTAGTTGGAGCTTCAGTAGTTGGAGCTTCAGTAGTTGGAGCTTCAGTAGTTGGAGCTTTAGTAGTTGGAGCTTCAGTTGGAGTAGTGGATTCAACTGGTTTAGAAGACTCAACTGGTGTAGTAGTTTCAGAAGGTAACGGACAATAGGTGGTATAGGTAGTGTGTTCTTCGGTAACAGTAGTCACACCAGTAGTAATTGGAGTACAATGTTCACTTTCACAACTGGTAACAGTAATAACAGTAGTTGAAATTTCAGTTTCAGTTGCAGAAGAACTAGGAGGATGAATCCAAGAACTACTACTTTCCGGAGGATGAATCCAAGAACTACTACTTTCTGCAGTACTACTTGGGATATAAGTAGAAGGTAATGGACAATAAGTAGTATAAGTAGTGTATTCTTCAGTAACAGTAACAACCCCAGTAGTAATTGGAGTACAGTGTTCACTTCCACAACTAGTGATAGTGATAACGGTAGTACCAATTTCAGTAGTGGTAGAAGGAGGAGCAGAAGAAATTAAACTATAATTTGCAGAAGCACTTTCATCTCTAGGAACAATCTGAGCGATATTACGCTTTTCGATTTCATAATAGCTGTCTTGGACAGCTTGAGCAGAGCCCAACAAAGTTAAAGATCCAATAGCGAAGGTAGAAAGTTTCATTTCAAGCGAAGGACAATTTATGAATGATAAACTTTAAAATAAATTTTCAAATTACGGACAATTAGGTCCAATTATATAGTATTTTTTTTTTCTAATTTTGTTTAACGGAAGTTAAGGCTTATTGGGTTCGGGGTAAGCCAACATCATACGTTTCAGGAAAGGGTTTCACCTAAAAGTAGCGAACCCTTCAGAAAAGGTTATATTATCAAAACACAATTCCAAAACAAATGACCGGGGAGATTGGTTATAATTAGAATAACAAAAATATATTTAGAAGGTTGTAGCATAATTTGAAGGTTGCAATATGGTTGTAATATGATTTTTAGCTTTTATTGGTGTGTAATTGGCTCTAAAAGAGTTGGGTGCAAACTATCCGAATAAGATTTTTTTCTTTTTTTCTTTTTTGAAAGGGTTATAATGCAATCAAGCTTAAACTTCTTTTGTTTACCAATTATACAAATTATCTACATGATGGGGCATTATTTTGCAGCCTTGCCAAAATTAAATCATCAAAATTGATCAATATAACTACTCATGACTCATGTAGTGAAAGTGCTTAGGTGGAAAGCATACAAAGATAAGGTTATAATATGAGGAACCTGAAATCCCGAATCACACAATGTGAATCAAAGACTAATTCTTGCTAATGCTAGTTTAACAAAAATGATTTCATCTGCTTGAAAAAGGGGTTAAAACATTAATTAATTGTGTGGAGAAGGTACACTAGCACTTTCTTTTGTTGATTCCTACGCAACCTCAAGCGAGTTGATGCAAGTTGCAGCCTAAATCATCCACCCATCAAAACATTGCTCATGGTTTCACAACTAAAGCTAGCAGCACTATTGATCCAAGATTGCCTATTGTTTATTGATTACTCCGTAGTTGTCGTAGATTTGAATCTGTGTCTATTGCTGTATCTGATTCTATGAAAAATTGATTAGCTGACTGAAAAGCTTACTTAGTTAAAAGGAGTGCGCAGCCGTCCCCTGATTGCTATAGGGGGGGATATTTACCTTAATTACCGGTTCGTAATAATTTCACTCTGATTAGAAGACAATAAAATTATTTATAGAAGAGTTTTTGTCAATAGAATTGTCAAGAGACAATTGTCTATTTACTATTATAGTAAATTCTTCTTTTTTTTTTTTGGTCTTTTTGTTTTTTTAAGAACAATTAAAGGACCGTGCTATTTTTAAAACCTCATGGCGTTATGTAAATATTTTGGTCAAGCGAAGAAATTATTAAGCTGGTTTAATGATTGATCTGGTCTTAATTGATATACCTATAGATCTGGATGTCAAGTCTTTAACAAGGTGTGTCTAAAAATAAGGCAACTTATTGAGCAATGAGATTTTGAATAGATGAAATTATTGGAAAGTTTAATTCCGGTATACATTTCTATCTTTTCTTTTTATGTTAAAGCTTGGCCATCTGAATGTGAAAGTAGATTATTCATAAACTCATAATCACCGTAATCATTGCTGATGAAGCAAGGCAAATATTAGAAGGGTATTCGTAAAGGGATACCCATGCATCCGGATTCGGTTGGCGATAAGATTTATGTCATGAGCCACTGAAGAGCTATTTTTTAGTATGGAGTTATGTTCTTGAGCAATTAGCGAAGATAAACTAGGAATAAAGGCTTCTTTTGCGAGCCAGACAAGATAGTTTATGAGCTCTGATTTCTTTATATACTAGTCTTGCTTAATCCAGGTCCTGTAACGATTTCAATATCAAACTTTAAATGAGATTTCATCATAAAATGGGCCTATTTCAATGAGTAAGAAAACTAGATTATGGTTTCTTTACATCTTGCAATCTCAAACTAGGTAATTCCCCCATTTTTTTTTTTCACAGCTTCATTGAACTAACATTGCTTTGAATACAACCAATCAGTATGAAACTTTCACCTTTCTGCCCATCAAACAAATAGATACGGAAAGCTTGTTCTGGATATTGTGGCAGTAGAAAGGGTAGAGTGAGTTTCAGAGGAAAACTTAGTTCATAGACGAATATCGTGAGATACTAACTTTTTCGCAGCCGATCTGCGTAGCGCAGGGGTCTTCCTGATTCCTCGCACATCAAAAGTCCCAAAGTAGGTGGTATCTTGATAGTTGGAGGTAGTTTGGTGTTCAGAGTCGTTGGAGGGAGAAAGCGGCAAAGGTCTGGGATCTGAAGGGTATTTGCAATAGTGTCAGGCACTCTAAATAAACATGGGCTAGTAGCCGTCTGCAAGACGGTCTCGGGGAATCTATAGTGCAGACATTCGGGCTTATATCACAAATGTCTAGAGTGTAATACCAAGGTTGAATATATAAATGTTTTCGGTATTAAAGGTGATTGATAGAAGGTTTTTTTTATTTTTCCAAAACTATTTTCATTCATCACTTGAGCAGAAAGCCAGAGCCGTGAGTTCAGACCTCATCATTGTTCTGATACTTATGGAATTGATGTTTACAGCTGCTCTTTTGCTTTTTAAGAGTATGAAGGGTGTCAAACACTGAAGCACGCCTACATATTTCAAAAGACAGCTGACTTGGAGTTATGGATATCGCATACCTTGGCAGTGAAAGACCTCCATAAGTCTGAAGGTTGTGAAACGGATGCAATGATCATTTTTTCAGTAGATCAATACATAATGGTTTGTACTCACTATGGGAGCTCTAAAAGGCCGAAATCTCCATGGACGATGAGTTTTCTTCCACCTCCATAAATACATGTCTCTGATCTCTGAAGTATATCTTGCGCTTAAGAACATTTCATCAAGATTTAAACCAGAGAATCGTGCAAACCACTCACTTATCACTTACTTATTAACTTGTAGGCTATTGTAATACAATTTGAGAGTTTGGTTCTCCATGAATTATCAGCAGTATTCCCTGGCGTGGACTTTTTATGCTTTGCTAAGAACAGAAAATTATCATTTTGAAGTAAATATTGCAAAAAAAATACTTTTTCAAATAAGCATTTGCAACAAATACCCAAACACGCTATACTGGCTCATAAATAGGTTTGGTGCTGCTGGGATCTGCTATCATACCCCCAGGAGCGGTTTCTCTCTTCGTATTACTTATTTTTTGTACGTTATTCACTGGGATTAAATGAGTAATCTAGCATCACCGCTCTGCAATAGCTGCCGTTCTAGTATAGTGGTTAGTACACTTCGTTGTGGCCGAAGAAACCCAGGTTCGATTCCTGGGAACGGCATTTCCTTTCTTTTTTTGCTTTCTTCGCTGGTACGTACCCTCCTGAAAGCGTGCTGTGTCTATTTGACCATGAGTTGTACTGTCAGGTTGCAAAAATGACTTTTTTCAGGCCCTCAATGGCGACTTCGTCCGTACACCACAGACTAGTTACCCGGAAAAAACGAGAAGAGATTCAAATTGAAAAGAACAAAAAAACATCGTAGTAAAAATTTTCATACTTTTGTTTTCTTTAACTTAATAAAGGAAAGAATAATTGTATGTTCAGAAGAAACTTTCTTCGTTGAAGAAGGCAAAGAAGAATGGATTTTTCTTTGGGAAGATTACTATGATGATAATATGATAAGTTGCTTGAAGATGAAATAATCACTGTGAGCACAATGATTTCTCAAAGACTACAACGGTATCTGAATGTAATTTTCAAACTTAGAAAAGTCAATACTTTTATGCGATGTACTAACTATATAGACTTTTTCCTTACTTGTAAAATTGTAAAGCCGTAATGGGTAAACGAAATAATAAGATACTTAATCAGATATATACTCAACCGTTACCGGTTAAAGTTTATGGAGGGCTACCTACGATTTTTCCTCATAATCCGATTTCCTGGATATATTTTGGATATGTGTATATACGAGTGTTACGGGAAGTAGGGTTGGAACAGACAATAGAAGTTGAAGTAGAAGATAGGGTATTCAAAGTTGACAGAGAAGAATCAATGATGATATTATGGAGACAAGGATTTTTCGGTAAGGGAAATTTATCTAGATCGGAGCCCACTTGGAGAGAACGAATCAAAAGATTAAATGAAGAAGAATTAAGTAATGAAGATATCACCAAGGTTAGAAGAGAAGAAAGGAAAAGATTCAAGAATGAAAGAAGTAAATTACAAGAATTAGAATTAAAACAGCGACAAGATATAATAAACCCACAAGAACAACTTGAAATGAATGCATTACAGAAGAAATTAGAAGAATTCAAAGTTAACTACGATAGTAAGAAAATCAAACCCGATGTCATTATACAAGATGCCAATCTTGAGTATTTACAATTGCAACCCGTGGAAGTAATGTTCTTGAAATATTTATCAGCGATAAAGATTTTCGATAACGGGCTTGAATTAACCAATGAACAACTTTTCCAGAAATGTACTGGTCAGCACCAAGACCAAATAACGAGCTCAAACCAGTTCATCTTGGAATACGTGGTATACCACCACTTCAGATCACTAGGCTGGTGTGTCCGATCAGGAATCAAATTTGGGTGTGATTATTTGCTATACAAGCGAGGTCCACCCTTCAGCCACGCAGAGTACGGGATCTACCTCATGACGGGCGAAAAGAAGTGGACCGACATCCAGGCCCTCACCCGGGTCATTGGAGGGGTTAAAAAATGTTTCGTACTAGTGTATATCGACATTCCCGATTTGCAACAATTCAACCAAGCATTGCAAACGAAAAACTGCTCCGATTTGCTCAAACTATATAAAGTGACTCCAATTCTCTACAAAAGATGGGTCCCCAGCAAGACCAGAGATTAATCCATAGCCAAATTAACGAAAAAGTCAATAATATAATGAATAATCAATCATATGATGAATAATCAATAATATAGCGAGTAAATCAATCTATCAATATCATGCGCTGCACTACCTTTATCATACCCCTGCACACAAGCGGCAACGAGCAGGAGAGCTCCAGCACTCATTGACTCGCAGTTAATTATAAATAAACCAATTATTCCAATTTTTGCCCAGCAGCTTTTTTTCCATCCGTTGTCTTGCTGCTCACGTGACTGCACCGATTATATAAGCACCATATCCACGGTACAATAGTATACACAAAGTACATACAAACGGCAAAATGTCTAATATTCAGAGTATAATGAATGCAACTGAGGATGAAGAGTACAATGAAACAAGTAATAAGGTTAGTCAAGAAAGCATACTAAATAATTTCGAAAGAATCAAGACTCACTTCCCAGCAGCTAGAATAAAGAAAATTATGCAAAGCGATGAAGATATTGGGAAAGTTGCACAAGCAACTCCCGTGGTTGTGGGTCGAGCATTAGAAATCTTTATGGCTAATTTGGTTGAAGCAAGTATAATTGAAGCCAAAAAAAACGGGGTTAAAAGAATTGGTGCTTCTCACATTAGATCAGCCGTGGAAAATACTGAACAATTTGATTTTCTAGTTGATGTTGTTGAAAAATATCCAGCTTCTAAGTAAACTTACCGATAAACTTTACCATTATACCGAAAAATTTAGCATCTTTGTATAATAATGTAATATAATGTATTTTATCTTTGAGAGTATTACTATGATAATTACCGATTATTATGCCCAAATTTATGGACATTTGCAGGTTGTGCCCGGGGGACACTTGCAGGTTGCACCTGTTTTGCGGGTTTGCTCCATCCCATTTACAGGTTACGCCCCCCTTATATTCCACAAATATATAGAGCAAAGAATAAATCTATCGATGATCAAAATTCAACAATCTAAACTGTCCTTTGTTTGACAAATTGACAAGTTGCAATTATAAATAATTGACAAATTCCAATTGACTTGTAAGATTTACTCTTTCTTTTCCAAATTTCATTAATTTTCGTCAACTTTATAGATCAAAAGGTTTCACTACCCCATACTTTTGATATGCCTCTTCCAAATAAATCTCATACCAGTCTTGCATCCCGCAAATCTTCGTTCTTCAATGCTCATCAATTGGCAAACCCTCCTCAACCCGATGTTTATTATGTTGGGGTTGATGTTGGTACTGGTTCTGCTAGAGCTTGTCTTATTGATACTAATGGGATTATATTAGGATTAAGTGAACGTCCTATTAAAAGACATGAATTAAAACCAAATTTTATCACCCAAAATTCTACCGAAATTTGGAACTCAATTTGTTATTGTGTTAAAAATTGTTTAAGAGATTCGGGTGTTGATCCAAGTGAAGTTTTCGGTATCGGGTTTGATGCTACTTGTTCTTTGGTTGCAATTAATAAAGATAGCGATGAACCTCAAGCCGTTGGTCCCGATTTTTCTGATCATAAAGAAAATATCATTTTATGGATGGATCATCGTGCTCCCGATGAAACTAATGAAATTAATGCCACTGGTGATAAGGCTTTGAAATACGTGGGGGGTCAAATGTCAATTGAAATGGAATTACCCAAAATTAAATGGTTAAAACATAATGCCCCCGGTGGTATTGATTCAATGGTTTTCTTTGATTTACCCGATTTCTTAACTCATCGTGCAACTAAATCAAATGCCAGATCTTATAATTCAACCGTTTGTAAACAAGGTTTTGTTCCATTTGGAGTTGAAGGTTCCACCACTGGTTGGTCAAAAGAATTTTTAGAATCGGTTGATTTGCATGAATTGGTTGCTAATGATTTTGAAAAATTAGGTGGGATCCCCGGTAAAAATGGGGAATTCAAAAGTGCTGGGGAAATTGTTGGTAAATTAAGTGCTCAAGCTGCTGAAGAATTAGGTTTAACCACCGAATGTATTGTTGGTAGTGGGGTTATTGATGCTTATGCTGGTTGGATTGGTACAGTGGCTGGTAAAGTTGATATTCCAAATGCTCCAGAATTTTCTGAAGAATCAAATGGTTCTATTTCAAATTCTTGTGGTCGTTTAGCCGCCGTTGCTGGTACTTCAACTTGTCATATTGCCATGACTAAAGATGCTTGTTTTGTTAAAGGGGTTTGGGGTCCTTATAAAGATGTTATGGCTCCGGGCTATTGGTTAGCTGAAGGTGGTCAATCTTGTACTGGGGCCTTATTGGCCCATGTGTTGGCCATTCATCCTGCTAATAGTGAATTGGCTCATTTGGCTGAAGCTTCTAATTTATCTAAATTTGACTATTTAAATTTAATCTTGGAAACTTTAACTAGTGATAATAAATTAAGAAGTGTTGTTAGTTTGGCTAAACACGTTTTCTTTTATGGTGATTTCCATGGTAATAGATCTCCAATTGCTGATCCAAGAATGAGAGCTTCCATTATTGGTCAATCAATGGATTCTTCAGTTAATGATTTAGCAGTTCAATATTTTGGTGCTTGTGAATTCATTGCTCAACAAACTAGACAAATTGTGGAGGAAATGGAAAAAGGTGGCCATGAAATTGATTGTGTCTATATGAGTGGTGGTCAATGTAGAAATGGGTTATTAATGAGATTATTAGCTGATTGTACTGGTAAACCAATTATTATTCCTCGTTATATCGATGCTGCAGTTGTTTTTGGTTCTGCTTTATTGGGTGCTGTGGCTTCTAAAGATAGTGTTGATGAACATATCAAATTAAGAGGTAGATCCAGAAGATCATCTATTTTAAAGAGTCAAACTTCATTAAACAACTTAACTTCAACCCATAGTCGCCAAACGAGTGATTATGAAGAACCTCATTCCCCTTACACTGCTCCAACTGCTACTACTTCAAGTACTAATATGAGTACCTTGGTTTACGCTAGTGGCCATGCAGGATCCCATCATCAAATGAATACCATGACTCCATTGGGTGAAGAACAAGCTGATTATTTCGGTGGTGAAGGCCAAAAGAATCAAGATAGTGATTCTGATGAAGAAGAACAAACCTTATCCTTTGGTTCCAAACAAAATGTCCAACAAGATGTTCAAAAAGGTATCCATAATAAATTACAAGGATTAAACTTGAAACCATTAACTCCTTCTAAAGCTAAAAAGGCTGAATCCAACCCTGGTGATAAATTATGGAAGATTATGGAAAATATGACCGGTCCAGGTAGAGTCATTTTACCTAGTGACGAACAACATCCAGATCGTAAATTATTGAATGCCAAATATAAAATCTTTTTAGAACAATGTTATAAACAACAAGAATATAGAAATTTGGTTGACCAAGTTGAAGAAGAAAATTTAAAATCTTTGAAGAAACACTAATTTAATCAAATGTTAATAATTTATTAGAGTTAAACGATAAATAACGAAAAGAGAAAAACACGAAAAAAAACATATGCTTGATTTATATAGTTATAAAATAAAAAGTCTCTAAATAAATAGCATCTGTAGCATAAATGGCCAATTTACGATATCCTTATTGTTTCGGAGTTGTTCCCTACTTATTCACCGTATGGAACATACTCTTCCACTGTTGCAAAAATCAATTTAAAGAAAGTTGCATCCTGGCGATGCTGACATAATCCACTTTCTCAATGATCAAATTGCGAAAGTTCACGTGACCACGCCAAAAAGAGAAACCGAAGTCCAGTATTGCTGCAAACATTATCAGATCTGGCAGTAGAAGATTTATCAGGACCACCAATGCCAACGAGATGAGCTGGGGACAGCTGCCCAATCACAAGAGTGGATGAGGTATGTCGACGGTGATGTCACTAGCGACGTAAGGCAACTGAAACCCGAGCAGCAAAGAAAAAAGAGTGAACAAAAAACTTTGTTGCAGTCACGTGAACTGTCCTAACTGTGGTTCCAGAGTGAGTATAGGGAATTTTTCAGTTAGTATAAAATTTTTATAAATTGCAAATGACTTATTAATACTAGTAAATACGCAATTTATAATAGTTAGATCTCGCCACAGCTATATACTATCTTAAAACATCTTTACCGTTTAATTAGAAGACTTATAAGGCGAACAAATTAACTAATTTTGTTAAGTCATCTACAGTTACGGACATTTATTTTATCTTGTTGGAGGTGTTTTCACTTGAAACATTAAAAAATTGTGGTGGATTATTGTATCTCTTTACCTTTTATAATAGAAGAAACAAGGGGAGAGTTTAGCCTTACTATTATCTGCATCTCGAAACCCTAAATTTCAAAAGTTTACGAGAAAAGTTTTTCAACAATTAGTTCAAATTTTGATTTGATTAGTTATTGTGGTTAGAATCTATCTATAGACAGATTTTTTGCATTTCTTATAAATATTTGTATACTTTTCCGGTTCTTCAAAAGTTCTTTTTGTCTTTTTTTTTTTTCAGTTTGAATTATCTACCTAGTCATTAAATTATGTCTCATCAAGACGAATCAGTTGTACCAGAGTTGCAGCTGTATAACTCTAGAGTTGCATCCAGAGTCCAATCTCATGAATTTATCAGAGAACATCATCCATTATACCACTCAGGTAACTTGAATAACATATCAGTTCCAGAATATGATGAACCAGTGGTGACGGTTTTGGATTATGGTAAATCAATTTTTAATAATCCCGTATCTAAAGGACTTCATTATATAAGGAGTCTATTCCCAATTTGTAATTGGATTTTACATTATAATTATAAATGGTTATATGGTGATTTAGTTGCAGGTATTACTGTTGGGGTTGTCTTGGTTCCTCAATCAATGTCTTATGCTCAACTTGCCGGTTTGGAAGCTCAATATGGTTTGTATTCTTCATTTGTCGGGGTTTTCATTTACTCCTTTTTTGCCACTTCAAAAGATGTTTCTATTGGTCCAGTGGCGGTCATGTCTGCTCAAGTTGGTAAAGTTATTGCTAAAGTTCAATCAGAATTTGGTAATGAATTTTCTGCTCCTGAAATTGCAACCTTCCTTTCTTTAATCTGTGGGGGGATCGCTGCTGGTTTAGGTATCTTAAGATTAGGTTTTATTTTGGAATTTATTTCAATTCCTGCCGTTATGGGGTTTATGTCTGGTTCTGCCTTTAATATTATTGTAGGTCAAGTTCCTGCTTTAATGGGTTATAATTCTGCAGTTAATACCAGAGCTGCTTCTTACAAAGTTGTTATTGAAACTTTGAAAAACTTAAAATTAACTAACGTCAATGCTGCTTTTGGTTTAGTTCCTCTTTTCATCTTATACCTTTGGAAATTTTTAGCTGAATTTGCTCAAAAAAGATGGCCCCGTTATAAATTATGGTTTTTCTATTTTCAACAATTGAGAAATGCAATTGTCATCATTGTGGCCACTGCTATTTCTTGGGGTATTGTTCATCCAGAAGTTAAAAGATACCATGGTGATCTTGCCGACTTTAAAAGTACTATTAAAACCATTGGTGAAGTCCCTAGTGGATTAAGACATGTTGGTGTAATGCACATTCCAAATGGTATCATTGATGCTATTGCTAGTGAATTACCCGTTTCTGTCATTATTTTATTATTAGAACATATTGCTATTTCAAAATCTTTTGGTAGAGTTAATGATTATAAAGTTAATCCTGATCAAGAAGTTATTGCTATTGGTGTTAATAACTTAATTGGTACTTTTTTCAATGCTTATCCTGCCACTGGTTCTTTTTCAAGATCAGCTTTAAAAGCTAAGTGTGGTGTAAGAACTCCTTTTGCTGGTATTTTCACTGGTGCCGTTGTATTATTAGCTTTGTATTGCTTAACCCAAACTTTTTTTTATATTCCAAAAGCTACTTTAAGTGCAGTTATTATTCATGCTGTTTCTGATTTAATTGCTAATTATAAAGTTAGTTGGAATTTTTGGAATATTAGTCCTCTTGATTGTGGTATCTTTTTAATTGCTGTTATCATTACTGTTTTTTCTTCAATTGAAAACGGGGTTTATTTTGCAATTTGTGCTTCTGCTGCTGTCTTATTATTCAGAATTGCTAAACCAAAAGGTCATTTCTTAGGTAAAGTCCAAGTTGCAGAAGTTATCAATCCAGTTATCAATTATTCCGATGATTCTTCTTCTAGAGATTCATCAAATAATTCTGATATTGAAATTCATCAAGTTTTAAGTAATGGTAATGATTATCGTTCAACTGATTCAAATAAAATTAAAGTTAAAGATGCTCTTAATAATTTAACACCAACGAAAAATAATTTAACCGAACATAATCCACATATTAGATTCCATACCAGATGGGTTCCTTTGAATCATGACAATATTAATCTGGACTTAAATGTTTTACCACCTCCTCCTGGTGTGATTGTTTTCAAACCAATCGAAACTTTTAGTTATCCAAATTCTTCAAGACAAGTTGAAAAAGTTTCAGATGAAGTTAAACGCTTGACAAGAAGAGGTAAACCATATAATTTCACTGATACCGGGTCAAGACCTTGGAATGATCCGGGTCCTTTGAGATGGGATTGGTTTGGTTTGAAAAAATCTAATAACGAAGTCGTGGAAGAAAAAGATGAAAGACCAATCTTAAGAATTGTTCATTTTGATTTTTCTTCTGTTGCTTCTACTGATGTAACTTCAATTCAAGCCTTGGTTGATTTAAGAAAAGCTCTTAATATCTATGCTGACCGTGAAGTTGAATTCCATTTTAGTGGTATTTTATCTCCATGGATCAGAAGAGCTTTGATTAATGCTGGCTTTGGTGTTTACGCAGAAGATGATTTGGTTAGTGATAAGACTTATGTCAATATCGCTGCTGCTACTGGTGACTTAGAGGCCGGTGATGATCGCTACTTTGCAGCTGTTGGTACTAATACCCCCTTTTTACATTTGGATATCCCGGATTATATTTAAAATAGGTTTTGCTTCTTCAATTTTAGAATTTTACGTTGATCGTTTAACATTTCATTACGTTCTAAATTTTTTTCTTTTTCTTACATTTTTCTTCAATTCATTTCCTAGAGACTTTTGTATTATAGTTAGTATATTTATTCAATATTTCAAGAATCTTGATGTAGAGTTTTTTTGCAACATTATTTGGCCCATAAAACCGGTAAACAGATCGCTCTCTCAATAACCCGTGGCCCTAAAGGTCAAAGCTTTAGACCCTCAGAATACTCTAGCTTATATAACCCATCCTATCTCACTACTAAAGGCATTCCCATATGAGCTTTCTCAGTGTTCCGAGTACTTCACGCGAAAGCTTAAGTCTACTTGACAAAAAAAAAAACTGAAAACGCGTCTGGTAAAAACTTTTCCTCGTGAAATCAAATTTGAAGACTTGACAATTAAAAAACAAATAGCTGTACTTTCAAGTAAACGGTCATATACTTTTCCAAGAAAGCCATCACTACTTCCAGCGTATCTAAACCAAAATTCAAGAAGATATATAGATTTCCTATCAAAATGAGTCGAGAGGCAACTTTGACTGAAAAAACAGGTCTTACGTCTCCTACATCAACTCCAATGAAAGAACAAGAGGAGGTAATTGAGGTTGTACTGACCGAGAGCACTCCTGCCAAACGCAAGAGAACTGTTGAGTCTTACAATGAAAATGCTTTAGAAAAAAAGAACCTATCTGAGTCGATCTCTAAGAAATTGAAAGTTGTTTCCTCTGATGTATCTACTGTAACTCCATCTCCAGATCCAAGGAATAATAGTACCGACGGGGCTTCTCTAGAGAAACAGCCAACGCAAAAGCAGCTAGAGAAAAAATTGGAGAAGGAAGAACGTCAAAGACAGAAACAAGAACGTGAAAAGCTAAAAGAAGAAGAACGTCAAAGAAAAGAAGAAGAACGCCAGAGAAAGGAGGAAGAACGTCAAAAGAAATTAGCAGAGAAAGAGGCCGAAAAAGAATTAAAACGTAAAAAGCTTGAAGAAGAGAAATACGAACGTGAATTGAAAAGGGAAGAAGAAAGAAAACGTAAAGAGGAACGTGAAAACCAGAGGTTAGAGAAAAAACGCAAGTTAGATGAAGAAAAACTACGCCGTGAAGAAGAAAGAAAGAAGATCGAGGAAGCCAAAGAGGCGAAAGAACGAAGTCAAAAGAAGATTTCATCTTTTTTCCAAGTTCGAAAACCTTCTTCGCCTCAAACGGACAAGCAAGCTAAAGATATAACCACTTCTAGTAAACTAGATAAAACTGCTTACGAAAAAGTATTCTTACCATTTTTCAAGAAACAAAACGTTGCATTACCTTCGTCACATCAATTCAATCATGAGCAGTTAGATGTATCCAAGAAAGAGATTGATTCTTTAATAGAGTCTATCAAATCAAAATCCGTTTCCAATGATCAGTCTAATCTCAAAGAATTTTTCAGCAATAATACAAAAAGTCCGAATGCTCATGTCAAATCAATCATATCACCAGAAGAAGTTGCTGTATCGTTGAATGATGGTAATATTGACGATTCACAAGTGGAAGAAATGCTTCGAAGTATCTCCACAGTTAAATATATTCAATTTTATGAAAATCAAAAACCTTATATTGGGACCTGGTGTTCCAAGAAACATTCGATCGATTTCCCAACTTTAAATCCTTTTGACACCAGTAAGAGTGGTCTTGATTATGATTATGACTCTGATTTGGATGAAGATGCCGATGGCGAAGGAGAAGACATAGATAGTGCAGATGATGAAGAAGATGAAGAAGATATCACAATGGACGAAGATGGTGAAATGGACGATTTTGTGGAAAGTAATGATATCTCTAAACGCAAAATTATTGGTCCATTAATAGCAATAAGTACCTGGAATGATGGCCACGAAGAGAACAAAAAGCTCTTTGACAATATGAAATACGAACGATTAGACTCCTTAATCCAATTTCCTATCGATCCACTATTCGATTATTGGAAAGAAGAAACTATAACTACACCATCAAATGATCCCAATGAAAATGCATCAACTACCAAAGGAACTACACTGACTCCTAACATCCTCACACCCCAGAAAGCAACAATTCAAGATCCCAAAACTGTATTTGAACTCATTCAATTTATTGAAAAGAATAACGATTTTACCATTGGAACTCTAGTTGAATTAGCTAAAAAAGAGTTTAAGTCATTTACAAAAGCAGTGGTTAAGCATACAATTCAGGATATTGCTACATATAACAAAAAGCTGAGTAATTGGGAAGTGAAAACTGAAGTTAGAAGCCAGTTGGCCAAACAGTTTGCTTAATGTCCATTTCTTTAGTTCTAAATAGATTTTATATTTGAATTTGAATGGGTTACGATGTATTAAAGTTTTATACTGTTTGATTTTGTAGAGATCATTAAGTTTTGAAAGACGCGTAAATCAAAAAAAAAAAAAAAAAATTATAATCCATCTTATCAGTAAAGAATATATCCCACATATGATACTTATATGAGTACCTAGTCATAATGCCAGAAGAGGAAGACGATGAGAATTTGTTTTTCTATAGCACTCAGATGCAAGTACGTCACGAGCAGTTTGAAGAAGCAGAATCACTTCAAACCAAAAAGGCTTCGATGATGAACCGATTACAAAAGTTTCAAAATGGCGACAACAAGGTCAAAAACTCCAATAAAATTAAGCATTCAATTGTGAAAAAAAAAGGGCCTAAAAGAGAAAAGTCTCGGAGAATAGAACTGATTAATGACTTTGTCCGGGCTAATTTAGGCTCAAAAGATTCAATTCAAGATATAAGAGCCAATAAGAAAGATCGAATGAAACAAGCCATGATACTCAGGTATTTCTCAGGTGATAATAAGAAGGTAAGTGATATAATGAAACGCGTGAAGGATGGAGAAGAGGGAAATGACCGCCTGCAAAATAATAAAAATGATAAAGCAAACAAACTCGATTTTGAATATGTGAAGAATCAGTTCACGGAAGAAGAATGGATAGGGGCTCTCAAATGTATAAAGCTCATATTTCCTCATCTATCGAGTAAGATGAAGAAATCGCTAAAGATCATAACCAAAAGCATGAAAAAGTTTGAAGAAATATATGAATCTAATAGTGCATCAACATTACTGCCTTTATGGCTAGAGGCATCAGGATCTCCCGATGATACATTGACTGAAGAAGATTTACGCTGGTTATATGACTTGAATGATGATCAAATGGGCGACGAACACAGCACATTTATAAACCCTTCTGACTCAGAAGATGCCCCACAGTTTGTCACTACATTGTCGCAAGCGATGAAAGCCTCGCAAGAGTCTGTGAAGGATACTCCAATAGATCAGGGATGTGACTCTGAATCAGAAATTGCTGATTCAGAAAGTGATATTGAAATTTTAGAGTATCCTCCAGGTCAATTTTTTCTGACACAACCACACAGTACTCAATTTGCTGAATCCCTAAAGTTCAGCACCCAAGATAAACCAGAGCCCAATGGAAACCACAATGAAATAACTGGGACTCAAGACCAACCTATGGAAGTATCATCTCATGAGAATTCGAAAGAGCATTTTCCCGCGGCATCATCGTATAATGAGCCAGAAACCCGAAATAAAATTCCAGATCAGATCTTATCATCCCCGATTTTGGGAGAAGAAAAGGAAACCCCAACTCCACAGCGGGAACCTGGAGGAAGAGCCAAAGATGTGATCGACCGTCTAATGGAGTCACCCTCTCCGGAGAACGAGACACCTTCAAGTATGATTCACCAATCTATACTGCCGATCAAAAGGCCTTTTAATAAGTTTACGATAAACGAAAATAGTCAGCTAAATGATCTGCCAGTTAAAGCAAACGTTCAAATTCCTCTTTCATCAGAAATAGAATATGAGAGTGGAGATGATGAAGTTTATTCGACTGCTAGATCGCAGATGATTGAAAGCTCAGTTGCAAAAAATTTCCAAAGTTCTCAAATAATTGAAGAAGACGAGATACCTACGAAAGCGGTACAAATGTCCAGCATAATGGATCCCGCAAATAGTTATAAAACATCTAGGGTTGAATTGAGAGGAAACTTTGAATTTCCTGAGGATAACGATGGAATAATTAAGGTCAGAAAAGTTGGCACCAAGGTGATTAATCTAGATTCTGATGAGGAAGTTGGAGATTCAGAGGATGAGCTTTATGATGAAAAGGATATAAGCGTGGTTGAAGTGGTTATGTCGGTAGAGGAGTACCAAAAGGCGATTGCCCCAAGTGAAGAATTAGAAAACGACGCCAATATATCTGTTCTACAAGTACCTTCGAGCCAAGATCAGATTGACACGAAACCAAAAAAACGGAAACAAAGTAAAAAGACAAAGTCTATCTTTGATGAAATGAGTATAGCCAATCTAAGGGAGCTAATGCGCCCATGGAACGTGAAATCTTGTAACAGTCGAGGGAAAATAAGCAAGTTTCTAGAAGACGGACTCAAGATGGCTTCACTAGGATTAAGTGAAGAAGAGTCAGCTAGATTGGAATCACTACTAACAAAAATGATAAGCCCACCTTCCTTTAAACAAGCTGTTTTCGATAAACTTTCATCAATTACGAGAAGTAACTTTTTCTGGCTCGGTAAAATCATCACTTTTGAACCAATTCTGATTGACAGTCTTTACAAATGGTTAGAAACAGAAGTTTTCCACTTTGCTTTCGAAAGAAGCATTCTTGAAGAGTACTGTAACGAAATGGCCATACCATGCACCAATGCAGCCAACCAATAGTATTGCAACCAACCATGGATAATTTATGATTTACGGATTTACGAAGCTATTTTATATAATGTATATTAGTATCTATATTACTATTATTTACAAAACGTTAGATATATTTCTTATGATCGGCATCAATCGTGTCAGTTAAAAGTCGATCGTTCAAGTATGTAACCACTTTGATGGCTATCCCTCCACTCGCAATCAATGAGCCAATTCCAAAAACCAAGTTATTAACCAAACTGCCAAATCTGTTATCGAAAATCACCCCAATGGCCCATAAGGCCTGATATCCCCATAAGAGTAAAAACAAAAGCGATAATGCTGTTACAGACGCAGCCTTAATTGCCCTGTCTTTGGTATTTTCATCCTCTCTCTTTCGTGGTAATGGTTTCTTGAGTGGTGCCATGATGTGATTATCTATTAGACCCTAGCCTTATTCTAATCTGGACCCTTTCAGTGATAAATTGATGTAGTTCAAAAGCTGTCTTTAATCCGTCTTTTTTTCTCTCTTCTTAAAATCGCAAATTCCTGCATTCAGCAACAGTCCGACCACCGGTTTTTGATCTTTTTGATTTTTTTTTTTTTTTAAATGTTTTTTTGACCTTATGACTTTTTGGCTTTTATTCAAGATTATCAAGTTTCTTTTCTACCATATCGGCTACCTTAGCTCAGGTGAAAACAGCAAGTCTTGACATCCAAGCTATCAACCACAATGGACTCGCTTTACAAAGAGAATTCTGCTTTGGTGGTTGAACCGGCTTACTACTCAGGAGGAATCCCGGTATTCACCCCCACCATGAAGCAATTTGAAGACTTCTACCAGTTTAACAAGGCAATAAACAAGTATGGCATGCAATCGGGCATTGTCAAGATTGTCCCCCCTAAAGAATGGACCGACGGTCTTGCAGACAACTATACCGAAGAAAACTTACTGTCGGTCAAGGTGAAAAACCCAATCATCCAGCATATGAATTGCTCAGGACCAGGGGTTTATTCACAACAGAACGTCGAACGGGCCAGGTCGTATAGTATATTCCAATGGAAAGAATTATCCGAAAAACCAAATCATCAACCTCCTGCTCCAAAGGGTAAAGTCAGGGGTTCAGTTGCATCCAAGGCTGCTACAAAAGGTGCGGCTAAGAAAGACAATCAAATTTTGGTTGAGGCTAATGAAGATATCGTTGCAAAGGACCAATCAGTGAAGGACGGGTCGAGTGAGTCTAGTGAGGTGCAAGACAGAAGTAGAAGTAATTGGAATATTGACTCGATGGAGTTTGACCAGGAAAGATGTGAACAATTGGAAAGAATCTACTGGAAATCCTTAACGTACGCTGAACCAATGTATGGAGCTGATGTTATGGGATCGTTGTTTTCTGATGATACCAAGAGTTGGAATGTTGCCCATCTTCCAAACATCCTTGATCTCATGGATGTGAGATTGCCAGGGGTGAATGATGCATACCTTTACGCTGGACTTTGGAAAGCGACATTTTCATGGCATCTAGAGGATCAGGATCTTTATTCCATTAATTACATCCATTTTGGGGCACCCAAGCAGTGGTACTCGATCCCCCAAGAAGAATCAGGAAAGTTTTTCGATGTCATGAAGGACACCTTCTATGACGAATATAAGTCATGTCCGGAATTTTTAAGACATAAAACGTTTTTGGTTTCTCCCCAATTTTTGGAAAAACATGGGGTACAGTGTAATAAAATCGTTCATAATGAAGGTGAATTCATCATTACCTATCCATATGGATATCATGCTGGGTTTAATTATGGTTATAACTTAGCGGAGTCGGTTAATTTTGCTCTTGATGATTGGTTCCCCTTTGGTGAAAAAACCTCGAAATGTGAATGCATTAGCGATTCTGTTGGAATCAATGTTAAACAATTGTTCTGCAGCTACAAAGGTATTCCGTACGTTTACGACCCAACTCCAGGCTTGACTAGTGATTTGGGCGAAGAGACAGAAGATGAAGAAATCATGCCAATAGAAAAGAAACCAGTCACCACTCGTAAGAAGTCGCCCACTGCTCATAGAAGACAACCTGTGAAAAGAAAGATAAAAGCAAAATCTGAACCAACAACAAAAAAGGCTAAGAAACCTATTAGCAAAGCTGATAACACACCCAAGATCATCTCAAATAATGAATGCTATCTATGTCCAAATAATTTGCCTGAAGCCTTGAAAAAATCACCGATCTTTCAACTTTTAAACTGCGATTTGATAAATGAAACTAAACACAAAAATTACCAAGTTCATAGATTGTGTGCTACTGCCTTTCAACAGTTTATACATATAGATACTTTGAGAGGTTTTGTGTCTGGAATTGAGAATATTTCCAAATCTCACACTAGCTGGAATTGTAATTTATGTGATTCAAATGGTACCACTCTGAAAAGACCTGCCAAATCGCCCCAAGTACCCGGAATTTGTTTTCAATGTGATTATCCAAAATGCGGACGTACATATCATACTACGTGTGCTTTAGGAGCCGGTGTTTTATTCAATAATGATTTCGAGAAAGGCAAACCAGCTGGTTTTTGCAAGTATCATAGGAACAAGATCTCTAAGTTGAATAGTGGCCTTGATGAGAATATTGGAAAACTTTGCGACATTCCAACAAACTCCTTGGTCCAGTTCACCTTTGGGAAACCACAACACGTCGGTGCTATCCAGGGAAAAGACATTCATTGTGGGTTGGTGATTTCAAACAATGTAGATGAAAACACCTTGGATATTTTAATTTATCCTGATCTAAACGACCGATTAGAAGTTCAATACAAAGATTTGATTCTTGGCTCGAACACACAACCGGATAACTATCACTTATTCAACATCATGGGAAATCTAAGCACTTCAACAAAGAGACATTCTGATACTAGTATTGATTATCTGGCTGAAAATTTCCCCGAAACTCGGAAAGAAAGCATTATATGCGAGGTACCTCCACCTTCATTCGTACCGTCAAATGTAAATTATACGCCATCAAACTCAAACCAACAATATAATCTTCCTGATCAAAATAGAAAGAATAATGACACTTTAATGAATGATGACCCCCCCATGGAAACTAACAAATACTTAACCGTTGATTATTCATAGTTATGCTTCCTTTTGTATATTAAAATCAAATAACTTATGTATCTTTTATTCGCTAGCTAATGTATTATATAATGAAAAAATTGATATTTGCAACTATTTTTCTCTCTTGTGAAGTAATAAAAGTGTGCGAGTAAAAAATCGATTGAAAAAGTTCCATTCCAAAAACTCATCGCCAGACATTGATATCAAAGCATTACCAACGTCCAGAATATAAACCACTCAAGTTAATGAGATTATATGATTACAGTAAGCATTACACTACAATAGTGATTAAAGGTTTGATATAAGCACGAAAATGTCAGACGCCCTGTCGCGTCGAACAAGAGCAAATCAAAGACTTCAAAGACAACAATTGAAATCATTGAAAGCATCACGGCCAGACAAACCTAGTGAAGAATTGGCAAATAAAGAAAATACGTGTGATAACTTAAAACTGAAAAACACATTTTCAAGCGAAGAAAGTGAAGAAAGTATCAGTGAGTATGAGGAAACATCGGAAGACTTTATTCAACCATTGAAAAAGAAACCCAAGAAGTTAGGACTAGAAGAAGGAAATGATTTCCCAAGACCATTAGAAAATAGACAAGGAAGTAACAGTCCTATCAAGTCATTTTTGATGAAAAGTCAAAGAAGTAACTCAGCTACTAATCTCGAAGATATGAATACAAATGAACAATGGTGTGACAAGTATTCACCACTGACGTCACAAGAGTTATGCTTACATCCACGGAAATTGAAAGATGTGAAAAAACTACTTAGTGATGTTATCAATAGAGAAAATAAACAGTGTCGACTCATTGCACTTACAGGACCATCGGGCTCAAGCAAGTCAACAACGGTTAAAGTTCTAGCGAATGAACTAATTAAAGAAAAACAAATAGATTCAGATATAAAATTCAACAGTTTCATCAATGAATCTGAAAACAACGATGAAAAATGGATTGAATATTTAGATACCATAATAAGCACGATCCCGCAGCCACAGCAATTTTCTGAATTCTTACAAAGTTGTAAATACCGGATTGGATCGAGCTTGTCAGTGATTATCATTGAAGAACTACCGAATGTTTTTCATACGGAAACGTTGAAAAACTTTCGTCAGGCATTGAGCGAATGGGTTTACACTAGTGAAGAAGTCGAATTGCCGCCATTAGTTTTATGTTTAACTGAAGTTGAATTGGACGATACTAGAAGAGATTATTTTAATATCGAGAACAATTTGTCGTTGGATACTTTATTGGGAAGAGAATTTTTAAATAGTGGGAAAAATTCAGGAAAAATTGAAGTTATTAAATTCAATCCTATTGCAAAAACTTATGCTAAGAAGGTTATGGGTAGTATAATTAAGCAAGAGCAACAAAGTTTGAATAAGTTGAACAAGAAACAAATTGATGAATTTTCAAATAAAATAATTGAGACTGGAGATATAAGATCAATTATATCAAATTTACAAATGTGGAGTAAATTACAATCTATTAATAAAGCGCCTAATTTAATGGATGATATGTTTTTAAGAGAGAATCAAATCACTTTATTTCATGCCATTGGTAAAATCATATTTTCAAGTTCCAAATATCAGAACTTACAGAATGAAGAATTAAGTGATTATTATTCAATTGAATCAGTAATAAAGAATTATAGTAATAATGAATTGCTAACGTTATCAATTTTAGAGAATTATCAAATATATAATGATCTGAATTATGATATTAAAATAGCAAGCGATATTGTTGAGAATTTAAGTTTGAATGATATAATGAATAATCTTGACGAAGGTAAAGAGATTGGAATGAGAGGAACAAGAAGTAATTTGAGAAAAGTTGGGGATACAAAGCATAAGACCCCGATGATTAAGTTCCCCCGGCAATTCAAGATGATGAAGGAGTTTAATCGAACTAAGAATGAAATCAGGAATTATCAAAGGTGGTGTAATGAGTTAAGAGAGAATTTCCAAACGTTGAATTTGGTTGACGGATACTATGTACCCGAGATCTTCAATTCGTTTAAATATAAGTATAAGTATGGTCGATCAAAGTATGATTATAATAGATTAGGAGGTAAATTTCGAAAGATATTTGCCCAAGATACTATACCAATCGAAGAAAATGAAGAAGAAATTGGCACAGAACTTGATCAATTCCAAGAAGATATCCAGAAACGAAAGATGATGAATGAAAATACCAAAGAGGAAGAAGTATTGAGTGAAGAAATCGAGGATAGCGAAGATGACGAATTTAATGATTCACTTGACGGGAGACAATTTGATAATTTAATAAGCCAAACCCAGAATAAAGCAAATAATGAAGAAGAGAGTGATTTTGAAATTCTGGATGATCCAGAATTGGATTTACTACTTTCCCAAAGAAATAAAAAGTAATTTACATTAATCTATATTGAAAAGAACTACTTAGGCGGTATTTTTAATGGCGTTATCGAAAAATTCAGTATCTTCTTCAATAGACTCTTTAATAATATCTAAACCTCCTTGAAATTCACCATTTATATATAATTGAGGGAAAGTAGGCCAATCACTAAAATTTTTCAAACCTTGTCTAACCGAGTCATCTTTCAAGATATCGAAAAACCCAAATCTTACTTGGTGTTCTCTTAATATAGCAACCAATTGACGGGAAAATCCACATTGAGGAGAAGAAGGAGAGCCTTTCATGAATAACATTACTGGTGCAGCACTGGTTAATTTTTTCAATCTTTCTTCAAGAGCTTCTGGAGATTCTTCAGAAGATGCTGCTGGAGGTATGCTAGTGGAGGTGGAGGTGCTACTGCTGGCAGCAGTGGTGGTGGCATCGGTATTACCACTTGTGGAAGAAGGTTTATCGGAAAATTGATTCAAAGCAGCTATGAACTCTTTTGGATCAGCACCAGATAATTCTTTTAATATGGTTGAGTTACGAATCAAAATAAAATAAGGAACGGCACTGACTTCAAACAATTCACTGATTTCTGATAAATCATCGGCATTGATTGATAAGAATAAAGTTGTTGGATTGGCTTGGGCCAAAGTTTTGAAAATTGAGTTCATGGTTTGACAAGGACCAGCCCATGGTGTATGGAAGTACAATGCAATTAGTTTGGCCGGATCCTTACTAGTCAATTCCGTGAACTGTGCTTCTGATTCTATCTCTGTAACTGACATTATTGCTGGATTACAAGTAGAAGATCTACTAGATACTTTGTCATCACAAAAAAAAGGAAGAGGATTGGAAAATTAATTTTGGGAATATCGCGTCACGTGACAAGTGCGACTACTCACGTGATCGCCACCCTTACTTTCTTTGCTGCAGCTTTGCTTTCCACCCGTACATCCCCTACCCCCCCAACTTCTCACCATTATTGTTAATTACGTCAGATGTATCGGCAATTTCGTAGATCAATAACTAGATTGTTTAGATATATTGTATAGCACCATAGGACCAGCCCATTACATAATCACAAACCCCCTTGCTTCTGCCTACTAGTTCGTATTCTCTGAATGACGCTGAGAATGACAGCAATATTTAGACCAAATGAAACTCCGAACCCGAGAGATTAAATTCGGAACTCGCTCCGGCACGGGGGGTCACTCCGCCGGCCCCCTGTTACCTCAACTCCTACTCTTACCTGGCGTGCCATACTCCCAGTAAACCTCTGGCTCCATTAGCAGTCACCCTCGAGCTGCCCCGCATTTGCAACCAGCAAAATCCAAACAAACCTTTCTCGAGCAGCTTTGCAGGTTGGCCCGCCAGGCATATTGTTCTTTTTTGCAAGTTAGCCCCCGTGTGCAGTACCCCCACCCCCAGATTTTCTCTTAATTTTTTTTTTTTTTTTTTTTTTTTTTTTTTTTTTTTTTGTTTTTGGCGGTTTGTCTGTTCTTTTTTTTTTTGGTTTATACTCCGAAAACTCCCATTCTTTTTTGAACAAAAAAATTGTTGGATTTTTTAATTCCTATTGATCAGATACTTCTTCTTCTGCTATTTGTACTGTTATTGGTGCTGACTACTACTGTTTTCCCTGCTTGTACTGATACTGGTGCCGCTAATTTGTTACTGCTCATATTTTTGTTGCCGCTCTATTTTGTTACCGCTCTATTTTGTTACCGCCAGTGTTAACCGCCGTCTCAAAATTTTGCTAATATTATATTTCAAAGTTACAGGTCATATTAATTGAAATATTACAGGTCATTGTGACAGGTCACATTCTGCTGAAAGTTACAGGTCACATTCTACTGAAAGTTACAGGTCACATTCAACTAAAAGTTACAGGTCACATTGATAGCTTAGGTTTGTGCTTTCTAATTACTCGCTCCGTTCAAAGTGCGTCGTACCCCAGATTACAAAAAATTTTTTTTTTCTGTTGTGTTTNTTTTTTTTCCGCTTTCTAACTAACTCGACAAAGAAAGGAAGAGAAAATTTTTTTGCTAAATGATTTCCCAACTTAATTTCAGACAACTTGATAGTACCATGGATTACAATACCTCGTCGACGTCGAATGAGTTCATCAACACTCTACAAATGAGTCCTCCCGATGACATTGCTCAGCGGAAACCTTCGATTAAAAAATCCAAACCAAACTCCCCCAAATCCAATTCCAGCACCCCAGCATCAAATAAAAAGCTGAAAAACGTTCCGGTGGAATTCACTTCTTTTGGAACCACTCCTTCAGGTAAACCCAGGTTGTTTGTTTGTCAGGTTTGTACTAGAGCTTTTGCTAGACTAGAACATTTAAGAAGACATGAAAGATCTCATACCAAAGAAAAGCCATTTAGTTGCGGAGTCTGTCAACGTAAGTTTTCAAGAAGAGATTTATTACTAAGACATGCTCAAAAATTACACGCTGGTTGCACGGATGCTATAACAAGATTGAGAAGAAAATCAATTAAAAGATCAAATTCAACTACTTCAAACAATTCCGCTAATGATCAAGAATCGTCTTCAAACTCAACTCCTCCTCCTGCCCCCACTTCTATCCCATCTAATGATCCTGTTGAATTCAATCTTAATCTTTTCAATCCTTCGTCAACTCTTCCCAACACTAATTCCAAAATAAATAAATTACCTCGTCGAAATTCTTCAAAAGATTCAAATACTCCTTCTTCAGCTACTTCGACTCCTGCTCCTGGCCCTGGTTCAAATTTACATCGTCAAGTTTTCGATCGTAAACGATCTAATAGAAATAGAGGTGCTTCCTTTTCGGCTCAATCTGGTTCCAATTATGCAATTGGTTTACCTGAATTTAATGATTCTTATCCTGATGCCGAAAATGTAGAATTTTCAACTCCTCAATTGTTACCTTCAAATATGAATGACGAAAATTCTTGGATAAATAATTTAAATTCAATCCCTGGCTTATCGTTAAATACAAATAATGATGATCAATCTCCTTATACCATAATGCAAGATGCTTTACTGAATCGTCATCGTCCAAGTCCAAATCATTTAAGAAATCATTCTATTTCTTCACTTGATCAAAATAAATTACCCGATTTACCTCAAAGCGTTTCTCATTCTGGTTCTTTCAGTGGGAAATTACCAAATGATGATTCTTCAAATACTTTTTTAAATTACGATTATAATAACTCTCAATTTATGATGCCAACCGCTACAATATCTCATAATGAAATTAATAATGCTAATAACCAATTTTCAAAAATTGAGCAAAATAATTTGAAAAATCATGATGATGCTGGTGAAGGATACGGGTATTCTTTTTACGACATTCCAGATTCAATGTTATTGAAAACTAGTGATCAATCAAAGTTCAATCAACCTTTAACTCCAATAAAGCAAGAAATTGATGAAGATATAATGGATATGGTTAATGAAAAACCTAATCATTTCCAACATCAATCCTCTCAACAAATACCTCGTCAGCATAATGCTCAACAACTGGACCAACAACAGTCAAATGTTTCTAAGAACTCAATAACAACTAATGGTGTTAACTTTGATATGAATTTTTTGTATGATATTGATGAATTGACTCACGAATTTGACGTGAATTCAAAATTCATGACTGGTGGTTATTCATTTTATGGTGATAATCCTTCGGTTTCTTCTTCAGGAGTTGAAAGTTCAAACAGTCCAAACTTGATATCTCCTTCTAATAAATCTCCAAACCACATGTCAATTAATTCAAATATCGATTCAAATTTAAATAATAATTTTTTAAATCAAGATCAAATAATGAATATTGAAAATAATAATGATGGATCTACTAATAAGAAAAACCACTCAATTAAATTAGGCAATTATTCAAAAAATCGATTATTTACAACTAATATGAGATATATGATCAATAAATCGTTGAGTAAATATCCAATCAGTGGGATAATGACTCCTTCAATTCCTTCAAATGAAAAAATGGAATTTTATTTAAATAATTTCAATACGATTTTCTTATCACATTTCCCATTCATTCATATTTCAAAATTAAACGAATATGAAATTATGAATATGACTGTGAATGAAGATTTAGCCAATGAAAGTGCTAGAGTATGCTTACCTCTCTTGGTTGCAACAATCGGTGCTTTGTTGGCTAACAATAAAAATGATTCAGAACATTTATATGAAGCTTCAAGAAGGATCATTCATATTTATTTGGAAAGCAGAAAAAATTTGGCCAATGATGGGTCAAATAATAATCAACAATCTGTTAATCCTTTGTGGTTAATTCAATCTTTGACATTATCGGTCATTTATGGTTTATTTTCTGATAATGAAAATAATGTTTACATCGTTATCAGACAATTAAATGCTTTGAATTCTTTGGTTAAAACCTCAATCAAGAATAATCGATCCATCTTATTTTCAATAAATGGTGATGATGATGAAGCTTTCCGTAAAATGAATTCAAATCCAAATGATTCTTTGTTTTCAAATGACCAATATTTCAGCGATGAATTAAAATTTAAGAATAACATTAACTTACAATCCCAAACAAGAATTGTTTTTATGATTTACAGATTAACGAACTTCTTATTAATGATGTATAATGTGCCATTGACTTTGAGTATTAACGATTTGGGTAATTTAACAACCCCTAGCACAAATGACGAATTTTTATGGAATTTCAAAAATTTTCAATCATTTAAAGAATATAATCAAATGAGTAATATTGATAAGAATTTAGATTATTATTTAACTAAAACAAATTCTAACACTATTGTTTATAAAGACATCTTGATACAATTAACCAAGACTCAAATTCATAAAAATTCCCCACAAGACCCTTCATTATTTTCCAAATTATCAAATTTGAGTAAATATGGATTTATTTCAGTATTGCACGGGTTATTTGAGATTAAACAATACGAAGAAATGAAGATGGTTGATATTTTCAGTATTTTAGATAACTTATCTAAATTTATAGATAATTCAATCATCAAAAACAATGTGATTCAAGGTAATACTGAGAAATTACTTAATAACTATCAACAAGATGACTTTGAAAAATTGGATTATGCACTTTTATTAAATTTTACTAAAATTGGTTCTATTGCAGATTTCAAATTAGTTAAAGAACAAAGTTGGTTAAGAAATTTTGATGAGTTAACTAAAAATTATGACCATTTCTTGAAGTCTATGAATGAAATTAATGAATTTGATTATTTAAGACTTATAGATTGTTGTATCATTATACTCAAGTTGGTGTTATTTAAGACTGATGATGCTAATAGTCAAAATGATCAAAGAATCAATAGTCCATCTAATCCTAAAGGAACTGGTCAAGAGTTATTTCACACTGAACTTAACTATTATAAGAATCATCATCCAAGTTTTAATATGATTGTTGATGATTCTTTGAAAAATGAAAATAGTGCTACTATAACTTTTGAACAATCAATAAATTTAAAAGTCTTTGATGAATTAGATAATTCAAAAAACTCTATTCATTCGCAAATGTTGTTTCATGTTTTCACAATTTTATCAATATTTGCAATCTATGTTGTTAAAAAGAATAATCCAGAAGGTAATTTAGGTTTAGAATTTAAATATCCTGAATCAGATTCAAGTTATTTAAATGAATTAAACCAAAGATATATCACTATCTTAAAATTATTGGGTAAAGTTGAAAATTTCTTGAAAATTAAATATCAGAATAATAAGTTGGAAAATGATTTTACTAATTTATGTTTATTTTCAAACGGTAATGATGATTTAATTTTTGATCCTTTCAAGAACCATTCAAATCGTGACGATTTACTAAGAGACGCGGCGGCAAGTAATTGCTTCAACCATAGTATTGAAAAATCTTTATACATTTTAAAATTAGGGGAGTCAATTTTAAGTTATATGTATGACACAAACATTAAGGTTTCGATATTCAAAAAATTGAGTGACAGTCTTTTACAAATTAGAAAGTTTCTTATCGATAATGAAGCAGCAGTGCTTTCATAACTATTTATTAATCTATTTTAATCCATTCCTTTACTTACAATTCTTTCCTTATTTATTAAAACGAAAAAAAAAAAAAAAAAAAAAAAAAAAAAAGCACTTTATATATATTTAACGATTACATGATTTTTGTTCTAACTATATCATTGTAGACTGAATTACTGTAAATGATCATAAGCAATTTTTTGGAGCTTTGGATAAGCTTGGATCGAGGGATCGGCGTGAGGGAAAAGCTGAGTAACATAATAACCACCAATCTTATTCTTCAAGTCTATCCAGAAGAAAAGGTTCGCCAACCCACACCAATAGAGTGAGTCTTTAGGAACTCCAGCTTTTGAGTCTTCTCTGGTGATTCCAAATCCCAAACTCCAAAAATCGCTTGATTTAACCGACTTTGTTAGTTCAGCATCTGTTGAGTTAAAATCAGTCGTGGTGAAATTTGGTGGCAAGTTATTTTGAGAGGCTTCTTTCCAAGTTTCTTTTTTAATTATTTGGGTACCGTCGTCTGCTTTACCTTCATTGATCCAAATTCTAATGAATCTTAAGTACAGTTCAATGGTTCCAAATAATCCATGTCCTCCACAATGTTTAGCTGGAGTTTGAAGTGGCTGCGTTGAATAGGGCCTTAATGAACCATCCGATTGTCTAGAGTCACAAATCAAGACTTTATCACTGTCTTTAGGCTGCACTTCAAAAGTGACATCGTTCATTTTGGCGGGTTTAAAGATATTTTCCTTCAAATACTGTTCTAAAGTCATTCCAGACACACTCTCAACAATGAAACCAGCAAAGTCAAGACCATGTCCGTATAAAAACTGAGACCCTGGCTCGAAAACAAGAGGCATACACTTCAAACTTTCTTCGGTGATGTTGAAGATATTAGGCTCTCCGTATTTTGCCAAAAGTTTTCGATAATCTTCATTATAGAAAGCGTAAGCAAAGCCCGAGGTGTGAAGAAGTAATTGTTTGACGGTTGGTTCGGTTTCCGGGGTTTTCAAAATCGGTTCGTCATTATCCCAACCCTTAATTACCTTTACATCTTTGAGAATGGGTAAATATGTAGAGGCAGCAGCATCAAGGTCAACCAAACCTCTTTCATACAATTGTAGTACGGCTGTACTTACAATTGGCTTAGTGGTCGACCAGTAATTGAAAAGGGTTTCGGAGCTAAATTCCTGCCCCTTTTCTTCGTTAGAAAGACCAACCTGGTTGCTGTAAACGGTTTCCTTATCATTTGTGATCCCAAAGCCAACTCCGTTGACGAACGATTTTGGGTTTTCAGTTTTGTTAATTGCTTGCAATAAAACAGCATCAATATGTTCTTTCAAACTGTTTTTAACTGATCCGTTTGCAAATCTAGACATTCTGCTCAACTCTAATTCTTTTTAAAGTAATTTGGTATCACTTTGGCAGTACTTTGATGGATTTAAGCTTCTTTATATGCTCTTTCTCTCGGTCCACAGTTTCCCCACACCCAATAGAAAAATTCATCACCAAAAAATACGTCAAACTTACAAAATTACATCACCCTCACAAAATCCTTACAAGTTTATATCAAATCGGCATAATAACTACAAGTTTACATCAAATTGACAGAATCGGATCAAAACATTTGACGTATAACGGTTTTCGAGACACTGTATGGTTGAAATACATGCTTGCAAAAGCCATTAGCAAACCAAAATTGAAGTAGAACATATCCAACCATGACGAATTTTGCTGGTGCAGTTGGCCAAAGCCCAACCCTCAAACAATTCATAATTGACTTTTACCTAATCTCCGACACTAAACCATCTGAGGAGTATGATCCTTATCTTGAAAGATTTACGGGCAATGCTTTGTTGATCATGGGGTCTTCCAAGGTTGAGGGGCACGAAGCAATCCGGACCATGAGACAAAACATGTGGTCTAAGATTGTGAAAAGACACCATGTTGTTAAGAATGTTTCTGCGATAAAGTCGAACCAGTATTTGCTTAATGGGTATATTGAATATACTTTTGTCAATGGACAAGTCCTCGTTACTGATTTTGCCGGCCATATGGAGTTTGAGCCGGATAGTACCCCACTCAAGATACTGTTTTATCAGGTTTACATGGATACTTCTCCAACAAAGGAGATCATAAATGGTCTTTGAGATTCCCGGTGTCTATATTCAATATACAATATCTGTGACCGAAGAGAAGTGTTCTTCTGTTTTTTTTTTTGCAGCATGTAGTTGAATCACTGGAAGTTCGAGAGGAAAAAAGTCAAGAAAATTTGAAATTCAATCTGAAAATTACTTCAACAGCTGTTTAGACCAGCACAACAACGATAAACATAGAGTATGACCGACAGCCAGCAGGATGAAAGGGTGGTGAACCTCACCCAAGAAGAGTTTGAAAAGTTGGTGAAAGAGAACAAGGGAGGACTCACCCCAATGACACCAGAACAATTGAAAGAACATAAGTCCTTGAAAAGAAATGCATTTTGGAAAGATAGTGTATGTGTATTATCGATGATTGCATCATTTGGTATGATTGCGTACTATTGGTATTATATCATTCAACAAATGAATGGTGATATTCCCTTGGAGTACTATCAATTGGCTATATATTTTATAAGCTTTGTCGGACTTGTATTCACCCTCGGAAATATCTTTATAAATATTACATTTCCCTTTTTGTATTCAAAAGAGCTAAAAGATGATGGAGTCATGTCAGGAAAGAAGAAACAATAATATGTGTATTAGTATGTACAAGTAATAATATAAACAATTTATTTCATATAATCATAGAAACGAAGTAGGGCATCTGTAGAAAATTCATCTATTTGATAAATCTTCTAGATAAAACAATACCATAAAAACCAAGAGATACAATAGAAAGCATATTGATCAAAGTAGAAACACCATGGTAAGCACCAAATTTTTTGGATAAACGAGTAAACTCTTCACTTGGCTTAACTTCACCATTTTCGATAACTTCATGTTTCTTGTCAGCAATCAACTTGTTTCTTTCTTCTTTAATACCTTTACAAAGAGGTAATAAGATTAATAAATTAGCAGCTCCTGATAATCCAGAAAGTGATAACAAACCAAGAGTGAATGGACATAACTTAATTGGTGCAGTTAAAGATAACAAAATAGGAGTTACTGCTTGACCAGTAAAAAAGGATGGGAATACTTTATTTTGTAATTTACTAAATTGATCCCTTTCTAATTCCTTAAAGGCAATTGGTGAAGCAACAAAAGAGTAAAAAAAACCTCCACCAAACGTTAATCCCCAGAGCAAAAGATGGTATGGAGCAGATGTGTTTAAACCTAATTTAGCAATCATTGTATGTGTTAATGGTCAATTGTATTAATTATGAAGACCGATAGAGAGAAAGAAAAGTAGTAATTAAAATATTGTCTGATCATAAATGGGGCAAATAGCTCATAAAAAAAAAAAAAAAAAAATTAGAAAAAGAACGAAAGTTGAAAGATAATTACAAAAATCAGTTCATATAACAAACATAAATTTAGATAATATACACGGAATATACAATTGAAAGGTCGGTAAGTAAGGAAATATTAATTAAAGGTTTTCAATCATTGAGAAGATGTTCTTCAATGCACTTTGTTTGATTTCCTCATTATATCTCAAGATGTCCTTAGACACCGATTCGTAGTTTTTAGCTAAACAGCTAAAGTCACTTTGTAGACCCAAACTCAAATTATTGGTTTGATTCCTATCGTGATCTTGTTTAAGTTTCGAAGTCTGTTCGTATTTCTTAGCAGCAACTTCAGCATTATCCACAATATCACTTGAAATACCACACATTGATGCAACACTCATACCAAATGAACCAGGAGCAGAACCTTCTTCTAATTTATATAAGAAAGTAATATTACGAGAATTACTATCAGCGAGAATCCCCATTCTCAATGGTTTAATTTGTGGATGGTTTGTAAAAGATAAACCTAATGATCCATAATGGGTTGCGAAAAAACCTAATGGCTGAACGTGAGTAGATAATTGATGCAAAACAGCTTCAGCAATAGCGTAACCATCACTTGAAGATCCACCTCTTCCCAATTCATCTAAAATAACAAGTGAATTAGCAGTGGCATTGGTTAAAATCTTTTTGGTTTCTGATAATTCAACGAAAAACGTTGACTTACCTTGCATGATATTATCATTAGCACCTAGTCTTGTCATTATTTTATCAATCGGGTTTAATTTTGCCAGTGATGCTGGGATATAGCAACCAATTTGACTTAGAATAACTGCTAAGGAGGTTGTTCTCATCATGGTAGATTTACCAGCAGCATTAGCACCAGTCAATAATCCAAAGTTTGGCTTCTCCCCTCCAAGACAAACATCATTAGGGATAAATTCTTTGTTACCAAAAAAACAAGGATGTCTCAATTCTTTGAATTCAATAAAACCATGATCAGATGAAATGAATTCTGGTCTACATGAAGGGTAACCCATAGTTTCCGAAGTTTTGGTTAAAGCAACAATACAATCAATGGTTGCCAAAGATTTAATAGATGACATCCAAACTTGGTAATTAGCATCGAATCTTTCATACATTTTAAATCTTAAATTTTCACAAATCATCTTGTGTAATTCTTTTTGTTCAAGTAATTCTCTAACTAAAACTCTCACCTCTGGTGACCAATATCTTTTAACCTTAGATGTTGAACCCATTTGTTGCCAATCTTTAGGTATGTTTTTAATTTTAGTTGGAATCTCAATCAAAAATATTTCTTTACCAGAGTCTTTGAAACAAATCTCGTGTGATTTAAAGGTTTTCTTATACTCTTTTAAATATTCATTTAATTGATTCTCTAGATTTGACATTTTGGCACTGGAATCATCAAATTCTTCATCAACACCAGCAGCAGGAACAACGATATCATTCGTTGCTTCTTGTCTATCGAAAGAATCTTCCCAATCAGCAATTAATTTAATCATTTCAGGAGGAAAGCTTTTAACAGCTTTCTCAATTAAACCAGAATTTTCAATTGAAAATGATTGCAATTCTTTGATTGATTTAGCGATTTTTTCAAAGCTTTCAACAACTTTCACAAAATCTTTAAATCTTAAAGTTTTGCTATGAACTCTTGCTAATAATCTTTCTAAATCAGGAAGCCCCGTAAGCATGCATTCTAAAGATACTCTGAACTCGGGGTTTTCATTCATTAAATATTCAATCGAGTTATATCTTTCGTTAATTTCATTGACATTCATCAAAGGATGTAATATCCAATGTTTTAAGACTCTTTTACCAAATGGGGTGATGGATCTATTAAGTAACTTAAATAAGGTTCCTTGATCACCTCCATCGAATGAATTATTCAAAATTTCAAGATTATTTAAAGTGATACCATCAAGAAGCATATGACCTGATGAACCTTTGGAAATATCATATTCGTTGAAATTTGCTAAAGTCATAACACTTTCATCCAATTTCAAAGATTTTAAATAATAAAGTAAACCACCAAAGGCGTTAAATGCAATTTTATGAGAGTCTTTCAATTTGGTTAAGAGTTTAGGATATTTGGTGAAATCATCACCAACATCGTAATAATTATTTTCAACTAAATTCTCTAAAGTTGAATCATAATCCCAAAATTCAGAATAAGGGTTTAAATTATTCCAAATTTGATTTGAGCTATGAGAACTGTACTTCAAAATTTTAACTGCAGTTGAACATAAATTATTCTTTTCACACAAGATTTCCTTTGGTTTAACTTGAGTAATCAAAGTGTCTAATTTAGTACATTCTTGGTCATCGTGTAATTCAATGAAATTCATTTCAGAAGTAGCAGTATCAACAAAAGCTACCCCGAATGTTTTAGAGCCATCGTCCAATGATTCTTCCTTTATTGATAAACAATATATAGCCATATCGTCACTTATCATATCTAAATCAGTCAAAGTACCACCGGTTAAAACGGCGGTTAATTCTCTTTTAATAATTTTCTCTTCTTTTGTAGAACCACCTCTCATTTCTTTGGCTAAAAGTGTTTCTTTTTGATCCACTTTTGCAACTTTATAACCGTGACTGATAAATTCTTTTGCCCAATATTCGAAAGACATTTCAGGAATACCCGCTAACTTCATATTTGCTCTTCCACCACCGGCGATCTTTAAATCGAATTCTGTATTTGCAATCATTGCATCATTTTCGTACAATTCATAAAATTTACCCTTTTTGAAAAAAACAACGGTATCCCACATAGTTGACTTAATCTCCCAATATTGTTTTTCGAAAGGGGTAAACTTTGTCCAAGCAGATGATGGAATGAACAAAGTTCTTGAATCGTACTCTGGATGAGTAATTGGTCTCTTTTCAGAATCTTTGATATCGACTAGCCATTGATACCTTTCTTCATTTTCTTTTTGGAATGAATTGTGATTAGGTTTTCCCGAGAAAGGACCTACTGTGGGGCTCGGTCTCTTGTTTGGAACCTTAACGAAGCTTTTATTAGAAGTATAGGACGAGTTAGCTTTAAACTTATTTGCCAAATTATCAGACGATCCGCTAGAAGTTGATTTAGGTGGGGGTGGAGATGATTTTTTGGCCTTTTTATTAGATTTTTTCGGTTTGTCATCATAGTCTTCTTCGTCAGCTTCAGCATCATCAACCGACATATCATCATTATCATCAACTACAAAATCACTCATATCATCATCATCCTCGCCATCATCTGCTGGCTTGAAATCGTCTTCGGCTTCACTATCACTATCAACCACTCTTTTTCTCTTTTTGGAACTCTTTTTGGCGACCGATATATCCTCCTCCTCTGAGTCGGACTCAGCATAGCTTACCTTTTTGGCGGCAGAGCGACGTTTAGACAATGGACTTGATTGTGATGGTTTATCATTTGATTTCTTTGATCTATCAATAGGCGACGAATGAGGCATGCTGGGTTTCTTTGTCTCTTCCAAGGTGACATTAGCATCCGACTCCGAAGTCAACGGAGTATCAGTGAATTTGGTTTCATCCGCGTCCATCATACTGTCATCGTTTTCCTTATCACTACCATCCTTGTAACTAGTCGCATTACTCTTTGCCTTCAAAGGCGATGACGAGGGTGGAATATTGGACTTCTCATTATTTATTTCGACTTTCTTATTCTCCTTAGCTAAATCATTCGATGGTTTGGAAGCAGGTTTAAAGAAAGACATCAACGATTGTTGCTTCTTCTTTGAACCTGATCCACCGCTAGAACCAGCTGTTTTAGCAATCTTTTTGCTTGGTGTGGTTGTCTTACCCAACATTGCAGCTTCAGATATATTGAAAGGACCAGCCTGTAAGCTTTCTTGAAAGAAATGAATGTGTGTTGACCCAAGAAGAAGAAGATGTCGATTCCAAAACTCGTTAGACGCTGACTCCCTTTCAAAAACATCGCGTCTATTTTTTTTTTAAGGATCGCGTTTTCTTTTTTTTTTTTTTCTTTGGTGTCTGCGTTTGTAATTGGAACAATGAAACGATTGCAAAAAAGTTGAATTGCAAAATCCGGTTGCAACTGCCACTGGTGTAACACGTACTAGAAAGGCTGAACAGAATACCATGCTAATAAGATTGCAATTGCAAATGGTCGTTGCGGGAGTAGTGGGGGTGGTCCTGGCATTTACCAATCCAACGCTATTGAACGACAAACTTATTCTTAAAGTGGATAGTGCTAGCCACGATAGAACTGTGATTAGTGATTATCTTCAAGAGGTGTATATCAAGAAGTATGCTAAGCATCAAGCAGAGCATCTTCAACTGGCAAATGACTTTATAAGTTTTTTGACTATCCAGGAAGTTAACTCTGAGCAACGAGAATTGAATGAAAGGAATTGCATAGGGAATACCAGGATAAGATATTATCTCAAGAGTCTTCATTTGATTGAAAAAGAGTATGAGGCCTCAGAATGCAGAATCAATTTGAGCAATAGGTATAAGTCGATAGTCTCACCAACGGAAGGCATTCATGAGACGATTCACTCAAAATCAAACGATAGGATAAGTCAACAATTAGAGTATAATTTAGTGGAGAAACTTCAAGGTTTGCCCCAGTTAAAGAACATTGACTTATATAATTTTAGAGAATTGGAGTATCAACTTGAGTGTTTATTGGAGTATCAACAATTAGGTCAAATTAAATTGAAAGAAAAATTGATTGATGCAACTTTAGAGAAAATTATTGAGATTCCAAAAGATTGTGGATTTAATCGTTTTGATGACGGGTTTGATGGTCAATTTAGTGAATTAGTGAATATTCTCATTCCTTCCAATGGTACTTTTGTTTGTAAATTGGGGAGAAGTGCAACTTGTAAATCCGATATTGCTCAAAGTTCCAATACTCGCTACAAATTATTAGATAATGATTGAATTATATATATTTTTATACATTTACCATTTACATGACAATCTCGTACTTGACATCATTCTTGAGCTCTTTATGAGGTAATACAATCGAATTGTAAACAAAGACTTGATGCCCAACAATGGTATCCTGACATAAAACCACGATATTATTAATCAACTTAAGATAATTGTCGGAATTAAACAGACTGATATCTTTATTAACGGTAGGAGTGTTAACGGTACCCTCAATTCTACACCATTTACCAATCTTGACCCCTTTAGAAACAATGGCATTAGAAATAATGGTATGATCATCAATGATAACGTCATCAGCAATGATACAATTCTTTAATCTTATTCCTTTACCGAGTTTGACATTTTTACCAATAGAGACATTTGGACCCATTAATGAATCATGAGGAATAATGACATCATCACTCACTTGAATAGGGGACCTGACGTTAGCCAGCGAAGATTTCAAATGATTCTGTTTCAAGAAAAAACTATTGGCAAGAAGAGCAAAAATCGGGGTTTTCAATTGGTACCATAAACTATTTGATTTAAAATTAAGAAACTTTATATTTTTCTCGGATGGTAAAATTTTGAAAACATCAAGTTCAAAAGATAAAATGTTTGATTTCGAAGCATCGTTAGTTAAATCATAATCGAGTAAATTACTTTTGGCACTTTTAACCTCTTGAGCTTTTTCCAATAAGTTAAATACAGTATCGTTGAAAACGTATACCCCACCATTAATATTGATAGAGTAAGTTGTATCTTGAAATTGGGCAAAACTACTCGTTTTAGGTTTTTCAACATAATGAATGATTTTAGAAGTTTCTTTATTGGATATGATAGTACCGAAATTAGTGAAAATCCGCTCTTTGTCATAATACTTAAAACTAGCGGGAGTATCACTAAGATTTTGATACCCATCAACCAAAAGAAGAGGATCAATACCTAAAATTGCAACATCAGCCTTATTCTTTTCATAAAATTGAATCATTTCTTTGAAAGGATAATTACAAATTACATCCCCATGGATTAATAAAATTTTGTGATCACCACTTGATCCTAAAATTTGCTTACGAAAGTAATTCAAACCTCCACCAGTACCCAATGGATAAGGTTCAATCAAGATGCTGACCTTCAAATCTGGATAAATTCTCTTTATTTCATCAACATATTCATCAAATGGCGTGGAGTCTTTGAAAAAACTAATAAGAAACACCTCCTCTAAATCCCCACCCAATTGACTGACTAAATTATCAATTATATGGGTCAATAAAGGTTTCCCTGCAATTGGAAATAATACTTTTGGAGTATCAATTGACAAGGGCCTGAAACGAGTTCCGATACTACTACCACCTGCTAAAATCACTGCTTTTACTCCCATTTTATCAACTCAAAAATGTTATACAAAGATAAAGTTGATCAAGATGAAGATAAAAGATGAATAGGAATTTGCTACCCCTTATAAACTTGCCCGCTCCAACTTTTTTTTTTTTTGCGCACAAATAAAACCACCCCATTAAGTGGGCAGCTTTTTGGCTGCAATTATCACTTTTTCAAGTCTTGGTTGACGAAATACTTTACCACGTCGATGGCAGCAAGAGAGTCCTCGCTACTGTCGTGCTCGCCGGTTTGAATGGTTCTGCCCAAGTAAGTGAATGTCAAGTACTTGAGAGGATAACGGAAGGTTGGGGTTGTTTTATGTTTTGGATACAAGATTGCGGTGTCTACAATCTTATCGTGAATGATTCTCATTGTGTTCAAATCATTTTCTAGACCATGGCCTATGAGAATTGTGTTGGGGTCCATGACACTTTGTAGTAAGTTGATCAGGTCTTCAAAAGAAAGAGCCTCGTCTTTAATTTCTGCGATTCCCGACCATTTGGTATTTAAATCAAGCACTTCTCCCTTGGGTCTAACGAGAACATCGAGGACTTCTTCACCGCTGAAGAAATCTAGTGCGGTGATTCTGAGTAACTCGAAACCTTTTGTAGTATAACCCATTTCACAGTCGATACCCAAGGCTTCAAAAGAATCTTTATTTGGTTTGAAGGTCTCACTGGTTTTCTGGAAAGGTATGGCCCAGTGCATTTCTCCTGGATTGGACCAGTAGAAAACATGGGTTTTCGCTATCAGACAAGCATCGGTCTCTCCTCCCACTATACCTCCGCAGCATTCGTACACTTTGGTATTCTTATCCTTCCGGATCATTTTCCCTGGGTGATGATGGCATTCTATCGGATCCAAAATAGCGCCGAGTTTGAACTCGTTATTACATCTTCTGCAAACACGGTCCTCTTTTGGTTGCTGAACTGGTGGAATATCCACAATGTATCCGTAAAGTTTGAGCTTTTCTTTCAGAATCGCTAATTCCTTGAGCGCTTTCAAGTAGTCTGACTTATCGGGGCCCCTCTTAGTCTCTTTGAATTTATCTGGATGGGCCAATTGGTATACACGCTTCTTAAGAACTTGAACATACGTGGTTGATGTGGTGGAGGACGCGATTTTAAACTCTTCATCAATTGCTCGAAGTATAGGCGTTTTCAAATTAGGATCCACTTTTTTCAAAGTATTCACAATCGTTTGAATATATTGTTTCCTGGTGGGAAGCGTGGCCGGCGGCGTGGGGATCACCTCTCGAGGAAGAATATACTTTGGGTCTTTTTCTGGTTCTTTGGAGGCTTCCAAATATTCAACCACCCTCTTTTGGTACTCCTCGGGTGATTGACTGCTAGACGCGAGATCGTACTCTTTAACAACGGCTGATTTGTTGGGGAACTTGTTTCCCGACTCCCGCAAGTAATTAGATATCTTCCGAGTGTTAACCGTACGATCTGATCGAGCCACTTGCAAATGGGATACTGACTTGGGTATGATCATGGATATATCAACTCCAGACGTGGTTTTCACCTCATCTTTCTTCTTTCTATCCTCATCATTTTTCTTATCCTCATCCGCTTTCTTCTTGTCTTCATCCTTACCTGCCTCTATTTTTGCAACTTTGGTCCTACCAGCGTCTGCACCGGACAACAGTCTCTTCTTCAGCTTGGCTGATCCTATCTCATGGTTGAAAAGACAGTTAAGTATGTTGCACCGCTTCCTCCGCAACAATTCTGGACAATCTATCTCCATAAAGTAACCATCATTGAGTCGAAACATGGCATTATTCCTAACCACATCTATACCGTTGGCTTCCAACTTCTCATTATAACGTTTATAGAAAAATCCTGGTGTGTGGGTCTTGTGTGAAGCCCTAAGACTCGGTGCGGGTAACTTTTCAGATCATCTCATCGCGTGCACCGAGACCAAAAAAATGGTATATAAGGAGTTGGATTCCTAGCGTTTTTATGAATGGTTTTTCTTCTTTTTCTTCGTCGACGTACTTCATAGGATCATTTCTATAGGTCACGTCCCATCTTTGACTCTTCTAAAGAGCCACTGAATCCAACTTGGTTGATGAGTGAGATACCCTTATACCCTCAAAGTGAGAAACAATTTAGCTTGTCTGTGATTCTTAGCAGTCCAGTCATCTATCTTTATTTGCCTTTTGTGTGTACGAGATGAACTTGTTTCATTTTCGTCTTGAAAGGAGCGATGATCTTTACCCTTTGCTTCATGCCTCTTCGGGGGCTTTAGTATTGGGTGGGTATAAGTGGCTGTCTGACAAGTTACTTCTAAAGACATTTTTGTCTTTGGTAGTGACTATAGTTAACTTATGTTGATTTGTCGACCCTCTTTTCGAAGAGTAGTTGGGTTACTGGGGGAAGTTCTTTTTTTTGTACATAGATACTTTTTTTTTAATAAACAGGTTGTTTAATTTAATATAGTGTAGTTTATAGGGAGTTTACAATCAGTTATGAGATGAGATATATATTGAGAATGCAGAGAGGCCATGAACCTAAACAGCTTCATTACCTTGATATTTAGGAGGTAATTCATACAATTTGTAATAGTCAACAACTTGACCATTCAAGTTATTTTCACCTTCGATTGGCAAGTAAAAAACATTTCTCCATTTGGTTTCACCTAAAAACCAAAAATCGGACCAATTTTGTTTTAAACCATAATCGGTAGGGATATCAACACCATTAAGAGACGTGAAAGTTTGACTATTTTGACTTTTGTTAAATAAAGAAGCAATTGTTAATTTTATAGTAAGAATGAATTGATCTAAACCAATTAATTTAGCACACATACCCAACAGGGAGTTTTTACCGTGTTGGTGGTTATGAGATGAAACACTTGGTTGTAAATTATTATTAAAGTCTCTTGGTAAAGTTGAATGATTGAATGAGTTACCAATTTTATTATTTAATAAGCTGAATTCCCATGTAGTAATTCCTTTACAAATTTGGAATGTTTGTACAACGCAAAGAAATGTTATCCAGATAAGTTGTATTAAACACCAGATCATAATATTAAAATGGAAAGGTTTGTGGTGATAACCAATACAAAACTCTTCCGATAATAAGGAACACTTTAATTCATCATCACTTTCATAACCATTTAAATCTTCAAGAACATCAAAGTATTTGATTGATAAATTAGTAAATATAATGACTGCCAAAGCTAATGAATAAACAAAAGTCATGAATAATTTATGATTTCTAACACCGACTTCATTATAAACCCAGGGACAATAATGATCAAACCTAGCCACTAACTTTTTATTATGTTTTGAAAATCTTGATCTTAAAGGTTTACGAATGAAGGTATTAACACAAAAATTATCAGTGTCAAATTTACCTAATTTAATCAAATCTTTAACTTGTTCTAAAATAACCGAATTATCACTTGGAGTTGGAACAAAACCTGGATTGATAAACATGGCTTTGAAAAATGACCAAACAAATAAAACAATTATAATTGATAATAAGATATTAGTGAAGAACCTTTTAAATATTAAAGTTGGGAAAATTTGGAAAGCCCATACTAAAATAGTCCAAAATGCAGTTCCTGAAAAAATTCCTGCTAAAAAGGGAGTTTTAAATAAAGCTTTATCATCCAATAAATAAGTTGGTATTATAAATTTTAGTAAAAAAATTATTGATCCAATGAACAATAAAATTGATAAGAAAAGTTTTGGGATCACATAACCTTGACTAAAAGAACAAGTATAAAAAATTAAAGGTAAAATAATATAAGGAGTTAAAAATGTAATAATTTTACCGTATTTTGGTTTTAACCAATATTCTTTAATGGTCCATTGTCTTTTTGGAGATCTACCAGTTTCCAATAAAACCTTACACCAAGTTGGTAAGCAATTCATATCTTTTGCAACTCCAAAAGAATTTTTACCTTGATCATTCTTAGCAAAAATGTCTGAACCTGCTTCGACTAAAGTTTTCAAAACACTTTTATAACCTTTAATGAAAGCCCAATGTAAAGGAATGAAAAGAGAATTATCAACTTTATTAACATCAGCACCAAATTTTAATAATGCTTTGATGGTTAAAAAATCACCTTGATAAGCAGCCCAATGTAATGAAGTACGATTAGCATTATCAGGTTCATCAATGTATAATTTATTTTTTGAATCATTAGTTGAATAAGTCAATAATAAATAAATCACAAGGGTTATATTGGAACTATGAACCGCCAAATGTAATGCATTATAAGATTGTGCATCACGTATAGATGGATCAGCATTGGTATTAGTTAAAAGGTAATCAACTATATAAACCAAACCATTACGACAAGCCCAATGCAAAGGAGTTGCTTTTAAGTCACCTCCTGAATAGTTCGGGTCAGCTTTTGAATATTCATTAGTACATAAATACTCAACAACGGTTAACCTATTGTTAATTGAAGCCCAATGTAATCCAGTGATTCCATCGGTGAAAGTATCCATTGAATTAACTTTACCCAGAGAAATCATTTCTTTAACCGTATCCAACTCACCTTTTTGACAAGCATTCATGAAACTGGCCAAGGTTGGGTTCAATTCTTGTTCTGTTGGTTGATTTTCTTGTGCTGGAATATCATCTTCCTTTTTATCATTACTAGGAATGTGATCCAATTTTTCTTGATCGGTATCAAGAATAGCTTCAGTTGATTTGAGAGATACGATATCCTGATCTTCTGTTTGATCTGGCTTAAGATTGTCTTCTGCTTGATCTGGCTTTGAAGTATCCTCTGCTTGATCCGGCTTTGAAGTATCTTCTGCTTGATCTGGCTTTATCGCAGAACCTTCTACCTTTTGATCAGAATGATCATCGAGCACTTCGTTTTTTTCCAAAGCAGCCGACTTGAATTGATCTTTAGCACTCTCCTCCAGCATCTCAAATGTATTTGAAATCAGATAAACTATGGAAATGAAATCAATGAAAATTCATACCAGTTTTTTTTTTTCTTTTTTTTTTTTTTTGATTCTCCAGCGAGAACCAAATATTTTTTCTGTTCGCTCAATCTACGCCTACTTTGGACTACGATATCCATGACCTTTTGATACACAGACTCAAAGTACAATATATAAAGTAGCGTCTAGTAATACTAAGTGAGATGGTGGTGATGTAAGGATGACTTATCGGAATCCATCTGGGAGAAAGAATCCTTGCGGGCGAAGGAACCAAGGCTTCTTATGCTTTTATTATCAACAACTGTAGCATCGTCATCGTAGGAAGCTTTCAGTTTCTTGGGAAGATGGACATTTTCATGGTAAGGTTGGGAGGACGTAGTTACTGTTGTTGAGGAAGTTTGCAAAGTAGGAGACCGAGAAGCAAAAGAAGAAGCGGAATTTGAAGAAGGAGTCGAGGAACCAGAATGCAAATGTTTATTTACAAAATTTTGAACTGATTCCCCAGCCTTGATAGCACCCGGTTTAACCTTGTCGTCAACAAAGGGCGAAACCTTATCATTAATGAAATTGGGTCTAACTTCTGATTCATCAATTAACCCCAAGTTTTTTTCCCCAACTTTGATTAAATGTTTATTTAGTAATAAGAAATTTCTCAGATTGGCTTTGTAGCCAATTTCAATGATATCACCCACAATTGGGATTAACGAAAGGGCAAAATCAATGAGAATATTGATTAAAAACAATAATTGTAAATCAAGTGGTAATCCATCGTCAATTTTTCTGGCTAATGAAAAAATGGATAACGACCAGTAAATTGCAATAATGCTCCCAAAAGCTGGAATTAGCCCCACAATATTAGTCCAACCAACCTTGATACCTAAAAGATTTAAAGACATATCATATCTATAAGCTTTTTTCCGAACCTTATTTAATATCTTATAGTCATTTGGAGAAATTCCATCGGGGACTCTTCTCTTGACCCGTTTAGTCTTGGTGGTATTCCCCTTAGAGTCTCGGGCAATGGGGAAATACTCATAGTAAGGGTCCTCCACCGCAAATTTATTCCATTGATTATCTTTAATAAGTCTATTTGTAATGAATTTTATTACAAACAGGGACATTTTCAGCTCATAAAAAGTAGTTCATAACTTGAAATTTTTCAAAAGCTATCGCTTTATAGCTGCAAACAGGATTGCTATCTGCGGTGTCGCGCGATGTCGCGGCAACCCCCACGACATTTGTGGTGTGTGGGTCTGTTTGTGGGCTGGTGCATGTGAAAGTCCCGGGGTGAGTGCATAGACAAAGATTAATAAGGATCTTTATCTAGTTACTCCACCTAAATTTCAGACCCTTGAAGTTGTTGCTTTTAACGATTAAGTATATAAACAATTTTAGTTGACAATTCGAATAAATTTACGGTGGTAAAATACAAAAAATTACCATGATCCGGTATGTTTTAGGAGCAGTTATTAATAAAATACCCTATTTGCCCAGTTATGAAGAAGTGCCAATTGAAGAGAAGATCCACCAAGTGATTGTGGATAGAAGACAAGAGGAACAAATACGAACGCCGTCACCCAGTGAGGATGAATTGATTGAGAATGAACCTTCGACCAAAGCAATTCCATTACAGCAACCACAGGGGAGTATAAGCCGATATAACTGTTTGCACTATTCGGATACCTGTGATGACTTCCCGCGAGAAGTTGGAAATTCACCAATTAATCGAATTAAAGATTATTATTTCCAGCCCAATACCCCAACCAAGGTTCGCGGAAGTCAATGGGATGACGATGACGAGACCATGAGATACGACCATAATCCCATCATGACCAAGTATAGTCAAATTGGGTGTATTCCGGAAGTGGAGGAAGAAGCCGAAGGAGAAAATGTCATTGGGTTGGGATTAAGGACACCACCGGGGTACGAGGAACCCAGTACGCCGCCAGAACAAATCCACCAGGAAAACAAAGATACCAAAGAGATACGCATCAAGCAGTACTTGGATGAGCAAAATAACAAGTTTGATACTTTGATTCATAATAATTTGGATATTGTAATTAAACAACAAGAATTATTTGAAGAAAAGGAAGAAGAAGAGGAAAATTTAACAAAATTATTGATTGAGTTTCTTCGTATGAAACCATTGAGTTTCCGGGAAAAACTACAGTACTCTAATCGAGTGTTTAAATATGGAATCAAGTTAATCAATCCCTTTAAGCAAGCTGAACCGGAGATGGCTAAATTGGCCGAGCCGGTTACCATACGACCCAATTATGAAGAAGACGAATATAAAGACGTGATACAAGTATTCAATAAACTTAAACCCGAAATCAAAAACCGCATTATCGATAACTATCGGAAAGAGGAAGAAATGAAGAGATTTGAAAATGAATCATTAATTGATAAATTTGAAATGTTGAGTATCCTAATGATCAAAATTACCATAAGTACCATCAAGTATATGATACCGATTATTCAAATTTTAATCAATAAATTCAATAAAGATGAAATTTATTTATTCAATCAACTGAATTTTAATAAACTCATGAAAATTATCATCAAGAGTTTAATCTTTACCGAAAATCAATTGAATAACGATTTTCTCAAAAATTACCAATACGGTTTTACTAAAGACGACGAATTGGATGATTTTTGTAAAGAAATGTCAAATAACGCACACCATTTCTTTAACAACAAATCAGTGGACTCGTTTAAATCCGCTGGCTCGACAAACTTTGAAAGCTCTGAAAAACTATCGGTATTCAAAATCGCTGAACAATTCGTAGATGAATTTTAATACTTTCACATACATAAGATCGTATAAGATCGTATAAGATCGTAGATTGTAGCAGTACGGGGGTGCGGTACGGGGTGTGGTACGGGGGTGTTCTTGGAAGCTCATGGAAGCTCATGGAAGGTTGGGCCCTGGGGTTACCCGGCACCTCTGCATAATCTGGACACTTCCCCCTATTGATGTTTTCCGGACGCCGCGCACGACCAGCCCCCAATTCCAACACAAATAAAATCCGGATTCTCATTCTTTTTTTTTTTTTTTTTTTTTTTTATTTTGTTCTGGCAATTTATTACTCTTCTTTTTCTGTTTTCCCTCACTTTTTTCCTACTCGTTGTCATCCCTTTTTCTCATCAAACTAACAAAAAAATTTTTTTTTTTTCAAGTTTGGTTTAGTTAATCGTTTAAGTTACGAAACTACTACAACCTAACTACTCTACGAAATCAGTCTGCCACTACATTGGGGTTATTCATTTAATACCTTTTTCTGGCTGTGTTATTTGTTTCGTGTGTCAACTATCAGAGTTTTCTCTCCCGCCGTCAGTCGCCACCCATTTTCTGCCCTCCCTTGCCGCTTGCTGGTTTTTGATTGGTTGATTGCTCGCTGTTCTGGTCTGTGCACGTCCTTTTTGGTCTTTCCCACGTCCTCGTTTCCCTTTCTTTCTGACGCCTTGATTGGTTGAATTTCAGAAAGTTTCCTTTTTCCTGGTTTTTTTTTTGCTTGTTAAAAGCGCTCGTTTTTTGTTAAAGACACGCTGTCGCTTGCTTTGCTCCCTCTCTGCTACTAGGAAGTAAAGTCTCTCGACAAGAATCCGTACCGCGCGCGGCTTTTTTAATAGAAAAAGGATTTGTTTCGCACTTTTACCTTTCCTTTGTCCTGTTTTTGTTAACTTTTAAAGTTGAGTATTCTACTTTTGAGTAGAAGACGACGGTTACCTTTGTTTTAATTTTTTTTTTTTTTCTTATTATTATTATTTATTTGATTGAAATTATGGCTTTGTGTTCTCAAGCTTTTTCAACCTCAAATAAACGTAGTTGCACCTTGAATACCGGGTTTGAGTCAAGTCCTGCTAAGAAGATATGCTTGTCAAAATTGAGATCGGGGTCTGATTCAAAGAATCACCGCGTCACCATTGCATCGAATCCAGCATTTCAATTTCCAGTTTCGACCCGTACCGCTAACGGTGCTGCTCACAATAACAAGGTTGTGTACTCGTCCTCGGAAAATGATGATGATTCCGATGATGAACAGTCTTGCTACAACGCCGATCAAATCAAAGCTAAAAGAAGAGCCTCCTCCAGGGTTTCTTTTTCGTTGAATACTAATTCTGCTTTATCCAAGGCCATTTCCAAGTATTCGGATGATGATGACGATGATGAAGATTCATCGATTAACAATAATACTCATCATCCAATTGTAGATGGTGATGATTGTTCTGATAATATTGATTGTAAATTATCATCTCCAATTAATAATTCTACAATCAATATTAATCCTGCTGCTCCAATTAATCAGGGTTTCAATATCTCGGATCATTCCAATCAACCTTTGAAAAAATCAATTCCCGAATCAGATAAACATTCAAGATCAAAATGCTTTGAATATTTGGTGGGGGCCATTGATGAAGCCTGGGCTAGATATTGTGATGCTACTACTTATGTGGAAGATGAAACTTATGGTTATAATACTCCAAATTCAGTGGCTACTGATGATGAAGATTATTTTGGTAACACCACTGATTTTACCGATTATGATTCTGAATTTGAACATCATCATTCTAAATCTTCAAAACCTCATTTATATACCCCAGCCACCTCTCCTTCCACTCCTTTATCCAACTCTTCTAAAGATCCTTCTTCTTGTCAATTACAAGCTTTGAAAGATCGTTTAACCAAGGCTAAATATTTCTTACAAGATTTGGTTGATTCGGATGATTGTTTGGATGCTAGCGCTTTTTGGAAACGTTGGGATATGATTAAATACGCTACCATTGAATTGGTTGAAGATGACGATGATGACGATGTCGTTGAATCAACCATTGATGAATTAGAAGATGGCCGCTTGTTTGCTAACTAATCAAGTTGATGTCTTGATTCCACCGGCCCTTTTGTTCATTTGGCTTGGTACCTTGAACTATGATTCTTTTTGTTTTTGTTTTTTTTTTCTTTCTCTATGATTTATTACTTCTTTCTTTAATTATTTTATTTTGTTGAAAAGTTCTGGCTAACTTTATCTTTGATCATTTTCAAGAGTATTCAATCATTGGACCAATTTGACTTCCAAAAAAAAAAAAAAAAAAAGAAAAAAAGGAAAAAATCATCAAAAAAAAAAAGATATACATATACTTAAATGATAAAGAATCATTATATCCCTCGTCAAGTCTGCCACTTAGGTTTGTTTTTTTGTTTTGATTGTGCTTTTGTTTTTCCTGTTTATTACTTTGTTATTACTGCTGCTTTTTCATTTATTTCGATGGGTTTACTTTTTATTATTAATTTTTTATTATTTAGGGTTACGAGAAATTTTAAACTATAAGTGTAAAATTTATGACAATTTTTGAGGTTTTGTTCCTCTTGATATATATATTTTGTATATATTGCTTATTTACTTTTGTATAATAGATTACTTTATGAATAACAGTGTAAAATGCGATTTGTCTTTTTTTCAAAAACTGAAGTTATAGAAAAAAGTTATTGAACAAAAAATCAAAGTACCTAAAGCTATTCATTCAACAATGTTATCCAAGTTCTTAATTGCAATTACGGTGCTTGTTCAGGTTGCTCTTGCTGCATCAGGCTTGCAAATTGGTATGTTTATTCTAATTGATATCCCAAAACTAGTACTAACCACGCAAAAGGTGTTTTAAAGTCAATTCCTGATGATGAATGCACCCGCAAAACTAAACCAGGTGACTCAATAAGTGTTCACTACGAAGGGAAATTGGATGACGGTTCCGTTTTTGACTCTTCTTTTAAAAGAGATTCTCCAATCTCCTTCAAATTAGGTGTTGGCCAAGTCATTCAAGGTTGGGATCAAGGCTTGTCCAATATGTGCATTGGTGAAAAGAGAAAATTGATTATCCCTCCGGAATTAGGTTACGGAAATCGTAATATAGGTCCGATTCCTGCTGGCTCAACCTTAACTTTCATTGCTGAATTAGTTGATATCGCTGGTAGCCAAAAAAATTCAAAAGATGAATTGTAGATTTCCTTTACTGGTTTTCTCGTGAATATTAAATCTCACCATTAAGTCTTCGATTCAATTGTAGTTATATCCCTGTTCCCACCCCTTTTATTCTGCCAATTGGGTTATGTATAGCTGCAAACTCTTTGTAGAAACTGAAGATATCTGAAAAATGGCGTGAGGAGGTTAAAGGGTTTTTTTGCTGCGTTTTTGTATTGCTGCGTTTCTTTTTGTTCAAATGATCCTTCTGTAGAGATTATTAGAGACTCTTTTACTCCATAAACCTTCTCGATCAGTAAGATGTCTTCCATGAAGAAATCACCGAAATCCTTCTTGAAACCTTTGCAAGAGTTCATTGGTTCAAATAATGATTTTCAAATCATTTACTCAACGTCTCCACGAAAAAATTGGGTAACTCCACTCACTAATAGAGTCTGTGTACTCGATTCGTCGTTCAATCCGCCTCATCTTGGTCATTTTACCTTGGCTGAAGAATCCTTAAGGTATACTTATAAGAATCAATTGGTACCCCATGAAGAAAGATGTTTGGTTTTACTATTATCGGTGAAAAATGCTGATAAAACCCATCCCCAACCAGCAAATTTCGAAGATCGAATCGAAATGATGTATTTAATGGCCAATTACTTGAATAAATCCTTGAATGTTAATGTCAGTATCGGATTGACTAATCATGCTAAATTTGTTGATAAATCTGTTTCGATTTTGAAATATATTCAGGCTACTTTACCTAATATTGAATTGAATGACTTGAAATTAACGTTCTTGGTGGGATTTGATACGTTGGTTAGAATCTTCAATCCCAAATATTATCTTCCAGATAAGCTTCTGGAATCTTTAAGCATATTCATGAAAACTACAGACTTGTTTTGCTTAACAAGGAATGATGATAAAATATCTAATAAAGAACAAACCCAATACGTGTCAGATATATCGAACGGGAAGCTCGAACATGTTCCAAGTCACTGGTCTTCTAATATTCATTTGATTAATAATACCGATGATTCAGCAGACAAAATAGGCCTTATTAGTTCCTCTTCTATAAGAAAAGAAATTTCTCAAAATAATTGGCACAATCAAGTCATACCGGAAATAAAAGAGTACATTGTGAAAGAGGGCATATATGAACATCTATAAATCAATGATATGTATTGAAGCATTCTAACTAAAATACAAAATATGAAAATCTACCAACCTTCTTGAGTAATATATGAAAGAAGTAATAAATACGGAATTTGTAACACTTTATTTTTTTTAAATAACGAGTTTCCACCGGAATTCTGTCTAAAACCAAATTTGGTTTGACCATTTCCATGTCTCATATGGTTATCTTTAGATATTCCATCAGTAGAAGTATCAGTCAGGATATTTTCATTTTTGGAATTGGTACATTCAATCTTACCCCCTCTAATAACTGAGCTTATTTCACTTCTTGTCCATTTGGCACAGTCAAATGAACTGGCCATAGATTTAAGTCTGGCACTTCCCTTAACTAACTTTAAATTTTTTAGACTAGCCTCTTTGATGTTACCCACTAAGTCAAGTGCTCCACCGATAGAGTTAAGCTTGGGGAAAAAATTGATTTTTTCAAGGTGGGTATTATTCACAATCATTAAACCACCCCCAATCTCATTCAAGTTTGGAAATTCAACCTGTGAAAGCTTTTCATTTTTTTGTAAATTTAAAGTTCCTCCGATATTCATCAATTTTGGTAATTTCAAATTATTGAAAAAATTATTGCTAATACTAGCAGAAGATGTAATTTCTTCCAAACTTCCTAAATCAATATTTGCAACATCATGAATACTTACATTGCTGACTGCTTTCAATTTTGGCAAATTCACGTTTACATCTTTTGCATTGGCAGCTATATGCAATTTCCCATTAATCTTTTCAACATTAGAAGTAATGGTATCTAAGAACCTATTATTGCTTATATCAAGCATTTCTAATTTATCAACCATAAAACCAGAAAATCCAACCAATGAAGTATCTGAAACAACAATGCTTTCAATATTTTCAATAACATTGTTGAAATTTACGTTACTTAGAATTGGTAATACTTTCCAATCCAATATTTTAACAGAATTTAGTGATGGGAATGATATTAGTGACAAGGAAGTTAATTCTCTCAATGAAAAACTCTTACCTATGGATGTCACATTAGGGGCTTCAATTCTAACCAAGTTAGGGGATTTTTTAATAATTAAGGAACCAACAATATTTTGAATTGACCCAAACTGAATCAATGCATCCTCAAACTCAAATACTTCAATGTCTCCAAGTACAGTGACACAGTCCACAATCTTGTTGATATCGGCTTTGTTTTTCACTTTAAATGTTTCACTTGAACAGTAAGATGGCACATTGTCTCCTTGGATTTGTTGGTCTGAAGTAGATTCATCTGGCTTTTTTGAGTTTTCGGTGTTGGGGTCATTTTCTTTCAAGTCACCACCAGCTCCACTTTCTAATATTTTCATATTTTCTGAATTCAAGTATGGAGTTGCAGATGAGACTAACTCCTTACTGTCAAGGGTATTAACACCCAACAGGAAGCCTGCAAGTGATGCAAATACTAACAAAACTTGATATTTCATAATTTGTTTCTTGGTATCTTTTAAACAGTACAAGTTCTGACTATGCTTTTATCCTTTATTTAAATATTGTTTGTGGTTTGGTTGCAAAAAATGGATCTGTGGTGAGAACAATTTTTTAGCTGCAAACAAAAAAAAACTATTAGACTAATGTCTAATGAGATTGTGTATTTAATAATTGTTAATTAGTATATTGAAAAGTTACTTAATTTGGGCTATTCGAATTTTTTTACTTTTTTAAAAAATGTTAGTAAATTTTGTAATGAGTGCCAAATTCGAGGAAGATTTTCCCAGTTTTTTCACAAAAATTTCAAAAATATGAAATAAAATGAAAAATATATACAAAATCTTCGAAATAAACCTTCAGCATGTAAGAATCCATAAGTAGGACTAATAGAAACAGTAATGGGAACATGAAAATCACCATTCAATGCCAAAAACTTTAAATGATGCGAGTCTTAAAATATAGCATTAAATATCCATTTTGCCGTTTGGGACAAATCTACATTTCTGATTTTACGATAACAAAGAGAAATAAAAAAACTAATGACTAATGCATTATTGAGACTAGAGTAATAAAAAGCAAAAAAAAAGGATGCTTGGATAGAATTGAATAAGAGTCAAGAAAAAATCTATGGATCGTTGGTATTCTTTTTGGTGATATCATCAACAGATCCATAACTTTCATTGAAAACGTTCAGTTGCTGTTCAGGTTCGACGTACTCTGGTCTATCTAGAGCAGTGAATGGTCTATTTGATGATTTGCATAGCAAATAGGCGAAAGTTATTCTAATAGCAGCAGCTGCAAAAGTGATAAGAATTCCACCAAAAGGAGCAATAACAAAGGCACCAAAAGGACCCCAATCTGCAGAGTTATAAATACCATTCCAAACTAACAATAATTTACCACCTTCTTTAGCAGACCCATAGTAAACAGTACCGAATATAAAGACACCTAGCAAAGCGCCTAATCCACCACACATAACATCGAATCCCCTTAAGAAATAAAAGAGGGTATCACTTAGACCTAAGAAAACTGATGGTATAATAGCAGCTGAAACCAAATCAGCAATAAGGTAAATTTGTAAAATATCATCAGCAACTTTAATAGCTAATACGATTATAGGAACAATGATGAGAACAACCAAGACCCTTATATAATTCAAATGTAATTTGTTACGGAAAAGATCATTTGAAATAGTAGATACCATGGCACTTTGTAGAGAGTCAAATGTACAAGTAGAAAGCGAAATGGCAAAGATAAGAACAAATGCAATAATCCAATTAGGCATTTTAGCTAAAAGAATGAATAAGGCATTGTAACCATTCTCATCACCAACAGTTAAGTCCCCGGTCCAAACAGCTAACATACCTGGAACACCAACCAAAGAACAAATGGTAAAAGTTACGAAGGAAGCAATGGAACAACCAATCCATAAGTCTTTATTACTTTTAGAAGCGAAAGTTCTTAACCAGAATCCTGCCATAAAACAGTCATTAGTTACGATAGCCACGAACAAAATATAAACCAATTGCCAACCTAACTTATTACCTTTCAATAAACCAGAAGGGCCAATCTTCGAGGTATCAATATCAATGTTAGTAGCCATACCAATGATGCAAACCACCACAAGTACAAGAACGAAAGCACCTTGGAAATTATCGGTGATAAAACTAACCCTAAAGCCACCAATACTAGTATAGATTGAAGTTACCACAACTTCTACAATAACGGCTGCTAAAGCATTAAGACCGGTTAAAGTTTCAATGGCAGCTCTAATTGCAGAAAGTTCCCCAATCATAAATAAAAACATGGTGAGACAAGTGAAAAAGGATAAGTATAAAGCAGTGACTATCCCAAATCTTTGTCTAACCCATTCAGTAAGAATGAAACCGTCAGGACATTTACGACGGATGATTGGACCCACGGCTGCAAAACCAAGAATGGGAATAGCCCCACAAATGGTATAAACTAATAATCCATGTAATCCTGCAATATTACTTATTTCCGTATAAGTAGTCAATATACCACAACCCATGGCTGAAATAGAGAATTTGTTAATATACTAATTGAAAATCGAATAAACGGGGACTATGTGTCAGCCATTGGTCATATAAGTCAATCACCCACAATAGCTGACACCTGAATCTAATTAACAACAGAAACTTCCTCACGCAAGAATAATCCTGATCGAGTCCGAACGGTCTAATCTCAGTTCTTCAGTTTCTTATTCAGAAATTGAAAAACACCCGCTAGTTTCAATTGTTCAAGTTACCTTTACTACTATCAATATCCAAAACATCATAATTTTCAACGAGAATAGTTTCACTGTTTAACTAAGAATCTTCAATATCCTGTTTTCTATTCAAAATACATACCTGAAGCAATAAAGTTCAAAGCTAACGGAAACCCCCGTTGAGTTCCATTCGAAGATAAGAAAGTGTTGGCCTGGGAAAACCTGAATGCCAATAGCAACCCTGTAGCCAACAAAAATATATACGTCAAGTATATAATAGCATTATTACCTTGAGACGAAAGCATGGTGGTTTAACTTCGTTCACTTCTTTAAAGTAGTAGTAGCTGATCTTTAATTGAAGCTTTTTTTAAAAATTTTTTTTTTTTCAAAATCTTTTGAACTTTACCGGATTTAAATTTCCGAGCAATCAACTACCGAAATACATCAAAAAGACGAAAACAATAGGAAGACTTAGGAACATGATTTTGCAACCATATGCTTCTTAGACTTATACGGAAGGGTAGCTGTCTTAGTGTGCTACTCTTATAAGTTTCGTACACTCAAGACCTGCCTAAGAAAGTCTGCTTCAAAGCATTGAAAAAACCCGTGCAATAGAATAATTATCTCCTTGAAAGATAAGCCCATATAATAGCCCCATGAAGATAGTTTAAATTGCCGGGATAATCTCCCTTTAATTTCAAATTTGGGCAAGTACGCCATGTTATTTTCGATTTTCTTTATTTTACTTTCTGCTTGTTTAAGCGTAAATGCTTCCAATTGGGCCGGAAAATATGCTTCAGAGCTACTGGAGCCGGTTGATTATCCGTATAAGATACATACTGGTAAATTAAAAGGTATTATTAAGTATACTGATGGTCCCAAAGATATTGATGTCGGAACTCTAGTTATGTATGAGTTGCAATCAGCATTTTTCTTCAAAGGAGGCCAATGGCTGTTAGTCAATAGCGACCGTGACGATGGAAAGACATTTCAGGTTTCTAATGAGTTTGCTGAGGAAATTTTCCCCCACTCTGAATGGCAAGATACTGAAACCCTTGAAAATACTTCAGATGAAATGAGTATGCATTTGCATGTCTCCAAAGAAATGGTGGAAGAGTTCTATGCGGCAGCCGTTGAATCAGCTCATAGCAACGATTTGTTTGAGGAAGTATGTGACAGTCCAGAAAGTAAATGGGAATTTCCTGCTTTGGATAAGAGTGGAAAGAATGGAATTGAGTTTGATTAAGAAAGGCCCTGATTGTTTTGATTATATTACTAAAAATTTTATGCTTCTTGTTAATTAAATATTAATCTTAAAGTTTAATGTAGATGAACTGGCCATATAAATTTTGCTTAATGTACCGGGATCATTTTTTTTGCTGCAAAATTGAAGACTCGTTTATGAAGTCACCCTAAAAAGCATAGGTTTCAAATATTTTTATAGCTTCACACCCCTAGATTAACCAGAGCCCCTTTGCTCATACTCAACGGTATCTTTTCTCTCTTGATCTTTATAAGTAGAAGGAAATATAGTCTTTATTTTAAGAAAAAAGGGCCAAAAAAAAACTTTTTACAGTAGATTTAAGGTAAACTAGTTCCTTGATTTACAAGTCAACTGAACCATTCCTCTACATTAAAATTACCGCTGATACTAGTAACTCCTGCAGAATGTTCAATAAAACGAAGAAGCGGTCGTGAGAGGTATTTCTCTAGCATTAATTTTTTTTTCATCTTATTTTATGCTCAAATTAAATTTTCATATGAGAAATAATAACGTATTCACTATACAAAGATTATCGGGTTATGTGGCTAGATCAGACCTCCATCGTCCTCAAGTATCTACGTAGTAAATACCTGTACCAGACTGGACGACCATAACACACGCAATTAGCTATTAGTCAGATACATACTAATAACGATTTGTGTTGATTAATTAACTAATTAGATTAATCTTTTAGCTGTTATTAAAGGGAGAATAACTTTATTACAATTAATACTAATATAATAAGAGCCATAAATAAAGTATATATATTATTAATGTCATTACCGAATGAAAACTCTCTGTAGGGCATCGACCCACTCTTCAGTCCAATAACCAATAGGATTAGCCACGAAGGTCCACACCACAAAAAGTCTTTTAGGCATTTCCTCATCTGATGGAAATGCCTACTTATTTATATACTTGTTCTCGTAAAAGATGCTCTCTTCCGATGTTGTTTCACAAAAGATGTTTGTAACACATTTTGCTTAAACCTCAGCCTGATGATGTCTGTGATCTGCCTTGATGTAAATCAGACCCAGACATCACCGCCAGACCTTCACGGTTTGACAAAGATGCATAATAGATGAATGGAATGCCAGACAAAAATCCAGATTTTTTACTCAAAAACTTTAGACATTTCAAATAAACACAAACATATTAAACTAGGCCTCAAAAAAGTCATCAAGAAGCCTGGTTAGCTCAATGGCTAGAGCGTGTGACTTTTAATCACAAGGTTGCGGGTTCGACCCCCGCATCGGGCTTTCTTTTTTGCATCATTTTTTCTTATATTTTTGAAATCGAGAGACCTTTAATGTTTAACTGATTGGATAAGTATTTTATCATTGGTATATAGAGTAAACTTATAATTGTAAGATACCTATTAACTTCTTGCTGATCCGTTTTCAATAAATGTCTTTTGTAAGGTAGATTGTACAAATATACTACAAATATAACCTATATATTAGAGATGAGAAATCACCGTGGTAAGCTGCTTATCAGCTTCATTGTCATGTTCATATCAGTGGGGAGTATTTATCAGTTAGGTTTATCTATCGATCTAGAAACTGGAAGCATGCTTAAAAAACAGAATTAACGGGCCACGAAGACCTCATTACTACAAGATTACAGCCGTGTCATTATACTAAAATGGGTTTAACTAAGATATCATGCTGGAATATTTAAATTCTGAATAAAAAGGTACAACCAAATACAAAAAAAAACTCTTGGAGACAACGATTATGGGTCTACCATTCGCCATCAACTACTCTTTCATGTATATAGTGTTATCTTCTATTGTAAAAGACTTTGTCTTGTACCAAAGAGCTTGCATTTCATTACACACGGAACCTAGTGAGCGGAATTTTTTTTGTGCAAAAAGTTTAACATTGTTCTGATATGAAGTTCGTATCTCGACACATGGATTGGATTGTATCAATACCTCCACCTTTTATAGATCTTATCTTCAAGTAAAAAGATGTATATATGTAGTCATGGATGTGTAATGTTGTAATGAATATTCAGTGTTGTTCACCAAAATGGATACTAAAAATTCACCAACTATTATAGATGAAGAGACAGGAAAAGTTGAAAATATCACTTATGTCTCTTCAATCAACTCATCGGATAATCATTTAAAACAACATACTTTTGATAATGTGAATATACCTTTCAAGCAGCGTTGGAACTTATTTTGGTCTTTCAAAAAACCAAATCATAGTTTAGAACCAAAGTCTTTAACCTTCTGGTACCCTTCTGATTCAACAGCTTATGAAAAAAAGCTTTACTTTAAACTTGACTGTTTCCTACTTACATTTGTTAGTTTAACGTTTTTCATTAAGTATTTGGAATACTCATCAATGCAATATGCTTATACTGCAGGCCTTAAAGAAGCTTTCAATTTATCGGGTACTGATTATAACTGGATCGATAATGGATACTATATTTGTTATGCAGTAGGTGGTTTATTTGGGGTACTCTTAACTGCATATTTCCCACCACGGATAGTATTTCCTTGTTTTGAGTTATCATGGGTTGTTTTCACCATTTTAAATTGTGCTGCTCATGATTTCACTAGTCAACTTGTTTTAAGATGCTTCCAAGGTGGTCTTGCTGGTATGGCATTCCCTTCAATAAGCTACATTTTGGGAACTTTTTACCCTCCAGAGTTATTATCAAGTAGAACTTGCATCTTCATATTTGCTGGTTGTGTTGGTCCCATCATCGGAGGTGTTATTCAATCTGGTTTATATGGAGCTTTAGAAGGTAAAAATATTGGAATCCCAGCTTTTAAAATGGCACAGGTTGTTGATGGGTTGATCGGTTTACCGGTTGCAATCTCAGGTTTCTTCGCAATTCCTCCAGTTACCGGTGATAAAGGTAATCTTTATTTAAGTCGTGAAGATATTCAACATTTGTTCAAACGTACTGAGCAATCTTCTGAACAAACTCATAATAAATTTAATGTAAAATTCATTTGGAGTGTCCTTACTTCGTGGCAATTATGGTTATTTTGTCTTCTTTTCAGTGCTGAACAAATTGCTGGATATGCTGCTTCTTTCCAATCAATTGTTTTAAAATCTCAAGGTTATAGTGTTTATGATTGTAATAACTTACCAACAATTCAATCTGGTGTCAAAGCAGTCGCTTCTCTTCTTGCAGGAGTCTTAATTGAATTAAAAGGTAAACGTTTTGAGGTTTATCTATTGATCTGTGCTATATGGATGACTGGTTTAGCCATATTAGTTAAATACGATGTGGCACGTATTGCTCAATTTATTGGTTATGCCTTAACGGGAGTTAGTTCACCGGTTAGTGCTATTCTTCTTAGTTGGGCTAATACAGCTTCTCGTAATAGAGGTGCTGGTTTTAGAGCCTTTGTTTTAGGTTCTTTGAATATAGCTGCTCAAATTTGCCTTACCCCAATTGGAGTCCTCATTTTTGATACTAGTTTGGCTCCCCGTTTCACAACTGGTATGAGACTTGGTTTGGCAATGGTGGTCTTACAAGTCTTTGGGGCCTGTGCCCTTCTTTGGTGTGATCGTTACGAACGTAGATTGGCTGATTTTATAGATGAACAGTCTACCGAATCAGACGAAAAAATATAATCTTGCATACGTATAAATCCAATAAATTTTCCTAGTATTCGAATTCAATAAAATCATTGTAAAAAATTTGCATCCTCGTTGGAAATCCATGAATATTTGGCGTAACAAGGCTAAAGATATGTCTATAAGCAGAAAAAAAAATATCTCACATATTTGAGCTCATTGCACTTCTACAACCATAACAGTTTGCAAGCGTTCTATTCATAAACCATTTTATAGACCAATCTACGTACCAGTTTATAGATTTGAAGATCTTTGCAATTTTTTTGCAACGCATCTAAACAAATCCTGCACAGAAAATACACTAGAGTCTCATCGCATAGTTTTTTTTTTCAATTTTCAGTAAAGCATCAGCTTGATCTTTATTCAAGATTTTATACAATAATCATTAGCGCTCTATTGATACTTTCAATCTTTACTTAATACGTTAAAGGAAGGTACAGTAGCTTAACGGTGATGAATAACAATATTTTCATTGACTTGGAAGAGTCTGAAGCCTTGTTTAAGGTGTATCAAGACCTGTTCCCGTCAAAAAAGATTCCTAGTTCTTTTGAATTCAACAAGTCAATTTCAATTCAGGAGAACTTGGATAACCTTGCATTATATGCCGTGAATCCAAGATATACAATTCCAGTGTTTTATTCATACAATCAAATCTTTCTCGAGTTAATTTCAAGGTGGATATTAGAACCTGCCAAATTTGAAAATGCCCTTCATTCAACTAATAAGATTCAAGGCTCTGTAATCCTTAAAGCATTATCAAGATTAATCCAAATTTCAGAAGAATCTGTAAGCTTGATAGAATTCTACGTTAGTAGAATGAATTTCTTCAAGAAATTAACAGAAAATTTGAAGCTGTTAGAATCAAATGAACTCGAAGGAATTCTTTTAGCATTTTACAGATTATTAAGCTTAGACACTCATAGATTCAAACAATTTATTACCCCTGATGTATTATATTCCATATTAAAAATCGAAAATGATTCCGGAAAGGACATTTCCAAATATCTTTCTATCCAAATATTATCTAAATACCTAGAAGTTTCCGAAGTTTCTAGGAGAAAGATGTTATCTTCTCATGTCGGTGATGATAACGAATTATTAGGCTCTTACGAAACCGATGATGAAGTGAGCTATAAATTCTTACCTGTATTGGAAGCAAAAAGATTGTCCAACTTTACGAATCTTCCAGCTAGACAAACTAATATAACTAAGAGTAATAAAATTATTGCAGTTGAACCAAAAGATATTTCTACTTTGGTCACCTCTATTTGTGGTGTTTTAGTTCCTCATTTTATACATTCTGAAAATACCCTTGATTCAACTTGTGAAGATAACTTTGTTCCTACAGATAAATCAATTTATGTTTTACGAAAATTAGCTCATAATATTCAAGTAAATAAACCTGTTATGTTATATGGTATGGCTGGTTCAGGTAAAACTTTTCTTATCAATCAATTAGCTAAATACATGAAATACGATGATTCAATTGTTAAGATTCATTTGGGTGAACAGACAGACTCGAAACTTTTATTGGGTACATACAGCTCAGGAGAAAAACCAGGTACCTTTGAGTGGAGATCTGGGGTTTTAACCACTGCCGTGAAAGAGGGTAAATGGGTTTTAATTGAAGATATCGACAAAGCTCCAACTGAAGTCTTATCTGTTTTATTAACTTTATTAGAAAAAAGAGAACTCAGCATTCCATCAAGAGGTGAAATCGTGAAGGCAAAGAATGGATTTCAATTAATCTCCACAATCAGAATCGCAAATGATACTTCAAAAATCACTATTCCAGATATAATAGGTCTCAGAATGTGGGAACTCATTCATGTTCAACTTCCAAGCGATATGGATCTTAAAAATATTTTAAGTACCAGGTTCCCACTTTTAGATAGATTGGTTATAAAATTTATTCAATGTTTCAAAGAAATTATAAGGATTTATTCATCTAGTTCCTTCATTTCACTTAATAAAGGCTCTCATCCAAGAGTTATCTCTTTCAGAGATTTAATCAAATTTTGTTCTAGATGCAATAGAATGCTTATAAACCTTGGAATCAAGTCTACAGACCAACTCCTAGAATCTTCCATTTATGATAATATTTTTGCCGAAGCTGTTGATTGTTTCGGTAGTGCTATAACTGAATACTCTGCATTACTTCCATTGATCAGTGCTATAGGTGAGGTTTTAGAAATTCCTTCCTCTAGGATCAATTTATTCCTCAATAAGCATATTCCTTCCTTTTATAATGATGATGAAAAATTACAAATTGGAAGAGCTACCTTGAAAAAATCTCTTACTGATAAGGCTTTATTTTCAAACAAAGCTTCTGCCAATAATACTGCATTTGCTAGGACCAATCACTCATTGAAATTAATGGAGCAGGTTGGTGTTGCAATAGATATGGTTGAACCAGTTTTATTAGTAGGTGAAACCGGGACTGGTAAAACAACGGTTATTCAACAAATTGCCAAAATGATGAATAAAAAATTAACTGTTATTAATGTTTCACAGCAAACTGAATCGGGTGATTTATTAGGTGGTTACAAACCAGTCAATACCAAAACAGTTGCAGTTCCTATTCAAGAAATTTTTGAAAATTTGTTTATGGCCACTTTTTCCAAAAAGAAGAATGAAAAATTCGCTACCATTTTATCGAAATGTTTCAACAAAAGCCAGTGGAGAAACGTGATAAAATTATGGAATGAAGCTATAAGAATGGCCAAAGATATCTTATCAAAAGTTGAAAATGACTCTGATGAAGAAGGAGGTCCTAAGAAGAAACGTAAATTGAAATCACACGAAAAATCTGTTTTATTGGATAAATGGGTAGAATTCGAAAATAAGGTCAAAGATTTTGAATTCCAAGCATCTTCTTTGGAGAATTCTTTTGTTTTCAATTTTGTTGAGGGTTCATTGGTGAAAGCTGTGAGAAACGGTGAATGGTTACTTCTTGACGAAATTAATTTAGCATCTTCAGATACCTTAGAGAGTATTGCTGATTTATTATCAGAAAGCTTAGACCAAAGATCGATTTTACTTAGTGAAAGAGGTGATATTGATGATATCAAGGCACATCCAGATTTTAGAATTTTTGGATGTATGAATCCATCTACGGATGTTGGTAAAAAAGATTTACCTTTGAGTATACGTTCAAGATTAACAGAAATATATGTTCACTCACCAGATAGAGATATTCAAGATTTATTATCTATTATCGATAAATACATCGGTAGATTTGCCGTTGGTGATGAATGGGTTGGAAATGATATTGCAGAATTATATTTAGAGGCCAAAAAGTTATCAGAGTCCAATAAGATTGTCGATGGTGCTAATCAAAAACCTCATTTTAGTATTCGTACCCTTACTAGAACCTTGCTTTATGTTTGTGATATAATATCAGTATATGGATTGAGAAGGTCTTTGTTTGAAGGGTTCTGCATGTCTTTCTTAACTTTATTAGACATTAAATCTGAAAATATCTTGAAACCACTTATAGAAAAATATACCATTGGTAGACTTAAGAATATCAAATCAGTTATGTCTCAATGTCCTCCACTTCCTAGCACAGATGCTGATAAATATGTCCAGTTCAAACACTACTGGTTAAAGCGTGGTCCTGGGGAGATTGTCCCACAACCACATTATATCATCACACCCTTTGTTGAGAAAAACATGCTTAACTTGGTTAGAGCTACTGCTGGTAGCAGGTTCCCTGTTTTGGTTCAAGGTCCTACATCTGCTGGTAAAACCTCCATGATTAATTATCTCGCAAATATTACAGGCCATAAGTTTGTTCGTATCAACAATCATGAACATACTGACTTGCAAGAATATTTGGGTACTTATGTTTCAGATTCAACTGGTAAACTCGTATTCAAAGAAGGTATTTTAGTTGAAGCCTTGCGCAAAGGTCACTGGATTGTTTTAGATGAGTTGAATCTTGCACCAACGGACGTTTTAGAAGCCTTGAATAGATTACTTGATGATAACAGGGAATTGTTCATTCCTGAAACACAAGAAGTAGTACATCCTCATCCAGACTTCATGCTTTTCGCAACTCAAAATCCCCCCGGTCTTTATGGTGGTAGAAAAGTTCTTTCTCGTGCTTTCCGTAATAGATTCTTAGAATTACATTTTGATGACATTCCTCAAGACGAATTAGAGATTATCTTGAAAGAGCGTTGTCAAATTGCACCATCCTATGGTAAGAAAATTGTTGAAGTTTACAAACAATTATCCATTCAACGTCAATCTTCTAGATTATTCGAACAAAAGAATTCTTTTGCAACTTTGAGAGATTTATTCAGATGGGCCCTCAGAGAAGCGGTAGGTTATGAAGAGCTAGCTTCAAATGGTTACATGTTGTTGGCAGAAAGAGTAAGAAAAGAAGATGAAAAATTTTTAGTGAAGCAGACGATAGAAAAAGTAATGAAAGTTAAACTTGACATGGATGCATATTATGAAAAATTGGAAAACAAAGAATTGCTTAATATTCCATCATCAATAGTCTGGACCAAAGCAATGAGACGTTTGGCAGTTTTGGTCATGACATCAATAAAGTACAAAGAACCTCTTTTATTGGTCGGTGAAACTGGTTGCGGTAAAACCACTGTTTGTCAAGTCATTTCCAAATACCTTAACAAAAAATTAATCTCTGTCAATGCTCATCAAAATACTGAAACAGGAGATATACTAGGTGCTCAAAGACCAGTTCGTAATAGGTTTGAAACAAGAACTAAACTTGTAAAGGAATTGGTTGATCTCTTTGAAAAATTGAATATCACAATTCCTTTGAAAGAAATCAAGTTGGAAGAAATGGTAAAGAAATACAACGAAATTTCTAAAGAGAATATAGACCCTGATACAATTTCTTCTATTGAAGAAGGTAAACGTAACTGTACAATATTATTTGAATGGAATGATGGACCTTTGACTCATGCGATGAAGGATGGTCAAATTTTTTTACTTGATGAAATATCATTAGCAGATGACTCCGTTTTAGAAAGATTGAATTCCGTATTAGAACCTGAAAGAAGCTTGTTATTAGCTGAAAAAGGTACTGATGATGCGTTTGTTCAGGCTGCCGATGGTTTCGAGTTTTTAGCTACCATGAATCCTGGAGGAGATTACGGAAAGAAAGAATTATCTCCAGCTTTAAGGAATCGTTTTACAGAAATTTGGGCTCCTTCAATGGAAGATTTCAACGACGTTAGACAAATAGTCTCTTCTAAAATAGACGAAAGAGCCCAAAATCTCGTTTCCGCTTTGGTTGACTTTTCCGAGTGGTTTGGGAAGAAATTTGGCGGTGGTAGTGCCAATAGCGGTGTGATTTCACTTCGTGACATCTTAGCTTGGGTCGAATTTATCAATTCTTGTATTTCTAAAGTAGCCCCAGCAGAAGCATTTCTTCATGGTGCTGCCTTGGTATTTATTGATGCTTTGGGTACCAATAATACTGCTTATTTAGCTGAGGATGAAACTAGATTAAATCAAGAAAAGTATGAATGTGTCGAAAAATTGTCAGATTTAACAGGGTCAGATCTTTTTTCAATTTACTCAGGAAGTAACCAAGTTTTGCTTGAAGAACAAAATCTTGTTGCAGGCTCTTTTTCCATTCCTAGAGTTGATGTTTCAAATTCCAAAGATCAATTTAACTTACATGCTCCCACAACAGCTGCTAATGCTATGCGAGTAATTAGAGCCATGCAAGTTCATAAGCCTATTCTTTTAGAAGGTAGTCCTGGGGTTGGTAAAACGAGTTTGGTTTCAGCAATTTCGAACTCCACAGGTAATCCACTAGTTCGTATAAATTTATCGGAACAGACAGATTTAGTGGACTTATTTGGTTCAGATGCTCCTGCTGAAGGTGGTAACACTGGTGAGTTTGTTTGGAGAGACGCACCCTTTTTAAGAGCCATGCAAAAAGGTGAATGGGTATTACTTGATGAAATGAACTTGGCTTCTCAATCTGTATTAGAAGGTTTGAATGCTTGTTTAGATCATAGAGGTGAAGCCTATATCCCCGAGTTAGATAAATCATTTGCATGTCACCCAGATTTCAAAGTCTTTGCTGCACAAAACCCTCAATACCAAGGTGGTGGTAGAAAAGGGCTTCCAAAGTCATTTGTTAACCGTTTCACTGTCGTATACGTCGATGTATTAAAATCGGAAGATTTGAATTTGATTTCACAGCATATTTTCCCCAATATTGAAAGCTCCATCTGCGAGAAAATGATCGAGTATATGTCAAAATTGGAAGAAGAAGTTGTCATTAAAAAATCTTGGGGTACTTCTGGTGGCCCTTGGGAGTTCAACTTGCGTGATACTTTGAGATGGCTCAGTTTGTTCAATTCGATCAATCTCACAGAAGACATAAATCCGTTTGACTTTTTCAACATGATCATACGTCAAAGATTCAGAACTGATGTGGATAGAGCGAAAGCTTTAGAACTTTTTGAGCTGGTATTCGGACACTTTGAATTCCGGGATAACTTTTATCATCTTGCTGATGATTATTTACAAGTAGGAGGTGCTGTAATTAAAAGAAAGGATATAATTCAATATGCCAATAGCAGTAATCCAATTCCATTGCAAAGTAATTTCCCTGTTCTTGAATCTGCTATTAGGTGTGTCAACCTTAATTTGCCTTTGATTCTTGTTGGTCCAACTAATTCAGGTAAGACAGATCTTGTGAGATTCCTTGCCCATGTTGTTGGGGCTAAAGTTGATGAATTTGCTATGAATAGCGAAGTTGATAGCATGGACATTCTTGGTGGTTACGAGCAAGTTGATCTTACTAGATCCATTGTTGCCCTTAAGTCTGAAGTAAAAGAGATTATCACTGAATTAGTGACGATAAACTTATCTACTTTAGAAACAGAGCCAATTATTTTACTTCAATCATTGAAGCTTATCAAGTACATCGAATCAAATGAAATCACTACAGGAAATTATAACGACTTTAATGAATTTTTCAATGCGTATATTTCATTTTATTCAAATCCTCGCCTTGATTCACTTTCCAAGGAATCTAGAATATTAGCTGAAAGGATTGAAAAAGAGAAAAGCGTCAGATTTGAATGGTTTGATGGACTTCTTGTGAAAGCAGTTGAAAAAGGAAACTGGTTAGTATTGGATAACGCAAACCTTTGCAGTCCATCAGTTTTGGATAGATTAAATTCCTTATTAGAGACCAATGGTAGCTTAATAATTAATGAATGTAGTTCAGCAGATGGCCAACCAAGAACTTTAAAACCACATCCAAATTTCAGATTATTTTTGACTGTTGATCCAAAGTATGGTGAATTATCTCGTGCCATGCGTAATAGAGGTGTTGAAGTATATATGGATCCATTGCCAAGTAGGGCAACAAAATTAGATGCTGAACAATTGGGTTTCTGCAATTCAAACGACGATAAGGAAAAAGATAATTTAGTAAACAGAATGGAAACATTAAAGGTGGACGAAAGAAACTCATCTAAACCTGTGTTATCATTCATTCCTGCTAACTCGTCAGGATTAAGACCATTCTCTTTGGTAAATGACTTTTTCGTAAAATCAGAAGCCATAAGTGAAAGGGTCAATGCCATTATGAGTGTGATACCTTTCCTAGAGATTGAATCTTTCAAATTATTTGCAAAAACGGTCGCCTCTACCCACGAGTTTTCTCTTGAATTCAAGAATTTTATTCATGAGTTCACTCTATCATTGAAGTTCTTGGTAGATAATAATGTTGTGGGGAAAATGTTTAATACTTACACAGAAGCACACGAAAGAGCTAGTATCACTCTTAATTGTAATGTTAACTTTTCGAAAAATCAATTTATTCACCCTCTTGTCAACAATTACATTCTGGCAACCATCTCAAGGTCATCACCACATGTCGACTCAGCTGAACCTACCCTTTTGATTGAAGTCGCTTCAAAACTTTTCGAGGCTTCTTCGTTGATCCAATCATTAGAAGAAAGGGCCACCTCTGGGAAGATCGCAGATTTGTCTTATATTGAAAAGTCTGCAGCATTTGAATTAGGAAGAAACATAAAAAAGCCACCAAGATTAAAGATTTATAATTTTGTTAAAAATGTGAGTGAATACATCAATAAAACATTCGGTTCAAGTTTCAGCGATGTTGCCTTTAAAAGTGAAACAGTTTACACTGCATTATTTGAACTTCAAATAATTTGGAGAAGCTTATTTGATGTCTCAGCTGAGCAAAATGAAGCCAAGTTGAGAATTTTTCAAAACTTAGTACGTAAATGGACCGAAAAGTATGAAAACGATGAATTTATTTGTTGTTTCTTGGATGATTTGTTGAAGGCGGTTGATTTATTCGGCTCAGATCTCGAACTCAAAACAGGTTTTTCCATGAGTAAGATTTGGGAGTTCTTTAGACAAGAATATCCTTCGTCAGAAATGGCTTGGTCTAATGCCAAATTTGTGATTGATATCGCCGCTGATTTTGACGAGGTTGCTGCAAAACAGTTTAATGATACCACAGAATTAGTTAATACCTTAAGAGCTATTATAATAGATCTTTATGAGGACGTTTTATCGAATAGAATTTCAGACGAAGATTTTAACAGTTTCTCAGAGAAACTTCAAGATGGTATCTCAAAGCTAAGGGTTACATCAGATGCATTCATAAACAAACGCCAGAACGATTTCAAACATGAGTTCACCTTGTTATCTAACTTCTTAGAAACTTCACCCGAGTCATCTTCAAAAGCATCCGAAATTTTATCATTATCAGGTTTTTCTCAAAAGTCTACCATCAACTTATCTAAGATCACAAAAGGACCAAATTTCAATCCTTATCCGTCCATTTTCGATAGTTTATTCAATGAAAATAGAAAAGATGATTCTTATGTGGATGGAATATTCACTAACGAACTTTTGATGTCTACTTTATTAAAGAGTGTTAACTTCGACAACCGTCCTGGTAAGTATTTAAAACAGAATGTCGATGATATGAATATGCTAAGTAGAAAGATCATTGAAAATTCAACTTCGTTGTTGGCAGACCAAAGAGAATACTTTGTATCTCTCTTGTTCTCTTGGTTTACTCTTTTGATTGATGCTCATAAACAATCATTAAGTGATGAAGCTCGTGAAGAAATAAAAAAATTGTTAAATAACCATGAAATTGGGGAAGTCAAGTTTACCAAGATCATCGAATTATTAAAACAATCCAACGACGGTCCATTTGTATCCATTTTCGAAGACTACATGGTTCCTTCGTTGTATGTGGCTTCAGCTTCTGATAACTTAAAAGCTCTTGGTAAAGCCTGGGTACTCTTTTCATGTGGTGCAATTCAATTATATGTTCCAAGTTCTGCATATGATCCAGCCATTGAAGAACATGTTGTTTATAAAAATTTCGAATACCAGCAAGAAATTTGCAGAAACCTCGCTAAGTCATGGTCGTTTGTTAGAGATGTATTTAGTGGAGAAGAGCTTCACCTTGAAAAATTATTACCAAAAGTGGACGACTCTGAAATCCCGAAGAAACCTAGAGTTTTTAGAAAAGATGTTGCAATTGATGATATTTTCGAAGAATGGAAGGCTTTAATGGAATCTACTGTGGACATTGAACCTGTCAAGAAGCTTTTGCAATCAGCTGAGGAACTGTCGAAAGACCTTTCCAAATTTATTGAGATTTTCCAAAACAATACATCCCAATTCCTAGCTCGATTGAGTCTGAATTATTTGATTTATTCAGATTTAAATGACATATTGCGTGGGTATATATTTGGTCTCAAACTCGGATTTGGTCTTCTTTCTTTGGCTAACAGAAATACCAATGCCATTTATTCATTAAAGAAAGGATTTCTGGCTGATGTTATTTCCATCACCAATGAAGATGATGTCAAAATCATTTTTGAAAATTCTAAAGTATTAGCCAAAAATGCTGGTGTTGATTCGTTTGCTCCGGAGTACATAATGTTATTTTTTATCCAAGTTGCTTTTGCCCATAAACAACTGAAAGAGGACCCAACATTAAATGGTGTTTTGGAAAATTCATTGCAAGCTCTTTACTATAGATGGACATTGCGGAGAATGAAGCAAGAAGAAGAAACAGCTCAACAAGGGTCTTTATATAAGTATACTGATCCTGATGCAGACATTGAAGGTGATTTCAGATCTTTGTTTCCTGATTATGAGGATGTGATAGAAGTTGATACTGACTCCAAGAAGAAAAATGACTCTTTCGAGAATATTTATTCTAAATTGGGTAAATTATATGTCAATCAGTTTTATTCAAATAACTCCATTGATCTCCAAACATTGATGGAAGACGGATCCCATTTGGTTAATGTCTTGCTGAATTTTGAGAACGATCTCACCTATGGTCTGAACTCATCTTCGCTTCTTGCAACACTTGTGACTTCTTTATCCAAATCATTGGATTCTGTGAAAGAGAAAGACCAAGAAATTAACTTCTACCGTGATTACTCCACCTCTGAGTTTAAAAGGGCTATTTTGAGTATTGATTCTGTGCACCTGGCAACTGTCAAGCTTTTGGCTCAATGGCCTGAACATGCTACTCTCCAAAATATTGTTAGAGCGTCTGAGGAATTTTTGCTTTACCCGGTAAATAGTCCTGTTTCTAAATTGATTCAAAAGGTGGAACAAATTTATACTTATATTGCAGAATGGGAAAAATATGCTTCCAGCCAAGTGACCCTTAAACCTGTATTCGATGAATTAACCCAATTAATTGTCTCTTGGAGAAAGTTAGAACTTTCTACCTGGAAATCGCTTTTCAAATACGAAGATTCTGTTATGGAAGATAATATTGGAAAGTGGTGGTTTTATCTTTTTGAAACAATAATCATTCCTTGTTATAATATGGAAGAGTCAGATCTGAATGGCGTTGTCAAATTATTATCCGCTTTGAATTTATTTATGAGTCAAGCTACATATGGTGAATTTATTCCCAGAATTAACTTGATCAAAGCATTCAAAAATCATGTTAACATTATTGCTGCAGATAGTTTAGTATTCAACGCACTTGCGAACTTCATTGACTTTTATGAGCAATTCACCTCTACAATCATTTCTAACATAGAAAATGGAAAGAAAAAACTCGAAAAAGACGTTTCTGAAGTTATTCTTCTCGCTAGTTGGAAGGATGTGAATATTGATGCCCTTAAGCAAAGTGCTCGTCGTTCTCACAACAACCTTTACAAGATTGTTAGGAAATATCGTGCTTTGTTAGCTACGGCTGTTACTCCGATGATTGAACAAGGTATTAGCTATGAAGTTCCGGTTAATGTTCATTTAAGAGATATATCCAAGGCCAACTCACTGGTTAATAATGCTTCCGCGAGTGGGTTATTATGCAAAGAATTGTCCACTTGGTCTGAAAGACCTGCCCGTCTTCAAAATATTTCTATAATTGATAAAAATATGTCAGTATATGTGTCTCGAATTGCAAATGAGGAACTTCCAAGCTTAGAAGAGTTTACTCAAGATGTTGTCCTAGAAATGGAACGTTTACGCAAAGAAACTCCAACAGTTTTGAATGATAAAACTAAGAAATTGGTTGCCACTTTGAAAACCCAGAAAAGAAAGTTATTGAGTGATACTTTGCGTGAAATCAGAAGACTGGGATTGAAAATACATCACAGACAAGACATTCAGAGCGTACAGGCGACAGTTAATTTGATTTTAGGTAACAGCTCTACTTTCGAAAAAGGGTTACTTAAAGGGGCTGATGCATACTATTACAGATTATTGGATCTTCTTCCAAGATTAAGAGCTTCCGTCTCCACAGTTGCGGAAGATGTTCCTCAAGCGGATGCTGAAAAAGGGCTTGCTGCTGTTGAAAATCTCGTCTTTTCATTGATCACAACTCGTAGCCCATTATCTGAGTTATCTGATTCTGTTGAAAAGATCAACGAGATTTACAGAAGTTTTGAAAAAATCTCGACTTCTGTTGATGATAAGGATTATTTGATCAAGGCATCTGTTGTCGATTCTGTTTCGCTTAATTTGGATATGATAAAAAGGGCTGTTTACTGGTTGCCAAAAATTGCAGACTTTTCTATTTCTGCTATTAATGCTGGTACTTCCTTCAATGTATCTTCATCTTCTACAGTATTTTATGAAATAAGAAATAAGGCAGAGGAATTTGCAGAAAAATTGAAGCTCTTGGATATTTATTCTATGAATAAGGTAACTATTACCTTTATAGAAGAATTTAGTGCTTTCTACAATGAAATTTTATCTAAGTTGAGTGACTGGAAAAATGAAACCAAGGGAAATTCGTTTATTGCCGATCTTGTCTTGAAATGGGTTAGTGAAACCAGATATATCCCTTTTATTGATTCTTCCACTTCTCTTAGTCAAATAAAAATAGTAGAGGATATTGAAAAAGCTTTCAGAGATTTATCAAACGCTATTCTTGTATCTGTCCAAAGAGTTATTGAATGTCAAACCGAACAAATAACAGAAGAAGATGATAACTGGTTAGTTCTTTCTCAACTGCGTTTGTTCAAATACATCAAATCTTCCCATCATAAACGTATACTTGAAAAAATGGAATTCTGCTTAGATGTTATGAAGAAGGTCGAATATAATGCTAAAACCTCTGAATTGGCTGCCGCATTAACTTCATTTACACTTCCTCTCATTTACCATTATGCTACGTTGACCACCAAAATTTTTGAAAAAACAAGGGATAATTATGTCACTAGTTCTAAAAGTACTTTCATATTATCAAATACTCTTTACACATTAGCAACAAAAGGTTTCTGTTCGCCAGATGCACCAAATGAGCAAAAGGAGGACAATAACTTGCACGATGGTACTGGTTTAGGTGATGGAGAAGGTGCTGAAAATAACTCCAAAGACGTGGAGCAAGATGATGACCTAACTGAAGATGCTCAACAACCAAATGAGGAAAACAAAGAAAAGGACGAAAATGATGACGAAAATGATGATGCTGTTGACATGGAAGGTGACATGGCCGGTAATTTAGAAGAAGCTTCTGATCAAGAAAAGGAAGACGAAGATCAAGAAGACGGAGAAGAAGAAGAATTGGATGAAGAAGTTGATGACATTGATGATCTTGATCCTAATGCTGTAGATGAAAAGATGTGGGATGAAGAAGCCAAAGAAGATAATAAAGAGAAAGATTCTGATAAAGTTCCTGAAAACTCCACTAATGATGACAATATGGAAGCAAACGAAGACGAAAATGAAGGCGAAAACAACGATAAGAAAGACAAACAAGATGATGAACAAGAAGGTGAACAAAATGAAGATAATGATGAGAATGATGACAACGAAAATTCAGATGACGAGGGTAAAGATGTTGGAGAACAAGAAGATGAGGTGAAGAATGATGAAAATGAACAATTAGAAGAACATGTTCCAGAAACTGAAACTTTAGATTTACCTGACGATATGAATCTTGATGGTGACGAAGATAAGGGAGACAACGAAGAAGAGGAGAATGAAGAAGAATTTGATGACAAAATGGATGTCGATGACAAAAAAGATGATAAAGTCGAAGAAGATGAGGGAAATGAAGAACAGGACGACAATGCTGAAGATATGGAAGCTGAGCCTGCGGATAATGAAGATGAAAATATGGAAGAAGATGCGGAAAAAGAAGATGAACCTGACAATGGGGAATTAGGAATCAACGAAGAAGAAGGAATGGAATCGGAAGAAGAAGCAGTTGGTAATGAAGAAGAAGATAAGAAACAAGAAGAAGGTGGTAATGATGAAGAAGAAGGACAAGATAAGGCTGAAGGGGTTGATGGTGCCAATGACAACAATGATAATGAAGATTTTGATCAGGATGCAGCAGTTCAAACTGAATCTGGTGAAAAAGGTGAAGGTGCTGACAACCAAGTTTCTGAAGAAAATGATGATATTGGAGCTACCGGTGGTGCATCGATGAATGATCAGCAAAAAGAGACAGAAGATCTGACCACACAAGATGATGCCAGGGATTTGGCTAAAGAATCCTTAAAAGAGTTAGGTGATTCCTTAAAAGAATTCCATCGTCGTCACCAAGAAATCAAGGAAGCTGCTCAAGAGGAAAAGGAGGAAAAAGTTGATCAATCAGCTAATGAAAGACCTGATGAATTCCAGCACATTGAAGGTGAAAATACAGACTTCGATACACAAGCTCTTGGAGCTGCTGATAAAGAACAGGTACAATCGATTGACGAAGATAAAGCAATAGATGATGACGAACCTACTAAAGAAAAAGAGAAAGACGTCAAAGAAGAAGCTAAGCAAGAAGATGAAAACGATATGGACGTCGATCAAAATGCTGAAGAAGTCGGTGAAAATGACGCTGAGATGGATGAAGATCCTGATTTTGAAGGCAAGGCTAAAGGTGGATTTATTGGTGAAAGAATTAAATCAGAGGAAGATAATGAGTTAATTATCAAGTCTGAGTTTGATGAAGAAAAATTCGATGGTCATTTTGATGATAACATTGACGATATTGACATTAATGTTGACTTCAATGAGCCACCAAGATCAATGGATGAAGCTCGTGAGTTATGGAAATCTAGTGAATTAGCAACTCAAGAATTAGCCTCGGGACTTTGTGAACAATTAAGATTAATTTTGGAACCTACTTTGGCTACAAAATTAAGGGGAGATTACAAGACTGGTAAAAGATTGAATATGAAGAGAATTATACCATATATTGCGTCTGAATTCCGTAAAGATAAGATCTGGCTAAGAAGAACTAAACCATCTAAAAGACAATATCAAATTATGATTGCGGTTGATGATTCCAAATCCATGAGTGAAAGTAAATCTACTGAATTAGCATTCCACAGTATTGCATTAGTATCCAAGGCTCTTACTCAATTAGAAAGTGGAGGCTTATCTATTGTTAGATTTGGGGAAGACGTTAAATTAGTACATCCATTTGACAAACCATTTAATAATCAAGAAACAGGAACGAAAATATTCCAATGGTTTGATTTCCAACAAACCAAAACCGATATTAAACTTTTATGTAATAAAGCCTTGAAAATTTTTGAAGATGCAAGATCTAGCTCAAATACCGATTTATGGCAATTACAAATTATAATTTCTGATGGTGTTTGTGAAGACCATGACACTATTCAAAGTATGGTTAGAAAAGCAAGAGAAGAGAAGATTATGTTAGTCTTTGTTGTTATTGATGGTATCAATTCCAATGAATCGATCATGGATATGTCACAAGTTAGGTATGAGCAAGATCCAAATACTGGAGCAATGAATTTGAAAGTTGATAAGTATTTAGATTCATTCCCATTCGAATTCTATGTTGTTGTTAGAAATATTAATGAACTTCCAGAAATGCTTTCTTTGATTTTAAGACAATACTTCTCTGAAGTTGCATCAATTTAAAAGTAACAAAAAAAAAAAATAAAACCAAAAAAATTACATGTATATAAGTTTTGTATAATAGATTAATTATAATTTACATTTGTTTTTATTAGATTTATTAGATTAAGGAATAATTTTTCTTCTATAAAATTACATGACCAATTAGTATTATTATTGATTATATTGTACAAAGTTTTCATTTTGGATGCAAAAATTTTTAACCCGATCGAATGCTGTTGATATTTTTTTTTTTTTTTGATAATGATTTTTCTTTTATTATTATGACAATTAATGTTTTACCCAATGACCCTTTTGATGCTATTGATTTGATTTTGATTTTGTTTTGGAATTAGGAACAACCCTACTGATGATGATTGAACAGTCATCTAATTTACCTCCATAGATTGATTTTTTACCATATTTTTCTTCAGGCAAGCTATTAACTTTTTCGTTATAAGGAGTATAAGCATAATCATCGAAAGCCACTTCTTTAGCCTTCATTAATAGCTTATTAGCAACTTTCCTCAAGTTACCCTTTTCCATTAGTAAGAACTCATCAACATACTGGACAATTTCTGATTCATACAAGTTATCGGAGATACCATCAGAGCATAGGATGATGATATCATCTTCTTGCAACTTGATAGAGTCCACCCAAGCCATTTCACTTGGCAAAGAATTCAAAGTTTGAGTTCCTATTTGTTGAGGACATAATTCAGAAACCATTTGTTCCTCATTAGTTTTAATAATTTCACCATCACGAAGAATATAAATCTTAGAATCACCAATACTTATCATTTTCAAGTATTCTCCGCTTAACATACCCAAAATTAAAGTAGAAGATCCTCTCATTTTTTGAAGATCCATTAAGTGCGAGGTATGGAGATATGAATCATCTAGAATTTGATCAATATCACGTTTATTCAAATGATGAGGAGAATGGGTTAGTTTATATTCAGTCATCAACCTACTCAAGGTTTCAACCATGGACCTTGACCAAATACCAGAAGACCTTTGTTCTCCCTTACTTTCCCAACCAGAAACCCCATCAGCAACCGCTAAAACGGTAGGCGAGACCAACATCGCATCATCTCCAGCCTTAATAGATAAAGTATCAGCAGGGGACCCCACGGGTCTTCTTCTAGGTAATAACGTATTCAACTGTGCTGGATCAGTCAAATCACTCAACGAATGAATAGTTGGATCCGATTTCGTGCTATGAAACCCAAATGAAGCATGCGCAAATTCAAACTTAAACTTATCGTTACTAATTCGTTTCATTTGTTCCTTAGTAACCAAGGGGTACTTGATATAAGGATTCACTTCGTCAACCGGTGATTCATCACTGTGTTTGGAAAGAAAATAGTGTCTAACATTACTGAAAAATCCACTAGAACTCGAACTCAGTCTAACAAAATCTAGCCTGCTCTTAACCCCATTTCGAGCTAAATGCTTCAAACAAACTTCTCCTGTTACCACACCGTGCCTCATGTTTAGTATCAGTTTCTTCGAGGAGATTCCTTTGCCTCTTCTAAAGAAAGAAGTAGTTGATGTTTTACTAATCATCAATAATTAATACCCAAAATCCAACGATTGGCTGCTCTTGCATAATCCCCTCATCTGATACACAAAAAAGAAACAACCAAAAAAAAAAAAAAAAAAAGTACGATTTTCTCCGATGACACGATTTTTTCCGATGAGATGCGATGCTTTTGCAACAATTCTACAATTTTTTAGGATTTTGCAGTTACAGAGGATTGTGTATTATGTCTATAGGCTGGTATTTACAGATTATTCGGCCAAAACAGCGTTGGCGATTACTTTATAAGGAGGATTCAATTTAGTGTGGAGCTGAAACTGTTTTTCGCCTTGGTTGATCAACATTTCACAACCTGGAACAACATTCCATTGGTATTTTTCACGGGCAATCTTCATGATGGGGGTGGTTCTTGGTTTGTAGCTGGCCTCCAAAAGGGTTGGAGCAAACTGGCCATCGTATTTTTGTTTGGTGGCCTTGAGCAATAATCTTTCGAGTTTATTCAATAAGGCATCGTCAAGAGGTTTGTCAGCAGGAACACAGGAAACAATCAAGGAAACTGCGTCGGTGGCTTCGACTTCATCAACGGTGTCTAAGATCTCAATGTTGAATGCTTGAGGTAAGGTTTCTTTGATTTCAACCAATTTAGCAGAGGTACGGTTGATCATGTAAATCTTCTTACATCCCATTTCGTGTAAAGCATAAGCAGCAGCTCTAGCAGTACCGCCACCACCGACAACTAAACCGTTGACATTGCAGTTTTCGATGCTTGGGACCCCGTGTCTAATGAAGGAATTAGAAATACCAATCCAATCGGTGTTATCACCGGCGAATTTTCCTGGCTCACCTTCAATCGGGATTACCGTGTTGACAGCACCAATCACTCTGGCTGCATCGGATAACTCATCAACGTATTTCATGATATCGAGTTTGAGAGGCATAGTGACTGCCAAACCTCCAAAGTTTTCCTTTTTCATTAATTTTTGATAGACTTCACTCGCATCATCAGTTTCAAATCTATCAAATTTATATGGTAAACCTAATTTTTCATAAGCTGAATTATGTAATGGGGGAGATCTAGAATGTTGAATTGGACTTCCAACAACTGTGAATTCTTTATTAGTAAAACCTCCAATTTCAGCAAAAGCTCTGTTGATTTCAGTAACAGTAAGTTGTCCCTTGGCTGCTTTGAATGGTAATTTTTCATGAGTAACCGGGGTTAAAACAGTGTTCAAGACTCTTGATAATTTACCGTGTTCGGACATATTAATGGCAATCAATGGTCTGGAAGTCTTACTAGATCTAAAGTTCTCTAAATCTAAATTATCTTGGAATGAAGTAGCAGTACCAACTAACTTAACAACATCAACTCCCAAAGTAACAGCTTGATTATATTTATTAGTCCATTCAACATTATCCCATTTAAGCTCACCAGTGAAGTCATGGAATGAACCAAGGATTCTAGTAAATGCTCTCTTTTCCATGATTTTATAGATAAGTTCATCAGGATGAGTTAATTGTACATCCAAATATTCAACTCCTAATTTAATGGCCAATAAACTAAGTTCTTCAAGTTGTTTCAAATTAGAATCTGGAAATTTACCTCCTTGAGATTCGGTTCTAATAGTGAAAATTATTGGTAAAGTGGTGTTCTTTCTAATAATAGCTGTTTGATCTCCAACAAAGGTTTTAGAATAATCCTTCAATAAATCAACTCTTAATTCAACTGCTTCACAACCAGTGGTAATTTCTTCAAGATCAACATCACTTTCATTCAAGTCTGGATAAGTTAAACTAATAAAAGCAGATCTAGAAGTTGGAATTTCAGTAACTTGTGATCCAGTAATGGTCTTGATATAGTTTATGAAAGAGATTCTCAATTGTTTAAATTCAACTTCATTAGCACAATGAGAAGAATAGAAATGGTAACTGGAACATTCATGATACCAAGGTTCTCTTCTTTCCCAAACACCTTTGATTTCATCTACGTAAGCTGGTCTGGTAGTGTCAGCACTCAAGAATACAACAGTTTCATCAAGATCACGATGTAAATGTAAAACAATACCACCAGATTTAGTATAAGATTTTAAAATATTTCTTGAAGCTTCACCTTCAACTATACCACCTCCAGTTGAAATGACATAACCAGTTGAATATTGCTTGAATGCCTCCTCGGCAATCTTACTTTCAATGTCACGGAAACTTTCCCAACCATGAGCTTTAATGTGTTCTCTGATGTCACCATGTCTTTCAACAAAAATATCATCCAAATCAATAAATTTAAATCCTAAGAATGATGCCATCCATTTACTCAATGTGGTCTTTCCTGCTGCTCTCATACCAATGACAATGATACTCTTTGAACCGTTTGAGTGTTTATCAACTAAAGAGTTATCATGTTCAACATTCTTTGGTATTTCATGACCATCTATGGTGACATTGAATTTGGTATGTAAAGTATCCCACCATCCGGGCCAAGTCTTACCAGTACAAGATCTTTCCTGAAGTAAAACTGGTTCTTTACATAAACCTGCTAATAAAGAAAAGGACATGGCAACTCTATGATCATCATAAGTCTTGACACCACCTTTCTTAGCAGAAGGAGTTTGTAAATCACGGTAATCATTTCCGTGAATTTCGATACCATCTGGTAATTCATTAGCTTTAACTCCAAATTTGGCTAATTCTGTAACCATGGCCAATATTCTATTACATTCTTTAACTCTTTGATTGGCAATACCGGTAATTTGAGTTGGTGTGTTGGATGAGTCTCTGGCAACAGCAGCAACAACTGAAGCTGTCAAAAATGCATCTGTCATGGGTTCCATATCGACGTGTGGCAAGGGTCTTAATTGACCTCTTGGTGGACCAGTGACTGTGGTTGAACTTGAAGATTGTTCAACTTTACATCCCATAGGTTTCAAAACATCAACTGCAAATCTGGCATCACCTTGTAAAGATGAAGATCCGATGTTTGGAACTGTACATGAGGTACCGGTAAGGGCAGCAAAAGCCAATGGGTAGGTAGCGGAAGAAGCATCAGATTCAATGACGTATTCAGGTGGATTCACGTAAGTACCTTGTTCTATGTGGTAGGTGTACTTTTCGGTTGTTGATTTAGTAACAGTGATACCAAAAGCTTTCATCATATCAATGGTCATGTCTATATACAATTGAGAGATTGGTTTACCACCAACCAAGGCCAAGGTGACTGGTTCCTTAGCATAAGGAGCACACATCAAGATAGAAGAAACATATTGAGAGGAGATTGTAGCACCAAGTTCAATTCTGCCACCTTTCAAGCCTTTTCCAGCTTCAATCTTCAAAGGTAAAGAACCTTCTCTGTTTAAATATTGAATGGAAGAACCGTTTGATCTTAAAGCATCAACCAAAGGACCAATAGGTCTTTCTTGCATTCTAGCATTACCTGTTAAGACAACGTGATTATTTGATTCTGGATTGATACCAACTAAAGAAGCAACAGTGGTTAAGAATCTAGATGCAGTACCAGCATTACCCAAGTATAAAGATTCATCACAAGTGACCAAATTACCACCATTACCTTTTACCACAATAGTTTCACCATTGTCTTCGGTTCCTATTTGAGCACCTTTTAAAGAAGCAACAGCATCTAACATGTGTTTAGTATCATCAGAGTGTAATAAATTTCTAATCTTAACAGTACCAGAACCCAAGGCAGCCAAGACCAAAGCTCTATTAGAGATAGATTTGGAACCAGGTGGAATAACGATGTTTGTTGTTGGGATACAGTCAGGATCGAACGAGTGGACCATAACTTCATCAGTTAAAACAAAACCTAAATCTTGTTTTGAGATTTCATGAGCTTTCATTTGGTAACATCTACCTATAGATTCTAATAAGACACATCTAATTTTACTACCGTCGTTCTTCTTATCGATAGCCATTTTAGCTAATAAAGTATCAAGTTGTATATCATGAATCTTGTTACCCACTTTTTTCAAAAAGGATTTATCTTCGAGAGATACTGGTAATCCGTAAGCAGTAAGACATTTTGATAATCTAGCGACTGCAACTGGTCCTAAGATACCCAAATATCTTGCTAATTCAGCTTCTTTGATCATACCAACTGAAACACATTCACCATGTAAAGCTTCAGGAGTTAATACCGCTTCAATTGCATGACCAATGGTATGGCCGAAATTAAGTAAGTTTCTTAAACTTGATTCTTTTTCATCAGAGGAGACAACATCAGCTTTAACTCTGATAGAACCTAATACAGTTTTAACCAAATCCTTTTTGATGGTGGTCAATTCGATATCATCTGCAGTGACAACGGTTATAAAATCTTTGGCAAAGTTTTCTAATCTAGTAAATTCTTCTTCATCCCAAATGGCAGCAGTTTTGACAACTTCTGCCATACCGTTGATGAATTGTCTAGTTGGTAAAGTTTCCAAGAAAGAAACATCTACAAAGACATAATCTGGTTGATGGAAAGAACCAATGAAATTCTTACCCAAGGGAGTATCAATTGCAGTTTTACCACCAATTGAAGAATCAACCATTGCTAATAAACTAGTAGGAACTTGAATCACTCTAACACCTCTCATAAAAGTGGCAGCAACAAAACCAATCATATCTCCAATAACACCACCCCCAACAGCAAGAATAACAGTATCTCTAGTACAACCTTTTTGTAATAAGAAATCCTCAACTGCTGCTTTAGTTTCACGATTCTTATTATTTTCACCGGGGGAAACAATATAGTTAAGTAAACGAGATTCTGGTCTCTTTTCCTTCAATTTTTGTTCAAAACTAGAAACCAATTTGAGATATGGCTTGGTTCTAGCCATATTTGAATCGGTAATAATAACATAAGTTGAAGATGCCTTATTGCTAATAGTCTCTTCAACTATATGGTCCTGAATCCCGTATCCAACATGGATGGTCTCAGAACCCAAAATTGAGACTTTTTCAACTTGAGACATACTTGTTGTTCAGTAGAAAAAGACCGCTTTTATTCTAGACTTGAGTTTGCTGTTCACTTATCTTATAATCCTTTAATCAAAAGAACTGCTAAAAAATAGTATTCTTAAATTCTTTTATGATTCCAATGGTATGAGTCTTACTTTTTTCTCATTTTTTTCACTTTGGTAAGTGGCGCACGACCAAGTTGAAAAACGTTGTGTGATACCTTCGGTGTACGGGTGGATATTGTTTCAAATTTGCAGTTTTGCAAAGCGGTTTCTACAGGTTGCAAAAAAAGTAATACCGAATACGATGCAATGCTATTTAAAGAGTGATGGAGTAGCGTGATTAGAGTTGGGTTGATAAGTACTGTTTGATGTGTTGTAAGCATTCATCTTGAGACCCGGTTGGGTGGTCCAATTGCCACACGAGAACTTCGTGGGTGATAGACTTCATCCAAGGACCGGGTTTCTTATCTAGAGACTTGGAGATTGTTTTACCGTCGAGAACTGGCTTGAGTTTGTCCACCTCGGCCAAGGCTTGGTCGTGGATGTATTTGATGAGAGAATCGTATTCTTGGATGGTGCTTTTTATGGTGTTTAAATCGGCCTCAGAGAAGGGAAAGAGGTCTGGTCTAGGGTAAGGAGCTTGTTGGTCTGGGCTTGGTGATACGATGACCTTCTTTATGATATCATTGAAACAATTAAAAATAAGGTTTAAAGGAGAGTACTGACCAAAGTTTCTGAGATAGACCCCAAGTTTTGATCTTTGTATATTTGCGCCGTTGTCAAAGAAGTCGCTTAGGACTTGGTAGGAGGTGACGGACTCTTTGATTATTCCAGAAATCGTATCGGAATCGTGTTTACCGTACTTCAAGCCTTCTTTCAGTATGATATCAACAATTTGGAAAAAGTTTTGCTTTTTTGGGTTGACCTTGACCTCCAAGGAACCAAAAGGTTGGAGTATGACAGCAAGCCAGAACAACTTTTTAAGATGGTCGTCTTGGAATAAATTGCTGTAAAGGGGAGAAAAGTGACTGAAACGATTGCTTTCGATAATAGAATCAAAAACTGGTTTGAGAACAGTACTGGTTTCAACTCGCGAAGATAAACGAGAGCTTTTCTCAGATAAGTCTGAGATTACTGTAGCATCATTAGATTGTTGAATTGACTCATAAATGGTACCAGTGTTGAAAATGCTTTCAGTCAAATCAACAAATTTGATTAAGTTTAATCCATACTGCGCGTTATCGCTGGTTAGCACTTTTTCTATTTCGACCCCAACTCTTTCTCTACTGATTTTATGAATAAGGGTTGATTTTAATTCGGGACTCTTCATTGCATTCAAAGTTTCTTCTTCAATAGTGAAATCAAATTTACTGGCAAATCTAATCAACCTTAAAACACGTAATGGATCATCGAGGAAAGTTTGTAATGGTTGTAAAGGAGTTCTTAAAATCCCATTATGTAAATCTTCTAAACCTTTACCGGTGAAATCTTCAATGATATTTTTATTTAAATTATAAAACAAAGCATTCAAAGTAGCGTCTCTTCTTAAGGCGTCTTCTTCTGCAGTGCCACATTCTATAATAGGGACCCTACTTTCACTGGTGTATTGTTCATTTCTCAAATTTACAAAATCAATATCTAATCCATATAATTTTGTAGTACAAGTTTCGAGATGTTTAGATTTTTCAGGATTCTTTTTAATCTTATGCAAACCTTTCAATTCCAATTCAGGATAATGCTCAACAAGGTAATCATATAACAAGCTTGCAAATTCCTCTCCAGATAAAAAATTGATTGCAATATCGATATCGTGACTTTCTTTGCCTAGTAATTTGTCTCTTACCCATCCACCAGTGATTCTCAATTCAAGCTTCTTCGATGGATCGGTATCCGGTAAAGAATTATGGTAGTCACAGAACTTCACCAATACATTTCGAATATTGGTTTCTGTTTCATTCAAATTGATCTTGTCTTTAATACTTCTTTTCATACTGTAATATCTTAATGCAGGTGGAGCAAAGGATATCTTTAACGAAGTGCAAATATCTCGAGTCACCGTCTTGGACAGTTGATGGGCAGGCTTCTTGATACAGTATTTGAGTAGATTGTTCATGTATGACTCACTCACCCTGTCTTCCTAAGCAAATCAAAGCGATGGAAGTAACTTTTCAATTGAGCTTTTTTCACTTCTGCGAGAAAAAAAAAAAAAATCGAAAATCTGAGAGAAGTTGCAATTAGGGCAGTTTTATAGGCCCTATCATTATGCTAAAGCCTTAAGTGAAGGTGTAAGTCGGTAGGGGGTAGCAATTGCTTGGATTCTTTTAATTGGGTGTTTGGTTACAGGCAAAGAGGATTTAGTTTATTTTTTTTGAATTATTGCAAAAAACTGCAAAAAACTAGAAGAATGGTTCACTAATAGTAAGATGATGGAAAAACAGGTAGAAGTTACGTTAGAAGCAACATAACTTAATAAAATATCAACAAATCAAAGACAAAAGGTAAGAAACTAAAAGAACAAATTATAAGAAATCAAAGACAAAAGGTAAGAAATCAAAGACAAAAAGGTAAGAAACTAAAAGAACAAACTATAAGAAATCAAAGACAAAAGGTAAGAANGAACAAACTATAAGAAATCAAAGACAAAAGGTAAGAAATCAAAGACAAAAAGGTAAGAAACTAAAAGAACAAACTATAAGAAATCAAAGACAAAATGAAAGAAATTAAAGACAAAATGTAAGAATTTACAAGAGGATTGAAAGTTGATTCAATTACTGGCGATTGAAATTTCATTAACATATCAACTTGGCCAAACATGACTTAATGAGTATATTGTTTCAATGTAACCTGAGCCAGTGGGTGTATTGTGGTGATCTATCTATCTGATGCCAAATGAAGACCATCAATTCACAGGAGCTATATGGCGAAGCAAATATTTCTTGACTTGATTTGACAAAGACCCTACTTCATCTACGACTAAATTAGGTTGGGAATACCACATCTGGAGAGTCAGTCCACTGATGAAGAAACTGAGTGAATAACTGAAAACAGGCTACTCACTTATACTTTTTATGATCGCCAAAGATTCCTTTCACGAAAAGAACTTTTCCAACTGTATTTTTCTTTTCAAAACACTTTAAAGTTTTAGATAAACACAATGAATTAACGAAAAAATGGATATTCAAAGGCCATGCATGGAAAAATATTTTTCAGCACAAATATCAACATGCAAATCACAAAGACCTACAATTAATTTTTGACATGAAAGCGCCTGCGTAGCGTAATGGTTAACGCGTTTGACTTCTAATCAAAAGATTGCGGGTTCGACTCCCGCCGTGGGTTCTTCTTTGCGGTTTTAGCTCAGTTGGGAGAGCGTCAGACTGAAGAAAACTTCAGTCCAGTTAATCTGAAGGTCCTGTGTTCGATCCACAGAAATCGCATTCATTTTTTGCCAAATTCACCTTGATTATTAGTGGAAGTTAATGGGTATTAGGTGTTAAAGGTTGGTTGTTTGTGCGGAAAAACCTAATCTTCTAGTAATCAGAGTTGAATTTGAATTTTTTTTTCGTATTTGAGTGAGTGAGAAGCCAAAAGCGTAAGGCTTTATTGAGTTAATACCAGGTTTATCTTGATCGATAACATATTAAAGAGAAGAAGTCGTTTGGGTCGGTATACGCTTTGAGACAGCGTGTTGAGAGTTGGTAAAAATTCCATTTGGACAAGTTGATTTGTAAAGCATAATGGATCCAGTATCGTCAATTGCGTTTCCTTACTATGAATCAAAAGAATCGAGAATATCATTGAATAAGTTGTTTTTGGCAAATGAAACTGATACTACAAGATATTCGATCCAGTTAGCCGATGAGATAGGAGAAAGTTCCTCGATTAAAACGAAAAAATGTTCATTAATATCTAAAATTGATACTGGGACTCAAGAAACAATACCAGAACTATTCAATTATATAACTAATGGGTCATATTATGATAATAAACAATCAGTTGAATCTCCATTGGTCACGACTCCATTGTTGGTTCGTATTCCCCTGTCGTATTATCGGATTAAGTTAAACGTATCGATTGACCCGATAGAAACAGAATCTCCGGATAAATTTCTATTGATAATTAAGAGTGTTGGAGATACTGAGAATTACGAACAGTTTAAAGATTTGATAATAAACGGGTCTTATGATAGTAACAATACCGAGATTTCCAAATTGAGCTATTCACAATTACCCATTGATAACACAAGCAAAGAGATTCAAAGAATAATCATTAATGATAGTTTCCATCAAGATATTTTCCAGAATAATAAATTGAGTATCTCTCTATGGGAGTTGGATTCGAAAATGAACGATTGTTCCCATTTATTCAATTTTCAATTTTGGGTAGACCAATCCGTTAATGATTTCAAACACGATGAATATTTAACTCCAATAAATTTGACTGCTCCCCCCCCTCTCACTTTTATGAAACCCCAGCAAGAATCAGAAAAACATCATACTACCTCCAAGACTCTTAGGAGCCTCAATAGAAATGAGAAACTTGCTAAGAGAAAACCAACATCATTCACTATTGCCGATTTTAGAGAAGGATTTAACTTTAATATAGAAGATGGCCCCGAATTTAGAAAATCTTTACAAAGATATGAAACAAACTTACCGGATTTTAAAAAAATAGTGGGGCATTTACTAAATGAATTGAAAAGTTTAGAAATCTATCTGAAAAAATTGGCTAATGTTAGAAATAGAATGGTAGACCATATCGGGAAATTATGTGATTTACAATTCAATCCTTTATTAAATAATTTGGATTTGAAAAATCAATTTTCTCAGTCACTAGAGGCAATTTTCGAGCCTTTTGAAAATAATATGAAGTTTTTCTTGAAAGATATCTGTGATAGTAAATTAGTTGCTAAAATATCAAATCTTGTCACCTCATATCCAACTTCTGGAAATAAAGAATCAAGTGGTGATCATAATGACATATCCCATAATAGGAAGAATTTCGAAAGTACTTCTAAAGAGTATTATAATTGGCTAAATAAATATCTATCAAATGAAAAGGAAAGACCAGCCCTGAAATTATTAACAAAAAGGAAAAATTTCGAATTGTATAAATTTGATTATTTGAACAGTTTAAATTTAATAACTAATAATCAATATTTTAATCAGTTATTAGAAAACTTTTTCAAGTTTCTTAATCTTCCGTTTGATAAAGCTACAAACTATAAATTACTTAGTTTTGACCAATTCAGAGATGTCAAGTTGAGTCAAGATCTTTTAGGTGAAGATTTCTTAATCTACTTAAATGTGCTTTCAAGATTTAACAGTGAAAAGTTTCAGTTTCGCCAAATGATCGAAGCTTGTCAATCCAATGAAGAATTAACTAATGTTATAAGGCATAATAGATTGAACCACCCTAGAAATCTGAACCTTGATAAAATGAAAAACTCAAGCATAAATTCTCCTATCACCCCTAATCAACAGTTACCTAGTGATCAAAATATATCAGATAATAATAACATTGATGATATTTCTGATACTTTGGTTACCAAAAATAATTTAGATCTAATATTTACCAGTGATTCACCTTTAAATCACCAGTCTAGCGTAACAGCTGTTCCAGTTAAGCTGAATAATCATTTAGATGATGATCAAAATTCAGAAATGTCCGGTATACTATACACTTTAGGTGGCCAAGGTAAGCCAGGGTGGCATAAAGAATGGGTTGTTCTAAACCAAGGAAGACTCATAGAATATAGTGATTGGAGAAACGGTCAATTACCAATAAATAAGCCAATAGATATTGCCTTATCAAGTATAAAGCCCATAAAACACGAAAAACGACAATTTTGTTTTGAAATTTTTACTTCAGCAGGTAATAAGCATGTCTTTCAAGCAATCAATGAAGATGAAAGAAACAAATGGATCAAAGCTCTATATAATGCCGGCCAGGTTACCAGTCAATTGATGAGTCCTACAACCCCAAAAGCCACGCTTAATCAACCAAATATTCAAAAACCCGTTACAACTAAACCAAATAGCAAAAATTTGAGTAAAATTATCACTGATTTCGGACCAGAACAATACCGTGCACCCCCTATGATACCTGGCCAGTCACTCGATAGGTCAGTATCGCCGATTTCGATTCAATCAGGACCACCATTGTCGGCATACAAAGATAAAAACTACTTGCAGATGGTGAGGTCAATTTCAAATACTGATAATAACATATGTCTCGATTGTGGAAGTCAAGAAGGGGTGGAATGGGTATCTATAAATTTCTTGGGAAGCTTTTGCATTAATTGTTCTTCATGTCACCGTAATTTAGGATCCCATGTTTCGAAAATACGATCTTTAAAATTAGATAATTTCAATAAAGAATCTGAAGTTTTATTGAATTACATCAACAACAAAAAGATCAATGAGTTTTTAGAAGCAAATCTTCAGACTCTGGGAGATAAGAAAATCAATCCTCTTTCATCGAATGAAGATAGACTAGCATTCATCAAGAATAAGTATGTTTTAAAGAAGTATAAGAAAGAGATAGATAGTATTAATGATTTATTGATTAAATCAATACAGAAAATCAACTTACCCGATATTTTAACTTACATTATTTGTGGAGCTGACGTAAATATGCAAATTCAAATCAGTTTAAACAATAGCAAATCCAATGAAAAGAGTAAAGAAAGCAGGCTATCCAATAAAATTAGTTTATTTGAGTACTCTTTGAGGAAGTTTGTTGAAATCACTGAAAACGAAATCACTAAAAGATACTTTCTAGTTTCCGAACTATTACTCTTGAATGGATTCAATATAAATTCTATCAAAGAGCTCAACACAGAAATTGGGCTTACGGATGAAGCTATAGAATACTGGAAAGACAAAAGAGCTAGATTAGGAAGTAATTAATCTGATAACTGTTATACCTGTTTAATTTTGTAGATGATGAAGTGGTTGCAAAACAAAAACGAGCCAAAAAAAAAAAAAAGGTCTGTGTTTTCCTTAGTCACAAATAAAATTTGCAACCAATTCATAGCGAACTTTCCTTGATAAAGAAGACCATTGCTTCCTAGCTTATAATATCCCGTTTATTTAGCTGGGGAAATAGATATTAGCTAAGCAAATTGAAGCTGTCACTGGAAAGAGGAACATAAGCTAAGTTTTCCGTGCTATTATAACGATGCTAACCGAACAATCGCCTTTAGAAAAATACCAGTTAGATCAGTGCATTGGGAAAGGAAACTTTGGTGACGTTTACAAGGCACACGAGCGGACCAGTTCTGAGGTGTTCGCCATTAAGATATTGAATTTGGATGAGAGTAGTGATGATATCAAGACCGTGCTCCAAGAAATTGAATTTTTATCGAAATTGAAGTCTCCTTATATCACCCGGTATTACGAAACACTCATTCATGATATGACATTATGGATAGTGATGGAGCATTGTGGAGGAGGATCATGTATGGATCTATTAAGGTATCATAAAAAACTAAGTGAAGAAATGACGCTGTATATAATTAGAGATACCTGTCGAGGATTGAAATACTTACACGACGAAAGAAAGGTCCATCGGGATATCAAGCTGGCCAATATATTATTGACTCAGAATGGAGGGATCAAGTTAGCCGATTTTGGAGTTAGCGGAGAAATCACCTTAACGCAAGCTAAAAAGCATACTTTTGTCGGTACTCCGTACTGGATGGCCCCAGAAGTGATCACCACGTCATCGGTTGGGTACAATCAAAAAGCGGACATTTGGTCTTTGGGAATCACTACAATTGAGTTGGTAACCGGTAAACCACCGCTTTCACAGATTGATCCCATGGATGCATTATTTGAGATCCCCAAGAATGAACCTCCATGTTTAGAAGGAGAAGAATATAGTGATAATATAAAAGATTTCATCAAATACTGTTTAAAGCTTAACCATCGCCAACGTCCCAACGCCGCAACGTTATTACATCATAGTTTTATTAGTTGCAAGAATGAAAATCCAAATATGAGTTTTAGATTAAGTCAATTAATTAGACAAAAACAAAATTATTTTGCTAAACATAATAGGGAATCTCGTAAACCCCGACATGAAATTCTAAAACCACTTGAAGAAAACACCATGATTGAATGGGACTTTAATACCAAAATGAGTTTTAAAACAAAACAATCCTCAGTAGAATTAAAGGACTGGCATCAAATCGTCGATAATCAAATCCCCAATGAACCTAACCACAATGAAATGGCTAATAAACAACAACTTGAAATTTCCAAGGACCTTCATTACAATGAAGCGTTCATCTACTGCCTACAAAGAGTTCTCGATAGAGCAAGAAACCCTTCAACCAAACTGGTGGTTAATCTTTTAATTCGTCAAATGATCGAGTACGAAAACCAGCAACCGGGACTCAGTGAAGCCATCATCGAAGAGCTCCTCAACTTCAAAGCCTTCAATGAATCCTCTTAGCTTATCTCTCTCTATATATACGCGGATATTCGTATTTTATATTATGTTTTCCTTGCAACCATTCAAGATGCCAATATCAACCCTGTAAAACCGCCAAAACCTGCGCTCACATGCTCCTGGGGCCGCATTGCGCCGCTGCACCATATACCCGTCCACCTTGTCCCATTCCTCGCATAAAGGGTCTTCCCATCGGTTGTTGTCAATGACACGGAAGGGATATCGGTGCTGGCTTTGTTACCTTCACCTTTTAACAGCAATTGAATCGCGGGTGCACGGGTCTGACAAGAAGGAGAACCTTTTGTTTTTTGTTCGCGACCGCGTTTGAAAGGTTTTCTTTTATTTGATGTTTTTTTTGCTGCGTTCTTCAGTTACACGCCTGGAGAAATCGCTTTTTATATACTGGCGGGAATCTACTAATTGGATATTGACAGACATTCACAAGGTGTGGTAGCTAGAAAACTACTTCTCTTTCTCTTCAGGTTGGTATAGTAAAGAACTAATATAGTTGGTGGTTTAGGTCTTGCCATTACGAGCCCATTCATTCGTTACTCTGCTTTTTGCATTCATTTCCAGGATTATCAACAACCCCCAATACAAGAAGGGTTTGTCATTCTTTTATATTAATCCAAGTTTTACTAAGTGAAATCTAATAACATAATCAGATCAGATCAGGCTTTTTGGCAACATGGTGACCAATAATAGTAATAGCGGCGGCAATAATGGAGCCGCCAGCGGTAATCTACTCCAAGTGCCCCCACAGACCCCTAGAGCTTCATCGCATCGTCGTTCAGGGTCGGGCTCCGGCTTGGGTGGATTGAGTGGGTCGGGGGTCACACCATCGTTTAGTTTTGGTTTAGGTTTTCTGCCTTCTTTCCAGTTTAATTCTCCAAGAAATCTTAACTTGGTGAATTCATTCTCTCCCCATAGATTTTTCCATTCTTCCAATGAGCTACTGAGGGTGGTTTCATCTTCAAATGGTACATCTTCCTCTTTCAACAAGTCAGGAGGTGGGCTAGATGCATCTTCAATGCCTGCTCCGGCTAATTGTTCATCTCATAAGAAAAATAATTCGATTCCTTCGGCAGCGGATATTTTTAATTCTTTAACTCCACCAAATTCATCTAAATCAAATCAAAATAAGTTTATGGATTCACTTACCTCTTCAGTAAAGAAAGAACCAAAGTCTCCAATCAGTATTAAACTGAATCAAAAACACGATTTTGACTCATTAGATCATAATGATTCTATGGATTCAAAAAATGATATGGATATTTGGTCTTTAGCAAATGATGATTCAAATTCTCAAAATTTAACCATCAACCTAACTTCAATTTATGAAGATGAAACAACCGAAACCCCAAAAAGAAAAAATGATAATTCTTCAAGGTTTTTAACTCCAAATAAATTGATGCTTAATACAAAACCAATTATCAATGTACAAGACGTTGAAAACCCTGAAAGCAATAATGATCATTCTACTACCGAGAGCAATTCAAAAAATGATGATGACACTGATGATGAAATGGATAAGGACGATGATAATGATGATGATAGTGAAAATAATGATTTTAGGAAAAATCATGTTTTTGACGATAAAAACAGATTAAAATCAGCTCCTTCCTTAGTTACTATAAAACCAACTAATTTGGATCAGTTGCCTAAATCGTCTCCTTCAGATCCTGGAGTTATAAAGAAAAAAAGAAAAATTTCCTCTAACTCAAGTTCCACTTCAGATTCTCCAAGTAAAGCAATTGCTTCTCAAATTGATACTATTGCTTCACCTTCTAAACGTGGTGGTTCTAATTTAGCTCCAATTCAAAATTCATCAACTCCATTGAGAAATCCTGATAATTCTACTCATCTGGTTAATGTTCATGATGAATCTGGTAACGTTGTAGCTAGAGTATGGAATTCAGAACTTGATGAAATGTTACTCAAGTCCTACGCCAAATTTAAGGTTTTCAAAGAAAACCAATTATTAGACTCTACTTCAACTTTGAAGAATACATCTCAAAATAAAATTTTATCAAGAATGCTTTATAATAAGACGGGGATCTTAAGAAATTCAAAACAAATAGCATCAAGATTATTCAGACTCACCAAAACAAAAATACCTGCAGCAAGCAGAGCTCCTCTTAAAATCCAAACATCTCCAAATAATTCTTATGATGATGTCGTTAAAACTCCCCTTAATAAGTTAGCTGCTGCTAGAAGTGCTAGCACCACTGGTCTCAATAATAATGACATTGACAGAGAATTAGATCAATTGTTATCATCAACTCCGATTGATGACATAGACCTCACCAGTGTGTTGAAAGATAGCGGTATTGATTTGAGCAATACTAACATTTCCATTAAATCCGATCATGATAAACAAAATCCAAATATCTTAACTAACATTGACACGAGCTCGGTCCCTCAAAGAAATGCCCCAACCGAGTCAAAGTTCAAACTAGAACCGAAACTCTTCAATATCCAATACAAAAAGGATTCATCTCAAGCAACTTCAGTTCATCATTTCACTCAATTAGATACCAGCTACATCTCTAAAACTCCGGTAACCGGATCGAATCTTAAGAGAAAGCTAAGATTCACTGAAGCTATTCTGACAGAATTTGAAAAGTTCAGTAAAACATTAAAAGAAAATGAACTTCCAATTTGGTATATCTCAACAAGATTTGATTTGAAGTCTAAGCTGAGTCAACATCCAAATCAAGGCTTTGATTCCACTCTGATGTTCAATTGTGAAAATGGTGATTACAGCTCTACTTTGAAGATCGAAGTCCCTGTTTCGAAAGATGACCCTCGCCAATTTTTACATTGGAAATGTTGTACTTATGTTTACATGGATAAAAATTTATTATTTAAATCAACTGAAGCTATCAATGGTTATAAAGATAATCAGAATACTAAATTTGATTTACATGTACCTTTCTTGAAAAAATTTTGGAGTGGCTATTTGTCTTATTTTAATAACGGATCTTATGATGCTGATGAAGTTCAAAAATTATTCATAATGCAAGTTCTTTTTGAAGATGACAATGAAGACGGTAATAATGACGCTTTTCCTAACTCTGATTTGTTACAAGGCTGTCTATTATACGAATTTAAAGCTAAAGGTGAACATCTTGGTATCAGTAAATTGAATTTCTTAACCTTATTAGGTGACGATCAAGAAAATGATGATGATAATGAAACTGTATTAGCTGGATCATCACCGTACCGTACTTTATCTCCTAAGAGAAATGATGACATGTTTAGATCTCCTAACCTTATTCAGAGAAGGCAAAGTTTTCAATCCAATCATTTAAAAATTGATACCAATAAGGCAAATTTGAACAATGACATAGATAGACTGGGTCCATCGAGCGCTCCACTTTATAATCCTAAATTTAATCAGAAATTTGCAACTCCGCACAATAATAGAAGACAAATGTTTAATCAAACCTCGTCTATATCTGAAAAAGCCGCTAGCTTTCTGGCTCAAACTGTTTCTTCCAATCCTCACCCTAATTTAAGTCATTCACAATCAACTGGTAACTTACATGACTTTAACCCTCATTATCAAAAACAAATCTCACCTTTGGCTAATCGTTCTAGCCAAAACAAATCTTCGAATTCATCGTCGCCATACCTAGCAAATTCTCAATTAGGAACACCGGCAAGTTTTGTCACATCAACTCCAGCCAAAGATTTCAAATTGAGTACTGATGCCACTGGAAATCAAATAAGCTCGTCGATCCAGCGCCCTTTACCTCCACAATCATCGATGTCTACACCATTATTACTGAACAAATACCCTTCTGTGAGCTCTGGTATGAACATGAATCCTAATATGCCTATGAATATGCCGATGAACATGATGAACCCCGGATTACCAATGAACATTCCAATGAATGTTAATATCAACGACCTTGATGCTCAAAATCTCAGCTCTCCAGGATTTATGGTCAATATGGGTAATAATGGTATGGTTAACCCATTGCTCCCACAAACTCAATATTCCCCTTCAGCTGCTCAACAAACTCAATTACAACATCAAGAACAACAAAAAATGATGATGTACATGCTCCAGCTACAACAACAACAGCAAATTGCTTTAAACCAACATAACCAACCTACATTAGTACAACAGAAAAAGCAACAAAGTAACAAAATGAAACCTTCAGCACAACCTCTCAATCATCAACAACAACAATCACAAATGATGCAGAAAATCACTGCTCAACGTCCTTTCATCCAATATCCTCAATCTAACAATCCAGTTAACAGCAGTAGACCCAAGAGTGATAATAAGGAGAACGTCCGTCCAAATGCACCAATGCAAATAAAATTTGGTCCTATTTTGGGATACGATCCCTCAAAAAATAACAAAGCCAATGATAAATCAAAATCTAGTCTGAATAACAAGGCAGCTTCAAGTATGAGTAAGTTTCCGGTAAACCCTCAGGTTACCATGTATGATCCCGAGAGAAAGTAGGTTCTTTCTCCACAACGTAATTTCATTTCTTCTACATAAATTTCAAATTTCTGTTCCAGCTTTATGTTTTCTGAACTTTTTTTCCTCTTTATATTATTTTGTAAACTTTTACTTCCTTTAGAGCCTGTTACTATATAATTGCATTAAATATATACTAATTTTCATTCGAAAGAGGGTGATTTGTAAAGGTTGCAGGACCTGGTTATTAACTTTGGCTGCTACTTCGATTTACTGCGAAGACGCGTTTTGTAACAAAACAAAAAAGAAAACAGTGAAAAAAAAAAAAAAACAGAGGACTTGAGATAAAACGAGCTGAGAAGGAAACTAGAAAACAACAACAACAACTTCATAGAGCTTTCACACCTTCCGAAGCACTCGTTATAATAATTTGAGCGAATAATGGGAGTAACGGGACTTCTTCCACATCTCAAGGAAATCCAGGAGGCCAGTTCTTTAGAGAAATATAGAGGAAAAACCCTTGCAGTTGATACTTATGGGTGGTTACATCGTGGTTTAATATCTTGTGCCCAAGAACTTTGTCAGGATAAACCAACAAAAAAATATGTTACTTATGTCATGAATCGAGTCAAAATGTTGAAGCATTTTGGTGTTGAGCCTTATCTTGTGTTTGATGGGGCTAATTTACCAACTAAAGCTGATACTGCCAAAGAACGTAGAGAAAAACGTGAAGAAGCCAGAAAGAAGGCAGACAATTTTGTGAAAAGAGGTGACCGCAAGCTGGCTTGGAAAGAGTTCATGAAAGCAGCCGGAGTCAGCCATGAAATGGCCAAATCGATTATGGTCGAGTTAGACTTGCATAAGGTCAAATATATTGTTGCGCCATATGAAGCTGATCCACAGATGGTTTACTTGGAAAAAATTGGAGCAGTTGATGGAATTTTGTCGGAAGATTCAGATTTGCTTATTTTCGGATGCCGTAGGCTAATCACGAAGTTGAATGACCAAGCTGAATGTTACGAAATAAACCGTGATAATTTTGCTCGGGTAAAGAAGATTCCCTCGCTCGCTCAGTATACCCCTGCTCAACTAAGACTAGTGGCAATGTTATCGGGTTGCGATTATACTAAGGGAATTGCTAATATTGGTATCAAAACTGCTTTCAATTTAGTAAAAAAATATAATAATTTTGATCGAGTATTAATTGCGTTAAGGTCAGATGGTAAAAAAATTGAACCTGATTTCGAAGACGAGGTTCATAAAGCCAATCTCGCTTTTCAATTTCAGAAAGTATTTGACCCTTTTCATCAGAAACTAACTACCTTGAACGAGTATCCTGACGATTTGGATTTCGATTTCGAGTTATTAGAATCCTGTTGTGGAAAGTCATTTGATAACGAAATTCATGTCCAGATATGTAATGGTAAACTTAACCCAAATACTCATGACTTATTACTTGCTAGAGAACAAAGTTTAGCAACATTGAAAGGCAATTCAGTTTATGGCATTCCATCTACCAAAGCTACAACTGCAACCAAGACAAAATCACTCACAAACAATGGCATCAATGTTAAGAAGACAGGTATTGACAGTTTCTTCAAGTCTAGCTCTGCATCATTATTGAAGTCAGAATCTAAATTGGTGAACTCCAAACCATCGATTGATTCTCTTTCCAAGTCAGAATTAACTTGTGAGAGTACAAAACCTAATATATTGGCCTCTAGCACCAAGGCAAATACCCAGCCCTTGACCAGTCCCAAAAGGACACAGACCAATAGCTCCAAGAGATCATTGGCTCACAGATTGCATAGTGATCCTACTGTAGAGAGACTCTCTCCTACGAGTAAGAAGATCAAAAAGTATACAGAGACTGTTGACCAGTCCTCTAGTGGTGGAAGCTCTAAATTTTTCAAACCTAGAAATAACGTTCCGACTCCTGATATCACGATCAAAAATAGAACAGAGACCTTTTTCGATTCAAGCGCAATCTCAGGAGATTCAGATATTCCGGATGAATTTTCTTCTCCAGTTAAGAATGTCCGTGCTATAGGGGAAATAGTTGATACAAGGAATGTCTTGAAAGAACTTGAACAAGAAGGTAGCATAACTGATAATGATGAAATAGATGACTCGTTGAAAAATGACGCTAAAATATCTAATCACAATAAGGAAGACTTTGATCTCTCTGATGAAAATGAAGAAATTGAAGAGTCTCCTGTTAAAAAAAAGACCGCTACGAAACTATCATTATTTGCAACAACATTAAGAGAGAGATTCCTGATGAAAAATACTGAACAGGAAAATAAGCCAATTAACCTGGTCAAGTATTCATCGAAAAAGATTAAGGACGGAAAATCAAGAATTATGGATGACCCAAAAGAAAACATAAGTCCCTTGTCATCGGATGATTCACTTCCCCACGTACAACCACCTTCCTTGAAAGGAGTCAAGACTAATCATAACTTTACCCACGAAAGAAACAGAAAACAGGTGTTTTCTAAACCATTACAAAAGCCCGTTGCTGAAGGGCCAATAGCAAAAGTTCAACCCAAAAAAACGGTTGACTTACGTCAATTTGCATTTTCTAGAAACTAGTTGTCTTAGCTTTTAGCTCATATGTACATACTTTCCTGCATTTTTACAATTATACAGATAATCTAATGCATTATATTTCTAGCTAATATTATATAGTTTCATTAAACGTAACAGATCAATTAACCCTTTAAATGACAGGCACTTATTGCGAGTCTTGTTAACTGTGTTTGAAGTGGTTTATCGTCCGAAAGTCTGGCATCGTTTAACTTATACAATTTCTTGAATTTTTTCAAATCAAGGAATTCATGAAAGAGGGTATCATCATCTAATTCTATATTTTGCTCCCTCGATGCCTTCAATAAGTTTTGTAAATACTCATCGAGGTTTTCCAACTCTGAAGCTTCCTCACTTATCTTTATTACAATTACATTAGGACAAGCACCATCCACTCCGAATCTCTTCAATGCATCCATTACATTATTGATTGGTGATAGACTTAGTATAATTTCAGTATTCAATGTACGAGCCCTCATATTACCTTGATTATAGTTCAAAAGAGCTTTGTGAATTGAGTTAAGCAATTGCTCTTCGGATACAATGCAACTGGTGTTCAAAAAGCAAAAGTCATAGTTGGAATCTCCTTCTGTTAGCTTGGTCTTCACCTCTGAAAGAACTGATGGATCAACATTTTTAAAACACGATATGTAAATATGCTGCTTGAATTGAAGTAGCTTTCGAATGCTATGTGTCATATTGTGAAAAAAGTCTATTGTACAGCCTAAAAATCCCTTTCTCCAAGTGATACGATTATAAAGACAAAAAATTAGGGTTGATACACCATAAAGTTAAATCGAACTTAGTGAAAAAAAAAAAAAAAATAGAATATCATCAAAAACAAAAGGCAGCAGATGTCCGGGCCTTTGTTTTGATTTTGTTTTTCTTTATTACTTCAGAAGATACTTGTTCAAATATTGTGCCTAATCTTTGTATCAAATAACAGAAGGAAAGCAGTATCCAAAGGCGAGAACTACCATGGAGGAAGAAGAAGAGGGCTCGAAGGCCCCATACCCCGACATTGAGGTTCTTCTAAGCCAATTACTAGAAGGACAAAGAATTTCTGAAGAGTCTTCCCTCTCTGATCAAAAAAAGGATTATCCAGAATCATTATTGCAACAAACGGATAAGGCTAATAAATACTACTGCTCGTTCCAGAGGTTTACGAAGCAGTTCATACCCGAGACAGACAGCACCAGCATTATACGATGGAACAATTCATCGATAGAAACAACACAACGACTAATTGTTGAAAAATGGGCAAATACAAACTTTGATAGAAGAATTACTGAGAGTGATCCACAAGGAGATGCAGAGACAAAGGCTGATGATGATGGTGGATTGAGAAGAAGTAAGACTTTGTCTAAGAACACGTCTGGGAAATCACTTTTCAGTTGGTCTACTGGAGATTCGTACATCAAGGCAAGAAAGAAGGAATTAGAACAACGAAGAAATGGCGCTAACTTAAATGCACCCACTAATGGACATAAAAGAAGTGTAAGCACTCCGAATGCATCGGCTTTGAGTACAGCTCCAAAGCCAATCGCGAGAAAGAACGAACAATTAAGGTTTGTAAAAGAAGAACTGATTCAAGAATCGGAATTAGGAAAGAAATTGAATTTGGGTACCCCAGATGCATCTGTAATGAACAAATTGAATATGATTGTGGAAAAAGAATCGAATTCTTTTATTCATAAGAGAATTCAATTGATTAGAGCTCACCATAGTGAACAGATTTCCAGAAAGATACATGAACGTAAGCGCAGAGATCATGAAAAACACTTGAGAAGATTAAGAGAAAAAGAAGAAGAGTATGAAACGGCCTTACGTGCTGCAATGCTCGGCCAAAACCACGTACGTAATAGTGGATTCTTTGGCTCATTGTTTGGTTTTAACAGCATGAATGTCTCTCACAATCACCAAAGTCGAGAAAGTTTACATAGTTCGTCTTCACGTCCCTCGATAGACAATTCACGTCCTTCTACTTCTGAAAAAAACTCACAGTCATCAACAAAGCGCTCCAAGAGGTTTTCGTTTATTCCAGTATCCGGCCTTTCATTGTGGGGGTCGCCAAAAGCTGATACGAAGGAAAAGATTTTTGATTTGGAAGACGAGCAGAAACGTGCTGCTGAGAATGGTAAGGAGGAAAGTTCAAGGGGACAAATCGAAAATGATAAGACAGATACAGCATCGATAGACATGGAGAAGCCGTCGACAGAAGACGACCCAAAGACCAACGACGATAACAAAGGAAACATCCATAATGATGTGCATAATCAAGATGAAGATATTTCTCAATTAGAAATCAAAGAAAATTCTGGAGGTCAACTTGGGAGCGGAGACGAACCAACGATTGTTGGAATAGATGAGTTCGAAGAATTAACCTCATCCCCGCCAGTAAAGAATCCAGACCAAACACAAACTAATCATGATTTTATGAACCTTGGAAACTCCAATGGCTTAGTCAGTCAAATTGTTGATCTTCCTACGGATACATTCCCAGTAACTTCGACTCCCAAAGCTCAGAAATCTAATGATCTTCTATGACTTTTTTGGAGAATAAATATTCTACCGTATGACGAACTTAATGATATAGTAAGATTCTTACAATCAGCATAATATTCTATTTAATATTCATTACTCATATTTTACAGAAACGATATATACTTATACATAAACATTCCTTCACTTCTAATGTACATTATTATTGCTTTTCTTTTTCTATAAAACAATTCAAACCCATAAAAGCTTCATCTAATGCACGTTCAAAAACATTTCGTAATCTCCAACCAGCACCCAAGTACTCTTTGTCTTTAGCTAACTTACTAACGTACGGGTCGAAATAGGTGTTAGAACCTTTTGCTGCATCGATATCCGTACCGGTGATCTCTTCCATTCCCAATAGATGATAACGTTTGTGCATGTCTCTATCACCTTTGAATGGTGTAAATGGAGTTTTATTACCTGCATCTTCGATTTCCTTAGCTTGTTTAGAAAATGGATTAGAGCTTTGAAATTGTTGTTCCAATTGACTTGATATTTGCTGTAATTGTCTCTTTCTCAATGAAGTTCTTTTCAAAAGATTATTATGAGATTGCTGAATTAATTCATCGGAGTTGGAACTGGAATTAGACAATTTATCTAGAAGTTCTTGTTTTTGTTGTTTCTGATATTCAATATCTTCGATTTCCATTTGTTTTTGAATCTTAAGTTTTTCTTGTTTCAAACGAGCCATAGAATCTTGATATTTCACCAAATCGGCGTTCTTTTGACTCTCCAGCATCGTTTTCTCCAAAATTTCAATCTTATGTTCATTTTCATAATTAGTCAAGTTTGCTTCAGTTTCCTCAACGTCTACACCATTGACTAAATTGAATATTATATTTTCAACATCTTCTAAATATTTGTTGTAGTCTTTAAGTTCCGCAAAATCCTCTTCAGTCTTATTGTAAATGGCACTGACTCGCTTCCGTATATCGATCTCTCTTTCAATGCTCAAATCATCAAAAACCTGTGTCTTCAACTTATTCTTGCGTAGTATGATCCCACATTTAGGATAAGGACACGGTGCTGGACCAAGGGAAAAGATTCTATCCACACATGATTCACAAATCTTATGATAACACTCTGGACTAATTAGAAAATTCATATTAGGTGACAAATATTTATCTGTTTTACAGATCGGACACATGTCCTTCGAACGATCATCTAGCATGTTCTGTTAGTATTTGAGTCTTGAAATATCACCAGTAACTAGACATACCTTCTACCATTTCCACCATCGCTGGGTTGTACTTAAGTAATTGAATTCTTTTCTGACAAATTGATTCTTCTATTTATCATCGAATCTATATTCTTTTTAGTCAGTACACACACCCGTACACCGATATTCAAAACTCCATACACCAAAAATGCTGAAAAAGACGGCAATGCCTCGAAGCTATTCGTTTATGCTAGCTTTGTTTATAAAGATTCGTTTTATTGATGTTACGAAGTTGCTGAAGGTTGAAGAGGTAAACAGCAATCGAAAGAAGATTATTTAAAAGGACTCGAACTTCTCTGCACGGTTCTTTGGTGCTTTTGAATAGAGAAGAAAAGACTGATTAGGAATGATACTATTCAATGGTTGATTTTAATAAGATACAAAAAGTCTACATCAAGAAGGTTGTTCCTGTGATACTTTGCTTGCTATTTGGGTATCTTGATTATGCTGTATGTTATGTGTTAGGGTATGAAGAGGTGTATAGACATCATAGCAGAGGTGCTGCTATCGTGCAATGGGTTTTATTGGGATTTTTTCAATTTTCACTATACTTTTATTGGTTGCTAATTATGATCAAAGGCCCAGGTGGAAACTTGAAAATCAAACCGTTTGATATTTACGATACCGACCAAGGGGACTTGACACCAGTACCCGATTATTTCATATGTGATGAGAATGGGTTTCCGTTCTGGTGTTCAACCTGTCAGTCGATAAAGCCTCCTCGTTCTGTTCATCTGGGAGACTTGAATTATTGTGTACCAAAGTTGGATCATTATTGTATTTGGATAGGTACAGTGGTTGGCCAATCTAATTACTTATTATTCATCAAGTTTTTGCAATTTATTAATGCATTTTCAATCGTATCTTTGGTGTATTTAGGTTGTTTCCTTCATCCTCACTTTGCAAGGCATTCTTATTCGGTTAACTTGAATTATGTTGCATCCATAATCATATGTGCATTCATATTAATCATGGGTATGACTCTTTTAGGTGCACATTTAAAATACATTTGTTTGAATATGACCACGGTTGACGATTTACGAGTAAACCTGATGAAACGGTACCAGAGATGGAAGCAAAGGTATCATAAACAAAAAGATAAGGGCAAAGATGTCACCAAAATGAAGAAGCGGATGCCTCGTAAAGAAACAGGTAAGCTGTTTGTCAATTTGAAATATCAAAATTCACGAGTAGTTGTGGAGTATTATCTCAAAGATAGGCCCTACAATTTCGGTTTCAAAAAGAACCTTATAAATTTAATCATGAACCACAATCTAAATTCTGGTTCAATGACACAAGAGACTTTCCTCTATTCCAATTTTAATTTTGCTAAAGCTATTCTAGTTTTCACAATCCCTTATTACGACATACCTTTCATTCTTTCGCAAAAATCAATACCCAATCCTGACACTGTAAAAGAACATTTTTTATCATATGGTGACAATTGCGATGGATTAAGTAATGAATTCTTACACTATTTAATAACGAGAATAGATGAAGGTAAATATTCTATTCCAAAATATCTCCAAGCACAAGCGTCTGCAACCCAGGAAGCTGTTCTGACAGTTGATAATTTTACACCAAATAGCTCAGACAAACAAAATGATTCACTGCCCGAAAGCTTTCATGAAGCAAATACAACGATGCCTGATCACGTATAAATAACTTCAATAAAGTTCTCATTATCAAGATCACATGTGGGAGATTAACAACCCAAGAAGTTCCCGCTACTTTTAGTACAAGAAAAAGAATAGCCATAGCTAATTGTCAAATGTTAATTGTGGCTGATTTTTTTGTATTTGATTGGCTTAAACAGTCTTCCTTGCATATTTGCACGCTATTATAAACATAGTCCAATTAACTGTTATTTTTCAACAGTTTTTCACCTAACATGATATTTAGAATAAATAATCTGCTTTTAGCTAGTCTACAATAATGATCATAATATTTTAGATATTAATAGTAATTCAATTATTGAAAATAGGAACCCAATTTTAGATAATTCAAACATCAAGCAAGAGCTTGAGGGAATAATTTATCAGCTTCACTAATATCTAAATTTGGCTTTTCATTTAAAGAAGGATAAGTGTTGTAACCTTTTGCCGATTTAGTGTAGAAAGTACTTCTATCATAAGGAACCAAATGGCTACCTTGGTACAATCTTTGAGCAAGATCTGGGTTTGAAATGATGTATCTGGAGAAACCAACCAAAGTACGATCATCGTCGACGTCTTTCAATAATTGTTTAAATTCTGGAGCATCGTAAGTATAGTTACCAGCACGGATCAAAATACCTTTCCAGATTTTCTTGATGAATTCATTATCACCAGTCTGTCGATCAATTTCAACATCAACAGCTCCAGAGACCCTTGGTTCCACAATGGAGATATAAGCAAGTTCCTTACCGTTATTAGCTCGTTTTTGTAATTCATTAACCACGTAACTAAAAGTCGTATAAGGATGAACTTCTTCTTTAACGGTAAGCATTGAGTTATAAGTAGACCAAGGAGATAATCTAATGGCCACTTTAGAAGCACCAACGAGTTCGATTAAAAGATCTACAACCTCCAATAAGAACCTAGCTCTGTTTTCAATTGAACCACCATATTTATCAGTTCTTTTATTAGTAGAAGGATGTAAAAAAGTTTCAATCATATAACCATGAGCAGCGTGAATTTCAATATAATCAAACCCTGAGGCAATTGCATTCTTAGCAGCTTGAACAGTTTCGTTTTTAACCAAAGATTCAATTTCATCTGTTGATAAACTTCTCAATTCGACTCCCAATTGGTTCAAAGTTTCTTCGTGCTCTTTGTTTTGATATACAACTGAAGGTGCAACCATTGGCAACTGATGTCTTTTAGCAAAATACGGATCAGAAGCTCTTCCATAAAATATCACTTGTATAGAACTGAAAGATTTATTTTGGTGAATAACATCATTGATCCTTTTCCATCCCTCTACATGGGGTTTTTTATAAATGCCAGGAGCTCCCGAATTCCCACCTGTTTTAGGTGTAATATTCGTAGCTTCAACAATCAACAAAGAACCTGGGAACTTTGATCTATCGTCGTAATGTTTCAATTGCAAATCACTGGGCTCTCCATCTTTTGCTGATCTAACCCTAGTACTTGGAGCGAAAACTATCTTGTTCGAGATTTCATTATCACCCACTCGAGTTGGAGTGAAAACTTTAGTGTTTTTTAAAGAAGCTGCTTGAATCATTATCTGATAACTACTAGTAGGATACCATTGAGCTTTGATAAAGTTCAATGCTTTATATACTCTTATTTATTAGTAATCTTTTCTTTCGCAACCGAAACATTGAAAAGCTGACTGCCTAATTAGTCAACCACCGAGACGTATTACCGAAGCTCCGCCAAATAAAGCTCAGTCAAATTAGTCAAGCGAAGCATCGTAGCTTCGAGTAGTATAAAATAACAGCATCCTAGTCCTGAATAAGACGAGAAAATAGGTCTTTGTAGGTCTGAATACTGCCAGAATCGGCATATAATCGAGGGAAATCTCGCTCGTAACGCATAAAGCAGCCACTAAGCTCAGATGGGTTGCAAGATCGCGTTATTAGGTACCGAATTAACAGTAAAGTATGTAATACGGACAGCGAAGGAAAAGCTGGTTGTAGATAATCAATTTCGTATCTTTATCTTATTTAATCTATGAAATACAGTTTAATTTTTTTTTACAGTTTACTATTATTGCAAATAACAACCTAAGATCTTGACATTAGTATTAGCCATGAGTAATACGATATCATGATTGGAGATCATGACAAGCAGCCATTGCCAGGACTCTAGATAAATGGAAATACTTTAATCATTTTCGAAAACAGTTTTACTAAGTTTTTTGTCTTACTTTGAATATTGTAAGCAATACGATGATTTAAGCGTCTTCTTATGAAGAAACAAACTGATTCTTACTCTCTGTTCTCTATAATTTGTAGTATACACTTTAAACACTCTCCTTATTACAGTTAGAGAAACTTATTAATAACAGTTATATATTTTTCTGAATTTTCGTGAATGTATTGTAAAACGTTTAGAACAGAAAAGGCCACCCAGCATGTATAGAAAGAAGAAGATACCTTTATTACCTTAAATATCGACGTAGGACCCCCCTTCCCTTCCGACATCCATCACTAGACTCTAGTTCATTGTGCTTTCAGTAGGTTCTTTGAAGTTGTTCCAGCACCATCAAAAAACCCATACACCAGATCATCAACCGTTTGTAAGTTATAACGATTTTTTTTTTTAATAATCAGATTCCACGTTTTCAATCCTTTTAACATAATATCCACTTAACAACATGGATTTGATAGGAGAGATTGTTGAGCGAGAGGTCGAAGCTCCCGCACCTCCAATGAGCTCGAAAAATAACGGGTTTCCCGACCCAGGGAAGCTTAAAGAGAAGAGAGTTTCTCGATGGAAGCAAAAAGCACAAGAGCAGAAGAAGCAAGAGAGAAGAGAACCAGCTAAAGAAAATATCCAACCAGAGCCCAAAACTGAATTAAGTGAAGCCGAAAAGATCCACCAGGAAAATATGAAGAAGATATCCGACTTGACCGAGGAAGAAATCAGTCAGGAAAGAGAAGAGTTATTGAACGGACTTGATCCATCATTGATTAAGAGTCTTTTAGCAAGAACGGAGAAACGTATAAAGGAAGAAGCTTGCTGCGATGGCCACGACCATGGGCATGATCATGCAGAAGGCTATGGTGGTTGGATTGGTGGTGGTAAAGATGGGAGCAGCGTATCTCATCTCGACTCTAACGACGTGGATAAGGCATTGGGTGTAAGTAAAATATCCTTAGCCGATGATATCAAGGAAGAAGCAAGTACTGAAGGAGACAAATCGAAAACCAACAAGAAGGATAAAACGGTTAGATTCAACGAAGTTGCAACCGTCAAATACGAAGATTTAGATGATGATATCGAATTAGATGAAGATGGATGGGAAGACGTCGAAGATATAAATGATTTGATTCCAAACATGCCTAAAGGCGAAGAGAACCAAATTGCACATGATGATTATCAACTACTATCAGAAAAGGAAGAGGCCGAAGAAGATGGAGCCCCTCTCAAAGTACACTTCCCCAAACCAAAGTCTAACAATAACGATGATTTGGATTTAAATGATCCAGAATTTTTCAATAAATTACACGAAAAGTATTATCCTGATTTACCAAAGGAAACTAACAAGCTATCATGGATGACCGAACCAATGCCGACCAACTACACAAGCACTTATGAATCAATAAGTGATATGAGATTTGATTTTAAAGGAAATTTAATCGAATTAGATGATTCTGGGGATAAACAATCTGAAATACCTACCTATATGGGATTACACCACCATTCTGATAACCCTCATTTGGCTGGATACTCACTTCCTGAGTTATCCAGGTTATCCAGGTCAGTGGTTCCAGGTCAAAGGTGTTTTAGCTTACAAATGTTAGGAAGAATTCTTCATAAATTGGGGTTACATAAGTACAATTTCATGCCTATTAGCGATAAAAAGGAAGATCAAGAATTTAATAATAACTTAAAATCTTTAGTTACTGATTTTGAAGATCTTATATGGAATCTTATTGGAGAACTAAGAATTCTTGAATCAATTCAAGAAGCAGCAGATGAATCTAAAACCAAAAATCTTTCAGTCAGAAACTACGCCATAGAAGCATTATGGTTATGGAAACAAGCTGGAGGTAAACAACCATCGAAGACTATTTCCGAAGAAGAAATAATAGCCCGAGAGGTTCAAAATTAGCATATATAAAATATATTACAAATAATACATGATGTTAATATTCGTTGAATGAGATCGAAAAATACAAAAGTAGATAACAGGTATCTTGCATTCGACCCAATTATAAAAACCCCATCCATTCAACATAAACGAAACACCATGTAGACACCCATCCAACACAAAACGTGAATTCAGCAGTATCACCGGGTATAGGTCAAACAGAGCCAGCATAGTAAACCAAAGTTCAAAAAACTCAATTTCTGCATCTTCAGCAAAAACTGCTGTTTCAACATGAAATCCAGTTCCCAAACTTCAACTAGCAGTTCTGGAGAAGCTAATCACACTTGACCTATTAATTACTTTCAATTGAATACAATGATAGGGTAACGAATATCTGATTTTTGATCTTCGCATATAGACACATTGTACCGATGGTCCACTAAAAGGGTAAGTTATGAAAACTTGATCGGACAACTTAAGTTATGCGGTGGTATACTCGACACAATACAGATTCGTTTTTCAAGCTAATATATATATTCAAACCTATTTAATAGCCTTCAATGAAAGTAGTTGAAAAGAAAGCTTTGAAATTTTTCATTTCAAACTTCTACATCGCGTTCCCAGTGCGGGTAACCGGCGTTCTTCATCAGTATCCTGGGGCTTTTACAACTAACTACCGGTATCAACCCACGATAAAGCACAGCTTTAGTTGAATATACTAAAGGGATCGGAAGTGATCCAGAAGGTTAAGACCAAAGATTGCTAGGGTTTCCGGCTACCAGGCAATTAAGTGTAGATGTAGTTATCGAAGTTTTGTATTTTTTCTTCTCAACACGACCAGCTTAACTATCAGACTGGGGAATCAAGTACGTATTTGAACACCAAATCAGACTACAGAGCTAGATACTACTCTACAAAGATGAAGGTCTCTCAGGTATATGTATGGATGAGCCTATGTGCGTCGCTAGTGTCGGCTGTTTTTCTACAGGATGCTTTTGTTAAGGATTGGGTCAACTATCATTATGGAAACCTAGGGAAGTACCAACTTACTTCTGATGAATCATTGGTTGCCATTACTGGCTTCAACCAATTGGTGAGCATTGGATTGCAAAATGAGGGTAGGCTTAGATGGTCTTTTGACTTAGAGAAACTTCCTACTGAAATCGATGATTTCCAAATTGCTAATCGAGGTAAAATCATCTATGGATATTCAAAGAATGGAAATCAGGTTTATTCTTGGGAAAGTGGAAGTGGGGTTTTGATTGAAAGATTCAATCTCGAGTCAGCTCCTAAGAAAATAGATGCCTTTGATAACATGGGTCTTTTGGTGTTGGGGTCCAATGGTGACCTTCAATTGCTTCGTGTTGACGGGAAGATTTCGTCGTTAGTCTATAAACGTGCCATCAGTGACTTCAAGTCATTTCAGCACGATGGTCTTGGATACATACTCACTGACGATGGAAATCTTGTATCTATTAATCCGTTGGGTGAAATAAGTATTGTGAAAGAAGATATTGTCTCTTTTTCAAAAATTAAAGCTGTTGGTGAAGGTATTCTTATTAGTTCCGATCACAAATTGTATAACATTGCTGACCTTTCTAAACCAGTCAGCTCCCCATTCAAGCTCAATAATGTCGAGGTGGTTAATACAAACTACTTCGTTGACTACAAGTCCTCAGACATTACTTTATATCGTGAAGAAAATGAAAGTATAGAAAAAATTTGGTCAGCAGCAATTGAAGAATCAATAATTGCTTTGAAGGTTGAAGAACATGCATTATCTACATTGGTAATTGCATCAACTGCCTCAGGTCAAACTGTTTTCGATATCACTGATACCTTGGCATCAGATGACTCCGATTTGGTTCAAAAGCACCAGTACGACTTCGTCGGTGGTTTGATCAGTTTTAGTCAAGAAGAAGCGGGCTTTCAATCAGTTTCAAGTAGTTTGGAGTTTGGAGAATTGAGAGTTGAAAAGTATTCATTTAGTTCCAAGAATGTTACTACCTCAAAAATTAAGCTTGAGGATGATTTTGCCTTAACCCCAACAAAAGCTATTCTTGTAGATAAACCAAAATCTCAAAATACCATTGCTAAAGTTCATCATTTGATCGAAAATGCTTATTCTTTTAACTTGGTCCAACGTTGGGTTGGTAGAGTAAAAAGACATTTAGCAGAGTTGGGAAGATTTGCTGTTTCTATAACTAATTCTTCTGGGGAAAATCAGATCTTAAATCAAGTAAATGAAGATGCTTATGGATTTGGAAAAATTTTGATATATGCTGATTCAACAAAAAGATCTTTGATCGCTTTGGATACTTCCACTGGCGGTCGTTTATGGAAAACAGAGATCTCAACGAAAGAGGAAGTTACCGATATACTCAATATTAACAGTAATATCTATGTTCTTTTATCAAAGTCATTGATTCAGGTTAGCGTCAGGGAAGGAACAGTTTTATCTACTTATGAATACAACAAAAATATTGAAAAAATCTTCAAGATTAGTATCGAGTCAGGTATTTTCAACGACGAACCAGATTTAGAACCGGTTGCTATTGCAGTTAAATTTGAAAAGTCTAACAGTATTAAGATTATTTCAAATTTAGATGACTTCCAGATCAAACCTGATCAGTTTTTGATCCAACAACTGGAATCTGCCATTGAAGGCTATAAAGTCTTAGATGAAAAACTTATACCTACTTGGAAATTTTCCAAAGATCACTCGAGTATAATTTCCGTTTCAAGCAAACCCGAACCAAGAGTGACTTCATCAATAGGTATTACTCGATTTGACAAATCAGTGCTTTATAAATACTTAAATCCTAATTTCATCTCAATAGTCAGTCAAGATAAGAATACTCAGCAGCTCTCTATTGATATCCTTGACGGTATTTCTGGATCTGTATTATACACTCATGTCCACGATAATGAAATCGTGGATGTGAATTCCATAAACTTAGTCGAGGATGATAATTGGATCATTTATACTTATTTTATCAAATCACCCAAGTTAGAGCAAAGGATTATCGTTATCGACTTATTCGATACTTTTGAAAACGCCATTGGTGATAAACAAGCGTCCGTTCTAAACAATGAATACAATTCTACCATCAATCAAATAAGCAAAAAGTCATTTATTTTCCCAGAACGTATTATTTCAATCAAACCAAGTCAAACCAAGTTTGGTATAACATTAAAATCAATAATTGCATTGACTGAGACTGGAAACTTATTAGAGATTCCAAAATTTATATTGAATAGTAGAAGAATTGACGATAAACCAATTAAGCCAGAAGATTTACAAGATGAATTTAGAATTATGCCATACGATCCGATAATTTATAAGAATACTTATCAAGTATTGAATCATAAGCTTGAATTAAAATTAGATCACGAAAATGAGATATTAGTTAAACCAACTGAATTAGAATCTACGTCAGTTGTTTGCTTTATCAATAAATATAACGATTTCTGCACTTTAATCCAACCTTCGTTGTCATATGATTTACTTAGCAGTACTTTTGATAAAGTTAAACTAAGCTTAACTATCTTAGTGTTACTTATTGGGTATTTGATAACCAAACCAATGGTCATGACTAGAAAGTTGAACAGCACTTGGATTGATCGTGAGTAGTTTTTGTTTATAAATAAAATATATTAAAAGAAGTATAATGAAAAGATTATGTAAATGCCAAAGTCTATAAGATAGAAGTGAAGATTGAATGTGATTCATAAATATAATTGATCACATCCTGATTAGTATCCGTATTTAAACCGTAAATTTCCCAATTAATATCATTGATATTAGAATTTCCCGAAGAAGAGTCATTATTCTTATTATTAAATTCATTGTCATAAATCAAATAAATTAATTCATAATGCAAGCTTGAAACCAAATAATCTTTCATTTTATTAACCAAAAAAAAAGTATCTTTGTTTGAGTTTAAAATTGATATATTATTCAATTTATTAAATTTTGATATAATTTTGATCAATTTACTATTCAACAATAACCAGTTACGGTTAGAATTTTTAGTCAAAATTCCAAAACTTTTATTGAAAAGATTTTGAACAAATTTATAATCATCAACCGAGTTTAACAAAGGGCTTGAAAAGATCCTTAACAAAACCAACAAAACCGTTTCGATAATGAATTTATAATGAATTGGAAGTTGGTTAAAGTTAGTAATGTTGGTGAATTCTAAATTCCAAAGTTGCAAAATCAGATTGCATGATTGAATCGCTTTATAAATGATTATTTTATAATCGTGAATATTTAAATCAACGTTCGAAAAAGCATAGGTGAATAATTGTAACTTGGTGAATTCAATTGATAATCTTATCAAATTATCATCGATTAATTTATCATTTTGTTGGAAATCATTCAATATTATTTCAAACATATTGATATTAATTAATTTCGAAACATTATTTGGTTGATTGATTAAATCATTCATATTCTCATTTAATTTTGATTGAATTAGAGAGATTTTCAATAAAGAATTGATGAAATTATCTTGATGGTTGAACTTTGAATTATTGAATAAATCGATATTGGCAGATTTATTTATGATATAATCCTGTTGGAACCCATTGTAATTTGAATTTGATAATCCAAGATAAACCAACCAATAATTAGAATTGATATTTATAAATTTATAAATACGTTCTCTTATTAAATTATTCAAATCAGATTCACTTGAAATATTCATATTAGTTTTATGACTAAATTCATTGATGAATTCTAATTTATGTAAACCCAATTGTAATGATAAATTTTTCATTAAAGATAAGTATTTAATTGATAAATTATCTTGAAGTTTTTCCAGCTTGATCATTGGTAAAGGCCAGGTCGTTAAGATCAACAAAGATGCCAAAGTATAAACATCTCTTGGAGTATTTAACCAACATTTGTATACGACCAAATTCTTTATATGATTTGCCAAGTCGAAGTATTCATTTGTATTTGACCCCGATAATTTCGAAGTTATAATAATGGACCAAAACAATAAATCGTTTTCTCTATATATTTGACGTAAGTTCAAATTTTCAAATAATGAATTTGGTAATATCGGTAAGAATTTATTATAATTCAAGTAATAATTTTTAAAATAATCTTCACATTGTTTGAAGCTTATTGATATTGGTCTCATTTGTTTATTGGAGTTTATAGTAAAGGAATCATTGATGATATTGGTTGGTATTGGATCAATATCAATACTTTTCTGTATTGGTGAATTGGTGGGTGAGTTTAAACAAGATTGAATTTCGGAAACTGATGGAGTATTAGGAACCGAATTGATCTTTTGGATTTGCTTCCCACTATCAACCAACAATTTGATTGTTTGATTTTTCCTTTCTATTATACGATCCAAAACATCTCTTAATTCATGAACTTCATTTGTTAATTTTTCTAAAACATCGTATGATCTTTTAGGAGTAGAGGTGATAATATCTAAAGTGCAATCGGTATTCTTCTTATAACACTGGGTACAGGGAAAAGGATTGGTGCTGGAGGCATCACATTTAGTCTTATGTTGTCTGCATCTTATGCAAGACTTCAAAACCTTACCTTTTATGGGACGGGCCGGAGTAATGAGTCTTAGACGTTTCTTCTGTTGAAGGGACATTATTATTATGGCAACCATGGAGTAAAAGTAGATAGTAGTATTAGCAGTAGCAGTATTAGCAGTAACAGCAGTAGTAACAGCAGTGGTAACAGCAGTGGTAACAGCAGTAGTAACAGTAGTAACAGCAGTAGCAGCAATAACAGATATCAGCAAAACGGAAATCGATTTGTATTTAAGACCCAAGCATCAATACCTTCACGGATAACGGTAGGGTATGTGCGTTCAGATGGTCGGACCTAAACTTATCTTAAACAATTTGGTTGGTTGTTAAAACTTGTAAGTAATCAGCTTCACCATCCAGTTTATTGGCTAGCCTTCAGAATCCGCTTCTCGGTGTCTTAAAAATTGGTAATGAGCTTTAGTGCGGATTTCATTGGCTGGCAAAACTTGCAACCGAATCTCGGTGAGAAGATGAGCTGAGGGCCTGAGACAACCCCAACGAGTCATTCCACTCCACCACGAGCTTGGACAGGGTAAGAACATCTGATTGATTACTTGAAGGACACGGTGATTTGCTGGTAGGTTTGCGTTCGAGGTTCGGCTTAAGCTTGTTATTGTTTCACGGGTTATTTTACGGTTTATGGTTGATTAGAAGTGAGAGATCAGACTATCAGGGTATCAGGTTATCTTAGTGATGAGTGAGTCGGTAATCCATTTATACAACTTGAGCCATGTGTTGACCACAGGGCCGATGTCTAAGAAGTATGCGGTTGAGTTTGCAGACGTTGCTAATCATCAACAGATCAATTTACCGGAGGTGATTGATGATGCTTTTTGCAATGGATGTGGTGTCATAAGTATACCGGGAATCACTAGTTCATCTAGAATTAGTTATCGGAAACTGAAGACGAAGAAGAAGAAGAAGAATGCTAGTCGACGTTTAGTTATACGGTGTCTCGAATGTAATCACACCAAGGAACATGATTCGCTAGTGACCCAATCGATTAAACCGATTAATTCAAGTAGCAGCGATGTTAGTAATAAAAAGCAATCCCGTAAACGTAAAACCAATGATTTATCGAGTTTATTGGCAGCTAAGAAGAAACAAGAAACGAAAAAGACTTCATTAGATCTAATGGAGTTTATGAAATGAACGTAATGACTTACAATACTCTTACAAATGAAAATAATATACCCAAGATTACATTAAAAAGCTTGAAAAAGATTTACTTAAACGTTCAGTGGAATAGATTGATTGTCTATTTTCATTAACTTCATTAACCGTTTGATAAGTTGGATCTATGTTTTTAAAAGACTTTCTTTTACAATTTCTAATCCATCTTCTTCTTCTAAATAATTGGTTTGATCGATCATTTGGATCGATATTCATGAAATCATAAACCCATTTTTCATCGTCATCGATATTAACTATATCTTGTATTAATTTCTCTTCAACCCAATCATTAACATTTAAATCTAATTGCCATGGTAAGTTTTCATCAAATTCCCAATCAATTGGTGCTTTTATATCTTTCAATTGATTCTGTTGTTTTATTTTAATCAACATTGCATCTTGAGCATCTTCTTCTTCACTTTCATTCTCCTGTGAAAGTTTCAAATCATTATTTTCTTGTAAGTATTCTTCAAATAAATTTTTGTTTAATTTTCTTATTGGATTATTGATTGTATAAAAATCATTAACAAAACCAACTTTTTCCCATATTTTAGTAATTGAATTCAATTTTTGTAATTCAAATATTTCAACCCATCTTGTTTCTTCTAATTGGTCATAGTCACTAATGAATTTTAATCCAAAATTTTCAAATTTACAAACAATTTCCAGAGTTTTCATTCTAGTGTTTTCATCGTATATGAAATCAAGGATGAAATCATGGAAATAAGGATGACATATACCAACAAATGCCCATAGATTAACTATCAACAAGAACTTTATTGGTAAATATTGAATTATCACTGGTAATATACTTGGTAAGATGAAAATTGAATAAAGTGACAAAAAAATCAAAGACAAATAAATCAAACAAGTAATATTTTCATCTTTGAAAAACAAGTAGTCGGTGAATAACCAAATTATAAAATCGTAAGTCTTAATATAAAGAATCATATGATTTTGTAAATCAGTTAAGTTAAGGACAAACTCTCTTGAAAATTCAGGTATTGGTTTGGGAATTTTATACTTGTTCAAGGGGAAGCCACCTTCATAGGGACGAGGATTAGACTGATGGAAAGAACTATCAATCATTGACTTATCAGGAGGATATAAATTCAAATAATTAGGTATTAAAATATTATTCATAACTAAAAAAATCGGTAAAGTTATTAATAAATAAGGCTTCAAAATCAAATGAGTTATTATCAATAGAATCCCAATGGTGAAATATGGATTATACCAACTTATAAACTTTATAACATTATCAATGAATTGGAAAATGGCCGAGAGTCTTTGATTCAACTGAATTGAGTTTCTCGACATTATATTAATCGACAACGGGGGTCTCTGTTGCTGCATTATTATTCGATCATCAATAACCTTATCCTTTTCAGTAGTAAGCGGTATTATCATAGATATAACCTTCTCCATCAATTTATCGGTCATTACTGAATTCTTGGGCTCATCATTGGAGTTAAGATACCAGAATGACGATATGTCTTTCAAATTTTTAGGATTGGAATGATCAATTGACTTAATATTAATCACTTCATTATTATACTTATTTGAATTAGTTGATTGATTCGATGCTATGGACATCCTCTTTTTGGAGTCGTTATTAGGTACAACATCAATCTCTTCGTTAATAACATCCTCCAACTCTTGTTCAGTTGTTTCTGAAGCTAGAATGTTCTCGAGAAAGCTAGACACTTGATCCATGATCAGTAGCAGCAATGGGTCTATCTTAATTAGTATATAGTTTTGCTGAACTCAATTCAATTTGGTCTTTTAATTTTTGCTGTACTTTCATATGCTTTCGTTAATCCGCACCCAAAAGCTTAAATAGTGCAACTACTAGTACAATTACTAGTCCAATTACTAGTACAACTACAACTACTAGTACAACTACACAACAAGCACGGCTATGTAATGAATATATTAATCTACTAATACAAACAAGAAGTCATTAGGTCGTTAAGAAAGAATCAACTATAATTTAATTCTTTTGGTATTAATATCAACATCCTCTAATTCTCTTTTAACTTTGATTGACCGTTCTTGATTCATTTGAGATCTGGTGAATGCTCTTAAAGCACGGGATCTGTTTGAAGTCATTTTCAATTCGTCCAAGTCCGGCTCATCATCTTCGTTAAAACTCGATTGAGGAGAAGGTAATTTGAATGAGTTAGTAGCTTTATTAATTTTTTTTGAATTTGATTCTGCTCTTTTGAATTTTTTGGGTTCACGTTTAATTTTGGTCTTTTTAGGTGTAGAAGGAGGAGTAAGAAGGGATTCTTCCTTTTTAACTTTTGGTTTTTCAGTTTTAACTTTTTCAGTTTTAACTTTTTCAGTTTTAACTTTTTCAATTTTTTCAGATTTAACTTTTGTCTTTTCAGCTTTAACTTTGGTCTTTTCTTTATTATTTGATAATTTTTTGGAATCGAGTTGTTCTTGAGTTAAGAACAAATCTGGGATTTCGTGTTTTAAAACTTTTATAAAGTCATCACAATCACTTAAAATTTCGTAATCGATTAAATTAGACCATGATTTTGAAATGGGGGTTTTATTAATGAAAATAACCAATCCACCTTTATCGTGAATGGTTTTAGATAAATTTCTTACTAATTTTTTAATACCATCAACTTTTAAAGAAGTACCCATTATAATCAATAAATCTGATTTTAAAGACATATCAAGACTAAGTCCCTTTGATATAATTTCTGATTGAGGATGATTTTCACCATATAACACAATATCTGGTCTTAACATTCCAATGTTACCGGTTAATCTTTTCCCACTGTATAAACGTTCTTGATATTTTAAATAACAGTTTTCACATTCTGGATTAAGACCTTTACTTAATTGGGCCTGATTATCTGGAGACCAATTAAAAGTCTTGAAACATTGAGTACAAGATAATTTTTGTAAATTACCATGTAATTGAACAACATCTAAATTTTTCCAAATTTTATTAAAATTTGAGTTATTACCATCGTTAAAGTTATTCAAATCAATCCCACAGTTTAAATTGATTACTTTTTCTAAACAATCAATATTCTGGGTATAACAACGTAATAATTTATTTTTTTCTTTTAATATTTTGATAAATTTATGAGTTTCCGTTGGTTTGGCTTTTAAGGATGATGAATAAAGGCCTTCCATAAAAGTACAAAATAAACTCAAGGTTAACTCATTTCTAAATAATGAAATATCAAACAAGTCTTGTCCCTTAACACAGTTCTTAGGGTATTTGGATTTAACCAAGTTATATAACCCATCAGATGACCTGAAATCAGGTATACCGGCATTACAAGAGATTCCAGCTCCAGTTAAAACAATGGTTTTTTTCAGCTTGAAAACGATCTTGGTGACTTCATTCAACTTGATCGAGTCTTCAGTGGGCAACTTGCTTCCAAGACGATTGGATTCCAATAAATCTATGGTTTTCATCTTGGAATTTAAAGATTTTAAAAAGAACAGTTAATTTTATTTGACGAGTATTAATTAACCCTAAGTAGTGTAAGTAGAAAAAAGGCTCAATGAGATGATTGCGCAATCAATTTGCTAGTAATATTTGCAATCTGATGACTATATCATAGAAAAGCAGCAGCTGAAGATGAAAAGAAGATGATGGGTAGCTCGAGTTGAAGACGTAGAGTTGAAAAGTTGAAGTTTTGGAAGAAAAAGGTACAAAATTTGTTAGTGAAGTGTTTACAAAATTGACTAAAACAGTTAAATTAATTACTTAGTGAACACCACGAATCTGAGGAAACGAGCACCATCTTTGGCAGGTAAGGGGTCTACTGGGACCCAGTGGGCGTAGAAGTAGCAGTTGGTGTATAAGTGTAGGTGTTGGTGTATAAATGGAGCAGTTGGTATGCTGGAGCAGGTCGGTTAGTGGAGCGGACGTAATTCATACAGTACTTACTTAGACAGTGCTTACTTAGATAGTACTTAGTTAGATATACAGAGTAGTTACAATGATACCGTGGTACGGAGATGGTGACAGTGATAGAGTGATGGTGACAGTTCAATACGGAGATGGTGACATTACGATACAGTGGTGTACCCATCTTGAAAATGGGTAGGGGTGGTACAATCACGAATTGAGAACACGATAAATGGTGAACAATCGTGCCGGTCTTAAACAGGAATATTGATACATATATTGGTACAAACAATTAACTATTTTGACTATTGACTGCTAATTCCATGATTAATCTAGTAGCCAAATGTAAGAAAGGATAAGCTGAGAAGGAGCTCATTTCGTCGACATCTTGATTATTTTTCTCTTTTGGAATTGAATTTGAAGAAGCTTGTTTTTGTAATCTTAATTCTTGTTGTTTGATTGAGCTTTCCCAGCCATCGAATTTAAAATCAACTAAGTAATTATTTGGTTCTAATTGAAATAATTGTATTTGCATCTTCATCATATCTGGACTGATGATTTCACAATTTGGATCATCTTCTACTATAGTTGGACCATATTTCCAACGAACTCTAATGGTCCATAATTCTTCTTCTGTTGGTTTCAGCCATTCAGCTCCCAAATTTTTCAAAGCTCTATATATTTCTCCCATAACATCCAAAGGATATGATCTTGATCTTACACCAAAATGCCATCTTGTTTTCAGTTTCTTCAGTGAAACTGGACTAATTTTATTTTGGTTATTTATATTATTTTCCATCATGTATGCCCGATGTATTGATGGTAATGATGATGGTAAAATAGCAATTGTTGAATTTGGCAATGTAGATAAATCGGGTACGGTGGCCAAGGTTTGGTAAGTTACTGATTGTTGGACTCCTGGTGATCTGTGACTTGATCCACTTGTATTTGAAGTAGCCCCACCGGTGTTTAAAGTATTCCACAGTGGTGGTGGGGATTGAGATAAGAAATTATCCATTTTTTCGGTTTTATTTTTTTTCAAATCAGCAACTAATGAATGATTTTCCTTCATTAATAAATAAGCGTCTAATACTTCATTTGATTGTTGTTGTGGGTGACGATGTTTATTACAATCTTCAATAACTTTTATAATTTCATCACGATCGTATCCCATAGTCATATTCAATGCATTAATAACATTTTCATCAGTTTCAACTTTATTATATTTTGTTTTGGAAAGATCGGGTGGTAATAAATAATCTTGTATATCTTGTTTAAACCATTCGTCTTCCATAATTTCATGTATTGTAATTCTATTTAATGGATTAACAACCAACATTTTGGTTAATAAATTCTTAGCTCCTTGCGATAAATAATTTGGTAAGGTATAAACACCATTACTGATTTTCTTGAATAATGCTGGTATAAATTCATCATCAAATGGTAAACGTCCACATAGCATAACATATAATATAACACCCAGTGACCAAACATCTACTTCAGGTCCAGCATATAACTTACCACTAATAACTTCCGGAGCGGCGTAATTTGGCGATCCACAACTTGTTTTCAAAAAATTCCCATCCGTCATAATATTTGATAAACCAAAATCAGCAATCTTAACATTCAATTGATCATCTAATAATAAATTTTCTGGTTTTAAATCACGATGAACAATCTTGTGACGATGACAATATTCAACAGCCGCAATAATTTGTTGGAAAAATCTTCTAGCTTCATTTTCAGGCATTTTACCTGTTTGCACAATGTAATCAAATAATTCTTTCCCAGCAAATTCAATAACCATAATAATTTCGTCTTTAGACTTAATAACATCGTATAATTTAATAATATGGGGGTGTCTCAATAATCTTAAATATGAAATTTCTCTCTCAACTCGACCTTGCATATCCGATTTGGCCAATGTTTTACGATTAATGATCTTTAAAGCAACCCGTTGTCCAGTAGTTAAATGTTGTGCCAATTTAACTTTACCAAATGATCCTTCTCCTAAGGTCTTAATAACTTGATATTTCCCAATCCGATTAGCAGGATTCACATTAGCATCGATCGGCTGCTGTGGCTGGGGCTGGTGGAGACGAGGTTCCTCATGATTATGGTGGTGGTGATGATGATGGTGTCCATCATTTACCTGATCTGACATATCTTCACAACTCTAAATTTATTATATAACCAAACAATTAACCAAATAACTAAACAAATAACCAAACAAATTCGAACAAATTCGAACAAAAACAATTCAACAATCAGTTATCTTCTGAATAACCACTCTATACGTATCCTACTTGATACCTTTTATTCTTTCACCGTTAAGCAATGAAGTTGTTAATTTCCCCTGTTGTTCATTTTTCTGTGTTGTGAGTGGGGTTAATTTGCTGGTGGACTTATTTTTTTGAGCTGCACACACTACAGACCAGTACACCACCACACTCCATCCGTACATTTATACTACTTCTATTACTTATATTACTTCTACTTGGACCGGTCAGACTTGTACAGGGACCGTGTCTTATTGGTTTCCATGTCTTTGAATCGGTCGGGGCTACGGCTTCTGTTGTAGTTAGTTCTTCTTTCCCTGGGATTATGTTTTGATTCTTGCTTTGGTTCTTTTGATTGTTCTTTTGATTCTTGCTCTCTTGATTCTTGTTCTCTTGATTCTTGTTCTCTTGATTCTTGTTCTCTTGATTCTTGTTCTTTTGATTCTTGTTCTTTGAAATCTTTTGGTTCTTTCACCTCCTTTGGCTCGAGCTTCCTTTTGGTTTCCTCTAATATCTCTTTCGGTATCCCGTCAGGATCTTGTTGAGCACTGTTTAACAACAACCATAGTTTTTTGCAAAACTTCTTCGAGTCATCCTCTCCCATAAACTCTTTCATCTGCAAATGAATCACCTTGATGTCCGGATTCTCATCTTGCGTGAGCATCTCACATAGATAGTCCATCACAATATCGTCATCTGGTAGTATTTGGTTCAATTGTACAAAGATCCATTTCTTAACGATGGCAAAGTTAACCTGGGAAATGTTCACCTTAATATCAAAGATCTTATTCAATTTCAACCGCGAGAGCTCCCTGCTGTTCTGCCTGGCCACGTAATCTTCCTCTACTTCTTTCACTTTGTACATTCTTGTGTAGCTTAGAAGTAGTACTTTCCAGTAGTAAACTTTTTCATTTTTTCAAACAGTTGCAGTTTAGCACCGCACGTTTGCAGGTTTTCTGGCTGCAAAAAGTATCAAATGTGATACATCGTTTTCCAAATGTGATACGTCGTTTTCCAAATGTGATACATCGTTTTCCAAATGTGATACATCGTTTTCGAAATGTGATACATCGTTTTCGAAATGTAATACATCACTTCATGGGCGGTAATGTGGCACTTTCATGGCGGCTAATCTTATATAAATACGCTCTTTTCCTTGTAGTTTCCAGTAAGCTTTGTAATGTGGGCTATCACAATGTACTCTTTCAAGACTTTGTCCAAGGACTCGAGTCTTGTCTCGTCGAGCTCTTCATATTCGCAAGCAGATGACTTGTATTCAACACCAAGGTCAAGTAACACCATTGATGTGTTCACCCAGGAAATTGACTGGAAACCAGTCACTAATATTTGGTCTACCAACTATAAGAGCTTGTCAATCGGGCAGGTTGAACAGTACAACCAGCTTAATCTGCTTCAGCCTGCTCAGAGCCAATATGTGAATCAGTCTAAAGATAATTCAAAAACACCCAGCTGCGTCAGCTCTCCATTACTCAATTCACCTTTGTCGCCTTTCCCTCTTAAGAAACCTACTTATACATTCAAGAATACTAATGGGAATTTCTTCGATGTTTCTCTCAAGTCAAGGTTCTTCGTTATAAAATCGTATAACATCAACGACGTCGAGGCATCGTTCCAAAACGGGATTTGGTCCTCTACAGATTTGGGAAATAAAAGATTGAATAAAGCCTTCATTGAACTTAAAAGTTCATCCTCTACTGATAAGGTCTTATTATTTTTTCTGGTTAATGGATCACGTAAGTTCTGTGGGGTTTGTGAAATGATTGGCCTGGTCGACTTCAATCTGTCCAGTAATATCTGGTCTGAAACATCTCGTTATAAAGGTGTTTTCCCGGTTAATTGGTTAATAATTAAAGATATTCCAAATAAATACTTCAACCATTTATTAATTCCTTCCAACGAAAACAAACCAGTCACCAACTCAAGAGATACCCAGGAAGTTCCATTTGACACGGCAATTGCCATACTTAAAATATTCAGCACTTTCAAACAGCTTGAATTACAGTGAACTGTCGTATCAAAATCAGCTCACAACTAATCAAATTTCGCAGAAAGAAGCAAAAAAAAAAAAAAAAAAATATAAAACTCAATAGCAAAAAAACCATCAAGTACATCTTCAATAAGTACATCTCTTCACTTACATTTTATCACAACAAGAATGTTGAATGCTAGTAGAGGTTCTCGTCGGTGCCTTTCGTCGACTTGTCGTCTCAACTTACACTGCACTTCTATAGCACCTGCCAAGACCGCCAAAGCTCCTAAATCGAATGAAACAAAAGCCAAAAAACAAGCAATTAAAAAGTACTACGGTGAAGATGTCGAATACGGGGCATTATCAAAAGCTCAAAAAGCTTTCCTCGATAGAGTTATAAGAGTCGACCAGGCTGGAGAATTGGGTGCTAACTATATCTATTTTGGTCAATTCACCGTCTTGGCTACTAAATATCCTCATTTAAGACCAGTCTTACAGCATATGTGGGATCAAGAAGTCCATCATCATAATACTTTCAACGATCTTCAAACAAAACGTAGAGTAAGACCTTCTCTCTTAACCCCCCTTTGGAAAGTAGGTGCCTTTGGTATCGGGGCAACAACTGGCCTTATCAGTAAGGAAGCTGCAATGGCTTGTACTGTGGCCGTCGAAACAGTTATTGGTGGTCATTATAATGATCAATTAAGAGTCCTAATGAATCAATTCAATATCCCAATCTACGATAAAGAAACCGGCATCCCATTATCCCCCGATCAAATATCTCGTGAAATCGAAACATCCCCTGAATTATCTTCTTTAAAACAAACCATCAGTACTTTTAGAGATGAAGAGTTGGAACATTTGGATACTGCAATTGAACATGACGCAGAAAAAGCTGTTCCCTACATGCTTTTGACCGAAGCCATCAAAATTATCTGTAGAGGTGCTATCTGGTCTGCTGAAAGAATTTAATTATATATTCATCTGTATGAAAACAAAATCAAACAAAAAAAAGTCCAATAGAAATTATGAATGTACGCTTATACTTTTATTTTGTGAGGAATAAAACATCCTCTTTAGACCCGCCCCCGGAAATCGTAGTCTCATCACGTGCACAAAACAGATCCGGTATATACAGGAAAATGAGAATTTTAAAAAAATGAATCAAAATATAAACAAACTACTTCTCTTTTAAAATAGTCAGTCAGTCAAATCAGTTGCAAGTTGAAGCAAGAGATGTCGCGTCTTAGTTCGATCTACCGGTCAGGTGGATCTGGCTCCTCCTACTCCGGACGTAGAAATCATTTGATAGTACAGAAAGATGAATTCCCGATACTAGATAATAAAGAGTTACTAGAATGTTTGGTTGCCATTGACTTACCGGGATTTGATGATTTGGTGACTAAGCCAACGTCTCAATCCATTAGAAGCTTTTTCGAGCAGTCGCTCGACATGTTCTTCGGGGTAACCGCCCAACAAATATCTCAACGAGCCAAAGGAATGACTACTAATTCTAATACGTCGATGGTTGAAGGAGATGCTGAAGCAAATAAAGAAGAATCCAATGAAATTGATGATACTGAGAGTACATTGTATGTTTTAGTGTTGTTCAGAGCTTGCTCCAATTGTTTGAGGACGTGTGGAATATATGATTTCACGTTACTGGATTTAATGAAACCAGACCTTAATAGAACAAGAAGAATATTAAGTAGTATAGTTAACTATGCTAGATTTAGAGATGAGTTCACCATTGGGTGTGAAAGTTCTTTAGAAGAGTTCGAGAAAAAATTACTAAAAATTGAAGAATTAGAAAATGATAATAATCGATTTACTAAAGAAATTGAAGATTTAAAAGTAATTTTACAAGACGGGTTAACTTCAGATGATTCTAATCAAAAAAGTACCTTGAAACAAATCAATGCATTTAATTTTCGTTTGGAAAATGAATTGAAGAAACTTCAAAAAGCTCAACAAATTTTAACTCTTGAACATTCTCAATATAAGGAACAAAAACAAAGATTAATTGAAAAATTAGAAGACCATCATTATTTAAATTTGGAATCTAAAAAGGAGCTTGAAAAATTAAAAACTTATCTTTCAACTAACCCAGAAGTTCTTACTAAAATCATTAATGATTTGAAGAACACATTAAATGAATATCAGACAGACTATAGTAACCTTGAAGCTACTTTCAAAAATAAATCAGCCACCATTGAATCAATTCAGGTCATTGAGCAAGAGTTGAAAAGCTTGTTCAGAATCTTAGAAGAAATCTTAAATGATTTACAAAAATCAGAAGCTGCTATTGAAAAACTAAATAATTATAATGAATTTTTAGAACAGCAAAAACTTGAGTCAAGTGATTATAATAGACAAGTTCAACAAGTGAAAAGACAATTGAATAATATGGAAGAAAAAATCAAAAAATTAAGGAATCAAGCATCTGAAAGAGATACGAAATCCAAGAATACTCTAGCCAGTTTAAAAGCTGATTATGAAGAGTTAGTCGAAGAAAGGAAAACAAGGGAACAAGAATTAGATAAGAAAAAAGAACTAATAACTAATTTGGAAAAGCAAATGGCAAATAAGAGGAATGAATTCCAAAGTGAAGTTAGAAACGCTGAATCAGCGGTCTCAAGATTAATGTCTCATCTCAAGTTATACTTAGCCGAAATGAATAACAAAATCCCTAACTAGTCTTTTCCTATAGCATGATCCTTTTTCATTACAGGTCAAATTTCAATTCATTAAAAATTGTATTTTTAGTATGTATTTTTAGTTATTCAAAGTCATTATGTATGTATATAATTCGAATTAATTTTCAATTAAATAAAAAAGAGAGGTTGTAATTGATGAAGAAAAATTCTATTAAAAGCCCTAACAAGTATCATTATATCATTTTGTTGATCATTTTCTATTTATACCAACTTCAAGGTCGGCTGATTGTTGGCAATTTGCATCACGATTACCGGTATAAACTTCATTTTGTTCATCTTGATCGTCTTTCTCTTCATCACTACCAAGATAAACTTCGTCATCTTTAGGGATTCTTTTATTAGTAGTGAATATAGAGGCAATAAAAGAAATGACGGAAAAAGCCAAACATAAATAAAACACGTTTTCAACTGCCTTCATGAATTGACCTATAACCAAATCTCTAGTAGAGCTCGGCAAGCTATTGATCAAAGTGGGTGTTTGTATCAAAGTTTTAGCATTAAGTTTACTTAAAATTTTATAATCTTTAGAATTTTTGTCAAGTCCTTTAATCATGGATGTTATGTAATTGCTACCAGTTGAAGTAAACATTAATTGGGCCAATGCAATACCGATTGCTGCACCAGCTTCTTTTGTGAAATTGAGGAATACAGTAGTAATTATAAGAGACCCCTCAACATCATTAGGTGCATTCAATTGGGCCGATAAAGCAGAACTTTGAAACTGTAAACCGATTGACACACCAACAACAATCAATAAACCTATTCTGTCTTTTGAAGAAGAATGTTGGTCTAGTAATAGTAGCAAACCGTTACCGATAATTCCTAAAGATGTAGATACCATAATTGGAATTTTAACGAACCTTGAGTATCTCATAAAAATACCATTAAACATTGATGCAAGAGTGACGGATATAATTAAAGGTAATAAATCAATACCAGATTGGAAAGATGATGCATTGAAGATGACTTGGAAATAAACGGCCAAGTATGTTAATTCAGCCATGAAGAATGCAAAATTGAATGCAGCACAAGTGCAACACATAAATATTTGAGGAACTATCACAACTTCTCTAATGAGTAAAGGAATTTTGGAAACAAAGAAGTTATAATAGGTGAAAATTATTAGAAGGATTCCACCTATGACGAAACAACAAATGACGGCAGCCGACTTCCAAGGAAAGTCGACACCACCAAAAGTAATCCCTAGCAAGAGTAACACCAAACCGCCAGATAAAAGAACAGTTCCAATGTAGTCAATTTTCTTTAATTTTTCAAGAATGTTACCCTTAGCTCTGGGAGGATTAAATCCGAAGAGAAGGAAAATGAAAGAAACACCACCAATCGGTAAATTTATATAAAAACACCATCTCCAGGTGACATGGGTACTAAACGCACCACCAATAAAGGGACCAATGACAGAAGCTACTGAAAAAGTCACACCTAATAAAGTCATTGACAAGGCTCTCTTAGAAATAGGAACGCTCTCACTAAGAATAACAATTACCATTGCTTGGACAGCACCTCCACCAACACCTTGAATGACCCGGCCACCTATCAACATATTCATATTTTGAGCTAATGCTGCAATTAATGAACCAATCTCAAAAATCACAATGCCCACTAGAATGGTATTCTTTCTACCGAATGCAATCGAGATTTTCCCATAAGAAGGAGCCAAGCAGGCCATAGGTAGAAGAAACCCAGAAGTGAGCCATCCTATTTGTGAAAATGCATCGAACTTATTACCAACTTTTGTTAAGATTGTTGAAATGATGGTTTGGTCTAGAGCCACAATAAACAAGCTTGCAAAACAACTGAAAAGCGTGAAGACTAATCCCAACCCCTCAACGTATTGGTCAGTTGCTTTAGAACCATCACCAGCATTACTCTCGTAATACTTCTCTGTTTTCTTTGTCTTGAGGATTCCATCATCATTACCAGCATTAGCAGTGTTTGTCTGACCGGGCCCAATAAGAGTATTAGAGCTGTCCTGGTTGTTCAATCTAGTGGATGTAGCAGCGTCACTTTTCTCCATTTCATCGTTATTACTAGCGATCGTTAGCATAGGAGAGTCCTCAATACCGTCAGTTGCTTTCCTAGATGACATGATAATACAAATGCCGAAATAAACTGACCAAAAATAGGTAAAAAGAGTGGAAAAAACAAACTAAGCGATTGAAAATTCAATCTTATTTCAACTATCGAGAAGTTTAAGGCATCTATTACTATTATAAGATGTCCTCTAACTGATCTTTAGCTGATAAATATATGGCAACAAAAGTTGAAAAAAGAAAAAAGAATGGAGTAACAGTCATTTTGCCGATTTCATTGTTTCCTGTGCGCAACTCGGACATCGATTTATCAGAATTAGGTACGAGTAAACGGCTGTTGCATAATTTTCAAGACGATCGAAGTGTAATTGGCTGCAATTATGTGTCGGCCAACAGCCTAAGCCATGGGCCTTAAGAATATGTAACTTGCGGAATTTTTTCAAAACATATTGATATAAGTAAGTAGAATTTTTCATTTGCAACTCGAACGATAAGCTGGAGGGAATAGTAACTTGGGAGATCACCTTATGTGGAGTGAAGAGATTAGTTTAAGTGACGGTGTGAATGATTAAAACAACAAGATGGTGTTTTAGATAACTTTTATATTTTTGAATGGGTATTAATATACTGAAGACTCTATTGAGATAGAGATTGCAAAAAAGTCATGCTATAAAGAATAAACTAAATAATATACACGGAGTAGCTATATCCTAAGGAACAATTGCAAATGCAAAGTTTTTGAGTTGAATGAGTCAAGAAAGAATGAAAAAATCCAGGAAAGTATCACAAATAAGATAAAATAAATAAATAAAATAAAGTAGTAAAGAAATAAAATAGCGTAGATAGAATAATGTCAAATTTTTTGAAAAGTCCAAAAGGTGAATGGGAGATATATATAAAAAAAGGAAAAAGTAAGAAAGAAATTAAAACCAGGCGTAATAAAAGAACCGACATAAGCACATTAATTATTAAATAGAAATTCAGCAATTGAATTTTTCCATCTTTGACTCATTTCAACTGATATATTTTGATGGGATTAGGCAAATATAACGAATTTTATGACTGGACAGTCATTGACTTGAAAGGAAACAAATTAAGGACCTTTTCTTAAGAATTCCAAGAAATCCATATCGTCATCATCTGAGGTGTCAGCGTTTGAAGCATAAGAGTTTCTGTGATCATTACGATTACCTGAAAATTGTTGACGCATGGACGTGGTTCTTTTAGGGGTATCATTATTTGATCCTGAGTTGTTGTTTGGACTAGTGGGTGATGTAGGCTCATTATAATTAGTACTTGTTCCACCACCAGATTTTCTCTGTTGCTGGATCGAGTTTAATAAGTTGATGGCATTAGCAGTGGCAGAATTGGCAAAGACTTGGGAATGAGGTCTTGTAGATGTTTCATTATTACTCTGAGGTGAATTATTGCTTGATTGACCTTTATATCTCTTACCCTCGAATATAACCGGCTCATTAGGATCAGCGATTGAAATATGTCTTGGCTTGTTGGCTTTATAAGCTGGTTGGGGAGCAGAAGGTTTACCATAATTAATATTATTAAACATTAAATTTGGTTGATCATCTTTCGAACTACTTGAAGATGAAGAAACACCATTAACAGTGCTACCATTACTTGAATTGCTTGCATCTCCACTAACTGGTTGATTTTTTTGATTTTTTTCACCAATTTGAGTTAATGAGCTTAAAGAAGATCTTCTATCATTACCAAAATTCAAGGAAAACCCTTCAAAAGTAGTTCTAAAATCTTTTTCAGTTAAATCACCACTTAAAACATTTGAAAAATCATGTTTACTTATAGCCGTATCACGATTAGTAATTTTTGTTGAATTACGATGCGGATCATTTTGAATATTTTTAATTTCTTCAATCTTATTATTAAGATATTTAACTTGAAATTTAGTAATATTATCTTCCGTAGGTAATTTCAAAAATGGTAATCTGAGCCAACTTAAATAATGTCTCCAACGAGGGTATTGATTAATATCTACTCCAAGACTTGCACTAATGGAATTTTTAGTTAATCTTGCACTAGTAGCGTCCGATTCATTATCATTTGAAGGAGCACCACCTCCAGAGGTATTCATAACTATATTATCCATTTTACTTTGATGTTCTTTTTCAAAATTTTTCATAATTGTATATTCCCAAGGTTGTTCTCGATAGAAAAAGACCAAAGTATCAATGAACCCATTAAAAGGTTGCATGAAAGCACCCATACAATTTAACCAGTAAATTGGTTTATGATGTTGTTCATAATTGAATTGAGTACATTGTAGAATAAAGGGGAATAACCAAACGAAACAATATGCAAAGGGATAAATAAAGATTGATTTCATTTGTTTTTCAATAATTTTTTGTCTTTTCCTAAAATTTTCAAGATTAGCGGCTTGAATTTCTGGATCAAAAACTATATCTTCAGTATCAATATGAATATTACCAGTGCTTCCTTTTGCCTTTGGTTCTTTATTAGAATTTCCTTTTAATTTTGAATCTTTAGAAGCAGAATTGCCAAGATTATTATTACTATTAGTCTTATGAACTTCTTCGTCAGGAATAATGAAATGGGGGAAAATATGATCTTTAACAGTTGCCAAAAAATATTTAAGGGCCGAATAAAAGGAAGGTTTTTCATGGGAAGCGTTAGGATGAAGACCATTATGAAGTCTCAGTTTATGAATGGTGGTCCAAACCCCACCTAGAGTTTTAAATTCTCGTATGACATGGATATAGATAGCACCATAAACAGCAAAAATGATGATTACAATGATATATCTTGGGATCCAAGAAAGAACCAAACGAGACCATAAAGGTCTTTGAGGAAGATAACACCAACAAACATAAGGATAATAGCCTTTACCATAACAGAATGCCAAACTAGCCATAATTGTTGGAATAAAGAAGGAAAGCCCGTATACCATAAAACGGTAACGATACAACCCCCCTTCGGTACGATCTGAATTATGGACTTTAACCGTAAGGCCCGGTTTGAAAATCAAGAGGAACGTATGAACTGCAAAAGAAAGAATAGCAATATCAGCCCCTTCAATAGCAGTTACTGTGAAAAAACCCACAATTTGACAAAAACGATCATTATAGTAAGCCGTATATCGAGTCAAAACCCTTGAAGGATATAAAAGAAGAATACAGGCTTTCAATAGATCATAAAAAATCAAAAAAAAGATTAGTTGATGTCTGAAAACTAATCTTCTTGGATCTATGGCAAGAAACATATACATTGCTGCCACGCAAAATACAATCGAAGCACAAGATGATGAAACTGCCAAAACTCTTTGTACAAAGCTACCATGTTCAGTGAATAAATCTTCCTGTTCTCTTTTAACAAACTCAGATGCCATCGATAGGGCAAATGATTTTATTTCTTCAGTCCCCGGCATAGTATTATATCTTTGAAACTTTCCCACAATCAAAAAAAAAAGGTATATTTATTTGATTAAAACAAACAAACCCCAAATAAGAAAAGAAACAACTCCTGTTAAAGTATAAATGTTTTAACTTCCACTTTCCTCTTTATTTCCCGCCTGTTTCCAAGCTTTAAAGAGACTATACTTCAATTGCTAAGAGAAAATGCCTGCGGATTAATAAGTTGGGAGGGTCACTTGTTGTGAAGTACGATCAAGTTCACCACTGGTCCGATGGTCAGCTCTAGGTATGGTTGGTATGGAGATGTAGAATACCAGAGATGGTTGAATAAGATGAAAAAAGAAAAAAATTCAAAAGAAAAACCAATGAAAATAGACCCGAATATCCAAAGAGAAAAAATTAGAATAAAAGTAGGAAAAAAAAAAAAAAAAAAAAAAAAAAAAAAAAAAAAAAAAAAAAAAAAAAAAAAAAAANAAAAAAAAAACAGAAAAAAAAAAGGTAAAATTCCAGGCGCACTGTAAAGGAGATTGAAAAATGCCATAACAAAGACACAATGTTAGGCCAGATACTTGATGAATGGAGCTGGCCAGTGCGGGCTCGTTTAGGAGCAGAGGCTTATGGGGGTCGTGGTGGTGGAACAAGGAGGGGAGGAACAAGAAGTAAAGGGGGTTCTTTTTGGTGTTGGATATCGTCAATGGTTTATTGACGATACGGGGACCAATAAACAGAGAAGGTAAGAAGGACACGGATATTCAGGGATCGATGTCCAGGAAACCTACGGGCGGATTTAGAAGCCCAAGATGAAAACATCACAACGCAAAAGACCACTAGACAGCGTCAAGTTATAGCGAAGTTGATATGACAAATCAATGCTTGTAGGTAAAATCTCGGAGAGCATCCGGATATTCATTCAGCCGCTAGAATATGGTTGATGGAACCATTGGGCTCGAAAAGGTAACCCATTGGGGTAAGACTGTCCTCGGGGCGCATATCGACAAGATAATCAAGGTAGTATGTTCAAGTACTTTGTTTTATCCTGATTCTGTCATAATCGTAATAGGAGAAGGTTATCCAAATGAAAATACTCAACAATAAAGATGAACAATTGTGTTCTTTTTCTTTATTTACTTAAATTGGTGTCTTATGCATATTCGAGCTTATCAACCAAGTACAAAATGCATATTTTGACTGAGTTCCACAATTTCGTTTTTAACGATGGAACTTCTTTTTATAGCACGATCTGTTCATGCAGACACTTTGCTGTTCTTGCAACCGAGTGTTGTCGAATAACCAATAAACAAACCGAAAAACAAATCCCCAATAAGCTTTTGTTTAGACCTTGTGTCTAAAGTTTTCGATGCTCGTGTAAAACCGTTAGAATTGAAAAACAAAAAAAAAAAAAAAAAAAAAAAAAATCCTGGGCTCGTGTTGAAGTTCCTGCGGAAACTCCTGCGGAAAATCGGAGCAGCTCAGGGAAGTGGCCCAAAACGGCAGTATCCCGGCAGAACCTCACCAGAGCGGCGAGTAAAGCGCCCGAAGGGGAACAGCAGCAGAAACCCATGCACGAGTACCGAAGAACATTGACTATTTTCTGCTGAACAATAACGCATACCCCATTGGGGCCAAGCAACGGTTGTCCGGCAGCGGGCTGTCAAGATGAACAAACTCGAATGGAGAGGAGAAGCGTGATAGAATGACATAATAGGTAACAGAATGACATAATAGCATGATGACAGACAAAATGAAAATGACTAAAAATGAAAATGACTACAAAATGAAAATGACTAAAAATGAAAATGACTACAAAATGAAAATGACTAAAAATGAAAATGACTACAAAACGAAAGATGAAAGAGAAGAATGACAGAGAATAAAGAATGAAAGAGAATAAAGAATGAAAGAGAATAAAGAATGGACGAGAAGAAGACAAATGAAAGGTCAATGCAAATGACAAAAAATGACAGGTACAGGTGTCTTGGGATATCTTGATTATACTTTTCACAATAGCTACACAAAGGTTTATTTGGGGATCATTTCCATCATCACATCTCACATCTCACATCTCACATCTCACATCTCATATCTCACATCTCACATCTCACATCTCATATCTCACATCTCACATCTCATCACATCTCATATCTCATCATGTCCTTAATGTTTTGTTGTACATCAATTATTCATTTCTCCAGGTACCTTGAGGTTCCTCGGTAAAAAGGAGCTTGCGCGCCCCACTTTAATTTGATAAGCCAATCAAAGTATCTCAGTGAGGTAGTATAATGGAACACTGTTACTTGTTGGAGTCTGTTGATCTGATCAATCGCATGTCGAGACGTATGTTCAGCATCTTCTGGTATCAGGCCAGTTTATCGGGTGCTTTTGGTAGGCTTCCAGACAATTTTGAGGCGAGTTCCAGGCGAGTTCCAGCTAATTTCCAGGCGATTTTTTATTTTTTTTTTTTTTTTTTGCTTTGCAGAAAATATTTCAAATTAGTCCAAGAAACAACTTTTGAAAATTTTCACTCATCGGTCAGATATTCCATCATTACCGATTCTTTATCCTAGTTTACAAGTGCCATGAAGCTTTCCACGTTTCTCCACGATAATTTCGTACCCCATATACCGAAACCCCAGAGTCAAGATGAAAAAAAATTGTCACCCGCACCTAGTGAAATACCCCAAGCAAAAGAACAGGCATCTTCGTTAGTGCAACCAGTAGTGGTTGATGATATTTCTAAGGAAAAGTCGAATAAATATCCTGATTTCGATACAAAGTCGGTGAATTCATTACCCACATCATCTATAAATGGTGATAACCAACTACATCGGGCTTTAAAAGGTAGACATTTACAATTACTTGGTATTGGTGCTACTATTGGTACTGGGCTTTTTGTCACTATTAGTAAAGCTTTGGTTTATGGTCCATTATCTTTATTTTTAGGTTTTGTTTTTTGGTCAATTCCAATTCTTTGTATTACCGTATCAGTAGCTGAATATGTAATTTATTTACCAATAACTTCTCCCTTTGTTAGATTAGGTGGTAGATGTTGCGATACCGCTTTAGAAGTTATGACTGCTTGGAATTTTTGGTTCTTATGCTGTGCTCAAATCCCTTTTGAAGTTGTTGGGGTGAATTCTGTTTTACATTTCTGGAGAGATGATTTTAGTCCTGCTATTCCCTTAGCTATTCAAGTTGTCCTTTATTTCATCATTAATATCTTTGGAGTATCGGTTTATGGGGAAGTTGAATTTTGGTTAAGTTTGGGGAAAGTCATTTTAGCCATTGGCTTGATTTTATTCACTTTCATTGTTATGGTTGGTGGTAATCCTCATCATGATGCTTTTGGTTTCAGATACTGGAATAATCCTGGCCCAATGAATTCAGTGTTTCCTTATGCTGATGCTTTGGTGACCCATCATGGCTCTTTGGCTCGTTTCCAAGGTTTTTTACAATGTGTGATTCAAGCTTGTTATACTTTTGCTGGTCCAGAATATATTTCATTGGTTGCGGCTGAAGTAGGTGGTGATGTTCGTAAAACTTTAAGATCAGCTTATTTACAAGTCTTCATTAGATTATCAATTTTTTTCATTGGTGGTGCTCTTTGTGTGGGGATCTTGGTTCCTTATAATGATAAAACCCTTTTAGAAACTTTGGGTGCTAGTAAGCCTGGTGCTGGTAGCAGTCCTTATGTTATTGCAATGCAAAATTTGAATATTAAAGTATTACCTCATATAATGAATGCCTTATTGGTTACTGCTGCTTTCTCTGCTGGTAATTCATACACTTATTGTTCTTCTCGTACTCTATATGGTTTTGCCCTTGATGGTTTTGCTCCTAAATTTTTAACTGCTACTACTAAAACCGGTATTCCAATTTATTGTGTACTCATCTCCTTATGTTGGGCCTTTCTTTCTTTCCTTCAATTAGGTGACGGTGCTCTGGAAGTTTTAAGCTGGATAATTAATATCATCACTTCCTGTCAATTGATTAATTTCTTTATTTTATGTGTTGTTTATTTATTTTTCTACCGTGCTTTGAAAGCTCAAGGAATTGATAGATCAACTTTGCCTTTTGTTTCTTGGTTTCAACCGTATACTGCCATCTTTGGTGGGCTATCTGCATTTACCATGATTTTCGTTGCTAGTTATCAAGTTTTTGTTCCTGGAAATTGGGATATTAAAACTTTCTTATTTTCATATCTTTTCATTTTCATTGATATTGCAATCTTTATCGGTTATAAACTTTGGCGTCGTACCAAATGGCGGGATCCAAAAGAGGTTGATTTGGTTACTGGTTTACGGGAAGTTGAAGAGCATGAAGAAAGATACTTTGATGAATTATTGAAACAACACAGATTGGATGATGAGGGCCATGTTAAGGTTGCTTGGTGGAAAAGAGTACTCACTGTTTTATTTGGAAGTGATTGATTTACTTTCTTTCATTTATATATTGCTATTCAGAAAACTATTTATTTTAAAAATTAAATTTTAATTCTTTTGCATTTTGAAAAAAATCTCCAAGTGTAAATCATTGTCAGTATTGATTTTTATACAGCTGGCCCACAAACTCGAAAACTAATATAATTTTGCATAAACTTAAACTATTGTACATTATTAGATTTATATCTATATACTTATATCACACTAGAACATATGCGATAAAGATTAGGGAAGCATGTTAGATTAATATAATATTAATGATACTATCATTATTGTTGTGGTTGTAAAGGAGCATACAATACTTGTGTAACGTATTTTCTTTTGTATCTAACAACCAGGGCCACGGCCAAGGTATTATGTTTGATACTTGTAGTAGCCAAATGATTTAAAACGACATGATTTGGAATTGGTAAAGCTCCCAGATTATTATCTTTATCAGCAGAGTTAAAATTATTCAAAATGACATTTTCTAAGTGAGGAGGTAATTGAGGAGGATGTAACCAAGCTTGTTGTTGACCACTTTGTTGTTTTGATTGTTTATCAATTGCCATATAATACTGTTCCATGACTTTAGGGTCGGTGAATATTGGTGGTATATCATTTATGTAATTGAATTTTCTTTGAGAAAGTTCACTATTATCCTCTTCATCGTGATATCTGGAATAACCACCACCCATATCATCATCATCATTAGTTAATCCCCAAGCAGAATCCAGTCGATGACGACTCATTGAAGATGCACGCAGACGGGATTGTTGAGATTGTTGTTGTTGTTGTATTTCATGTTCTTCTTGTTCCCGTCTTTCCTGTTGCTCTTTTTCCTCTTGTTGTTTCATATGAGCTTGAACATGATCTGGGGTAACCTCGGCGTAATTCACAAAATTACCCATTTGATCGGTAGCAGTTGGTAAGAAATCACTGAACCTTAATTCATTATCAACTACAAATCTGAATCTGTGAGTTCCGACGGGCAATCCTAGAGTGATTGAAAAACTATCATCTGTTTGTTTAGCTAAACTAATCATTTTTCTCCAACCAGTGAAAGAACCAGTTACATAGACTTTTTCACCACCTTGTACCCATTTTATATCAACGGGGATCGTAGTATTAGCATCCGGTAAAGGTGAATTTTGTGTTTGATTTTGATTTTGATTTTGGTTCTGGGTTTGATTTTGACTTTGACTTTGTTGGCTTTGGTCGGATTCTTCTTTTTGTTGTTTCAATTTTTCAACCTCATCCTGAGGAGACTTATCAACAACCATTCCATCATCATTCTTTTCATCAACATTCATCGATTCGTTCTCATTCTCATCAGTAAGAATTATGGTGGAACGTCTTCTTTGAGGTGGTTGATCATTAAAAGCACCATTCCCGTCACCACCAGCATTGGCACTAGATACATCAACCATAGACACATCTTTGGTGGCATCGGTTGATGTTGGGGATGCAGACATTCTATTAAAACGTATAAATATAACAATTAGCTATCAGGGAAGATTATTAACTAGACTCAGCTAGTTGGAAGCGATAGTGAAAATATGGGGGTATGAGGTCTATTTCAAGCAAAGGACCCTCCAACAAACAATACTGGTGGAGATATCAAGAATATCAATAGCTAATTATAAGTTAGAAAAGACGGGTAGTCGGATTACAAAGTGAAAAAAGCGAAGACAACGAATAATTAGGAGTCAAAGGGGAAAAAAAGACTGCCAGGGCGAAACCAACCAAAAAAGAAAAATAAAATAAAATTGAAATGAAAATTATCAAATTTCCACCGGCACACACCCTTATTTTGAAGTTATGACCGTTTTTTTTTTTGTTTTTTCAACTGGGGTTCCCCAGGGCTTGATTCTTTACATTACGGATTCAAGCACAGTCCACTTGCAATTGCCGTGCTGGCCGCATGGGCCAGTTGGCAGAGACTCCCTGTAGATGGGTGCTTGTTTTCGGCTCATTTGAAGAACAGTAGCAGGAGTAGTAATGGTTTTGGGTGTCACTTACGATAAAATATGGGGGGAGCAAAAAAAACTGGTAAACAACAACAACAAACGACAAGGAAACAGCTAAACGGGCTAGGCGTTGGGCAATCGAGAGTACTTCGCTCCGAAAGAGGGTTAGTTTCGGTAGGATCTTATTGGTTGACAGGTGTCTTGATCGAGTTATCTCCTGCACATGCACTTGGCTGTGATAAACGGTAGCATTGGATAGCCAGTAAACCCATTTTGCAAATAGATTGCTGCAAGGAAAGAGCTCTACCGGTGCAATAGAAATGGCTCGGGCTTTATGCCTTGGCTTGTAGTTTGCGGCTGTTCTTTTGGCGATGGTAAGGGGGTCAGTTCTTCATTTGGTGAAGGGTGATATTTTTTTGCAATTATTTCCGGGATTTTTTTTGCAGTTTTTACAAAAATGAAACGAAGATAGATAGAATATATTCTTATATAAGGGGATACCACCAAAACATCAAAGATAGAGGCTCCTAGGGAGAAGCGAAGCAGAAGAATAAAACAAAGAGTAAGATCAAACAAGTAGTGATGCTTTTACATCATCAAAGCAGCAATGGCAGCAGCACCAGCAATGCTAGTAACAACGTTTAAGTTGAAGCTTTGAACACCGGCACTGTCTTTGGACTTGGATTTGGACTTGGAAGAGCTTGAAGCAGATCCAGAAGCTTTGCCAGAAGCAGATCCAGAAGCAGAGGAGGTCTTGTTATGATCGTGATCGTGTTTGTGGGACGAAGAAGGTTTAGATGAACCAGAGGCAGTACTGCTGACTACGGTAGTTGAGGTTTTATCAGAGTTTTTGTCCTTGCTGGACTTCGAGTCTTCTCTTTTAAATTTGTAACCGTTGTTGTAATGACCTTCATCATCATCTTCATCGTCATCGCTTTCATCTTCATCAAAAGCACCATCATCCCCATCAGCTTCATCAGCTTCATCATCATCATCACTTTGGTTTTCGCCAGAAGGAGCAGCAGAAGCTAAAGATGATTCTTCAGCAGCAGTGTCAATGGCAGCAGCAGCAACATCAGTTGGAACAGAACTAGCCAAAGCAGTGCTGGATTCAACTTTAACAACTTCAGAAGTGCTTGCAGCAACGTAAGAGGCCAAGGCAAATAAAGTAACAGTATTTAAGAATTGCATTTTTTTTTATAAGTAATAATTGATTGATTAATTAATGTGAAAATTATATCATGGTACGGGATATCGAAGGACTTATATACTGATATTTATGATAACCACATTTATGGTTTCCGGGCTTGGTTAACCTCAAGACCCAATTTGAAAGGATAAAAAAGAAATGGCTATAAAGTACATTGCAAAATAAATCATGAAAATAAAATTTACAAAAACCAAATGGCAAAGCCCATTCAGCCTTCTATCGCTAAATTGAAAGACCTTGTTTAACCTAAACTGAGGTGTTTTCATTAAGAATTGGTCAAGTTGTAAACCTTGATCAATTAGGATTAAGCAATACAATAAAGCTCAGTTCTTGAGAAACTATTCAACGAACAACCGCTTTTGAGCATTTGAAACAGAGTTAGTCATTTCAAACTTTGATGTTTCCAATCGGCTACACTACATCCAACTAATTTTTCATGCGGTCAGGCCGAAAGTGGGTTCATGGGTTTTGATATTTGCCAGTTGCATTGTTCGTATTGACAGCTTCAAAATGTCAAAAATAGAAACACCCTCTCTCTCTTCAATTTCCGTCTCTACAAACTATTCTAGGACTGCTCCATCTTCCAGTCATCAAAGTATCACCTTGGTAAGCTCAAGAGCACCTCATTAATTTGAATGAGAAAAATTTTATCTCACCAAAACCTTGTAAAAATTGTAAAGACAATTTCTCCATCTCATTAGATTCTCGGCTATTATTAGAAGTAAGTTCTTTCTCAGATCCACGTCAAAGGTGCTTTGACAGCCGTTTTTCTGATTCTTCGCAAAGTGGCCAATCAACTTGAGCCATATCAACAGCCACTATTCGTGCCCCATGGGTAGTTCTATATTTGGAACATCCTTACATATTTGGAGTACAGTGGGACGCTAGAGCAGTGGAGAAAAAGTCCATGTGGAATGGTATATTTCTTTAGTCTAATTTCTGCTAATGGGCTTGGTTAGGCCAATTACTCTGTGCTTACGCCTGAGGATGCTCCGCCTATATTTCTAAATATTGCAAAAAAGTACCAATCCGAAGAATATGCAAGTGAGTGAATTCTGGTGAGTGAATACCATAATCTTGTTCCTTTGAGCAGCACCATCTCCTAAAGAAGCTTCAGGTGTACCCGTGTACATACAATCATAAACATTCGCTCTTGTAATTCGGCCACAGAATCGGAAATGGTCAGACCCACATTTATCACTTCAAAAGCCATAAAAGCCCATTTCGATTGGACGTAAATTTAATAGATTTCTTCAAACATAGACAAGAGGCCAATTTTTACGAAAAAGAAAAAGATCAAAACTTGAATAAGCTCATATCTTCAACCTATACATTTCAAACTTAATGGAGAAATGAAAGCTAAAACGTAAGTTCGAAGTGGGAAATCTGAATAGAGAGAAAGTAGTGAAATTTCCGAATATGAATCCATAAAACGCTACTTCATGTTGAGTACGACCAGGAACAAGATGTCTCTTACCAAGAGGTACTTAGAAAGCTGCCAAGAAGCTCTTAGGGCAACTCTTTGTAATTTGCCTTGCAAAGAAGCTCGACTTACAAAGACAATAAATGTAATGAGTCCACCTCTACGTTCAAATTAACAAGCTATCTGCGCATTAACCTTAGCCGATTCCAAGGTTCACAGTTGTGGGACCTGAGGACCGGTTTGGGCTGATATGCCCCTTCCAGTGTAGGAGTTGGCATTTTGTTGATCCAAAATTGATGGGTGTTGAACAGGATTACACCTGATTAGCATTGCGACATCCAAATCGGGAAAGTCTCGATGGTTTGAGATTTTCACAACCACCCAAGTATTTTGCAATGGCAGAATCCCCAGGGTGATATGTATAAATAAACATAATCAAGGACTCTGTCACTAATTGATTCATCAGTGTAGTATCCCAAAAGAACAAACATGGAAGTTCAGGAAATCTCTGGTCTTAATCCAGAATACATTATGCTCAATTTCACCTTACCAGGTTATGAAAGAATGTCATCAATCCCTTTCAAAGCTTTAGATGACTATATGAATTATATGATAACCTGGGGTATTATTTATGGTGTTGGTGTTGGTACTGCTCTTCTCACGTTAGCTTTACTTTGGATCATTATCAAAAATAAAAAAACACCTATGTTCTGGCTAAATCAATGCTCGTTATTGCTTTTGGTGATCAGATGTCTGCTTCAGTTTGCTTATTTGTTAGGCCCATTATCGAGAATGGGATTCTCTTTCACTGGTATTTTAATACCAAATACCTATTACTCTTATAAGACAACAGTCGCTACTAATGTCATTCATACTTTACTAATTGGCCTGATTGAGGCCTCTTTTTGCTATCAGGTTTTCATTATATTTAGGTCACCAGAAGTAAGGAAACTTGGTTACGCTTTAACTGGTGTGTGTGCTGCGATTGGGATAACAGTCTTCGGTCTTTATATTAATTCCACCATCAGTGTTGCCAAAACTTACTCAGACTTATTCAATCATTCAAGAACAGTGAGACGAGTAGGAAGTTGGGTGAATAATGGGCCATTTATCCTTTTTTCGGTTTCAGTCAGTGTTACCAGTATTTTCTTGATAATAAAACTACTTTTTGCTATAAAGACTAGAAGGTATTTAGGGTTGAAACAATTCAGTATCTTACATATTCTTCTTATAGTCAGTACTCAAACTTTATTTGTACCCAGCATTCTTGTTATAATTAACTATAAAAATTTGAACCTTAATTCCACTACGTTGTCTGCTTTAAGTATCATTTTGGTTGTTATATTTTTGCCCCTTTCTTCAATGTGGGCTAGTTCTGCTAATAATTCACCGATTCCTTCATCATCCACTTCAAGCATTTTATATAAATCCTCTTCTAATAGCTCTTCAACTTCCAAATCAACAAATACTACTTATTTTTCAAGAGGCGAAGGCTCGGATGTTTATTCATTATTTCCTCAGAAATTGTCGAAAGCTGGCGATTTGGAAAAAGAGTTTCCAAATAAGTCTACCATTCTGAATGACAATGATTCTTTTTTAAGTAAAAAATTGCAAGATTTTGAAGCAAACTTCAAAACCTCACCTGCAACTCTCATTGGAGCTGATGCGGTTGCTCAAAGAGCATTGGAGGATATTGACAGGGCTTTGAATGAAGAAGAAAAGATTGCAGTAATGAAAAGCGCTAGCTCCCCAGATCGAGAATTAACGAATCTTCTTGATGATGACTATAAGGTTGTGACTTCACACACAAAAAGTTGATCAGCAGAAGACTATTTATTCTACTTTTTTGATATTATTTGTTTAATTATTATGTTTTGCCTTTAACAAGTCTATTAATGTATCGTTTAATGTAGCTAGCTTATACGTAACACCAAGTCCAGGACTTTTTGCAACCAAAAAGTTATTCATCGTCGCAGTCACCATCTGGCAATATGAAAGTAACCAAGGAAATAATCGGATACTCAGGGTGTATCGTTCTTTCAAATATGGGTTGAGACTCCCTCGACACTTTATTATCTACCGTCATCATAATTATATCTTTTTAAATTTATAGCTTAATGTACATTGGAGTACACAACAATAACAAGAGAGAACGCAAGATAAATCACCTTCTAAGTGGTTATTCGGCTATACTTTCAATGTTATGAAACTTCTTCGAAATGGAAAACACGAACGCGTCTATGGTCACTTAAGTGTGGCCAAGTTTCATGATATAAGATATCATTCACTTTGTCTTTACATCCAGCTGGAACTTTATATAGGTTCAAATTGATCCAGTATAAACAAGAATTTCCAAGTTAAGTAATTCGGAAAAAAAGTGCTTTTTTTGAATTATTTTCAAAGAATCTTACAGAAACAGACTCTGAAAGAAAACTTTCGGCAGTTTAAAGGCCCAATTTGAATTAAAATAAAAATTTAATTTGGCTTCACAAATTTTTAATGCGTCTAGTAACAATTTTCATAAAGGACAGTAATAAATTTTTGTTACAAAACAGCCGTTCTAGTATAGTGGTTAGTACACTTCGTTGTGGCCGAAGAAACCCAGGTTCGATTCCTGGGAACGGCATTTTTTTTGGTTTGTCCCATTAGATAAACCTTTTTAACTATACACTAAAAATTGTAATGCCGAATCAAACCTTTTTTTTTTTAAACTAACTTTCTAACTACAAGGACTTGATAATTATCTTCATAATTGTTCTTTTCAGACTCACACATAATGGTTGCTGATCCAGTAGATGCTACACTTCTGACATTGAATTATTATTACTATAAAACCAGTAATTATGTCGCCACACAACAAAATAAGATAACCAAATCGGAATACTTTGATAAAATTTACCAATTGAATCCTTTCAGTCAGTCGATATATGAAAAGGATATACCAAAAGGTGCAAGCGATCCACTTTATGAAAAGATTTTGAATCATGTGAAGAGCCATCAAATCCAATATCTATCTCTTTTTACAATCGGTATAGGAATACCTTCACTCGTTTATTTCAAATCCAAACTTACCGATGACTTACAGTCATCTACAAGAACTAGGAGGAGAGTTCCAAAACTATCCAACGGGGCCCGGAAAGATGTTGTTTTAGTTGTTGGATCCCCAACAGAACCATTGACCAGACTAATTGCTTTAGATTTCGAAAAACGAGGATTTATAGTTTATTTAACAATCTTAGATCAAAAAGATTTGAAATATGTCGAATCTAATCCTATAACTGATGACATAAATTATATCAACTTTGCTGATTCATTCAGTTATGAGATACAATTGGCTAAATTTAAAAATTTACTCAATATCCCTGTCACACCATTTACAGGAGCTCAAGCACATAAGTTAAACTTGAAAGCAGTTGTCTTCACTCCTAACTTATATTTCCCAATAGGACCAATTGAAAATATCAGCATATCATCCTGGAATAGAATTAATGAAAGACTTCTGGTTTATTTGAAGATATTTTCTTCTGGTTTAATTGACTTGATGAGACATCAAAAGACAAAGACTATTTTAATGACTACAAATATTATAAGCTCACTCGACATGCCATACCACGCACCAGAGACAATCTTCCAAAACAGCTTGCGTCACCTTTTCACAGCATTATCTAGAGAAATTAAACACCAGGGACTTTCGGTGACCCAATTAAGACTTGGTAATTTGAATGTTACCAACAATCAAAATGGTAACGCTAAAATAAGCACAATTGTGAACTCTGAAATCAGAAATTGGACTGATGATATGAAAGCCTTATACGGAAATACTTTCGCCAAATCAGAAAAAGGTTCTAGTCCAATCAAATCAGCAGGTAAAGGTACAAGCTTAAGAGAACTTTATCACACTCTATTCGATATAATTTATAGCTCTAACAATAAGTCTTCGGTGGTTTACTGCGGAACAGGTGCAAGAGCATACGACAGAGTGGCAAGATACATTCCCGAATGTATAATTGACTTGTTTGTAAGTTAAACTCCTCCAAATAAATAGCCTTAATCATAAAATTGCAGTAATTCATGTATTTGTGTGCCCTAACAAGATTTGTAGCTCGATCATCACACTACCGAAAACTGCTGCGATGAACCTCTCCCGAAAAATTTTTAGTATAAAGAGCAGTGAAAAAGTTTTTCTGTTGATATAAGTACTCTTCTTTTCTTTACGTCCATGGTCAAAGATTTGTTATCGAAGCTTACGAACGGATCAGATATTTCTGATCACACTTAAATGCTTTGGGGAAAGTCTCCGGCCGCAATAGTGGAAACGCAGCGGATTCTTCAATCTGTTTTGGGAATTGATTTCTGATTACGAGTATAAGTTGTATCTGAAGAAAGGTTAAGACCATCATTGAAACGATGCTGATCTATTTTGGATCTCAGTGAGGCCTCTGGTCTTCAGCATTGAATTTATGTCATTGGTTTTGACTTGACTTCTGATGCTTTAAGCAAATATGAGAGTCAGCTAGTCGATTTTCTTATCGCTGGGTTGGATTACCATACCTATGTTACTTACTTCGGCAATGGAATTGTTTGGTATTCTAAACGATAGATATAACAAATGATTAAACGTATTGTTTAATCAACCCAATGGAGCTCACTCTTGGCCAATGGACGTCACTTTTTCTCTTTTCAAAGCTTGATATCTGAAGCAAGGTCTTGGAGATATTCGCATAGTCAAATATGCCAGGCTTCATTTTAGTGTATTTCACAAGAACATGAACTTGGACTTCAGGTGAAGTCAAATGTCATTTAGTTATTTACTTGCTCGATAATGTTGAGTAGTACTTTTTATAAAATTGATTTTATTTTCAAATGATGAAACATCCAAGCAAACATAGAGTCAAGCTCTGAGATTGATTCACTGTCTGGAAAGATGGCAGGTTTTAAATCGTGGAAGAGAGTTGCAATTATTTCTGATACTAATTTAAAATCAATTATTCAAAGTACTACTCAAGATTAACTTTTGAGTAAATATTAAATGGGATTTATTGTCTTGTTTATCGTTCAAAAACTTTACAATGTAAAACTTATAGAATTAAATATTGAAATTAAATAGCGAAAACTTAGTCTTAAAACAAGCATAAGAACTGAAAAATACTTCAATTAAGAGGAAGTTGAAATAAAAGGAAAAAAGGTGTTGCAAAAGATAGACCAAGCAAAACATTCAAAAAAAAAAAGGTATAGTACAATTAGTTATCAAACAAAATCAACTTGAATGTGTCACCATAAACAAGCGACAGATCTTTAGATTTTGCCGTCAAATGGGCTTGGAAAAAATTCGGAGGAGATATCACAAGAACAAGCTGGAATAGTTAAAAAAAAAAAAAAAATGAAGAAGCAAATAATAAAAAGAACCGAAGAGGGAAGCAAACAAACGAAAAAGAATCAAAAACTACTTACAAGAATATTAAATAAACTGGATGGAACCCAATAAACCTTATTGTGTATGACTGGATGACATTCTTTCAAATATGCAAAAAACTATTCAATTTTCCAATGACTGGTTAATGCAGTGCCACCTGAATTAGCGCTATTACCAGATAATTCAGCGGTGTATAAAAGTAATGTAGTACCCATATTAACCCAATTCCAAAATTGCCAAGGGTGGACGATGATTTCAAATCCATCATTTTCCCAGAACCCCCATAATTTTAATTCAGTACCTAATTCACCGTTATACAGCATCATAAGATGGGTATAAACAGCTATGATGATACAAGGTGAATAAGCATAGATCAAGCGTATTATAGTAGAAGGTTTCTGTGCTTTAATTGAATTGAGACGAGATGACTTTTTATGAGCTAAGGAAGTAGGAGAGCCTGAAGTAGGAGTAGAGACTCTAGTATCACTTTCATAACCAGGAGTATCGAGGTTATTTAATCGACTTTGATGGGAAGTTGAATGAGATAATTTAATATCATCATCTGAAACTTGAGTGGGTTCATTAGGGGTATTAGACAAAGGTTCAATTTTTGAATCATTTGAAATTTCGGCAATTGGATCATCCGATTCAACAGGTTCTTTTGGATTAAAGGGAGGTGATAAGTTAAGAGTAGAGATTGAAGTAGTTGAGGCTTGTCTTGAGCGAACTTGAGGTGGTGTTCTTGGAGGACTTAACGAAGGATAGTTAGCACCATGGTATAAGGAAGGAATAATTTTTGTAGCTGCGTAAAAAACTCCAATTCTATAAGCAAGATTCAATAAAAGGGGTAAAGTTAATTTTTGGATTGCCATTACGAAAAATTCCCAAACTGTTTTAAAAGATCCTGGAAGATTAGACGCCAAAAATGGGACTAATTGACTAATAGTATTAGTTAATTGAGGGGGTAATCTTGGAACTTCATCCTTTAAGTTGAAAGTAGTTTGAGTGAAAAGAGAAGTTAATGCTTGACTAGCATCTTCTGAAAGAATTGGGAAAGTTTCGTAGATACAACGAACAATGTAAGCAAATAATAAAGACGATTCAATCATGGAACCTTTATTTGAAACAATTCCAAATAAGGCCAAACCAATGGTCAAAGTCAATAAGGAACCCAACAAGGAAGCACTTATGATATCTATTGAGAAGGGATAGACATAAATTCTGTAAAGAAAGTATAAAGAAGCAGCAATGGTACTACCACTACCAACAAGACTAACAATAAGCCAACTATCAGATTTATACACGGTTAGCCAATGTAAAGTCTGACCAACAGCTTGAATCAATAGAAGAGAACAAAAACCTTCTAAAATGGTGAAAATAGGAGTGGAATTAACAATGAATAATTTCCAAACATCAATTACCATAAAAGAAGGAACCTTCTTTGATGAATTATAGTAAGAAAGGAAAAAAGTGAGTAAACTTGGTAAAAGAATGTGTTGTAAGTAATATAGAATGGAAACCCACCTGAAATACTTACTTCTCCTAGTAATTAGTCTTATAGTGGTTAAGATGAAGTATAAGGCAAATGTAGTGAAGGAAAACGCTAATCCACAAGCAATTCCTCCCACGTCAAACGCCAAAGGTATACAAAGCACAAGTAGAACAAGGTATACCGTGGATAGAATGATTTCCAGTATTCTGGCTATTTTCACTTTGATCTGATTCATTAAAGTATTTTAAACTGTTGAATATACATATAAAGATGGACTCAAATTTAAAGTTTCTGCAAACATAAGCGGTTCATACGTATGGATTAGACTTAGAATGTTCACTCCAATACAAATATTAGTGTTTCACGCGGATAGGTATTACCAATCAGTTCACCACAAAGATAATGGGTAAAGGACAACAAGGATCAGCTGGAGAGGTTCTGGACGTGATTCAAAAGAGATAAACTGCCGGGACAGACTGGCAGTACGCGAATATGGCTCTGGGGACACTAGCTATCGGTCTATAAAAACACAGGTTGGTCTGTGATATACTTAATAAAGGAAGTATTTCAATTATATTCAATTAGTTGATGTTTTTTTTTTTTTTTTTTTTTTTTTTTTTTTTTTTTTTTNTTTTTTTTTTTTTTTTTTTTTTTTTTTTTTTTTTTTTTATTCTCACTAAAAATCCACACCAGCTAGTTTTTTTTTTTTTGTTTTGTTAGCAGCTTTTAGTAGCGATGGGACATAAATTGGTTCATGCTACCTGATACTTAATCAAGACAACTGAAATTCCATGATTCTTTTTTCATTTCAACAAGCACTTTTAGAGCTGGTACTTGAGTACAATCGGAGCTTGAGTCCAGTGGATCCTTCAGTGCAATCGATGACCACTTGGGCCATTCAGTACTGGGCATAAGTCTATTTGTCCAGCTGTTTGACCAGCTTAATTAAGGGGCTAAAGAAGCTTTTTTCGCCCCAGGCTATCTAACCAGTGTAGAGCTTGACCCCAACAAAGGCCCCCCAGAGATCTAAGCAGCATCCATAGTTATTATCCGAGATTCTATTGCTTATGATCGGGTTTACATGATTTGTTTATTGTGCCTTAATCCTTTCGGTAGGAAGATTTATTAGTTTTCCATTTTATTTTTTATTATGTGGTCATTTGGTCTTTGCAGTTGAAAGGCCAACCAGCAGGCTGCTGCTTGGGTTGGAGCAACGATGATGGTGCTGAAGCTTCATTGACGGCCCATGCTTTAAGGGATGAATTAAACACCCGTACCACAAGCACCGGTGCACGGGCGTTTCACCAGTTGTTTGTGTAATTTTGTGGCCCTTTGCGGCTGTAGTCAAAATTACACAAAGTGGGGGGTTTTCTCTAAAAAATGTACGGATGTTATGCATTTTGTGAGCCCGTGCACCAGGAACTGATGATCAGCTCATCTCAAGTAATTTTTTTCAAATTGTAGAAGGTACTGGTACCTGGTTGTTGTACCAGAGAATGCCTGCTCCGTATAAGAGAAGAAAGACCCACAGGGAAGATGCCGGGACCCCTTCGGCGCACGGGGGGAGAAAGCATGGAAGAGAGCAATTGAGAACGGTTACCAGAACCAGTAGAAGGGATCAAGACGTACCAGACGAGGAACCTAAGGAAAGCAGCAGTGAGGAAGAGGAAGTGGGCGAAGAGGATTCCAAGCCAGCATCTTCTGAGCATGATAAGTTGCAGTCGTATAATGCGTTATTGACATTGTTGGCTGCAGATCATAAGGAGCCGGCCGAAAAGAAGCCAATTGGTAAGAAGAGGGAAGAAGAGAAAACTCAAGCAGACGATGAAGATCACAACGACGAAGACGATGAAGAAGAAGAAGGAGAGATTGCCGGGGTGAACTTCGAACAAGAAGACGACGAGGCCAACGAAGAAGCAGGATCGGACGTGGAAGAAGATGGACAGGTTTCTGATCCATTCGAAGTCCATTTCAATAAAGTATCTGAATCATATATAGAAGAAGAGGAAAAACTAATCAAAGAGAAAAGCAAATGGACCATTGAGAAACGAAATAAGTTTGAGGAGTTGTTATATACATCAATATATCAATCTCCCCCTGGGAAAGCATTGAGTGACGTGAAGAAATCGGTTTCCAATTTAAAAGATTATAACTTGAAACAAAGAATCTTAAATGCATACGAAAAGGTAAACCACAATACGGCCTTATCAAAAATTGATAGAGAATTGGCTAATAATATGTTTAATTATCAAGATATTAACTTCCCGTACAAAAACTACCAAAATAAATCATATCAACAACTTTATGTTACCCATGCATTAAACCATGTTTTCAAAACTAGAGATCGTATATTGAAAAATAATGAAAAGTTACATAATTATCAACAATCCTTAAAAGAAGGGAAAATCACTAGTGACCAAGAACCCGAATATAAAGATCAGGGATTCACTAGACCCAAAGTCTTGATATTATTACCAACTAGAAATGTTTGTTATGATATAGTTAACTTGTTCATCAAATTACTGGGCAGTGAACAACAAGAAAACAAGAGAAAATTTCAGAATCAATTTTATTCAAATGAATTACCACCAGAAACAAAACCTGATGATTTTAGAGAAACCTTTAAAGGCAATAATAATGATTTTTTTTCGATTGGGTTAAAGTTCACCAGAAAATCGATCAAATTGTATTCAACTTTTTATGCTTCTGATGTTATTTTAGCCTCCCCAATTGGTTTATCAATGATTTTAGAAAATCCCGATAAACGTAAGAGAGAATACGATTTCTTATCATCAATTGAAATATTAATAATGGATAAATGTAATTCAATTGAAATGCAAAATTGGGATCACGTTTCAACCGTTTTAAAATACATCAATAAAATTCCAAAAGATTTCCACGATGCTGATTTTAGCAGAATTAGAATGTGGTCAATTAATGAACAGTCAAAATATTTAAGACAAAACTTGATATTTTCAGAATATTTAACTCCAAATATTAACAATTTAATGACCACAAAATGTTTCAATTTAGCTGGTAAATGCAAATATAAACCAATCGTTAATTCTTCCAATTGTATAATGAATTCAATTGGATTACAAGTTAAACAAATTTATCAAAGATTTGATGGAGGCTCATCTCCAATTTCAAATCCGGAATCCAGATTTAAATTCTTCATTAATACTATATTACCAAATCTAACTAAATCAATGTCTTACGATGATGGGCTTTTAATCTATATTGCATCTTATTATGATTATTTAAGAATCAAGAATTATATGAAAACTTCAACCAAATTCACTTTTGAATCAATCGACGAATATTCTTCAAGATCAAAACTTTCTAGAACTAGAGCTCATTTCCAACAAGGTAAAATAAAAATTCTTCTCTACACTGAAAGATTGCATCATTTTAGACGATTTGAAATCGGGGGAGTTAAAAACATTTTAGTTTATGAATTACCTTCAAATCCAATCTTCTATAAAGAATTAGTAAGATTCATCGGTAAATCAGTTTTCAAAAATGAAGCTGATCTAGATCTCTCCTTTATTAAAATCTTATTTTCAAAATGGGATGCTGTTTCTTTAGAAAGAATCGTAGGTAGTGAAAGAGCTCCAATATTATGCAATTCAGTGAATGAAATGTTTGAATTCAGATAAACCTTTATATATTAAATATAAACATTTTATATATTTCTAATGTACAGAATAATGAACATAATCATGAACTTAATACCTTAAAAGCCATAATAAAACATCCTATGGCAACATATGGACTCAATCTCTCTCCAATTCTTGCAAACTTCCAAAATACCCCAAAGGCTCCGGTTTTATTCTTATTCAATAACGTTGGCCAGGTAGAATGGACATATGTGCATGTACATATTAACAATAGTATGACCTGAAGAAGCGACTGGAAATTAAACAACGCAGACTGCGGTATTATTAGTACTCTATTCCTTCAACCATCATCTCACAAATACATACCATGATACAGATTCCTATTCCAGCTTCAAAGGGATTCTAAGTAGTTTGTTGTACTTTTTCAGCAGACTATAAAAATGAGTCTGAGTGGCCCTCAACACGACCTTTTTTTTTTTCCAAGTTACTGAAAACTACATCTTTAATCAAAATTAATACTGAAAAAGAAGGGTTTACGTTAGTTTAACAGTACTTACGACCACAATACTCTTCTTATAGAGGCTCTACTCAGATTCACTGGTAGTAATTGAGCTTGATACACGGCTAGTTTGGCTTACACTTCAAGGATAAACAAGCTTTGGGAAGCAAGGGAAAGATTTTTTTTATATATATAGAAGAAATCGAAAAGACAAGGAAACAAGTCTTGATTACAATATAGAACTGATTATGATTCTATAGCTTTCTTGAAGGTATTCAGAATATAATTTAATAACTAGTTTCATACGAGAAAAGCTAGGTTTTTATTTCCATAGTCCACACCATACAAGTAGACTCCGAGACGGCGACACAAGTCCAACCAGTTGAATTCACTTTAAAATACTTGATAAGCTTGATTTAGAAGGCAACACCATATTCGTTGAATAATTATGGCTGAATATGCCGAGGATCCATTTCAAATGGATGAAGAGTTGCCGGTTTATAATGAGAGCACCTTGGTAACTCCGACAGATCGTACACCGAATGACGGTGAAAATAAGGATAACCAAGACAAGAGTAAGAAAATGTTGATTACCCCAAGGTATACTGATCCAAACATAGTTATTGACTCCAACATAATGCAGCAAGATGATGAGTTAATACGATCGAAGTTGAACGAATTCAAAATGGCACAAGATGATTCAACTACTTTAGTATCGCCGGCACCAACTGAAAACGAAGAAAAAGAAGAAGAAGTAGCTTATGAAGAAGATTTAGATGATAAATTTGATGAGAATCAAAAAACCAAAATGGAGGAAGATTATAAAAAGTATCAAGAATCGTTGAGGAAACCAAGACTTTCAATTAATAAGGATATTATACTAACACCACCAGAGAATTTTGCTCCAGTTATTAATCAAATTTATCGATCATCATTCCCACAACCTACAAATTTTGCATTTTTAACTAAATTAAAATTAAAATCAGTTCTTTGTCTTATTCCAGAAGAGTATCCTGAAATTCATACTAATTTCTTCCAAAATGAAGGAATCAAATTATTTCAGTTGGGCATGTCAGGGAATAAAGAGCCATTTGTTAAAATTCCTCATGATTTGATCACAGAGGCAATAAAAATTGTATTAGATCCTAAAAACCAGCCAATACTCATTCATTGCAATCGAGGGAAACATAGAACCGGTTGTTTGGTTGGAGTATTAAGAAGATTACAAAAATGGTCATTAACAATAATTTTTGATGAATATAGAAAATTTGCAGCTCCAAAGGAAAGACCAATGGATCAGCAATTTATAGAATTATATGATGAAACTGAACTACTAAATTATGCAGAAGAAAATCAATTATTACCATTAAAATGGAATTATTAACCATACGAATAACGATTTATTATTTTTTTTTATTTCCCTTTATTTTATTTCTTATAGACATCAATTAATACTTTTCTTTTTTAACTTTACTTACGTATTACATACTTAAATACCATTTGATACGTCAGAAGGCCAAAAAAACTTCTTGCCGTAAATACCAGCGTTACCAAGTGCCAATAATGATAACCCCAAGGGACTCACTCTTCCTCCGGCAATACTCTTAATACTACTTGTCCCGTTAACTATGAGATACAAGGAAGACCAAGCAAAGTTGAATCCAGCACCGTTTAAAACATCTCCATCAAAGATAATCCAACCTCCCAACAAATGGGTCAAGCCAAAGGTGAAACAAGAGGCCCTCGAAGGCTTGGACCCGGCCAAAGATTTGGCAAATTGGTAAGACCCGCCAGAGGACCCGCTGATTGATTCAATTGGTTTTTGGTGACTTATTCCCTTGAATAATAGCAATGAAGCGAAAACCCAAGCCGGGTACGGGGTATTTGACAAGTTGGAAACTTGTTTTTGTAAGTTTTGGGTCAATTGACCTGCATCTTCCGCCACTTCTTTACCTATTTCCTTAGCCATGGTGTATTTGTAGTAATGAAATGGTTCTACTGAGTTGCCCGGTTCTCCAAAATAGAAATTTCAGGGTATCAATAGTTGCGGGTGCACGGATCCATTACAAGTTTTAATGAAAAGATTTTTTTTTTATTAATAATTTACACTAATACTAATTTACAGAAAGAGAATTGAAAAAAAGTACTTAGAAGGAAACTTAAGCACGTTCACCTCTTAATCTTCTGGCTAATTGGATATCTTTCTTTTGGATAGTAACTCTCTTAGCGTGGATGGCACACAAGTTAGTATCTTCGAATAAAGAGACCAAGTAAGCTTCAACAGATTCTTGTAAAGCACCAATAGCAGAAGATTGGAATCTTAAGTCAGTTTTGAAATCTTGAGCAATTTCTCTAACCAATCTTTGGAAAGGTAATTTTCTAATCAATAATTCAGTAGATTTTTGGAATCTTCTAATTTCTCTTAAAGCAACGGTACCTGGCTTATATCTGTGAGGTTTTTTAACACCACCAGTAGATGGGGCAGATTTTCTGGCAGCTTTAGAAGCTAATTGTTTTCTTGGGGCTTTACCACCGGTAGATTTTCTAGCAGTTTGTTTAGTTCTAGCCATTGTGAATGATGTAGAATGATAATGAATAAATTTTGAAAATCTGATACAGCAGCTGGGAATCACCAGAGTTATATACAAATCGGTTTTGTTAGGTTATCAGTATCACCATACAAACACCAATATGAACATTAAACACAACATACAAACACCAACACAACATACAAACACATAAACAATACAAATGAGTTCTAATAAGCACGCTTTTACCAGGGACAGATTCTACACCCCAACCGCAATCCCCGGCACGACACGAAGCTGCACTTCTCTGTCCCCGGGAAGAATCCCTCTGTTTGTTGATGGCTTCTGCGCCAGACAAAAGCAGCACAGTCTGCTGTTTACCCTGCTGCTAAACTCTCCTTGTCTTCCTTTGGCTTTTGTTGTCTGCGAAAAAAATCAAAATAAACAGTTTTACGTGAAGCTTCGCGCACAAAAGTTAACCCAAAAAGGATTAGCAACACCTTCTGCTGAGGGTTAGTTAGGACCATATTTTACACACACGGTGTGTAACCAGCAGCACTAACTGCAAAACACAAACACCCTTTTGGAGGGAACGTCTTGTTCAGATTTGCAGTCTTTGCCAGGTAAACAAGTACATAGTGGATAGACGTAAACAGCGATTAGTGGTGATCCGTTAGTAGAGCGATCTCAAGATTATAAATATATGATCAAATCCAAGGATAGATTGGAAATTCTTCTTTTTGTTATCATCAATAAAAGATTAGTTTTTAAACAACTTTCTTGTTTCCAAATAACTAAACTTATATTTTTAAATTTATTAATTAATCATGTCCGGTAGAGGTAAAGGTGGTAAAGGTCTCGGAAAAGGTGGTGCCAAACGTCACAGAAAGATTTTGAGAGATAACATTCAAGGTATTACCAAACCAGCTATTAGAAGATTAGCTAGAAGAGGTGGTGTTAAACGTATTTCTGCTTTAATTTATGAAGAAGTTAGAGGTGTTTTGAAATCTTTCTTAGAAAATGTTATCAGAGATGCTGTTACTTATACCGAACACGCCAAAAGAAAGACTGTTACTTCTTTGGATGTTGTTTACGCTTTAAAGAGACAAGGTAGAACCTTATATGGTTTCGGTGGTTAAATTTACCATTTGTTGAAATTGTACTTTAATTCTCCCTTATCTATTTTGTACTTCTAGCTTTAGTTTATATGTATATTAGAATATATTTTCGAATAATTTATTGCTGAATTGTAGGCTATTCTAAGTTATTAACTATGTCATCAACTAAGTTATCACCAATATTACCACCGGTGGCAAGGTTTTTATTGATTTTTCTCTCCATTTCTTTTTCCCAGTAGTCTAAATCTAATGGCTGTTTTTGTCTATAATTATCACCGGTGAATTTTGCCCAATTCTTAATACAACTTGATCCCAGATTTTCAATTTCTTTCATATTCAGTGGACACCTACATCTACATCCAACTCCGTTTTTGATTGGTTTATCGGGGGTTCGCTTACTGAAGATTCCGAATTCATCTTTCCCCAAAATTGGATCTTGCGCTTCATATTTTAATTGATTCGAGGGAGAATTATTAGGACAATGTCCTAAAGTACTATGTTTGTATCCAATATCTCTAAAATAATGGATTTCTTCTTTCGATAATAACATTGCCACTCCTAATGAGTGGATCGGGGCGTCGCCCCATCTTTCTTTATAGAAACCACCACTTTTCTCCAAGTGTTTGAAATACTCTTCGTAGGTTTTGGAATTAAATAAATCGGTTCGAGCAATTTCAAAATTGGACCAAAAATGACATAAATTATACTCTTCTCGGTCAAATCTATCCAAATTGATCCCAGGACGATCAGTCACTCTATCAAAAAGTTCCTCCAATATTTGGGGACTCAATTTATTTAACCATTGATCTGACTTTTTCTTGGTTTGTATTATACGTTTGATATATATATTCGATTCTATCCTTCTCAAGATTCGTTTGAACCCTCTGATTCCATCGTAATCTTGTTCATGCTTCCCCTTAACGTGTTTGGAATCATCAATAAATAATTCCCAAGTATCTTTCACTTTGATTCCCTTATTCCGTATATAAGCCCGGGTTTCTTTGAATAAGCCCGGTATAGTATAGTACAACTCATCAATCAATACATTAAATCCATACTTTTTATTTCTTTTCTCCATTTCAATGAATGGATCGTAAGTCAAATCACAGAAAAATTCAACGTCTGGTTCCACTCTCCAGTACCAATCTCTCTTTTTAACTAACTCATGTTTATAGAAAAATCCCGAATAAAATCGACACATTTTATGATATGATTCTAAATTCCCATACATTATCGTACGATCTCCTTGGCTTTCTATAAACTCGTAGAATTCACCTCGATCGATCAGTTTATCAAATTCCCATTGTTCTGGTTCAATAAACCCAAACTCAACTTGAGAATTAGTATACTTAGCCACGGTTTCTTTAAAATCATCAGTGAATGGCTGTTCGTTTAGAAAAACCCATGGATAATTGTACCACTGGTTGAAATGCCTTTCTAAAGACTTCATTGATTTTATAACATCTTCAATCTCAGAATTTCTCGCTAACATGACAAATGCTGCACTAGCCCGAGGGGCTTTGGTATCCGGGATACCACATCCAAATTGAAATGGTTCGTCGATTGATGACTTGATATTCAGACCACTGACCAGCTGTTTCTTGTTCCGAAGAAACTCATTCGGCCTATCTAGCTCCACATCCTCTGGTAGTACTATATATTCAGACCCAACATATAGCCTAAATATCTCGTAGATTATAAATAATGCAAATATTGTGTATACCCAAAAGCGTTTACTTTTCCTGAAAGATCGTAACCTCAATTTCTTCAACACGCTGAATCGATTCTTCTTGATCTTCAACGTTCTCATTGGTTGGGGGTTCCCATCAGAATCATACCCATACGCATAATCATCGTCGGAGTCTTCCTCACTCGAACTGGCTTTATCAGATTCTGGACTTAGAAGTTGCGCATGGTTGAACGATGCATAGTTGAGCCGGGACCGTGGTGACCCGTCCGTACGTGACATTGGTAATGATTTAATAGTAAGATCAGTTGGAGGTATCAGCAGCGGCTAAGCAGTGACAGTTTTTTTTATTACTTTCAAAAATTTTGACGTTTTTTCTATGACGCGCGATCTTCGTTGTACCTGCGGAATTTTATTCCTGTTGGATAATTATATATTATGTATCTACTGTTGTAGAATGAAAGGTAAGAATACAGAATAATGAACTAAAGGTTTATGAGAAAGAGAAGAGAAAAGTTTTGAATGTGAAAGACCCACCGGGAGCCCGAGTTATTTTTCCTTTTTCTGTATGGCGTTACGTAACAAATTTAAATCATCGTTTAGTTCTTCAGGCTTTAATCCTTGAACTCCAACAAATTGTTTATGGGAGCCTCTTGTATTTTGTCTACCGGAAGAGGAAGCCTTCGAGCTACTGCCATTGATACCGTTGTGGTCCATTAAGATGAGGGACATTCCGCCATCTTCAGTACCCATGATTATACTATTCAAGGCATCATAATCTTTATCGCTCAAGTTACTGTCATTACCACTGCTAGCGCCATTTTGGTGACCGTGTCTAATGGAACCGTTACCACTGCCACTACCAGCACCAGTGACCCCACCCGTACTCAGTTCATCGTTCGAGGAGTAACGCGTTGCGTAGTATCTTCTGCGTTTGTTATTGGATGCCAGGATGTAACCGGAAGCGCCACGAGCAGCATTCAGGTTATTGTTATGAGAGCTACCAGCAGAAGCTGCTCCGTGAAGGGCTGCGCTGCTATGGCCAGCACCACCGTCGGAAAGGTCATCGGCTTCGCCTGCAGTGAACCTCGAGCTAAGTTCCCGTCTTCGCAAAGAGCGACGATCGTTAATGTTGAGAGAGTTTGCTGCTGCCACTGCGTTTAGCGCAGCGGTGGAAGAATCGTTAGCGTTGACCGAATTCCAAGAATTAGCATTCACTAGATTTAATAGTAACTTATCTTCCTTTAACTGTTTGATTTGCTTCTGTAACTTATCATAAAGCTTTTCTTTGATCAACTTAATCATTCGGTCGTGGTTTTCCTTAGCTCGATTGATATCTTCTTTATATTCTTGGTCGATTCTTTTAACCTGGTACTCTTCCCATAATCGTAGTTTGGTTAGCTCGTAGTCCCGACCTTCGTCTAATCGGTTTCTTTTCTCGGTAAACTCTTCATTGGTTCCTTGTTGCAAAGTAGCAAGGGTGGTTTGAAGATGATGAAGTGATCCCCTATAAAAGTTATCTCTTTCGTGGCTAAACGTGCTGTTTAGTTTACTCAATCGTGAACCTATTTGTTGGCGTCTTTTATCCTTCTTGCTTAAACCTATTCCCATACTTGTTAGTAGCTATTCCAACTTTCTTCTTCTTCTTCTTCTAATACATACTATCGGCAATAATACCATTTCTTTTGGTATCCTCCATATTTGCAAACTAACCTCTGGATACCAATGTCCTTCTGTTATACTGAACTTCAACCAAGAGATCGCCTATCTGAAATACCTAGAGTCTATCAATTCCACTAATCCCTGCTAGCAAATATATCAAGTCTCTTCTTCATCTGCCTAACTCTGTTTTTTCTTTAATGTGAAGCCAGTACTAAAAAGAAAAAAAAAATGCACGAAACCGCCGGGTAACCACTGATTTCCCCCAAATCTTCGGTTGCCGGTCCTTTTCTCGGATCCGTACACCTGCGGAATTGTTCACTTACAACCACGGAAATGAGTCAGGATATGCCAGGAAACGGTAAGTACCACGAAGAACCAGGGAAGAGTCGAGAATATAGGTGAAAAGATGACTGCGTCCGACCAAGAGTCCACGTATGCGCGTCTTGAGTCGTTGCCGTACGCTGACGGTGAGTTTGAAAACGTTCCTAGAATCAAAGAAAAAATTGGGTTCACGCTTGCCAAAGATCCCAGCAAGAAAGTCACCTTGATCACCGGCCATTCTGCATCTGACTTCCCAAAAGGATTGCTAGAGTGTGCCTGGGAAGAGTTCAATTACGTGGTGGAAGAAGGAAGAACATATCCCCATTATAAACCAGTCGATTACGAAGGATTTCTTCAGTACGCTTTTGTCTTTTTCTTTACCGTATTGGTGGAAGTGGAATACACCGAAGACATGTTTGAGCAACCCAAATCATTCTGGTCCGATAAGCTCTTGGGGTTCTTTTACATTAAACCCAATTACATCGGACGGTGTTCTCACGTTTGCAATGCTGGTTTCGTGGTCAACCATCATAAGAGAGGTTTGGGACTAGGGAAAGAGATGGGCCGGAAATACTTGACGTTGGCTCCAAGATTGGGGTTTGTCTATTCCGTGTTCAATTTGGTTTTCGAAACAAACACTGCCAGTCTTCGTATTTGGGATTCCTTGGGATTCTCCAGAATCGGTTACGTCAAAAACGTGGCGGTTTTGAAAGGCGAGTCCAAGTTGACCGGCGCCGTCATGTTCGGTAAGGATCTTGTGTAGACCTCCCCATCAATTTATAATCCTAAATACTTTATAATTCTAAAATCAATTTATAATTCTAAAATCAGTTTATAAGTTTTAAATACTTTATGAGTTTTTGCAATTGAAAAACAATGTCGCGAGGCTTTTTGCGACACGCGACATGCCGGAACTATCAAAAACAAAAAAAAAACATCGTTGTTGACATTCCAGTAAATACTCTGACAGTATAGTATCTACACTGAAAGACAACGGTTAGATATTTAACAACCTATTTATTGCAGCCTGTTCCTGGGAATTACGATAATATTGTATAGTATTGGTGAATATGCCAGAGTTTGATGACGTGCTACTGCCTCCGCATTATAGACCGCAAATTGAATATAGCTCGATATCGGTTATTGATCGATATACGGTTCTTTTGAAAGATGGAGAAACAACTGCTACCATATATCCAATACACAATCCTAATGAACTACCACCGGGACTTCTAGCATTCTTGTGTGATGAGTTTAACATGGAGATTGAACGAGGCGAAACATACCCGTTTTTCGATACTCTACATATAGAAGCTTTTCAAAATTATTGGTTTGGAAGCTTTGCTGCAGTAATGGTATTGGGAGATGCGGTAACTTTATCGGGTTCCAGGCAGTGGGAAAAAGAATGTTTGGGTACTTTTTATGTTAAGCCAAATTATCCTGGTCGTTGTTCTCATATTTGTACTGCAGGGTTTTTGGTTAATGCTGGTATTAGAGGTAAAGGTATTGGTCGTACTTTGACTGATTGTTATCTTCAATGGTGTCCAAGATTGGGTTATACTTATAGTGTCTTCAATTTGGTATTTGAAAGTAACGTTCCTGCAAGAAGAATATGGGAATCTCTTAATTTCAAGCGTATTGGTAGAGTTAAATCAGCAGGGATTTTGAAAGGTCATGAAACTGCAGTTGATGCTTTGGTTTATGGGAGAGAATTGATCAACACCAGTGATCCTTCAGTTGGCGCTTATAGATTTGATAAAATCAAGTTTTACTTGGAAACTGGTAAATATCCAGCAATGGCTGATAGAGCAGAAAAATCAAGACTTAGATCTTCGGCTTCTCATTATAGATTGATAGATGGTAAATTACTATTAAAGGGTAAAGAGGTCATTTCAGATCCTGTTCGTCAATTACAAATTTGTAATGAAGTTCATATGACAAATCATGGTGGGATAAATAAAACTACCGCTGTCATTACAGAAAAATATCATTGGACAAGGATAAAAGATACCGTTGCTGCTGTGATTAAAAGCTGTCCTGAATGTAGAGAATCTTCTAAGGAATCCCCTCCTGTTTCTAAAATGCGTACTGCTCCAAAGAAAATGGTTACTGGCAATTTACGTGATGGCTCTAATCGTCGTCCTCACCAGCCAAATCGTGGTTACAGGTCTAGAAATAATAATGAAGACGTCGAAGCAATGGTGGCCCTCCATAACTTACCAAACCACCGTGATGAATCTCTTTTAAGTACTCATGACTTATCTGGCTTGGATGATGGTCTAATTGCAGTAGTTGAAGCTGCTCAAAAACAACAACAGCAACAACAACAACATCAACATCAGCATCAACATCAGCAACAACAACAACAGAAAGATCATAATCAACAACAACAGGAAGTTCATGATACAGACCACCACCTGCATCTGCACCATCAATCACAGCCCTCTCGTCATCATTCTAATCATGAGAATGCGCCATCTTATGCCGCTGTTGCAGCCGCAGCTGTCTCTGGTGATGGTGAAAATCAATATCAATATAGTGAGTATGACGAAGCTCCTGGAAATAATGATTATAATCATCGTGATGAGGAGCCCGAACATGAGAAACATAGAGGTGATATACCTGTTGCTGAATTCGATCATCATGTTGGTGCCGGTGGAGAAGAGATTGAAATTGCTAGAGCATTAATGCAATCGAATCAAGAAGATGGTGATCTCGATGAAGAACATCGTGACCACGACGGCATGAAAGACGAACCTAGATCCCCGGGGGATGAAAACATTTATTTTAAAAATCAATAATTAATATTTATAGTTCAATTAGCTAATGAATTGTCTACACGAAGTAATTATGATAATAATAATAAATTATAATATATATAGAAATATATAACAAAATAATTTGACGAACGTAGAAAAACAAACTAAGTAAAATTAAGAAATAACAACCGAATAGTCTATGTATAAGAATATAATACTCATGAAAGTTTATCCCCCGATATATTTTCAAAAAGTATTGATATTTTTTTTTTATAAATTTTGTGAAAAAAATTTTTTTTGAAGTTTTTTATAAGATTTAAAATGTGATTTGATTATGCTTGAACTTCAGACAATTCCCCAATTGTCTTATTGATCAAGATTATTCTAAAAATCAACACCAATAACCATAGCCAAGATAGCCATTCTTACGAATAAACCATATCTCATTTGTCTAAAGTAAGCAGCTCTTTGATCAAAATCAACTTCTTCCCTGATTTCAGAAGTTCTTGGTAATGGATGCATTATACACATATGTTGTTTAGCGTGGGATAAGATCTTGTTATCAACAATATAAGTATCCTTCAATCTGTGGTATTGTTCTTTGTCTTCAAATCTTTCTTCTTGGACTCTGGTACAATATAAAACATCAGATCTACCAATGATTTCAGGAGTCAAGACTTCAGATTCACCGGCTAACATATCATTTTCAGCTAACATAGCTTTGATGTCATCTGGTAAAGATAATTCTTTTGGAGAAACCAATTGAACTCTAACATGGTAGTGACGTAATAAGTGACATAAAGAGTGAACTGGTCTACCATATCTTAAATCACCCATGAAAGTAACAGTGATACCGTTTACAGTACCAACTTCTTCTCTGATGGTGAATAAATCTAACAATGCTTGAGTTGGATGTTCTTTAGTACCATTACCACCATTAATGATTGGAACTGGAGAATATTTGGCAGCAATGTCAGCAGATTCTTCAGATGGATGTCTTAAGACAATAGCATCAGAGTAGCAAGCTAAAGTACGAATACTATCTTGTAAAGTTTCACCTTTTTTAACAGAAGAAGCACCAATGGCAACTGGAATAACTCTACCACCTAATCTTTGCATAGCAGCATCGAAAGAGGATGAGGTTCTAGTTGATGGTTCATAAAACATGGTGGCCAATAATCTACCTCTTAACAAGTCTAAAACACCTTGTCTTTCAACAGATAATCTCATTTCTTGAGCAACAGTGAATAATGAATGTAAATCGGAACGAGTAAAGTCCTTGACAGATAAGACAGAGTTACGCAAGAAAGTATTATTGTTTCTGATGTAATGAATTAAAGCATTAGGTTGAGATAAGTCACTAGTTGGAGGTTGAGAAACCAATTCTTTTCCTAATCTTTCATATTCACCTGCTTTAACATCATCTTTGATAATAGATGGACGACGACCACTTTCGGAAGAAAAAGAAGCTAATCTAGCTTTTCTATTCAAAACTGGGGATTGTGGGACACTACCAGTAACAGAACCAAATCTACCTCTTGGGGCAATTTCATGCTTACCAACAGCACTAGTAGAAAGGATAGCGCCATCTAAGCAAGCAGTTTCACCATGAAGAGAAACTCTTTCAACAAAACCTCTTAATTTGTTATTCTTGAATGGTGAGAGATCTAAGTTCTTAAGACTTCTATCCAAATCAATTTCGACAACAGCATCTTGTTTAGGGATACGGAAGATCTTGACTGGATTATCGTGGAAACGCTTGGTAATATCTTCAATAGTTAATTTACCATCCTTGACAGCTGAAAATAATAATGGTAATGCATCACTAACACCTAAGCCTGGAGCAACTTTATTATTAACAGTCTTAGAAACAACAGTTGGTAAAACACCAATAGAGAAACAGTCGACATCAGCCAAGCCTTCCCATAAAGCATCTTGGTCTTCCTTAGTTGGTAAGAATGGTAATTTTGGGAAGTCCTCTCTAGTTAAGAATAAAGAGTAAACGGAGACATCACAAGTAACTTGCAATTTCTTTTCCTTAGCCATTTTGATCAAACTCAAATCTTCCTTGAAAGAAACATTAGTAATATGAATGGATCTATTATGTAAAGAAGCTAACAACAAAACTGAGGCCAAGTCCGTAGCCTTAGCATCAGTAATGATTGGTTTCGATTCTGGCCAAGAAGCAAAGTGAGCAGAAATAGAAGAAACCTTAGATTTGACGAAATCGTTGAAAGGAATGAATAAAGCACCAGCACTGTCAGCAGCTTCAGCAGCTTCTTCGACATTGGTTTCTGAAGCAGCAATGTACAAAGAGTAATCAGAGTAAGCAGCAGAAGAAGCTGATCCAATGGCATCAGCTAATGAGTCTAAATCAGTGATAGTTGAACCATTAACAGTTTGTGGTAAGAAAGCATTATAGGTAAATCCAGCAGCTAACGAAGTCTTGGTAGCAGCTTCAAAGTCATCAAAAGATGGAACGAAAGAAGAAATATTGATCAAACCAGGTAAAACTGCAGTAGAATGGGAGGTTTGAGCATCATTGTTGGTGACATCTAAAGAAATGTTTCTAGCGAGAGCTTCAACCAACAATTTAGCATTCTTAACATTAGTAACCAAAGGAATTGAGTAATCGACAGCCATACGACGAGATTCATAACCTTTAGACATGTAAGAAGCTGGACGACGGAATCTATTAGCAGATGGTAAATTGACATATAAATCAATTAAGTTGTTGGCCAAATGCTGAGTCAAAGAGTATTCAGATTTTTGATCTTCTTCTTTGCTCAAGACTTCTAAGTAGTGAACTGGAACACCATGTTCTTTGATGAAATCAGCAGTACCAGCAGTAGCAAAAATTTGATAACCCATTTCATATAATTTTCTGATTGATGGTAATAATTCTTGCTTTTCTTTGAAAGAACCAATAGAAAATAAGATATTCTTCTTTGGTAATTTGAAACCAGTAGAAATCAAAGATTTCAAATAAGCTTCATATTTGTTTCTACCAAAAGTGGCAACTTCACCAGTCGAGGCCATTTCAACACCCAAGACTGGGTCAGCACCAGCTAATCTTGAGAAAGAGAATTGAGGAACTTTAACGGCGCAGTAATCTTCAGGTAATTTCTCACCTGGATAAGGAGTAACTGGCATATCCATAATAGCTTTAGTAGCCATTTCAATTAAATCAGTACCAACAACTTTAGAAATGAATGGGAAAGAACGAGAAGCACGAACGTTACATTCGATAACCTTAATATCATTATCTTTGGCAATGAATTGAATATTGTAAGGACCAGTGATATCTAAAGCTTCACCGATTTTAGCAGTGGCTTCAACAATTCTTCTAACAGTTTCTGGATCTAAATCTTGAGGTGGAACGATTAAAGTAGCATCACCAGAGTGAACACCAGCATTTTCAACATGTTCGGAAACAACATGCATAATCATTTTACCATCTTTAGCAACGGCATCCATTTCAATTTCTTTAGCATTCTCGATATATTTGGTAAGAACAACTGGATAATCTGGAGAAACATCGACAGCTTGGGTTAAGTAAGAGGCTAAATCAGCTCTAGAGTAAACAGTGTTCATGGCAGCACCAGATAAGACATAAGATGGACGAACTAAGACTGGATAAGTAACTGCATCAGCAAAAGCTTCAGCTTCATCGATAGAAGTCAATTCTTTCCAAGCTGGTTGGTCGACACCGATTCTATCCAACATTCTAGAGAATTTATATCTGTTTTCAGCAGAATCAATCATTTCAGGGGAAGTACCTAAAATCTTAACATTTTGACGGTATAATGGTAAGGCAATATTGTTTGAAGTTTGACCACCCATAGAAATAATAACACCTGAGGATTGTTCTAAATCATAAATATCCAAAACTCTCTCTAAATTAATAGTTTCGAAATATAATCTATCAGCTTCATCATAATCAGTAGAGACGGTTTCAGGATTGTAATTGATCATGACGGTCTTAGCACCGTTTTCTCTTAAAGTTCTGATAGCTCTGACAGCACACCAATCAAATTCAACTGATGAACCAATTCTATAAACACCTGAACCTAAAACGATAACACCGTGATCGTTAAAGTCCACATCAGAAGAATCAGCATTATAAGTAATGTATAAATAATTAGTGAAGGCAGGGAATTCAGCGGCAACAGTATCAATTTGTTTGACAAACGGAATAACCCCAGCTTCTTTTCTCAATCTTCTGATAGCAACTTCATTAGAATCTAAGAATTTGGCAATTTGTCTATCTTCAAAACCTAATTGTTTAGCTTGTCTCAAGACTGAAACTGGTAAGTTTTCTTTCTTACCATAAGATGAAATAGTATTACCAAATTGAATTAAACCATTCAATTTATTTAAGAACCATTTATCAATATTGGTCAATTTCCAAACTTTATCAACTGAGTAACCATCTGATAAAGCATTTGCAATAGCAAACAAACGCTGATCAGAAGGAGTTTGTAACTCAGTATCAATGTCAATTGACATCAAAGCAGAAGTTTTATTGAATCCCAAGTTTTGATAATCAGTTGATCTAATAGCTTTTTGAATTGCTTCTTCGAAAGTTCTACCAATAGACATAACTTCACCAACAGATTTCATAGCGGAAGATAATAATGAAGAAACTCTGGTAAATTTCTTTAAATCCCATCTTGGAATTTTAACAACAACATAATCCAAAGAAGGTTCGAAACAAGCACAAGTAGATCTAGTGACAGAGTTTTTAATTTCGTTCAATGGAATATTCAAACCTAATTTAGCAGCGGTATAGGCTAATGGATAACCAGTTGCTTTAGAAGCTAAGGCAGAAGATCTTGACAATCTAGCATTGACTTCAATGATACAGTATTCCTTAGAGAAAGGATTCAAAGCATATTGAATATTACATTCCCCAACAACACCCAAGTGTCTGATAACATTAACAGCGGTAGTTCTTAACATGTTATAGTCTTCATCAGATAAAGTTTGAGATGGAGCAACAACAATAGAATCACCAGTGTGAATACCCAAAGGATCGAAATTTTCCATATTACAAACAGTAATACAGTTATCAAAGGCATCACGAACAACTTCATATTCAACTTCTTTCCAACCTTTCATTGATTTTTCAACCAAAACTTGAGGAGAGACAGCAAAAGCTTTGTTACATAAGTCAACTAATTCTTCTTGGTTATCAGCAAAACCAGAACCTAAACCACCTAAAGCATAAGCAGCTCTAACAATTAATGGGTAACCGATGGCATTTGCAGCACCAATAGCTTCTTCAACATTATTACAAGCTTCAGATTTAGCACATTTTTCATCAATTTGATCCATGGCTTGAGAGAATAAATCACGATCTTCAGTGGTGATAACGGTATCAATTGGAGTACCTAACACTTTAACACCTAAGCTTTCAAACTCATCTTTCAAAGCAATACCAACACTCAAAGCAGTTTGACCACCAAAAGTACAATAGATACCATCAGGTTTTTCGTGTTGAATAACTTTTCTAACAAATTCTGGGGTAACTGGTAAAAAGTAAACTTTATCAGCCAAACCTTTTGAAGTTTGAATAGTGGCAATATTTGGATTAATTAAGACACTATAAATACCTTCTTCTTTCAAAGCTTTAATAGCTTGAGAACCAGAATAATCGAATTCACCAGCTTGACCAATTGATAAACCACCGGAACCCAAAACCAAAACTTTTTTAACATCAACTTTTGGATGAGCAGCTCTATTATCAGCAATTAAACCACCTGGAAATTCAACTGGTTTATGGATACCAGTGTTTTTAAAATCGATAACAGATTGGATAAAGACGTCGAATAAGAATTCGGTATCTCTTGGACCTGGAGTAGATTCAGGATGGAATTGAACAGAAAAGAAAGGTTTTGAATCATGGTAAATACCTTCATTTGAACCATCATTAGCATTAACGAATAATTCTTTCCAACCGTCAGATAAAGTATTAGTATCAACAGCATAACCATGATTTTGAGAGGTGATGTAACATCTACCAGAGATGGTAGAAGTACAAGGGATATTATGACCACGATTACCGAATTTCAACTTCAAAGTTGAAGCACCAGTGGCTCTAGCTAATAATTGATGACCCAAACAAATACCGAAAACTGGAGTTTTAGCATTTTTCAAAATGGTTTTCAATTTTGAGACGGTTTCAGTCATGACTGAAGGATCACCAGGACCATTTGAAACAAATAAACCATCATATGATTCATTAGTGAAATCATAATCCCAAGGAACAACTTTTAATTCAACCCCTCTATTAATGAAACAACGGATTTGATTAAATTTCATACCAACATCAATAGCCAAGATTCTGATGGCATTACCTTTAGAATCAGATTTAGCTAAATTTGAAGGAGGAGTATATAATTTTGGTTCTTTGATAGAAACTTTAGCAACCAAATTTTTAACATTTGGATCATCAAATTCTGGAACATCAAAATATTGTTCCCAGTTAGAAGCAGCTAATAATTTATCACTAGTTTCAATTGAAGATTTTTGTAAAGCTAATCTACCCAAAGTAGAACCATTTTCTCTTAATCTTTTGGTTAAAGCTCTAGTATCAACACCATACATAGCAGGAATACCTTCTTTTTTCAACCATTGACCTAAAGAAGAAGTTGCTAAGAAATGAGAGTATTCTTCAGTATAATGAGCAACAACTAAACCAGCAATATGAATATGATTTGATTCAAAGTATTTTGGTAATTCATTAACAATATCATCTTTTAAATCACGGTCTGGGACACCATAATTACCAACAAGAGGATAAGTAATAACCAAAATTTGACCTTCATAAGAAGGATCGGTGATTGATTCAGGATAACCAACCATACCAGTTTGGAAAACAACTTCACCGGCAGCAGCAACTGGAGCACCAAATGAGTAACCTTGTAAAGCAATACCATCTTGGGTTTGCAAGGTCATCATACGGTTACCAGTAGATTCCATTGGAGGAGAAATAGGAGCAGAGATTTTAGCCATCTTGATATATTTCAGGTACAGAGGTAATAAAATTTTAAGAGATAGAATTGAATATGCAAATTTCCAAAAGCAGAGGGGGGAAGATAACTCTAGGAAATGATTTGATTGAATAAGTCTTGAAAAGAGTTATTCAGTAGAAGGGGAATAGAAAGAAATGTTCTTTATTCAGTTGGGGGAAACTAGAATTTAAAGAACAGAAACTACTAATTGAGTAGGAGTGAAATAAAAGAAGAAAACTGATCTGAAATACTTTAAAACTAAAGGTCTAGGGTTAGTAAATCAAGTTTAAAAGATGAAGATGAGTTCGAATTCATGTCCCCATATTGATGCAATTTTTTTTTTTATTAGACTGAATTTTGTGCAATTTTTTTTTCTCTGAGCTTTGCTTAATACTCATCGAGCGGAACAGGAGTACAAAAAAACTGAGTAAACTGACTCTTCTCTGATACAGCAACGACATAAAATCATTAACCAGAAGGACCCCTTAGTGATAAGCTTGTTTTGTACTTGTTATAGTCATTTCTTCGTATTGGACAGTTCCTAGAATGTAGCAAACACAACAACGGTGGATTTTTACAATTTGAATCGACTACTCCGATTCATTACAATACGATTTTTATTTCTTCGTATCTCTCTTTCTCTCAATAAAAGTCAAAAATGCAAAAATTAAAGAACAAAATGGGAAAACATACTTTAAGAGTTGTTTAAACAATTAAATTTCAATAAGATGATTAAAAGCAAGGGAAGCTCTTTTATTGAGAGAGAGAGAGAGAGAGGAAGAGAGAGAGAAAGAAAGAAGAAAGAAGAAATAAAATAAAATAATGAATCTATACTTTATCGAGACTACAGGGCAACTCACAATCCTTTTATACCTGATACAATTGTTAGTCAAGAGTGAAAAATTTGAAAAATTTTCAACCGTTTCTTTGTGATCTTGTGAGAAGATGAGATGAGGACCCTCGGACAGGTGGTGCTTAAGTACGGGTGGCGTCACGTGCATGCCCTCGTATCTGGTTTTGTAAAGTAATTTATTAATTTTACGTCAATACAAATGCATTTACTCAGAATGAATTTTGTTGACGTAAATACAATGACTAATAACTCTTGTAGGGTCGAGTCAACTGTATTACTTTATTGCCAGCTTTATTAATTACGGATTAGCTATGGCATTCGGTACTCGTACTGGAACTGGTATCGCCACTGCATTTGGAACTGGAACTGGAACGAACTTCTGCCCTACTACCACTGCCAAGATCTCAATTTGCAACCATCGTCACATACTCAGAATCTCCTTTTGGGCTTTCCAGGACTTAAAGTTGGCTTGATTCTCTGGAATTAGACTTCTGGTGTACGGGTCTTTGTTTTTAACGGTCGCAATTCTGGCCCAGGAGGTCCGCTAGCTGTCCCGCCTGGCGTGGATACCGTAGAGCAACCCCGTGGATAGCTTGAATAGGGGGAGGTTCTTACATGCCTTTAATAAAGTCCGAATCTGTCAAAATGTGAGACACCTTTCTAAAGAGTTTCATCTTATTGTCTTTTTTTCTTCCTTCTGTCTGTTTTTTTTTTTTTTTTTTTTTCTTTAGTGAGGAATTTAAAAATAACAGAAAACGGCTTCAATTTTCTCCTTCTTCTTATAACAACTATAGATCGATTCCAACGCACGCTATACCTAGTCTTCAACTGAAGAGAAGTTTGCTTCAGGTGATCTCGAATAACTCCTAAGTTTCTCTCTCGGTGTAAACTGGGACTTGTTTTTGTCTCTTCTTCGTTACCCTTTTTTCTCTTTTTTTTTTTTTTTTTTCAGAGGTTCTTTTTGCAAAGACGAAGTCAAGAAATTGATCACATTGTCAACATCCTAAGTCTAAATCATCTAGAAGAGCATCACTTGAAGTGGTATTTTTATCGAGTGTTATTGTTATAAAGCAGACTCGAAATTCCCTCTGGTTTATCTAATTTTGGTTCAAGTATAGAACGATTGGGAAAATGACTAATATCAAAGAAATATGGCAGTCTTATAAAGATAAAAGAGCAAGAATGTCAATTGGGATGACCATTAGAAACAAAATCCACTCTTTCGCTCTGATAATACATCCTTATGCCATAATCTTGTTCCCAAATTTTAGGGTGGTGCATTATTTTTATATTATTTCAATAACTATAATTGGTTCAATTCTAATATATCCAGTTAAAAATGCAAAGTATATCGATATTCTCTATACCACCGCGGGGTGTGCTACTCAAGCAGGATTGAACACCATCAATTATAATGAAACTACCTTGTATCAACAAATTATCATGTATATATTAACCACTTTAGCAACACCTATTTTCATCCATGGCTCACTTTTATTCGTTAGATTATATTGGTTTGAAAGACATTTTGATGATATTAAAGAAAGCTCCAAATTAAATTTCAAAATGAGACGTAATGCCACTTTGGCTGCAAGAACTCAATCTTTCGATTCAACGAGATATAATACTAATAAAAATCAAGGAATCGGTTTTAATCCAAATTATGTCGATAATACTAATAACAATCCTCTTTCTAAGAATGAAAATGTTATCGATTCTAATAGTAGTAATACCCCCAGCCTTAAAAATTTAACTAATACTCAAAATTCATCTCCTCAATCTTCGTCTACAATTCCAAATAATAATAATAATACCGTGATTCATATTAGTGAACCAAGTGATGAAGAACAAAATACTAACAAAGGAGCTTCTCATGATTTAGAAAACTTGGCTAGCTTAAACTCTGACGTTGACCCTAAATCTGTGCATAATGAAGGTATAAAATTTGGTAATTTACCTCATCCAAATGCTTCTAAAGTGCCTCGTAAAAAGGAAATTGATCCTTCGGATATGTTTATGTCCATTGCAATGCTTAGAAATCATCGGAATCAAACACCCCCTCTAACAAGAACTCCCTCTGGTAATATCCAAAACTCTGAAGTATTATCCAATCACAATACCGATAATGATGATGACGGTGAAGTCTTGATCATTAAACCTCCAAATGAAATTGAAAATGATATTCATAATCCAATTTATACTAAAAAGGCTCCTCCTCAACAAAGAATTCAATTCGACGTTCACGAAAAACCTCATCGTCGTAAGAAAAACCGGCCAGTTAGAAGAACGAGTAGTGGCCGTTTAAGTGGTAAGAAAAAATGGTCTAAATTACGTAAAAGTTTTCTGAATACTGGTAGTCATCATTCAGGTCATAAGAGATCTTATTCAATGAATTCAATGGGTGATGAAAATGCCTCAATTGATAGTGAAAATGATTTAGAAACTGACAATTTAACAACTGACAACAATGACGATGATGACGATGATGACGATGAAGGTGCTGACGCTGACGATGAAAATGCAATCGATGATGAGGACGATACCGATGACAATAATACCACTTTAAATATCGACAATACCATAGATATGGATGATGAAGAAGACGAGAACCAAGTTCAAAGAGCTCAATCGAATTTAGCTTTACCTTCGAAAGATGAAACTGGTGGTAAAAAATATAGTAAACGTTCAAATACCCTAGAAGTCACTCCTGGTAGACGTCATTCATTCATGAAATCCCCAACATTTGATAAAATGATTGGTCGTAAAAATCGAACTTCAAAAAAGAAATCTTTGAAAAGAATTAAAACTCCTTCCATTCATAAATTCACTACAGCTAGAAGTGACGTTAATTCCACCAATAACTCTGAGGATAACTATGACTCAAGTTATGATGAAGACACATCGACCGATGACGAAGAAATTGATGCTTATAGTGGTGATCAATCGTTACGTAAAGTCATGAGTACCAATTACTTATCATGGGTGCCTACAGTTGGTAGAAACTCGACTTTTGTTCACTTGAGTGAAGACCAAAAGGAAGAATTGGGTGGTGTTGAATATAGAGCAGTTAAATTATTGATAAAAATTTTGTTAGCTTATTATATCGGTTTCCATATTATCTCCGCTGTTGGTCTCACCATTTGGATTAATTGTATGCCATCTTATGCAAAAATCGTTAGAGATGCTGGCGTGTCACCTACTTGGTGGGGATTTTTCGAAGGTCAATCAGCTTTTAATGATTTAGGTTTTACTTTAACTCCAGACTCAATGCAAAGTTTCCAACAAGCACTTTATGTTATGATTTGGGTTGCGTTTTTTGTGGTTATTGGTAATACTGGTTTCCCAGTTTTTTTAAGATTTTTAATTTGGTTGATGTTCAAATTTGCAAAACCATTATCCTTATTTAAAGAGTCTTTGGGTTTTTTACTTGATCATCCAAGACGTTGTTTTACTTTATTATTCCCTTCGATTCCAACCTGGTGGTTATTCATGATTTTAATTGTTTTAAATGGGGTAGATTTGATTTTATTTGTTATTCTTGACTTTAAAAATTCTTATTTAGAACATATTCCTGTTGGTTATAGAATCATGGATGGATTGTTTCAAGCTTTCAGTACCAGGACTGCAGGTTTTGCGGTGGTTGATTTATCTCAATTACATCCAGCAGTCCAAGTTAGTTATATGTTAATGATGTATATATCAGTTTTACCATTGGCTATTTCAATTAGAAGAACCAATGTTTATGAAGAACAATCTTTAGGTCTTTATTTGAAAGAGCAAAATGAAGAAAACGATACTGATAAATCACCCAAAACATTTATTGGTACCCATTTAAGAAATCAATTATCATTTGATTTATGGTTTATTTTCCTCGGTTTATTTATCATTTGTATTGCTGAAGGTGGTAAATTAGATGAAGATAATCCTAGATTTTCAGTTTTCAGTATCTTATTTGAAATTATAAGTGCTTATGGTACTGTTGGTTTATCATTGGGTTACCCTAATGTTGATCAATCACTTTCTTATAAATTCACCACCATTTCGAAGTTAGTCATTATCGCAATGATGATTAGAGGTAGACATAGAGGTTTACCATATTCTTTAGATCGTGCTATAATGTTACCTAACGACGATATGCATAGAAGAGATCAAGTTCAAGAAAATCATGCAATTAGACGTAATGCAACCATTGAAAGATCGGCTACAAATGCAACTGAATCTTCAGCTAATAACTTAAGAAGAGCTATTAGTAGAAGAGCTTCTGTTATCCCTGGTTTAGATAGCGTCTTGGGAAGAAGGCGCCCATCTTCTACAACATTTCATACAGGTAATCGTTTTGGTAGTGAATCTGCCGCTGATTCCAAACCAATTACTCCAGATTATCATTCAGTTTCTCCTTCTGAGTTCGAAAATCAAATGGACGAAATGATTGAATTGGAAAATAGAAGCTCCACCCGTAACAGTAACCATCCTCATCACACAACCCATAGAAGAAATTCTCAATTTTCACATCCTCATTCCGGACACAGAGAAAGTGTTTAACTTACTTTAATTTTTATCATTCATAATCAAATTCTGCATACTTTTGAAGCGAAATCTTTCTTCTATCACTTTTTCATTTCTCAATAGAATTTATTCTATTATTGTTTTTATACTTACTTTATTATATTTAACTCTTTTTTTTTTTTTTTTTTCAACTAGGCTTATCCTATATAGACATGCATCAATACTATTAAAGAAGATTTTCGTTTCCAAATCAATTCAATGTGTCGTAGCTTTACTTACGTGTAGAATATAATGGTACACTGATCAGGCTTTCTTGTGAGATTTTTGACAAAAGGCTGCGAAAATTGCTACAACCACCAGTATCTTAACATACACGAATCATTACATTACCAGTTACAATCAAAAAATTATAAAGGCCAAACTGTATCATGAACAGAAGCCAGATATCGAGATTTAGCGATAAGATCATTAAACGAAAAATAAGAAAAAATCCCCAAAATTTCAATGATTCAAATTCTCCTTGAACGGTAACCCCTTTAACTTTCCAAACAGAACCAGGCAACCAAGCCTGACATTCTCCTCCTCCTGTAATCTTTCTCCCTGAAGCCTAGGCTGACCAGCCTAAAGGGATCAGGAGAGCTGCTAAAATGCACCTTATCTTGAAATTGGACGCTTGGCTGTTATGAAGGCATTGTCAAGGCATTAAATCGCTCAGTCTATTGTCACCCCAAACCCAAAACAAAACCTTCTCTTAGAGGAGAAAGTCATCACCGTTGGGGTCTTGTTGCTGGAGGTGAAATTCAACTATCGGGGAAGGTATTGCTAAGGACCAATGGGTACGGGCGCACGACATTTTATCAGGCTTCACGACATTCTGAATAAAAAAGAAAAGCGACATTTTAGATCATCTCATTGCAGCATTTGAAAAAAAAAAAAAATTGGCCTTACAAAAGATAAACTGTTAGACTAAAAGAAGTATCGAAAGTACAATGATCAGAAGACAAGCAAGAGAGAGAAGAGAATACCTTTACCGTAAGGCATTAGAGTTACAAGAATCCAGTAAAACGGAGAAGAGACAACAGCTTAAGGCAGCATTAGCTAGTGGTAAACCATTACTGAAAGAATTAGGAGATGATGTTCAATTACAAAAAGATTTCATATATGACGAGAGTGAGCAAACTGAGATAGATGATGAATATAGTGCATTAAGTGGTATAGCAGAACCCAAACTTATAATAACTACTTCGAGAAATCCATCAGTAAGATTATTACAGTTTGCCAAAGAGTTGAAATTATTTTTCCCAAATTCGCTTAAGTTAAACAGAGGTAATTATATTATACCAGATTTAGTTCAATCATGTAACAGAACAGCCATAACTGATTTGGTACTTATACATGAACATAGAGGTGTTCCCACATCATTAACGATTTCCCATTTCCCACATGGACCAACTGCTATATTTACATTACATAATGTTAAGTTAAGACATGATTTACCAAATATGGGGAATATGCTGGAAACTTACCCACATTTAATATTTGAAAATTTTACTAGTAAATTGGGGGAGCGAGTTGTTAAAATGATTAAACATTTATTCCCGCCAGGAGTCAAAAAGGATAGTTCAAGAGTTATAACATTTATAAATAATGATGATTTTATATCTGTTAGACATCATGTTTATGTTAAGACTAAAGAAGGGGTTGAAATTAGTGAAGTTGGACCAAGATTTGAAATGAGATTGTATGAATTAAGATTAGGATTGGTTGATAATAAAGATGCTGACGTTGAATGGCAATTAAGAAGATTTACTAGAACTGCTAGTAGAAAGAATTATTTATAGATGTATAATCCACACTTTGATCAAATATGCATACTTTACAAAAAAAAAAACAACACATAATGTAAACATTAAACAACTCTTATTTATAAGGGAACTATTAATTGAAGATAAGAAATATAGTAATAAATTAAAAGAATAACAAGCATAACAGTAAAGAACAGAATTATTAAGGACAAACACATAAGTTTTTTTTTGGAATAATATTAAAAAAAATAGACTTACTATATATATATATTTTTTTTTTTTGGAAATTTTTTTTTTATTAACATACGGTGTTGTTTAATTTTTTTTTAATAATTTTCAACCTTTGATTCAATTCATCATTTAAATGGGCGAATAACTAAATGAAAGGAACAATGAGAATGAATGAAGTCAAAGATTGAAATAAAATATACATGCGAAACATGGGGATGAATTGAATGAAGGAAGCAAAAAAAAAAGGGAAAAAACAACGCAAATAAACAAAATAAATTGTCAGGAATGAACTAAAAGGGCAAGGCAAAGGAAAAGGAGGGAAAGGCCTATAACACAAATATTGAGCTAAAAGTACAAGTAGTAATTAATTGAGGTGAAGGAAATGAAATTTAATGTCCATTAATCTCTGTTGTTGATTGTCTAATATAATCAGCAATTGAGCTTGAGACCAAACTTTCATTATCATTAATTGAAGGAGGACCAAATTGAGAATTAGAAGAACTTAAACTTTTTCTTTTACTCAAAGTATTCAATGCTGGATAAAAAACTTCATGATCCTCCAGATCTGAAGATTCTGGGCTTATTAAAAACTTATTCAAGTTATTACTTGAAGGTTCATTTATAGGAAGTTTTGAACTAGTTGAAGCCATTGAAGTTGGACGGGTTGAATTAGATGAATTTGGGATTTGACTTGAAGAAGATAACGGAGGACTTCCTAAAGTTTTACCTTCTCTTATTGAAAATTGTCTTGAAAGTTGAGATTGATGATTTGGTTGATTTGGTTGAAGTTGACTTGAAGACAGTTTTGAAGGTTTATGCAATTTGGGGAAATAACTACCACTATTTGTTGAAACAGCGGGAGAAGAAGGACCAATGTTAGAAGAAATCGATTGTTTACGGCCAGTAGTTGGAATAATACCTTGACTATAGGATTGTTTAAAAGAAGGTCTTCTTGAAAATTCATCATTATTAATCATATCAGCATAAGAATAAAAACTAACTGAAGATTTTGAACTAGTTAATTTTGGAGGAGTAACTGGGGATTGAGGTTGTTGATTTTGGTGAATTTGAGGGGAATCAAATGTAGAATCTCTTAATTGTTGATTAATTGAATAAGTTGAATTTTTACGAGAAGGAGTGAAAGGTTTACCTAAAGCCATATTTAAACCAATAACTGAAGAGCTACGTCTATTAGAATAAATGACTTCGACATCATCCAAATTAGTATCTTTATTATTCAAGATTGAAGTAGTAGCATCAAGGGCAGGAGGAATGAAATCTTCATTTTTGATTTGAGGGAAAGGATAAATATGTTGATTTGATTTCAAAGAAGCTGAAGAGCCACGATGTCCATTTCTTAATTTAAAAGAATTTGAACGATTTTGAGGATGATCAAAATGGAAATCTTGAACGCTTCTTTCAAAAATGTTTGATTCTGGATTATTATTGAAAACATTTTTATTTTCCAAATCTGGAGAGTTAATTGGAGAATCTAATTGAGTATTAATCGAATTAGCAGTTGAATCGTGTTGTTTTATAGTGGAAGGATTAGTCATTGGATGATTTGGAGAAGGAGAACTCTTATTTCTGTTAGTACAAGTATTAGGAGAAGTTGCCGAATCAATCTTAGTGGAATTTTTCGACAGAGTCGACGAAGTCAGACCAAATGAAAATAGCGACAAACGTCTTTTTGAACTAGACTGAGGAACAACATTAGTTGTATTCTGCTGGCTGGATACCGACATGATCAAGCAAAAGAAAGAAAGAACCTAAAAAAATAAATAAATAAACAAGTAATCACTGTAGAATCATATAAGAAAAAAGATGTCAATCTTCTTATTTGTTTATTGCCAGGTAATGGAAGAAGAAGCAAAAGAGGGTGTTGGCAGGATCAACTGACAAACAAAACCAACAGGCAAATAAACAGACAAACGATCAAGCGCTAGATGAACTTGAAAAGAAACCCAAAGTAAAAGAATGAAGTGAAAGAAAAGAAAAAAAACAGAAAACCCAAAAAAAGGTCACTTAAAAGCCAAAAACCAAAAGGAAAGTAACAAACGATTAATGATCGAAATGTGTAAATGTATAATCAACCAGTTTTGAGATCTAATTGATTGTTTCACCTGGTAAGTAACCTGGAAAAGGAGTTGTTGTTGGTTAAAACCTTATATTATGAGGATAAAATTTTTTAGTATGATCAAACCAAAAAAAAAAAAAGTAAAAAAAAAACCTCTACTGAAATACTAGTAATTGGACTGACAACCAACAAATTAGAATACAAAGACCTAATTCAACAAGGAATGAGAATAATGGAATCCAAACGACTGATGAGATCTGCTGAGTAGTAGAACACCAAATTGAATGAAGTTTAAAAAGTCGTTGATAATCCTAAAGGAAAAAACAATATAAATATAAAGTGGGAGGTTAAATTTGTAAGGAGTTTGTCGTTTTTTTCTTTCCTAAAGGAAAACACTACGGAGAACGAACTGACAAAAAATGGTCTCACTAACAAAACAAAAAAAAAAAAATTAAAAAAAATTAAAAAAAGCGAAGTTACTAAAAGAATTAAACGGGGAAAGCCAATAGCCTACCGGCATACTCCAGTATACCTTACGCTTGGGCATACAGGAGGTATACCTGAGAGCGTGTCAGCGTTTATCACTTACAGTGGACCCATGTTACAGTAGGAACAGCATGACCCTATTGTATCTTTGGGAGTTAATTTGATTGTAATCAGAGCAAGAGATTAGCAGGTGCGGAGATTGGACGGTCCCACGGGTCGTGCGCCCTGGACCAGGAAACCATTGGTACGCACCGCACGTGACTTACCTCCGTACAGTCAGCAACTGGTGTGCGGGTGTTTGCTTTTGATTGCAAATAGCCCATTTCCCACTGCCGTTCCTCCAAGGGATACATGAAGCCACTGATATCACTGAGTTGTCTCGCTGCACTTCCCTGGTAATATTCCCTGTTACTCCTCCCGGTTACTGTTTCCTGATGTCTATTTCCTGCTATAATAAGTACTCCAAATGGTGCAGTATATGGTGCAGTCGATGTTGTAATTCAGATATTCTTCGTCGGTCATTGTAGTGTGCTACATGTTTTGAACGTATGGTAAGTGGATTGTGCCTCAATGGAGCTCAGTTTTATAAGATAAGCGGGTGGTTATCAACTTGTCGGGGCACCTTTCGTAGATCGAACTATCACGGAAATAAAGATTAGGCGCTTCATCGAAAGGGTTATTCTGTATAAAGAAGTGAGCTCTTCAATGTCAAGTTGGGCAAATCTTTCTTCGCAAAGGATACGGCTAATGATTTGGAATTATAGGATACGGCTAATGATTTGGAATTATATCAGATGTTTCTTCAAAAAAGATTTTCAATAAGACAGAATCATCTTGGTTTATGGTTTATTTCTTTGTTTACTCTTCTGTCAAACTGTTAGTACAGCTGGCTGTAAACTTAAATTGAAAAAGTTTCTTGGGATTATCGACTGCAAAAAAGTATGTACTGTTTAAAGCTGAATCGACTGATAACTTTGATCCAATCAATATACTCATTCACTTAATCCCTTCAGCACATTTCCAAAAGTTAGCCTAGTGTATTGGAAATTACTCCATACCACTTTAACTAACCTGCAAGTGTATGTATCACCTCGTTGGACTACTCCTTATTGTAATAGTTTTTTTGAAGAGAATAAAGATGCCTGGAGTATTTACTATGGTCTTTGAGCTAGCCATATTTCTTCGACTCCTCATTCAGCTTGCTCGGTTGATGAATGCTGCCAGTTAAGCTTATCAGAATAGATTGATAATAATATTAACCACACCAGCAAATTTGAAATCTATCAAACGCTCTTACGGTGAATCAGATCATAGATCAGCTTTGGCTGCAAGCTGGTCACGTGCTAAATGTGATACATCATATTTGCATTTAGAATGTGACAGGTTTTATGACAACCAGAATATGATCTATCACATTTGACGTGTTTGTAAACTTGAAGCTAAAAAACATAAATACCAGTAGATTTTTCCCCGTTTTTCTTTCCATTCGTTTGCCATTATACGTATAATTCAATTAAAGTATGGGGTCATTTTTTTTGATGTACGGAGGTAGTTTATTTTGACTACATCGTTTTTTTTAGTGATCCAGCGTGTATCAACGCTGTATCGATATACACGCTCGAAGATTCAAATACTCCCACCATAAATGGCAATATAATGTCATCAAGTAGGATCAGATCGGTGTCGCTCAACTCAAACACCCCGCAATCTGCCTCGCAGTCAGAGTCTTCCAACAAGAGACACTCAATCCACGCTTCAGCTAATTTAACTTCTTTATCAATACAAGAGTTGAATGATTTATTGTCTAATCAAAGAGCTTTAAAAGCTACTCTTAGTGAACCAGAGAAGCTACAGCAGCAACAGCAGCAGCAGAAGCAGCAACAGCAGCAACAGCAGCAACAGCAGCAACAGCAGCAACAGCAGCAACAGCAGCAGCAACAGTCACAAGCAGCACCAGGCCCCCAACCTGTGACACCTTGCACTCCAAAAATCAATGATGTTAACCAATTCATTTCCACAATCATAAAAACTATTGAAGACAAGAAAAGCTTTAATGAATCTCCTATCAATACAAATATTACTCCTTCGAACTGGAATGATTATGATGATATTAGAACTAGAAGTTCTACCCTCGATAGTTTAAGCATAAATCCAATTGATTCAAAATATACCTCAAATAATGAATCCTTTTTCCCTGGATTCAATCGAATAAATACAAATCCAAATGTTGAAAGTCCCACATGGCTATTGAGCGAAATAATTCAAAGTTTTTCCTCTAAAGACAAAGATGAATATTATATTTTATCAAAAGGTAATCACCTTATATCATTATTATCTCAAAATCCACGTTTGAAAAAAGATTTGTCAATCAAGCATTTAATCTTAAAAGTTCAATTCATGCTTTATCATACGAGTTCCCAAGTGAAAGCTCTTGCATACAAAATTTTAAGATATTCAATATCAGATTATGAATGCTTAACTACTTTAACCCAATCCAAAATTTTAATTTTCATCATTATTACAATGTCAACCAAAACTACGCTATTAGAGAAGGAAGAAGCTTTAAAATTAATAAGAGAATTCATTAATGTTCCAAGAGGTACTGATAACTTGTCAATTGGGGTAATTAAATGTTTAATAACTTTAATTGAATATAGTAATTCAGATTATGATATAGATGATCCTGAAATGTTTTCAAAAGATAATAACGATGATGACATTAATAGTTGTAATCAAGATTCAACTAACATTCCAAACTATTTTAAAAAAATTTGTGCAATAACAATTTTTGAAATAGCCTTATTGAAACCAGAATTAATTTTCCATAGTGGGGGGTTTAAGATTATCATAAATACTTTAATTAATGGCCCTCCAGAATTATCAGCTAACTGTTTAATGGTTATAAATAATATTTTGGATTCGCCGATACTGAGAAAATTTTTAAGAAACGGTATCGATTTAAATTCTTTAATACTGATTTATTCTCATTTTGAAGATCAACCAATTGAAAACTTAATTCTTGAAAAACAAAAAATTAAGAAAGAGACTAAATCTTATAATAAAAGATTAAATCTGAGATCTTTAAAAATTAGTTTTTTAATTTCAATTTTTTTAAAAAATTGGAATGGCTTAATTTGTTTTAGTCATGATAATTTTAAAATAATTGAAGATTTTATTTCTTACTTGAAAAAGAGAAATAATAAATTAAGAAATACTATAATGGACGTGATATTTGATGTCTTAAGAATTAAATCATTACCCTGGGTTCCTAATTCAAACATTGGAGATTTCATCAAAAAATTCAATTCAAGTATTGAAAACAACAACTTTAGTTTCCAATATCAAAAATTAAACCCTCAAAGCTTTGAATTCAATATAATCAATCATTACCTTGGTTTTTTGATAACTATTTTCATCAATAAAGGTTTACTATCAAGATTAATCGAAATTATGGAGGAAAATTTCGATGAAGAAATTACTAATAAAGCTACATTATTATTAAGTCATTTGATTGATATGGCTAATAAATTAATTCCTTCAGACTTAATTTCAAATCAAGTTTTATTAACCAATCAAGCACATATAATTTCTTTAACTTCTATTTCAAAAATCGAATCAATTACTAGAAATAAAATTACTCCTCAAAAGCCAATGTCTCATTCAAAACAATCTGAATTAAAATCTTATATTAAAGATATTAGTATAAATGCAAAATCTTCTATTGACGATTTAGAATTCAAAAATTATATTAATAATACAAGAGTTTTAACAATCAAAGAATATAATAATTGGAACTGGAACTTATTAATAACTTTCATTCAAGGTCCTTTAAGAAATCCGAAAAGATTTGATGAATTATTAGAAAAAAATAACAAATATTTAAAAAGGTTGATGTCATTTTATCGTCCCTTCAAGTATAGATTCTGTAATATACCGGCTAAAGAAAATAGCCAAAGAAACCATTATAAAAAGTATATTAATACCGGAGTTCAACTATTTGAAACTTTATTAAGTTTGACAAGTGGTATAAAATATTTGTCTTCAAATAAAATCTTACCTCAATTATCTGAAATTGTGGCCCAAATTGATCCTTATAGTGGAGTCAGAGCAAAAGAACCTATATTATCAAAAAAAAGATTGGAAACGACTTTAAGTATTGGCTATTTAAAAATTATTGGTACTATGTCCCACAATACTGATGGGTTAAAAATGTTGGAGCGCTGGCAATTTTTCACAATGTTTAATAATATCGCCGAAGCAAGTCATTATGATGAATCGAACAATTTGTTTTTAATAAACTTATTAAATTATTTGGATTTCTCTACCGATACTCAACTTCGATTATTTTTATTAAAATGTTTGAATGTTAGTAACTCAAAAATTAAAAACTTTATAATTGACGTTTTGATTCCTGATTTGTTAAATATCAAAAATTGTGAATTTTTCATTATTAAAATTTTGGTCAATTTACTTTATGATCAAAATTATTCTATAATTGAAAAATCAATCAATTATTTATACGATTTTTTCATTACCAGAGAAAACACCAATCGTATAGATTATTTGATTAACTTGAAACCATCAGTTGCTATCTTATCAAAGTTCCCTAAAGGTGAATTAATTTTAATGAACTTATGTAAGACGTCAAATGGATTTAATTATCTTAACGAATCAGGATATATTTCAAAAAAGCTTACTGAAGCCATTGAATATCTGAATAACTTCGATTATTTAAAAATCATTGAAAATTCAATCAGACTGAAACTAGTACCATATATCTCCAAATCAGAACAACAAATCCCTCGTCACTTTTTTTATTACCTTCTCTCTACTGAAGAAGGTTTTGCGATGTTTGATAATGACAGATCTTATTACGATAGATTAATTTCAAATACAAATTATATAATAAGAAAATTGAAACTATTTAATGATAAGAATGTCAATAATAGTATCGGTGTTGAAGATGATACTTTTACTGATTTAGCTAATTTAAAATTCAACAGTTCCTATTTAGAATCTGAACATACGGGTAATAATTTTAACACTACTTTGGTCAGTGACGTTGATTACTCCAGTGGAATTCGTGGTGAGAGCTTCAATGAGGATAATACAAACCTTAGCAATCCTATAAATTCAACACAATTAGAGTTTTCTATTGACCAAAATAATACTCTAAATCGTTGGAATTCTCATCGCAAACAAGATGCTTGCGAAGAAAATGAAGAAGATTTTGACCATTTAGAAGATTTAAACGAAGAGGAGTATTTGAAGTATATTAATACTTTAAAACAGAATCTATGGATAATAGGTGAAATTGCTGCTTCGTCCTACGGCATTCAATTATTAGATTCAGCTTATGGGGGAGGGAATTTAGGAGAGAGCTCAGGTATAATCGAGTCCATTATCAAATTATTCTATGAAAGTCCAATTTGGCAATTGAGAGGTGTGGCCTTTTATCAATTAGGAAAAATTTCGTCTACCCCTGAAGGTATCGAAATATTAGATGAATTAAACTGGTGTTCGGTCATTGATGAAAATTATAATAATCCATTAAATTTAACCTACCCGAAGAACATTAATACCGCAGATGTATTTAAAGTTAAAAAGGCAAATCCTTATAGAAACATTAAATATTATACATTATTTAGTGGAACAGGTAAAGGTTATGAATTTATAGATTTAGAAGAAGGTGAAGATGAGGGCCAAGATGAATTAATGTTTGAAAGTTATGACGTCTTAATTGATAAAATTTTAAATTATATAGGCCATTTAACTGCTGTACATGGAACCATCGTGCTGGCACGAATTTTGAAGAAGTCCATGAAGGAGTTAACAAAAATTAAGCAAACTACACCAAAAGTGTTTGAAAATTTAACTCTTTTCTTGAAAGTGATCAAAGTCGTTGACAAGGGAAATTATGAATTCAAAACTAAGAATTTTATATTTGATTTATTTAAAGATACCAAAATTCTTGAAAATTTATTGAAAAGAGATCGTAAAAATTCAAATACAAGAAATTAAATAAAATTGATTAATATACATTCATTAATTCAATTAACTTTTCATTTTTTTAACATCACGTTCCACTTCTTCCTCTTTCACCGGTTTCCGCTTGCCCTTTTTCAAAGGTTGGGATTGTTCAAAATGTTCATGAACTCCAGTGGGTCTTAAATCAATTGGTTTATACTTAGAGATTACTAGATGTGGATAGTTTCTTCTAATCCAAAAGTCACTATCTTGAGGGTTAGTTTCAACCAAATCAAGATCGTCACTAATTAGTTCTGGAACACCTTCATGTAGCAACATATTAACTTTATAAGAGTTCTTTATTTTAATATTCTTAGTTGGATCTTCAATTGCTAACAATGGAGCCAAAGTATTTTTCAATCTTGGATTCAATTCAGATAAATTCTCTAAGCGTAACTTATCTCCATCACTTAGTATATCTTGATCATTATTGGGTTGTTCAACTTCATTTAATAAATCCATCAACGCATTATTTCTACGTTGATAATGGTTAAATGTTTGACGTTGAGCCCGCTCGGTCATGAAAAGCTTTTGGGATATGGCATACACTTTGCGAAATCTTTCTTGGTACTTCTCGAAAATCTTTGAGTAGTCCTTGTTGTCTTTTATAACATTTTGGCTTTCCTGTGAACCTTCTTCATCATTTTCTATGATTGGTTTTGGTGCTATTGTAGCCTGTTTTATTGGTTTGAAATTGGTGGATGGGGTTTCTTCTTTTAAATGTTCTTGGGATTCCCGGCTCTTATTTGGTTCCTCTGGATTGTTAGTTTCATAATCATGGGTATTCGCTTCCCCATCATCGTTTTCTGGCTCTCTGGCATGAGGAATCAGGGATGGCACTTGTTCTTCTGCCTCTATCTTCACCTGAGGAGCTTTTGCATTAGATTCTTGGTTATGTTGTTCTATTGACATAGTCTGAGTTGTCTAGTAGGTAGAAATACCGGACTTGTCTTGATCTTTTGATAAATGCATTTGGCCATTTTTTCCAGTTGGATAAATGTCGCCTAGAGTTGTGAAATGTCGCATAGTCAAAATTTAAAAAAAAATCAAAAACATCAAAACAGAATAACGCGTTTACAATTTTCACTGTTTTTTTTTTTTTTAATTTCATTATCAATTTTTCAATCTCTGCCCTTCAAAACCCTCCAGAAGTCGAATTCAGAAAGCAGAACATTGATAAAGACGGATATAATACGTATCATCAATAATAGAGCCAAAACGTACCACCAGTATAATTTTATAGACGTGAAAATCGTGTTTTGGAAAAGGAAACTACAAATATAAGATAAAAACAAGATGTCCATTGTGTCGTTATTGGGAATAGAGGTTTTAAATAATCCAGCGAAATTCACAGATCCGTACGAATTTGAGATCACCTTTGAGTGTTTAGAACCATTGAAAGAGGATTTAGAATGGAAGCTTACCTATGTTGGTAGTTCAAGATCTTTAGATCATGATCAAGAATTAGATTCTATTTTAGTTGGCCCAGTGCCAGTTGGAATCAACAAATTTTTATTTCAAGCAGATCCACCATCACCGGAATTGATTCCTGCGAGTGAGTTGGTCAGTGTGACGGTTATATTATTAAGTTGTTCATATGCAGATCGAGAATTTGTAAGGGTTGGATATTATGTTAATAATGAATACGATCTGGAAGAGTTAAGAGAAAATCCACCAGCAAAAGTACAAGTAGAACATGTTGTAAGAAATATCTTAGCAGAAAAACCAAGAGTCACTAGATTTAATATAGTTTGGGATAATGAAGATGGTAATGCTGATAATTATCCACCCGAACAACAAGTAGATGAAGAGGATGACGACGAAGATGAAGAAGAAGAGGAAGACGAGGAGGAAGAAGAAGAAGAAGAAGAAGACGAAGCAAATGAAGGAGAAGAAGATTTAGGAGAAGAAGAAGAAGAACTTGAAGTTGGAGAAAATGATACTAAAGATAAACCAATAAAGGGCGATGCAGAAATGGAAGAAGATATCGAAGAAGATATAGAGGAAGATATTGAAGAAGACATCGAAGAAGATTTAGAAGGTGATGATATGGAATTAGATGACGACAAAAAGAATGGAGGACAGACTCCAATAGATACAAATCAAAGTAAGTAGGACGTACATTATAAATAAACCACGCTTAAAAAAAAAAAAAAAATTCTATAAATTACCTTCACCCACCAAACCATTCAAGACTTGAGATAAATTTTCGATTACCAAATTCGATAATCCAAGTTCATCATTATATTTACCAATCCATTTATCGGGATGCCATTTTAATCTTTCTAGTTTTAATAAATTCAATAACTCTGATTTAAAATCGGCTTCAATTTCCAATGATTCGTTAATAATAATGAATTTATAAAAATTTAAGACTGAAACCTTATCATTAATTAAGGTTAAAATATCTGATTCTGATAAATTGTAGGATTCAAAAGATTGTAATAAAGGTAGTTTCGAAGGGGTCAGATTGAGGTAATCTAATTTGATCTTTTTATTTAGTTCATATTGACTAGTTGGAGTAGTTGCCATTTTAATAGGTGAATCATTATTGGGTGTTTGTAAGTAAGGATCATTAATTCTTTTATCAGCAATGTGTAAATCATCATCATTTTCCATTAAATTCGTTGGGAAATCATCACCCAAGTCATTATTTGAAGATAAGTTTTGTTTTAAAAAATCAGATCTAGATTTTTTAGAAGGGACTGGAGTCTGGTAATTGAAATAGGGATTGGTTTTAATACCAGTAGGTTTTAAAAACTTGAACCCGTTTATTGGTTCGCCATATTCTTCTAAAATATGGGGGCTTGTAGATCTTGAATTTGAAGGAGTGGATTGGCTTATAGGGGTGTTATGTTGGACATTAGAGAAAATGGTATTATTTATTGGAGAAGAAGCGTTGATTTCGGAAGGTGATTGATCATTTATATTATTCAATTTCAATATTAAAGAAGAATTTGACGATTTCTTAATTGAATTTGATATGTTTAATAGATTTTTCTTATTATTTGCAATTTTAGAAGGTTGGGAAGGGGTTAAATCATTAAAATTTTTCTTGAATTTTAGCCTTTTCCTTGGTTGAATAGGACAGGGAGTTGAATCATTTATCGAGAAGCTAACTTTTGATATTGAGCTTATATTTGAAAAACATATATCAGACATATCTCTATTATTATTACTATTACTGATTTTTGGAGTTATAATCATATCAACTGAGTTATTTGAAGTATCATTTACTCTTCTTTTCCGTTTCCGATTATTCACAGAGGGCTTCATATCATCTTTATACTCAATGTCACCGAAAATTTCATCATCGTCACCGTTATCATCATGAAATGTCTGATTACCTAAGTTGAATTCGTTATCACTATCAGATAAGCTTTGATAATCTGAATTTGAAGAAGTTGATATGTTTGAATTGGTTTTCTGTAATGTATCTTCTATATTAGATTCCAAATGTAAATTATTCAATTTATTTATGGGGGACGAGAAGCAAATTGAGCTATTTGAGTTATTTGAATTTTGTAAATTTTGATTCAAAGGAGTGGAAGCTGCTGCTAGATCGAAATTTGTATATTCTTCTTCATTCTCCAGATCATCCGTATGCTTGTTTCTAATATCATTATCATACCAGTTTTCATTTATCCCAGTTGGCTTCTTAGGGGACCAATTTGGTCTAGATTCGAATAAGTTATGCTTTGAAGGTAGTTGATTCAATTTTGAATGGATATTGGGTTTGTTCGGAGACGAGTTCGATGTCGGCGTCGACGAACTTGGAGTGGACGAGGCAGCAGGTGCTAGTCTAGTGGTAGTCGGTAGACTCATTATAGAGTAAGCATTAATGTGAACGGTATACTTTAAGGAAGTTGAGTTTTAAACAAACTTGAGATGATTATATTTGTTTATGTTCTCAACAAAAACAAAAGGTAAACAAATCGAAAGGGGGGATTACTTCTGGTGTACGGGTGCGTCTTGGAGGACCAAACCCTAGTAGACCCTGTCAAGGGCCCAATACTCATGAAACTGGGGTTATGTGTGTGGAAAGAGGTAATTCGGGTGCTCTGCCGGACATATTGTGATGGTGGATAATGAGCACCACCTTTTTAGCAACTTAGGATGTCTTATCAAATGAACATAATGTATCGATATTCTGACATGGAAGTTCAAGCTGAATCCAGGTAGCAGAGAGCTGGCACTTGGAAGCTGGTATATGGCTGAGCTTATGATCTAAAAAGTTTTATGAAGCTGGTGTTCCTGCTTCTTTTTGAGTAGTTCTTTTTAGTGCAATACAAGATTGGAAGACTTCTATTGCAGAATTACTAGGTTGAAGCCTGGCATAAACGTAAGTGCTGTCTTACATCAAACAGAATTCTCAGCTGGTGACATACAAGACTTGCTATACAACTCTTACATTATCTACAACTTGCCCTTCAACACCTTAGTGAAAGAATAATAGGCTTCTCTTTATACTTCTTCTAGATACCGGTTATCATACGAGGGTCCCGACCCGGCCTGTATTCCGGCGAGCAGTTCCGGCGGCGTCGGAACTTGCCAGCCACTTACGGTCATCCCCACAATCCGGGGCTCTCGGATTTCCCGCTGCCCTCGGATCCAGCTTCTAATCCGAGCATACATCCGGTGTAAGGTACCCTCGGTGCGGGTAATCATCCGAGGGGCTTTCCGGTCGGGGGCGGTGGGATGCACGGGTCCGATACCAATTGTTGCAAAAAAAAAACCAACTGATGAGCGAAAATATGCATCCGTGCACCACCGCGCACGTGCTTCACTATCCTTATCTCTGCGAGTGCCTCCCCGTCGAACCCAGAGCAATTCTGGTCGTACGACACCGCCATAGTCCAGTAGTAAGAGCCAACTACCAGTTTACTGGACTACTGCCCGTCGTGGTATGTTAGGAGTGCTGTAGTAGTGTAAGAGTAAAGCATTTCATAGGCTGATTAATGCACAATTCGTCTAAGATCATCGATGATGCTTTTTTCTGGCTGTACGTTCCTTTTTTTCTCTCTCTTTGTTTTTTTCCACAGTATAAGAAGATAGCGATTTACTCAAACGAAAAAAAAAACGGGCTATTCAGTAGAATTCTACAACACAAGCTTATAAGTCGCTATATGATCTTTGAACTACTATCTCGTCCAGTAACTGCCAATGATGATCGAATGATCAATCAGAATGGGGAGTTGAGTTATCAAGAAATCTCCTTTTTAACATTCCAAGCGGTATTGGAAGTTGTTATTATCTGTTTGGCAGGATTTTTCGCTGCTAAGAGTGGATTATTGAATACCAAGAGTCAAAAAGTGATTAGTCAGTTAAACGTTGACTTGTTTACGCCATGTTTGGTGTTTACCAAATTGGCGCCATCATTGTCATTTCAAAAAATGGTTGATATTGTGATTATTCCGATTTTTTATATGATTTCAACTGGGATATCCTTTTTATGCTCTAAAGTTGTTAGTAAATGTTTTGGATTGAATGAGCCCGAAACCGATTACGTGACTGCAATGGCGGTGTTTGGGAATTCAAACTCTTTACCGGTTTCTTTGACATTATCATTGGCTTATACCTTACCTGATTTATTATGGGATGATTTAGAAGATGATAATCTGGATAAAGTTGCTTCCAGAGGTATATTGTACTTGCTTATTTTCCAACAATTGGGACAAGTCTTGAGGTGGTCGTGGGGTTATAATAAATTATTAAAGAAAAGATCAAAAGCTGAATTGAATACTTATAATGGTGTTGTGCCCGATATTGAAGAAGGAACCAGTGAGACTTCAAGCTTACTTGATGCCACCACTGCCAATTATTCTTCCTCCAGTAGCTCAAGTGAAGATTTACCTAATGATACAAATAAATCCTTATTAACAAAATTAGCTTCCAAACCATCAATTTCTTCTTTCTGGTCGTCATTTACTAACTTACCGGTTATTAAAGGTTTTTTGGAATTCATGAATCCTCCACTTTATGCAATGTTAATTTCAGTAATCATTGCCTCTGTTCCAGCATTACAAAACCTTTTTTTCAATAATGAAGATTCTTTTATTAAAAATACAGTAACGGCTTCCATTACTCAGTTGGGTCAGGTGTCGATTCCTCTAATTTTAATTGTCTTGGGTTCTAACTTGTACCCAGCAAAAGATTTACCTCCTCCTTCAAAACATTATAACAAAATCATTCTTGGTTCTCTATTATCAAGAATGATATTACCTTCTTTGTTTTTACTTCCAATCATTGCATTTTGCGTTAAATTCATCAATATCTCAATCTTGGATGATCCAATCTTTTTAATTGTGGCTTTCATTCTCACTATATCCCCTCCGGCCATTCAATTATCCCAAATTACTCAATTAAATAATATTTATCAAAAGGAAATGAGTGGAGTTTTATTTTACGGTTATGTCATCTTAACCTTACCAACAACCATTTTTATAGTTGTAACTTCCTTGGAAGTTCTTAAATGGGCCCTTGATTGATCCCAGCGTTATACATATATGTTTTTTTCAGAGTTGTACTAATAGTTTGTAGTCTACTTTAAGTAACAGATCAAGTGATATCAATTGAGATTTATCGCAATTTTTTGATACGATTTTTCTTTTTTTTGTTCGATTTTTTTTTTTTTCGGTGCAGCTTTTTTCCAGTGTCGAAAAAGGGAGTAGAAATTTGAAATTATCCTTTTAAGCAACCAATTTCTTCTGGTGTCTTTCATGACTTAATGAACTAGACAAGATGGTTAAGTCACGTAAGTTAGCGGTTGTTGGTAGTCGTTCAGTTGGGAAAAGTTCTATAACGGTAAGATTTGTTGAAGATCACTTTGTTGAAAGTTATTACCCTACTATTGAAAATCAATTTTCAAAATCAATAAATTATAAAAATCAAGAATACGCTATTGAAATCTTAGATACAGCAGGTCAAGATGAGTTTAGTATAATGAATGAAAAACATTTAATTGGTATTCATGGTTACTTAATTGTTTACTCTGTTACTTCAAGACAATCTTTTGAATTAATTGAGGTTATAAGAGATAAAATATTAAATTCAATGGGGAATGATAATATACCCATGGTTTTAATTGGTAATAAGTCAGATTTGAATTTCCAGAGACAAGTTAGTTACGACGAAGGCTTAAAATTATCGCAAAAATTTGGTATAAAGTTCTTAGAGACTTCGGTTAGAGATGATGTTAATATAAATAACTCTTTTGAGTTACTCATTGATGAGATTGAAAAAATTCAAAACCCTCAAGTCAAGCAAGATGATAAATGTATAATTGTTTGATTATATTTATTTCTTTACACACAAAACAATACAAAAAGAAAAAAAAATTTGGGAAAATATATATAAAGACTAGTAAAGACAAATTTTGTAGCATAAATTATACGATGAATTGTAGATTACTTATACGATGAATTGTAAGTTAACGTCAATTGGGTGTGAGGCGGATAATTGGGGTTTTTGACTGTATTTAGAACTTAAGATTTCTCTGGTATTTTGCAACAAGGTTAAATATGATTGATTTGAATTATTTTTCATGGTTTCGATGAATGAATAACTCATTGCCCCAGTACTTTGACCATCTTCTTTAGCATCAGCTGAAGTCTGATCATCTTTACATCCACTCAATAAAATAGCATCACATGGTGCAGTCTTTGTCTTTTTGGTTAATTCTTCCGCTTTCTCAGCTTTATCTTTATTCATAACTGATTTGAAAACACCTTGTATTCCTTTAAACATGGCCTTTTGATCACCTTTTGAATAAGCTTTGAAAGTATCTAATAATCCGGATCCTGCTTCTTCCAACACATTTGGTTCTTTTAATAAACCTTTGGTTGAATAAGTATATGGTAAATCCAAGACTGATCCAGAGTGGCAGGAATCAAATAAAGCAGTTAATCTGGTACCCTTTGGTAATGGAGACACCAAAGTATCATGTAACTCATCATCAGTTAAAAATCCATTTGTTTCGAAATCAAGTGGATAAATAACTTCATCAAGTCCATCGGCTTCATCACCATTTTTATCTTCAGTTTGGCCTCCATGTCCTGAATAATGAAAGAAAAGTGAATCATTTGGTCTTGCGTCTTTCACCAACCATTGAATTCCATCTCTTATATTTTGGACAGTTGGAATTTGTCTTCTATTATTAGCATTGTCATTCAACTGAACTATACTATCACTGCTAAACCCTTGGCTTAATAAAAATTGTTTAACATTATCAGTATCATTAATACAGCCTTTAAGTTCATTTTTGGTACCAATATAGTTTATACCAACAAGTAAAGCCTTCTTTTTACCATTACATTGAGAATATTGGTAAGAGTATCCATCTACACCGAAAGATTGTTCTTGTGAGCCTGGTCTTGAAAATGATTGGCCAGATCCCTGTTGACCATACCCTTGATTAGATCCGTATGCTTGCTGTTGGCCATGACCCGACTGGCGGCCTGACCCGTGTGATTCTTGTTGGCCATAACCAGATTGGCGACCATAGGATTCTTGCTGACCATAACCAGATTGGCGGCCTGATCCGTGTGATTCATGTTGGCCGTAACCAGATTGGCGACCATATGATTCCTCTTGGCCATATCCTCCAGATTGGCGGCCTGATCCGTATGAATCTTGCTGACCATAACCAGATTGGCGGCCCCCATAGGATTCTTGCTGACCATAACCAGATTGGCGGCCCCCATAGGATTCTTGCTGACCATAACCGGATTGGCGACCCCCATAGGATTCTTGCTGTCCATAACCAGATTGACGGCCTGATCCGTGTGATTCTTGCTGTCCATAACCAGATTGACGGCCTGATCCGTATGATTCCTGCTGACCATAACCAGATTGGCGACCATATGATTCCTGTTGACCGTATCCACCAGACTGATGGCCCCCATACGATTCTTGCTGGCGGTACTCTTGATATCTACCTTGGGGAGCGCCTGAAGGTCTACCATAACTTTCTTCTTCGTATCTACCTGGCGCACCTGATGGTCTTGATTGTTGTTCGTTGTAACCACCGTTGTAACCACTATTATTACCGTAATATGACATCTTGATTCGTTTAGCTTGGACTGATAGAACGAATCAAATACCTATTCAATTGAGTTTCGATGGAATTGATCCAATAAACAAAACTCGAAGAAGTGAAATTTGTTAGTCAGGGGATTTTGTGTAAAATTGTCCCAGCCTACTTTTTGTTAAGGATCGTGTACTTACCCCGGAATTGCAGTTGAAAGATGCCACTATAGGGTGCCATTCCCAGCTTTGGGTGAATAGCTGGTGCTATTATAGCTTGTAGACTGTACTGAATAGGTGGCTGGTGGCGGCATAAGTACTGGAAATGTGGTAGAAGCCAGAGGTGATTGTTGTTTTTGCTACAATTTTGCAATTTCTCATCTAAATTCATTGATGAGTTTTCCCAAGTAAAGGATTCGGTGTACATATTAGAACCACCTTTGCATCTAAATCAGAGGCCGTTTGCCACCTCCAGATGCTAATTGAAACTATTCATTAAACCTCCCAGATGAAGAGGAGCAGAAATGGGCTTTATGCTAAAAGTAACGTCCCATTAGGCAAAAGACCCATACACCTTATAAAAATGCTATTAATTTTTCTGAAAACAGCCAAATTTGGAGCTTCTTCTCACAGGGTATAAAGTCTTACTAGTTTTACTAGTTCATTAGACACCGTCAATATAGCATAACATACGAAATGGTTAGCCAGCTGAAGTCTAAACGTCTGGCAGAGACGAGAGATGAAAAGAAAGAGAAGAAAATAAAGACCGGTCCGCTTAAGTCAGAAGAAGGTATTCCTTATGATTATATTGTTATAGTGGATTCAGGATCTGGTGGATCCCGAGTTTTCGTATACAATTGGTTGAATCCATACCATGCTTTGCAGCAGGGTCATGACATGGCGCAACACGCGAAGTCGTTGACACTTGTTAAGAAGTTTTCTTTCGATGAAAGGGACTCCAAAGAAAATGATAGCGAGAGTGAATCAGACTCGGATTCAGAGAATGAGTCGGGGGAAGATAATAAACAGAACAAGAACAAAAACAAGGGTGAATTCAATAACATAAAGTTCCCTAAAATAGGGCTGAAAAAGAATTGGCATCGAAAGATATCTCCTGGTGTTTCGTCTTTTAATTTAAGTCCTCAAAAAGTTGGAAACCGCCATATTAAAAACTTATTATCGTTAGCAAGTAAAGTTGTTCCCAAATCGGAGCATACTAGAACTCCTATTTTCCTTCATTCGACTGCAGGTATGAGGTTATTACCTCCAAACGAACAAAGTTATATACTTGAAAACATATGTTCATATATTCAGTATAATCTGGATTTTTACATTCCGGACTGTGCAACCCATATCAATGTAATAGATGGTGATATTGAAGGATTATATGGTTGGCTTTCAATCAATTATCTAATAGATTCGTTTGATCACCCTGGTAAACATGCTCATGGTAAAAATCATACAACTTATGGTCTCTTGGATATGGGCGGTGCTTCTACTCAAGTTGTCTTCCAACCAAATTCAACTGAAGTTGATGAACATAGTAATAATTTGTACAAAATTCACTTATCAGAATTACCTTTACTTCAAAATGGATCCTTCAATACTAACAATATCATCGGGAATTATACTGTCCCAGTATCCAAAGACTATAACATTTATTCCGATTCTTTTCTTGGTTTTGGAATGTATCAAGCCCATAATCGTTATCTTTCATTTTTAACGGAAAAATTCCGCAAAGATAATGATTTAGATGGTGAAGCTGGTAACTTTTATAGCAGTATCACTACCCCAGTTCCAGATCCCTGTTTACCTAAAGGTTACACGATTTCAAATAAAATTAATGATGTCAATGTCGATTTTATAGGGGAGAGTAACTTTGAGAAATGTTTGGAATCGATATTCCCAGTCTTAGTAAATACAACCCATAGTGCAGGTAACACTAATGGTAAAGGAAGTGAAAATTGCAAACAATATAACGCAGGTGACCAAGTCAGCTCGTGTCTTTTAAACGATTTGATCCCTTCTTTTGATTTTGATGTGAATCATTTCGTTGGTGTAAGTGGTTATTGGGATGCATTAACACATTTACTCTCTTACGAGAGTAGACTTCCCAAACGTAAAGATAAGAATCAAAAATCAAACCAAGATTCAAAAAATCAAGAATCTTATGATTATAATGTTATATATAAGCAAACCTCCAAACTTTGCTCACAATCTTTAAGTCAATTATTCGAATTAAATAATGTTAAACCAGAAAAACTGAGATTATCCGAATCCGATCTTTCAGAGTTGTGTTTCAAATCATCTTGGATCCTTAATTTTCTTCACTTAGGTCTAGGTTTCCCTCGTTTTGGCATTGATGAAATCCCAAATAAAGATAATCAGTTCAAGTCTTTGCAATTAGCTGAAAAATTGGGTGGCTCAAAATTTTCATGGACCCTAGGGCGTGCTTTATTATATGCTAATGATGAATACGTTCAAGCTTTTAATAACTATACTACAGATAATAACTTGCCACCTTCCTCGTTACTTCAAAGACCAGGATATTATTACACTGCAGTTTCAAGCGTATTCCATTATGGGGCTGAACAATCCGGTATTAGTCCAAGACCTCAATATACTGAACCAGTTGCTGGAGCCAAATACCCCCAATTTGATTATGAAACCGATTTAGATAATGGTGATGTACTGAAATGGTATGTTCAACCACATCGTTGGTACGGAATTGCTGTGCTTATGTCATTATTGGGTATAATAGTATGGTTGATGTTGGGTGAGACGGGTAGAAAGTCTCTAGTCAATAAGATTCGCCTGAAAACTCGAAATGGTATTTATAAGGTCAATGACTTGTTCAAGAAGAACAAATCTTCAAATGGTATATATTCAAGAGTTCCAACAGATTCTAATCAACATCCTACAGATTTAGAAGTTGCTGGGTACGAATTAAATAATATGGGTAGTAGAGAGTCTTCAAACGAAAGTCAAGATCCTACATTTAAAATCGAAAGCGATGATGAATCAAACTAATTACTGATATAGCTAGGCACTTAATACTATATGTTTATATGGCTTTGTAATTTCTATTGTATTTAACTCATGGTCCTTATCGGTTCGGTTGGCTTCGCTTCGTTTCGGTTGCGAAAGAAGATACTGTTTCTCATAATGAGATAATGTATTTACTCTATACAATTAAATAGTAACCACGTATTTTTCACCTTTTGCACCAATTTCCTCTAGGTCCTTCAATGCTTCACCAATCAAGTGTAGCCCACCATTATAGGCTTTATATTTAACGGTCTGTATTTGTTTGTTGTCTAAAAAGGTAGTAGTAACATCAACAAATTTTTTACCAAAGTCAATATTTTCATGAAATTTTTTAATAACAACATCTTTAAGCTGCACTGAAGGCGGAATCTCTTTAGGCTTTCCTACAATGGCTGCAAGTAAAGGTTTTTCTTCCTTGGAAAGATTACTGGAACCTTTATCAAGGATTTCAGCGACAGTGGCTGCAGTGTCTTTGGAAACACAATCCACACCAAATCTTATGTCATTTTCAGCTTCAACAGCTTTTGAAATAATCTCATGTTTGGTTAAATGGCGGTCAATTATGTGATCAACCCCCAACTTGGAGAGATATTCGTTGTGGGAAGAGCTTGAAACTGCAATCACTTTCAAACCGTGGAGTTTAGCTAATTGAATAACATAAAGGCCCACAATGGTACTACCTCCCCATAAAAGTAAAGTCCCAGACCGTTTTTCAACCTCTGACGTAAGCTTGAAACCGAAAGTTTCATATAAGATAACACCAGCTGTAACCAAGCCGACTCCTACAGTGGCTCCATCTTCAAAAGAAAGATGATCAGATAATTTCCAAACCAAACGAGAATCAATAGAAGTATACTCTTGAAATGTACTGGTTCTGTTGTCTCTATAGCTTGTAGAGCTAATAATAACCTTGTCACCTGGTTTATAGCTATCAACTTTAGTTCCGGCCTTTATTATAACACCACTACTTTCACGACCATTAATCCATGGGAAGTGGTATATGCCAAACCCGTACTTCTTACCTTTCCAATCAATGGGATTTAGTCCAACGGCTTTATTTTGAACCAACACATCGTATTCGCCAAGTTCAGGAACCTCAAAGTCCTCAATCAACTTCAATGGTTCTTTGAAATGTGTCACCAGAAGGGCTTTTTGTCTTGTACCTTTAAAGACTTCTATGGTTTTTTCGGTAGTGTCTTCAAGGTCCCTGGATGGTTTAATAGCTAAGTTGAATGCTGCTGAGATATCAGTGGCTGCTTTGGGAGTCAGATCAGTATGTTTCTTGACCCTTTTAGCAGCATTGTGGGATTCAAAACTCTCAACGTTATTTCTCTTTCTTGTTATTGTAGACATGCTTTTAAGGTTACTCTATAATAGTAACAAATCAGTCGATTAAGACTACAGAATTTTACAAAATCCCTTCATTTCTAAATACTTATATAGCTATGAAGCAATATTTCCAAGAGTAATGATTCTCTCCCGACCCAGAGAGTTCCAACCCGACCCTAACAATGGCAGAAAATACGTTATACATTGAAACCAAACTTCTAGCCCATTTCAAATTAATCTCCTTAATAAAGCCACATGCTCACACTTAAAATAAGTTATCTGAGTTTATTTCATTCACTTTTGAGGTGATTGGTATGTCGAATGAAATGCTGCTGAATCCACAGTTTTTTCTCAAGCAATGCCTGCGGTTGGGTTTTTTTATTGCAAAAAAATGAGATTTGGGATTTTTTGCAATAATTTTGCAATCGCTTAAGAGCGACTCCACAATTTATGTTTTGCCTGGTACCCGTCTTAGTTCGCTGATTAGTGTTGCATTTTACTAAAACATTATGTATGAGGATATTCTTAGTAATGTGACTTACTAATGAAAATCACCTAGCTAGTACTTAAGGAGAGAGTTTATCATAGAATAATGCAACTGCATATTATACTAAATATCATCAAGCATGACTAAGTTGGATATCGAGAAAGTTGCAATAATCGGTGCTGGCCCAGGAGGGCTTGCATCCATCTATGAATTATCCCATACTAATAGAGATGGAACCTCCACTGTTGGTACGGGGAAATCTGAGGACCCTAAATTTACAAAAATCGTTGCGTTTGAGCAAAAAGATAAAGCAGGAGGAATTTGGGCTCCATCGATTAACACATCAGATTTGAAGGCTCCACCCCAAGACATTTTGGACACCGGAAAATACAACGATCCGGATGTGATTCACCCCGAGCAGAAAGCTCCAGGAGGAATAGAAAACTCCAGTTTTGAGAAACCGGTTAAAATTGAAACCAAAAAAATCTATAATGAGTTAGAGTGGAAGAGAAGTGGAGTCTACAGGGACTTATTCACCAATGTTCCGGCCCGCTTCACCAGATTCTCATATCTTCCCAATGAAAAGAAGTACTTGGATGAAAAAAGAGCGATATATCCATTTCTTAGCCAAGAAGAATTATCAGGTAGAATCGAAGATTTTGTTGAAAGAGAAGGGTTGAATGATTATATTCGATTCAACACGCGTGTTGAGCATGTTACTAAAAACGCAGAAGGAAAGTGGATAATCACTGTCAAGCAGAAAAATGAAAACGATGGGGAAGAATATTGGTACAAAGAAGAATTCGATGCTGTGATCGTCTCGAATGGTCACTATTCAGTACCAAATATTCCTTATATTGAAGGATTGGCAGAATTCAATAAGACTTATCCTGGTTCAGTGATCCATTCCAAGTCTTATAGATCCTCGCAAGAATTCAAAGATCAAAAAGTTTTGGTTGTTGGTTTTGGTGTAAGTACTGCTGGATTGGTTCAGTACATTGTTCCAGTAGCCAAACAGACAATCATTGCCCAAAGAAGCCCCAACTTGGTTTTTGAATGGATTAATGGTGCTTTGGTTTCCAAAGGCATTACGCGTAGGCCAGAAATCGAAAGAATCGACGCTGTCAAAAATGAAATCATCTTCAAAGATGGTAGTATCGAGCGTAATGTTGATAAGATTTTACTTACAACCGGTTACCATTTCCACTATCCATTTTTACATGATTATTTGAAGGTCGTCTCTCCTTCCAACGTTAGTAGAGTCAATGGTCTTTATTACCATACTTTTTCAATCGATGATCCAACCTTGGCCACTGTTGGTGTTACTGTTGCTCATTTAAATTTCCACACAATCGAAGCTTCTGCTGCTGCCGTTGCAGGTGTTTGGTCGGGTGCAAAATCATTACCTTCCAAACAAGAACAAAAAAATTGGGAACAACAACATGTCAAGAATACCGGTAATAGCTTGGTCTTCCATTTCTATGAAAATGATCAAGTCAAACCGGATTTTGTCGATAAATTATCCCCATTACACCCAGACAATAGACCAGATATCGTATCAGAAGATCTAAAGTATCTAAATGAATTCGATATCGGTACAGCGAAGTCGGAAAAGCTTTTCTACCAATTGAAAGATGGGAAATTGAACGTAAAGGACATCTTCCCAGTATAATAGCTTATAAGTATAATAGCTTATTAGTATTAGTAGATAATATAAATAATATTCATCTTTTGAAGATTATCAGCTGTAGACATGCTCTTAGCAAAAAAAAAAAAAAGATCCAAAAAGAGTAGCAAAACGATCCTCCGCACTAGGAATTTAAGGATCAAATTGGATAACGAATGCTCCTAAAACAGCTTTCTCTACACCGTTTTGACTTTTGAGAAGGATAGCCATAAGATACTTTTTAGAGAATTATTCTCTTTCTGTACAGCTTCTTTGATTATACCCACTGGTGCCTGACCTGACCATGAGTGAGCCAACGCTTAACTTTCATATACAAACGAGACTGATTCAGTTCAAGATACCAACAGAACTTATCAAAAAGAATTTCAAGAATGTTCAGAAACAAATTGAAAAACAAAAGAAGCAAGTTTCCGATGATGTGACTAAGATCAAGAAGAACCCGAAGCTTCCAACAGCAATGAAATTAGAAATGGTGAGAAAAATCATCAAGAATTTTGAATCATTCCAAAGAAAACTTCAGAATAATATCAAGAAAGACGAAGAATTGCGGTCAAGACTCATGGCAAGGCTTGAGAATTTAACTCTCCTAGCGCAATTCACTATCGACAAAAAGGAAGAGTCTAAAGAAGAAGGCTCAAAGTCTGTTTCAGATGGTGGCGATAGATTGTTGGATCTACATAATGTTAATCTTATCAATTGGTATAGAGATCAAACCAATCTACTAATAGTTGACTATTTACTTAAATCTAATACTTATTCTGGGACTAACATTGGAAATAAACTTTTAAGATCATTCCAACAAACAAACCTTTTGAAATTGATTGATTACGACTTGCTAGAAAATTTTAACAAAGTGTTTGTTTCCATAATTGAACATCATGATTTATCTTTGGTTGTTGCCTGGTTCAACGAGAATAGAAATGCATTAAAAAAAGTGAACTCAAACCTTGAGTTTGAAATTAACTATTGCGAGTTTTTATCCTTGATTAATAAGGGTCAAGTTAACGAAGCTATATACTTTTCAAGAGAAAAACTCTCACCTTATGGTAATAAAGGTAATTATTCCGATGGTGATTATGAAAAACATGAAAAGAATCTAAATAAATTAAAGGAAATTGGGGGGTTATTAGTCTACATGTCAATAAACGAAGGAGTCAATCCTAAGAATGGTAATGAGAGTACTCTTTTCTCTAGTGCCGTAATGGCAAACACTCCAAGATTTCATGAATACAAGCGCTTATTGTCCAATGAAAGATGGGAAAGCCTATCTAAATGTTTTATCGAAAACTTCAATAAGATCTATGGTATTTCCAAAACCTATCCCCTTTTCGTTTACTTGTCTGCTGGTCTTTCAAGTTTGAAAACTAAATCATGTTATTGCAATTCAGAAAATACTATATTTCATAATGATGATTATGAAAATAATGTGGACTCAAAAGAGGATATATACAAAAAGGATTTGGCAGTTTTAACAGATAAGAAATTTAGAGGTCCAAATCAATATTATAGATTACTTAATAAGATCAACAATTGTCCAGTATGCTCCCCAGAATTATTCACTTTGAGCAAGAACCTTCCTTATGCTCAATTAATAACTCATATTTTTGAAAAACCTTATAAATTACCTAATGGTAACATTTATCCTTTTGATAAATTATTGAAGCCCTCAGAAAAGCACTTGTCGGAGAAAAATACCTTGTTACGTATGAAAAAGATAAAAGACCCCTTAACAAGGGAAATTTTTATGATTGAAGATTGTATCAGAGTATATCCAGCCTAATTTTGTCTTAAAATTACTTAATTTGACGCTTGATGTATATATGTTTCTATTTTTTTTTTTTTTTTTTTCGAAAACCGGGACTCCCTAATGAATTCATGACAATTATAGTTTCTTTTACAATATTGTAGATGATTTACCAAATTTTGTTATTCTAATCAGAATCAGAATCATTGTTTTCAGGTTTTGACTTTTGCTGATCCTTTGGAACAAACTTATCAAAAACATACACTCTTGCCTCCCTTTCTGCGGCTGGTTTTGTTGTATCTCTTATGCCATTTGTCCTTTTATGATGATAGCCAGGAAAACTTAACCAATCAAACTTTCCAGACCTTTCAACTCGAAAGCCTTCACTTCTTCCTAAAATTTTTATATTCCATGATGCATAAGGTTCACCCTCGAATAAAGACAAGATTATTTTCCCTTCTCTTGCTTCATCAGATGTGATGGCGGTTGAGTATCCAGCAAAGTCATCTTTTGCAGAGTTATTAGCTAAACTGAATAAGTCTTTGCAACTTTTGAAATAATTGAGAACCAATTTCTGATGATCTCTGATGTTTCTATCTACATCCTTCATCCCTCTCCCTGTATGTGGAAAGTTGAACATGATATAATTAAGCTTTTTGCCCGCAGGAAGTATACGGTTTGGCTTTTGCTTGGTCTTGGAATTTGGTTTAAGCTTTAAACTTGTCACCAAATCAGTGGCATCAACTTCATGAATAACATTCACACCTTCACTTTCCAAAAAACTCATGATCTCTTCCACTCCTGGGTACTTTGAAAGTACCTCTTCCTTTGAATCAAAACTAGTAGCCACTAAATTTTCAGGTAATATCAAATTCTCTTGCACTAAGGAACGAGCAAATGAAAAATCTCCTTCACCTACCAACAAAACAGTGGCATCAGGCTTAAATGGAATGAGACCCTTTTGCTGGTGTTGAATTTGTTGCTTTGACTGTGCTTTCTTTTTAGAACCACCAGATTTCATGGAACTTTGTTTCTCTTCTTGCTTCTGCTTTTGGACTGCTAATGTCTTCGACTCATTTTGTTTTAATTTTTCATGGGCTTCATGGCGCAACAAGGCACCCTTAAGACCCTTGGTTTTATTAGCAGACTTCCTGCCTTGTAATTTTCTACCCATACTAAGCAATGGCTGGTGGACTGATAATCGTTAAACAAGCGGAACTCAAGATACATTTTTCATTTATGATCGTAATTTTTTTTTTCGCTCATCTCAAATGTACCCCAAAAAAACGACTGCAAATTCTACAAATAGTTTACTGTGAATACAAATGCCCTTGTTATTAGTGATAAATAAAAATGCCTAAATATGAAAAGCTCTTTCTTCACCGACATTATAGTCGGCATCTTTAGTTGCATTAACTGCATTGTCATCGCTTAAACCAGAGCTTTCATACTCATCTTCGTCTTGTGAATCGGGAATTGTATTTCCAAGTGAATCAGTTTTAGCAGAAGTATTATTGATGTTCATTTGACCGTCATCTGAGGAGGAATTTTCATCAGAGGAATCATCGTCAAGCTCCTGTGGAGAGGACTTCTTCTCATTCGATGGTTCTTGATCTTCATCATCAGAACCCAATGGTTCTAAAATCTCTTTGAAACCATCATTAAATTCATAAAAGATCATGAATGTACCTTGTGAATTCAAAACTTCATCTTCAGTGACAACGTATACTGATTCATCGCTGATTCTCCACCAGGTACCTCTCAATTTACGGTAGCAAATATAATGACCATAATTATGAGTACCATAATGGGAAATCACCGCTTTCAAATCATAAACCAATTTTGGATTGGCTGGTTCTGTAATCATTGAGTTATTTGATACGTCAGTACTAGCGGTATTAGCATTGACGATATCTTCCTTCATGTTTATATCCTCACCGGGAGTTGATTCTGAGCTTTGACTATTATCGGAACTAGGTGACTCTGAGGAGGTTGGATAGTCTTCTACGCCATTACCAGAAGACTGTTGACTTATTATTGTTCTTTCATCTTGTTTTCTGAAAGGTAATCTAGCATCCATATTAATATCTTTTGGTTCAGCAACATAAGAAGACAAATCAAATTTTGCTGGGAATGCAACATTGCTTGAGTTCTTGACAATCATGTAAGTTCTTGGATCAAAAACAGATCTATTTATATGCATTGATAATAAAGGAGGAGGCCTACTTAACAAAATTTGTTTCGACTTCTTTGTCTTCCTTATCATTTGTTTGGTAGTTAATTTTTCGAAAGCTTCATCACTCACATGATTTTTAGCCAATTCATTATCGATGAGCTCAATTCTTTCCTTGAAATTTTTGATCAAGGTTTCATTGGTGGATTCTTCTATTTTATTGTTCAAAAACTCTTTAGTTTGGTTTAACCCACATCTGTTACAATTAACATCTTCGATGATTTCCGGAGTGATCCAATCATTCATTAGGCCATCTAAAGTATATTTAGAGTAATATGACTCCTTTTGAGGCAAATTTAAACTTAAACCACTAATGACAGAATATCGAATACCACCAACTTCGCCACATGCAACGCAACCAATCCTTTCGGCTGACACCCCATCAACAGGAGTGATCAAATTCAATGGAAATACTTTATGATCTGCATCAACCAAATTTGGATCAACTTGAGAAGCAGGAACATAAACATTCCCTAATTTACCTAAATCATCACAGCCCGAGAGTAAATTTGGAATTTGATTAATATCCCAATATTTTTCATCATCATTTTTAAAATTATTCTTTTTATCAGTTTGACCAATAGTTTTTTTATATTCCGTTTCGACTAAACCCATTACCAATTGATAAAACTCTTGAGCATCTTCTTGATTATAACCAGTGAAGAAATTTTGCTTTGGACCATTTGGCATTTTATTTAAGATTGGTTTTGTACTAAACTCTTTACCTCGATTACCATACTTACCATTAACATCATCAAATAATTTTTTCAATGCTTGAGTGAAAACTAATTCAGAATTAGGTTGATTAGATTTGATTTTGATTATTTTTTCTCCATTATTCATTTCAATTTCTTGATAAAAATAAGAATCTATAAAATTTAGTAATTGCCTTGAAGATGCTAAAGATTGAATAACTGAGTTCATAAAGCAAGTGTTACCATCATTGCTTATACCACCGAGCTCACCACCATTCTTTAAAGCGAATTTCAATTCCTTTGATTTTTTGTTCATTCCACCAAATCTCGATCTGGAATTGAATGATGAATTAGAAGAAGACATAAACTTATAACCAGAATTCATTTTAGAAATAACTTTGTTCAAAACTTGTGGAATATTAATAATATTTTGATTATGGGAAATATAAAGTAATGGAACAATGAATAGTATTAAAGATATGGATGATTTGAATTTCTTAAAAAAATTGAATATGACAGAGGTATAATCACCACTATAAGGTCTAAATAAATGATTTAATTGAAACACGATGGACAATAAGATTATATTCTCTTCCTTTGAAATTATTAATGAAATTAATGAAATTAAGATAATAAAAGATGCAATTTGAAACTTGATTGAAAATGACATACAGAAACGGATCAACAATAATTCAGCCAACACTACCAAGGAAATGGAGGTTTGGTAATCTCAACTGTGAATACTTTGACTTTTCAAAACCTTATCTAGATTTTGCAACTCAGAGATCCAATTCTTTCGATTATTGTTTTCTTTTCTTTTCAATCAAAGCAACTGTTCAAACGTACAAATCAATTCGAAATTTGAAAAAGAAGGAGGCTATCCTTACTCAGTTTATTTCAAAAAACGTTAAATAACAACTCTCGTCCTATGTCTAAGACTCAAACGGATTCTAATCAAAAAGATGTTAAGTACTTTTCAATTTATGAAGAAAATTTTTCGATATGAAGCTCTCATTAAAAAAATTTAGTGATGTTTTCAGTTCGCTAATTTTTTTCTCCACTTAAAAAAAAAAAAAAAAAAAAAAAAAACGATTTTTGCACGTTTTAGACATTTTACAGCCAATTTTTCAATAGTACTATAATTTTCGTTTAATAACAGAGATAGAAACAGAAAGACAAGAGAAGAAAGATCTTTATGTGTTTATGTAAGGAGTAAGAACAAACTTGTAAAAAAAAAAAGACAAAAATAAAAGAATAGGATAAAACAGTAGTGAACGGAAGATCATAAAGCTAAACAAAACAACGATGAATCATTAAGTTTCAATAACATCATGAAAATACAACGGTCAATGACTTAAGGTCTGCCTTGACCGTATAAGGAAGATGGAGGAGGAGCACCTCTACCATAGTTTTGATATTGATTACCCATTGGAGGTCTATCTTTACCCCAACCACATTTCAAAGGTCTACCATTTATGGTGAAACCAGCCAACTGAACAATAGCCAAGGCAGCTCTTTCGTGAGAGTCATATTTTACAAAAGCACAACCTCTTTCTGGATGGAATTTGAAGTCAACAATGAAACCAAAATTCTGTAATAAAGGAATTAAGTCAGTTTGTTGAGTGAAGTGAGCGATATTACCTAAGTAAACTGTAGTTTGCCATGACGGAGTTTGTCTTAAAACGATATCATAAGATTGAGGAGACATGACTGGGATATTCTGTTGACCACCATTGGCAGCGGCAGCAGCAGCTACGGCAGCAGCAGCAGCAGCAGCAGGGTTTGAAGGAGGAGGAACTTGAACGTTTGAACCAACCGCATTATTTGATTGATTTGGTAAATTTTGTTGAAGATTTGGAGAACCAAAGTTATTATTTGGAACCAAGTTTGAATTTGATAATTGCTGTTGAGGTAAAACGTTTAAATTATTAAAATGTCTATATTGACGATTTGAATTATTATTTTGATGATGATGATTATGACGATTATTTCTAAAGTGATTTGAATTACCGTTTGAAGACTTATGAGATGCCCAATTACATCTAATGGCTCTTCCATTAATCCATTCACCATTCATAGTTTGTAAAGCTAATTCTGCATCATTTTGTTGAGTAAAAGTAACAAAACCGTAACCTCTTGATCTAGCAGTTTGCATATCCCACATGACATGAGCTTGTTTAAGAGATGGAAATTTACTAAAAGCTCTACCCAAAGACTCATCATCAACTTCAGGACTCAAGTCACCAACGAATAAATTGAAAATAGGTTCATCTATAGTATTATTAGAATTTATTGAAGAAGATTGGAAAGCCCAATTAATTTTAATTTCAGAATTATTAATGATACGACCATTTAAAGTATGTAAAGCCATATCAGCAGATTGAGTATTTTCAAACTCGATAAAAGCGTAATTGAAACCGGGTCTATTTTTATCGTTTAAAATCTTAATTGATTCAATATTACCAGCAACTGAAAATAAATCTCTTAAAATATCTTCGGTAACTGATTTATGTAAACCACCAACGTATAAGATTTTGTTCGACACTTCACGGCCACCTTCAATTGCACTAGCAGGATTAACTTCTGGCTCTGGGTGGTCTTGGTCAACTGGCTGTTCATTTTCAGTGGAATGTTGTTGTTCATTTTGTTCAGCAGGAGTTTCAACCGGGGCTTCAACTGGGGCTTCAACCGATTCAACTGGTTGCTCAACTTGTTTTTCAATTGGGTGTTGTTGTTCAGACATTATGCACTTATTATAACAAAACTTTTTTTAGGAAAGAATTAAAACAAATGATGGAAATAAATCTATTATGAAAGGGGGAAATTTGGGATTCAAAGTTAAAACTCAAATAGAATGAAAGTAATACACTCGGGGAAACAATTAACAATACAAAGGAACGACTAGGTTGGTTAAAATAACGTAAACTGAAAAATTAACAAGGTAAAACAAAAAACGTTGAAAAAAAAAAATAAAAAAAAGAAGAAAAGAAAAGAAAGAAAAAAAAAAGAAGAGGAAGAGAGGAAAGAGGTATTGGATAAATTGAAGAAGGAAAGAAATTCAAAGGGAGTGGAATTCTGACTCTTTGGTAATCCAATTTGTTGATGAATTTAAAGAGAAGTTAATTGACTTTTGATCAAAAAAAATGATATAATTTAACGAGAATTGTTTTGGAAAAATTTTAAATCAACAAAAAGCCATTTTTGTGAGTTTTTTTGTTGATCTTTACTGCCATCCCACTGCTCCACTGGTCTGCCATTCATCTACTCGCATTGTTCTACGATGGCACCCTCCACCAGCCACTGGCGATTATTCCCCAGCACACCAACAACCAAACACCTTCTTGGAAGGGCATTCTCCAAAGCATTGACTAAGATTAAAACTACTGGTGTATGGGTGCGTTCTGTAGCTGGTTCGGACACTACGGTACCGAAAACGGTTTTCACGTGACCAATGATACCGGTCCCATTCAGCCATTAGCTGGTGGATATGATGTGAATGATATGGTGACCAATGGGCTGATGGGTGCCTCGGCGCTCAAGCAATTGAACGGCGGAAGAAGGAAACGTGGAAGAAGAATATGTCTGTGAAAAACATGTAAACGATATGTAAAGGGCAGGCGATGGGACTGATGGAAGTAATAATGGAACTGGTGGAAGTAATGAATAATGGAGCTGATGGATAGAATTCCAGGACAGTGATTAGATAACTCAGGCACTCAAACAATCACCCAGTGCCAGTAGATAGTAGTAAAGGATTTGGGTGCTAAACGCCAGTGTGTGTCAATCAAGAAGAAGCGAGAAGGAAAAAGGTTTTCAGATCTTCAATGGGAAAGTGAACTATTACAAATGCCAGAGTCCATAAGGAGTATGGTGGTCAAGATAGTTATTAAGGATCCAAGGCAACTCAAAGGGATCAAGACAAGCTTAGAAGAGGCCAGACTTTTATCCGGGTCCCGCGATAAGATCAGTCGAAAGGACGGAGAGATTGAAATCTTGACCAACACCAATGATAGCAGGACGGTGGAAGCAAAGTTGCCCAGGGTATCGTATAGACTCGAGCAGGTGGAGGTGACTGAACACCCACAGACATTTGACCAGATGGTCCGCCAGCTCTTGCAGGGAGTTCCCGAGGATGAAATTGAGCGGTTGATGCAAAAGGTGCCGAAAAAATGGACCATCTATAAGCCCATGGTGCTATTCAAGAGTGGGACTTTTGATGATCCAGTGTGGACAAAGTATCTTAGCCCAGGTTTCTGGGAGCTGCTCAAGCAGACTGGGTTTTTCGAAAACGTAACTCATTTTGCAGTCAACAAGCCGATCATTGAGTCGGACGTGATGAGACGACCTTTCAATATTCTCCCACTCTACGGAGACTTTGGGCCACTGAGTTCGTTCGAAGAGCCCAGTGATCAAGACTTCCGGTCGGCTTTTTGGTGTCAGATCACCCAGAACGGAATCATACAAACGTGGAGCCCCAAATACACCATGTTCAGTCGAGGTAACATCAAGGAAAAGGCAAGAATCTTGCAAAACTACAACATCAATCCTGGCGATTGGGGGTGTGATTTATACGCTGGTATTGGCTACTTCACCTTACTGTATCTCACCAGAGGCATGAGGATGTTTTGCTGGGAGATCAACCCGTGGTCAATCGAAGGCTTGGTAAGAGGGCTACAATTGAATAAGTTCAAATACCGAGTAGTCGAACACCAACAAGAGTACACCAAACAACAATTTTCCCAAGACGAAAATGAAGGCATCCAAGCAGTAATTTTCAAAGAAAGCAACGAGTATTCGCTTCATCGCTTACAAGAATTGGATCCCGCCATTCTGCATATCAACTTGGGTCTACTTCCAAGTTCCAAACCTTCCTGGCAATATAGTGCCAAAATACGAAAAACCAGTCCTGGCTATATTCACATCCATGAAAATGTTCACACCACCGATGTGGACCGCCTAAAAGACGAAATCGAGTCCTTCTTCCACCCGGGCTCCGTCCAGCATGTAGAGAAGGTGAAAACTTTTGCTCCAGACGTCTGGCACATTGTCTTTGACCTACTTACTCAATAACTACTTCCCGGTACATACTTCTAGTGTAGACTTAGTTTAAGCATCTCCGCCGCGCACCCGTGCATCCGTGCACCAGACACCGACAACTGCGCCAACAAATGATCATCTTTGTCCTTTGTTTTCGGAGTAAATGCTTTTAATAAAGGATTTTTATCTACTAAACCGTATTGAACAGGGCAACGAGGGTACTGTCACTTACTTGATTTAAAATTTCAGGTACTCAATTAGTGGTAAAAGTTTTCAGATTCAAAGCATTCGATTTTTGGAAAAAGGATTGGGTTTTTTTTTTTTTTTTTTTTTTTTTTTTTTTTTTTTTTTTTTTTTTTTTTTTTTTTTTTGACGTTATTTTTGTTTCATTTTCACTTTTAATTTGGAAAGATTCATTCCAATTTTATCGTCTAGCCATTCCCACCCACATCTATTCGCTTTATACCACCAAACACTGTTGGCAGAGTTAGCTTAAGTTGACAGATTCCAGTGAACGGTTTGACACATTTTTATTTTTGAATAAAAGGGAAAACAAACAACGAAAGGAAAACCCGAAAAAAAACAACAAAAAACCCAAAACAAAAACTCACTCCCAGACCATTTTAATTAATAATTGCCAGGTTACTAGCTTGTCGAGAAGTTGGTCCATTGAGTAATAATCTATTCAAGATGTCAAACAACCATATTCCCATAAAAACGGAGGATGATCAATTGTATAATCAGGTTCCTATGAAGACGGAGGATGATCAATTATATGATATGCTAAATTTTTCACCTCCAATGATACCTAATAAGAATGGACGCCAGGAATCACAACTGGCGAATCAGGCTTTTCTGAATTCTACTTCTCCATCGATACCTTCAACCAATATAGAATTTGACCATTCAAAAAGTCCAATAGAGAGAGATATGAACGAATTATTGGTTAACGATCAATCAATCATTAATCAACCTAAATTTCAGATTAACGATAATAATCAGTTCCATAAAAACGTTAATATTAATCTAGGTAATAAATCGGGATTATCGTTAAATACTGATAATCTATATCAAAATCATTCAAATAATGATTTATTATCACCAACAAATTTCAATAACTATAATAATAATAGCTCAAGTACGTTTTTAAATCCAAGAAGTCCAAGTGTTTATTCAAATCATTCTTTATATAGTGATGCTTCTTCAAATCCAGCAAGTCCATTTTTGGATGCTTTATCGCATTTCAGTAATAATAATCACCAATCAAGTTTAAATGAATCAGCAAGTCCTTTACCTAATCAATTTAATGATATTCCCCAATCGGTTCCGTATTTAGGTCATGACGTTTCAAATTCAATAAACAATTTCGATACCGAAATTGCTTTAGGTGGTTCTATTTCAAGTACTAACTTGATTGGTATGACTCAGCCAAATCAATCAAATCACTTGATCAATCAAGTAAATGAAATGTCCCCCCAATATAACCAACAGATTGGTCAAAATCCTCAGTTTAATTTCTCATTAACTGAAGAACCTTTACCTCAATTAAATGCTAATTTAATTCATAATCAATTAACCAATGACTTGAGTCAATTAACCGAAAACAACTTGATCAATTACAACAATACGATTCTGCAACAATCAAATCAATTACAACAACAACAACAGCAGCAACAACAACTTCATCAACAACAGCTTCATCAACAATTTGAACAACAACAAATGCTTCTACATCAACAAGCTCAAAATCAGCTTCAACAACGTGAAGTGACCATTTCAATAGATAAAGCACCAGAAACTGTTGCTAGAACACCTTCACTATTTTCAAACTCTTCAAGAAATTCATCGATTGAAAATTCACCTCATCAAGGTTCAAATACTGATCAAAATATTCAAAATAATCAAAATAATTTAAATCCTTTATTCCATAGTAATAGTACCTCAAACTTAATGATCAATTCACAATTATCACCTTCAAGTCCTGGATCAGTAGTGTCGGATTTATCTGAAAATCAACAAAATTTATTACTTAAACCGGAAGAATTTCAAAATATTAAAAGAGGTCGTAGAAGAAATCACTCAAACAAAACTCATCAGCATTCAAGATCAAGATCAAGACTGAGATCCTCTATAACAAGTGATATGGACGAGGATGGATTAAGTGATAACGATCAAAATCAAAATATTGATAATGATGACTCAAATAAAAATTTGTCCATTTCTTCTAGGGAAAAAATGTTAGAATTAGCATCTCCAAATCAATCGTCCAAAAGAACTCAGAAACATCCTTCTGTTTATGCTTGTCATTTATGTGATAAAAGATTTACTAGACCCTATAATTTGAAATCCCATTTGAGAACACATACTGATGAAAGACCCTTTATTTGTAATGTTTGTGGTAAAGCTTTTGCTAGACAACACGATCGTAAGAGACATGAAGACTTACATACCGGTGAAAAGAAATTCCAATGTAAAGGTTTCTTAAAAGATGGTACTCCTTATGGTTGTGGTCGAAAATTTGCAAGAGCTGATGCTTTAAGAAGACATTTTCAAACTGAAGCTGGTAAAGAATGTATAAGACTCTTAGTCGAAGAAGATGAGCGTGAAAAAGTATCCAATGGACAATCGAAACTTGAAAAAAATGGTGATCTAAATGATAATTCGGCTATTGGAATGGCTAATATAATGAATGCCCAAAATGCTTCCTTAAATCCTCCAACTACTAATTCCTCAAACAACAATGATGAAACTAGCTCGAATGATTTCCTAAGTCCTACGAGTGCGTTATTAAGCAGTACTTCAAACAGTGTTCAATCAATTCCTCAGGTTGCAATTTCTCCTCCTGATTAGTTTTCTGATGTCACTTGGACTAGCCTTTGTTTCTACTTTCTCTCTCACATTCCTTCTGATTTATCGTAACTTACTTACGTCTTGTTTACTTCTTTATATATATTGTCAGTTTTTTTTTTTGCTTTTTTAATTTTTTTTTTTTTTATCAACGCTTAATGGTTATATGGAGTTTTATTTTCTGGTTTTCACTTACTTCTCTCTTCAAAATTTTCCTTATGTTTTGCTTACTGTATCTACATTTGCTGATGAATGGATGAATAAAAAACAAGAACACTATCAAATATACAGATCTTGTAATATCTAACCCGATGTAGCTCAATGAAGTTTTGAAGTAATTGACGTTTTTTCAGTCTTTTCTCGTTTTAATTTTTTTTTTTTGTTTTTTTATTTTTTTTTTTCAGTTTTTTTTTTTTTTGAAAACGAATTATACCAAGCTGCCTAGAATTATATAACAAAATGTCATTAGAATATGAAGAGCTGATGATAGATAGGCTATCACGCCAGTCTAAGAGTCAGGAGTATGCAACGAAAGAGGAAAAGGAATTACAAGAATTACGCGATTCTAAACAACAATTAATGATGAAGCAGAGTCAAGACTACTTAGAGACTCTATTCAAAGATCACGCAAGCAGTCCAGTATCAATAAAGAATGCCCAAATTACTAATTCCCAGTCTTTCAGGGACCTGTTTTTGAAAGAACAATTTAAACCAATATTAGCTACGAACATCACAACTTTGAATGACTTTTTCCAAAAACTTGATTTAGTGAATGAAAATTTAAATAAATTGAACATAGTTGAAAATTCATTGGTTTCTCTTCACCAGTTGCCCAGAAAGTTATTCCATCGGAATAACTTTATACCCCAGGTAGTACCTGTTTTCAATATAATACCAAATAAGAAGTTTTACGCCAAAACAGGTACAAATATAGGTAATGGGGAAGGAGATGGATATATTCAATTTCAATTGAAAAATATATTTGGGGGAGCTGAAAATTTGATTTTTGATGCTATAACTGGTACCAAAACACAGTCATCATACCATCTTAATTATAATCAGCCAATTTTGAACCAATCCAATTACATTTTAGAGAACATTTTATCATTGAACACCAGAAAATTAGACTGGATCAATTGTGATGTTAAAACCAGAGGTTTAACAAATCGAATTTATACCCAATATTCAAGTAATATAAACCATGAATTGATCATGGAAAATCAATGGAGATCATTGATCAATACTGGATCGAAGTCTTTGGAAGTGATAAACCAAACCGGGGAGGATTTCAAATCTGCTTTAATATATAATTGGAGATACGATACCAGAAATAATAGGTCTTTACCAACCAGTGGGAAATATTTAAGATTCGGTATTGAATATAATGGTTTGTTTAACTTCAATACTTATAAATACGTTAAATTAGTTTATGAGTCTCAATTTGCTTATAAGTTTGCTAAAAACCATTCATTAATTTTGAGTAACAAATCGGGTATTTTACATTCATTAAATGGCAATAGCTCAATACTTGATAGATTTTATATTGGAGGTCCAAATGATGTGCGATCATTTACCATTAATGGATTAGGTCCTAAAAACTATAATTCATCAATTGGAGGAGATTATTTCTTAAATGGTGGGATTTCAGTAATTTCTAATATCCCAAGGTATGAGGAATCTAATTTTAAAATTCATAATTTTATAAATTTTGGTAAACTATTACCAATTAATCAAACTAAAACTTCTAAAGAGTTAGCTAAAGATTTAATCAAAGAACACTCAATAAGTTATGGATTTGGTTTATTATTCAATCATCCAGTTGCAAGATTTGAATTAAATTTTGTCTTACCATTAGCAGTACATGAACGAGATTATACTAGAAAAGGTATACAATATGGTATTGGTATTTCATTTTTATAATCAGTGTATATAAATAAAGGCATAAAATGTATATAGATAATATTTATTTTCTATCGTGATTTGTAACCCAAGATTTATGTTCTTTTATTACTTCTGGAATGATCAAACTTTCAATTTCAACATCTTGATCAATTTGTTCATTGGTTAATGTTATCCAATTTTCTTTACCATCAGGAGTAACGAAGACAACTTCTTTTTTCCTAGTTTGTAATAAATTTCCAATCACTAATTGGTGTTGATATCTATCTAAAGCTGATTTAGCCTTCTTGATAAGAATAGAACTATCGGTTTCTAATTTAAAAGATACAATCATTGCACTAGGAGCCCAATTATCAACTAACCTACTCAAAAATTTAGGAACTTGCTCCAAATCAACAATAAGTTTACCAGTGGCTTGAGATTGGATTTTATGTTGAGGTAACCTTGATTGAGGTAAAAAAAAATCTGAAACTGCAGCAGCCAAATAAAACAAAGCTTTCGAATCTAAAGATTGTAACAGTTCAGATATTGTTCTTAAGGTATATAAATACTGATTCACAGTAGTAAATGGTACTAATAATAAAGATTTCGAAGTCTTAGCATCATTATATTTTCTTAAAACAACCAACATTTGATCGGCAAAATCAGGATTGATTTCAACTTTATTATTAACTTCGGTCATGTAATCCAAAAAACAATTGGTGGTATGACTATAATGTCTTGAATATGGTAAAAGACTAAACTCCCGATGCAAAAAAATCACTGCATAATCATTCTCTAAGAAATATTCTGCTGAGGTTGCACCTCTAGTACCAGCACTAAAATTATCAATAAACCTAACAGTATTATTCTCCAATGGTACGGTGGTACCTCCGGAGGTCACCAACACCACCTTCTTACCGGTCACCTTCTTGTGATGTTCAATGAACTCAGAAACCTGTTCGGATATTTCGCCCAAGTAGCTTGGAGGTTTATGAGTTTTGAAATACTTATCCTCATCGGGTATCTGAGCAGCTGGGAAATCCGGTATCGTTCGATCTATGGCCGAATCTGCTTCCGGGTTCGAAGTACGAAACGACTTGGACTGCTTGGGGCTAATTGGAGTCATCTCTTAATGATTTATCTAAGCATACGGTACTCAAGTTAAAGAAGTATTCGTTTCCGTCGTTTATTCACCAAAGAAAAGAAAAAAAAATCAGTTTGGTCCCCCACAAAAACGGTCAGTGTGCGAGTTGCAACAATCTCTATCCATCACATCTGCTACCCAGGACAGCAGTACTGTCTGTGGCCGACTGCAGCCAGGGCTTATCTGCTTGAGGGCTGGAATAAGGGTTGAAAGAAGGGTAAATTCAAGGCTAAAAACGGGGGAAAACCCGTCGTCGCAAGTCGGAGTTGGAGATCAAAACTGAAATTTTAACTGTCAAACTACAATCCATTCCACGTACCAGCACCCTTCTTCTTTTTCACTTCAGTTCAGACTTTATCCATCTCTTCTTTGGATCGTCTAGGGCATTTTGGCTGAACGAGTCTAGCAAGCTGTCTATTTCCAGTGGGTTTGTCAGCTGCCTTTGGTCTATTTTTTGAGTGAGGCAAAAAAACCAACAGATTCTTTAAAAAAAAAAAAAAAAAAGGTTTTATCTTCTTCTGATAACAATTTGATTTATCTTTGGCATTGCTAGATTAATAGGACGCTGGGTGAAAAGCTAGGCCAAAGAGATATAGAAGAGGATGTCTGCTGATTTTTGGAGCTCTTCACAGAGAACGCGATGGCAATTGACCCGACTGAACTTGCTTGAGAGCAGAAGAAAGTTGATGATACTAGAGAAGAAGATGATTCAAAATGGGTTTATCAAGGATTATCCTAATATCAACTACGACTATAACATGAGGATCTATTTGCATACGTTGTTGGTGAAGTTGGGAAGAAGATTGAACATCAGACAAGTGGCGTTGGCTAGCGCCGAAGTATACTTGACCCGATTTCTAACTCGAGTATTATTGAAGGAGATAAATGTTTATTTATTGGTAACTACGTGTATTTACGTGGCGTGCAAGATAGAGGAGTGTCCTCAGCATATTCGATTGATTATATCTGAAGCCAGAAATCTCTGGCCAGAGTATATACCTCATGATATAACTAAATTAGCTGAATTTGAATTTTATTTAATTGAAGAAATGGAGAGTTTTTTGTTTTTACATCATCCTTATAAATCTTTGATGCAGATAAGGTCTTTTTTAGAAGAAAACTATAGTGTATATGGGTTCCGGTTGACTAATGATGAACTACAAAACTGTTGGTCTTTGATTAACGATAGCTACATCACTGATTTACATTTACTATTTCCTCCCCATATCATAGCGGTTGCGTCGATCTATATCACGGTGGTCTTGAAGAAAAATTTGACAGCGCTAAGAGGTGGCACCAGCGGTGGTGCCAGCAGCGGCGGCGGCGCCGCCACTGGCGCCGTCAGTGGGTCCTCTACCACTGGAGCCTCTGCTGGATCTACAGTTGGACCCGGAGGGGTCTCTACTGGCGCAAGCACCATCAACCAAGCCCAGCAGCTCCAGCAGATAAACTCCAGACAAGACGCCAGTAACACCATGCAAATCGATGACTTGATGGCATTGGCAAACTCCAGCAACAATCACCCGCAGACCACCAACTCTACAATCAACCAGCCCAACACCCAGTCCCAGGATGAGTTCGATCCCTCCCACTTCCAGGATATCAAACTAGACGAAGACACCATCAAAATCAACAAGTTCATGAACTTTCTCAGCCATTCCCACATTAACCTAGATGAAGTCGTCGAGTCAATGCAGGACATGATCAATCTCTACGTGGTTTGGAATAGATATAATGAGAACAGTGTTCGTAAAGCTCTCCAGTATATGCTTCTAAACCGTTAGCCCTTCAATACCCTCTGCTTATATAATCTTACAATACAAACGGCACGTCTTCCTCCTGATTGTCTGCTCCTTGACAAGACCTTCAATTCCTTGATGAAATCAACCGATTTTCCTCCTCCAACGGTGAAAATTGCACCAGTTTGAATTTTTGTTTGGCTTTTTTTTTGTTTTGTTAGTTCCTGTGTCTTTGTTTTGTGAATTGTTTCTCTCAAAAAGAGAA